TTAGAGTGAATTTTGCGAAATTTCTTTGTGTTATTTTGACTTGGAGATTCATTTGTTAACTGAATTACTTGTTAGTGTGACACGATCTTAGGATCTATTTTGTTTTATTATATAGTGGTGAAGGGGGTGTTAGTCCTTCATAGCCTAGTTGCTGCAACGGACTTAAACAGAGATTTATCATCATCGTCAGTTACAAAATAACACAAATGAATTTTGCAAGATCTACTACAACATATTTCAAATTATAGATAAATATCCAGCATATTTGATAATAGAGGGTTGTCATTGGATGACATAGTAAAGGGATAAGCAACAATCATGGGTTGTTAATAGAAGTGGAAGTTGTAATGGAAGTGCAAGTGATTAGGATTAGGTAGATAGTAGATGAAGGTTGATTATCAGGAAGACTGTAAGCTGGGCATCCTCCTGCTCTACTCTACTGGCTGCCTTACTCTATATACTCCTCAGAGAGAGTTAGTCAATCTACTTGTTGGTAAGACAAAACAACGAAGAGATAATCTACTAGACAGAAAACATTTTTGAGGTGGGTGTGAGTAGTCAATGACTGACAAGGACGAGGGTTTGGAGGAAGCAGCCAAGGAAGCGGCCCAGCTACCTCATGATATATGCTATGGACTTTACTACAACACTTTCCCGTCGTGAGAATGATTGCGTGAAGGCTCTTACTGGATAATGATGATGATGATGAATCTTTAAATTACAGTCTATATGCAGCCAGCAACTAGGTTATGACAAACAAAATGTGTCCAACTTTTCCCACCAATTTTTGTCCCCATTGTCTAACCCAACTTCAATTTTCCATCTCCTTGATAAGATGTCCAAGTATGCATGCCTGAAGTTGAGGACGGGCTATCCATATCTAGCGTGTGATTCTATTCAACAATTTCCACAAAGGGAAGGTGTTGTACTAATGATGATGGTAAAGATAATTCTATTTTCAAGTCTGTGTGCAACCAATTAAACCACTAGGCGATTAGGGATGGTACGAATATTGCGAGTCTTTGTTGTATTTTGACCGGAGGATTTGGAGTATGTCTTATTTAATTGATGACCTACAGATCTACTTCTGATTGTTATTGTTCTGTCTGATTTTTGTTAACTCTTATCAAGTCTGTCATGAACTTGTTGAAGCATACAAACTTGGTAGTTATGGATTGATCATTTAAACTTGGGAGTAAAAACTGGCAGTTTCAGTTGGAAGGTAGTAGGGAGGGCCAATAAAAGTCAACAGTAGCAATAGTTATACTATTGGTATTTTTATCTCTTGTATTGAGGATGTTTTATTAATTTTTGAGCTTTCTTACGCTTTCTGGTTTAGATTTTTCATTATAATGTGATTTTGATACTGTGGCACGATTCATAGATCTTTTGGTTTTGTTTCACCTTGGAAGTGAAAATGGGGATGAAAGTCTGTAAATTATCAAGTTGTTTTGTATGATGATGATGATGATAAATCTCTGTTTTAAGTCTGTTGCAACAACTAGGTTATGACAGACTATCTCCCCCTTCACCACTATATAATAAAACAAATGGATCCTAAGATCGTGTCACACTAACAAATAATTCAATTAACAAATGAATCTCCAAGTCAAAATAACACAAAGAAATTTCGCAAAATTCACTCTAACATATTTCAAATACAAGATAAAAATCCAAAAAATTCAATAACAACTTTCTAAGCTATCAACTTTCTCAAGAGACCTGACTGCTATCTATCGATCTCGAAATTTGTAAGGCCTGCTCTCGAATTCACCAGAAAATTGGTCCATGACTCATCCCTCAGGCTCTGTGTGAGAGAGGTTTGCTGATGATACCAGCGGCCAGTGTCGATGTGGGTCTTCTGAAGATATTTGACAAGTGCAGAAAGACCTTTGTCTGTCCATAGAATGTGATTGAGCGTGCCTTCGGCTATAGGGATACCTTCAAACGCGCTATTCCGTTCCTCTCTGTCATGGCGACAAGAAAGAAGCGCATGCTGAACTGACTGCAGTAGGATTCCACACCAACACTCTGAAGAGGGACGAGGCTCTCTGCCATGTCTTGCAGAGTAGCTGTTTAAGAAGCCATGTCCAGTCCAGAAGCTCACAATACAGCTGGCAACGCTGCGAGGGATATTAACAAGGGGCTTGTCAACAGAGATTCGAGACTTTCCTTCATGCTTATAGAATTCTGATAGAGGCGCGGTTTGAAACCTGGCATTCCACTCCTAAAAAGCGAGGTCATCGACGAGCTTATAAAGAAAGGGCAAGGAGCAGTCATTATTGACGCGGTCTTGCGACGAGGCTGCTTGAGTCGCTGAAGCCAGGGCGCGAATGCTGCGCTCCACTTTGGTAGCGGAGCGAAGCCAGTAGAGAGAGACTTTGGTGTAGTTGTTTTGTATGGATTACTAGAAAAAGAGGTTTATCTTTATCATTTAACATAAATAGTTTTTGTCATAGTCTAGTTGTTGCAACGGACTATAAACATGGCTTTATCATCATCATCACATTGATATTTATTCATGGAATTTTTCGAAGGCACTGTCAATAATAAGGAGGCGCAGTGTACCCATATGAGAACTGAAATTGTTGCGTCCAGAACTGACTCAAGGTATTACTAAGAATGCGCCCTTCAATGTCGCTGTAAGTTATGTTGTAGAACATACAGGCTGTCAAATACAGCACAGTCTGGCGATGCGACTGCGTGTATTTCAGAGCTCGAAGCATGCATATTACTGACGTACATTGGCGGCAACTTAAAGCCAATCATTGTCACTGGATAGAGAGTTGGAAAAATGCAATCATGGTTGAAATGACTTGACGTCTTTGGGTTGATTAGAGGCGTGCAAATGCCTGTCAAGTTGTTCGAGTAAAGCGAATCTATTGATGAAGAAATGCCCCTCGCCAAGGCAGTTAGTTATTGCCACAGTTAACAGATATGATTTCAGTCGCAAAATCCTTGCTCTTCATGCCTCAGTCGCCTTCCTGACTCAGTAGCGAGAGCCTATTCGACAGCTAGCACATCGGCGTTGCAGGACAAGAGATATGCCTGCCATTTCCTATGGACCTGCAGACTTTAATCATATCCAGAAATCCCCTTTCCGGTGATTTTCGATAGCGTTGAAGATGTTCGGAACATCATAGGGCGCAGAAAACGTGGTATCATAAGTCTGTATCACTGTTTGACGCAGATTTCGAGGTCTGCACATGGACAGCAAGAAACAAATCCAAGAGTATTGCTTAGTGTTGCGGAGGTCTAGCGCATTTGGGATCCCATCCCTGATAGGCGCGATGTAGGCATCATTGCTCCTTGGACCTTATGCAACTGTATGGATCGAGAGTCTTCAATGAACATATTGTTTAGAACTGCTACTTGACTGTTTTCTGCATATGTCGTAATCACTCGAGGTTTGATTTGGTTAATTAAGCAAGCGTTTACATCTGATATGATTGGATTGTGATTTAAAAAAAGCGGCTTCAGAATAGTCGAGATCTCTGGTGCCTTTTTGATTCGGTAGTTATTATACCTCCTCTCGATAGCTGGTTGTGATGGGTTTAATGTCATGCAAGTTTTGGAAATGTTGTGGTAGGATTCAGCGAGGCGGATCCAAGAGTATGTTGGAGACGCTTCCTGCCTCTTTAGAATGAGAATCCAGTTTATTTTGCTATTCTAGGTACGAGCGCTGGCCGCAAATAGTATACTGAACGTCGCGGAATCTCTATATGTCTACTATATGCGAGATATTGCTCTTTGAATATCTCGTGCGAGGTTTGTGCTCAACTCTTAACTATATATAGAGGAACCAGATCCGAAAACATCACAGAGGAAGTCGAGTTATTTGGACTGTATTTGAGTTGGTAGATGATTGATTTCTATTAGACAATTAAACAACTTGAGGCAGCTAGCATTAATAGCTCATTTCACAGACTAACAGTGAAACTGTTGGAAGCGTTCGATCGTCGGGCGGCTCCTGTAAAACTCGGAACGAATATCTGGTCGAGAGCGCGTCCGATAGTGCGGAGATGGAAGATGAATGCGCTTGAAGGAATGGACCCGTTCCAGTGCGAATTGATTGCTAAACAGCGGAGACAGACAGCCTCGAATAGAAAGATGTTAGTGCAAGACGACCAAACTCCAAGAGCATAAAAGAAGAGACGAGCAGGATCAAGTGAGGACCGAACAAAGACGAGCGGGCTGACGAAAGTTGCCGAGATGGCCGAGCGAATGTTTTGTGGAACCGGCACGTGCATATAATCCCGAAGGGGACGACGCCTCGCCAGACATGTACCGGCGCGTTCGAGCACATGCAAACGCCGCCTCTGAACAGTTTACAGCGCCAGGAGTGTTACGGGCCATTAATAAAAAAGAAAACGTAAAAAAAGAGTGGTAACAGTACTACGACCAGCTGCAGTGTTTTCTGTGGAGGGCAGAGAAGGCAGGCAACGACGAGCGCGGGCGGGTCTACCGCGGTAACCCGAGAGCCGCACCAAATAATGCGGATACCCCGGACTTTTTGTGCCCAGAGAGCCGCCCATCGCGGGAGGATGCCGGTTAGTAATGGGGAAGTAAGCCGGAGAACGAACTGCCAGGCCAGTAGCGCACGTCTCAATTGGCCGCCGAGGGCGGGCGGTGACGGGCTGGTGGAAAAGGAAACTGCTCAGAAGGGCACGAAAGCGAGCGCTGGCATTGGTCGATGTGTTTTGTTGTTGTTCGTGGCTGTCGGATGCGTGGCGCGGGTGGCCGCGCCAGGACTTGTTTGGCTCCCACTCCAGGTCTCTTGCTGCGTCTGCCCGCGCCCGACGAGCAGGTTGTTCGCAAACCGCGACGCAGCGGCGCAATGTCGCTCGAACCGGCCCTCGCCAGGCCCGCCAGGCCCGCCGGGACGCGGATGGAAGGGCGGGCGGAGGAGAGAAGGGGGCGGGCGAGCAGGCCAGTTTTGAAATCTCGAGAGCCTGATTCGCCCGCCGGAGCGAGGTCGGAGTTCTGCAAAAGACTGCGGGTCAAAGCAACTAACTGCGGCGCTTGTGATTGGCCTGGCTCCGGGGCCCCGGCACATCTCGCAAAACATTTCGGCACAGAAACCCTAATCCCTGGTCTGCAGGTCAACTTTTAGAGTTTATATCCCCGAATAGGACTAGCGCGGCCATCCTGATTATTCGTCGCTGCCGACTCACCGCAAATAAATCTCCCCGTCGATCCAGCGACGGCCAAAGTCTTCCTGCTTCTTCATCATCTTTGCTCCTGAAGCCAAGTGCATCTTCCTCCCTTCTCCCTCCACCATCATGCTGCTCCACACCCGCCTGCCCGTCCGTGCGGCCTTAAAGTCTGTATGTAGTTCGTCCGGCGTCTCTTCGCCTCTATCTCCACCTTTTTCTCCACATGTCACTAACTCTCCCCTAGGGTGCTTCCGTTGCCCGTCTTAACAAGACCTCGGTACGATCATATACCGTCACTTCCCACCTCCGCTCTCTCTGCTAACCTCAATCGCCTCTCCAGACCAGGGCTCTTGCCACCATCGTCGATGAGAAAGTCAACCAGAACAACTGGGAAAAGGTAACGTGCTTTCCTTCTTGTTCCGATAGTTTCCGCTGCTAACATTCTTCCGACCCCACCAGGACTCTTTCGTCAACTACAAGAACAACGTCGAGAACCTCGAGATTGTTCGATCCCGCCTAAAGCGCCCCTTCACCTTTGCGGAGAAGATCCTCTACGGTCATCTCGATGACCCGCATGGACAGGACATTGAGCGTGGTGTTTCCTACCTTAAGCTCCGCCCGGACCGTGTTGCCTGCCAGGATGCTACCGCCCAGATGGCTATCCTCCAGTTCATGTCCGCTGGTATGCCCTCCGTCGCCACTCCTTCGACTGTCCACTGTGATCATTTGATTGAGGCCCAGATTGGCGGCGAGAAGGATCTTGCCCGTGCCATTGATATCAACAAGGAGGTCTACAACTTCTTGGCCACTGCTTGTGCTAAGTACAACATTGGTTTCTGGAGACCCGGATCTGGTATCATTCACCAGATCGTTCTCGAGAACTACGCTTTCCCCGGTGCTCTCATGATCGGTACCGACTCTCACACTCCTAACGCTGGCGGTCTCGGTATGCTCGCCATCGGTGTCGGTGGTGCCGATGCCGTTGACGTCATGGCTGGTCTCCCTTGGGAACTCAAGGCCCCCAAGATCATTGGTGTTAAGCTTACCGGAAAGCTTTCTGGCTGGACTGCTCCCAAGGATATCATCTTGAAGGTCGCCGGTATCCTCACTGTCAAGGGTGGCACTGGTGCTATCGTTGAGTACTTCGGTGAGGGTGTCGAGTCCCTGTCTTGCACTGGTATGGCTACCATCTGCAACATGGGTGCTGAGATTGGTGCCACCACCTCTACCTTCCCTTACAACGCCCGCATGAAGGACTACCTTGATGCTACCAAGCGTGGCTTTGTTTCCGACTTTGCTGACAAGTACGCCTCGTTCTTGAAGGCCGATGAGGGTGCTGAGTACGATCAGCTCATCGAGATTGACCTTGACACTCTTGAGCCCCACGTCAACGGCCCTTTCACTCCCGATCTTGCCACTCCCATCTCCAAGATGAAGGAGACTGCCATCAAGAACGACTGGCCCCTCGAGGTTAAGGTTGCTCTTATCGGATCTTGCACTAACTCCTCGTACGAGGACATGTCCCGATCCGCCTCTATCGCCCAGGATGCTCTCGACCATGGCATCAAGGCTAAGGCTCTCTTCACCGTCACCCCTGGCTCTGAGCAGATTCGCGCTACTATTGCTCGCGATGGTCAGCTCAAGGTCTTCGAGGAGTTCGGAGGATTGTTGCTCGCCAACGCTTGTGGACCCTGCATTGGCCAGTGGGATCGTCGTGACATCAAGAAGGGCGACAAGAACACCATTGTCTCTTCCTACAACCGTAACTTCACCGGACGTAACGATTCCAACCCCGCCACTCATGCGTTCGTTGCCTCGCCTGATCTTGTCACCGCCTACGCTATCTCTGGTGATCTTGGATTCAACCCCCTTACCGACACCCTGAAGGACAAGGATGGCAATGAGTTCATGCTCGCTCCTCCCTCTGGTGCTGGTCTTCCTTCGCTTGGCTACGATCCCGGTAATGATACTTACCAGGCTCCTCCTGAGGACCGTGCCTCCGTCAGTGTTGATGTTTCCCCTACCTCGGACCGTCTTCAGCTTCTTAAGCCCTTCAAGCCTTGGGACGGAAAGGACGCTTTCGATCTTCCCATCTTGATCAAGTCCAAGGGTAAGACCACCACCGATCACATTTCCCAGGCTGGCCCGTGGTTGAAGTACCGTGGACATTTGCAGAACATTTCCAACAACTACATGATCGGTGCTATCAACGCCGAGAACGACAAGGCCAACACCATCAAGAACTTCATGACTGGTGAGTACGGTGGAGTCCCTGACGTCGCTGGATACTACAGAGACCACAACCAGAAGTGGGTTGTTGTTGGTGGTGAGAACTTCGGTGAGGGTTCCTCGCGTGAGCATGCCGCCCTTGAGCCCCGTTACCTTGGTGGATTTGCCATTATTGCCAAGTCCTTTGCTCGTATCCACGAGACCAACTTGAAGAAGCAGGGTATGCTTCCCCTTACCTTCGCTGACCCTGCTGCCTACGACCGTATCAACCCTGACGACAAGGTTGACGTCGTTGGTGTCACTACTCTTTCGCCTGGCAAGAACTTGAAGCTTGTTGTTCACCCCAAGAACGGCGACGCTTGGGAGACCGAGTTGGCTCAGACCTACAACGCTGAGCAGATCGAGTGGTTCAAGTTCGGTTCGGCTCTGAACAAGATGGCTGCTGCGCACAAGAAATAAATAGGCGTTGGGTTGTGGAATTTAGAAATTAAAATTTAATGTATAAAAAAATAGTACATGTCTAGTTAATGGTCAAATCATATTTATATATGTAATGTTGTATGCCTTGAGTGTTTCTGAGTGAATATTGTCTCGTGTAGGTTGGTGATTACTTTTATCATCTTGTTTTAAATTAGCTGCGTAATGCATCTGTTTCTACGTTATTATAACCTTCAGTTCGAAGTCTGTTTTCCTGATACTACAGTAAGAAATTTGTTGGAAGAAAAATTATTTCCTATCATGCTTATAAACAACTTATAACTTGCGCATTGTAGTAATATGTTCCTCCTTTTCAGCCCCGATTTATAACAAAAACTATGCCGGCTAACTGGAGCGAATGTTGAAATTGAGAGATAAGATGAACCTGATATGCTGCGAAATGTTGAATTCCGAAACGCCCCTCCTCCCAAATGATGTTGAAGTAACTTTTGTCCGAATGTTGAATGCAAGGCCAATGAGCGCCAGATACCCGGCGTATAAACACGAAAAAGAGCAAGCTTACCACCCGGTAAACCAGAAATACACGAAAAACACTAAACCAAAAAAACAAACTATCTGATATGCGGTCAACAAATCAAAATATGTCGCCGATATCCTATGTCATCAGACTACTCAAAGAGCGCGTGACATTTTGAAGTAGGCAGCAAATGCGTCTGACTTCATACCGCCGGATTTTTCATCCGAAGTGACATCCTCCCAGCGAACACGCTTGACATCCGTGCGACGTCCTCTGTCCTTCAGATCATCCGAGAGCCACTTGAGTGCAAGATCGAGCAGCGCTGAGTTGGTGTTGTAAGACGCAATCGTGGGTCTGTCAGGCAGCTCAGTTCGCGAGATGATGTCTGAAGGAGATCCATGTTCGAGGATGCGACCCATATGGATATGGACTAGGTCAGTAGGCCAGTCGGCGAGTCCATCAAAAATATGGGAAGCGTAGACGACAGCGCATTCGCGGGCAAGAGTCTCTCTTCTGAGGAAATCCAACAAGCGGGCACGCACAAGTACGTCGAGGTCCACAGTAACCTCATCGAGGAGAAGAATCGACCAAGGGCGTAGGAGTCCCATGACGAGTTGAACTCTACGACGCTCTCCGTCTGAGACAGCATGCATGTGCCAGGAAAGGTCAACGTCGAGAATATCAATAAGCTCGTCGCGGCGCTCAGGAAACGCGTCGCCGCCGACGGAAGCAAGAAGGACGGGCACTGCCATGTCATAGCGAACGGTTGGATTGGCAGCCCATTCAGTACCAAGATAGGTTATACCACCCAGCGGAGCACGGAATGGATCACTGCCTTGAATCTTGACAGATCCCGCTTTGGCAAGCGTTTTTCCGGCGAGAATTTTGAGAAGGGTAGACTTTCCAGCTCCGTTTGCACCTACGAGTAGCGTGCGAGAGTGGGGAGGAAGAGAGAGCGTGAGGTCGTGGAGACCCACAATTCCGCTGGGAAACACGTAGGTAAGACCACCGAGGTCAATGGCCGGCGTCTGGTCGAGCATTGTTGGCTTTGAAGGATGTACAAGAAGATACAATGGAACAGGATGACGGATTACTTCGACTTCAGCTGAAAAGTTTTGTGACTCTTATCCGCATGATGGAGTACCAACCCCGCGGAACTCACACAATGGTAGTACCAGCCCCACGACTGTTACATTTCCTCCGTTCGCCGCCGGAAGGCCGATGAGATGGCCGAGTGCGGAGCCGAGCAGGCAATAAACCCGGGACAGTTCCGAGACGCGTTGGAAGGAGCCATAAAAGAGTTGCACGATGACGCGCAACCGGAAACAATCGTCGTCCTCGTACGCTTATCCAGGCCTTGCTAGCATTCCCGGTCTACACAGTTTTGCTATGGAGCTCGACCCCGGCTCCCGTCTGTCTTCCTCGTCGTCGTCCGCTGCCAAATCGCATCAGCAAAGCCATCCCTCGGCCAGCATACGGCCTCAAATTTGGCTCATCTCCGATGCGTTCTCGGCTCTTGGGCGGGAACTCGCCCATGAAGTCCTTTCAAAGGGTCATTTGGTCGCTCTAGGATGCAGATCGGAAGCAGTCGCGCAAGTAACAGCTACGTTTGTTCCGGTATACTCAGAAGATCGTGTACTGGTATGCAAGCTCGACCCTCGGAACAAACCGCTCTGTCAGAGTGCATTGGCGGAGATTCTGGCAAAATGGACCAGGCTAGATGTTGTGATTGTATGTCCGGCCAAGACGGTCGTCGCCACGATCGAAGAAGCATCTGAGTGGCATTTACGCGACCAGCTCGAAGCTTCGTACTATGGTCCCGTCAACTTGATCACCACTGTGCTCCCGGTTTTACGCCAGCAGAAATCAGGTCACATTCTTGCTGTTACTGGCATTGTCGGTCAAATGGGTACGCCGAGTTTAGGTCTGGTATCGGCTGCTGTTCATGCGCTCGAGGGCTACACTGAAGCGCTGGCTTTCGAGATTGCTCCCTTCAATATCAAGCTTACAATTGTGGAGCCATCTCTGGAGATTGCTCTGGCTACACCGGTGTTCTTCACCAAAGCGATGGATCACTATAAGAATTCAGTCAGTGCTAAAGTTCGCTCCATGTTGGCCTGTAAAGATCTTTCGCCTGATCTTTTAGTTAAAGATGTTGTGACTGCGATTATAAACGTGGCGGGTATTGAAAATCCTCCAGCGAGGCTTGTTGCAGGTGCCGAGGCAATCGAACAGATTAGGGACAAGCTACGGACAGTGAGCGAGGAGATTGAAGATATGCTGGAAGTCAGCTACGCGGCTGATTCGGCCGCGCTCACTGAAGAACAGCGACGAGAACTCAGGGGCGTCGATTAAGCTGGTCCATATTCATGTGTTTGTTCATTTGCATATCATTTCTGCTATTTTTCCCGGTTTTTATATATGGCATTGTTTTGGCGTCAGGCATCTTTTAATGGCTCAATAAACTGTATATTTATCTCCAATAGTCATCGAAACTTCTGCGTTCACGGGGGTCATCTATTTCTTTGCTGAAGGCGCTCGCCGCTCTAAAAGTCGTTCAAGCTTCTGACTTCGTTTGTGTGATAGTAGTGTATCCTGCATATCCTCGGCTGACGGCATCAAGAAAGTCGGCTGATCCGAAATGGCTTGTCTAGGAGAAGTCTGCATCAGTTGATGCGAGGTGTTTAGTAGGAAGGCAGAGATCAGCACTTGATCATCGGTCGCAGGCTCAGCGGCATTTCCTGAAAACCGATCTTGAGTCGTTGCTTGCATCTCGCTGCCAATCCGGCCGAGAATTACAAGACCTGTAACTGTAGGCAAAGGTGGCTCGAGTTTCACTATGATTGCGCGGGAGAGGACGCCGCTATCTGCGATCGTCTGAAGAAGAGTCAGCGATGAATGGGTCAGTAGGACGAGTAGCGCCAGCTCAGCGATAGGTAAAACATACCGCAGTCAAGAATATCTTCTTAAAGAACTCTTCGGTCTTTGAGTCAGATGTATATCTGGTGTAGAAAGAGAGTCAGAATCAGGCGTCTTAGATCTGGAATCAGAGGTAAGAGCTTACACTCTTAGGGGCCGTCCAGAAGCCATCCATAGAGGGATATGAGAAGTATCCACGCACGCAATAGCTCTCAAGCTACTTCCCTCAAAAACATCTGGCTTTGCTAACTCCGCCGACGCTGATGTCTTCCGCTTTTTCGCCGCGGGGCCCTCCTTCTTCCGCTTGGGAGCCGCGCCCCAGAGTTGAAGCAGCACTTCGGGTCCGTCCAAGTCTGACGTATCGCACGGTCCAGACCATATTTCTACTGGTCTGCTGCTGCTGCTGCTACTGCGCGATGTAGACATGGATCATGCTCACCAACACCACGACGCGCAGACCAGAATCAACAATGAGTTGACGACGCGTGCGGGGAGCGGGCAGGTCGCGTTCTCCAAATGCGGGTGCCCTGACCCTTACAGTGTAATGTGGCTGGTGGGCTAAGCTGAGCCTTAGTGGCTGACAGCAGTCTAATGCATATTTTAGGGTTAAGCCCTACAAATTTAGCAGTCACGCTTTAAGAGTTCTGGCCTTTGGGTGTTGCGTTTGGGAGACTAACGCACTACCGTGCTGAGCAAAGTACCTAGACGAAGTTCATCCTGACACCATCGTTCAGTTCATCATCCAACAATCAGCAATGGCACCCAAATGTAAGTAGTACCTGCTTTGTTATATGGATCTAGATGTGCGGATCAATCGAATATGCTGTGTGAATGGGCTTCTATTGGAATTATATTGTGGAACGGGAGATGTTTGTTGCTGTCGTGTGTTGCGAGGACAAAAGTCGATTATTCAAACGGTTGTCGACAGAAAAGATCTCTTGCTTTCCCGAGTCTCGATATATTCCTTCTGTGTGCTTTCCGCTTGAAGCTGGTGACAGTCCATCAGATTCTGTCCCGGATGAGGTGTCAAAAGGATCTATTTTGGATATGACGATCGGGAAGCAAAAAGATACAAATGTGTTGCGGACGGAAGTCCATTCACCGAGGATATTCATATGTTTACACAGGAAAACATCGAAAAAATATCAGCTTTGCTAATCTGTGCTTTGTTATAGCATCCGCCACTTCCAAGGCTGTTGCCGCTAAGAAGGCCGTCGTCAAGGGCGTCCACGGAACCAAGGTCACCAAGGTCCGCACCTCGACCACCTTCCACAGACCCAACACCCTTCGTCTTCCCCGAACCCCCAAGTACCAGCGCAAGTCGATTGCCCACGCTCCTCGTCTTGACCAGTACAAGGTTATCGTTGGTCCCCACAGCAACGAGTCCACCATGAAGAAGCTTGAGGAGTCCAACACCATTGTCTTCATTGTTGACATCAAGGCCAACAAGAGACACATCAAGGATGCCTTCAAGAGCTTGTACAACGTTGACGTCTCCAAGGTCACCACTCTGATCACGTATGTATCTTCAGGACACTGTTATGGAACTAGAAATTGGAGATCAGAAAGCTAACTACGATTATTACAGTCCCACTGGTCAGAAGAAGGCCTACATAAGACTGGAGTCGGAGAGCGACGTTCTTGACGTTGCCAACAGAGTCGGTTTTATTTAAATGGTTAATCAGGGTATAAAAAAGGCTTGATTGGGATTTGAGTGGTATAAAAGAAACTTGTATTTATGTAATCTAGTGGAAAACTAAAGAATGAAGCATCATATCACGCAAATGAGAAAGCAAATGCTGTAGTTGAACGATTATTCTATTATTCTGTCCGGGGAGTATTCGTTGATTGAATATGTAAAAGCGAAGGGGTTTGATCGGGTGCGGCTTCAACGTAATCATCGGCTTCCAAGCGCGACAGCTCCGTCCATAGTGAGAGCTCTTAGTAGATTACCCCATCAACCATTGTCCCGGCAGCTGCTTCACCGCCTACTCGCATCGGATTCGAGGCTCTGCGCTCTATCGTTCTTTTACTATCTACTAGCTCTTCAACTCAGCATGGCTGACTCTGCGATGGATGTCGACACTGCGCCGCCCGCGGCCGTGAAGACGAAGCCGGAGAAGAAACGATTTGAAGTCAGAAAGGTACCGTGTTCCGTCATTCGATCGATCTCTCCTGTGTATGCCTTCATTCTAACTTATTAACTTGATGTAGTGGAATGCTGTTGCTCTGTGGGCTTGGGGTTAGTCGATCATTGATGATCCTTGATTTGCGGACCTGATCGGAGACTATGATACTGATTGCATGTGTTTGTAGATATCGTGGTCGACAACTGCGCCATCTGCCGCAATCATCTTATGGAGCCATGTATGTCGATATCTTTGGGTGTAAAGTGGGCTTACCTCCTGTCAGCATACTAACGAACGCAATAGGCATCGAATGTCAAGCAAACCAGGGCAATGGCGAACAGTGCATGGTAGCCTGGGGAATATGCAATGTTCGTTCCCCTCTCTGTACATCGGATAGCGGTGAATATTATAAATCAGATGGCTGACTAGGATGATCTTTATATAGCACGTCTTTCACTTTCACTGTATCTCGCGCTGGCTCAAGACTCGGCAGGTGTGTCCGCTAGATAACAGAGAATGGTATGCTCTCCTCTTTACATACTTTACAAATCACCATCTGCCTGATACCAGATTAGCCGCGATGGATAATAGGATAATTGCTAACATTTCAATTTCAAAACTAGGGAGTTTCAGAAGTATGGTCATTAGAAGTATCGTTGCCGCTGATGAAGTATTGTGTGTTGTTCATGGGTCATTCACAAATTCAAATGGAGTCACTATGTCTGTTGCTTTTGCTTATTCTTGGTTTTGTTCCTTTACTTGATAATTTACAGTAGCCTAATCGCAACATGCAGCAAGAGCCATGTTGATCGAATATATGCGTTATATATACTTAAATATTGCAATTAAGCTGAACTTCCCAGATGACCTTCCCATAAATTAAAATAAACAAAAACCGAGCCCAGAAACAAGAGATTGGAAAATAATGAATCGAGATAGCAGACAAAAATAAAATAAAATAACGCCTTAAAAAGGCGATCAACATGAATACAGCATTATCTAGTCTGAACTGAAATGTTCTAAATACAAAATAACAACGTGCTTGTGAAGCAATCATGACTTTTGGAGCTCTTCCTCAACCCACTTATCAAGCTCGCAAGGCACTTGGCCATCAAGATATGGCTCCAGAACAAGAAAACGAGTATAGTTGCCCTCAACGTCTTGTATATTTGGCCGATAGACATCCACGGTTGCAGTGTCGCATGCAGCAATGGAGGCAATAGCAATAGTATTCGCCTCCGTCGATGCTAGCTGTGCCGCCAGCGCTGTCGAATTCTGATCTATCTGCTCAGCCCCGACAAAATGCTCGGAAAGATATCGCGTACACTGCGTCCAAACTTGAGGGTGAGAGTATATGCGTTTGATGGTGCTTTCGCCTTGTTTGTCAATTTGCTTTATTGTGGCGGGAGATGCAAGCACGCAGTGGGCAACTGGGACATCGATTCGCGCTATTACTGATGGACGAGGATCAGCAGTGCGTAAGAGATCATAGGTGAGATTCACGGCACCGTTTGTGGAGTTTGAAAACGGGACGACGGCGAAGGCCACCCGACCGTTCTTGAGGGCGACGAAGCAGTCTGGATAATAGACGTAGAATTGTCAGTGAAAGTCTCACTACACTCGATTGTTTTCTGATGTGCTTACCTGCAATTGTCTGGAGAGGCACAAAAGCATACCGTCCGTTGCTATCCTGCTCACGACCAAAGTGCTGGGTTACGGCCTTGGAAAAAAGGTCAGCGATGAGCTCTCCCGTATGAGTCGAGAAGCAGACACGATGAGCAATACCTGCTGAGAATAAGTCCCGGGAGGGCCCAAATACCCAATAAACGCTGAAGCAGTCATAACGCAACTCTTGTGAGCAAACCCGCGAGACAATAGACGGTTGACGAAGAACGACCTGGCTGGTGAAGTAGCAAACATCGGCCGAATTTAATAAAGCGGAGAGCTGAGTTCGCACAGTTCGGGAGGAAGACGAAAAGCTAATTTCAGGGGTCGAAATATTATTCGCATTTAAATCTTTTCGACTTCAGTTTTTCCGGTCGCGCAGCTCATCCTTCAACAACAAGGACATGGCTCTGTCTTTCTCACTGCTATGATATGCTTGTCTGGGAGATAGTTGATATCTGCTGTCTGCTTTCTGGGACAGCAGTCCGCTCATCTCGTGCAAGGATCGTGCCGCGATCGACTGCTGTTTCCTGCACCCGTTCGTTTTCTTACTCCACACCCGCCCGCCTCGAGCGACTATTATTCCCCTCTAGCCTGGACAGAAAAAAATTTCTGTATGGTCCAGTACAAAGCGATCAGACGTCTGTTGATTTCCGATTAGTGCCAAAGCGGAAGACTAGACAGACAGTGGTAAAAGGGCGGGAGACTGGACATATATGGGGAGAAACGGTATGGTGACACATGGGCTTTATGTTTTTTATTCTCAGTCTGACTTATTGTTTTTTGCATTCTAAAGAACCCCTCTCTACAATACCGTCCACGATTTACAGTATTTGGCATTATCCCGAAAAACCGATGGGAGAGTGTAATGCGCATTGTTCTTGCGCCCAAGCAGACTCGCAAGAAGATGGAAACGGCTGTCAGGATTTGGCAAAATGAAATATTCGGAGATCGATTACGAGATATCTTCAAACCATTGATCGCCTCTAAACGCCGTCTTTTAATCCCACAGGAAGACAAAAACCGGATTGTCACAGTTCTAGTTCAGATCGCACACCAATACGGCGCTGACGAGCTCTTTCTCTTTTGGGAATCTATAGCTGCTCTTGACCCGGGCATTGGTGTGATCATTCAAAGATGGCTATTGCCTCACTTTACCCGTGAATTGGCTTACAGGCGAATGTTCTATCAACTTTCAGAGTTTGTGGCTCGCTGCATATCAAAGTACGGTGAATTGGAGGTGCGCTATAAGCTACTGCCAGATCAAGATCCAATCGAGCAGCAAGAGCAGTCTCGTGACACAGACCAGACTCTCAGTACCGAGGATTTCATACACCCCAGTCGCGAGGAGCTCGATGCTCTTCGACTGCATCTGGAAAGGAGTGCTAATAGAGTTGTTAAGTCTGCCCTTGCAAATATCGAACTACGGCGGGGCCTTAAACTCACGCAAGAGACTCACGCCAGCGTCTCATCTCACTATAATTTTGGCGGCTTGATTCTTTTTTTCACTTACATCAAACTTCCGCCGAAGACGAAGTTCGTGCTCCCAGAAGCAACTCATAACGTACTGCTGAAATATTTGGACCGCAGGGAGTATATCCCATTTCTTCTTGAGATGCTGCGTCTAGGCCAGTCATTCAACACACCCATAATGACGCGGTATTTTCAATATATGACATCCAGACGATCAAACAGGATATTGAATGCAGCTGCTATCGATTTCTTCAACGCCTTGGAGGAAAAAAGAGGCGCAGACGGAATCGACAATGGTCTTTCACCAATGGCATGCATATATCTATTACGAGCATGTAGATATGAAGACCTCAACATTGACTTAGTTCTGAGCAAAGCTGAGACGCTTCTTAACGATCCGAATAACTCTCTCCCAAGCTTTTCGTGGTACTACCTCATGACTGCTTACAACAAGCGCAACAATCTGGCAAAGGTCATTGAAATTTTCCGGTACATCAACGACAACAAGCTTCAGATGGAACGCACGTCTAAAGATCAGGACCCATTTACTTGGGACTTCAAGGATAGTACTCCTATCCACTACAGAATTCTCTTTAACACCATGAAGCGATATGCAATGAAAACAGCTGACGCGCAGTATGCGCGTCAGCTGGTGACTGAGGCGACTGGTATTCTTTCGTTAATGCGCAAGGAGGAAATTCCTTATGACAGTGGCATCTTGACTGATTATCTCCATCTGATCGCAACGGAAAGCACTCTCAACTCTTTGATGTCACACTTTGTCATTATATTTGGCAGCGGCCAACTTCTGGACATCGGAATTCTCGTACAGCAAGACGGCGAATTGTTTTTAAATCCAACCTACTTCCAACTGGAAGCTAACGGACTCGGAAATGTGCTTCATGTGGACACACAGGCCTCTGCTGAATTAATGAACACACAGATCTCTGCTGAACCAATTAAGCCGACTCTTGTGACCATTATGATGATTTTGGATATGTGTAAGTATGAGATTCGAGATTTCGAGATTCTGGGGCAACTGGAAAGCGCGGCTTTGAACTATATGGATCGTCTGTTGTCTATTAGTAAGAAAACGCGGGCAAAATTGTTTGCTGGTGATGTGAGCGATCCAGAGCTTGTTCGACTGCGAACAAGAGTGCTCTTCATCTTTGCTCGAGCAAGAGCAAACTTGAGAGGAAGATGGGTTGAGTCAGGAGATTAGGAGAATCTCGTACCAGCTACTAGTAATGCATGACCAATGAATGCCGCCAGATCCTGTAAATTGACTAATAGATAATAATCATAGCTCAGAAGGTATTAGAATTATTCAAGGACACTAATAATAACCAAAAGATAAGCGCACCAAACAACAAAACACAAAAGCACACAAACAACAATCAAAACCATAGAAGTCTTCCGCTTGAAAGCTGACTATTGCAATTTCTGTCCCTGCACAATATTTCCCAGACCAGATCCCATTTTCCCAATATAATCTCTCCCCCAAGATCCCAATAAGACCTTATTTTTTTCCAAGATGTTTTCCTCGAATTCTGATATAGTAGATGAAGCACAGAAGCCAAAACCATGCAGGACAACAAACAAAAGGGTGAAATCAAAGGAAGAAAACAGAAAAGACGGATTGAAGACAGATCAACAACAAATAAAAATCAAAATTCAGGCAACAAAAGAAAATGAATAACATGACCTTTCCTTGACATAAAAAAAATTCCCCTATCCCCCTCCATACACGGTAAATGAAGAATGATAAAAAAAACAAAGCAAAACCCAGACAGGCGCACAAGAAGTATGATATGAAAATGTAGGTAGAGCAACAACACAAAAGCAAACAGAAAACTAGAAAACAAAAGACATAACTCAAACCATGAAAATCAATAAACGACATTTACCAGCATAAATCTATAGCCACCATTCAATAACAGACACTCTCGACAACCTCATTTCCACCGACGTCCAGGAATGTAAACGGATCGTCATCATCGATATTAACCCCTAGACTGTCAAGATCACCAAACAGAGCTTCTGAGCTGCCGTTGATGTCATCGATATCGGCATCAATATCAATATCCATGCTTCGGATCTCGTCATGCGAAGTGGTACTTGAAATCATCTCGTCTCCCTCGTCCTCACCAAAGACGCGTCCGGCACGGGTCGTGCTACCAGATGGAGTACCAGAGGTAAGGGCAGAAGCAAAAATTATACCAGAATCAGCATTGGATTTGCCAAACGGATGAGCACGATGGGTCTTGCCCGCTGTAGTCGAGCAAACCCCCTTCTGCACCAACAGCTCCCGGTTACGCATGAATTCAGCCTCAGTATCCTCTTCGTATGAGTTCTTTTCGGCAGGAATTGTTATAGAAGCAGGTTCAGAAGAGCCGCGATAGCGATAGTTTGGCTTCGGAGAAGGGATCGGAGTAGCTGCTGCAGTTGTGGCGGTGGTAGCAGAGTAAGGAGTGGATACCGGCGATGGAGCGTTTGAGTAGGGTGATGAGGAAGTAGAAGCCGCGGGAGAAGAGGTAGCGAGCGCTGAACGGATAGGGTCTTGTAGTGTGGATGCACTTGAAGAGGAAGCATTGGCCGAGGACACGCCAATATTTGGTTTGATAATGGAGCTGGTGAGCAAGCTGCGCTTGGACTCGGCAAGATCCTTACTGTTACCACCTCTCAATTGCCGTACTGAGGATGTGTCGATTTCTGTGGCAAAAAGCATCTCATCCTCTTCATCTTCTAGACTGGCGAGACTGCTGCGGCGCACTTCCATGCTCTTGGGCTCGTAGGGAACGCCGTCGCCGGTGATTAGTCTGTGGATCATTTCTGAAATCTCAGATTCGGCACGCTTGGAAGAGTCATCGTCGATAAGTATGCTCGACACACCGGTGGATACTGTCGAGTCAGAGAAGTATGCTGTGGACGTAGACGAGGTTATGGAGGAGGTGGTTGAGCTTGCGCGCTCGAGACGGCGGCGAGAAGCTGCGGCTGCGGCTGCGATGGCTGATGCATTTGTCGAAGAGGGCGAGGATGAGTGAGAAGAGTCCAAGGAGAGAGAGTCTGTCCACCAGCTGCTAGTGGAGATGGTCGAGGACTGGGGAAGAGAGAAGACCTCGGGGGAGAGAATGTCGCCCACGTCGAAGCTGGTCGAGGACGAGCTGTCGAGGCCGACGCGAGCGAGGCGAGGAGAGAGTGCGGCTGCGGTTGCGGCTGGTGAGAGAGCCCCAGTGGCGGTGCACTTGCTGCCGACAGGGTTTTCAGAGACTGCACAAAAGCGGTTAGCGTCGGAAGTCTAAAATAGGCATGCAAAAGTTCTTCGGGCCAGGCTGATCTCCTCGAGGTGAGCACGTGTAGTGACAAGCATGAAATGTAGCAGTAGAGCATGTTGGCAGAGAATATTGACTGATACTGCGCAGGCTGAAGAGGTTGTGGGACCAGGCCCTGGAAGATGACGTGGAGGGCTGAGGTCGGAGAGATTGGTGGTGAAATTGGAGTGTGAGCCGCCGCTGTCAATGGAAGTCTCGGATAGATGGAACAGCTAGGAATGCAAACAACAACACCGGCTGAGACAGGCAGCGCGAAGGACTGAATGAGAAAAGGTCGGGATTGTAGAAGAAGAAAGAGACTGAGGCATTGTAGGTTGAGTGACTGTCGATTAGGCAAGTGCGTGTCGATAGCTTGATACAGGGTTGCTGGCAGTGACGCAGTCGAAGTGCGATGCAGCGATCTTCGCTTGGCACCCGCGTGCAGAAAATAAATAAACAAAATGTGCTTGTGTAGATGGCGAAGAAGAGAGAATGCGAGAGCTCGAGGAGGAGGCAGAAGAACAAGAAGGGCATGCTGTGGTGAAGGGGTGATTGAACGGGGGGGGTGGTAAACAGGACTTACTCTTTGCGCGCCGACGTTTCTTTAGGGCAGCCGCTACGGCTTCGGCGGATCGGTCGTGTGAGAGCGTGCTGGCAGGAGAGACGGTCGAGGAAGATGCCAATGAGGACAAAGTGGCCGAGGAAGTCGCCGGGGTGGAGGAGGAGGAGGCAGAGAGGGAGGGCGACGCGGAGGAGGAGGAGGTGGTGGTGGTGGTGGAAGAGGCCGAAGGAGTAGGCGGAGGCACAACTCTGTCTGGGGAAGCGCGCTTCTTCGTCTTTGCTCGCGAGGCCGACGGACGAGGAGGCAGAGTAATTGTCGAGGAGCCTGAAAAGATCGAAGAGGCGACCGAGCCCAGGACGCGAGCGCCGACGGGGGCAGCGGTCGACGGAGTCTGAGCCGGCGCCGGTGCAGGCGGCTTTGGAGCGAGAGTGGGGGGCTTCGGCAGGATCGGACGCAGCGCCGGACGAGCGGCAGCACGCTGGTTGGCACTACCGGCCGCAGACGGCGGAGCAAAGGGCATTATTGCGATGCTGCGGAAGACAGGGCTGGGGAGCGGGGAGGGATTGAGGGCGGTGATGTTTGGAGGCAGGGCGGGCAGACAGAGAGGAGGAAGAAGAGGAAAAGAGGCGCGCGAAGAGACCGCGATGACGCCGGCGCCGGCGAAGTGCCGCTAGCCGTTTCTGGTTTGGGACAATGAGTAAGTGCTTACGTCACGAGGTAAAGCCTTCCTCTGCCGGCTTCGTCTGCATAACCCGCCGTCCCCTGGCTCGGCTAACACGGGACGACGCGTTCCCCGGGCTGCCTGCGCGGTTTCGCGCGCAGAAGACGCGTCTGCGGTCGTCCGGGCTGCCCGCAGAGGCCCTTTTGAATGAACTGTCGAGAGCGGGCTGCAGACGCGCTTCAGAGGCCTCCCGCGCTCTCGAACTGCGCGGAGACAGTGACGTAGTGGCCTAGGGTTCGGAGGCTGGACGCGTTTAGGGTTGCGTCTCGGAGCCGATGGCTCAGATAGGCAACATCACTACACTTTCCTTCCTCTCTCTCGTCTTCTCCAGACCGTCTTTGTCTCCAGCCAACATAATCGTGCCTTGAGCCCTCTTCTCCCCTGCCCTCCCCGCCCGCAATGATCCGCCGGCAGCTCCTCCTCGCTCCGCGCTTTGCGCGTCCCCTCTATCGCTGCTACTCTTCCATCGTGCCTCCTGCTCCGCTCTCCAAAGATGAGATTGTTGCCCGATACAAAGAGAAGCTCGCCCAGGTCATGAAAGAGTATTGTCGCCTCGCCCTTCTCCTCTCTCTCTTACTGCTCCTTTTCTAACCCTTGATTTCTATAGGAAAGGTGCCTCTTCCGTTGATGAGCTCCGCGAGCACTTCAAAGACGAGATCGTCAAAGTCCGAGAGCGCGAGAAAATACCTCCACCTTTCTCAATCAAATCAACCTCTTCCGAGAGCGATCCATCCTCCTCATCACCATCATCGACCGTCTCCTCATCCTCCTCAACTCCGTCACAATCGTCTCCTGCACCCCCTAACATTCCCAAAGTCCCCAAGGCGAAAAAAATCAAAAATTTATCTTCCTTCGTCGACGTCGAAAAACTTGCCCAGCACACCGAAAAGAAAGAGATTGAGCTAATTTGGCGGGCGCGCTTCGCCAACAAGCCTAACGCACTCTGTGCTGTCCTCACAGTAGAAGCCTTCAACAAAATCAGGAGCAATGCGCGACGATATCCGATGTTCATCCTTCCCCTGCCGCGCGATGCCACCAGTGGTCTCCACGCTGTCGAGAATCCTGACGGTGCCTCTGAGATGCAATTCGTTCAATGGACCTTCCCCGAAAAGGACACGGTCCATTGCTTGCTGACTTCTCTGCTCGAGTACAAGCTGCACACCGAATTTGCCCGGCCCCACACTACTCTTATCTTCCATGCCGATCTCGCCGAATCTCATGATCTCGTTCTCCTCAATGGCACTGTCGAGCCCGATATGAACATATCTTCCGCAGACGCCCAATTCCTTGTCATCTGCCTGCAGAAGTTCTACAATCTGGACCCACGCACCGAAACCGATCGCTACGCTCGCGAGAAAGCTCTCCGTCGTCTGTTGCTGCTCGAACTATTCCATAAAGGCGAGGGCTTCAACATAAGCGATCTCATTAACGAGACACAAATGGCCGACTAAGAACCTCTACTACACAGATATCTATCTATTGTACATATTAATACCAATTTAATGAAAATCTTACCCAAACTTCTACAAAATCTCAAACATGAAAGCCCAAATCAGTAACCCTAACATCAACTGTGAAAGTCTAATTTTTTTTTCTTGCCGCTGCTGGCAAACGCCTTGCAGGCAGAGAGGTAAACCGATAGGAAGAAGATCGTCTCTGTTCATATTCCTACATTGCTTTTGTATTCTTTATAACCTCCCCGGTTTTTCTCTGTTGATCAATCTTTTCGGAAGAACTAGCTAGCGTTCATTGTTAGTTCTCTTTTTGCTGCCTTGATCACCGCTCCTTCACACACTACCACCACCTCCTACTTCACACTCCGCCTGTATATACCACATAGCCATGGCTCCCTCCGCCAACGAAGAGACAGACGCTGAGAAGAATATCGAGATATGGAAGGTCAAAAAGTGAGTTGTTTATTGCTGTTCCGTGACAGAAATCTTGCTTCTGTGAAGCATCTCGTCAAGTTCTCAATCAGTGCTAACTCGCGACACAGGCTCATTAAGAGGTAAATTTCTACAATTCATCGTACTGCTCAACATATTCCGTTGATCATGATGACACCGACAAAATGATCTACTATCATACGTTCGATCGGTATTAACGTGTTTTATTCTACAGCTTGGAAGCCGCCAGAGGAAACGGTACCTCTATGATTTCTCTCATCATTCGTACGCGCCCTACTCCCCTTGTGCCTTTACATCTTATTTGTCGCCGTTGAATACATTCATACTACTCGGCCATAGCAATGCGAATCAATACTGACCTCTTCTACTAGCTCCCCGGTCTCAGATTCCGCAGATCGCAAAGATGCTGGCTGACGAATACGTACGATATTGCAGCTTTTTTTTCGCCACTATCTCTCCGCCTCTGACATTGTCTTCCTATAGGGTACTGCTTCTAATATCAAATCGCGAGTAAACCGTCTTTCCGTCCTCAGTGCAATCACATCCACCCAGCAGCGACTCAAGCTCTACAACCGAGTTCCACCAAATGGACTCGTCATCTACTGTGGTGAAATCATCACAGACGAGGGCAAAGAGCGCAAGCTTAACATTGACTTTGAGCCGTTCAAGCCCATCAACACATCACTCTACCTTTGCGACAACAAATTCCATACCGAAGCTCTTTCCGAGTTGCTCGAGTCCAACTCCAAGTTTGGTTTCATTATCATGGATGGTAACGGAACTCTGTTCGGTACTCTCTCGGGAAACACCCGCGAAGTCCTTCACAAGTTCACTGTCGATCTTCCCAAGAAGCACGGACGTGGTGGTCAGTCTGCTTTGCGTTTCTCGCGTCTGCGTGACGAAAAGCGACACAACTACGTCCGCAAGGTGGCCGAGGAAGCTGTCCGTAATTTCATCACAAACGACAAGGTCAACGTAACCGGTCTCATTCTCGCTGGTTCGGCTGACTTCAAGACCGAACTCTCGCAGTCTGACATGTTTGATGGCCGCTTGCAAGCCAAGATCATCAAGATTGTTGACGTTTCCTATGGTGGCGAGAACGGCTTCAACCAAGCCATCGAGCTGTCCGCAGAGGCCCTCTCCAACGTGAAGTTCATCCAAGAGAAGAAGCTCATCCTCCAGTACTTTGACGAGATCGCCCAGGATACCGGAAAGTACTGCTACGGTGTCGAGGATACCTTGAAGGCCCTTGACCTCGGTGCCTGCGAGACCGTCATCGTTTACGAGAACCTTGACGTCATCCGCTACACTTTGAAGAGCTCTACTGGTGAGCCCGTCGTCATCCACGTTTCCAAGGCCCAGGAGGCTACTTCTAAGGACAAGTTCTTGGACAAGGCCACCGGTCTCGAGATGGAAGTCATCGAGGAGCAGCCAATGATTGAGTGGCTTGCCGAGCATTACAAGGAGTTTGGTGCAGCGCTCGAGTTCGTCACCGACAAGTCCTCTGAGGGTGCTCAGTTCGTCAAGGGCTTTGGTGGAATCGGTGCCCTGCTGCGATACAAGGTCAACTTTGAGCAGCTGGTTTCTGACTCTGAGGACGAGTACTACGATGATGATGATGACATTTAAATCAGAATCATGTCGCTCTGTTTGTTCCTTTTCTTTGTCTTTTTCTATTTGCTAGTCTCCTATTATTTTGTGATTTTTCATGGCGCCTTTCTTCTTCTTTAACTCTCTCGATCGGATGGGGTCGGTTTGATTTGCCTTGCCTTAGATAAAAGAAAAAAGGGTGTCTTTTGTTTTGTATCTGTTATTTTTTTATTCGTTCTTTTCAATTCTCCTCTACTTGTTTGCCTTGCCGCAGCTTAAAATTTGGGTTTCCTTGTGCTTTACCGGTCGTCCTCCTTTATATGTGCCTCATTTTTTTTGTTATCACTCTTCTACACTATTTCTTGTGTGTATGTATCCGCGGCTCTTCTGTTAACGTATAGTTTCTTGTTGTTTTTTATATAAGTTATCCTGATATTTTTGTGGTACAAAGAGAAAAGATGAGGATGAGAGGAGAGGAAAAAAGGTCGGCGCGGTCTGTATAGCGGTCAGATTTGAAAAGTACATATCGTGTTTCTTTATTTATGATTAGTAGATTTTATTTTTCTTATTATTATTTTTTTGGTGGGCAAGGGAGAATGTGACTTTGAACGAAATATAAAGAATGAAAGAAAAAAAATTCTAGGCATGCGTAAATTTAACTCGTATATTCTTAGGTAGATCGTAACCGTAAACAAGCAAGATGTAATTTATGATAAATAACGGTAAACACAGTTCATCAGCCACAAGTAAAACGGTCGAAAACCGTTTGACAAAAAAAAAAAAAAACTCGGGACAGGTAATCTGTCAAAATGCGTATCTGAAATCAGGATGATCATCGCCCAAATCATCCCAGCTCTGCAAACGGGCCTCGTTAGCGGCATCACTATCGCACTGCGCATCTTTCTGCCTGTTGCGCCATTTTAGGTACATGACGTTCAAAGCGGTAGCGAGAACACCAAGGCAGAGAATGCCGACGCAGGCAGCCTTGCCGGTTCTGTAGTCGTTATCCTCGTTTCGGAAGGCCTGGTTGCCGCCTATTCCGATCGCCTGCGCGATACTGTTGATCAGCGCAAGAGCTGTTGCACGACGCGTGAAGCCAATGAGGACGACCTGGGTCCAGATGATTACGAGGATGACGGTCGGGTAGATTCCGGCCGTGACAAGGCACGCGCCTGCAAACTTCACCTTGTCGTTGTTGACTGCGAGTAGTAGGATGTAGCCGACTAGAGTCACCACATAACAGATCATCAGAAGGCTGGCGCGTTGCTGAAGTCTATCTGCGAGGTATCCGACGATGATGAGAGTCACAAAGGCGCAGGCGTAGCAAATACAGCTGAAAAGCTGAGCACGCGCAGAAGTGTATCCAAGAGTCTTGATCAAAGACGGGAGGAAATTCTGGACCGAGCTGGTGGAGAAGTGAGTCACGCTGTAGCATATCGTCAACAGCCAAAAGTGGGGTCTGAGGAGAGTGATGAATATTTGCTTGACGCGAATCTTTGCGTCGTCAGCGTTATGAGTCGCGCGGCCTCGCTTGATGGCATATTCAAGTTCTTCCTTCTTGAACAGTCTCTTGGAGAAGAATGTGGGACGGGTAGGGATATCAGGAAGCATGAAAGCAACGAAAAAGCTGAAGCCGACAGGAAGAATTCCTTCAATTATGAAGATCCATTGCCAGGCATAGTGACCTCCAGAATAGGACAGACCCTTCTCGATACCATAGGCAATCAAGCCATTGAAGGAGCTAGCAAGTGCAGATACACTGTAGAAGATACCAGTTCGCAGCGACATCTCATCGTAGGTGTACCAGAACGAGAGGTAGAAGAAAGCACCTTGGATCATGGCTTCTGAGCACCCTACCAAAAATCTCAATCCAGAAACTTGCGAATAGTTCTTCGCATATGCGATGCAGACAGTGATGATACCCCACACCAACATGGCAGCACTAAATTGGAATGGAGGTCTCAACTTTCGAATGAAAAGAGTTCCCACAGGCTGAAAAACAATATATCCAATCTGAAACCAGCTAGTGATATTGGCATACTGCTCAGAAGAGATACTGAGCTTCTCTGTCATGCCAGCTACTTTGGCATTTCCGATATCAGAGCGATCCTGGATTATGTATTGTTAGACTTAGCAGAGAAGATTGGAACAGAGACAAGAAGAACGTGCCATGCTTGCAAAGAAATAGATAAGCGAGAGAGTGGGGAGAACAATGAGATCAAGCTTGAGCAGGAGGGAACGCTGGAGCTTGGGATCATAGTCTCCTGAATCCTTGAGAGTAGTTCCAAGGTTCTTGTTGGAGGGTTCCTCAAACTTCTCGTTGATGGAGTCAACATCTTCGATTAGCTGGTTGCCCGGAGCCGTGTGGGTAGGCTTGAATTCGCCGATGGTAGCCATAGTCGATGGCTAATAATTCGAGAACAAGGCGTTCTCTGGGATTTCTCTCGCGGAGTTTGAGAGTCAGGCAGATGATGCTTCGTATGATACAGTACACCAGGTATCGAGCGAGGTGGAACGTAGCAAGAGAGAGGGATATATAAGTCGAGGCAGGATCAGAAGGTCGGCGTATGAAAGCTTTGAGTCAGGTTGAGTGAGCAGTTCTACCCCGCAGATGGCAAAAGTAAAAGCAGCGATACAGCACAGTTGATTTGAGACACGAGGAAGTATTAAAAGTTTAAGGTATCGTGAGGTGACGTTTTCTCCGAATTCTTCGCTGCAGATGGAGGTGATGATTTCGGAGTACTATCGGACATGGGGGACGATCATGTGTTAAGTCCAGGCGCCCGGGATATATTTGGAAAGAGAACAAGGAGCCGGCTCGAGCGACGCGGCAAGTTGGCTCAGACGAGACAAACAACGAGCGGTACCATTGCTGAAACAGATTTAAGGTAAACAAAAAAGAGGGGAACGAGTAGGAGCAAAAATAGAAGCAATGACGAGGTGCCTGTGCCGCTCGGTGTTGAGATGTTTACTCGATCGGAGGCGTTGCAGAACGACGGCGCGGCACCAGAGGAAATTGGTAGCGAGCTCGGCTTCCTATCAAGCTCAGCACTACCGAGCTTGATAATGATATGCTTCAGAGAACTGTGGAGCACAATGCCTTTGGATTGACGTTGTTGCTACTGGTCGATCATCAGACATATCCGAATACACACTAGTAGCCCGCGTGGTGCACGCATGGCTCGCCTATGGGGATCGACAGTAATAACGATAGCACGGTACGCACAGTGCTGCTATTATGATTTGGTGCAGATATTTCTTCCAACTGTGAATTTTTTGAAAAAACAAGCACAAGCAAACAAGAGCGGGAAGGTAATATGAGTAAATGATATGAACTGTAGAGAAGACAAGAGTTGTGGATTACTGGATCGACTTAATGAAAGGTCTTGGTGTTGATTTATTTGATTTATTTTGATTATGTCATCTCTTATATAGCTTTACCTCAAACCACAACAAGGGGGTTTGGTGACCCGCAGACGATGAGGCTCACGACAAACTTTGAGTCCGAGTTGGGATTTGATTCTTCGACACTCCGCCGTCCCCGAACAATGCTAAGCATTCAGTAACCAAATATTGTTCCATCAAAGTCTCTTCTGCCTCTCGATCCGAACTCAGAGATATAAATCAGCATTGATGCGTCCAGGTGGACCTCGAGTCGTCTTTTCGCAGTCGCGCTACGCAAACTCATCTGGGTCTTTTGCACGTCGTCGAAACGCAGCCATGGCAGCTCCTTACACCCCGGAATTGAACAAAGTGCACAATGAAAAGGTTCCGATTCAAGACTCACTCATAACCGAGACGTCGGAAATGCAAGATGAGACAGCTCGTGTGTGCGAGGGACTGATTCTCGAAGGCCAGCTGCCGAATCTCAACCGATCTGCACACGTTGAATTTCTTCAGGTTCCCCTCCAGAATCGGCTACCAGCCAGTTTCACCGGTCTAGACGCTTCTAAACCATGGATCATGTACTGGCCGTTGCAGGGCATATCTTTGCTTGATCCTTTGGCTTTGTCCCCGGCAGACTCTTCACGCGTCTCCGCTTCAGTGTTTGCGTGCATATCGCCCACCGAGGGAGGTTTCGGCGGCGGACACGGTCAGATTGCGCACCTGGCCAGTACTTACGCTGCCCTCAACGCGCTTGCGATCTCACAGGACAGAGAAGCATGGAGTGCTCTTGACCGCAAAAAAATCTATGGATATCTGTTGGCGATGAAATGCGAAGATGGTGGGTTCCGCATGCATCATGGCGGGGAGGAGGATGTGAGGTAAGAACAGCACTCTGTTTCTTCTTTAACATAGCAACTAACGAAGATATCACAATTATAGAGCAATTTATTGTGCACTAGCTAGTGCGGCCCTTCTCAACATCATGACCGAAGAACTGGTGGCTGGAAGTGCAGAGTGGATATCGAGATGCCAGACGTACGAGGGCGGTATAGGCGGAGCGCCTGATAATGAAGCGCACGGTGGATACGCGTTTTGCGGACTGGCGGCTTTATGTTTGCTGGGAAATCCGATAGAAACAGTCCCGAAATATCTCGACTTGGCTAATTTCATCCAGTGGCTGTCAGCGCGACAGTATCAACCGGAGGGTGGGTTTTCGGGACGGAGCAATAAGCTCGTGGACGGGTGCTACAGCTGGTGGGTCGGCGGATGCTGGGCCATTCTGGAGGGATTGATGCCAGCGCTGAGGATGGGGAGCGACGTGATTTGGAGTAAAGCAGATTTACAGAAATACATACTGTGCTGCTGTCAAAGCGCCAGTGGGGGTCTGCGCGACAAGCCTGGAAAGTAAGAGGCAAAAGAGTGGATTTTATGATGCTCGAATGTACAGCCATGCTAATTGATTGCTTCTAGGTCTGCCGACTTTTACCATTCATGCTACGTTCTCTCGGGCTTGTCGGTAGTACAGCATCGGTACAAGATCTCGCCCCAGAAACGGGAGAGTAAGCTTGGCGAGTGGTCGCTGATGTGGGATTACGAAGCCGAGGACGAGAAAGTGGTGAAGGTTGTAGCGGCGAACGCAGTCGGGCCGCTGAACCCAGTGCATGTCCTGCCATGGGGAGTCGCGGAGATGATGCACGACTTTTATGCGAAGCAGTAGCGGACAGCGGGATTATTGGGCGAGACTGGCAGAGGCGGACCTGGATTTGGGACATCACATTTCAACAAGGGGCCGTCACACCCAACATTCTATCACAGCGACAGTATGTGTTGAGCTGATACCACCTCACGTTACCGGGAAGATAGAGTAAGTGAGAAGTGAGCAGAAAGCCTTGCTGGCAACGTACAGTGGAGGGCCGGATACGTGCGGGGCCCGGCTGGAGGAGTTGCCGGATGCTGTTGCTGCTGCCGTTGAGGGTCGCGAAGTGAGAAATGAGGAAGGGTGTATAAGACCTAACCCAATGGTTACGCCAGCTAGGCTCCGTATATGTCAAGTCGAGTCAGCCAACCAGCAGGAGCCAACGGCACCGAGAAGAACGGTGGAGATGCGTACGCGTATAGAACAGTCCTAATTGACGACTTCTATTCCAGCAATTGTAGAGATGCAGACCAGATAACAAAGCAGCTGCCGTTGGTGCGAACGTTGTGTACGTTTCGCCTCACCAATCGGGCAAAGTTTCGATAAAATTAGCCATTACTGCCGCTGCCGCGAGCCACCCAAACCGCGCAGCAGCAGCCGTGGCAGCGCAGCGCGTTCGCCACAAACGCGCGGTGGGGCAGAGGACCAGGCAGCGCTCGCGACCGGCTCGCGGGACCGGCAAGAGAGCGGCGGCGGTTTGCTGCTTGTTGATTTCTTGAGACCGATATTAGCTGGCGATGCCAGTTTCAGGCTCGACGGGCGACGCGCGTTATTTCTGTTGCGGGACAGGGAGTTGCTTAAAATGTAAAATTACTCTATTTGGACTAGCGCCGTTTGGTGCAGCACGCAGAGTTGGGTTTGGCTTTGTGCTGCGTCGCCGCTTCGCCTTTTCTTCGTCCTCCTTTCCTTCTTCCTGTCCTCTTTTCTCCCCATCCTCCCTCTTCCTCTCTGCCCCATCCCTCTCTCTTTCTCTCTCTCTCTCCCATCTTCTTCTGCAGTAATGGACAAGGAAAAGAACGACTACGCCGTCGAGCTCCCCGACTCCGCCCCTGGCTCGCGGGGATCCAAGCCCAAGGCCGTCGTCGCCGTCGTCAACTCCCCTCTCATCTCCATCTTCTCCTACTGCGGTGCTTCAATTCTCATGACCACCACAAACAAGTACGTCCTTTCGGGATACTCGTTCAACCTCAACTTCTTCCTTCTCATGGTCCAGGTATGTGCTTGTCCGCCTCGTTTTCCTTGCTATGCGCCTTGCTCCCTTGCTCGAGACGCGACGCGCCCCCCGGCTCCACGCTTCCTCTCCCCCCCACATTCTATTCACTCAAACTAACCATCATTCCACTTCAATAGTCGCTTGTCTGCGTTGCTGCCATCCAGATTTGCAAGTCCATGGGCTTCATCTCCTACCGCGACTTCAACATGGCTGAGGCCAAGAAGTGTATGTTGCACCCCTAATCTCTTAAATCTCGCTTGCCTTGTTCGCTAACAGCCCTTCCTCTCTCCAGGGTTTCCCATCTCGACCCTTCTTGTTGTCATGATCTATACCTCCTCCAAGGCCCTCCAGTACCTCTCCATCCCCGTCTACACCATCTTCAAGAACCTTACCATCATCCTCATCGCCTATGGTGAGGTCCTCTGGTTCGGTGGCTCCGTCTCCGGTCTTGCCCTCTTCTCCTTCGGCCTCATGGTCCTTTCCTCCATCGTTGCCGCCTGGGCTGACATCCGTGGTGCCATCATGGCCTACGGCTCCGAGCAGGGTGCTGCCTCCAGCATCGCTACCCTCAACGCCGGTTACCTGTGGATGTTCATGAACTGCTTGTCTTCCGCCACCTACGTCCTCGGCATGCGCAAGCGCATCAAACTCACCAACTTCAAGGACTTTGACACCATGTTCTACAACAACTTGCTCTCCATCCCCATCCTTTTCATCTGCTCGCTTGTTGTCGAGAACTGGTCGTCCGAGAACGTTTCCAACAACTTCCCCACTGAGCAGCGCACCTCGCTCATCGTCGCCATGGTCTTCTCTGGCCTCTCCACCGTCTTCATCTCGTACACTTCGGCCTGGTGTGTTCGTGTCACCTCCTCTACTACCTACTCCATGGTCGGCGCTCTCAACAAGCTGCCCATTGCCCTTTCTGGCCTCGTCTTCTTCGACGCGCCCGTCACCTTGGGCTCCGTCTCGGCCATCTTCATTGGTTTCCTTGCCGGTCTCGTCTACGCTGTTGCCAAGATCCAGCAGGGCAAGAAGACTCCTTCGCTCCCCACCGCTAACAGCAACACTGAGCGTAAGGACTAAGCATATCTTATCTATTATCACATCTAAGTGAATCTATGGGAAGAGAATCTAGCGTGTATATGTGTGAATGTGTGTGTGTGTGTGTGAATTTGCGTGAGTAAGCTAACGTGAAGTCACTCGTGAACAAGAAAGAGAAAGAGAGAAGAGAGATAGAGACTTACGGGTCTGTGTATTGAAAAGAGTCAAGTATGCGAGTGATTGTGTCATGAAGCATTAATCTTTTTTTTTTCTTTTTTTTAATATATACATATATATCTTGGTTATCGCTTGGTAGACATAGATCTCTGCACTTGCTAATATACAAATTGCTAACTAGAATTTGAGCTCCTTCATGAAATGATTTCTTCACGCTCAGTAGACGCTAGTCGTACAGTTATTGTAATTATCACAAGGCAGGTCCTATCTCTTCAAAAAATGTCGTTCGTTCGATGCGCATCAACGCCGCTCGCTTATGAGGAAAATCAAACTCCTTCAGCTTCGTGAACCCAAACTTCAGAAGATACCCGATCAGCTTCGAGTTATCTGCTCTTGGTTCCAGAAAGACATATCTCGTTCGAGTGTCTTGTAGGAAGAGCATATGCACGATCGAAGTAAGCCAGGCGCGGACGATGTGCGGGCCACGCAGGTTCTCATTGCCGACTAGAAGGTGGAAACCCATGTCGTATGGACCTACCTCTCCGTCGGTGTAGGGCGCAAGATGATCTTCAAGCACGTAGTAGATCTCTGCATGATGTCAGCGCCCATACTCAAAATAAAGAAAGAAAAAAGACTAACCGGTGTATAGAAAGCGCTCGCCGTCGAGCGTGCCGATGATCTGCGTCGCGTGTCTGTCCTTCTCCATACTCTCGATGTAAGGAACATGAACGGTATCCTTTGCACCCTTCATGCCCCAGAACTTTGCCACACGGTCATTGTTCATCCACTCCGAGAACGCATCCACGTCAGCTGAATCACTTTTCTGCAAGACATGGAACTCGAGCAGTTTCTGGAGCGAGGGTATGTAGCGCGCATACCGCTCTGTGTGTAAATGAGTTGGGCGAAGAGGATGTCTGACTGTTGACCCCGCGCTGTTTTTGTCGGTCACATAGAAAGTGGGGATTGATGATGCTGACGAATTGCTCAGAAGAAATCCAGACAGCGGACCCTTTGACGGGATATGAACCTGATAGAAAACTGAGCGAAGACAGAGCAGTCTGTCGTCGGAGTTAGCCTGGATCAGCCCGCTTGTGAATATATCAGAGCTGAGGCTACTGTTGACAGTAGCCACCTCCACCGATGAGGTCTTTGGGTACAGGTGAAAGATCGAAAACAAAACCACCCAAAGCCCAAATGGATCACACTCCTCGAGGAGAAGCAGTTGACTCGTTCCTGGCTGGAACGAGAACTTGGCATTCTCCAGGACGACGTCGTCTCCAGCTCTTAGAGAGTTGAGATACTCAGTCTCACTGGTGAAGTTGATGGTGATGATCTGGCCCGAGGGCAGCGTGAGCACATTTTTCGAGTCCGACATTACAGAAATACAGGTATATTTTACTGCTTAAACAAGAAAACAAGGAGATTAGAGACCTGTCAGGGTATTTATACAGCACGGATGGCCGCCGGCTGAGGATCTAGAAGCGCAGCCGAGTCGCGGACTCAGTTTCATAACCGAATTGAGTTTTCCCTGTTCCCAAATTAGCCCTTACCCTCAGTGACCTTCCAGTGTCACCCAAAATAATAAAAAAAATCCACAGCCAAATTAGTCAATTTGTTAGTGCTCTCGGTGGTTTCAAGCAAAAATCTGAGAGACAGGCGACTCCCGTTACATGCTCTTGTTCTCACGCACAAATTCATCCGTGTGCTCGCAATTGATCAGAAAGGGACTACAAAGATCTTTGTTTAGTGCAATGGCTTCTACAGAGGAGACGCAGGTCGCGGCGGCACCAGTCGTGCGTAAGGAGAAGGAGAAGAAGGAGAAAGTGCAGCAGTACACTCTCAAGACACCAAAAGGAACAAAAGGTAGGTGGTATTTTTTATTACAGCACGAATCGTAGACTGATGCTAATCTACGCAACAGACTGGGCTGATAAGGACATGGTCCTGCGCACACGTATCTTTGACACCCTCACTGCTGTCTTCAAGCGTCACGGCGGAGTCACCATCGACACTCCCGTGTTTGAGCTGCGAGAGATCCTGGCCGGCAAGTACGGCGAAGATTCAAAACTGATCTATGATCTTAAGGACCAAGGTGGCGAGCTGTGTTCGTTGCGGTATGACCTCACAGTGCCGTTCGCGCGATTCTTGGCCATGAACCCCACGATCCAGTCCATCAAGCGGTATCACATCGCCAAGGTCTACCGACGTGACCAACCGGCCATGACAAAAGGCCGTATGCGCGAGTTCTACCAGTGCGATTTCGATATTGCGGGCACGTACGAGACCATGGTTCCCGACGCAGAGGCTGTCGCGATCGCCGTCGAGGGCCTCACCGAGCTCGGCATCGAGGAGTTCACAGTCAAACTCAACCACAGAAAGATCCTCGACGGAATCTTCGCCGTCTGCGGAGTCCCCGAAGCTGATGTGCGCAAGATCAGCAGTGCAGTTGACAAGCTCGATAAGGTGTCGTGGGAGGATGTCAAGAAGGAGATGGTGGAGGAGAAGAACCTGCCGGTTGAGGCTGCTGACAAGATCGGCGAGTACGTCAAGCTCAAAGGCGGTAGAGATCTTATTGCCACCCTAGAATCTGACGGGAAGTTGATGGCGAATGAGTCCGCGGCCCAGGGTGTAAAGGATATGGTGCTGCTCTATGACTACTTGGATGCCTTCGAAGCCTCGTCCAAGGTCTCGTTCGATCTGTCGCTTGCTCGTGGTCTCGATTACTACACCGGAATTATTTACGAGTGTGTGACCACTGGCTCCGCGCCACCACCCGCCCCCACGGAGGAAGCTGCTAGCTCCAAAAAGTCGTCTAAGAAGTCCAAGCCCAAGGATGAGGACGAGGATGTAAGTGAATATGTCGGTATCGGATCCATTGCTGCCGGTGGTCGCTATGATGAGCTGGTGGGTATGTTTGCGCAGTCCAAGAAGAAGAGCGTCATGCCATGTGTTGGTATTTCCTTTGGTGTCGAGCGTCTATTCTCGATTCTCAAGGCGAAAGAGGATATGTCCAAGGTCCGCGCGACTGCTACCGACGTGTACATCATGGCATTCGGTGGTGGAAAAGAGTGGACTGGTTTCCTCCCCGAGCGCATGAAAGTTGCGCGCAGCCTGTGGAAGGCTGGCATCAGCGCCGAGTATCTCTACAAGTCAAAGCCCAAGCCGCGCCAGCAGTTCGAGGCGGCGGATAAGATCGGTGCGCCATTGGCTGTCATCCTCGGTCAGGACGAGTATTCACAGGGCAAGGTCAAGGTCAAGCAGCTTGGACTTGGAGACAATGCGGACGAGGGTATAGATGTTGCATTGGAGGATCTGGCCGAGTACGTCAAAAAGCAGCTTACGATAGTCTAGAGAAAGGACAAATAATTGTACGTTGAGTTAAACTTTATGCGTGCGAGTCTGTAAACCTTATAAGATATACACGCCCGCGTGGTCGGAGCTTTGCGGCTCGTATTCGCTTCCGCGATTATATCTTCTCCATCTTGGCCGCCATCATAATCGCCCCTCCTCCTACTGTCGTCAACAGCAAACAGTAACCCGTCCCGCATCCGTCTTTGCAGACCATGAACTGACAGACACAGAAGAGATTATACAGCAAGCATATTTGCTGAAGAAACCACACAGACCGCAGCGCAATGGCTCCAGTAGGTCGGCAAACGCTTGCTCTCGTGCGCAAATGCTTTATTGTCTTCTGGCGAACCATTGCTGGCTCTGTCTTCCGCGCCTTTGTATTGCCGGTCGTCTTTGCGTTTGCTATTGTAAGTAAATTGTGTACGATTCTGCTAATGCTTTTGATAACTGACAATTGTGCAGTGTCTATCTCAATACCTGTTCGCTCCATCAGGGCGGTACGGCATCGAGACCCCCTATCCGCTACGATCTGTCGCTGAAGTGCTCGGCTCTCGCGACTTTGTCTATCTCTCATCTGAGAAAGGAGGGCTCACTGACGAGATTCGCAATGTCATGGACAAAGTCACCTCAGGCCTCCCAGCTGACCAAGTCATAGCTCTCGACGACCCCGTCGATTTGCTGACAGTCTGTCGCCAGTCTCTGCGTGGCGCCAGTAACTGCCTAGTCGCTATCGAATGGCACGTTTTTGACTCGGAAAACAAGCTGTACAACTACACAATCCGTGCCGACGCAGGCTTGAACCACATCAACGTCAAGACGCACAACACAGATGCTCAACGCTACATCCTACCCACGCAATGGGCACTCGACGCAGCCTTGCTGGATCTCGACGTCGACGATGCTCCGCAGACCATGGCTTACACCACCCGATCGCAAAAACAACATGAGGACGATATCCGCCAGAACTTTATGACTGCGTTCAGAAATTACCTTTCTGCAGCGCTGTATCTGTCAATGATCGGCGTGGTCTATCATCTTACTGGCGAGGTTGCTGCCGAACGCGAGCGTGGAATCGCGACTCTTATCGACAGTATGGGGTGTAAGCCTATTGCTCGTATACTTTCTTTCTTCACGTCCTTTTCTCTTTTCTATCTACCCGGTTGGGTAGTGTTTGGCGTGGCCACTGGTTCCTTGCTGTTTAAGAAGAGCATGGGCATCCAGATCGTCTTCCACATTCTCAGCGGCTTTTCCAACGTTTCCTTTGGCCTTTTCCTTGCGCAGCCTTTCAAGCAGGCCCAGTTTTCCGGAATATTTGGTACCGCTGTCTGTATCCTGCTCGCAGTGATGAGCATCGTCCAGAGAGCAGTTGGTCCCCATAATGCTGCCACCTCTGGTGTCTTGGGGTTTATCTTTCCACCCATGAACTACGTGTTCTTTTTACAGGAGTGTGCCAGATTCCAATATGCAGAGAAAGCCATCAATCTCTTGCATGTGCCCCCAGAAGGCTTTGTCGCCCCGGGAATATACTGGATCGGCTCCGTCGTTCAGACCTTTGTATACTTTGGTCTGGCTCTAGTCGTTGACAAGCTCCTCTACAGCATATGCCCGCGCGTCGTTGACACTCTTGAAGACGATCGGGCACTCGCACTGCAAGAACTAAGCAAGACATACTATCCATGGACATTCAACGGAATGTTCTCAAAATCAAAGAAACTCCCGCCCGTTGCTGCTGTGAATTCGGTCGACCTCAATTTCAGAAGAGGAGAGATTTTCTGCTTACTTGGTGCTAACGGTTCGGGTAAAACGACTAGCTTGGATCTTATTTGTGGTGTTCAAAAACCTACCTCTGGGAGAGTCGTCTTTGGGTCGCAATCAAGCTTGGGATTCTGTCCACAGAGGAACGTCATGTGGGACTTGCTTACGGTTGATGAGCACGTCAAGGTATTGACCACATTGAAGAATAACGACAAGCTGTTAAAGTCCGAGTTCAAAGAAGAAGTTGACAGCTTGATATCGGGCTGCGATCTTGTTCCGAAGCGAAGTGCCCTATCTAAAACACTGTCCGGAGGCCAGAAGCGCAAGCTGCAGCTTGCAATGATGCTGGCGGGCAACTCTGAAGTCTGCTGTATCGACGAGGTCTCGTCTGGGTTGGATCCGATTTCTAGACGAAAGATTTGGGATATCCTGCTTGCTTCAAGGGGAAAGCGGACAATGATTCTCTCCACCCATTTCCTAGATGAAGCAGATCTTCTTGCCGACCATATTGCGATCTTGGCCAAGGGTGAACTTAAAGCTGATGGATCCCCTGTCGAGTTGAAGCAGCGTCTCGGGTCTGGATATCATGTATTCAGCATTGTCCCCGCGTCTGGTAAAGAAACAGTATTCGACCTGACAAGTGCCTCGCAAGCTGTCTCTCTTATCACGCAGCTGGAGCAGGAAGGTCATAAAGAAATCAGAATATCCGGACCACAGCTCGAGGACGTATTTCTGAAATTGGTTGCGGATTCCGATAGCGAGATCAAAGAACTGTTGAACGAAAACGCAATGTCTTATCAAGACGATGGAAGTACCGAGCAGGAGTCAATCGGAGAGAAAGGAGGCGGAATTTTCAAAGCCGTCAGCGCTAAGCAAGATTTTGAACTGGACCTGAAGGGCGGTCAAATCATTGGTTTCTGGGGTATGTTTACTTTTTTATTTCAAGTCATATTTATATCATCTCTCTAACAGATTCATCTACAGGCCAGCTGAAAACTATGCTCTGGAAACGGGTAATTGTCACACGAAGAAACCCGATGCCTACGATTGGCGTTATTCTTGTGCCGCTCATAGTCGGTGCAATTAGTTCTCGCTTTGTTGGCAACTACGTACCAGAAACCTGCGATGCTGAAGATCAAGTCAGCAGAAGAAAGACATATAGCTTCTCGCTAAACTTAGCTACTGCGTCTGTGAACATGGTTTTGGGACCACAGAGTAGTCTCTCGACTTATTTGACTGGTATTCAGTCGTATCTGGGGATTTATTACAGCAGTGCATCTGAGGTCAACGAGAGCATCAACAGATTTGCGGCTAATCTCACCATGGATGATTCAATCCCGTCCTTTGTCAACTCAATCAGGACAAATTACACGACAATAACCCCCGGAGGACTATATTTGGATTCACCAAGGACTGTCGCGTTTCGAGCCAACAGTGCCAACAAGATTGCGCAGAGCGTCGATGGAGTCATTCTCGCGCCAATCATGCTCAATATGTTTGATAACATCATTGGCAATGGAAGCGCCACTATAATCACCGACTATTCACCTTTCCAGTATCCATGGACTCCATCCACTGGTGACTCGCTCTTGTTTGTCGTCTTTTTCAGTTTGGCAATGAGCGTATTCCCTGCCTTTTGTGCACTGTACCCGACAGTGGAAAGACTCCGCCATGTTCGTGCGCTGCATTATTCCAACGGATTGCGAGTCCTCCCACTGTGGGTTTCGCATCTTTTCTTTGATTTTGCTGGAATCCTACTTGTGTGCGTCATACTAGTTGGCGTCTTTGCCGGCCGCAGCTCTGACTGGTATGGGCTTGGATATCTATTTGCCGTCATGATTTTGAATGCATTCGCTTCGATTTTGCTGGCATTCCTATGCTCAATGGTGTCGCTATCTCAGCTCTCGGCATTTGCAATGGCTGCCGGGTTCCAATGTGCCTACTTTCTGGTGTACATCCTTGCATACCTCTTTGTTGATGTGTTTGTCTCTGCACGCCGAGCGGATACTGTGATTCGTATTGTGACGTATGTGCTCTGCATATTTGCTCCGGTAGCCAATCTTGTTCGTGCAATATTTCTGTCACTGAATCTGTTTGGGTCCATGTGTCACAACAGTGATACGTACACTTACTATGCCGATATCAGAGCCTATGGACAGCCTATATTATATCTTGCACTTCAGAGTATCGTGCTGTTTGGAATTCTGATATGGTGGGATTCCGGACGATTTCGAATTCATTTCCAGAGGAAGTTCAAGCCCGCCGATGCTGAAGAGAAGATGGCGAGCCTGGACGAGGATATCTACACCGAGATCCAGAACGTTGAATCACCGAGCAATCCTGGTGGCTTACGGGTTGTACATTTATCAAAGCGGTTTGGAAAATTCGTGGCTGTCGAGGATGTGACATTTGGAGTAGCGCGTAGCGAATGCTTTGCGCTCTTGGGTCCCAATGGCGCAGGAAAGTCTACGACCTTCAATATGATCCGCGGGGAGATTGCCGCTTCGAGCGGTGATGTCTTTGTCGAAAATACGAGTGTGAGCAGCGACCGCGCACGAGCAAGAACATTCCTAGGAGTCTGCCCTCAATTCGATGCCATAGATCGCATGAACGTGACTGAAACATTGGAGTTTTATGCACGTTTACGTGGGCTGCGCAGCGATGACTTGGTGCACAATGTTGAGAATTTGATTTATGCTGTGGGACTGAGTAATTTCCGAGACCGTATGGCTGCGAAATTGTCCGGCGGTAACCGGCGCAAACTCTCGCTAGGAATTGCTTTGATGGCAAATCCCTCTGTGCTTTTGTTAGACGAGCCCAGTTCCGGCATGGATGCGGCGAGCAAGCGTGTCATGTGGAGAACATTGGCTAAAGTATCGGGAGACCGCAGCATTCTGTTGACGACGCATTCGATGGAGGAGGCAGACGCGCTTGCCTCGCGAGCGGGAATTTTGGCAAAGAATATGCTTGCGGTTGGCACTTGTGACCGTTTGCGACAACGGTACAGCAACGCCTTTTTCTTGCATTTCCTGTGTAAAGGTGGAGTTAGCTCCACTACCGAAGAGATGAATGACATTTACGAGTGGGCGGTAGCGAAATTCAAGGGCCATGCTGTTCAAATTCAGGATATGATGTATCATGGCCAAGTCAGGGTTGCGGTCGAAGGTCGCGGAGTGGACGGCGATATATACCGGCTTTTGGATATATTGCGTGCGATTGAGGAAGATCGGAGTACCCTCTCGATCGAGTTCTATTCAGTCGCGCAGGCGAGTTTGGAGCAAGTGTTTTTGAGTATTGTGGGTGCACATGATATTGCTGAAGAAGGATACGCTAATTAGTAGCTCTGGCTCTTTTGGTTTCGAATTCATTTTGTCTGTTATTTTTACGTTATTTTGATTGACTTGTTTAGTTTTAGCACGTTGGTCCTACTGGAGTTACACAGCATGAACACGTAAAACCCAACCCAGACAACCCAGAAATCAATGAACGAATAAAGCAAGTGAGAAATCGAAATACAAACACAAGTAGAAAAATAAACTAGCTATAATAAAAAGCATCAAGAGGGGCAGACACTAAATCATCAGTAAGCCGCTGCAGCTCGCCAATCCATTTGCGCATCGTAGTATCAAGTCGTTTCTTATCATCGGGGAAGTTCTCGCTGAGAGTAGATTCAAGCTCGTTGTAGCGATTGCGTATTGATGTGAGTGCGTTATCAAGATCTCGGGCACGACGCTCGCGGGCGCTTAACCGCATTCGTTCAACTAATTGATCAGGGTCGAATAGGGCGAGGACTTTGTTGTTTTTGACGATCCTGTCGGACAGAGCGAGGTCGTGGGAGTGTCCGGCCTCGCCTGTTCTGCTGATTGAGTAATGAGCTGGGTTCCAATCTCGGTCTAGATGTCTCACAATTTTGATCTTCATGGGACACAGCAGGGTCTCTCTTGGTCTGCGATGGCGAGTGCGTTTGGATGAGCTCGAGGCGTGGTCGGAGGTAGAAAGGTCTTTTTGTGGGGTAGTGGCAGCGAGCAGAGCAGCGACATATTCATCAGAAGATGCCACAACTGCGGGATCCACAACAACCTGCGGAGATGTGACATCGTCGTCATTGAGCGAGTCTTGTCGCTGGTGCTGCTGCTCCGGTTGCTGTGATGCAGAGTCGATGTTCTCGTCGGCGTGTTGCTGCTGCTGGATGTTGCTGCTTTCGGCGTTATTCTCGGATTCCTTTCTTGCCGCTTGCTCACTCTCACTTTTGTTCTGGTCCAAGTCCTTCTCTCTGCTATTTTGCTCTTTTTTGTGGCGACCCCTCTGCGTCGCGTTCACATCGATGCGGCATTGGTAATAACTTGTCTGTGTGCGCACTGCGTCTTTCGAGTTTGTGCTCCGACCATGGATCTTGTACACGTTCTCCATGTACGGGAAGAAAGTGTCGTACTCCTCCGCCGTCATCAGGATCTCATCCTCGACGGAGAACAATCGCTCACGCCATGCGCGGATCTCCTCCTCAGAGGGCGTTGTAGCCATTCGTTAGGCTCGCGGCTTTCTATTGTTTGCAGCGCTGTTGTTATGCGACTACTTAAGTGGAAGAGAGATTAAGGTGTCTTCTGGAAGCGATGAACCCAAATGGGAAAAGCGCCAAACCTTAAGCGCGTTTGAGTTGTCGCTGGAGCTCGAAAACTCCCCGCGAGATGAGCAAAATACTGTTTATTAGACGACCTCACTGAATTATAGAAGCAGCTTTAAAAGATGGCACTTCGCAGGATCCGTGATCCGCTTTCAAAATTTCAGCTCAAACTGCTCTGCGAGACGATCCGACCTCATCTGCCTACTTGCCGATTCCCGGATTTTGAAATCAGCGCGTCGCCTGTTCCCGTTCCCGCAGCATGGCACTTTGTTTATTTCCCTTCCCTGCACAGCGAATTGATGCTGTATTCTGATGGCTACGATCCGGTTCTGACTGATGTTATGCTGAATGGGCTCTCCAAAAGACGATGGCGGGGTGGCACGATCAGCTTCGCCCATAAAGAACCGCTTCTATCCGATCATCCTTCGACATGCACGATATCTGAAGAGGTTTCAGTTGTGAGAAGCACAAATAGCTCCAAGATTTCTCCGTTAGACTGGGAAAAAGTTGATGAGCACACAGTGAGGACAATGATGACTGATGGGGGCGAGAATGCGTCTGTGGTCGAGCAGCGGCATCTCACTTACCTTCCCGTCGGGGGTCTTGTCGTGCCTGTTAGTCAGAAGAAAATCAAAGGTATGATCTGCAACACGCTCGAATATCTTGCAGTACACTTCATCTGACTGATCTCTGTTTGGTAGCGAATTACACCCCAATATTTGAAACAAATCTGACCCCTTCCCGCGTGCTGGTCTTTCGCTTCTCGGCTCTTACGTTCAACGCCCACCGCATCCACTATGATCCACTATACGCAACATCTTTTGAGGGCCTACCTGATGTGATTTTACAGGGTGCTCTATCTCTCACGCTTCTTATGTCCTGGATTCAGTTTGACGATAATGTTGCGCAAGCGCTCATGATCTCTGCTGGGCTGCCCAATCCGAAACGGATCGCAAGCATACAGTACTCATGCGTCCAGAATATTTTTGTCGACAAAGAGATCCGACTATGCCTTGCACCTCGCAAGGGTATGCCTGGAAAATATAGAGCATGGATTGAGCAAGATGGCGGAGTATGCCTGAAGGGGACTATCGCGGTCGAGTAGCGGGTGCGAATGCATTAGTCATCGATGACTCACTATACATCACGTGTAGGATCAGTTGACTGTAATGGCTGTTGATACGGCACAGGGTAAGGGCCGAGGATGTCCCGCCACCCGGCAGCTAAAGCTCACGAGTCTCGCAGCCAACTCTCCTTCCTTCCCCACCCCATCCTCATATTCAAAGCTATGCAGATCTTATACTCGACTCAAATTCCTTCAGTTTTTTCTCAGTTTATCAAAGGTTGGTATTGATCTACTTCTCTATCTCTGTTTGACTCCTTCAGTCATGCTAACACGATGTCAAGACCTGTTTCGTTTGCGGTAGTTTGAATCTAAAATCTTCCAGCCGATTCCTCGATATATCCTCAACTTCCTAGTCGATATCTAAATCGCCTTACTTTCCGTTTCCTCTTTATTTCATCTTTTTTTCTTGTTTTTCTACTATTTCTCCATGGGTGATACGAAAACAACTCCACCTGCAGCAGCATCTGTTTTGAATGACTTTCCATTCCTCTTCCGCAAGGCCAGCGACATCAAAGCTGCCGCCTCAGCACCATCTACAGTCACAGTAGGCACCAAAGATGCCTCTCTCTCTACCCCAGTAAAGTCCGCTGGGTCCCGTTCAACTAAGGGCAAGCAGGCGCCCGATCCCGCCAAGGCCTCTTCAACTGGCACTCGCAAAAGTGCGAAGAAGCCGCAGCAAGCGAAGCAACAATCACATCCATCTCAGGCACAGCAGGTGCTCACCAAGCAGCCTGCTGTTTCAACACCGGTGCGTTCTGCAAGCAATGCCTATGCAGGACCTACTTTCCACGCCTCTCCCGCCCCTACCGCGATCCCGGTTCCCAAGTTCATGTCGAGCTCGGTTCCTACGGGATCTTCGATGGACCAATACTTTACCTCCGCAGCTTCAGACACTGGATCTAACGGGTCTGTTGCGTCTGCACCTTCTCCTCTATCATCAACTGCTTCTTCGCCTTCCCTGAGCTTGGCGGCCCCTACGTTTGTGATGGATGAAGGTGAACCTGCTCTTGTGCAATCTGCACCGCCTTCGCCATCTCCTGTCAACATCCCGGCAGCTCCAGCTAAAGCACCTGCACCCCGTCCCTCCAACCGGTTTGGGGATAGTGTTGTCTTTAGACCACGCCGGAAGGGTGGTCTCGTGCAGCAGGATCTATCGCAAGACTCGCCGATGAAGGAGAACTCTCCGGTGCCAAAGGAGGTCAAGCCGACAGTGGACACTGAAGCCAAAGGCTCATCCCGCCGAGCGCCTGCTGAGTTCAATTTCCTGTTCCAAGAGAACAACCGTGCCACACACACATCGGCACACACATCGGCTGCAGGATCGAAGGGAATGAACCGCCCTGTCTCTCGACGACTTGGATTCATTCACAATCAAAGCGGAGTGGCGGTGCAGACGGCAACTGTTTAATTTATAATATTGCTTCTACAGTTATGGGTTATTGGATTTGTTTATCGGCGTATTGTTTCTTAGACTTCCAATTATCTATGTATTATTGCCTGCGTGTTATTCCTTTGCTTTGCTTTGTTTTCCTTTTTTCTTTTGTTATCTTTTGTTTTGTTATGACTCCTGTTTCCGTGCTAGCTCAGTTTGACTATGGCGGAACGTCAAGCATATATTTTGTTAACTTGCTTGACTCAAGGCGGATCAGATGTTTATATCTTCACACATCCATGAACCGCCGCTGGTTTCTTTCTTTCTATTTTACTTTTCTTTTGTCTTGTTGCTACAAGTTTACATTCCGTTTTTACATTGTTTGAAGCTGAAAGGGTATTGTAAGCTTGGAGTTTTGTGGGAGTTAATCCTTTTCTATTCTTTATCTTTTTGGCATCTCATGATTGTGAAACTACTTTTCTTTGGGAATGTTATGTTGCTAGCGCGATATGGGTGTTGCAGATTTGCTTTTATTTTTGTTCTTTCTGCTTTTGCTTGCTTTGCTGTTTTACCTATCAGAGAAAACCTACAAAAAAATACATAAACTGAAGTATTTTTCAGCTTCTCTTTGTTCACTCGAAGAGTAGTCTGGAAGTACTTTTTTTTATAAAAACCAAAAAAAAAGATATATAGATTTTATACACGATGCAAGAATCAGCGTCCTAAGGGAATACTAAAAATAAATGTGATGATGGTGTAGGCTTTTTGCTTCTCTCGACTTAGACCTGGATGGTGGTAAGGTCGGGGGAGACGGTGAAGGGAGCATCGACCTTTGCCTCGATGTCGGCAGGAGTAAGACCCTCCTGGACCTCGATCAAAGTGAGACCGGTCTCAGGGCTGACGTCGAAGACAGCCATGTCGGTGATGATTCTGGAGACGCACTTGACACCGGTGAGGGGGAAAGCGCAGGTCTTGAGGATCTTGGGGCGGCCCTTCTTGTCGACGAGGTCCATGACGACGACGACGCGGGTCTTGTCGGGGTTGGCGACGAGGTCCATGGCACCGCCCATACCCTTGACGCGGCCGGGAAGACCCCAGTTGGCGAGGTCACCGTACTGCGAGACCTGCATGGCGCCGAGGATGGTCATGTTGATGCGGCCGGAGCGGATCATGCCGAAGGACTCCTCTGAGCCGAAGAAGGAGGCACCGGGGGTGACGGTGACGGTCTCCTTGCCGGCGTTGATGAGATCAGGGTCCTCGGAGCCAGCCTTGGGGTACTGTTGTGATTTTGATGTTAGTTAAGCAATTGAGGAAATGAAGGTTGTTTAAAAAAGAGAAACAGAAGACATACAGGACCAAGGCCGAGGATACCGTTCTCAGACTGGAGAGTGACGGAGATGTCAGAGCCAATGAAGCCAGGGGCGAGGGTGGGCATTCCGATACCAAGGTTAGCGTAGTCGCCGTCCTTGAACTCCTTAGCAGCGCGGCGGACGATACGTTCTCTGCGAGCGGCCGAGGAGTTAGGATCGGTCTCGAGAGCGGAAGCCGAGGAAGAGTCGGTGGGCTTCTCCTTTTGCAGGGTGAGGATCTCGATCTTCTTCTCGGCAGTCGACTGGATGATCTTCGAGACGTAGATTCCGGGGAGGTGGACATCGGAGGGGTCAATTTCACCGGGCTCGACGATGTTCTCGGCCTCGACGACGGTGTACTTTGCAGCTCTGCCAAAGGCGCTGTTGAAGTTGCGGGCAGCCATGCGGAAGTAGCAGTTTCCGAGGGTGTCGACTTTGTAGGCCTTGATGAAGGCGACGTCGGCGAAGATGGAGTTCTCGAGGATGTAGTTCTTGCCGTCAAACTCGCGAACCTCCTTGGGCTGGGTGAACTTGAGGACGTTCTTTCCGGTCTCGTCGTAGCGGACGGGAAGCTCGCCGGTCTGGACCCAGGTACCGTAGCCAGCACGGGTGTAGAAAGCAGGGATGCCGGCACCGCCAGCACGGCATCGCTCAGCGAGGGTTCCCTGGGGTGTGAGCTCGAGGTCGATCTGGCCGGTTAGGTAGAGATTCTCGAAGATGGCGTTGCCGCCGATGTAGGAGGCGATCATCTTGACGACCTGGCCGGACTCGAGGAGTTTTGAGAGACCGGAAGAGGCTGTTCCGGCGTTGTTGGAGACGGCGGTGATGCCCTTGACCTCGGGACGGGCCTTGAGGGCGTCAATGAGGGTATCGGGGACGCCGGAGAGACCGAAGCCGCCGCAGAGGAGGGTGATGTCGGGTTGGATGGGCGCGACGGCGTCCTGGGGGGAGACTACTTTTGATTTAGGGTGGGTCGAGAGCGATCTGAGCTGGACGAGAACGGCGACGGCGCGCGGGGCGCAGAGGGCGGTCTTTGCGGCCCTGGCGGCGCCGAAGGGGACGATGCGGGAGATGAGAGGCATTGAGGGGGGGCGAGGGGATTGAGGTGAGGAAGAGGGTGGGAGGGGAGGAGAAGGAGGGGGGGAGGAGGGATTATATAACGAACAATGGAAAAACTCGGAGGAGGCAGAGTTGCAGCGGGCGGATGTGGGGACGAATTTCGTTGCTTTCGTCGGATAAAAAGCGGTCGCGCTTCCGTACTTCCGCACCCTAACCCGATGGACCCCGCAAAGATTAAGGATGTTTATTTATCTACAGCTACAGGAGAAGAGAGTATCATGAGCTCAGTTCGCGACAGACAGAGAGGAGACGGAGGATATCAACTCGGGCGTGTCTGATTGTGACTGTGGTGTGGTTGGGGCCGTGGTGGAACTCGAATTGGCCGGGGTGCTCGAGCTCGAGTGCCTTGAGATGGTGAAGCAGTTCGTCGCCTTGTTCGGTGTTCAACAGAGCAGATAGCGAATGATGTTCGGTTCTGGAGTTCATCATGAGTAGTTGGAGGATGTTGTCAAAAAACGGAGTCAGGTCGGCTTCTGCTGGAAAAAGCTCGGACGAGGAGGAGGAGGAGAGCGAGAGCTGCTGGTGCTGGTGCTGGTGTCTGGCAGCGAGGACTATATCGAGACTGCCGATGCTGATGCTTGTGGGCTCCAGGAACTTCTTGACGTGGAAGTAAGGCAGATAAGTAAGTACTTCACGTGCTATCGGCTGCTGCAGTTGGCTCAGTGCTTCTTGCAGCGTTGTGAACTGAACGACGAGAGAAGGGTCACCACCACTGCTGCTGCTGCCAGCGCTGTTCCTGTTCCTGACAAAGTTACTCTTCACACTTTTTTCTAAACCGCCTTGTTCAGCAGCACCAGCCGAGCTTTGATCACAGTATGGACCCCAGCAAGATGGCAGCAGTCTTGCCTTGATGAAGAACTCAAAGACGGCGGTTGAGCAGATGATGATGTCCGAGATCAGGTTGAGCCGGTCGATGGACTTGTCTCTTGATACCCGGCGAACGACAGACTCATCTGCACCGTCTCCGACACCCGCAGACAGACCACAAGAAACAACAGAACAGAGCAAGAAGAAAGAGCAGAAGACAGAAATGAACCTCATCTTATGTTCACCACCGAGCAGGTCTGCAGCAGCTCTGCCGTTCGCAGGTGGCCCGGCAGAAACCCTAATCGGCCGAATACATAATTATTAGCAATCCAACTCCAAGTTAGTCCGTGCGACTTTATTTATTTATTTATTTTTATTTATTCTTATTTAATTGTTATTGTTTTCTTATCTTCTACTACTACTCTTCTCTTCCTACTTCCCCTCAATCGCAGCAACAAGAATCTTCTCAAACTCAGCAGGCTCCTGGCCGCCGTGGATCTCGAGGTCCTTGCCAATCGTAAAGTGCGGAACTCCTCCGATGTACCGGTTCTTCGCAGACTCCTGCTCGACCTTCCTCGCCCCCTTCCGCTCCTTCAGATACTCGTCCAGCTCCGCCGCGTCCAGTCCCTCCACCGTCTTTGCAATCTCGACAATCTTCTCCCGCTCAAAGATGTTCTCGCTCTTCGTGAAGTACGCATCAAAGAACGCGAGCATCAGCTCTGTCTGCTTGCCCTTCTCCCCCGCGTAGACCTCCGCCTCGTGCACGAGTTTCGTAGATCCCACCACCGCCTTATCGTTCAGCGGCGCAATCGCCGCTCCGACCGCTGCTGCCCGCTGCTGCAAGTACTCCTGCATCATCGCAAACCGCGGACTGTTGCCAAACTTTTGCTCGTACAGCTTCCTCTTCGACATCACCGGCATCGCCTCTGGAAACTCCGGGTGCAGCTCAAACGCCTGCCACGAAACTGGGAAGCTGTACTCTGGATAACGCTGCTTCACCGCCGTAATCGCCCGGTTCAGCGACGAATATCCAACATAGCACCACGGGCAGATCGCATCCGACACGATAGAAATAGGAATAGAAGGCATTGTTTCTTTCTTCTTTGCTTTCGTGTTCCTTGTATCGCAGATGTTATTCTATTCTGCAGCACTGATAGCAGGGAGCACATCAATTATATATCCATCAGTCTGATTATTAATGCTCCCCGATTACTAATCTGCCCCTCCTTAATTTGGACTCAAAAGTACCTCCCAGCAGTCACGTGAATTCATTCCCATGCCCTCCCTCTCCCGCTCTCCCTCCTTCCTTATCGAACAAGGTCACCCACACGCACCGCCCACAGCAGCAATGCTCTCAAACTTCCCTTCCAGAGGCCTCCCTCTCTCGCAGAACACCTCCTCCTCTCCGCTTCTCTCCAAGTCGTCCTCCAGACTTTCATCCGCCCAGCGTCCTAAACGCCAGAAGCAGCTTCTCGGATCCAGCGGTCCCCGCAAACTCACCCTCGCGTCCTCGACCACCGACTTCTTTCCCAATTCCGATTCTCTATCAGAAAAATACTTCAACTCCACCTGGCTCGCACTCAACTCCGCCCTCGACAATGTCTTCCACGACCAACCCATCTCGGATTCCTTCGAGGCTCTCTATCGCGGCGTCGAGAATCTATGCCGCGTAGACAAAAGCCGCAGTCTCTGGGAGAACCTCAAGATGCGCATGACGAATCACATTGCATTCGACTTTGTCAAACAGAGCTTAGAGCCGGCCGTCAAGTCGTCGGACTCGGCAGATATGGTCAAGCTCGTGGTCGATAAGTGGCTCAAGTGGACCGCTCAGCTCAAAATCGTCCAAAACATGTTTTTCTACCTCGATCGCAGTTACCTCCTCTCCTCACCCAATGATCTCTCCATCATGTATGATCATCTCTCCGATTTGCTTGGTTTCTGTCTTATTCTAATCTCTTCTATAGTGAGACGGGCTACAGCTTGTTCCGCAAGCACATAATCATCGACGGCGAGATTGGTGAACCCTTCTTCGCCAGCCTTATGTCCTACTTTGAACTGCACCGCTCTCATAAGCTCGAAGACACCAAACTGATCGCTCTCGCCATTGATATGATTTTCAAACTCGACGTCTATCTAGCCAATTTCCACGTCCGCTTTCTTCACTCCACCCGCGCTCACTACCATGACCTCTCCGAAGCCAATATCGAATCGATGCCCATCCCCGACTATCTCAAACTTACAATGTCGGCCCTTGACTTCGAATCCGACCAGGCTACAACTTTCTCCTTCCAGAGTACTACCCGCGTCGATACCGTCGCCGTAGTCAAGGAAGAGATGATCAAATCCAAAGTCGACATCATCATCAGCCGCGGCTTTGACGACCTCGTGGACGCTGAAGACACTCAAAGCCTGGAATACATGTACCAACTCTTCACCCAGGTCAAAGAATCCAAAGCCTTGCTTACCGCTTTTGGAGAATACACCAAACGCGAAGGCCTCAAACTCGTCATGGATCCCGCCAAAGACGCAATCATGGTCGCCTCCCTGCTCGCGTTCAAGGCCAAGCTCGACCGCATCCTCGCAGCCTCGTTTGCCAAAGACGATGACTTTAGCAACGCCATGCGTGAAGGCTTTGCCGACTTTATCAACAAGCGTCAGTCCGTACCTGCTGAGATGATTGCAAAGTACGTCGACGAGCTCCTGCGCGCTGGTAACAAGCAGATGGACGACAAAGAGCTCGAGACGCGCATGTGGGGCGTCCTCATCCTCTTCCGCTTCATCGAGGGTAAAGATGTCTTCGAAGCCTTCTACAAGCGCGATCTCGCCAAACGTCTTCTGCTCAACCGCTCTGCGAGCGACGACGCCGAGCGCAATATGCTTACCTTGCTCAAAGACGAGTGCGGTACCTCCTTCACCCAGAAACTCGAGGGCATGTTCCGCGACACCGAGATCTCGCGCGACTTTATGGCATCCTTCAAAAACTCAAAGTACTCGACCGCAAAAGAAACCGGCATCGATCTCTACGTCAACGCGCTCTCGCAAGCCTTCTGGCCTTACTACCCCGACACCACCCTCGTCCTGCCCCCGGAGATGAACACCGCTCTAGAGTCCTTCCAGCAGTTTTACTTCTCAAAGCAGACCGGACGCAAGATCTCCTGGCGCCATGTCCTCGGCCACTGCGTCGTCAAAGCGCAGTTCCCAAAGGGCAAGAAAGAGCTCAGCATGAGTCTTTTCCAGACCGTCGTGCTCTTGCTCTTCAACGACGTCGACGATGGGAAATCGCTTACCTACGAGCAAATCAAAACCGCCACCGATCTCGACGACAAAAATTTGACCCGCACGCTGCAATCTCTAGCCTGCGGAAAAGTCCGCGTGCTGAGCAAGGAACCCCGCGGCAAAAACGTCAATCCGGGCGACAAATTCGCAGTCAACCTAAAGTTTGAAGATAAAGCGTACCGTCTCCGCATCAACCAGGTCCAACTCAAAGAAACCCCTGAGGAGAACAAGGAAGTGCACGAGATGGTCAAGCGTGATCGCGAGTACGAGATCCAGGGTGTCATCGTCCGCATCATGAAGACGAAGAAGACGGTCAAGCACGTCGAACTTATCCGGCAAACGATCGAGATGACTAAGGAGAGAGGAACGCTTGATCTGAGCGATATCAAGAAGAATATCGAGAAGCTGATTAATAAGGATTATATGGAGAGACAGGGGGCGGATACTTATGTGTACCTTTCGTAATCGTCTTGTAGTATTGCAGATGTTTACTTTTGTTCTAGTTCAGTTTGTTGATCTTTCAGTTCACCTTGTTGATTGATTAGGAGTAGAGGAGTATGAATGTATTTCAAATATACCGTCCAAAATAATCAACACCTTATGTAAATAGTCTGCAGTTACTCTAACTAGTAGGGTGTTATATCATTTCAGCAACACTTCTGAAGTCTGTATGTCTACTCTACAAAACCACTGCTTAAGAACCAGATATAAAGCAAAGAGAAGATGGATTTATTTTTTTCTTCTTTCTTGGTTTTTCAATACGGTACCGCCGCGCGCTCTTGATACATCAAATACATAAACGACTCTGCTCTCTGCTAAGAAATATAAAGAAACGAAACAACACAACGGTAAAAAAGAATAGAAAAAGAGACAACACAACAACATACAAAGCAATAAAGTTATCGAAAAACAAAACAACATATAAAGCAACAACATCACAATAAAACAACACAACAGTAAAAAGCATGACAGAACAACAGCTTGTCAGCTCAGCAGACCACCATCAGAGCAGCAGATACAGAAAAACAGAGACAGTAAAAGCGCGCAAAAGCGACTGGTGCCAGGATTGGGAAGAATGCATTACGCATACTCTTGAACAAAACTATGATGCCCTGCTCAAGAGTTATGTGGGACTCTGCGACTCTCGAAATCGCCATACCCACTAAAACCCGACTTCACCCAGAAGGCAGTCATAGACCGCCCCCGTATTGGTGGATTGTCAACGTTGCGCTTGAACCGCTTGGTCGTGCGGACTCTCCTCAACAACCGTCGCCTCGGGGCTCCCGTGCGACGGCGCAACCTACCAGTGCATTTGTTGAAGAGACGCGACAACGAAGACGTTTTAAATCCAATGAGCAACCTGGCTAAAGAAGAAGCTCATCGGATTGGCCGCCCTGACCAACCGCGTCCACCCTGACCAGGCAGGATCCTCGGCGCGTACATGAGACGGCCACGCAGAGGGACCGGGCCGACAACGGAATTGTAGTTCCTTTGGGCGAACTCACCCGGTATCTGCGCGGGCAGGCCATATACCAGACCGCTTGGTCGAGTAAGCTTCGCTCTCCCTTTCTTCCCTCGTATGCATGGCACGACGCCCGCTCTTGGGGGGAGAGCAACCGCGGATACGGACCGGCAGTCCTGACCGGAATAAGCAACTCCCCGACTTTCTCGAGGTCCTGCCGCGAAAAGCCTGCCCTACCTGTCGTGATATAGGCTACTCCTAGAGAACGCTACCTGGGTATTATGCGACCCTCAAAGGCGCGCTATCTGTTCCAGTGATAGCCACCCCCAGAGAGTGCTACAAGGCGCGGTGTAGTCTGCTCTCAGTACGAGAACGCTATCCACGCAATGTGGTTTCCCTGGAAATGCTCATGGAACAGTGCAGTCTACTTCTTTGAGAATGCTACCACTTCGGTATATGCCACCCTCCAAGAGTGCTACCTGCGCAGGATGGGCTGCTCTCTGACGACTTCACGAGGTACCATGCATGCGAGAGAAAAAAGGAAGATCAAAACATACCCTCATCAACCTCCGCCGGATATTGTTGCCGCCGAGAGAGAGCCGGGATGCCGATAATTCCGATCTATTGCTGGGAAATAGATCAAATCGCTGCGGTGGCACAGGAGCCGAGAACCTGTGCCGGGGGAGGAAGAAGAGAAGGAAGAGGCGGGCGGCGCCTAAATGTGCGGATCGCAGTTCGGGCGGGCGCGTGTCTGATGCAATAGGGTTTCTCATTTGGGCCGAAAGTAAACACACATCTGACGCGCCGCCCGTTTCGTGACAGCGCTCGAGATTCCTTTCAGCAGTTTTATCTCTCAGATTTGATCGGATACATGGTCCTGTTGAGACATGCTTTCAGTCCCTGCGTCGTCAGAGTGCAGGTTCCCAGCAAGAAGAGCTCATCATGACTTTTCTAGACCGTCGTGCTTGCATTTCAACGACGTCGACGGCGGAAAGAGAAGAACGTTTTGTTTTATATTTGGATATAATTAGGACTCTAACTACAGACTTTCGCAAAATGTTTCGGTGCTCGGTTTTAATTCTTCTGTATAATATACACCTGTAAAGCAGAAACAAGGCAGGGTAGCTCGCCGTGAAATAACAACAGCTTAAAAGATACACTCCCTGTGTAACAGTCCCGAAAAAGTTGGTAAAACGGCATATTATATCGTAACATCTGTGATAACAGCCTGAGTCTACTGCTCCACCAACTCTTCGGAACATAACTAAGCGTAAACGAAACGGGCATCTCAGTAGCTATCGAGGTATGAAATGCCCCTTATTCAGGTTTACTGATGCCTCCCAACGCTGCTTGATAAAATATATCTCGAGATCTTGTAGATGTCTCTCTGTGAACGCACAATCAAACTCTTTACAATCAGCTGGGATGCTCACAGAACGTCAGACAACTAGTTGTAATACCACACCCCCCCCCTCCCCCCTTCTCGCTCTGCATGCCTCTCAACTGAAATCGGCCAACATACCCTGTACTATAACCCCTCTGCTCCGCGCACACTAATCGCATCGCACGCATGCGATGATACCTAATCATACGATCTGTAAAATTCATTGACTATTAGTCGCGACTTCAAAATAATTAAACAGACGCGACGCGTCAAAGTTAATTTTTTTATAACCCTTACCACACAACTAGAATTCGTAGACAACCTATATTATTGCGGTGAGTAAACCGAAGGAGAGATAGCGGAGCAAATGTGATGAACGACTACTTACTGGCGCGCTGCATCTTCTGCATCCTCATCTGATATTAGCTGCTGTGGGCACGGGATCTCATTCCCGGCAACCACAGATTCAGGGGAGCTGACGCTTTCACGTTAGCAAATGATGGCATATGCTCTAGTGATATGAAAGAATAAGGATAATACATACTGTTGGCTGATCGACTCCCGGATGTGATGCTGGAGGCTTGCGGAAGAAGACTCTTCGAGCTGATGACTGGAGCGCGGGAGTTTCTTGCGTTTATGCGACTCGAGCACTGCGTCTAGGAATTCATCAATCTCTTCGTAATTTGGTCTGCGTGGATCAAGTTCTTCCCCATCATCAGTGGCTGAGTTAGGCTGCACGTTCGACGTCGATAATGTTGAGTGGCGTCTCTTTGAGAGATGAATGCTGGGGCTATCGTTGTCTTCGCCCTCAAGGGAGTGCTTGCGCGATGTGGAAGGGACAGAAGCTGAGAAGACTGAGTCTTGCGATGCCTGCTTCTCTTCGAATGCTATCCCTCGCGCAGGAATAATCGAGCTTTCTCTGCGTTGGGTCGAGATCCCTATCTCTGATATTTGTCGGGCCAGAAGGGTTCCTGACTGGACCGTCTTTCTCGTACCAAGGGTAATATGACTGTTTTCAAGGGGTGAAGCGCTCTGCGACGCGTTCGATGCGGGCACCACCGGGCGCATCGACTGAGTCGCTGCAGCCTTCAAGGCTTGCTTGCGAAGCGGCACTACCGCCTCGACTCGGCGCTTTGACTGAGACGCTCTCTGCTTCCGATGTGTTTTGCTGTCCGCTACCTGTGGAGTCCGTGGCGTTTCTGTCGTTTTATTGTTTGTGTTCGCTACCTGTGGAGTCTGTGGCGTTCCTGTGGTTCTATTGTTTGTGTTGTGGGCCGTCACCACCGGACTCGCCCGAGTCGACGTCAGCTTCATGGATGGGCTGCTAGCTGGCACTGTCGGACGCGTTGGCGTCATGAATGGGCTGCTGGTCGGAAACACAGGGCGCGTAGGCAGAGTCGATGCGGACCGCCAGTTGTTGCTGGTCGTTGCCGCCATTGGCCCCAAATACGAAATGGTTGGATACGGCGGACGCATATACTGAGCCGCCGTTGACGTCATAAATGGGCTGCTGGACGGAAACACACGGTACGTTGACTGTGTCGATGTGGAGCTCCAATTGTTGCTGGTTGTCATCGCTGAATACGTTGCCGGAGTCACGGTTGGCCTCATATACGGGGTGGTGGGCCGACGCGTTGACTGAGCCGCTGTTGGCGTCATGAATGGGCTGCTGGTTGGAAAGACACGCGGCGTTGACTGTGTCGATGTGGACCTCCAGTTATTGCTGGCTCTCGCCGCCGGACGGGTCCCCTGGGTCGATGGTGCCTTCATGTTTGTGTCGCGGCGCGGTCCTGTGCTGAAAAGAAAATCGGTGATGGCCGATCCTTTGGCATTGAGGGGCGATTCTTCTTCGTCCACTGTGTCTTCCCCTTCGTCGCTCAAATTATGGGGGCGTCTATTCTTGCTGTACTCCAGCAGAGCTTGATACGGACGTATATAGAATTCAATAAGAGCAACGCGTACTCCAGTAGGCATCTCGGGATTGTCAACCTCGAATAGGTGTTTCCAGAATGCGGGGTCTTCGCCGCCGAGAAGCATGACTATGAGCGCGGCAGCGTGCATCAACTTCCACGCGACTGATGGGTCATACATTTCTGGAGTGAACTTCTTAGGACGGACAGCGAGCAACGCAGGAATAAGAGTCTCGACGATCTCAGGTACTTCTGAAAACATTGAGAGTGGTAAATTTATTATTTGGCAAAATGCTGTGGGCTGGGGGATGAAACTGTTTACTATGAGGAGGGAAGAGAAGACGGAAGAGGGAAATTAGGAAATGGGAGGGCTTTGTTATGATTGTAGTTCCGCCACCTGGTCAACTTAATATTCCACCATGTTTACTGTTACACAAGACTAACGCGTGTGCTCGCCGATGTTTACTGTTGCACAAGATTACTGTTACACAAGACTTACAAGTTTACGGTTACACAAGACTGACGCGTGTGCTCACCATGTTTACTGTTACACAAGATTACTGTTACACAAGACTGACGCGTGTGCTCATCATGTTTACTGTTACACAAGAATACTGTTACACAAGCTCATCAATGTTTATTGTTACACAAGACTCACGCGTGTGCTCACCATGTTTACTGTTTACTGTTACACAAGACTCACGCGTATGCTCACTATGTCTACTGTTACACAAGCTCACCAATGTTTACTGTTACACAAGACTAACGCGTGTGCTCACCATGTTTACTGTTACACAAGGCTAACGCGGGTGCTCACCATGTTTACTGTTACACAATACTAACGCGTGTGCTCACCATGTTTACTGTTACACAAGACTCATGCGTATGCTCACTATGTTTACTGTTACACAAGCTCACCAATGTTTACTGTTACACAAGACTCACGCAGTTTGTTTACTGTTACACAAGGCCCACGCGTGTGCTCTTCATGTTTACTGTTACACAAGTTTACTTTTACACAAGACTCGCGCGTGTGCTCACTATGTTTACTGTTACACAAGTTTACTCACGCGCTCGCCATGTTTACTGTTACACAAGTTTACTGTTACACAAGCTCACCAATGTTTACTGTTACACAAGTTTACGGTTACACAAGACTGACGCGTGTGCTCACCATGTTTACTGTTACACAAGTTTACTGTTACACAAGACTCACGCGTGTGCTTACCATGTTTACTGTTACACAAGATTACTGTTACACAAGACTCAGGCGTGTGCTCACCATGTTCACTGTTACACAAGATTACTGTTACACAAGCTCACAGATTTTTATTGTTACACAAGACTCACGCGTGTGCTCACCATGTTTACTGTTACACAAGTTTACTGTTGCACAAGACTTACACAAGTTTACTGTTACACAACACTCGCGCGCGTGCTCTAAGCCTTTTACTGAATTAATCTCAACAACAGCTTCTGTTCTGGATAAGATCATCGTGAACATCAGACAGTGGAGGACCGCGGATGGGATCCTTGATGCCAGATCCGGAAGGATGGTTTTGGGTGGGTGAATATCAGATAGTCTGCTATGGAAGCTTTCTGAAGACTTGTTTACTTTTTGCCTTTCCAAACCTAACTCGCACAGAGTCAAACGCGCTATTCAGACGCGATTATTTTGCTCGATGTTTGTGGTTGCTGAGACATCAAAACCAATTTCGAGGAAACTATAACTGAATACGGAAATAGACGAGCTATCTAGTCTGCGCGAAGAGCGATTAGCCTGGAAAGTAGGTTGCTCAGGATACGCGAACAGAGCGCAGACAACGTGCACAAGGCCCACTATTTCCGGTTTGCGAGCTACAGACATAAATACCCGATCTCGGAGTCACTAAAGCTGCTCGAGGGTTTAAGGAAGACTGTACTGGGGTTGTCAAGCGATGTCGCTGAAAACACACGCAAAACAGAAGAACGTGTTGTAATTGTTTAGATCAGTATATCGCGTCGTTAATGCGTTTGGTTTTGCCATAACTGGGTATTTACTGATGTTCTCGCCGATAAATTAACTCTTTCATAGCGCGTTTCTCACTTCCGAACGCGTCGCCCTTCTGCTTTCTTAGCTATCTGCCAATTTATTCTGACATTCTGCACTCATATGCGTCCAATTTTATCTGGGATTGCAAACTATCAAGAATGATTACGGCGTTCGTTGAAATCGACAAAGAAGTTGACTTCCTCTGGGTTTCTGCTATGTCTTTCTCACTCGCGCCCACTCATTGAGCTTTGCTGCGTCACTGTGCTGTTTTCTAGAGCCTGCTGTTCAAACATCGCCCAGAACAAGTCAAGATGATCTTTAAACCGCTGATAGCTGCTAATGCTCAGGATCTGTGCTGTTCCACACTGCGACTGCAGATGCGCGTAACGTGTAACAGCTCGTGCGACAAACACACAGTTGAGCCGCACACTCGCTTTCTGACATCCTCGGCAACGATTGAGCGCGATGAGACACCAGAAGTGTGTTATTCTGTCTTTCTGCATTTCTGTATATGACACGAAGTAGATTAGATAAGTTATACGAATACACGAAATTCAGCAAACTTGAATAAAATCCAAAAAGGGAAGCGTGGGGCCGGAGATCATGGAATAATTCTCTCTCATTCGTCCATTGCGAATCGGCCTGGTCGGTCTGGAAAGCACATTATAAGCTCTCGCCCAGTTCCCGCCTTTCTTCCTCTCTTCCTCTCCTCACCGCCGTACAGTGTCCCCCTTTCACCGTTTGCTCCAAACCGTGAAGTCTAGCTCTACCGCAATCCAACTTACAGACAATCTTCCAAGCTTCCCTGTGCCTCTCATCGCTGCCTCTCTTCGTTTACCTATTCTGATTATTGAAAGAACGGATCCCGAATCCGAGAATATTCGGAATAGCTGGCCACCATGAGATTCGGATTCAAGCTTACCCCCACCATCCTCAACCTTTCCTTCTCCACCGATCCCCAGGACGTCGCTGGCTCTGCGCATTTCAACGTTCTGCAAACTCCTCAACGCAGGGAGCCTCAGTTCATGTACGACAGCGACGTCTCCTCCTCCTCCTCCTCCCCCTCCTCCTCTACAGTCCCCAACGCTGAAGTTGACTCGGACTACAACGACAGTACCTACGCTGACTACGACTTTTCTCCGTCATCTCTTGAGGTACTCACCGACGACAGTATCACCGAGGAAACCACCGGTCAGCCTGACGCGTCCGAGCTCCCTATCAGCAACGAATACTGTGCTAGCTACGGCAGCACCCACGTCAGCACGAACAGATGATTTCAGACAGCGAGACGGTAAGTTCTTAATCCTCCTGCCCTATTAACAAATCTCAGCTAACAGTATGACATCAGTTTGAAACGTACGACAGAGAGCTAGAGCAAGAGAGGGCTATCGTCGCATCCGCACCCACGGCTAGTGGTGCGAGTCATATTGATGTGCAACCTTCCCTTCCGCTGAGTACAGAGATTGCTATTGTGAGAATAAGCCCCTGCTACTGTTCATAGTTGAATGATACTAACAGTCGTAATAGTCGAGTATGAGCAGCTCGGCTGCTGAGTCTCCTTCTTTGGAACTATCGCCCTTCTCAAGTCCGTCTCTTCCAACCTCATCGCCGGCCTCATCGGCACCTTCGCCTACCGGCCGTCTCGTTACCACAGTGCTGGAGAAGCCCGAGCCCTTCTCCACAGACGGCAGAGAGGAGCACGACGATGAAATGGATTATGAGATGGACTATTCCCCCGAGATCCCCGATGAAATCGGATATAGGGGCAAGGACGATAGTTCGTTTCGTACGAATAATCCCTCCGACTGGTGCTTTCCCGATTACGAGCAAGTCCATGGTGGAGCCGATGGTTCGCACTATCAGATTTCTGATATGGAGCCGGCCTTGTCTATCTTTCGGATTGACGAGTCTACCATTCCGTGGTAAAGCGGCTCTAGTGGTGAGACGAGGGTATTACTACGGATTCCGCGCACGTTGCACACAGGAGCAACCAATTCTAGACATTCACCACACTCACCACATTCACCACATCGCATACAACAATGCATTCGCATACGCATACAACTTTGGACACAACATCGCATATCACTTTGGATACCACTCTGCATACAACATCGCATACAACATCGCATATCACTTTGGATACCACATCGCATTCGCATACAACTTTGGATACCACATCGCATTCGCATACAACTTTGGACACAACATCGCATATATCATTGCATTCGCATACAACTTTGGACACAACATCGCATACCCCATCGCACACATCGCATATTACTTTGCATACCACTTTGCATACCACTTTGCATACCACTTTGCATTCAACATCGCAGACAGCATCGCATATCGTTTTTCATATGACTTGCATACAACACTGCATACAACACCGCACATTATGCTACCTGCAACACTATGTGCAACACTACACTAGTGGAGGATGATAGTATTATTGTCATAGCAACACCACCCACGACGAGGAATCTGAGGAACGCAAAGAAGAGACCTCATACCCGATATCAAGGCTCTATCCACTCTCTGTCCGCTATCTGTCTGATTGTCTGCCATCTGTCAAATGGCACTTCGCTTCTGTTACTGCTTTACTCGTTGGTTTCCAAAAGCACCGCTCTGCTTGTTGGAAATCACGAACACTCTGCTGAAACGAGCTACTTCTCTAGTTCGGTATTACTTCTCTGCTGATCATCATCACTTTTTCTTCTCTTCTTTTCTTTTGAGTCATAACTGTAACTGCCTACGGTTATTACCGTTACTGCCCGTTTTTTTTGCTGGATTCCCGCTCAATAGCAACGGCTTGCTCCCTCCTCTATAGTTTCAATAAATATCAATTATTATTATTATTATTATTATTATTATTATTATTATTATTATTATTATTATTATTATTATTATTATTATTATTATTATTATTATTATTATTATTATTATTATTATTATTATTATTATTATTATTATTATTATTATAATAGTAGCTATAAGCTTTGTAGTCGTAGTATTGCCTGTCGACTAAGTCTTTTCTGCAGGGTTGGCGTTCAAGCACTACGCTAGTTGACAGACTTGGAGTTGGGCACGGTTTATTTCCGATATCTTTACGACGTTTTGATTATATTATTATGATCATACTAATTTTATTTCCTGTGAGATCAAAAGGAATCATTGAGTAGAAGTCATATGCTATTGAATAATGTACAAATGTCTAGAAAACCGATAAACGCCCAAGAATGCAATGCAAAATATCAAATATGTACACAAATCGCTCCCCCAATATGCTTTACAAAACAAAAACCGAAATAATCACTGCTGCGACAAGCGAAACCAAAGATGCATGCGAATAGTATAGAGATCCCGCCCCGCCAGTCATAGCCGAAGCAGTCGGTGTGCTGCTTGTGTAAGTGGCGTTTGTGGCGGTATGATTGGAGGTCGAATTGTAGAGCGCAGTGTTGTGGTTGATGACCGATCGGACAAGGGTGGTGTGGGTAGCAGAAGGAGCAGAGGTGATGGTGCTAGTGACAGAGGTAGAAGAGGCTGAGTTGGAAGTAGACGCGCCGATCGCTTTGAGGATAGCATTCTTTCCAGAGCCAACGGCCACGATGTCAGACTCAGTCACATTGGCTTTAGCCTGAGCCACGCCTGCGACGTTGTTGTCAAGGTCGTAAACAACATAAGCTGAAGCGAGAAAAGAATCGCCGAGAACCACTCCTCCGGACAGATCGGTGCTCAACACTCTGAACCAACAAATTTGATCGCCATCGGCGTCTGTCATGGGAGTGCCATCATCATTCCATTCGGGATAATACAGGTCTCTCATCGGCACATGGATAGTCAGACCTTCGAAGCCAAAGTCAAGCGTATCAGTCCGGTCGCGAGCACTGCAAGGAGCGACGATAGCATCAAGTTTCTTGTCGTAAGAGGCCAAGTGAAGATCACTGACGAGATAGTCAAGGATTTCGTTGGGCAAGTAGGTCATGGATGTGCCAGAGTCAAGGAGAGCGACAGAGTTGACGTTTCCGACCGTCACGGTCTTGCTGCCGCTCGAGAACTTTATGCTCCCGAGATTGACCAAGAATTTTGTGAAGACAGGTAAGATTCCTTGCAGCTGGAAGGGAAGCTCGACCATATCACCCTCGTACTTTGCGCGGTCGATGCCTCCAAAAAGAAAAGACCCAGTCTCAGAAGCAGAGTCGTTGATATAAAGCGAGTAGACACGAGATGCGATATGACCCTGCTCGACCATAAGAGCCGGGAAGTTGCTGTAAGGCGCTTTATGCGCGCCTTCAATCGTTTCATAACCGACCCCTAGAATTCCCATATCCTTCTTACTCTCGACCAATCCGAAAGTCGCATTGGTGAGCGATAGTCCACCCATTTCAACGATGTCATGGACATATGGGCCTTGCGCGTTGGTTCCGTCGCCGTAAGTGGCATTGATATAGTCGTCTCCAAATGTCAGGGTAGACGACTTGTTGGCGTCGAAAGTGCCGTATTCTGCGCATTTGGAGATATTGGTAGCACAGTACGCATTGGAAGCGCTGTTGATCCACAAGTCAGACGACCCAGTGTCGACTTCAACGTAGACAGTCTGGGAAGGGGTGCCGACTTGAAGCTCGGCAAAGTACAGCATAGACGCCATATCGCTGGGGGTGTGAAGAGTGACTTCCGCGGTGCCTTCGGTGTCGCGCTTGATGATCTTGGGAGACGAGTTGAATTTGCGCGTCACATCAAGATGAACTGTGCCGGGGACTGCAGCAACCATGTTGGAGGCAATGGTCGCGATGGCGGCAGCTGTGAAAAGAGATCCTTTCATTGTGGAGATGTTGTTTGTAGAAGAGAGATGATTGAATGTTTGATGGAGAGTTAGAGGAGAGGTATTCCCTTGTCCTTATATACCCCGCCATCATCTCAACAGTTGGTGAACTCATGATGAGCTCTAAATGCGCGATGAAGCTGATGGACGGCTTGGTAGATAAAAATACATTTAGAGTAGGCGAGGGCGGGGCGCAGAAGTGCGGGTGCGGCTGAACAGGGCGCAGCGAGTGCACCGCCGCTCCACCGGAAGCTAGCGAGCGACATGGAGCAAGCGAGTCCCTTGAACGCTTTATGAGCAGTCGTCAGTGGCTTACTACAGATTATAGGAACAGCCGTCGGCGAGTTTTCTCTACTGAGACTGTCCAATAAAAAAATTATTGGATGTGAATAGACTGGACTATCGCCTTCTTCGCTATATAAAATAATCAGTCAAAATAGCTGTAACCACCATACCCTCAAGTTCGTATTGCCTGTACAGGCTATCAGCAGACTTGGTGACAAAATCAAAGCATTTTTTAAGTATCATAATTCTACAGTTTAATCAGAAATACAAGTCTGGTGCGTTTCCAGTGGTGTCCATCTAAGAACAATTAAGACACTCGTTAGGGTCGCGTACTTTAAGAGTACTCTTCTAGGGTTGTGCCTTCTCTCAGCTATGAAAACAGGTACTCTGAGATCAGTCTTTCGTCAATCGCTATTTCATTCGATAGCTCAGCTTCACATGGAGTGTAGGAGCTTCTGGGTTTATTTTTTTTTCAAATAATGGTGGATTATTAAATTACTAGAAACAAACGCCTATATACTGATCTCGCAACATTAGACCAAACTGGAAAATCCGGCGCCATAATGATACAAAATTCTATGCAGACAACGCAACCGGTACCTCGACCGTCTCCAACCTTTCCTTCTTTTCAGCCGGCTTGTTGCCGGACTCAGCAGCAGCAGGATCGCTCTTTCGCTTGCCGCCGTACAATATTTGACCACTCACTGGTCTAAAATAAGGCTGCACACGCCAGAACGGAATGTCCTTGTAGACAGCTCCTGATTCGTCCATAGGCTGGGATGATCTGACGATAGTATCTTTCTTTTGGTTTTCCTCATCTGCGAGCAAGCCGCGAACAATTTCCTCCACCGAGATTGTGATCTTCTCGTAGTCTTCAATAGTCGTGTTTCGGTTGATTTTGGCAATCTCTTGACGAACGTCCGTGTAGATGGGCAAGAACGGGCGCAGCAGTCTGAAGAAATGAGATTTTGCGGCGAGACGGGTAGCTTCTCCCGGAGTTGACTTTAGAATCTCATAGTATTCACGAAGCAAGACGTCCACCCGAGGATACAGTTCATCGATGAGCTCTTTTGAGTCGGGAATAGATTCAGAGTAAGTGACTTCTTTTTGAAATATAGCTGGGTTGTACAGACTTCCTTCCGCCGCCATAACACCGTCAGCACCGGTGATCTCTAAGCAGCGACTGATATCTTCATGGTACAAGATGTTTCCGTTGGCGAAAATGACGGTCTCGGGTGGTAAATTGTCTCGCAGGAAGCGAATCATCTGCCAGTCTGCAAGACCGGTTTGTTGACCCTTCATCTCGCGGGTACGGCCGTGCACGGTGAGGATCTGGGCGCCAGCGGATAAAACCATTTTTGCGTATTTGAGAGTCTTCTCTTTGTCGGGGAATATGCGGATTTTGGCGGTTACGGGGATTTTGAGATTAACGTGGAGAATGTTGACTAGAGAGGGAACATGTCAGAACTACTCGTGACGATATGTAGTGAAGTAATATCAGATAACAGATGAGTAAATAACTTACTGAGCTTGTAGATCAAATCCCAATCTTCCTGCAGGAACGAGCCATATTTGCCTCTCTTTGCAATGTTCTGAGGGCACCCGAGGTTGAGATCGACTGCGTCGCACTGATCTTCGACTAATTTAGCCGCTTGTAATAAGACCTCAGGGTCGTTTGCACAAAACTGCACCACCAACGGCCGATCGGTCTCTTTGTTTCCGTCATGCCCAGCCAGGAAGTTCTGATCTCGGTACTTTTCCGACTCTGCGAACAGACGAGCGTGCAGCATCGGGGTGTAGCACAGGTCCGCTCCATGTGCACGCGAAAGTAAACGCCACCCAAGCTCAGACTGATCTACCATAGGAGCGATGATCTTCTTAGGAGACCCGAGGGACTCGTAGAATGCGCGACCAGATAGTTTTGTCATTTTGAAGCTCTGGAGCACTAGAGATAGCGAAGGTGAGGATGACCTCTGGAAAGTTGCGAATACTCGCCTGAGGACAGAAAGGTAAACACGAAGAATAGCTGCGCTCTTCACTTCCTCCCCGTCTTAAAATACTGCTTTTTAGAACCCGTAAGTTCTCTGGCGACTCCTTGATATTGTGGCAAGTCGTCTTGAATATCAGCAACGGCAATCCAGTCTCCATTTTTTTTATTTGTTTTTTCGTAATTAAGAGCCCTAACCCGATAAACCTCACGAGCCCCTTAATGAGCCGCATGCCGATATTTAGAGTTTCGAAAGGACCCAAATCCCTTGCTTCCCGAGTTGGATCGAAACGCGCGCGCTGCAGCAGCCACGACGGCTTCCAAGCAATTTATTCCAAATCTTTGTCCTTCTCCATCTCCTTTGTCCTTTTCTCCTGCTCGAAGTCCCCATTCAGATTCATCTGTCTATTCTTGCTATATCCACTCCTATAACCTCTGATGGCCGAGTCCACCGACGTCGAAGGCTCCGCGCCTCCCTCAGACCTCGCCGTCCATGCCGAGACAGACGTAAGTGCTCTCCATCATCCCTGACTGCCCTTCTCTTCCTCTCTCCACCTTTCTTCTATCTTTTCTCTGTCGGGCCTAGTTCCGGCTATTCAATTGCCTTTTCTTCTACTGACGATCTGTTTAAATATTATTTTAGGCCCCTGATGCCTCAGAATTCGAGGACGCTGCCGACGACATCATGCTCTCCCCCCGCTCTGAGCGCGACCTCACCGCGTCCGTAACGGATGCGTCCGAGACTCCCTCTGGCGAGAAACAAACCGAGAATACGACCGAAGAGGTCAATGACTCAACTACTGATGCCGAAACGACCCTTCCGGCTGCCGAATCAATTGTGCCCGAAACCGAGTCTGCTCCCGCGACCGCTGCCGTCGACACGTTCGAGGAGCATGCACTGGTCTCAGAGCTGGCTGCCGAGCCTCAAGCAGACTCTGCCGACGAGCCCTCATTAGAGTCTCAAGAAGATCCCGTTGCCAGCGCAGACAGCAATCCGTACGCTGAATCAGCTACCACTGCTGCTTCAGAGGCTCCCGAGATCTCCACTCCCGCTACTCCGCAGACTCCGGCCGGTGAGCCCGAGGCTGACGTAGCGAACGCTACCGAAGAGGTTAAGCTTGGCTCTGATTCACTCACCCAGGTCGCCCCTGTCCCGATCGAAGAGAACTTGGATGACGTCAATCTCGCCGACGAACCGGCTGCTGCTTCATCCGCCGCGATCGCTTCTGCCACGAACGAAGACGTCTCGCCGGCTTCTACCCCGGTTGCCGAGGTAGAGGCAGTTGCACCACCACCTCCCCTTCCGCCACGCAGCCAAAAGAAGAAACCCTTTGCGTGGCTCACGAAGAACAGGTCAAGCGACAAAGAAAAGCCTGTGCCTCCCCTTCCTGAAGAGGCCGCCGCGACCACTGGATCGGCTTCGCCCACCGCATCAGAGGCCGGAAGTGCGACTCCTCCTCCGCTCCCCCCGCGTCATGCCAAGAACAGAGGACTGTCGTCCGTCAGCAGTGCGGCATCGGTCGCGGTATCCGCCGTTTCCACCTCGCCTCCAAACTACGAGCTTCTTCTCAGTCGTGTCGACGCCACGCGCGAAGACCTGCAAAGCAAAGAGCAATCCGAAAAAGAGGCGCATCTTGCCGGTGCGCAAAAGCTCAAGGAGGAATTTGAAGCTCTGCGTCAGTCGACTAATACCATTGAGTCCGATGGCGATATCGCAGCTATCGATTGGGAGTTCTGGACCATGGTCGTCGCCGACTACCCCAACATGGCTCGTACTCACCCCGTTGAGCTGTCGCATGCGGTACAGAACGGATTACCGCCTCCTCTTCGCGGAACAATTTGGCAATTGATGGCTGCTTCCAAGTCTTTGATTCTCGAGGAAGTCTACTCATCGCTCCTAACCGAATCAAGCCCTCACGAAAAGGGAATCCGAAGAGATCTATCGCGGACAAGCTTTGCAAAGTCTGCGAACCAAGATGCGCTTTTCAACATCATCAAGGCTTACAGCTTGTGGGATCCTGAGGTTGGATATATCCAGGGAATGGCTTTCATTGCTGTGCCCCTCATCCTGGTTATGAAGGAGCAAGAGGCGTTCTGCTTGCTTGTCGATCTCATGAAATCGTACAATCTTCGCGAACTTTATCTGCCCGAGATGCCCGGTCTTCACTTGCGTCTGTATCAGTTCGACCGAATCATCGAGGATACATTGCCTACGCTTTACCGCCACCTCTCCCGACAAGGCGTTCTCTCTTCAATGTATGCCAGCCAGTGGTTCTTGACGATGTTTGCCTACAAATTCCCGCTTTCGATTGTCTTGCGAATTTTTGACATTGTCGTCGCCGAGGGTCTTGAGGCGATTCTTCGTTTCGGCGTCGCGCTGCTCCGCAAGAACGAGGCTTCGATTCTAGAACTCGAGTTTGACGCGCTCGTCACTTTCCTCAAGGGAGGACTATTCGACATCTACGTCGACAACGAGGCAGCGAAAAGTCACAGCCGGAGTCCGTCTTCGCTGTTCCGAACATCGAGCAATAACAGTCATTCGTCATCGGAGTCCATATATCGGGTCAATGACCTCGTTGCTGACGCGTATGCTGTCAAGATTCTTCCTGAGACGCTCAAGAAGTATGAAAACGAGTACACCGAGCTTCATCGGGTGGAGAAGGAGCGCGCGGAGGAGATTGAGCATCTGAAGACCTTGAACGGCCAGCTCACGCTGCAGATCAAGAGACTCGAGGCGAGCCTTGCCACTCTGAACGTTGAGCACATCGAGGTTGCCAACGAGATGGTGCAGGGCAAGGTCGAGATCGAGAAGCTCAAGGACGAAAACACGGATTTAAAAGCCATGAACGAAGAATTGACGAAAAAGAACGAGGAGCTTCAGACCCAGCTTGATACTCTGCCTGCGACCGTTCAGGCCGAAGTTGAAGCCAAGCTTAAGGGCGAGATGGATGAGCTTATGAAGCGAAACCTCGAGGTCATGGATCTTAACCGTACGCTTGAAGATCAGCTAGCATCTACAGAGTCACAGCTCGCAGACACCAAAGTCCAGTTTGCTTCCGTACGTTGTTTTCTCTCTGTGTTCTCTTTAGTGAAAAGTATCACATAGCTAACATTTCTTTTAGGTTAATGCCAAGCACGAGTCCCTCAACCGGAGATGGCACGACATTCGGAAGGTCTTGGAGGGAGGCAATGAGGAGTGAAAAAGCAGATGAATCAGGGAGCCGCTCATTGTCATATATCGTTTGTGTTTTGCATTTATCTTTCTCGACCAGGTTTCATTCTTTGCCGTTGCTTAACATTGTATAGAACTAGTTTTGTTTCGTCTTCATGTCCTTCTATTTGGGTATGATGATTTGAAGCGAATACAAACATAAGTAAACATCAGCTCTCGATGCATTTTTTCTGTATTAAGTAGCCAATATTTCTCACTTGTACGTAAATACTTTTGGTTTGGCCTGTGCCAATTACTATAGTGAGTGACCTTTACAGACAAGAATATTGTAAAGTTATTTTAATTGTAAAATTATAATTACTAAAGCAATTCATTGTACCACAAGACGAAGGCATTATTCCAGCCTATACACGTTCACCGAACGTTATCGAAAAACACTAAAAACCAGAAGACCAAGTAGGCGAAAACAACACAAAAAAGAGGAAAGAGACCAAGAAACCATATAGACACAAAAGCAAAAAAGAACCAAAAATAAGAATATTAGGGCTCTGGAGTCGAGGTGATACCTCTCATCCACCCAACGTCAAGCCTTCTCGCCGCTGAATTGACTATACTTCTCCATCCCCGCGCAGCAGGCACCCAGACATCCCGGTTAAAGGTATCTAGGGCCTCGAGAAGTTCCTGTCTAGCGCTAATATGCGATTCACCAGGAACAGCAGGACTGTGGTCACCCAAGTCAATGTCTTCCCACTCGTCCTCGCCGGCAGAGGGGTTGGTATCATCTGCTTGGGTATTATAGACACTTTGCACAAGAGCAGAGCGAGCAGTAGCATTCTCATCTGATTCGGGAAATTTCCAAAAATCCGAAAGATTTTGAATAGCAGAGGTGTCCTGGAAAGAAGTGACGGCAGACGTAGATGCAAGAGTGATCTCAGACGTGACAGCAGAAGTGAATGCAAGAGTGATCTCAGAAGTGACAGCAGAAGTTGTATCAGAAGTTTCGTTACTCGCGGAGAAACTTGAAGACTGTGGGTGCTCGAGAGTGTTCTGAGGAGGCAGCATGGACGCTTCCGGAATCTCATCGTGGTCGACGATTGAGTTGGCCGACTCATTAATCGTCGGGGGTAGGACAGCTGCCGTGCAGTTCGTAACGAAAGAGCTGCCATGCTGAGCGTCTTTTGGCGCGGGACAGACCCGCTCCAGTATCGCAGACGTATCCACGTGAGCGTCAGCAACGGAAGCACAGGTCGTAGCAGTAGTAGAGGCTCTAGCAGAATCATCCAACGTGATATCTGGAACAGTAGCAGCAGTAGTGGTATCTTTGACAGAAGAAACAGAAAGTGATCGAAAGGCACCATTATACAGTCCAAGAACGTCGTCAAGTGGCATGTTGCCGTTGCTGGAATCGGTATACTTCTTCGGGCCGGACTTGAGCAAAGACGATGCTGTATCGATAGCGCCATTAGCAAGAGCTCCATCGTGATTGACGCGCAAGTTGCTCGCACCTGAAAGCTTTCTCGCTGAGAAATTGCGAACGGAGAGAGTTCTGATTTCAGGGCGTAAAGAAACGTTTCGCAACATGGGAAGCGAGAACTGGCGAGCTTGTTTGACGAGTGGGGCGTTTTCGAGGCTATGGAGCTCGAAAACGGTTTGGGCGGCGCGTGCGACTTCAGGCTTTACCGAGAAGCATCTGTTCTGGCCGAAGGAAAGGGACACTGACGTGTGTCTCGTAGCGGCAAGACGCTCTTTTCTCGACAAAATTGCATCGGGTTTGATCGTGGGGTGAGCTGCAGGGGCGGGTGCAGCATAAACGGCCTTGACGATCGGATAGAGATATGTGACTTTCACCACAGGGTGAGCGGGTGGGAGCTGGCCACCTAAGGCCTTGGCGGCGTCGTACAAGTCACTGATAGTATCGAGGGCCCATGTATTAGATGAGCATCCAATATCGGCGGCCAACTTGAGCTTCCAGACGGGAGCAAAGCTCTGGGCTCGGCAGCGACGGACGGAGTGCTCTGCTGCAGAAAGATAGGCCGAATGGCTAGCAGGCTGCGGAACAGGGGACAGAGGAGTTTCTGTCTTCTCTACAGCGGGAGAAAGCGCAGTGTGCAGAATGAATCTGCTAACGAACAAGCGGAGGCTTGTGAGGCGGTCCGCGGAAGGAAGGGCAGGGGTCTTTTCAGAAATCTGCGTGATGGCAGGAGCACCACGCTAAAAAGTCGTCAGTCTCTCTCCACTAAGCAACGCTATACCAGACAATATATATTTGTAGAACTTACCAAGCAGAAGTGCTTGCGGATGTTTTGGAAAAAAGTCATTATATGACTGAAACTAAAGGCTTTGAAAGTTGTTGAGAGCAGTTGGGAGGCTGGGGCGAAGGTAGTGTTGATGTAGGAAAGGGAGAAGAAGCGGATCGCGACAGTTGTGCATCTTGTATGGCGTGGTGAGCTACAGAGCTTATTCGCATCCAGGCCGGTGTGATGAGTTGTCTTGGTCACGAGGACGACGGAGCCTGATTTCTATCCGGGCTGGCGTATCGTTTACCTGCTCAAGTGGTTGGAGCAGGGCGCGTATACACTTTTCCTATTCGGACAGATCAGAATACTTAATTTATGTGAACTCTAAGCAGTTCCCATCTGGCAATCGCGTACTTTAGCAGTGCCTATTAAAGTAGACTGCCTTGGATATTCGTTGCTAAAGCCTGTTTACAGACTGTTGCAACAAAAGGGCTTCGTAAAGTCACAGGGCGGTTTGTTTTGAGATCTACAGACGCTCTTGCAGTTCATAAGTCAGCGGCCGGATCTGCGTGGGGCACCGGCCGGTACTCGAAGTAATCTAATTCCAGCAACAAAACACTGACAACTTCGCTCTTTTCGCGGCTCTGAAAGAAGCCACTGCTGACGGTTTCTACGTTTCTACAGCGCGCAAGGGACTCGCTTGATCCATGTCGCTCGCTAGCTTCCGGTGGAGCGGCGGTGCACTCACTGCGCCCTGATCAGCCGCACTCACACTTCTGCGCCCCGCCTTCGCCTACTCTTAAATGTATTTTTATCTTCCAAGCCATCGATCAGCTTCATCGCGCATTTAGAGCTCATCATGAGTTCACCAACTGTTGAGATGATGGCGGGGTATATAAGGACAAGGGAATACCTCTCCTCTAACTCTCCATCAAACATTCAATCATCTCTCTTCTACAAACAACATCTCCACAATGAAAGGATCTCTTTTCACAGCTGCTGCCATTGCAGCCATTGCCTCCAACATGGTTGCTGCAGTCCCCGGCACAGTTCATCTTGATGTGACGCGCAAATTCAGCTCATCTCCCAAGATCATCAAGCGCGACACCGAAAGCACCGCAGCAATCACTCTTCACGCCGCCGACTCTTTGGCGTACTTTGCCGAGCTTCACGTCGGCACCCCTCCCCAGACTGTCTACGTTCAAGTTGACACGGGCTCGTCTGACTTGTGGGTGAACAGCGTTTCCAATCCGTATTGCGCTACCAACACCTCCGATTGCACAGATTTCGGTACTTTTGACGCCAACAAGTCGTCTACCCTGACCTATGGAGACGATTATATGAATGCCACTTATGTCGATGGAAGTAATGGCGGAGGCCCCTATGTCCACGATACCGTCGAGGTAGATGGACTGTCACTCACCAATGCGACTTTTGGATTGGCCGAAAGTGGTTCGAGGAACTTTGGAATTCTCGGAGTTGGCTATGAAACGGTGGAGGCCGCACATAAAAAGATGTACAGCAACTTCCCGGCTCTTATGGTCGAGCAGGGCCTTGTCGCATCTCGTGTCTACTCGCTTTACATCAACGACACGGATTCTGATACTGGGTCTATTCTGTTTGGAGGAATTGATCGCGCGAAGTACGAGGGCGATATGGTCGAGGTTCCCTTCCAGCTCCAAGGAAACATGACTGTGTATACATCCTTCTGGGTCACTCTCGAAAGCATGAAGTTTTCGAGTGGCAACAAGACTGTGACGGTTGGAAACGTCAACTCAAATGTTGTGCTTGACTCTGGCACCTCTCACGCCTATTTGCCCAGCCAGATTGTTGACTATCTTATCAACGATCTCAATCTGGCCTCTTACGACGAGGAAAACGATGTTTACATGGCTCCTTGCAGTGCTCGCGATCGTACTGATACGCTCGACTTTGGCTTTGAGGGTGTGACGATCCGCGTGCCAATGAGAGATCTGTACTTACCCAGCGGGGACAGCACTGCAAAATACGCCAATGGCGAGGAGATATGCATGTTCAGAGTGATGAGCTCCGAACAGAGCGATGGTATCTCGCTTCTTGGTGATGCTTTTCTCTCTTCAGCTTATGTTGTTTACGATCTTGACAACAACATTGCTGGTATGGCTCAGGCTAAAGTCAATGTGGCTGAGTCTGATATCGTCGCCGTTGGATCTGGAGAGCATGCTATCCTCAGAGCCATCGGTGCTTCTGCTTCCAACTCGACCTCTTCTACCTCTGTCACTAGCACCATCACCTCTGCTCCTTCTGCTACCCACACCACCCTTGTCCGATCGGTTGTCCAATACAACACCGCGCCCTACAGCTCGACCTCCAATCATACCGCCGCGAACACCACCTCTTGGACTATGAGCACTCCGACTGCCTCGGTGATGACAGGCGGCGCCGGGTCTTTGAGTTACAACTATGCATCTTTGGTATCGGTGGCTGCTGCAGTTCTCTTTTCCGTTTTGATTATGTAAAGCATTTTGGGGTTGCGATCGGTGTACATATCTGAGATTTCGCATTGCATTTATGGAGTTAATAGGCTGTTTTGAGATTTGTATATATTAAATATTATTTCTACTGCATCATAATGACATCATCGTAATGAAACAACCAATGTAAACAGCGACAACGCGCTCTCTTTCGCAAGCGTTTTCATCTTACTAACAAGACCCGAGAGCAGTCTCCTTTGGCAAACCAGATGATCGGTAGCTCTCACAGAAGTCGTTCGTGTGTAATCTTTCACAAAAGTCGTTCATGTGCAATCTTTCACAGAAGTCGTTCATGTGTAAGGCGCACGCCGCCTGTACCCCGTCGCGTGGGGTCCATGTACCCTGCTCTCCCAACGTCTTGCTCTTGAAGAGAACTTGATACATACCCTATTTCCTCATTCGGTAGTAAGGGATATCAGAGCCCATTAGACATGGCGAGCTCCATATCGACCGCGACGGCAATGTAAACATTCCTATACCTATCGTTGGAATCTGCAGAAGAAGGTTTTTGGAAAGACAGAGTTTTTAAAAGGACTATTCAGAATATTCCAGTGCCGACCGACAGAAATCTACTAATCTACTGGACCAAGATTTCAAAGACCTGGGCAGATATAGCCCATCTATCAGTATCCAATCCGAGTCAATATTGATCGTCTGACCCCAAGCTCGTAGCAACAGATCATTCCTTGTACTGTTTTGATGATAGGAATAGAAAAGCACACGCGCGAGGTTTGCGTAACATTGTCGAATCTTAAGTTGATCAGGTGGCAAGATGAGGATCATAACAAACCGCCCACATTTCCTGTTTCCCCTCTTCCCTCTTCTCTTCCCTCCTCATAGTAAACAGTTGTCAGCCCACAGCCCACAGCCCACAGCCCACAGCCCACAGCCCACAGCCCAAAGCTTTCATCACACAGCTTTCTACCAAACAGTATCTACTATTCACAATGTTCTCAGCAATTCTCAAGATCATCGAGACTCTTCTCCCTCTGTTGCTGGCTATGCGTCCTCAGAAGTTCAACCCAAAGAAGTATGACCCGTCAGTCGCATGGAAGTTGATGCAGGCGGTCGCGCTCATTGTCATGCTTCTCGGCGGCGAAGACCCCGCATTCTGGAAACAGTTTTTCGAGGTTGACAATCCCGATATGCCCGCTGGTCTGCGCGTTACCATTATTGAGTTGTATATTCGCCCGTATCAAGCTCTTCTGGAGTACAGCAAGAATCGACGCCCGCATGATTCAAGCGACGAAGAGGAAGATACCATGGACGAAGAAGCATCATCTGCCGGAGCCGACGAAGCTGTCCTCCACGAGATTCTTTTCGGCACAGGATCGGGTCCCGAGTCAGACACGCAGGCAACAGCACCCCAGCCAGAGCCAGCTAGCAACTCATACCTGATGTCGAAATGGGCATCGTTGAAGCGTGCATTCTTTCCCACCCGCGGCCAAGCCACCGAGTCGTCGTCCAGCAGCGAGTTGCCGTCCATCAGCCACAACACTGAGTCGCCGTCTAACAGCCAAAACATCAAGTCGCCGTCCAACGGCCAAAACATGAAGTTGGCGGCGATTCAGGCATGGCGTCAGGCGCTTTCAGCTGGCCACCCATACCTGAGACCTACGGCGACTCAGTCAACGCGTTCGGCAGTCCCATATACGCGCTCAAGCTTGCAGCCTACACCGAGTGATCTCTCGCGTCCCACTGTGCCACTTGCCCGCTCAAGCTTGAAGCCTGCACCGGTTGATATGTCGCCGCAGGTCGATTACTCGCGTCCGGTGTTACAGGTCAACTTTGCGAGGGAGCCGTTGGCTGATCTGTTGGACCGTCCGACGTATCCATCAGTCTTGAACTCAATTCCAACAAAGACTTCATGGACGCGTCCGGCAGTGTCAGCTGGCAACCCGTACGTGAAGCCGACCTCGACTCAGTCAACAAGTCCGTGGGTGCCGACCAGGAGCCCGATCAAGGCAAGACCAGTTCCGGTCTCGCATATGAAGATGCCGACACTCAGCACATTCGGTATGACATCAGCGACTCAGTCGACTCATTCGGGGGTGCCCGCCCCGAGTGCGTCGCAGAGCGCTCCCACACTCGAGAACCGCCGCACAACTCTCAATATGGGAAAGCCGGTTCAGCCAGAGAAGCCAAAGACCAAGATTTCGCATCCGTTTAGCGCATATTCAAGACCGTTTGGACGAGGGTTTACGTTGAAGCAGAAGCAGACATCGCAAGACCCAGTCTTGCAGGCTTTTGTTCCCCCCGCTCAAGAGAAGACGTCGGAGCAGACATCGCAAGACACGCAAAAGGCAGTCTCACCTGCTCCCGTCTTTTCCACATCGCGCAAACACTTCTGTCAAAGTGAAGGTGAAAACGACAGCAGCCCCCGTCCTTCGAAGAGACGTCGTTTCACATCACCAGACAGCAGTCCGGAATTCGAGGTCCATGAGTTCTTGCCCGGAGCGCCCAACCGCGCAGAGCTCCCTCGTCCTAGTCCTCTATACGGTGAGGCTACTGCCGCAGAGTTCCAGCATCACCACCACGAGTCGGCCAACCAATAGTATGTATTACCATTATACCTTCTTGAATAACAGCATTTGCTAACGTGCAAACACCAGCTTCGGGGGTTGCGGATCCCGATAGTGGGCTCTCGAGCCCACAGATGCGGTTATCGGAAGAGGAGACAGCGCGCGAGTAAGTAGTCATTACACCCCTTTGCATTTCTCTCCCCGTCAGCTTAACTGACCTCATCACAGGCTGTCGACCTCTGCGGTTTCAGAGCCTTCACATGTTGCGGACTACGCAGGGTAAGGGGTTTCCCCGGAAAAATTAACTTTGACGTCGCGTCCATTTACCGACGCGTCTACTTATTGAACTCCAAATAACTAGCAACCGTTTATTTGTTTACAGATCTCATGATCCGCTGTCATCGCCCACGTTCGGCACGCAAGACGAGGAGAGAAGAGCTTTTGTGCGTGAACGCGCTCAGTCGCCACCTCCAGAGTCCTGGGATTGGCACGGAAGGTCCGCACGCTCGCTCCGTCATTTTGCTGTGCTGAACGCCCAGCAGCGAGCCTTGAATCTGCCTGTGTCCGGTTGTCTGCCAAGTGAGTTTGCTGGGTAGACTCTCAGGACGGCCTCATCGGATTCGTTTACCGATGAAGGGGAGATCCATGGCGGTTAGCATCTGGTGGCGCGGATGAGCCATAGCATGGGGTATGTCGCCCGACGTTAATTACGAGGCATGCCGTGCGAGAGTAGGGGTGGCGTTACGAACAGCTGGATCAAGCGTTGACGATCCGCTAGTTTCCCAGCTGATTCTCACCCTATCTCGTCAAGAGTCCCGATAGTGCGCTCATAGAGTACAACAGAGAGTGAGAGGCTTCTGTTGCCAAGGCACTATCGGCAGGCTCTGGCAAGCCTGTATAAGGGCGTACCTCAATTTCTACGAAGAAGCCCGTTGGCGCTTTCTTTGGGTCCCGAAGAGTTGGTGAAGCAATTACCTCCAGCTGATATTAGAGCTCGTTACGATATATCAGTCTGTTTGATCAACTCTTTCGGGATCCATAACTCAGGGATAGTATTTCTCAAGCCGTTGTTATTTCCATTATTTCCAGTGTTACTTTTTTGTCGATTCGAGTTTCCAAATTGTACTTCTTTATCTTCCTGTATTTCAATTTTTCTATCTATCTATTTATCTATTTTTCTGTATATCTACATTTCTATTTCTCTTCATGTTCTGTTTTTCTGTATTCTATTTTTCTTTTTCATTTTTGTTTCCTGTATCATTACATGTGTGACTGGGCAGTTTTCGGTTTTTTTTTTTTAAAAAAAAACACAAAAAAATTGTTTGTTTATTAGTTTGTTTGTTTTTTTCTTTCTTCTTTGTATTTTTTTATCTGCTCAGCAGCGAGAGACCAAGGGCCTGAAAGCAAAGAGCAATATGGTAAGTACACAGCTCTACTTTACGTCAAGAAATACTGGCTAACAACATCATCCATACAGCTTGACCGCTAGGCAAAGATCCGATGACGCTTAGCGGGAAGAGCATAGCGAGAACAGCGAACAGCAAGAGCACAAGCACATGACAGCAGAGAGAACGAGCATGAGAAGGCGATTGCAACACCAACGACAATGACCATGATGCAGGTCATGTCATCAATCGCCCTTCTCCCCCATCAATTACCGAGACCACCATCGTGATGCCATACTGCCACTACAATTAGCAGTATGGGCAACGTGAAGGCAAAGTGCCACCAGAGATTGGAGAATGAGCCAAATACTGTGGCACTGTTGTGGAGATACACTGCTACCATCAAGCAGTACGAGCCAAACCCGTCGGCTCCGTCGTGATACATACTGCCGCCATCGATATTTCAGGCAGTATGAGCTATGTGAAGGACGTGCTGCCGCCAAAATGATTTAGGCAGCACGGCCGATGAACTGGCTATAAAAAGGAGCGTTAAGTAATCGTCCATCAATGCTAGTGGAAGAGAAAGAAGACACTAGCGGACGACCATGGACTTAACGCTACCTGTCCTTCAGTGACTCAGGATGGTCTGCAATTCCCTGAGTCCGTCCATGACTTTAAACGAATCAGGATGTCCGTTATTCCCTGATTCAAGTCATGGACAAGGACACCAGATCACGACGTTACGAACCGGGGCCATCGATTATTCCCCGGTTCACTGTCCTTGACCCGAAGTCAGGGACCTCCACGACCAGTAGGGAGGATGACAGTCTATTTCAATCCTGCCCTACACCTTCACTTTTCAGTTCCCGACGAACTGAAGACGATGGACATGAGGACTCGGTATTATGCTCGTCCCTCACAATATGCCTGCTGTCTATGTGCATATCGCCATGACTACATTACATGGCGCACCAAGTGCTACGCTGCTTCGCCTACCGATTTTCAAGAGACTGCTTTACTCTTGGAAACGGCGATCCATTTCTCGCCAAAAATTGCGCTCTTTTCTCTTTTGCTTCACGATATTGCTGCTGATCAGATAGCTTTGTATATTAGTTTTTTTCTTCTTCCTTGTTTTTTTCATTCATTCACTCATTTGTTCTGTCATTCATTCGTTTTTGCATTTGTTCGTTCTTTTATTCTCATATTGTTTTTTTCTTCTTTTTCATGCATTCGTTCATTCATTCGTTACTTTCTTCTTCTTTTCCCTTTTCATTTTTTTCTCTACCCTGGACTGCCCAGTCCCGCATTTCTCTTTTTTCTATATCATTTTCCGATAACTTGTTTGTGAGCACCCGCTGGCGGGTCTCTCTCTCAGGTTGTCAGTTTCTCGTTCATTTGTTCATCAATTCATTTACTTCTCATTCATTCTTTCACTTATCATTTTTTCCTTCATTCACTCGTTTTTTATTTTATCTTCTTCTTTTCTTCTTTTCTTCTCTTCTTTTCTTCAAGTACAATTTGGAACTCTTACTCGACTTTTCTCTTTGTTTCACTGGATTCTCACTTATTAGCAACGGCTTACTACTTTCTCTTGAAGTTTTCGCGCTTCACGACTACAACGGACTTCTTATTTATTACAGCTATGGTGACGACGATGGCGGGCCGGAACACGACTGCGATGGCGACTACAATGGCGAGGATTGATGGCGATGATGGCGAGTGTATTGGCGAGGTTTATGGCGAGGTTATGATGATGATATGGCGAGGATATGGCGAGGATATGGCGAGGATATGATGATGATATGAAGAAGAAATGATGACGATATGGCGAGGATATGAAGAAGATATGGCGAGGATATGGCGAGGATATGGCGAGGATACGATGAAGATATGGCGAGGATATGATGATGATATGGCGAAGATATGATGATGATATGGCGAGGTTTATGATGATGATTGCTATGGCATTACATTGACGGGAGTTATTCTTTATTATTGATATTATGGTTACATGGACAGGAGTTCTCATTGTTGTTATGGTTACATTCACAGGACTTTTATATTTTATCGCTATGGGGGCATTGACAGGAGTTTGTTATACATGTGTATATTCTTAGAAGAAAATATAAAATCGGGCACCAAAAACATCTTGCTAGAGTGTAGATTCTCATCGCACTGCTCTACTGCTGACTACGAGTAACTGTTATGTGAACTTAGTATGTAGTGGGAGTCAGGCTGTATTGTGTAGTATAGTCGACCATCATAATCTCAAGTAAGCGCCCTGTTTCCCATATTATGTTCCTTGATATACTCCGGGCCATACTCCATATACTCTTCCCTCGTCAGCATATTATTCTTCAAATTGTCTTTCTCGTTAACCCATTTCCGCATTCCCTTCCACGCATCCAAAACCGCATCCTCAGCCCTTCGGATTCCAAGCTCCACGTCCACCGGCAGCGTAGCGCGGAGCTCGTGTCGCAGGCGGTCGTCAAACCCCCTTAACAAACTGAATCCGCCGGTGAGGAACACGTCTTTGCACGCACTCACAGAGTCTTGCTTTGAAAGTCTCCGCAGCAAGATATCAGAAGCAAGTTCGACTAGTCCGGCTTGATCGATACCTGCGATCGAAGGTTGGAAGAGAACTTCGGGGACTCGTATCCGCTCGACGTTGAGATGGATCTGATGAGCCTCCGCCCTACTAGCCGGATCAAACGGCCGACTGCCCCGCAGAAAAGCATGAACAAGCGAGTTCATCCAATTGCTCTGCGCCTCAAGCGACGAGTCTAGACTGAATTTGGGATCAAACGCATTGAGTTGCTCTTCGATTTTCCGAATGCTCTCCGCCATCTCGTCGTCCTCCTCGGTATCGGATGCGTTGGCAATGTCTCGGTATACCGCCCAGTCGTTGTCGTCGACGCCAAAACCGTCGTCTTCGCCATCTTCCCTGCGGCGCTTGCGTGCGCCGCCAGAGTTGGTGGGTGTAGTTGCCCCGCTCGGGCCTTCTGACGCCAGGTTCGCAATGCTCTTCATTCGCAGCTGCGAGGCTAGAGATTTCCGGTTGTTGAGATCTTCTTTCAGCTTTTGCTTTTCCTTCATTCTTGCCATGATTTGAGCGCGCTGCTCTCGTCGGTCTTTGATCCATCCTTCAAGATCTCGCTCGCGCCATTCTTCATCTTTGCGTTCTTCCTCCTCTTTCTTTTCGCGCTCGCGCTTCTTCTCAGCTTTAGCTCGCATTCGGGCGTCGTAATTGCTTTTGAGTAACCGCTGGTGACGCTTCTGCTTTATTTGATCGGGATCTAGCTGGTCGTCTGGGATTTCCAATAACGGGAACGTCATCTCTTCAGTATCTGACTCTTCGTCGCCGTTGCCGACGTCCTGTTTTCGGGACCGTTTGATGGATTTATCCATATTCTTGATCATCTTTGACAGCTCGTTTTCGTCACGGATTCCCTCCGCGTCCAGCAGACGCTTAAACTCCTTCTGCGAGACTTGATCGGATTTGCTCTCGATTGAGCGGTAGTACTCCAAATCCTGCTCTTTCTGCATCAGTTTCTCGAGTCTGATTTTTGCCGCCTGCTCTTGCAGCTTGCGGCCGGATTCCTTCCGACGCTCTGCAATCTTCGCAAGCTCTTCCTCGGTCTTGACTGGAGCAATGACCTCTGTGAACGGAGCCTGGATGATGTGATTGCGCTCATCGAATCCCTCGTCACGGTCTAGATAGTGCTCGACTTCGTCAGCGTAGGATACCGGGGCAGTGTAGCAGTGCTCGCGCATCAGCATTTCGGCTTGCCAGGGTGAGATCTTTGCTGGCGTGTGCGGGTACTTGAGCTGCATCAGACTGAGAAGGAACGAGGAAGCCTGGTGGCCGCCCCAGTTCAACCTCTTTGCTTGATTGAGGATGCCGCGGCCGTTGACGACGGGGATGATGTGTGTGGTTTCGTTGCCGGCTGAGACTACGAGGCCAGTGTTGCCGTTGTTGTAATGGTACGAGAAGAGCGCGTCGATGCCAAGGGTAGCTGAGGGAACTGAATATGTCTCAAATAGGAGCTCTTGCATGTCTATTACATTCGAAAGTTAATGATGTCCAAGTAATCGCAAGTAGAAGATAGTGCATACGTTTGTGTTGGGCAAGCGGGGTCGCGAGTATCTCGTTCATAATCACTGGATTATCCACTTGACCCTGACTCGAAACGCCCATCTTCACAAACGTGTAATCAAGGATTGTTTCCAGATATTCCCAATTCGCCACCAACGCCCCGTCGAACGGCGACTTTGCCGCTTGTCGAGTATTGGCATCGTAGTTTGCGTCGCTTCCGATGAGCGTGAACGTGCGCAGGATCTTGCGATCCCTGTACCGCGCGATCTGCGTCGGGAACTGGAAACGAGGCGTGATGTCGCTCGCGAAACCGGCTCTGGTCTGCGAGGTGCCGAGGTCGAGCACGATCGGGACGCCTTCGCGGTAGTCGGCCGCAGGGGTGATGAACTGCGGCACTGGTATCTCGGGGAGCTGGTATAGCTTCGCGGGCGGGAACTCTTGAATCAAACCCGCGGAAGCAGCAGCAGATGAAGACACTGCGGGCAATGCTGAGGCCATGATGGATGCAGGCTCTGGCGTTGAATACGACATCTTGCTGTTGGTGGTCGAGAACTCCTTGCGATGGCTTTGGCCTCGCTGCACCTGACTTTGGGAGGGTCGGCGAACCTTAAAACTAGGGGAACCTCGAAAATACTCTCGATGTTCGCTCAGTTCGGCAGTCGACTATTCGCAATTGTTTGAATCTGTAGCAAAGATGGGTTGGTTTGAATCTGCAGCAGCAGTCGTTCTTGGGTCGAAGAACGTGTCTTCGTCGTTTATGGGTTTTGGCGGGAAGAAGCCCGAGACTGCGACTGAGACGATAGATATTTCCGATTCAAGCAGCAGCGCGAGCAACGTCTCTCTTGCTCCTTCTACCCCCGCGAGCTCCGTCTCGCTCTCAAACCCAGACAAGGTCGTCAATCCTGCTCAGTTCTTTATGTATGGTCATCCTGGACCCCACGTCGACTTTGATTTCCGCCAGGAATACATCTCCGCGTTCGACCGCCGCATGCGCAATCCCGCATACGTGATCGAGCACATCACTCCCCAGAGTATCGCCAAAAACGGAGCCGTGGATCGCAAGAAATCGGTGTTTAAGGAGAATGAGGCAATTCCGCTCAAGTTCCGGGCTAAGTTGGCGGACTATTTCCGGAGCGGGTATGATCGTGGACATATGGCCCCGGCCGCGAACGCAAAGTTCTCGCAGGATGCTATGGACGAGACTTTTTACTTGACGAATATGGCGCCCCAGGTTGGCGATGGATTCAACCGTGACTGTATGTGGTGAGCACGTTTATCTTCTGTGTTTATTGTTACTGACCATTGTCTTATAGACTGGGCGCATTTCGAGGATTTCTGCCGCCGCCTCACGCAATCCTACAACTCAGTCCGTATCGTCACCGGCCCGTTGTACCTCCCCAAACGGCACCCTGACGGCAAATACAGAGTGACCTACGAAGTCATCGGCAACCCACCCAACATCGCCGTTCCGACTCATTTCTACAAACTTATCCTCGCCGAATCCCCCGCAAAGGACCCATCCTCGAGCGACGTCGCCGTCGGCGCGTTCATAATGCCAAACGACGTGATCCGGAACGATACCGCGCTCAAGTCGTTCTATGTCCCGGTCGATGCTATCGAACGCAGCGCGGGTCTGGATTTCTTGGCAAATCTGCCGATGAATAGACGGAAGGACCTGTGCAGGGAGGTCAAGTGCGAGATTGTCGTGCGCGAGTTTATAAAGGCGTTGCCGGCTCCGGCACAGCCGCTCGGACTTCCTGCCCCCAGAAGCTAAGAAGTTCAACTTACATTGTATAGACTAGAGTTACTACTAGTATTATTATTGCTACAAAATAGTATTCAATTGAAAATAGCTGTTTATATCAAAATAAAGCTCTTTTACATATGGATCCGTAGATGCTTTTGGGAAAGGCTCAGTTCTTTGAACTGCTGCTCACACGACCTCGCTTCATCCACCCCGGAACCCCCTTCCCAAGACTGACCTTTCGCGAAGAACTCTTCTCGTCCGCCGCATCACCAACCGCACTCGCGCCCTCGTCTTCGAGCGTCAAGCTTCGCTGATGAGGAGCAGTATCATTCTGATAGCCATTCAATGGAACCGATCGGATTCCTTCTGCCACGGCTTGCGAGATCGAGTCGGATGCCGAGCCGGTGCTGATATTACGCATTTTGCGGCCATAGGTGGACACCTTGCGCGAGTTCGAGCCGGGACTGTCCGGCGGTGTGTTGAGTGTGGAGTCGGTATAGGTGCTGCTACCCTCTGATGGGATCTGTTTGTGTTTTTTCCAGCCAAGGCCTTTCATCGCGCCGCCGAATGCAGCGGCGGCAGAACTGGAGTTTCCTGTGCTGGATTTCCGAGAAGATATGCCATCGGGCGTATCGCTGCTCATGCTTCGGCTAGAAGATGTGCGCGAGTGCCCAACCAGATCTGTACTCGGAGATCGCGTATGCGGCGAAGTAGCTGTCTGTGTACTAGGCGCTGCTGGGGATGGGGACTGGCCAGAAGAAGATGGGCGAGTCTTGGGATTGTGGATCGGCGGTGCGGTTGATGATTCGTCTTGTTCTTCCAGGGGTTGTTGGGCGAGAGTGCCCGCTTGCGGATTTCGCGCAAGGCTAGGGGTGTAGGTGTTGCCGTTTGAACCTAGAGAGCTCGTCCGAGGAGTGGGAGCAGGCTTAGACTCTTGGATTGGTAGGTCTTTGGGTGGAGTTGTAGTCGTTGTTATTGTCGTAGTGGTAGTGGTAGCAGGGGTAGTGGCGGAGGCTGGAGTGGCAGGGACCGCAATCTGATCTGTCTGGCCGTCCCGATCCCTGACCGCAACCTCACTATTCTCCTCGACTTTGACGGTTGGATTTGCGAGATTGAAGTTCACGAGCTGCGAAGCCGAGATCATTTGCGACTTGCGGTACTCCTGGCGCCGCTGCTGAAGACGCTGATCTGTATCCCGCAGCCGTCGCTCGAGTGCAGTAAGTTCCTTTTGCTTGTGATCTATAAGGCTCGCGGATGAGAGAGAGAGGGAGAGCCCTGTGGGCGAGGTGTCTGTTGAGCTGTTTGAGAGACCGAAGATCTCGTCTAGTTGGTGCGAGAAGTCGAGGGCCTCAGAGCTGCGGAGGGATGTGATTAGCGGGGGTTGTTGAGAGTATGAATGGTAGAGGAAATACTTACGTCTCAGGAGCAGCGACCGAGGAAGACATGATGAGGTGAATAGGTCAATTGCAGGAAGTGAATGTCACTGAAATGAAAGAAGAAAGAGATCGAGATCTGGAAGGAAAGGAGCTGATTGAAGATCCAAACCGGAAGCATTAAACTCGAGGTGAATGAAGGGATGAGCCCTTTGCTGCTAATTCAGGGGTGGATGTCCAATTTCGGATCATGGGATTCGTACCCTTCCAACTCCACGCGTCTGAATCTTCCCGCAGTCGGCTGTAGCTCCTGGTCTGCTCTGATAAGTCTGTTATCACTACTTAAATACACACTCCTGTTCAAACCCACGAAGCAGCCCAGAGGGAAGGCGCAGAGGCAGAACAAGGGCGGAGGAGCAGTGTTGCCAGTTTACCAGAACAGGAAATGAGACCAAACTTTATCGCTAATCGTCAATCTTCTGTACCGAAAAACGCAGCAGCCTCGAGCTGCAGATTCGTGCATTGAACGGTAGTTTGTGCTGGTCAAAGTGAATTGTAGAGCATAGAAGATTGCTACAGCATTGATATTATGAATATGTTGACTGTCAATGTATCAACATCTCTTTGGCAGGTTTACTGTACCAAAGTAGCCGTCAGTCGATATACGCGTCTCTACGCTGATACAGTCATGTCAGAGATATCTGCTATACTCTAGATCTAATTGTTCTCTGTTCTTAATACCAAACAAATCAATCGAGGTCATATCATCGATTCCTTCGGGAGTACTGCTTTGCTTCGCTTTACTCTGTTCTGCTCTGCTCGCAGTAGCAGCTCACGTCGGAGTCTCATCAGTTTTGGCAGACTCCATCGATCCCAGTACCATTTGCTGGGATCACCGTTCTTGACCCATAAACCCCCCGAATCTCCTCCTAACAACATACACAATCACATCTCAACAACTATCAACACAAGCAGCAGGTAATTCTCTATCAGCCTTCACCGCGTCTCATTAGTCCCCCGCCCTAACCCACACTCACTTACTTTTCTCCGGGGTTCGTCGTTCTCGTTCCTGACTGCGTTCATCAAGTCTTCAGGAAGATCTATATCGCGAGGCTTCTTCTTCGACAACATAAAAATGGTAGCTCAGAGACTGATTTCAAGACGAGGGATTGAGAGCGTGTGTCGCCTGGCCAGCCGGACCTCTGTGCCTAGAAACCGGCTTTTCTCCGCGGCTGCCGTCTACTCATCATCATCGTCATCCGCATCTCGTTTGACTGCAATTCGAAGCGGCCTTCGCTACTCTCCTTCCTGCTCGTTCTCAACAACTAGCAGCTTACGAACAGCAAGCGTCGATGGTGAATACAAAGTTGACGAGCTCACTATCTCAGAGTACCACGCTATTGCCGATGAGACTCTCGAGAGTATCATGACGCACTGTGAGGATTTGGCGGATACGAAACCTCAAATCGATGTCGAGCTTGCTGTGCGTCATCCAAGCTTGTGTATATTTGTCTATTGCAGTGACTGACACTATCTTGATATCTAGCAAGGAGTGCTTACGCTGATATTACCTCCCAACGGAACATACGTGATCAACAAGCAGCCGCCTAACAAGCAGATCTGGCTCAGTAGTCCGATCTCGGGACCGAAGAGGTTTGATCCCTACTCGTCCTCATATCCTCATAGGCTTAACCCCCTCTTGCTAACAACAGTCACAGATACGATCTAATTGACGGCCAATGGACCTACCACCGAGACGGATCAACTCTCGGCAATTTGCTCCGCGAAGAAGTCACCGAAGCTCTCGGTATCGAGGCTACTTTTGACGGCGTTGACGACTACAGCAAACCTCGATAGGCTTATCCGCGTGCTTTGAAATCTGCTCATTACATTACCATGTAACATATATACATCTCCTAATGCATTCAAAATAACAAACTGAACTCCATTCCTTATGCATCCTGCTATCTTAATCTTCACCGCTTCTTCCTTCCATTTGACTCCTCCGTAACTGATCCCTCCTTCCGCTTCCTGCTCATCAAATCACGCACCTCAAACGGCACCCTCTTCGTCCTCGCAATCTCTATAATCTTCCCAATCTTCTCGTAATACTTCCGATCCAACAGCCACTCATCCGGAATAATAGGAATCGCCCACTCCCGCGCATACGCGACCTTCGCAAGCGACCGCACGCCCGGAATCCCCCTCTTCTCCACCGGATTTATATTCTTGACCTGGTCGTACACTGATTTGGGAATAACCAGCAAGTCGCAGCTGTAATCGAGCACGCCCGTAGTCTTCGCACCGAGCAAGAACAGCAGTCTTCCGAAATGAGTGCGGTTCATGCCTTCAAAACACGAGTACTCGACGTGCTTGTTTTTAAACACTGCCGCTTCGGGCGAGTATATCTCATGGCCGAGGTAGCCAGAGTATTTGCTTCGCGTTGGAGGAATCAGCTCTTTATGGAATATCGACAGATCAAGATACCAGTCCGTCACCACCACAGCTGACCCTGGTAGCTCCTCCGGAATCTCAGCAGGCGACAGCTTATGCTCAAGCACCACATGCGTCGGCACCGGCATATCCCCCGCGCCGTCCATAGACGCCACCGTCCTTGCTCCGCGCGCAGTCACAAACGGCTCCATCGTCGCAATCTTTGCTTCGTCAAACCCATGGAAATAGAAAACATGGCCTTCAAGCAACCGTGACTCCTCGTCGTCGTCGAAGCCATTCACGTCTTCAGCGGCCGTATCTAGCTTCGCCGACTCGTCTGCCGAAACCAACTCGAACGGACCCCGCCCGTCTGCCGTCGCGCTGTCTTTCGAATCCGCCACAACCTCGTCGTGACTACTCGTTCGCGGCACCGCTAAACTATCCGAAGACGTCTGCAACATCATCGAATTCCAAGTGCTATCAGACTTTGTCCTCGCAAGCTTCGTAAGCACTTTCCTCGCCCGCCGGCTATCATCAACCTTGCGCACCACGCTCGGCTTCGGCACATACACATCCCCATACTCCTTCTCCACAATCCCCGCCAAATTCTCCTCCCACTCCTCCGGTTTCAGATCGTACGAAAACATCTCGATCGGCGCCAGCGCGCCGCGCTTCTTGCACGCCTCGATCCACAACGGACTCACCGTCCGGATCTTGCGCTGCATCGCAAACTCGTATTTCTGGCCTGATGGGTTCAAAGAGATCAGCACGTCCGTTCGCGTCGTCAGGTTGGACGTGTACGTCCCTCCGTTTCCGCTGATGTACTTTATCGTCTCCCTTCGTTCCGGATCAACCAGCCCGCTAATCGAAATCGTGTACCCCCCAAACATCCTCCGATTCCCATACTCGCGAAGCTCAGTCTCGATATCAATATCATCGCCTTTAATCCAGCGGTCGTATAATTTCGGGATAAACTCGACATCCAAAAACATCACATTCGACCGTTTCCGAAACGCGAAATTGTACTTTGGAGACACCTTCCGGTTCGGCGGCAGGTTCACGACTAAATGCGTCACGCTGTTCATCAGATTCTCGCACGACTTGCCACCCAGCTGACTGCATTTCTTATTCAACTCTTCCTATACCACCACAAACACCCTGGTCAGCACTTACTCGACCGACGCGGAACTAGTGGCGGGATAAAGGTACTCACTCGCTGAGGCGACTCTAGACCAGTCGTGCAGATGACAAACCCGTGCAGCGGCCGTTTTTTCTCAGATATATCGTCGTCGTCTGACATCTTCAATCCTCACAGTCACAAAAACTACCTCCTTGATCTTGCGCTGGCGCTGGTGCGGTCCTGTTAGAGTTGGAGTTGTTGAATTTGTTGACGCGTGTAGATCCACTTGACGCGTCAAACATGCTTCCTCCGCGCGCATAAACTGCTTGGTTACGTAATACATTTGTAAGCACAATGGATGCTCCCCACTGTCAACAATCGACCATGTCTAGAAAAGCTACATATTGCTTTGACTTTCAAAGTGTGAATAAAAACTGTATATATTTAACTGTGTTACGGCCCAATGAATACGGGAGCTCTCTCCGAATTCAAGATCTTCGAGGAATCTCTTAATAAATGTACAAGTATGAGCCGTAAGCATCAAGATATAGAAATACACTGCACTATTGCAGAAAGAAACAGTGCAGAGTTGTGTCGTCTTCAGCTAATAGCTGGTACAGATGTCGACAGTTTGAGCGAGGAAAGAAAGCAGATATACAGAATACTAAAAACTGAACAAAGGGCAATGTCGTTGATGTTCGCTAGACGTTGAGATGAGGAGGTGAAATAAACGAAAGACATGAATGTAGTTGCCTGTTAACGGTCGACGGTAGCTGATAGAAGTCTATCTCTGCATGGCTTGAAGCGAATGTTGCGACCCCTATAAAATGTTAACACAGTGTCTTTGAATATATTGAGGGAGTTGACATTAGCTCGTCTCAAACGCACTCATACAACCCATGGAAAGCGGCACGTTGCTTCCTGAAACCAATGTATAGGTAACAACGATGCATATTGAATGTCAAAACTTCTCACGCCCGTCGTCAACCTATCGCATCCAAATTATGATCTCTGGTTAGCATGTGTCAACATGATCACTTAGCCATCTCACCTTAAAGCAATCATACGACATCATCGGCGCTATGAAGACCGCTTAGCTTCCTCCAGACGCGCCTGCAATGCTTGCTCCTTCTCAAGTTTCCAGCGTCGCGATCGCTGTGTCGGAGCAGCCGGTTTCTTCCCCGCTTTGTCAAACGGGTTCATCGGGACTTGCAACAGCTCAGGCTCGGAATCGAGCTTGTACTGTACATGCTTGGATGACTGGGCTTTGTCTTTTGTGGCGTCATCTGGAGACTCCACAGTGCCACTGGATTTCCGAGGCTGTGATTTTGGTATAGGCACTGCAGGAATCAGCCCAGGTGGCATAGCTGGCATAGTCAGATCGATGAGCTGCTTGGCCTTTGAAGACGAGGAAGCGCGAGCTTGGCTGTCCGGAGCATTAGTATCCACAACACTCGGCTTCGCAGCTTTATCCTTCCGTTGTATGGCACCCGCCAGTACCTCCTTTAAGATAGACTTTGCATTTTCCGGCGAAGGCGCTCTATCGCCAACAGTGGATGCTTTATCAGTCGACACGGGAGATCGAGAAACAATCGCGGCATCTGCTGGGGCTTTCTGTCCAGATACAGGCGTAGAGGCTCCTCCACTACTACCCGAGGGAGTCCGCGAAGCAACGCGGGCTTTGGAAGGTGATTTGCCTGCCGCGTCTGTAGTCTCTGGAGAATTGCTGGTAGGCGTTCCTGCGCTGATCTTCCTTGCGACCAGTGGCGTACCATCTTGACCTCTAGAAGTGTTGATTACCGTAACGAGCAACTCCTCAATTCTGTCTAACCGACGATCTCGTTCCTCTATCAACTGCTTGAGCTGTTCAAGCTGCTCGCTGCTCTTCTCATCACGTCGCTTGGCTTGCTCATCCAACCACAACAAACGTTTGACGATTACATCCTGAGCACTCTCAATCACTTTGGCAAGCCATGCCGAGACCTCCTGGATGAAATCAACAAGAGCTATCCCGTATGACGTAACAATGCGGTTTGTGTCTTCGGCGCGCTTTTTGGCGTTCTCCTCTGTCCACTTTATCAGATCGTTTATGGCGCCAAAAAGCACTGCTGCTGCTTCGGTCGGGTAATTTGACATTTGCGCGTTGAGTGAATTGACGATATCTGCAACCGCAGTCCGGGATTCTTTGATCTCGGTGGACACCTTCTCGGTAAGCTGATCCATATGAATCTTCATACTTGCGAATCTTGACATGGAAACCTCAACCAAATCTTCTTGGCTAATACTTATCTCGTCCATGATTCGATTTGACGAATCCTTGATTTGCTGTCGTAGATGCCAGTCGCTCTGGACTGCGTTCGTGCCCTGAAGCCGCCGGTGTATGTTCTCATTGACTTGCCTGAATCCGTCCGACGATCTTCCAGAAATCTCACCAGCTTGTTCGCGTAGTTGATATCCTAGCAAATCAAAGCTTTTCTTGACTAAGAGCGTAAGCTCGCTCAGCGAATCTTCAGGTATTGCAGCCGGTTGGGTAGCCGTATTGTCTCTGAACTCGGCACGACGAGTAGCAGCCTCTTTCCTTGTTTCGGGTTTGACACTGCTCGCCCCGGACTTTATCGCAGATTTGCGGGTAGCAGACTCTTTCTTTGTCTCTACCTCTCTCCGATAACGACCGGCTGGCTCGTGATCGAAGCCGGCCCTGAGCGAGGCGGCTATTGCATTTGTTAGTCGCTGATCCACAAAGTACAAAGAACAAAACAATGCCGCATACTTGAATAAAATATAACATATACAATAGCAAACAAAACGAGACCGTGCAGAAGAAACTGCACGGATCGACCAACGTCATGCACCAGCTCTTGCGCAGAGAGGATCAGATCGGCGAGATCTATCATCGTTCTGTCGACAAATTAGACGAGGTGGAAGTAAGCGTTGCAACGTGAATGTCCAGATGCACAAGTTAAGTATAGAATCCAAAGAGATAGATATATTGCGCGCAGGAGGGCGAGTGGGTCATAGAGGAAGAAAGAGAAGGACGCGCTGGGTGAGTGGTCCAGGTCGAGGTAAATAAACGAGACACGTGCGCGCTCCCAACGTGTAAACCTTAACTGAGACTGCTAAGCACTGTTCAATAGGTGTTGAATAATAGACAAAACCTGTTAGCTGTATAGAAGAGATAGTTAGCTATGGGTTTTTGACTGATTGCAGATGATAGTACTTTTGTCACTATAGCCAGTAAAAGGCTGGTTGCTGATCAGAGGTACGCAACAGTTGGCCGTAGATATTGTTCGACGCGCCCATCAGACAGCATCAGCAGCACACCTCGTTATTACGTATCCTCAAACACGTCTAGTGCATGTAGATAAATCTGATCAACAAATGCTATCTCCTTTGAGAGTATTTCCTGGGTCTATACTCTTGCGGCAGGTATTCGTAGGGTTCCAAGAAGTAGTCCAGCAGCTGTCCTGCGAATGAACCTAAATCATCCACCCTGTGCTCGAAAACAGAATGAACTCCAGCCTTCCTTCGACTATGAGCAGTTTGACTATAAACAGATCTGTGTGCACTTCGAGTGAGTATATCCACCTTCAACAAAGACCGACTATTCTACCACAACAGCGCGCTCCACTACCAATCAGCACTTACAAACACCGAGAAGTCAATTTCTGTTATCAGCTAGCGCGAACAGTGCGGCTCAGCAAGCGGAGGCGATAACGGGTAACTCCGTAACTTCAACTTTTTCATTACTCATTCCGCCCTCGGTACCGACGTCTTTCTTTTTTCTCCTCATCCCTCACGTCAAATTCCAGGTCCTCGACAAAGCCATCGTTGTGTGCCGTGTACTGCGCTGAGTTTATAGACACCGCATTGGTTTTTGGCAGTTCAACGGTCGATATCTAGTCTGCTGCTGCCGACTATTTTGATTATTCCTTCTAGTTACTCTTTTATTCATTTCTTAAGGAGTCTTTCCCATGGCACTGGAAGATCGAGACATAGATGAGCAGGAGGCTCAGGAGGCCTCCCGTTTGCTAGGAGACACTTCAGCCGAAGACGACCAAGAGGCCCAGGTAGACGCGGCAGAGCGCGAGGAGCTAGCGAACGGCAGGCTTGTGACTATCTTCCTCTCCCTTTACGTCGGCGTTTTCCTCTCGGCTCTGGACGGTACGATTGTTGCGACGCTGCTGTCGCGTATTGCCTCGGACTTTAACGAACTGCGCTCTGTGTCTTGGATTGCGACTGGCTATCTGATTTCGCAGGCTGCTGCGCAGCCCCTGTATGGAAAGCTATCAGATATCTTTGGCCGAAAGCCTTTGCTGCTTGTCTCCAATGTAAGAGTTGCTTATATGACTGAGCAGGTATGAATTAGTCTGCTGACATTTCTCTAGGTGCTGTTTGGAATTGGCTCGGTTCTGTGTGGTGTTGCACCCAATATCTGGTTTCTTGTCTTTGCTCGCGTGATTGCGGGTTCGGGCGGCGGCGGTCTTACCACCCTCAGCGCTATTACTCTCAGTGACATTGTTTCTCTTCGACAGCGCGGTCTCCTTCAAGGTATAGGAAACGTTCTGTACGGCTGCGGCGCTGCATTTGGCGGTATCGTTGGTGGAGTTCTTGCCGAGTCAGTTGGCTGGCGATGGACTTTTGCCTTGCAGGGCCCGATCATCGTCCTGTCGATTGCTGCTATTCAGTTCAATCTTCAACTTCCGCAGAAAGAAGTGAACAAGGACCTGCTCAAGCGTATCGATTTCCTTGGCTCGTTCACACTCGTCACTGGGCTTTGTCTGTTTTTGTTCTCCGTCAGTGTCGGCGGCACTTACTTCTCTTGGAAATCGGCAATCGTTGTCATGCCCTTGAGTTTGTCGTTCATCGTGCTCGGCGCGTTTGCGTACATTGAGCTGTACGTTGCCGAGGAGCCTGTTATCCCCTTGTTTTTGCTCAAGGACCGCACTGTCGCCGGCTCAGCATTCACCTCGTTCTTCATGACGCAGGTGTACTTCTCAAACATTTTCTACACCGCCATCTACTCGATCTCCGTGAAAGGCGACAGTGCGACCAAGTCCGGCTCGAGCTTGATCCCTCAGTTCATTGGTAGTGCGCTCGGATCGCTAGTGTGCGGAGTTTACATGCGCTCGACGGGTAGATACAAGCCGATGTCGTACCTAGCCGGATCTTGTCTCACGCTGGGATCGCTCTTGCTGTGCACTGTCCATCTCGACACAAACACGACCTTGGTCGGCTCATACTTGTTCCTTCCCGGTTTCGGCGGCGGCATGTTCCTGACCATCACTCTCGTCGGCCTGATCGCCGCGGTTCCGCAGGAGTTCCAAGCCGTGAGCACATCGATCCAGTACGGCTTCCGCGGCGTCGGCTCGACAATCGGCGTTGCGATCTCGGCCGCCATCTTCCAAAACATCCTCGGCCTGCAACTGCACCGCCGCATCACCGGCCCCGGCAGCGAGGAAATCATCGACCTGGTATCGGACTCGGTCGACAACATCAGCCGGATCCCCGAGGCCATGCGTGAGAGCGTCACACTCAGTTATCTCGAGGCATGCCGCGCGGTGTTTTACAGTAGTGCTTTGATGGCGATTTTGGCGTTTGTTTCGAGCATCTTTATGAAAGAGCATGTGTTGCATAAGACAGTCAACCGGTCGCGGTGAGCGGGGTCTCTGAAATGTTCTATGAAATGTTTTATTCATGAGAAGGGAGGTTGGAGTGATTATTTCATGATATGTTCATATGTGAATAGTGGGTTTGGAAGGCAGACGGGGTTCATAGTGTAGATAGTTCAAATGCCATTTTGAGAGGTTGAAGTTCGAATCTACGTAGATATTCATTCGCCATCCGACCACACCGTCATCTCTATGACGTCTTGTCTCTATGACGAAATGAGAGAAGAAAATAAATGTTGGACCCTGGATAGTGACCAGTAACCACCCGAAGTGTCGGTACATCCAAAGGCGTGGTTTCGTCTGGTGCTCGGTGGAGCCGGAGCCTCAAATTGTAAAATGAGAGGGCCACATCCAGATCCAGAGAACGCGATGGCCGCCGTACTACGGTATACACCAGATATATCTATCATGATTGTTATTTAAACCCATCGCCGGCCCCGTCTGTGGTGGGATTGGGACAATATTCTTTGTATTCCTGATGATTGATATTGCAGGTGTGCCTTCGAGCGTTGAGCAAACGCTACTCGCTACACACAGCACAGACTCGTCGTCACCGTCACCACAAAGCAGTCAGCAACCACCAAACAACGCTTCCAACCTTCAACATCTACAAAAGGAAAACATCAATCTGAAACGAGAGATAACCGGTCTACGAAGGGTAATCGACGCCGACACCGTCGAGTTCAAAAACATGCGCGCAGTGATTATCGAGCAGCGCGAGCATATCGCCGCACTGGAACGACAGGTGTATATGAACTACAAGATGTACCAGAGACGCGAAGGCGCGTTGCAGAGGCTGAAGAGCGAGTGTGATGGATTGAAGGCGGATAGGAAGTTGTTGTTGGTGCTGCTGTGTGATAGCGACTGATGGAGTTATACGTCATCTGAATTCTAAGAATAAATGAGTATGATTTTAATCAGCGTCTTCACGAGCAACTAGCTATGACAGACCAAGAATAAGCCTGACATAGCAATATTATAGTCTTAATAAAATGATAGACTGTTTTGGGATATAGAAAAGCAGACTTTTATTGATTATTGCACTACCTCGGCGTGAAGCTTGACATCCTTCTCTCCCTCCCACAAAACCCCAGACACCAAATTACTCGCACCCTGAACAAGCGCCGGCGCAGCAGCCACAACCACCGAAATTCTATCTCTAACCACTTTCTCAGACTCAAACGGAATCGCAGACTGCTCACCTGGGTTACCATCTCTGATGAGCGAGGAGAGATTATCGAGCAGGTCGACGTCCTGGACTTGCTCGTCCTTGATCCATATCAGGATTTTGACGTTGGGGAATAACTTGAACTCGTTCAGGTCAACCCACGCCAGATGGCTTCGTGTCTCGACTTCCCAGAGGAAAAAGATGTCTGGGATATACACCCGCTCTGCTCTCTGCCACGTGTATCGTTGTAATCGGCGCGCGTAGCTTAGTGCAAGGGGGAAGGTGAATGTCACTCCTTTGCCCTGCGCGAGGAGAATAGCGGTATGATCCAAGTAAAGACGAGGGCTATATCCGTACGGCCTAAATTACAAGTCAGACCAAGAACAAAAGTGTTTAAAAACACACGAAACATACCCTTGAATAGACACTTTAAACGAATCAGCCGCCGGCATGGCAATCGACGCCTTCGACGCCTTCGACGTCAGCAACAACTGCAGCCGCCCGCTCTCCTTCAAGCTAACGATCGTAGCCTCGTGGATCTTCCACCGGAGCTTCCGCTCAAGCGGGACGTATAGGTAGATATACTGGCCCGCGCTCCATCGCATTTCGTAGTCGCGTGCAGAGCTGTGGATGCTGATGTCGAGCTTGACCGCGGTGCCTGAGGAGGTGTATGGTGATGAGCCGGAAGACAGTTCCTCAAAGTACTCTGCGTGCGCGACGAAATGGCGCCAGTCGCGGAGACGGGTGAGAATGTCGACTAAAAAGACTACTGCCCCGACAATCACGTACGCGCGACTAAGTCGGTCGTAGATGAATAGAAATACAAGTGCGACGGATATCAGAACAAACTTCAAAGGGTCAAGAGCCAGCTCTTGGTGATTGATCCGCAACAGCACATCCTCGAATACGCAAACCACGAGATTCAGCATCAATGTAGCAAACGAGATAAGCCCTGCTACACTGTCAATTAACCTTTGCTCGCGATCACTGATGTTCAAAGCGGTAAAGACGATTGCAAGGGCGCAGATAGTGAACCCGACGTTTGTCCGCAGCAGTCGATATTGATCGTGCGACCACGTCGTCCACGAGACAAAGAGACCTGTCCTTGCGCCGAGGAAGAAGTAGAGCGGGATATTGGCGATCATGATCAGTCCTGCGCGGTCGGCGACGACTGGTTTTAGAAAGTCGGTGTTGACGAGGGTGTAGAGGATCGTGAGACCATAGTAGCCTAGTAGAAGCAGAATTGCGCCCACGGATAGACCGCGGATTGGGGAGTATATCAGAAGAGACTGAATTCTGCGCACGACGACTCTGTACTTTGGCGACGAAGATCGAACGCGAGACCGACCCGTCAGAGGCGTAGTCTCGCTAAGAGTTGTTGAGGACGCACTTCTCGAGACATGCTCGAGCAGGGAGTTCTGGGAGTGGAAGGCATTGAAAAGAGCTAGAAGCAGGAATATCGCGACGAAAATGGCATTGTAGGTGAGGTAGAAGACGTGCGACCAGGCCTCGTCGCTAAGGACGCGCTGGCGGTCTTCGTCTGAGTAGGTCGGCATCCGCGGTACCCAGAAAGGCCAGCTATTGTGGAGAAGATGAATAATGTGACAGGGAAGATAGTGGTAGGAGGGATATTAAAAACGATGTTTCGATATTTTTCTCATTCTATTGATTCTCTCATGTTTTTCTCCACTATTCCTTGAAGTAAGAATTCGAAATCCAGAACATCGATGACACAATCGCAGGTAAGCTTTCAAGCCACTGACCTACTAATGCAGGTTCCCTTTACCGATACACAGATATTAACAGATGACTCAGGGCTCATGTCCAGACTAACATACTAGCATTGGCCATTGCTTGGTCTGGTCTGATCTTGGTCGTGCATGGCTGGTTTGGAAGAGGGAGTCATCAGGTTGGGAATGGAGGGGAACAATGGAGCAGGTGTAGTTGGCGAGCAGTCGAGCTCCCGGCTTGAACTGACAGAACAATAGCAGCTAGTTACAGAGCAATCACGGCCAGATATAACACAGAACCCATGTCCAGCAATCAAACAATCAGACAGCCAAATCACGGCAGAGTTGGCAGCTGCCAGCGTGAACGGCTGAACGGCAGCCCGTCGGCATTCCGCGGGCCGCCTTCACAGCAGGTTCATATCGATCCAGTGAAGAGCGAGTGGCCGGCCGAGTTCATCGGGGCGGCGAGAGAGCGGTGGTGCAATATTGCGCGGAGGCCGCTTGCGCCATTTGAGCCCCGAGTGAGGAAACGGCAGCCGTTCCCCACACCCACACTTGAGCCACCGCGATATGGAAGGACAAAAAATCAGACAGGACAGCACGAACAATGATCTGCGTCCGTACGATCGGTTAGACGTTGAGGATATCAAAAGCCGAAAGACGTTGGTTGTTCATAAACCCTCAGTCTTATCAGAAGAGGTCGCAGAAGCCCGCTTCTGCCCAGAGATATACAAGACTAAGCATTGTAATACAATGCTTCTGCCCAGCAGAAGCTGCCCAGTAGTAATTACAGAACTTCACTGATTTGCAAAGATCTGCCCTCATAGTAGATAATCCACGATCTTCTTCGACAAGCAGCCAATTAAGCGGACAGCCAGTGGCGTTTTGGCTTGAAAGCCATCGTCTGCAACCAGTTCAGGGTGGAACCGGCCGTCAGCGGGCACAGCGCGAACAGCATAGTTATGACGCGAAATGTGCTAAGAGTGTGTAGCGATTGCGCAATACACGCTAAACCGAGGCTAGTCCCAATCTAGTTAGTGCCCAATGACTCAAGGAGTAATTAAGATTTTAGAGTGGGAGAGTCATCAATTGGACTAACCCGATCAGGCTACACGTCTTGGAACTCAGGGGTTTGAGCTCAGAAGCTGATCTCGGAGCTGAAAAAACTGGTACGCGCGAGTTGGATGAGAAATCCTCGAGGCAGCTCAGAGGCAGAACAGCGGCCCTCGAATAAATACTTTCGCGGTGCCCCCCCGGTCGGTCTTGTTTCTGTCCATCCGCGATCTCTGAAGCACCTCCCTGACTCTACCCAGTCGTCACCATGTCTGCTCCAATTCCTCTCGCCGACTCTATCAGTATGTGCCTCTGCCTCTGCTTCTGCTTCTGCTTTGTGATCTTGTATCAGAACTTCCGTGCTGACTGACTCTCTCTGCTCAGACAGTGCGCGCTCCGACGAGAAAATCGAAGGCCATCTGGCAGACATTGGCATCGACCGATCGTCTGACGAGAGCGTCTACTACGCCGAAGATGACGAGCGCGACCCCGATGTCATCCTCGCTCGATTTCTGAAGCTCGGCACCAGTGCCTGGACGCCCGAGGAAGAGGCCAAAGTCACGCGGAAGACCGACTGGCGTGTGATGCTGTGGGCCTGTATCATGTTCTTCTCGCTCGAGCTCGATCGTGCCAACATCTCGAACGTGTTGACGACTGATTTCCTGGAAAACGTGAATATGACTACCCAGGACTACAATCTTGGCCAGACTGTGTTTCTGATCACCTTCTTGGTGATGGAGATCCCCTCGCAGCTGCTCATTCGGTACCTCGGGCCCGAGGTGTGGCTTCCGTTCATGATGTCTGCTTGGGGAATCGTCGCCATGTGCCAGGCATTCATCAAGAGCCGATCGGTGTACTTGCTTCTTCGCGCTCTGCTCGGTGCCTGCGAGGGCGGATTCATCCCTGGTCTTGTGCTTTACCTGTCATCGTTTTACAAGTCACACGAGCTGGCTGTCCGATACTCCTGGATCTGGAGTTCCTCGCAGCTGACGGATGTGGTCTCTTCCCTTCTCGCGGTCGGAATCCTGCAGATGAAGAACGTTCACGGATGGTGGGATTGGCAGTGGCTTTTCCTCATCGAGGGTCTTTTGACCGCTGTCATTGGCATCTCCACCGCGTTCGTCATGCCCTCTGTGCGCAAGAAAAACATCTCGCGCGTCTACACCCCTCGCGAGGTCGCTATTCTCCGCGCCAAGGTCCTGCTTGACGACGAATCCAAGCTCCGCTCGCTCGATCGCCACCCGCACTTTTCGTTCAACATCCGCACGATCGTCATGTCGCTCTTCGACCTTTACCTGTTCCCGCTCTACTTTTTGGGATTCTTTGGCTTCATTCCGTCGTTGCAGGGCAAGTCGTACCTGACTATCAATCTCAAGGCGATGAAGTTCACTACTCTGCAGAGCAACTTGCTCGCTATTCCGGGCTCGTTGATTTGCATCGTCTGCATGCTCACAATCTCCAAGATCTCGGACTGGAGAAAGACTCGATGGGTGTTCCCTATCGTTGCGTCGCTTTGGGTTATCCCGAACTTGATTGCATTGATTGCTCTACCAGACGACGCCTCGCGTTGGTCGCGATACGTGTGCCTGACGCTGATTGTCGGATACCCTTACTTCCACCCGATCATGATCGCCTGGATCTCGCAGAACTCGAACGACCACGAGCACCGCACGATCGCGGCGGCATGGTACAACATCTTTGTGCAGTGCGGCAAGATCGCGGGATCCAACATCTACCAGGCAAAGGACAAGCCGTTCTACCACACCGGTAACTCGGCGTTGATTGGTATTGCTGTCGCGAACGCGTTGACGGCTGTCGGAGTGAAGGTTCTGTACTCGTACACCAACAAGAAGAGATCTAATAAGTTGGCGGAGATGACGCCCGAGCAGTTTGAAGAGTACCAGAGCTCGACGAAGGACAAGGGCAACCGTCGTCTCGATTTCAAGCTATACACTTAAAAATTTGTTCTTGATCAAGCATCTGCATTTGCTGATATATATATGTTTTATTTGTTTATGTTTTATATGTTCTATATGTTTTCAGGAGGGCTGCTTATGTTAGAATATGTTGGAAGGTCCGGATTGTTTGCTCATGTTTATGTTTCATATATTGATTTTGGGATTCTTTGGCGTTATGCATCAGTTATGTCTAGACTTTAGATGAAAAAATCATTCATTATACAGAACTACACTCATAATGATAATAGAGATGAAGAATGAAGATATGACTTTGAGTCAATTGACGCTTATCAGAGCATCGCAGAACATTCTGAGTCGGCCCGAAGTAGGCTCATGCTCGTGCTATCTTCGTCTACTCCACCGCCTCCTTGCGTGCGCGACCACCGTGTCCAGCACGTTATAGTTTCACCGCGGGAGGCCCGGAAGCCGCTGAGGCCGTCGGCATGTCGGACGTAGCCTGCCTCGTCTACAAGTCCACGATAATCAAATGTTGCGAGAGTCTACAAGGGACGTCCTCGCCACCTTCACTCTGCTCTATAGAACGAGCAGGAGAAAAAATTGCACGCCGAGAGGGTATTTTCAAACCAGGAACGGCAGACGCAGGAAAACTTACTCGGACAGGCAGCAAAAGACAAAAATGAAAATGGACTTTGTATCCCGAGGCTGCTTTAGAGTTATATTAGTATGCTCAAATTTTTTACTCCCCAGGATTATAGCTATGTATAGTAGATACGCAACTGCATGTATTCTGGTGCTGTACACACGGGATACAGCCGCCACACGATCCTGTGCGGCGTTTTCTGCGCACGTTAAAATTTTTCATTGAACCAGCGGCCCGCGTCGGTCGTCGCCGAGTTTTATCACGAACAAGAAAGGAAAGAGCCGGTCCGCGGTATAGATGACGATGCTACAACATCCAAGCAGAGTGTGCAGCTGTAATGTAATTGCTCGTGAGTGCCGCTGTAATTGTCCGCTTTGAGACCCGTCCGTTATGATTGAGTAAGTCCCTCAAATAAACAGCGCATTTCTGTTCTTTGCTGGCTGTCATTTCGTGCTGCCTATAGTCAAGCTGAGATTAGTAATATGTTACGTAATAGACATCAGCCTCAAAAAATGCGGCGTCTATCGTCAGTCTTCTGTCCTTAATTGCAGCTGATTGTAGCTCTCTGACACGCTCCATACCAGCCAGCTCGTCCTTAGGTGCCTGTCCTGGATTCATACAGTCGGCAGTGTTCAAGCTCATCAGAAATCTCACAAAACTGAAGGAACTTGTCGTGCGTGGTCTTACTCAGGTGGATAATGCTGAGGTTGACTACAGTGCGATGGTCGCTCGCAGTCAAGTTCTGCGATCGCTCTCATTCCTACGAGCACTGACAAAGGCGCCCCTAAACGTGAGCCTCAGTGATCGTCTTCAACAACAGCTTGATTGATGCAAACATATATGAGCTGAAGAGGGACATCCTTCGCGGACTGAAGTACGTGGATCTCGTGTGTTATAGCCTTTTCGACCGATGGCGTGTCATATCTGATTGAGCTCGGACGACGCCTACTTCGCACGCTGCGACTTCAACACGCAGCTGCTACACATATATAGCTTGACAGAGTGGCCGATTTGGTATATCTGCTCGCCTACGCTACGGGAACCCAACATTGGCTTAATGAATGGCAATTGCAGTGCGCTGGCAGCTTCATCAAAGAAGAGAAGCTGGTGATGGCATCAGGTGAAGCTCTTTGTAAGCCTTTGTAAGGCACACAGGTGACTTTAGGTTTCCACACATAGCTCTGGGTTGGCGCACGTGCCATATAGAAGCTGATTCCACGACAGCTGCGATTGATAACAGCGATCCTTCTAATTTGCAGACTGACGTCTGGTGTATCGCGCAACATGCAGACTCGCTGTTGTGGTCAGTCTGCAGAATTCTAGTGCAAAACAGGCTGTCGTCAGAGAAGAGAGAGACCGGCCGGCAGATCGGATACGATGTGATGGACGACAAACCCTACAGCCTGCGACTCATGACGTCAACGTAGCGGCGACTCACGGGACTCACTTCACCTGATTTATCCAGAGGCCGGTTAGTATATAACAACTCATTGTAGTCTCTTCTTATAGCTTCCAGGTCTATCTTTAGTCAATCCTTTGTGACCTTCTTACTCTTCACGCTATTTTCTCGCTTTCTGGTGGCTCACAGACACCTCGCTTTCTCTTTGTGTCACTTTGGCTCACACATCACATCTTTGCTTTTGTGATCCGCAACTAGCCCCGCATTCCCCCTCATCATCCTCATCCTCATCCTCATCTTTCCACCTTCACCACGTCGTTCTTCAGAGATTACTACCCGACCCTCCAGGAACCCACCATGGCTCCGCTACCAGATCATGTTCTCTTCCGCCCCTTGGGCCCAGCAGATATTGAAAAGGTAGTCAAACTCGAAGCCAAGACCATCCCGTCGCGCGAGTGCACTGGCAAGGAGCGAGTTAGCTACTGGCTGCGCGCCGCTCCCGAGCTCAGCGCCGGCATGTTTGTGCGGATTCCACCCCGCAAGGGAACTTCATGTCGCAAAATGTCGCGTCGCCGCAGCAGTACTGATTCGGCCGCTTCCAGCGCAAGTTCAACGAGCTCTTCTTCGTCTTACAACAGCCGAAAGGGTCCAGAATCAAAGCTTGCCGATGCGGAAGAGGAGGATCTGGACCACTGCTGCGACGTTTCAGCATGTCCACGATCGCGCGAGAAATTGATCGCGTTCATTATCGGATCCAAATTCGTCGGCGACGAGATCTCGGACGAAGCACTCTCGGTGCCGATTCGCAGCAATAGCGTCAATCTCAAAAAGCTCCGCCATCGCCTGTGCTGCGCAAACAACAACTCGTCGCCGGACGCGGCCTCGGCAGATGAGCTTAAGGGAATTGGGCATCTCGAATATGGCGACAAAATCGTGATCCAGGCGTTTTCGGTCGACCCGGACTACCAAGGAATGAAGCTCGGGACGACGATCCTGCGCGATTACATCCAGCGGCTGTCGACGCAGGCGGTTGCGTCCAAAATCGTGATTCTCGCGCATGCAGACATGGTCCCGTTTTATGAAAAGCTTGGGTTTTACGACTCGGGCGGTAGTCAGATCAACGCGAATGGTGCTGATGATTGGCATAACGTGTGGATCAGTCTGGACGACGGGGAGGATTAGTCTGAGCCGCTGTCTTGCGGTGTATTTCTTGTTGCTGCCGTTGTCGGTGTACATTGTCGGCAGGCATTCGAGAGGTTTAATGGTTGGTGTACGGATCATTTAGTTGTATTGTACATTTGCTTCTGGCGTTTATTGTTTAATATTTAGTGGCTAAATATCATTATGATTCACGATCGAATCCGCTTGTGATGTTTGCGGATTATGCGCTGACGTAGTAGTTCATTTGCTTTGCCATCCAGATCATCGAGGTAGCTATTTCTGCGGTTAGCGATGCAGGTATATGAACATTGTAGATAAATTGACACACGTACTGGAGACAATCAGAGGACCGGCAAGTCCCTTTCCAAGTTTGGCGGTCTTGAATAACTGCCACTCGGAAAAGAAATGAAGGAACGCAACAACAAATGTAGCATAGGTCAGTTTGAAGATACTAGTCGCAGAATCGTTAGTCAACTGCGATAACTTGGAGGAAGAGATAGACGGCGGACATACACCGGATCAGTAAGATGATACGCGCCCACCAGTCGGACGACTGAGGTCAAGAACGTCCAGGTTCCAAATGTTCTAGCAGAGAGACCAGTGACTATACCAAATAAGAAGGTGTGAGTCTTCATTCTAACAGAAACAAAAAGACACAGGACAAATACCCTCAGTAGGCTTCGCTTCGTACACCCGCCGCGTGAGAATCAAGCCTCCAAAATAGGACTGTCCCGAGTTGAAGATAGAGACAGCAGCAATCTAGAAAGTAATTGTGAATTGTCAATAGCTGTTCGTATTGTAAGAAAAGAGTGAACAAACGCACGAATAACAGCCATTTGGGCAAAAGACCGGGGATTGTGGGTAAGTAGCTTGAAAGAACGTCCATGGTTGGTAGTGAGCTGGTCTGCTTCCAAGCCTTAATATTCAGATATACAACAGCACGAGAATCCAGCTGCACAACCTGCAATTGATGTAATTGATGTCTCTTTTCTATATCGTTGTTGCAGGTATCGCGTACGTCGGGACCGTTGGCCACCAGACCCTCGTGAGCCGCTGTCAGCATATTCAACGTAAACAGCAACTGACATCCCGCTGCTATCAAACCACAACTGCAGAAACTCAATGACAAATATGCCGCGTACAGGATGTGCTGCGCAAGCCGCCTCGATATGGCGCTTCTCTTCCAGGTTGTCTTTTGTTGCTGCCGTCTTTCTTTCTAGTCCAAGTAGTCGCAAAGAACAAGCAGAAGCGCAAGCAGAAGAAGAAGAAAGAACAATGTCCTCCGACCAAACAATTGAGGTCGACGTGCCGCTCAACGACATCTCGTCGTCAAAAGGCTCATCGACGCCTGTCCCGCCGCCATACACACCGACGTCGAACGCATTCGTGCCCTCGTCGTCGACCGCCCCTCCCGCGTCCTCCGCGAGCGCGCCTTCGTCTTCGACCGCGCTGCCACCGCTTCCAGGTCTGGGTGCGGCGCAGAACGCGCGCTCGGTCGGCGGCGATCAGATCCAGGATCGTCGGTTCGCGGGCGGAGATACCCTTGATGAGCCCGTGTTGGAGACCCTGATGCGCGATGTGCGCGCGGTCGGCAGACGAGTGAAGCAGGTTCTGCATCCGAAGGTGAACGCGAACGTTGATGTCGAGACCGGCCAGATCGTTCGGGATTGGGATCTATGGTAAGACCTCTTGTTTCTTTTCTTTCATGAGCAGGACGTGAGCTGATCAGTACTATCTAGGGGACCTCTGGTGTTCTGCCTCTTCGTCTCTCTCTTCCTCTCCATCGCCGCGCCCGCAAACCAATCCACCGCCGTCTTCTCCGGCGTCTTTGCCTTCATCTGGATCGCCGAGGCCTTCGTCACGCTCAACATGAAACTGCTCGGCGGCTCAATATCCTTCTTCCACGCCGTCTGCATCCTCGGCTACGCTCTTTTCCCGCTCGTGCCTGCCTCGATCTTCGCCCTCGCTGTCAAGTCTATGATTATCAGATTACCGATCGCCATCGCGCTTGTGGCGTGGTCGCTTTTCGCGTCGATGAGAACGTTGAAGGGAGCGGGTGTTCGTGAGGGAAGGGTCGTGTTGGCTATGTACCCTGTCTGGCTGTTTTACGGATGGCTGGGCTGGTTGTGCGTCATCACCTAGTTTATAAAGCAGAGAGAATGACATGTTGATCAGGTATAATATCAGACACATGTATCAAGGGCTCTATATCGGAGCAAATGCTATAGCATGTGTTAATAAGAATCTACAACTACTTAAGCAATAACCTACAGCTTCTTAGTTCATGATAAATGTAGAATTCGATTAAAAAAGCAGTCGCATGTGTACCTCCCTCCCATTTCGCCAACCCCCCTATCTCTATACGCCAAATCCCATTCCCCGGAAACCAGAAACCCATACAAACTTGAAAAAGAATTACAAACGCAAAATCCAGATGTAGCCAAATACACAAAATTCACAGTACCCCGGTCTTCACAGCAGGTCATTTTATTTTCGACAAACGGAACTGAGACGACAGCGCGAGTTGAAAAGAGAAACAAAAACGATGAAGTTGAATTGTCGCATTGCTGTTTTTTTGTAATTTTGTGGGAAGTTATTGAGTTCTCTCACATGCACCGTGGTTTCATCTCCATTTGTCTATAATTCACAAATACAGAGATACAAGCTCTATATCATCGTATCTGCGTCTTCACCATCAAGTTCATCAGTAGACACCATATCCCAGTCGTCGATATCATCATCGCTCTTCACCGCAACAGCAGCGGCTGCAGATCGTTCGACGGAAAATCCTCGGACGTTGTCAAAGCTCGGAGTGATGTCTTCAATTTCATCATGGTTTAGGAGATCGTAGTCAGCTGTGTCGTCGTCCTCGTTGTCGTCGGGAGTGGATGTGAGGTCGGCTTGGACTTGAGGCTGGTGAAGCTGTGGATCTTCGAGGACGTCAGACGATTCGAGTGATACTGGGAATTTTTCTTCCAAGAGGTTCTCAGAGGTCGAAATGCTAGGTATATCTGATTCCGAAGGAACTGATCTCGTTCGATGCATCTCGGCTGCGCATGGCTGCGAATCATCGCTCGCTAGATCCAAACCACCATTGTTCTCGCTGCTCTCGCTACCGCCCCGACCGCCCTCACTACTCTCCTGCGCCAAATAGTAGCAAAACTCCGTGACCGTGTTCAAGATCGAACTGACGTTCGTGCCAAACAGCTGCTGCTCGGCCGCCAGCTCGTCCTCGTCCGCCGCCAGATACTCGTCCAGATCGTCTCTCAAGATGCCAAAGTTCGAGAAAAACCCGCCTCCGTCGGCAGGCACGTTAATCGTGGCTGCCGCGGCTGCGGTAGCTGTCTGAAGACCGGTGTAGACCGTGCCCAGACGGTTCGTGATCCAGGTTCGCATGCGAGAGTATTCAATCGGCTTTATGTGCATCGCGACGCCGGACATGAGCGTGCCCAGCTCGCTAGTACGGTCTTGGAGACCTGCGCTCTTCTCGATAAAGGACCCGAGCATATCTTCTGATGAAGACGACTCAGACGACTTGGTTTCCGCAGTCGACGCAGCCGACGACTGCAGCGATCCACGATCCCCGAGTGACAATGCCGCTGCGGCTGTCGCTACTCCGCCTAGTTCGCACAGCATTTGATTTATCGGCGGGAACGACAAATTAGAGTACACCCGCCAGCTCAGACTGTTCTGCTGTCTTCTCAGATCCCACAGCATCGACTGTCGTTGGTCGGCAGTCTCAGAGGGCGTAAATCGTGCTGCAGGTGACGGTGCCGGTGCCGGCGATGAGGTCATTCAGATTGGGCTTTCGATCAGCGGGTCGGTGCGAAACGTGGCTCCTCGGCAGCGACTTTAGCGGATCCCAAAACAGAAACGTGCCCGTCAAACGTGTCGCCAGACAGACCAGAACTCTCGCGAACCGGGACCGAGAACCAGAGACCGCAGATTCTGCAGAGATGGACGAGGGTCGGGGTGATGACTGATCTAAGATTGTCTGGGGTGCCGGAAGACTGTTGGGAGATTACTCGATTGATTAGCTTAGTCAGGCATTAGCTATCAGCCGCACGTGCGTATTAGTTCGAGCGACGGTATTCTAGTCTATGAGTCGGCGCGATCTAAGTGAATTTAATAGAGCAATTGAGCTTTATAATTAGCTAATGTTATTGTTGAATATCGTGGACATAAGCATGAGCACTAAATAACCCATCGTAACGGCTTCAGTAGTCTTCAGGCTCTGCAAGACAACAACACAATGACAATGACTTAAGCAGTAATGTGTCCGTACTCGGCCGTCCAGTACTTGCGCACATGCTTCTTGCTACCGGCAACATTGATGGCCTCAACCTCCTCAGGCGTGAGCTCGAATCCATCCAGGCTGAAGTTGCTCAGCTGTCTCTCCGGCTTGGCCGAGGTGGTGATTGGCAAAACATTGCGCGCCAGAACCCACTTGAGAATGATCTGGCCGGCGTCCTTGCCGTACTTGGTCGCAAGCTTGTCGACGACCTCGTCAACAGGGCCGCCCTTCTCGGTCAAAGACACAAGAGGCGTGAAGGCCTCGACAATGAGACCCTTCTTCTGGCTGTACTCGACAATCCCCGGGGTCTGGTTCTGCAGGTAGGGGTTGAACTCGATCTGGTTGACGGCAGGGTATTCCTTTGCTCCCTCGACTCGCTCGAGGTCTCCGACCGCCCAGTTGGAGACACCAATGTCTTTGGTGAGACCGGCGGCCTTGAGCTCAATAAGCGTTTCCCACGCCTTCTCGAGCGTAATTCCGTACTTCTCCTCGGTGATGAACGGGTGGTGGAGAAGGTAAAGGTCGACATAGTCGATCTGCAGGAGCTTCAGCGACTCCTCGAGCGCCTTCTTGGGGTCGCCGACGTTCTGGTAGACCTTTGTGGTAATGAAGATCTCTTCGCGGGGGATTCCGCTCTCCTTGATAGCGACGCCGACCTCGCCCTCAGTTCCGTAGGTCTGCGCGGCATCGATGTGTCGGTATCCGAGCTTGAGCGCCGAGACAATTGCGTCGACGACGGCGCGGTTGATGGTTGGATCGCCGGGCTTGTACCATTTAGTTCCGGTTCCGAAGGCAGGATAAGGGATGACAGCACCCGAGGGAAGTTTGAAAGTAGGAGCCATTGCGTGGATACTTCGTGTCTGAGAAAGGCGTAAAGTGGAAGAAGGCAGCTGGAGATGGTTCTTTATAAGTTGCAGACGATTTAGCATCGAGTGATTAGGAAATAAAAGAGGAGAATGGCGTGGAAGGAGAGGTGGCAGGGCCGGCGTTGGTTCATGAGTCGCGATGACCTAATAGGCTTGCGCCGCAGCAGCGCTTCTAACCGGCCTATGACGCGACGGAGATTTCTGTTAATTCCGTCATCGCTTGTCGGGATTATAATGCTCATTATCACCATAAGTCGCGAATTCGCTCTTTATTACAGTCGGAATTAACATGTGAATTGCGAAATAGATCGCCAATAAGAGCAATTGCCACAAACAATTGCAGTCTCTGTAGTCGCGATCGGTGATCGAGGTCCTGCCATCCAGTCCTCCTACGGATGCCCAAACCCGTGGATTTATAGTCATCCGCTCGTCGATCTGAATCAACTTCACGCTCCTTCAAAGCCCGATAATTAGAAGAAAAATGAGACATTGGCTACGTAGATAAGAGTCGCGTGACTTTGGTCTGACTTTCAAAACTCAGTCGTGGGGTCTGACGCAGCTTGGGCTACAGCTTTTGATGAGTGCGATTTCAACAGCTTCAGCGGCAGACAAACTGCAAGATTTACTGTAAGTTCATGGACTCTATGATCTTTGTCTCACTACCAGTTTTATCAGTGTTACGAAGTATAGTTACTATCGGATGCAGATTTGCAAGAAACAAAGTAGAGAAAGCACCTGCGCGAGATTATTAAGCGTTCAGGTGGCCGATTTGGTATCATAGCAGGCCGCTTTCGAATCCAAGAACATGAACCAGCTGTCCGTCAAAAGCTAAATCAATTGAGATCGTAGAGAAACTCTTCCTCCGCATAGCTCTGAACTGAGCCTCTGATGGCTATTCCTACAGCGTTCCAGGGACTCGCGTGCTCCATGTCGCTAGCTTCCGGTGGAACGGCCTGCACCCTGATCAGCCGCACCTGCACCTCTGCGCCGGCCTTCGCCAACTCTTGAATGTATTTTTATCGTCCAAGCCATCTATCAGCTTGATCAAACATTTGAATCTCATCATGAGTCCACCGACTGTTGAGATTATGGCGGGATCTCTGCTAAACGCCAACCCCGCAGAAAAGACCTACTCGACCGGAATCCTCCTCTGTCTGATGTTCACGTTGATCTTATCCAGAACAGATGCTGTTGTTGAGATTATTTCAATAAAAGGCTTAGAGCACACGCGCGAGTCTTGTGTAACAGTAAACTTGTGTAACAGTAAACATGATGAGCACACGCGTTAGTCTTGTGTAACAGTAAACTTGGGTAACAGTAAACATAGTGAGCGCGTGAGTAAACTTGTGTAACAGTAAACATGATGAGCACACGCGTCAGTCTTGTGTAACTGTAAACTTGTGTAAGTCTTGTGTAACAGTAAACTTGAGTAACAGTAAACATTGGTGAGCTTGTGTAACAGTAAACATGGTAAGCACACGCGTTAGTCTTGTGTAACAGTAAACATTGGTGAGCTTGTGTAACAGTAAACATAGTGAGCGCACGCGTCAGTCTTGTGTAACAGTAAACTTGTGTAAGTCTTGTGTAACAGTAAACATGGTGAGCACACGTTGTGTAACAGTAATCTTGTGTAACAGTAAACATGGTGAGCACACGCGTCAGTCTTGTGTAACAGTAAACATGATAAGCACACGCGTTAGTCTTGTGTAACAGTAAACTTGTGTAACAGTAAACATGGTGGAATATTAAGTTGACCAGGTGGCGGAACTACAATCATAACAAAGCCCTCCCATTTCCTAATTCCCCTCTTCCTTCTTCTCCGTCCTCCCCATAGTAAACAGTTTCATCCCCCGGCCCACAGCATTTTCCCAAATAAATTTATCACTCTCAATGTTTTCAGAAGTACTTGAGATCGTCGAGACTCTCATTCCTGCGTTGCTCGCTGTCCGTCCTAAGAAGTTCATTCCAGAGATGTATGACCCATCAGTCGCATGGAAGTTGATGCACGCTGCCGCGCTCATAGTCATGCTTCTCGGCGGCGAAGACCCCGCATTCTGGAAACACCTATTCGAGGTTGACAATCCCGAGATGCCTGCTGGGGTACGCGTTGCTCTTATTGAATTCTATATTCGTCCGTATCAAGCTCTGCTGGAGTACAACAAGAATCGACGCCCCCATAATTTGAGCGACGAAGGGGAAGATACAGTGGACGAAGAAGAATCGCCCCTCAATGCCAAAGGATCGGCCATCACCGATTTTCTTTTCAGCACAGGACCGCGCCGCGACACAAACATGAAGGCACCATCGACCCAGGGGACCCGTCCGACGGCTAGATCCAGCAATAACTGGAGGTCCACATCGACACAGTCAACGCCGCGTGTCTTTCCAACCAGCAGCCCATTCATGACGCCAACGCGTCCGACAGTGCCAGCCAGCAGCCCATATGACGGATGGCAGACAATCAGACAGTTGGCAGACAGACAGTAGACAGAGCCTTGGTATCGGGTATGTGGCCCTAATCTTCTTTGCATTCCTCAGTTTCCTTGTCGTGTGTGGTGTTGGGTTGACAATATTCCTTCCTTTCATCCTCCACTAGTGTCGTGTTGCACATAGTGTTGCAGGTAGCATAATGTGCGGTGCTGTATGCGGTGCTGTATGCAAAGTGGTATGCAAAGTGGTACGCAAAGTGGTATGCAATTGCAAAGTGGTATGCAAAGTGATTCGCGATTTGTATGCAATGGTGTATCCGATGTGTGTCCAAAGTTGTATGCGAATGCAATGGTATATGCAATGTGTGTCCAAAGTTGTATGTGAACGCAATGATGTATGCGATGTCGTGTCCAAAGTTGTATGCGAATGCGATGTGGTATCCAAAGTGATATGCGATGTGTATGCGATGTTGTTTGTGATGTTGTGTCCAAAGTGATCTGCGATGTTGTATGCAATGTTGTATCCAAAGTGGTGTGCGGTGTTGTATCCAAAGTGGTATCCAAAGCGATATGCGATGTTGTGTCCAAAGTCGTATGCAAATGCGAATGCGATGCTGTATGCCATGTTGTATGCGAATGCAAATGTGGATGCGAAATTATATGCAAATGCAATGTTATATGCAATGCTGTATGCGATGTAGTGAATGTGGTGAATTTCCAGAAATTGGTTGCTCCTGAAATGCAATGTTCGTGGAATCAGTAGTAATACCATCATGACACCACCACGGCCGCTTTACCACGGAATGGTAGACTTGTCAATCAAAAAGGTACACAAGCACGGCTCCATATCAGAAATCTGGTAGTGTGAATCATCGGCTCCGCCGAGGACTTGCTCGTAATCGGGAAAGTACCAGTCGGAAAGATTATTCGTACGGAACGAACTATCGTCCTCGCCCCTATATTCGATCTGTCCATCTCATAATCCATTTTATCGTCGTGCTCTTCTGTGCCGTCCTCGGAGAAGGGCTCGGGCTTCTTCAGGACTGTGTCAGGCGAAGGCACAGAAGAGGCTGGCGAAGAGGCTGGAAGAGATGGACTAGTGAAGGGCGATAGTTCCAAAGAAGGAGACTCAGCAGCCGAGCTGCTGTCCTCCATACTCGTCTGTCATCAATGTTAGTATTCGTCAATAAATATCAAGAGGAGGAGGTTATTCTCACGACAGCAAGCTCTGTAGTCAGCGAAAGGGAAGGTCGCCCATCGATATGACTCGCACCTTTAGACGTGGGTGCGGATGTGGCGATAGCCTTCTCTTGCTCTAGCTCTCTGTCGTGTATTTCAAACTGATGTCATACTGTTAGCTGAGATTTGTTGAAAGGGGAGGAGAATCAAGGACTTCCCGTCTCGCTGTCTGAAATCATCTGTTCATGCTCGCACTGCACGATCTGCAAATCTGCTCTCTCTGCTGATCATCATCATAAAAATAGGGTATAGATGAAAAAAGAGAAACCATAATGACAAAAAACTGCCCAAACACACGCCAATTAGCCTGCAAAAGTACCAAAAGTTCAGAGAGCTGCCTATCTCCCATATTGAACTGCTGGTACTTTACAGCGAAAAAATAAGACGAAATAAGTAACTGCCAAAGGGAATAAAGGGAAGACCAGCCGGTGGTGATAAAGGTGCGCACCGCGGCGGTCGAGACGCGGACAAGCTGGCAGGTTCTCTGAAGACCGCGTGCTAGTCCTGCCAGGAGAATGATGATCACCACAAGAACGGCCTTGAAGCTGAGGTCGACAACAAATGAAAGACTGGAAACCATAGAAATAGCAACGGCTTTGAAAATTCTTCCTCTACGTACAAAATGACTACCAAGCGCAGTAACGTACGGGCTAACAGTAGATAGAACGGAAACTGGAGGAGGCCGGTAGATCACAAGGGATCTACAGTCAAGGGCGGCCTGTTTTTTCAAGCCTTTTAACCGAAGTTGATGGCCAAGCTCTCCCGGAATTGAGATGAAAACAGTAATAATAGCCCCCCCCCCTCCCCCCCCCCCCCCCCAGCAAGTGAAACCGTCTGAACCGTGTATCGCAGAACGGTGGGCGCAAAACGCGCCAACAAAGCCAGGGAGGCGAAGGAGTAAACAGATACAAAGGCGAGAAGTTTGCGGCACGCATATCGCGCGTGAGTAATAAGAGCGGATGCTCTTTCAGTAACCCAGGATCGCACCGAGAAACGGACTGGTGCCGGCAGGGCGAGCAAGCCTTGTCTCACTGGGATTGCTCGGTAGAGAACAAAACCGCGGGCGCCGACCAGCTCTGGTGAAGACAGAGGAGCGACTTCAATGGCCCTAGTACAAGCTGACCGGCAGATACCGGTTAGGGTGCCGGACGAAGCGCGAGCGGAGCCTGCTGTCGTGACGCAGGGCGATAGAGAATGAGCTCGCGGCTGGCAGACGACTCCGACGGCGGCAACAGCAGACCAGGAGTACCTCCAAACAATAGGACTAGCTCGCGGCTGATGAATGGCCCGATCACAGGCTGGAGAGCACGCGCTACCCAACCAGGAAGCACCATTCGACGGAATACAGGCGCAGTGTTCTCCATGTGGTCCGGCACCACAACACGAGGCTGGATCTGCGATTGAGTCGACTCAAGGGGGCGAGGATACCGCAAATGTTCGTAGCTCCAAGGATCAAGGGTTTCCATGCCGCTGTCCATGCAGACCTCATGTCGCAATACCAGCTGCATACCAGTCGAGACCGTCGCAGAGCCAAAAAGGTCATCTTCCTGGATGGTTTCAGATGGTCTATCGACAATAGGTTCCTGTAAAATAATCAGTATCGCTTCTGGAGTGGAAAAAGAGAGACTGAAGAAAGCTTACCGGTTCATCGGCCTTCTCAGACACAATCGGCTCGCTAGCCTGTTGAGAAGGGCCTTCCACCACGTTCCCCAGAATCTCAGACCCAAACGATCCGCTAGAGGTACGAGAACGGTAGAACTTGGAGTGGAGAAACTTAGGATCGGGGATCGTAGCTTGCTGTGCTTCGAACTTCTGGACGAGCGAGTGGACGTGATCGATCGGGAGATCAGAGTGAGGATCAAAATCTGGCCGCGCCGTAGAGTCTTCTTCCGTCGTAGTCGCGGCAATGCCTTTCTCAATCTCACCATAGCTCTTCTTCACGCTCTTAGAAGACTTGAGCTGGTGACGGACTTTCATCGCAGCCGGCTGCGACTCTGCTGCGGCGCGGTCAGTCTGAGCGCCGTTGCTGGGAGCAGCGATGTGCGGCGCCTTGCACGCGAAGAAGCCGAGAGCATCGGTGCAGTTGCCCCAGTTGCCCGCGAAGCCCGAGAAGCGATATAAGCGGCGGACGGGAGCGGACGGACGAGTGGGTGCACTAAAGGATCTGTGCTGCTGGCTGAGTATCTCAGAAGATGAACAGTTCTCTTGCGTCAAAGCAGAGGAGCCGCCCGCTGGCTGCTCAGACTCTGTTTCGTGGGCGCGAACAAAAGACACGATAGCAGGATCTGAAGATACGCTGGTAAACCGATTTTCGACGACGTGTAGAGTTCCACGATTGATGCTCGATTTGGACTTGATCAGGTCCAAGATGAGACGGCCAGCCGCTTGTCCGGGGGTGAGATTTGGCGCGCCACTTTTAGGAGCCTGAATCATATCCAGGATGAGACGACCGGCCACTTGTCCGGGGCTGAGGCCTCTGATCATTGCCAGGATGATCTCGCGACCAGTAAACGCACGGCTGCTGAACTCGGGGGACGGCTGTCTGACCCGGTAATATCGGCGGAGTGCGGCGTGGCAGTAGCGAGCGTCGCGGGCTCAACCCTGCAGTGTCGCCGTTCTCGTCGGTAGAATGCTCTCCGCCCTGAGCAATCGACTGGTCAGAGTTGATCGTCTTAAGATCGTCGGAATGACCAACGTCAGTGCTATCGTAGCTAGCACGGTATACGTTGCTGGTAGTGAACTCGGACGCGTCAGGATAACCGGTGGTTTCCTCGGAGATACTGTCGTCGGTGAGTACCTCAAGAGATGACGCAGGAAAGTCGTAGCCAGCGTAGGTGCTGTCGTTGTAATCCGAGTCGACCTCAGCGTTGGGGACTGTAGAGGAGGAAAAGGAGGAGGAGACGTCGCTGTCGTACATGAACTGAGGCTCCATGCGTTGAGGAGTTTGCAGAACGTTGAAATGCGCAGAGCCAGCGACGTCCTGGGGATCGGTGGAGAAGGAAAGGTTGAGGATGGTGGGGGTAAGCTTGAATCTGAATCTCATGGTGGCCAGCTATTCAGAATATTCTCGGATTCGGGATCCGTTCTCTCAAAAATCTGAATAGGTAAACGAAGAGAGGCAGCGATGAGAGGCAAAGGGAAGCTTGGAAGCTTGCTCGTGAGTTGGATTGCAGTAGAGCTAGACCTCACGGGGGACACTGTACGGCGGTGAGGAGAGGAAGAGAAGAGGAGAGGCGGGGGTTGGGTGAGCGCTTATAATGTGCCTCCCAGACCGACCAGGCCGATTCGCAATGAACGAATTAGAAAGCATTATTCCATGATCTCCGGCCCCACGCTTCCCTTTTCGGATTTTTTTCAAGGTTGCTGACTTTCATGTATTCATATAACTTTTCTAAACTACTCCGTATCATGTACAGAACTCCAGAAGGACAGAATAACACAGTTTTGGCATCCCATCGCCCTCAATCGTTGCCGAGGATGTCAGAAAGCGTGTGTGCGGCTCAACTGTTTGTCGCATGAGCTGGTACACGTTACGAGCATCTGCAGCGGCAGTATGGAACAGCACAGACTCTGAGCAATAGCCGCTATCATCAGTGTATGATCCTGATTTGTTCTGGCCGATGTAGTTATAGCCAACTGCAGAAAACAGCACTGCGTAGAAGCAAAGATCAATGAGTGGGCGAGGGTGAGAAAGACATAGCAAAAACCCTATAGAAGTCAGCTATTTGTCTATTTCAACAAATGCCGCTATCAGTCTTAAGAGTTTGAGGTCACAGGTCAAATTGAAGGCGTCCACGAGCGGAACGTCGGAATCAACCAACAGAACTCAGATCAGGCAGAAGTGCGACGCGTTCGAAGACATACAACGCGTTAGAACAGATATACTTAATTTGCGGGAACATCGGCAGATATCCACTTATGGCGAAACTTAACACATCAACAACGCGATATACTGATGTAAACAACGACAACGCGTGCTCTTCCGCAAGCGGTTTTGTCAAAACGACCTGACTGCAAAACGACTTGACAGTATAACAATTCAGTCTTCTAGAAACGCTTGAGATGGTCTGCAGCTCGCAAACCGGGACATTGTGGGTATTGTGCTTGTTGTCTGTGCTCTAGTCGCATATTACAAGCAAAATACTTTCCATCCTGATCGCTCTTAGCGCAGACTAGATAGCTCGTCTATTTCCGTATTCAGCGATATCTTGTTCGGAAATATATTTTATACCTTGTCAACCACAGGCGTAGAGCAAGATAACCGCGTCTGAATAGCGCATCTGTCTCTGTATGAGTAAGGTTTGGAAAGGCAAAAGAGTAAACAAATGCTTTTGAATGCTTCCACGGCGGACTGTCTGGTATTCACCCACCTAAAACCACCCTCCCGGATCTGGCGTCAAAGATCCCGTTCGCGATCATCCTCCTTCTGGTTTTCATGATGTTATGTCTCCAGAACAGGCGCTTTTGTTGCGGGTTTTTGAATGAAAGGCTTAGAGCACACGCGCGAGACTTGTGTAACAGTAAACATGGTGAAATATTAAGTTGATCAGGTGGCAAAACTAGAATCATAACAAAGCCCTCCCATTTCCTAATTCCCCTCTTCCTTCCTATCTTCCCTCCCCATAGTAATCAGTTTCAGCCCCCAGCCCACAGCCCACAGCCCACAGCTTTTTCACAACAAGCACATACTATTCACAATGTCTACCACCATTACCAACATTCTACAGAACATCCTCTCTGCGATCGCTCCTGAGGCCGCAGAGGGACTCGACGCGTCTACCATCTGGCAGATCATGGTCGTCATCTCCCTCGTTGTCATCAACATGGGAATCCAGAATCCCGATTTCTGGCAGCAGAGATTCCAGGCAGAGTTTGAGGTCTTGCCTCCTGTTCTGCGAGGGATCGTCATGGAGAACGTCGCCCGCGCCTTTCAGCGTGAGCAGGATTTAGTCGCCCAAGACGAAGAGACAGCAGACCAGCAGGTACCGCCCATGCCTGCCAGCGGTTCGCAGAGCAACGTCCCCTCCATCAACGACAGAGAGCGTCCCAACACAGACGAGAGTGCGGAGACTACTCAGTCGACGCTTCCGGTGCTGCCCACACCGGTCGCGTCTCAGAACGCCACCGCCCCTCTTGAGAGCCATCGCATCCAGGCCCAGAACGCGCAGGAATCAACCGTCAAAGACGCAGAGACAGCAGACCAGCAGGTGCCGCCCACACCTGCCAGCGGTTCGCAGGATATCATCCCCTCTATCAACGACAGAGAGCGTCCCAACACAGACGAGAGCGCGGAGACTACTCAGTCGACGCTTCCGGTGCTGCCCACACCGGTCGCGTCCCAGAGCACCACCGTTCCTCATGAGAGCCATTGTACCCAGGCCGAGTGTGAGCACAGATCGGCCGCCCAAAAAAGAGAGACAGCAGACCAGCAGGCGCCGCCCACGCCTGCTAGCGGATTACAGAACACTGCTTCCTCATCCAAAGACGGCGAACGTCTCAACACAACCAAGAAAGCGAAAGCGACTAAGCCGACTCGCCCGGTGATGCCCACACCGGTCGCGCCGCAGGCAACTTCCGCCTCTCTTGAGAACCGTCGCATTACTCGCAGCTTGAGTAAGGCACTTCAGGCAGAGAACGCTCTGGCCAAGAAAATCCGACGGAGAGCGGCGAACGGGATCCCAACTACTCTCCGAAGAAGTTCACGGCTTCTTGCAAACCAGGCGGCGTCCGGACAGGAGCATACAACGCACGAGATAGCAAAGCTCGATCCTGCTCATTCCGCGCAAGAGCAGACTTCGCAAGACGTGATCTTGCCGGAGTTTGTCGCCCCCACAGAGGAGCAGGACCAGTCATCGCAAGACAGTGTCTTGCCAGTCTCTGTCCTTTTTACGCCGGATCAGACACTGGAGCAGACTTCACTAGACACTGTCTTGACGGCTCCCGTTTCCACACAGAAGCAGACTTCACAAGACACAATCTTGCCGGCCTCATTTGCTTCCGCACAAGAGCAGATCTCGGAACAGACATCGCAAGACAACGTCTCATCGGCTCCCGTCTGCTCCGCACCGCCCATGCCTATCCTTGAAGGCGAAGTCAACGGCGAGGTCGACAATAGCACCGGCCCCAGTGGCCTGAAGAGATCGCGTTCGGCATCAGCAGATAGTAGTGAAGTGGCGGGGTCTTCAGCTGATGTCAACGACGCCGGTGTATCTGAAGAACGAAGACGTATGGTATCACCGGATTACAGCGATGAGGAAGAGTCTTCATCCGATGCCAGCGACAGTAGCTCTTCGGCAGATATGCTTGTCACGCATGCAAATGCGTATATCCAGGAGTGGAATGCAGGACTACCTCCGGACTATCTGATCGATCGGTCACCCTCAGTCTCGTACGATGAACACAATGAGACGACCGATCTGTCCTTCGGGGGTCCTCGCTCGGATGATGACGACCACGTCACGGTCAGTTATTAGTAGGTGATCCCTTTTTCACTGGCATCTGTTTCAGCAATCGTATTAATTACTAACTCCTTCTCTCTTAGTACCGACCCATTCCTGGAGTCTCGACAAGAGCATACATACGGCCAAGATGATTTCTCGGAGTACGACGATTATCGGAGCAGCCCAAGATATGGCGAGGAGAACGAGTTCCTGGGAACACTATCGGAGTTGCGCGACAGCCAAGCACAGCCTCTGCCAACGTCAAACCGCGACCGCGGAAGTCCCCGACAGCGACGTCCGGCACTCGGAACGTCTCCTTTGGTCAACGTCCAGACTCGTAGCAGCGATACAGACAGTCAGCCGTATGTTTTCCCTTCACTCTCTCATAGTACTCCTTTTGATCTTAAGCCCCTGCTAACATGTGACCAGCAACATCGCGGAGTTGTTTGGACTTCCTGACAGTGAGCTCGCGAGCTCACCTGAGAGATCCCAAAGACAGAAGTCAGCCAGCCAGTAAGTAGTCATTTGCTCACCCTGTATTTCCCCTCCTCTTTCCGCTTTACTAACGGCAAGAAACTGTCGCAGGCTGCCTTCTTCCGAGGATAGCCAAACTGCGAGTGAGGAGGTCACCCGGGCGGATGTGACTGGGTAAGGGTCTTTTTAGATATTAACTCCGACGCGTAAAGCCGCGGCGCGCCGCACTCAATAAGAATCACCGCTAACAGCCAACTACTCATCTTTTGCAGATCTAATGATCCCCTGCCATCGGACGCTGCAGAAGCAAAAGACGAGAATGGCAACGGAGAGGTTGTTATCACCGTCTTTTCGGATTGTGAGACTGATGCTTCAGTCTCACTTCCCGAACCACGGACCCCCACAAACAGGTACGCTCTCTTCTACTATTATCATTGTCGTATTGCGCAGGTCACTAACAGACATTCATATTTCAGTTCTGCGCTCTCACCAGTCGCTGAAAGTGAACAATCACCCCAGCAGATGATTAGACTGGAGCTTCCTGATGTGCCATCGAGTGGCACTTCAAGGGCTGCTATGTCTCTCACCACCATGGCAAGGGCAGGTCTCAACAGTCTTGCAATGGCAGGGTTAATCGCCTCTTACGAGTCTCCTCTGGCTAGAGAGTTCCCACCCATTGCTGGGCATGAGACAACCGCGGGCCCCGACAGCTTTGTTCAGAATATCGAAAATCTGGACCTATTGGCTCGGCTTAGCGCCCAGCAAGGGATTGGTTTGCCCTCTTCTCCAGTCGTGCCGACTCCATCGCCTCGGTCAAGGCCGTCTCTGAGTCGTGTAGCCGTATTGAACGCTCAGCGAGAGGTTCTTCAGTCTTTGTCTTTGAACAATCTCTCGCCCGCGGCTTCTACCCCTTCAGCAGATTCCAACCCGGCAGTAGCTTGCACGCCTGCAGCAGTTTCTACGCCTGCAGCTCACTGGGCCTCGGATTTGTCTCCCGCAGCTGAATGGACTCCCACAGCTTCTTGGTCTTCAGCTCTCTTGTCAGCAGGAAATTCTACGCCCACAGCTCCTTTCACGCCTGCAGCGGCTTCTACGCCTGCAGCGCATTGGGCGTCGGATTTTACGCCTGCAGGGGATTTCACACCCGCGGCTTCTTGGTCTTCAGCCTTCCTACCGGCAGACTCTTCGCCTGCTGCTCGTGCAGACGGAAACGTCAATATCTTGAGTCCGGGTTCGAAGACCGATGGAGTAGCAGACGAGAGCTCGTCTCCACTCAGGCCACAGACCGAATTTAATGTCTGTGACTCTAGTGCGAATCTCAGTGCATGGCTGGATATGACTCTTGGGGAAGAGTCAGCTCTCTCAGAAGCAGATTCGGCTGCTGCCATGGAGGATGTTGAGCTCTCTTCGTCGATTTCTGAGCTCCCAAGCGGGGAGGCAGACACTGACGAGCTGATGAGCGACCATGATGGCACTGACGACTTAGAGCTATTTGATCTCATTCAAGAGCAGCCCCTGGTGACCCTCCCAAGCGGGGAGGCAGGCACCGATGAGCTGATGAGCGATCATGATAGCACTGAGGAATTAGGGCAAGTCGGTCTCAGTCAGGAGCAGCCGCTGGTGACGCCGTCTTTTGTGTTTCTGGCCACACCTTGGGCTTGTCAGCTGTTTACACCTCATTCGGAGGATAGAGATCTATCGGGACTCTCAGCTGGCGAGCAGCGTATGGCTGCGCGGGTGGTCCAGAATAAGCGACGGGCAGGACGCGGCGCTCGAGTACTGTCGTTTAAGAAGATCATCGCCCGCAAGGCGCTTGCCCTTCGTCGCAACGGTGGTATTTCGAAGAAGTGGGTGCGGCACACGCGGTATGCCATTATCAAGTCGGATTTGCACCCATACTTCGCAGACAGCCGCAACCATCTGCTCAGAAGGTGGCTTGGGCTCGGACCAGTGATAGGGTCCTCTGAACCGATGGCGGATGTGATCGGACCCCTTCCAGGGGCGAGTGAACAGCCGTCGGAGGTGCGCGGTCCTCGACAGCGGTCATTGAGAGGCCCACTGGGCACGCGCGGTGGCGGCTTTATGAAGCGCAAGAAAAGGCTGGGACGTTACGCGATCATCCCAGCTGACCTGCGCCCATACTTTTCGAAAAGCCGCAATCGTGCGCTCCGGGAGTGGCTAGGGATAGACCCCATGGATGTTGATCCGGTGGCCAGCGAGCAGGAGCCCTCTATTGCTGAGCAGCGTCTGGCAGCGCTGCGGAGTCAGAATAAGGGCTACGTTCGACCGAGACGGCGACCGGATGGCACGTTGCGTGGGGTCCTGAAGAACCGAGGGAAGCGGGTACACCAGACTGCCTTCCCGGCCGATTCGGTTTCGACAGATTGTTCAATCTGTTGATCGAGGACCGTTGTTTGGAGAAAGGTCTGGCTTTTCAGACTTGTTCTCGTTTTCTTTTTATATATTTTGTGTGCGTGGTTTGGTGTAGTGGGCAGTTTGCGATATTGACAGAAACTTGTATATTTTTCACAGAAACTTGTATATTTTTCTTCTTCTTCTTCTTCTTTGTTTTTCTCTTTCTTTTTCTTTCTTTTCCTAAACTTTGTCTCTTTGTCTATGTTACTGTTCCGTTCGTTCTTTTTCTTTTTTTCTATGTAATGTTCCGTTCGTTCTTTTCCTTTGTCTCTTTCTATTCTTTGTCTATGTTACTGTTCCGTTCGTTCTTTTCCTTTTTTTATATATTATATGTTTGATACTGTTCTCCTTTTCCTTTCCTTTTTCATGCTTTGTCTATTATACTCCTCCGTTCGCGTTCGGCTTTGCCTGCCGTCAGTACGAGATGTGGCGCATCATTTGCGATATTGCGCCGTTTGCTGATTTCAAGGGACTATCAGCCAGCCAGTAAGTATTAATTGGCACACTCTGAGTTTCTCGCCTTTTGCACGCTGTACCAATTGCAGCAAATCTATCGCAGGCTACCGATTTCTGAGATTCTCAGAACTACAATTGTGGAGGTCGCCCGGGGCGGACGTGGCATTGCCGGTCTATTGATCTGCTGTCATCGGACGCGTCCGGAGCACTCGACGGGAACGACAAATTCCTCTAAGTTGTCACTACCGTCTTGTTGGATTCTGAGACTGATGCTTCAGTCTCGTTTCCTGAGCCTTGGACCCCCACAAACAGGTATGTTCTATTCTATCCTTGTAATGTCGAAATCGCGCCGTTCGCTAACAAACCTCCATTTCTCAGTTCTGCATTCACCCACCTATTGCTGGACAGGCTGGAAATCTTAATACGCTGCTCCCCGGAAATCAATTATCACTACCATCTCGTCTGATGTTGTTCATCGGCACCGCTTCTCATCATTACTTCAAGAAGTATAATACTTTACAGCCATCGCGACTGCTCATTCATGCTGCATTCTTTCTTTTGACGATGTACTTCTTTTTTTTTCCATTTTCATTCTCGTATTCTTTTCTTCTTCCTTTCTGTTTCATTCCTTTCTGTTCTATTCTTTTCTGTTATATTCCCTTCTGTTGTATTCCTTTCTGTTATATTGCATCGCAGCTGCCCATTCACGCATTCTTTCTTTTGACGTCTGTGGTCAAGTTCCTTTTTTTTCTTTTTTAATCCAGTATAGGGCGGGAGTTGATATTATTATTTGCTATGAGAACGACAGTGATGGGGCGTATTGTGATGACTATTAGGATGACTGCATGGACAGGAGTTTTCACATTTTATCGATATGGGGTTACATGGAAATGACTTGTTATGATTACTTTGATGATATTAAGGGTTTGATGATGATTGTTGTTGATTTTACTGCATGGTATTATTATGATTTCTATCTTGTTTGTTTGGGCGAACGGACATGATAGCTTTCAACGATGTATATTATAGAAGAAAATATTAAATGGGCACCAAAAAAATATCTTGCTTTCCTGTAGAATAAAACAACGGTCTCTTTTGCTAGTCACAACTGAAGCAATACAATTACAAACACGACCACACTTCGATGGCTTTTGGTTTTAGCTATCACCATCGCTCTTGGACGTGTGGTGAGGAGATGGCGACCAAGTCAATTTACCGTAGCCAGTTTGTGGTTACACCGGCTAGAATCCATGCGCATTACTCAACGGAGTCACTACACATCCACTCCCTCGTCGAGCACCACATCATGATAGCCAGCCAGCACTTCAATAGCCCAAAAAAAAAGATCGACTAGTCAAATAGAATTTTGATCTCGGACGCGAAAAAAAATTTGGACGACACCGGAATCGAACCGGGGACCTCCCGCATGCTAAGCGGATGTGATAACCAACTACACCAGACGCCCTCGAATTAGAAAAATTAGAGTCTTTGCGCTAGATAATCTGCCAATGCTACGTGCTGGATTTTGTGTATTTGCTGTTATTTTTGGATGGAAGAAAGGTTCATGTGTGGTAGAAACGGTGTACATAATCTGAATTGTGTTGAAAAGCTGTGGGTGCTCTGGTGGGAAGGAGAAGGTCAAAAAGATCCACGTGCGGGCTCGATTTAGACTGCAGGTGTTTATGACTACTACTCCTACTGCATTGGGTTCACAATACTTATTCACTACGATCTATGATTGGGGACATTGAAATAGTTGAATTTCTAAGTCACTTCCAAGTACGAAATACTCCACAACTAGCCATCCGTACACCATCTCGACGAAGTCCTCTTACTCAAACGTCGCTCCCATAAATACTCGCCCCTCGTCGCTGCTGCCACAGAGGCATATCAGTCCGCACTAAACGCACAAGAGGTTAGTCTCACCAAACTCTCGTCCACTGCGCTTCTTCGTCAGCGATGCTTACCCTTTTCAATGACATCCAGATCGATATCTGCTACGCAGATTCGAGGGACGGAATCTGTATCTGGGCATTGTGCCAGCACTGATCCCCAGGGGTCAATGATCTAGACAGTAGTAGGCGTGAGCGTCAGATTCTGCACCTGAATCAAACAGTTTCAACCACAAATAGTACACACCATCGCATGCCCCCAGCTCCTTCTCTTCCCCTCCGAATCATGCGCTCCAACCTGAGCCGCCATCACCACATACGTTTGCGTATCAACAGCTCTAGCCCGTCCCAAGAGTTCCCAGTGAGCTTGGCCCGTTCTGACTGTAAATGCGGAGGGATACGTAATGATTTGAGCGCCCAGCGTGCGCAGTCTTAACGCGTGTTCTGGGAAGCGAATGTCGTAGCATATAGCATATCCCACTATACGTAAGAGTTAGCTTAGCCCTAGATTAATCGAGATCTAGAATAACCAAGTACTTACTCTTTCCAATAGGCGTATCGAAAGGCGGAAGAACTTCGTTTCCCGGTTGTACGGACCTAAAAGAGAAATGGCAGGCGCCCAAAGTATGAGTATAAGAGCTATTACCAAGCTAAGTAGATGGCTGCGACATGCCTCGACTCCATCAAGATCGGACCGTTCCTAAAATCCGCTAGTCAGTAAGCGAAAGATAGCAAGTGGCTCGGACTGAGCTATGGCTGGGGTGAATAGGCGCATACTTCATGCTCACGTCGAATAGATGCAATTTCTGATACCGCTGTGTGATCTCCCCTTTTGAATCGATCCATAGAAGCGTATCTGTAACAAACCAGCTCTTTAGTCTCTAGCGTCTCACATTATTCGCCAAATCAACGAAACACAGGAAAATTGCATACTCTTGCATCGCTCCTCGCCCTCCACACTCTCGTGAATTCCAACGCTCACTTCGAGAGGCTTCTCCAATTTTTTCAGCTCGTCTTGGATTCCGAGCACAAACTCGGATTTATCAGCTGACCTGGCAAGTGCTACTGTCTCTGCTGGTGAGCCGGCGATGTAGTCTGACGCTTCGGGTAGAAATAAAACCTGCCGACCGTTAGCTTACATGCTGGGCAGCGTCAAACGATCATGACAAGTGGCTGCGTCGAAATAAAGAAACTGCATACCTTTGCTCCCGCATCCACCGCCTTCCTAATCAATATCTTTACCGACTCCAGATTTGCCGCCACCGAGGCTGTCGCGCAAAACTGTCCTGCAGCCGCTAACGTCATTGCCTTTGCCTGTCTTGATTGAATGCTGTAAAACCTGTGCGCGGAGTGATGATTCCCTGCGCCTTGCAAAGATCGACTAAGAATTCTGAGATGTCCAAAACTTGAGAACCGCAGAAGCATGTAAGTCTTTCTATCCTCCAAGAGGAAGTCAACGTCAATTGCTCTGTTTGACTGATATATTTTTCGTCCGTTATCGGCGGCGATGATGATTCGAATCGTCATTGTGAGCGTGGGGTCTAAACTCTATCTAAACTCCCGACTGTGCTCACAACCTCAACATTGAAATCAAACATCCTCACTCTCCAACAAAGCATCATTCTACTCTACCTTCCTCTGTGTCCTCTAACTTTTAGGTGTTTTGTTTTACCGTTACTTCAGCGGTGCTACAGATGGCATCAAATCTCACTTCGACCGCAGACTCAATAATCAACCCCGCTATCTTCACCCTCCTCCTCGACTTCATCGCCCTCGAACACGCCGCCGCTCTCAACCAAACCATCACCCACCTCTCCCCCGCCCTCCTCGCAAACATTTACGGCGTATGGGACACTTTATTAACGCACCATGAACTAGGCGAAATAGCCTCACTGGTGCCGCTCGAAGGGGTGATGAGAGACGTGAGCACGGATGCAATGAGGGTCATTTTCGATCAGCCGTATGATCCGGCAGCGACTGTGCAGGTCGCTGAAGCGCTGTTGAAGCTGTCGAGTGCTGTTGTTACTCTTGTCAAGTTCACTATAAAAGTTGGTCTTATGAGGAATTTTTAGCTGCGCTTTATATCGTTATGACAACTGGCTGCTGTACTGCTCATACCCAAACTATGAATTCACGAAACTGGGCTTATTGGGCTTCTACTTTTACACTATTCAATTACAAATGCCATCAAGCTTTACAATTTAGGCACACACTCCGTAACATAATCTTATAATCATACCATACAAGCATCACTCCTCCTACCCTCCTCACGACGCTGCCTTCACAATCGCCTCGCAGATCTCCTGGTATGCCAACGGCGACGCAAACTCATTATACAGCGTAGTAAGATCAAGCACGAGCCCGTCTAGCTTATCAATCAGCGCAGCACGTCTCTGCTCGTCGCCCTTTAGCCTGTCATCTTCCTTCACCGCATTGAGCAAGTCGTCCTGGATGTACGCCACTTCCAACTCATCCTGCGTCCGCTGGCCGAGTCGTAGCATTGCCTGGCGCTGACCTGGAGGACCGTAGCAGTTGCAGAAGCCACGTGCTCGAGAAAGATACTCGATGCGCTGAGACAACGGCAAGTCGAAATCAGACCGCGAAAGACGGTAGAGAACCTCGCTGGCCGCCAGGAACTCCTCTTTCTTGCAGTAAAACGTCCACAGCAAGTCTGCAATCTCAAGATTTAGGAGCGCGTTGCGCTGCAGGTATTGCTCGATGTAAGGCGTGTCGATGTCGAGAAGACGACCGGAAAGACCGCGCTCCATGAACCAGTCATAAAAGAAGTAATGGAACAGTTCATCGCGAGAGTCGTACGCAATTCCATACGTCTCAAGTTGAAGCTGCGTGTACCTTGTCTCGGGCGCGCTGACGACGGTGTTACCGCCGGGCGACAGCTGCTGATCTCGCTGCAGCGATGCAACATCGTTGTTCACCCGGGCATCGACATCATCCAGAATACTAAACACAAGCTGATAGCACTTCTCCCGCTTGGCGAAGATTGCTTCTCGAGGATCCGAGGCCGGCTTGCCGTCGGCAAAGTAGCTGACCGCCTGGTTTCCCCGGTCTACCTCAGTCGCGGCCTTCAAAGCTACCTGAATCGCACCAGGATGATAGTCCAGAGACAAGAAGATCGAAATCGCGTTCTGTAGCTCTTCGAATACAATCGTCCCGGCAGCCATCCCCAACAAATGCACACTCTCTGTAAGACAGTGCATTTTCAAGTCAGGATCCGTAGCCGCCGCCACGCGCGCCTTGTTCAAGAGCTCAAGTGACTTATAGAGCACCACCGCATCAGACGAGCAGAACGATCCACACCGCTTCCGCAGGACGTCGATAACCGAATCAACAGATGATCCTGACGAAATACTGACGTTCACCATTGCTCTCACGAGTTCGTTCGCGAGCTCGGTCCCGCTGTCTGAGGTGAACAGATCCTCAAACGAGAGCTTGATTATCCGCTGCTGACTCTCACCGGACACGTTCATCATGATCTCGCTCAGCTTTCGCGGCTCGACAATCATCGAAACAAACGACAAACCTTCGGTCATGTGTCTGAGCAATGTCATCAGCGCATGCATTCCCCGATGCTCAGCTTGCAACGACAGTTCGTCAATGCGAGCATTGTTGCTGCCGAGAGCGCCAAGGACTCGATCTGGTCCCGAAAGTCCGTCGATGTAGCTCTGGTTCTGCTCCAAAAACTGGTAGAGATCGTAAAGCACGGCGTGGTGGGCATTCAGCTTGTCGACGGATACGTTAGTCGCGTAGCTGAAGCTCTTTCCATCACGCGACTTGATTTGCTTGATGATCGGTACTTTCCAGATATCGCGAACAATGCGCGCCATGTACATCGACAGTCCTTCAAATCTACCACTCAGACGCACACTGTCGAGTGAGATCATTGTGACGCCATAGTTGTCGTCGCGGAGATGGGCTTTGCCACCAAACTCTATGTACGCCTTCCTGGCTATTTCTCTAGCATCAAGCGGTACCGCGCCGGTGGGACCAGTCGTAGCGCACGCGACACTCAATGCCGTGCAGCACGTCTCCGAGCGACCGTACATCTCAAGAAACATGCGAGCATGGTTGCCGAGCATGGCAAAGGTCTGGACCATGTAGCGACGTGTGTAGATATGCACACCAGTATTAGTCAGGATGGCCACTTGCGTAGGCGGGAGCGTGTACTGCGCTGCCACTTCGTTACCAAATCCTTCAGGCTTCGGTGCAACCTGGAACGGCGCGCTAAGCAAAGCGATTTCCTGAACAAAGCCTTCGATATCTGCCCATGCGGATGTCTCCACCAACTGTGGTGCAGAGTTAGAGGTCAAGGACTGCAACAAGATGCGGCCCGTGTCTGGCGCAGACACAAACACGCTATCACCAGACTCGCCTTCTTTCACGGCAAAATAATATCCTGGAGAAAAGATCTTTGAGAACCGAGTATTTTGCAGCGCTCGCGAAACTGAAGGCGCCTGTGCCGAAGACTCGCGCGGCGGGAACCGGACTTGAATGACTTGCATATTTGTCGGTGGCGCACTCTGATTGCTGGAAAATTCGAATCCGTATAACCGCGCAGCACGAAGATACAGACGGCAGCCGGTAGACGTGGTAGCGATCAGATGGATCTGTGTGCTCTCGATCGGACGAATGGGTTCAATAGAGACGATGGCGGTCGAGCGAGGATCGAGAAGTGGCGAGGCTGCGTTGATCATCTGGAGATGAGAGCACAGCGAGGCATAAGTGTAGGTGATCACAAGCGTGAGATCCGTGGGCGAAGACATGTGGTATGCACGGATTGTTGATCTTGACGACAGCGTGTACACCAACGACCGAGAGTCGTCAATCTCGATAGCGACGATCGATTCTTTAATCAAGTTAGCAAATGAGAAATATAAACAAGCACGTTGCGTACATACCAGCTTTAGAAGACGAAAACAGCGCATTCATAACACCCGTCGGCACAAACTTGGACACATCAGCCACTGAGGGCGCAAATCCAGAAAGTCCTCCCTTTGTATGACAGACTTTAGAGCATTTTCCTCTAAACCAGCTCTCTGTGTTGGAGTACGTGATCTCCCAGATATCGGCAGTCCCCCGATTGGTGACAAAAATACGACCCGTTTTATCACTGCCCCTTATCTTGTCCACTTCTAATCCCTTCAACGGCACCGACATGCCGGTCTCAAACAGCTGGATGTCAGATCCACCCGACGGCGGTGCAACGGCAAGAATGAAGAACTCAAGTGGAGTAGCCAGAAGCAGCAAATACTTAATCGACTCGACAAACGTGCCCGCCGTTGGCTTCACGAGCTGCACCGAGAGGATAGTGTGCTGCAGATCCTCGTACGACAGGAAATCCTCGCCGCTCATGTAATTCCAAAAGAACAGCTTGTTGTCGACGGTAATCCAGGCACGCTGCAGCTCAGGGAACAAGCCCATCTGCGTGTAGCTCTCGGTCTTGTTGTATTGCTCAAAGATGATATCCGGGATGTTGGAGATGTGCGTGCGCGTGAACGGGGTCCAGGGACCGATATCCGATCCTGGATTCGGGTTGCCGTAGGCGGTCGAAGCAGTCATGGGCGGCGAGAAAAAGTACTCGGAGAGTTGGCTCTGCTGAATGATGCGATCCAGATCGGGATAGCGGCTGTCGATGTCAAGAGAGGTGTTGACGTACCCTTTTGCGAGTTCGATCGGGGTAGTGGGCACATTGCTCTGAGCCTGCGCTCGACCGGCGTCGCTGACTGTCATCAATCTGCCGTCGGGACTCTGTAGCTGCTGCTGCTGTTGCTGTTGCTGTGGTTGCTGCTGCTGCGACTGCTGTGGTGGTTGCTGCTGTTGTGATTGTTGAGGGTGCTGCTGCTGTTGCGATCGCGGCGGAGACTTTGGCGTAAAAGGCTGCTGCGGTGATTTCCACCCACCTGCAACACCGCGCCTCGCCCCCGGCGTCACGGGCGTTCCCGCCATTCCGGGATTTTTGCCATCAGCCTGCCCGCCCGACGCTGCTGATGTGGACGGCGACCGCAGATGCGTCGAGTACGGACTCGGCGAGGGAAAGAGAGAGATTGTGGACATTGTCGGCGTGTTTAGATCTGTCCACACAGCGATTTGCAGAACGTATATCTATACAAAAACAAAGATCTCTCCCAGTCTTGATTCAAGCAGTATCCGCTCTAAACAGTTCTCTCTCTGTCGTGTATAAAAGAGATCAACCGCGCGCTGTCCAAATGCTCTTTTTTTCGACAAAAACAAACAATCGTCGGCTCGAGGATTTTCTTCGTGCCCTACGCTCTGCTTGATCTGGATTGAAGCCCTTACCCACGCGTATTGATATGTAATTTATTATGTAATCATTTGTTGATGAGTGCAGGTTATGAGACCGAAAGATGTGCAGTTTGACTACAGTTTACTATATTTGCTAAAATAGTGTATTCAATAATCTCATATGTGTACCAACAACAAAAATCCCCCAGCACTACGTCTCAAGTGCATACGAAGCGAAGATAAAAGACAATGAAAAGTAGTTCATTCATATTCGAGTCGAACTCAACACAGCTAAACCTTGGCCTTCATAGTACGCGTGCGAATGACAGTACTATCAGCCTTCTTCTCGCCCTCGCCTGCCGCGATCATGTCCGCAAACCCGCCAGTCGAGGACCCAGCCGAGACCTCAGTCGCCGACGAACACGTGGACGAAGTCGAGTCTCGAGGCACCGCGTGTCCTCCTTCGAGATCGTCAGGCGAGGCAGCAGAGGAAGGGCGGACGAAACGCGCTTGTTTACCAGACCAGAGACCAAAGCGGCGTTTGATTGCTTTCCATACCTCGACGACAGCAAGGTAGATGAAGCATGCGCCGGCGACGACGCCCCATTCCCAGCTGATCCCGAGATGCTTAAACACCTCATCGTTCACAGTCGGGATATAAATGACCGGAAACGTGCACGCAAACCCGCCGATAACTGCCCAAAAGAGAAATCGGTTATAGTAAAGCGACGGGAAGACCGAGAACGGTCCGCTGTGACGCGATGGGTCAAGCTTGAAGATCGAGCGCGAAAAATGCTTGACTTCCCACGCGGTGATGAGCAGCAAGAACGAGAGATCAGCAAACGAGACAGCGCGCGCGCGGAAGACTGCGTCGCAGGTTGAGTTGTAGCTGTGGTTGCAGTCGTATCCTAACGCTCCGTCGTTGCCGGCGTAAATCACAATCACAAATGAGGCGAGGCAGAGGACGCCTGCGGTTATGCCGTACACGAATTGGTCGGTGATGACTTCCCAGGTGAATACACCGACATGGAGGTCGTGCGGAGGTCGAAGCATTATATCCGGTTGCGCTTCTTCCATTCCGAGGCCCATGGCCAAGAACGACGAAGTAACCATATTTGCCCACAGGATCTCCAAAGGAGAGAGTGGAAACACTGAAACCCCTTCTCGATCTTTGAAAGCAAGTCCGCAGAGCAACAAAATTACCTGGGAAATGTTGGAGATCAAAAGATGCACGAGGAACTTTTGGATATTATCAAACAACCGACGACCTTCCTCAATCGCGCGCACGATACTCGCGAAATCGTCGTCGGTCAAAATCATATCACTAGCGTCCTTAGCGACATCGGATCCGTTAAGACCCATAGCAATGCCGACATCAGCGCGCTTCAAAGCAGGAGAATCGTTCACGCCGTCTCCAGTCATCACGCAAAACGCACGACGGCGATGCAGCGCGTCTACCATCTTCACTTTAGTCGCGGGCGCACAACGCGCAACCACGAGCGGCAACTCCGGCATCGCGTCGATCTCGGTATCAGATAGCTTGTCAAAGTCCGCGGCAATCATTACCGCGTTGGGATACTGCGAGACCGGCATGGTTCCAGAAAGAATTCCGACCTCGTGCGCGATGGCGCGCGCAGTGCCGGGGTGGTCGCCTGTCAACATGTGGACTTTGATCCCTGCTGCCTGAGCCTTCAAGACCGCCCCGCGTGTCTCGACACGAGGAGGATCGTAAAGACCCGCGAGGCCAACAAAGGAGAGCTCTTGCTCAATCTGCTGGCGATCGTCTAGCGCGATCTTGCAGTCTTTGGGAAGAACGCGGTATGCGATGCACAGCACGCGGAGACCATCGAGCGTCATCGAGCTCATGTGCGCCTGCAGCATATCGTGGTCATACGAGTCCGGAACCAGAGACGACGAGACAGCTTCGACGGCACCTTTGGTAAAGACAAAGATGTCGTGGGTAGGAGATTCGTAAACGACACTCATACGCTTGATGGAAGAGTCAAAAGGATGCTCGGCAAGAAGCTTCCATCCCTGCTTCTGCAGCGTATCGCGGCCATAATCAAATCGCGAGGCAAACACTTGCAGAGAAATCTCAGTGGGCTCGCCATGACCGTCCCATTCTCCCGCTGACTTTTCGTCAGCAGCGGCCTTTTGCTCGATGGTGGCAAGGTTGCAGAGACCGAGCGCGCGCAGGAAAATGCAGAGCGCAGAGTCAGTTGCAGATTTGCTCAGAAGCTCAACGGGATCAATGGCGCGATCTGAGATCTTGAGATAGCCAGAGACAGGTGAGAAAGGCGAAGTTGTGTCGGTGACTGAGATTGTCGTTTGACTATCGTCGTTTTCGGCAAGTCTGGGAATCCAGACGCGGCGGGTGATCATCTTACCCTGCGTCAAGGTTCCGGTTTTGTCGGAGCAGATGTCGGTTACACCGCCCAGAGCCTCGAGGGCTTGCATCTTACGAACGAGAACGTGGCCAGAGGCCATGGCCTTTGTTGCCACCGAGAGGGTGATTGTAAGTACAGCGATCAGAGACTCTGGGATGACGGCGACAGCGACACAGATGCCGTAGATTAGCACGTCGTTGTCGATTTGCCACTGCTAATGAGTTAGTATCTAGAAGTAGAGACTGAGGATAAAAAATACATACCTTGCTAGCACTGAAAACAATGATTGCCAAGAGAATAGCAAGCGAAAAAAGAAAGATTGCAAACTTGGACAGTTTGACCTGCAAAGGCGTGCCAACCAATCCAAGGGTCTTCTTCAGGCTGTCGGACACTTTGCCGAGTACTCTCGAGGCAGTCCTGCCAGCCTTGCCTGAGGAAGACGACGAGCTCGTGGACGATATAGAAGACGAGTCGTCATTGGAGGTCGACGAAGGTACGGGCGTAGATGACTTTAGCATCTGCGCGATCTTGCCTACCTCGGTGTGCATTCCGGTCGCGACGACGATACCCGTGCCACGACCTTTAGTGACGGTCGAGGAGGAGTAGCAGATATTTGTGCGGTCGCCGATCGGGATGCTTGCGTCGTCAAAGGTGATAGAAGGCGTTTTTGCGACAGCGAGGGATTCGCCTGTCAGCAGGGCCTCGTCGCATTCAAGGTTCATGCCATCAAAGATTCTAGAGGAGTTGTTAGCGCATGCATGTCAATTTGTTTGATCGAGCGATTTGAGTGAGGGGAAGGAATACCTTAGATCAGCGGGAACAATGTCACCGACCTTGATACTGACGATATCGCCTACGACAATGTCCTGAGAGGATATCTTGACCAACTGGCCGGATCGGATGACAGTAGCCACAGGCGCCGAGAGCGAAAGCAACGACTGCATTGTCTTTTCAGCTTTGACGTCCTGGACGAAGCCAATGCCGATGTTGAGACAGATGACGGCGGTGATAACGCCACCCTCGATCCAGTCACTTGTGCCGTACGAGAGGGCCATTGCGATGAGCAGGACGAGGGTGAGCGAGTTGGACACCTGACGGAAGAAGATCTGCCAGATCGAGACGCCGGCGGCGCTTTCGAGCACGTTCCTGCCGTTGGAAGCAAGACGGGCAGACGCAGCATCTTCGGTCAGACCGAGCTCAAAACTAGAGTCAAGCTGGGCGGCGAGTGCAGCGGGCGCGACGGTGTGGGGAGGCGCGCTCAGTGCATGGCCGTGATGGTGGTGGTGGTGGTGCTTGGGGGCGACTAGCGGGGGAGGGTCATCAGCGGAGTCGCATTCTTCGAGTGATTGGAGGGCGTGGGTGGAACCACGTATACCGGACGAAGAATCGGACGGGTCATTTGGTTCGCTGGAGGAAGAGGAAGATGTGTCGACCATCCAATGGCTGCGGTTGATAGAGGTTGGTAGTGGTCGAGGAGTGAGAGTGATTGTGTTTGCTGTGGAGTAGCAAGTAGGAGTTTAGAGAGATGTCGGAGGAGCAGCGAGGAGAACCGGCTTTTATTAATTGCATTTTGGAGAAGAAGGGTCGCCGAGAGTTCATTCGGTTCTTCGTACGGCAGTTGATCGGGAAGGATTCAGGAACGGTGAAGATCAGAAGTTGCCGTATTTGGAGTATTCCACTTTGCTGTCTCTCCCTCTTTTTGTGTGCTTTTACAGCTGGTTTCTGAATTATTAGACAATATGCAATGCATACATCTGCTCAACATATCAATTACCACTTCTTTTGATTATTCTTCACCGTTCGATGTTAGCAGGCATCGTGACCTCGGAGTTAAGCCGGGGGGCGGTGCAAACGCATTAGTGCTGACAAACGTTGTTAAGGGTCTTGAAACAATGACGTCACAGGACCCTCGAACCTTGGCGCGCGCGCACTTGGCCAGCAGTCATTGTTCCGTCTGGTCTCGTGCTTTGTTGTTGCTGTCGGCTTTACTGATATGAATTAATCATATATTTGCCTGTTATTGCTGAATATCTTCGACATTTGCAAGCACCAGCTGGAGATGGTGATAGCGGTGCAATTCAGTCCAGCGTATTCTAACAACGAGGGTCTGCTTGGCATCGCTACTTGCGACCGTCTCCACAGTCAGCCAAAGCCTTGCAAACCTTTTCTTATCAACGCTCTCGATAAGATACCCACAGTCTGTTTGAATATACAGCAAAAGCACTGCTGTATACCAGGTACAGCTCAATCACGGCAGATATCGCAATCTCGCCCTGGCTTGGCTCGGCTCTTATCTACATCTCCTCCATCTTCTACAGCTTTCGAAGAACATCTAGTCTAATAACATTATACTAATCTCTATCTAAAACAATGCTCTCCTCTAATCCTTGAACTTGCAAACCTCAACCGTATCTGAAAAACCAACACTTAACCCTTTACCCTTCCTCACCTTCATCCCCGGTACCTTCCCTGGCTCTGTCTTCTCAGGCACCTTCTCCACCTTCTCCTTCTCCAACCCCTGACCACTCTCAACCTCACAGATCTCAACACCGCTCAGCTCCTTCCAGTTCAATCTCTCGCCGCTGTTGACAAATGCAGTCGTAGGTATCAAGCCTGGTTTCACAGTGATCCCCGAGTATGGCGTGCTTGTGTTTTCAGATTGTTTGATTTCTGAATCCGAAGGGTCGCCAAGCTGCGGGGGTACCTGGGTATCAATATACAGATCAGGAGTATCAACAGTCTCCACAGTTTCCTGCACAGCACTCACGCTCTCGCTCTCATCATCCACTCCACTCTCCCAGCTAATATTCTCCAACTCTTCCAAACACCGCCACAGCTCCTGCTCAAGCCCTTCAAGTCTGCACAGTCTGGCGTCAATCTCCCGAAAATCACACAGTAGATACTGCTTATTCGTAAGCCTCTTTCCTGGCGGCGACATCTGCGCTGACAGCGACATTATCACATCAAGCGCACTTGGACCAGATGCACAGTCTATATCTCCACCTTCGGTCTCCGTCACCGACGACAAAGAGCACGAAAACGATGAGCTTAGATCGTTCACTGACTCGCGCGGTGATATCAGCATATCAAACAAATCCTTGTCGTCAAGCGTACTCTCGCCGTCCTCGCCAGATGACACAGAGCCCTGCTCCGTCTGACTCTCGTCCTGGATCCTCTTCCGCAGCCACGCACTATCGCATATCTCCTCTGTCGTCTTCCTAGTTTTGTTCTGCGTCACCGGCTCTCGACGTCGAAACCTCAACGACAGCATCGTAGACGGCTCTGTAGCTTCATCTTCTGCACTTTCTTCCGCCTCGTCCACCTCCAGATCGCAAAAACTCAGCGCGTCGTCGTAGACTAACGACCCAAACTCATTCCGCACAGAGCCTAGCTTGAGTGCTGAGCGAGAGCGTCGCACGGTTTGCGCAAACGAAGTGAGGCTTTTATCTGTGTTGTCAGGAGTCTGTTCAGATGGTATAGTGTCTGTAACTGAGGAGTCTGTCTTCTTTTTCCTGAATAGCATCATCGGTGTTGAAGACAGCGTCGACCAGGCGTCAGTTGATATTCGGGCCAGTCCCAGGCGAGTGTACCGACGAGGGTTAGGTAAGCATCAACATGAATTATGTAATATTCTTTTATTCATCTCTCAATAGTAATTGCAATAACAACTCATTCTGTCGATAATGTCTTGGTCGTGCTATTATTCAGCTCCTTTGCCAGCCTTCTGATTCACCGCTCGGAACGGCCATTTAACTTTGCCATCTGGTTTATTCGGTAATAAACTCCGATTCCGCCGTGCGGAAATAAGACGAAGCAGAGACGAGCAATAAGATTATCCGCTCATCAAAGGCCAATTGGAGAACTTCCATTTGTCTTCTGTTCTCTTCATGCTCGCTGTTCTCTCAGCTGTTGTATATACAGATCAGAATAATGAACAGCTTCCGGGGTATACGACGACTCGTCGCGGCGACTTCTTTGCCCTCTTCACGCCGCTTCGCGGGAACAAGTAGCCCGCGTCAGCGAATACCAATATTTGGCCCCGGCAGCAATACTGAGCCGTCAGCAGCGCCCGAAACACGACTGGGACAGTACGAGATTGTCGATAGTTGTCCTGAACCCGATTTTGATACCGGATGTACGTTTTGCCAGCCAGAGTTCCCGCCTGATCTGCAGGTCAAGAGCGGCGCGCCGCTGGCTGGCACTGCGCCTTCGGTCGGGAGGCATTTACTTGTTTCTACTGGGCATAGCGGTGAGTCTGACTACACTTAGGATTGAGCTTAGCGGAGACTGACTGGGTTTATGTTACAGAGTGGCCGAATAAGACAGAACTGGATCCGGCTTCATTAGAAGCAAAGCTCCGCGATTTGCAGCGTACCGGCGGAATACGACGCGATGTAGGCCTCATTATATCATATCCACTGTTCTGATGTGACTACTGACCAACACGCTATAGCCGGACTTCAACTACCTCGTCACAAGCACAGATTTGGCCCCACCAGAAGACAAAGACTCCTGGTCAATCCACATGTACCCCGACAACCTCTACTTCCCGCGCGTGCCGTTCGCCAAGGCCGACGCGTTCATGAAACGATATCTTGTCCCCAGTCGCGCGCAGGAAGCTGAGGGGTTTGAAGAAGAAGTCGAGGTTCGCAAGGCTGAGAATCCGATCATTGCAATCTGTGGACATACTTCGCGCGATATGCGGTACGCACCTCCCCAATCTCTCGTGACAGTGAAACTAGAGTGCTTACGTGATAATATAAAGATGTGGAATAGTCGGTCCTATGCTGAAGGCTGAATTTGAGCAAGTGCTGGGAGCAAAAGGCCTGCTCTACGACAGCACCACCGACAAAGGAGTCAAAGTCGCTATAGTCTCCCACGTCGGCGGACACGTCTACGCCGGCAACGTGATCATTTTTGACGGGCGCGGAAATTCAATCTGGTAAGTCTCCTGGGTTTTATGCAACCTCTATCTTCCTTGACGCAGGGAGCAGTCTATGATGTGAGATCGCTGCGGTTGACGGCATACTGACTCGTCCGTTCTAGGTATGGTCTAGTGCAGCCAAAACACGTGCAGGGTATCGTGAAGCAGACGATAGAGCGCAAACAGATCATCCGCCCGCTGTATCGCGGCGGCACCATACTCGACTAGCTCCTCAGTGCAGTTAAATGTATTCTAAATAGAATAATAGATCCACATTCAAGAGTAAAGCCAGTATTCCCTGCCATTCACAGTGAACTAAACCACCTGGGCATCTCTCACGTGACCAAACACAAACCCTCTCGGTGACACTTCCTGTCAGCGGTCCCAGTCGCCATCACCAACAGCGGCTCTCGCTTTCTCTCCTCCGCGCTCATCCTGTTCACGTCTCTTCCCCATCCACACCCCGGTCCGCCATCGTCCATCCTCTAATCCGCTTCTCCTCGTCCTTCTTTCTTTCTTCCTCCCCTCCCGCTCCGATCGGCATGGCGCCCGCCGACCCTTTCGCCGGGCGCACCGCCTCGAACTCCATCTCGAAGCCTTCCCCAGCCCCCATCCTCGCTGCTCTCTCCACCCACTCCCCGGCCTCATCCACCCATTCGCACTCAAAACCCTCTGTCCGCACTGCGTCCCCGTCTTCTGCATCTACCGCCGTCATTGATGATTGGTCCCAGTTCCTCGACGCAATCCTGCAAGAACTCCACTGCTCAATCGCCAAATACGGCATACCATCAAACGACTTCTCCGTCCTGTCCTGTGGCTGCGTCGCCTCCGAGCAATGGGCCCGATCGCGACTGCCAAACCTCCAGCTTAAAGTCTGTCCGAACTGTGGCAATCCGACCGAGCTGAAAAAACCGGTCGTGCCACTCAGAAATATCTACAACATCGTCATGGACAAGCGCAGGGAGTTGGGGCTGCCGATACCGGAGGAAGTTGGCTCAGACGAAGAGCCTGAAGATGAAGGTATCGTTATCTATTGCTTGCTTTTGTAACTGTTGAATTTCTAATCGTCTTCTCAGCAAATCTGTTCCGACCCGAGGCTATCAGCCGCCGCACTTCGTCCCGTAACGAGCCACGATTGCCCGGAGTGTCTCGTCTTCGAGTAGACACTGGCAACGACTTTGGAAATATTGGTTCTGCGTATGTTCCTTGTCTTTGTGTGTTATAGGGAGTCTCCATGTTTTTCGTTTCATTCGGTCATGTTCTGCCTCCCATGAGCTTGAGCTCTGTACTGACTGGCAGCAGTGACAGCGGTGATTCCCTAATTCGCAAATCTTCCAGCTTAAGCGGTCAATCGGATCTCGTCGATGGAAGCGCTGGCCGCGTATCTCTAGATCGACGTTCTTCCTCAACAAACAATGGCGGCCCCGGCCTCTCGAATTCCCTCCCCGTCAGCGGCGGCGGTGGCCCGCCCTCGCCGAAAATGACCCTCGTCAGTCTTTTCTCGTCCGTCGCACGCCAAACATTCAACAATTCATCAAGCGACTTGTCTCCTCGCGGCAGTGCAATCCTGACTCCCACCGGCGGTCGACGAGAAACCAACGAGTACGATAGCGTGATGTCGTCTTCGTTCACGCCGCCTTCGTCGCTAATTTCGCAGCCGTCGGCATCCTACAAATCCGGATCCGGCGCGTTCTCGTCTCAGATTTCGTCGTCGTCGTCTGGCATTGAGCCATGGCAGATGTCGTCGCGCTCAGATTTCGTGCCAATAATGATGACCCCCGAAGACGAGTTGCGGGAAAAACAATATACAGAAAACTATCCGCTTTATCGCAAGGACCTGAGGTATCCGACCCAGACAAGTCGGGGGTTCTCTATGATTCCACGTGGCAAGGTGTTTGAAGGAAGCGCTATCTCACCCGACACTCGGACGTTTGCGCTAGTGGCTGAGAAGCGCTGGGAAGTGTACTCGATCCCGACCTGCTTCAAAGTCGGGACTACACCGCAGCTGTTGTGTGTCGGTAAGAATACGGGCGAGTATGGAATGTCGTGGGATACGTGCACAAAGAGGGATCCGGATGAGTCGATACGGAATATAAGTTGGGCGCAAAGCATGGCTGCGATGTCGAACAGGTTCTTGGTGATTGCGGGAACGAATGGCGTGGTGCGCGTGCATGATTTAGAAAAAGGCGGAATGGCTGTCTTCACAGAGATATCAAAAGACCCAATCCGGTGCGTTGCGATCTCGGAAGACGGCATATTTCTTGCTTTCGCAGTCACGTCGCGCGACCTAGTCTCCGGAACCGAGCAACCGACGATCGTTCTGCATAACCTGAGCCACCTGCTCGGGATCACAACCAGTAAATCCAAGCCGATGCTGATCGACATGCCCTACCGCGATCCTCTCAAGACTCTCGCCTTTTCTCCCGACGGCAAACTACTCGGCTGCTCGACCGCGCTAGAGTCAAGGTTCATGGTCATCAATCTGCACGACCCCAGCCATCCCCGACTAGTCATCCGGTCTTCGCGCAAGATCGACCCAGCATTAGAATCCGAGGGTATCACATGTCTGCGGTTCTTCCCCGGCAACAGGCTAATGGTCGTGGCCTCGGTCGCCTCGGACGCGCATCCGATCGTGGTCGAGATCGTGATGCCGAACAACGACCCTCCCTCGGCCAAGTTTTCGCGCGCAATGTCCAGCAGCTCTTTCGGATCCGGCAGTTTCCCGAGCCAAGACGACGACGACTACCGGATTGGCACTTCTGCCGGCAGCGGCGGCGCGACCGGTGGCAGTTCCGCCGGCGGCAGCGGGAGCTTGCTCCAGCCGAAACTGCGCAGCCGGTTCCACGAAGTCGGGTCGACGATCCACCAAGCCGCTGTCTCGCCGCGGGCCAACTCGGTCGCGCTTCTCGACCGCAACGGAACAGTCTACCTGACGCATTTCCTGCGCGCCGAGTCCGAGCACCGGCGCGTGGTCGCGGTCGTGGACGTCACGAGCGCGAATAAAATCAGCGAGTGCGCGTCGATGCGGTTCTCGCCCGACGGTCAGAAACTGATCTTGGTCGACCGCAAAGGTATCTTGTATATAGAGGATTTCGGCGCCAAAGCCGAGCATGGTGAGACTTTGAAGAAGTGTAGGATTATAAAGTGACGTGTTGCTCTTTCACAATTTTTTTCATTCCCATTTTATTGTTTTCACAACACTTTACTTCTGGATTTTTTTCTCTTTCGATGGCTGTTTTTTATAGAATTGTTTTATTTATTTTCTTGACGAGTGATGATTTTACTTACCATTTATGTCTCCTCCCCCTCTTACCTACTCTTCCTCTTCCTCCCCTTTTTTCTATTCTTATTTTGTATTTTCTGTATCTCCTCGGCGTTGGGTTACTTCTTATTATTTCTAATCTATCCATTCATCTTATCTCTCCTTACCGTCCCACTACATTATTCTCGATCTCCCGCGGTCCATCTCATTTCTTCCTTCGTCCCCTCTACTCACTCATCTTTTCTCACGTTTGAAATCGTTCTGGGATGTTGTTACTTTTCATTTCTAACACATTTTATCTCATATTGAACGAGTAGTCGTCGTAATAATCACTATTCCTTCATATTTCTTTAACACGTTTTATTAAAATTCTCATGCTAGATGTGGAAACTCGCTTACTTTGTAACTCCAAGACTCTCGAGAACTTTATACGCGAGAACAGCGCTCGTTTAAATTTGGTTTAATTTTTAGGCATCGTTCTTCACAAGTGAATGATTTCTGATGTTTTCAAGTGCTGGGTAAACAGACTAATCTATGAGTCAAGCAAATATTTACGAAGATTATCGGGTTACAGGCGAATTGGTTTATTTCGTTATGCCACCATTCAACGCACCGGCAATGAAGACCTCTTTCGGATCTACACTCCACCCTCTTCACGAACAACCTACACACCAACACCCGCCATCTCCAACTCTTTTACTCAATTTCTCTGACCGTGCAATATATAACTATATATATTTTGAATAATTTGTGCTTCATAATTCCTATATATCATCTCCGTTCTATGCTCCTTGTAAAGACATCGAAGAAAAAAAACTCTGGCTAGAATAAAAACCCGCTTTCAACTCAACTTCAAGGATAGCCATCAATGCGAATATTATAAAAATAGCGAAATGTATGGACAAAGAACAACAACAACAAGAAGAAGAAGAAACGTAAAAAAAAGAGCAGCAACGACGATGGAATGTAAATGCGTGAGATTGATAAATCGTTGATATATAAATATAGCGGAGGAAGAAGAACGGGGAGAATAAGGAGACCTTTTGTCAGGGAAAAGAAAAATTGCAAAAGATATGTGAAGAAAAACAACAACGAAACGCCACGATTAAAACTGATGACATGAAAGGAATATTAGGATAAAAGTAAAAAAATCAAGAAAAAAAAGGAAAAATAGGTGCATGAATTAATCAACCAGCAGCAATCTGCGCTGGTCAGTCCTCTTCATGACATAAAATGCAAATACTGTTTTAGCTACTGCTTGCCATTCATACTCGGCACGCGTTCGAGCTTGCGATCAAAATACGAAGTGACCGTCGTCGACGACCCACAGCTCGCCTGCAGCGTCGTGGCCGTGCTACTCGCCGACGTCGGGACTGTTGCAATCACACTGCTGCTACCGAACGACGTCTGCGGAAGCTTCATCGCCAGCTCGGAGTCGACTTCGCCGCTGCCGTTGCCGGAGCGCTCGCTGTTGTAGCTGTAGTTGCCGCCCGAGAGAAGTTCGAGGTAGACGATGAACAGCCAGAGCGCGAAGATGTTGACGATGTGGTGGAGCCAGTAGGCGTTGAGGATGCCGTGCAGGCAGGAGTAGACGATTAAGTAGACGAGCAGGATCTTTGTCACAATCTGCTGCTTGACCTGCGTGTTTCTCGGCAACATCTTGCCGGAGATCATATTCTCCACCAACAAGATAATCGGCATGATTGATAGCAGATTATGATGCGACGAAAACGGCGTCGTCCATTTGACAGACAAATTGTGGATCCACACCACCAGCAGCGGAATGTTGATCGGCAGAATCCAAATCATCAGCATCAAGATCGACACCGCAAAGTTGGAAAACATCGGGCTAAACCGCTCCGACAGCCCGTACTGATAACTCTGCGTGCGAAGCGACTTTATGCACGTGTTGATGTGCACGATAAACACGACAATGAACGCAAACTGAAACGGCACGTACGCAGAAACAATCAGCAGCAGCGTGAAAATCGTGATCAGTCTCTTGCCGCCGCTAAACACCGCTAGCATGCTCACAAAGTTGTACAGGCCCACAAACAGCTGCGTCAGCAGAAACGCGAAAAACCGCAGCAGCAGCGTGCTAGAGAAAAACTTGCCCACGCGCTCGCGCGAGGTCAGCACGCGTGGTATGGTCTGCGACGGAGCTGTTGGGGGCGAGTCCGTGCCGGCAGGCGGCGAGGCTTGCAGTTTCATTGCGTCGAGGCAGTCGAGAGTCGTTGCGATGAATAGCAGCACGATCGCGACGACGTAGTAGACTACGATGCACAGACCGGTCGCGAGCGTGAATAGAAGCGGTCCGAGGAGACATAGTCGCGGATCCGAGATGCCGAGAAACAAATCATTGTCGCGGATGATGCGGTACACCGGTCTGTCGTTTATACTAGCGTCCGCGTCTGACGATCCAGCAGGCTGATCGGCCGGATCCATAAACGGAAGGGTTGAAGTCGGAAACAGATGCGGCGAAAGAGCGATAAATGATGCAGAGACAAGACAGAGAATGGGGAGTGCTTTTCCGATAAACGCCTCCAACGCCGCTCCAAATGTGATGAACGTACCGCTCGCGTCATAGATGTTGAATTGCATGAGCATAACCATCCCCACGATAGCAAGCGGCAGCGCAGCAGTAGCAGTCCGGTACCGAATCACTAAATTTCCCAAACTTCCCAGCATATCCACCGACACCCTCAACGTGACCTGCTCGTCGCGCTCACCGCACGCAGTCGTGGGGTCGCGCCAGATCTGCAACTTCAAAGTCTGCTGCTGCTCCGAGAACGAGCCACCGGGGAGAGACGTCAGCGGCACGAACGGTGCCGCGCCGTGGAACCCGATCTGGATTTTTCGCGCGTTGGGGAAGTACTTGGACTCGTGCGGATCCGAGAGGAATTGGCGGATGAGAGGCGCAAACATTTCGCTGTCGGCGCACTTGCTCGGCGCGAGATCGAGTTTGTACGAGATCAGACTGTTTGACAGACCGCTCAGGGTCACTTCTGAAAAGCCGGCGCGGCCGGAAGGTAGAGAGATGGTGAGATCACCAGAGAGAGATGCTGGAAGAGATTTGTTAGTCCAATGCTTGATGTATATGACAATGAATTACTTACATTTTAGATCGAGATGCATGTCGTATTTGTAGGCGGTGCTGTCGATCATTTCCATCGTAACAAACCCGGATGTTTCGTCGGCATACGAGTCCACCACGGCGACGTACTGATACTTGAATAAATCTCCCATTCTGTACTGCACATACGAAAACACGCTTCCGTCGTGCGCAAATTTTGAGTCTCTTGTGGACGCCGGCAGCACGACCTTATCCTGCGCCATATTCGAGCACACAAACGTCAAAGTCTTGCTATCCGGTTTCGAAAAATCGAGCACGTTGTTGAATGTATGTAGGTAATCTGAGTCAAACGTGTTGCGGTGCGACGACTGGCAGAGAAAAATGTCGACGCGCTGGTCTTTGCCGTCGAGCTCTAGAGTCTGGTCGGTTAAGATGCTGAGGATATCATCTTTTGACTCTGAAAGGTCGGCGGGGATGGGCAGCAGATGTACCTGCGGCCGTCGGTAGCTCCCGAGACCGCGGAGGGTCAATCGCTTTTGACGCTGTTTTGATATTATGCTCGGCGTGTCCTGGACTCTAAGTAAAGTGTCATGGCCCAGTGCCAAGGGCGCTTTCTTGGCCACTTCAGGCTCAAGACCGGTGAGAAACTGAGACCGGAATACTTCCATGCGTGCTTCCAAGCTCTTCGTCTGTGTAGGTTCTCGAGTGTCGACGACGTGAAGAAGCGCCTGGGCGATCGCGCGACGTAGTTGGTTACACCACACAACAGCCAGATGATCGACTCCGGTCCAGACATTGGGAATGGAGGACGTGAACACTGTGAATCCGTTGGTTGATGGCAATAGGGATGAGACGCTGGTGAAGTCTGAGGGAACGATCGCGTCCAACTTTCCACCGGTGATAGAGATCAAGGAGACTGAAGCTAAAGGGTTCTTGCCTACCAGGTCGTCAGAGTACGACTTGCGCCAGTACTGGTTGATTTTCTCAAAGATGTTGACAATGTCCCAGTCGAATGTTGCCGGGGGTACGACGTGAGGAGTTGAGAGGGTGATGATTGTGTTTACCGAGTCCGGACGGTAGTTTGGCAGCGTCAGCATCGTACGCGCTACGATTCCGCCCATCGAGTGACCGATCAGAATAACAGAGCGAGGCAGCGGTGTGTCGTCGCCGTTCTCGTTCCGCGAGGGGCTGTAGAGGGAGAGAATGAATGCGATTGCGTCGTTCAGGTACTCGGCCTGGTCTAGGAGAGTGTGGCCGTGAAATGCAGTAAAATCCTCGTTGAAATCGGCGGTGAAAAAGTCGAGACTGGAGGAGCCGGGATCATCGCGGAAGGTGCCTTTGGCGAACAGGGCGTCGTAGTACTGGTGGGCAGCTTCGGCGGCGATTTCTCGAACTTGTTTGTAACTACCCGCATTCCCGGGTATAAACAGGACTGGCACACCGCGGGGCTATAAGAAATGCAGTAAGACGTGGTTAGAAGGTGTTGCAAGGTAGAAAACATAAATACATGATATGATGGATGGGATATTCGACAAACAACACAAGGCGCACACAACAGCAAAGGAGAAAAAAAGGGGAAGAGAGGGATGACCTACCTCGCGCGTGTTATCCAGCGTCTGCTCGCGATACAAAAAAAGCGAATACTTTGAAGCGAAGCGAGTGTGATCGGTGTCGAAGCTCTTGATTTTCGCATAAGATGGAGAGTAAAAGGCAGGGTTGCATCCCTTTGAGTCGACCTGCCTCCTCAGGGAGGAGTACAGCATGAGGCAGAGCACGATGGCAGTGAAGACGACGACCGAGAAAGTGCGGTAGTAGGTGCCGGCGACGGAGGAGGAGGCGACATACTGCAATTGCTGGACCGAGGACCGTCGACGGAAGTACTTCGAGGAAGGCAGCAGACGCGCGGGCAGCTTTGGCGGCCGAGCCGATGCCGGCGTGACCGGCGAGGGCGGGGCCGACATGGACGACAGAGAGGGTGGATGATCAGAGACAGGCGAGAGCTGGGCGCGGGTTCATCATAGGCCTTGTGGAGAGGAAGGGGGGTTTATCAGAGGGCGTGGAGATGGCTGGTGGAGGTTGGGTCTAAACGGAGGAGCAGCGGAGAAAGCGTAAAAAGCGTAGCGGCGAGCGAGGCGCACAGAGCGCGTACAAGGACACAGCCAGAGTATCACGACCACCGCCAGCAGCGCGCGCGCCCCGCCGCCGCCCGCAGCTGCGGTGATTGTCTACGGTCTACGGTCTACGCGCAGCAGCACGCGCTGGCTGCCAGCCCCGTCGCCGCTGCTCTGCGCGCTGGTCGGCCGCGGTGCAGGGCGCACGATAGGACGCTCCCAGCAGAGCCGGCAGCAGGGAACACGGCAGATTGCGATAAGCGCCCGAACCGGCTTAGCGCGTGCGTGGCGGCGAAACAGAGTGCGCGGTGGCCAAAGAACGGTGTCAGCAGCGGGTCTGGTGTCCATGCGGCTCGGGCCCGCCCAACGCCGCATTCGTCGCTCGTCCGAGGCAGGCAAACTCAAACCAAACTCTGCTTTGTTATTGCTTCCAGGCACCAAACCTCCGCGTCTTTTTTTGCCTCTGCTCGCCTTGTTCGCCTTTTTGCCTTGTTGCGCGCTGTTTGCTTGCCTTGTTGCCGTCTGCTGTGATAGTCCTGCTTGTTGACCGCGTAGAGACTCTACTATATAAGCACCTCCTCCGCCTCGCTCGCTTCTTCTCGCTACTCCTCCTCGGCGCCCCGCAGACCAACCTCCACCATGTCTTCCCACCGCACCTCCCCCTCCGTCTCCTCCTCCATCGCCGACGAGCAGCACTCCACCCACGAGTCCGTCGAGTCTGTCGAGTCCGCCGACGAGCTCCACACCGCCACCGCCGCCGCCGTCGTCGCCCGGCCCACTGAGGTCCTCGTCAACCGCCGTGTCTCGGCCACCCCATCTAATGCCTCTGACCTCACCACCACCGCCGACTCCGTCCCCTCCACCGTGCACGAGACCATGCCTCCGCCGGCCTCCTCTTCTGCTGCCGTGACCGAGAGCTACCCAGACCCCCCTCCGTCTCCCACGGCGTCGACCACCAGCTTCCGCAGCGCCGAGCAGTCCGTCTACGACACCGACGCTTACACCACCGACGCCTATGTCGACGCCTACGACGACGAGGACGACGCTTCCTCTATCTCGACCATCCCCGGTGGAGTCGCCGCCGCCACTGCCACTACTCCAGCCGCCGCCGCCGCTGCCTCTACCGCTACCCCGACGGCAGCCGGAGGCGCGACTACCCCGCCCATGTCCGAGACCGAGATCTTGAACGCCTTCCCCGCTACGCCCGCAGCTGCAGCTACCACCCAGCGCAGTGCGCCGGAGTCCTCCACGCCCACCAACACCTCGAGCACATCGAGCAAGGAGAAAATCCTCGCTGGTGCTGCTGTCGGCGCAACTGCCACCGCTGCTGGTGCCGCCGCCGCTACCCGCAAGGCCGCCGCCCCCGCAAAGAAGCCTGCCGGCAACATCAGCGCGGCGGAGAAAGGCGTTGCCGCTGCTGGCTCGAAGGGTCTGTCTTCCAAGAAGAAGTGGATTGCTGCCATAGTTCTCTTCCTCGTGATTGCCATCGGTGTCGGTGTCGGTGTCGGCGTGGGCGTTGGCACAAAGCACCACAACAACAAGAGCAACAACAGCTCGAGTGGGTCTTCTGGCAGCTCCTCCTCGCGCACTTCGTCTACAGCGCTGCCTACCTCGTCGACTTCCGCGGCCGGAATTGCCTCTGCTTCTGCCTCTGCCAGCGCGTCCGCCTCATCGCATGCTTCCAGCAGCGTTTCCGCCTCTGCCTCCGGCTCTGCCATGTCTACGGCCTCCTCAAGCCACGCCTCGTCGTCAGCCCGCTCATCATCGAGCGCGTCCGACAGAAGCACCACCCCTCTCGTCGCCGCAACCTCCACCTCTCGTGCTGCCTCGTCCTCCGCACTCCCTTCCACCGCGTCATCCTCCCTGAGTGCCTCGCGATCGCTCGTGACCTCCACCCTCGTCTACACCACCGACGTCGAGGTCTCGACCCACACACTCGCCACAAACACCTACTACGACCTGCCGTACACCACGTACTATACCACCGCAATCCCCACGCTGGTGACTTCCTACGTCGTGCGCACCGTCTCTAGCTCATAAGCTCGCTCGCCGGCGGTTCTTTCCCTTTTATTTCGATTCTTTTGCTTTTTGTGTATCTCAAGTTCAGGACCTCGAAATCGTCCTTTTTGTAACATACTATTCTTTTCTTTTTTCTTGATGTTGTGATGCTTACTTTTTTCTTTGTTTCTGTATTCTAATGTATAGCTTCTGAATACCAAACCTGCCTTTGCCGAGTGACATGTTTCTGATTTTGTCTTTGCTTATCTTGTTTTATTTGGAAAAAAAAATGTGGTCATGGTCAAATGCCCACTCACATTCGTTTTCTTCTTACTCTACTTTAACTGTAGCGTTTCAATATAATACAAGTACATAAAAAAACCCTTCTTAACCTCCCCTCTACTCAATCTGCGGACTCTGCAACCGAAGCGCAACCTTCCGCTTCCCAGTGCTCTCCTCCAAGACAGTCTCGACATGCACAGTCACCTTGTCAAACAACTGCAGCCGCACCTCCTTCTCCGTTCCGGCATTAAACTCAAGCGCGTAATTCGCCTCGTCAAAAGTGTACTCGACCTTCATGTCTCGCAAATGAATCGGCCCTTCAATTCCAAACTGCGGGATAAACACCACAAACCCGTTCGAAAACACCTTCATCACGTATCCCTCCACGTCCAGCTCGCGATTCTTCAGCGCCTGGCCGATATAATACTCCACCGACGCACGTCCCGCAAACTGCGCGTTGCGGTGCCGCTGGTTGATGTTCTGGCACACCCGCTCGAGCTTGGGCTTATCGCGAAGACTCTCATGCAGAGGTTCGTACGCGATCGCCGACGCCAGCTGTCGATGAGCAACAATGTCGGCGTACCGACGAATCGGACTCGTCCAGTGCGTATAAATCTCAGACGCGAGACCGTAGTGGCGGAAATCAGACTCGGCCATCGTGCCGGAGCAGAAGTACTCGGCGGCCAGCATGCATCGCGTGGCCATGATACGGATCAGCGTGTTCAGGAATGGATCTGACGAGTCGACGCACGAGTCGAGACTGTCTGCTAGCTTCTTTGATGTTTCGGAGTTCAGCGTCATGTTCTTGCACACACGCAGCTGGTCTGCGAGAACCTCGAAATTCTCCTTTGGTGGCGGAGCGTGTCGTCTTAATAAAACACAAATTAGTTTAAAATTATCTCTCACTTCACAGAATAGCACAAACACTTACCGGAGCATGGCAGACTGAGGAAACGCATCATAAATCTTCGCCGCAACGCTAATATTAGCCAGCAACATAAATTCCTCAACAAGCGAGTTCGTCTCATGGGCTTTCTTGATCTCAACATCAACCGGATCCATCTGCTCGCTCTCAACCCGCACCTTCACCTCAGGACTCGCGAGGTTCAGCGCACCCGCGTCCATTCGCTTCTGCCTCAGCAACTTCGATATCTTGAGAAGAATTCGCATGCCCTCCGTCAACGAGTCAACATGGCTCTTGTCATCAATTCGAAGCTGCGCCTGCTCGTAGCTGAACGCCTCTTTCGACCGGATCACCGACTTTGTGAACCGCGTGCTCACAATCGTCGCATCTGGAGTCATCTCCCAAATAGCCGAAAAAGCAAATCGCTCTACATACGGCATCAGCGAGCACAGATTCGTTCCCAGCAAGACCGGAAGCATATCAATTCGCTTGTCGACCAGATACACCGTCGTTCCTCGCGAAGAGGCCTCGAGATCCATGGCGGTATCAGGCTTCACAAAGTGAGAAACATCAGCAATATGCACGCCGACTTCGTAATTTCCATTAGGAAGCACCCGCGCATGAAGAGCATCGTCAATGTCTTGACAGCCAGGGGGATCGATACTGCACACCAAAAGTTCACGAAGATCTTCTCGGCCGGTCCAGCGGGGATCGGACGTATCTGTTGGAACTTTCCAGTCGTGACCTTCGGCTGGCAAGCAGTCCAACACAGATTGGGTGAAAGGTTGATACTGCACGTTGTACTCTAGTAGAAGAGCTTCCGTTTCCGCTTCCTTCGATTCTATGTCACCCAGTACGCGAATAAAATGGCCGAGCGGATACCGCGAGGACGCGTCCCAAGAGTCCACCGCCGCAAGAATACGCTTTCCAACCAGACCGGTAGCGCGTCTTGTACGAATCTTGATCTTGGATATGCGTTTATCCATAGGAATCAAGAACACCGTAGTCTGGCGTCGCGTTCCCGCTGCGTCGGAAGAGATAGAGGAAGCGTCAATATGACCAACGTAAAAACCCCAATTTCTCCTGATGACGCCGACAACTTTAGCCGTTGGCTGAATTCTAAACTCAGCAGATGTATTCTTTGCTTTTAACTTTTCTTGCAGAGCCGCGTGCTCCTTCTCCGTCACCAAAGTATCATCGTCATCCTCCGCTTCAGGGTTGTCGTCTTTCGTGATGGTTTCCTCCTCCACAATCTTCGTAGATGGTTGTTTCCACTCAGACTCTGGAAGCACTTCGACGACAACAACGTCGCCATGCATGGCGCGGTTAAGACTTTCTCTTCCAAGCACGAGCAAAGGCCGCTCAAAAGATGGAACAGACACACTTCCTTCCAGGTAGTTGTACTGACTGATACTCAAAACTCCCTGATGAAAGATGCCGGCCTTGATACCTCCCTGAATCCGAGAGGTGGAGTAATATTCTTGATACACAAGTTTCTGAGGCGCAGTGACATCACTGGTTTCCGATACAATCATATCCAGCAGCGCGTCGGTATCTGGCAGCGCTTTGACATAGCTCTCCAGGTTGGTGCATGCAACCCCAAGCTCTTTGGCCTTTCGCAGGCAGTCGTTGTCGTTCGACACCAATAAAATCTCGGGAATCGCTGAAGATTTTCCGATCGTTTCATCTAGATGTACACGGTACCACGCGCAGGCAGTTCGAATAGCCCGGTCGTTCTTGTCGTTGACTGACTCACCGGGAAGTCGCTCCACAAACGTCTCCTGTCTGAACTCGTTATGAAATACGTAAAATCTTTTCTCCTGACTCAGCGAGAGAGCACGAAGTCTGTTGTATAGCGGAAGACTGATGTTGCGCAGTTCATCGAGGACCGTTTGCAAAACAATGACATCGTAAAACGCAGATTTGTGCTCCATTAGGTCCATCTGTTATTCATATTAGTAAGTCTTGAACTACAACACAAAAAGTGACGTGCTTACAGCTTTCACAAAAATATTTGTGTCTGGGATCAAGTAGTGCGCACCCCATGGCTTGACAGACGGCGGCGTGCGCGACAAGATAGCCGGGCGAACTACAATCGTGTTAGATATCCGTGCTCAACAAAAACCACAAAAACGAAACACGTACCAGCGCCAGAAGAATCCTTCGGAGGGTTCAGAATGCAAAGAGGACATAACTGCGATGAGCAGGGAATATCGGTTCTCAAGTAATGTTCCTGAACGATCTTAGTCGCCTTTCCTTTCCGCGAACGGACATACACCTTCTGCGACATCGACAGAGAGAACGCCGATGACCCATCTGGGTGGTGTCTCTTTATTCCCGTAGCCATTTCTGTCGTTGTTGCGGTCGTTGTTGTTTCTACGACCGAGTGGTGTATTTGTAATGGAGCTTGATCTGCCTCGTTATTTGAATTTTGATTTTTTTTTTCATTTACCCAAAGTCACGTGCCTACACGTGAACAACGACTGACATAACCAAGTATATAAGGAAGCTCGTCCGGCATCGAGGTAGGATCAACCACTTCAATTGATCCCCCCGCCTACAAGTTATTTTTGACATTGCAGGCCTCCCGATTGGTATATATCTCTCTGAATTACCTGCGCTGAAGACAGCGCAAATTTGGAGTTTACCGTTCGCGTTTCGACCTTCCTGTGAACTTCGACACACGCCCGAGGGCGATGGTTAACAGTCTACGTTAATTACTTTGGATGTGAGTACTCCACCTCCACAACCACATTCCGACCTTACTTTCTTCCCTACTTTTACAGGGCACATGTGGTGGATCTTAAGCAATTGCTGACGCTCTGACGTATATAGTCTATTATTTGGAACCTCGAACAATACCCAGGAAACCGCGAACCGACACTGCTCAATATGCTCTCTGAGGAGGCTCGTCTCGAGATCAACCTCGACCGAGGCCTCTCCCCTCAAGTATTCGGATGCCCACACGTCAAACAGCTTTTGGCCTCTGCATCCAAAGACATTGCTATCAGGAGCTACAAGCAGGCTTGCCGAGTTGCCTTCCAACTACGCCACAGAGATCACGACGTATGCGCGCTTTGTCTCTCCCGCTCCTTGTTCACTACCTGCTAACACCACTCCTTCAGATTTCTGCCTTTGAGGTTCGAAGGTGCCGAACGTGCTGCGACCTTCTGACAAGTACCTTCCTATGTCTCCAATGCCCCTTCGTTGGCTGCAGACGACTTCGTCATGGTGAAGCCCACCACTCCGATTCCGGCCATATGTTTGGTATGCCCGCAGATGTCTCTGCTTGTTCGTGACGGGAATAAGTGTGCTGATGAATTGTCATACAGGCGTCGACTCTCGTACAGCTCACATGTACTGCTTTGTTTGCCGAGACTACATTTTCAACCATCTGTTGGAAAATATTCGCATTAACACAGAACGTCTCGTCATCAAGAGAGGTAAGTCTTCGCGCACACCAAGTCTATTACCTATTGATAAAGATCCCTTACTAATATATTGTTGTATTTTTAGCGGCACTGAATAAGAATGGCGTCAAGAAAGACGCCATCACGAAAGAAGACGCCGCTCTGGTGGAGATGAACGCAAAAATGCCACCCTGTCGAGCACAGTCTGGTCTACGAGGGTTCCAGAACATGGGTGCTACCTGCTTCATGTCCGTTATCCTACAGAGCTTCATCCACAACCCAATTATCCGGAACGATTTCCTGTGCGGTGGTCATAACAGCAAGACCTGCACGCGTGAGAACTGCCTCAGCTGCTGCATAGATGAGATCTTCACAGAGGTTAGTAACCTCTACTTTCCTCGTGTCAACAACAACATATACTAACCACATGACACAGTTCTTCTCTTCTCCATCGACAACAGGCTTTGGTCCAGCGAATCTACTCACGACAGCGTGGAAAACTCAAAAATCTCTCGCGGGATACTCAGAGCAAGACGCGCATGAGTTTCTCCAGTTTGTCGTTGACCAGCTTCATCGTACCTCAGATCGACAAGCTCTATCTCAGCAAAGCGACTATTGCGGGTGCATCGTGCATCGCACCTTCTGCGGACAGCTCCAGAGCGACATCATCTGCCCGAACTGCAACAACGTGACGGTGACGGTTGATCCGCTAATGGATCTGAGCTTGGAGCTGAGAGACCGCAAGTCGGCAAACGCTAGCAGGATTCTAAGTCTTCAGGAGTGCTTGGAAAAGTCAGTCTGCTGCTGAATAACTCTTATGAATATAATGAATTTGCTGACCGGTTATAGATTCACGAGTCCCGAGAGGCTGGAAACGAAATACAACTGCTCATTCTGCTCGACTCGACAGGAAGTCACAAAGCAGCTGAAGATCAAGCGGTTACCCCTGGTTCTATCTATTCAGCTGAAGGTATGTTTGCACTCTGACAGTTACTTCCTCATTCTGACATTGGTGGCTAACTTGATTGACTTTCAGCGTTTCGAACATTCTCTCAAATCGAACAAGATCGATGATCACGTTCCATTCCCAGTAGAGATCGATATGACTCCATATACCACGCGCGAAAGATCCAAGAAGCGGTATACTTACGAGCTGCTTGGAGTCGTGTGCCACCAAGGGAAAATCAATACGGGTCATTATACCTGTTCGATGAAGAACCGCGAGGGACTGGTATGTCTTTTTTAGCTATTAAACTTGCAATCATATCTGTGGTCTGGCTGCTAACCCTCATGTAGTGGTTCAATTTCGATGACGCTATGGTCACTCTGTCCAGCGAAAAGCAAGTACTTGCATCCAGAGCGTAAGTCCCCAGTAACTCAAGTTGACCTTCCAGAAGAAACCATCTTTATTAACAGTCCATATATTTAGCTACCTCCTGTTCTACATTGTGAAGGATCTGGCAACCAGTGATAGCATAACGCCCAGCAATGGTTACTAGTGGGCGAATTTTAATATTAACGAATGTTTTTTATGAATGAACTTATTTTGAAAATATCTATCGGGCGCGGACTTTGTAGATGTAGTGTAGAGTCTTCATACTTTCCAGTAGTATACACTGGGGATGAACTAATATCAAACAACTGTCACTGTCGCTGCCATCTCGACCGTGAGCGTCGAGGCTGTGGAAGAGGGTATTTGATCTAGAGTCGTTCTTGCTCATGCTCTTTTGGTACAGTGGCCAAGGCTGAGAACAACACAAGAAGCTCGAAGGGCAATAAACGTAACGTTTGATTATGTAGCTTCTGAAATACCAAGCACGGCGTTGCCTTAAATTTGAAAGGAAGGCATTTGATCATTGATGCTGGCCTATCCGAGATGAGCAGGTGTAGGGTAATCACAGTGGCAGACGCGCCGTCAATAATCGACAGGGTTTTGCAAGTTCAATGACCCCCCAAGAACGCTCTCTCTGAACTCAGATTAATAGGATATTTTTCCAAGAGCTTTCACAAGACCCTGCGAAGTTTTATTAGCAGAGACTGAGATAATATGACTAGAAAGCTAGATTTTCCGTGACTTTATTTCGAAACGACCCTGCAGTGGTGGCTGGCGCGTCAACTATTCCAAAGATAGCATCGATATCACCTATCTCTGTCATAATAATCAGAACTCAGCACCCCTTTCTTCCCACATTTGTTTGATGTGCGTATGCTTTGAGCTTTGAGGCTACTGAAGGATGATTCAAAATATGTCTTGCTAGCGACACCATAAACGAACCAGATGTGATTTAAGACATCATCCGAAATGCGTGATTAGTTCTGCACAGCATATGATATTCTGGCCTCCTGTGATGGCACCGTTATTGTCACTGTTCCGCACCTGTCACTATGCACGCAGATATCGTCGTTTCTGAGCTCTTCAAGCTAAATGGTGTATAGTGTTGTGCGAAGTATGCGACAGAGTCGATGCTATAGAGCCGTTAACTGCGGTGTCGATCGTTCTAGGATCAAAGACTGTGATGCATCTAATGTTTAAACGTTGCATCTGATTCAGTGCTCTTGAACAAGGCCGCTGTTGCTTTCTGCCATAGTCTGAAGTCTGAATGTTAGGCGGTCTCGGTGAAACCAAGATGGTCAATCATGAGTGTTGTTAATATGATATGAATCTGTGATGATCTTGTTAGTAGAAGAATATGCGGTCTGAAATGAATGAATGAATGATATTCTTGTCAACCCGGAACTCTGTGGTGTATAAAGACTTATAGTCTGTGTACTCTTGTTAAATAATGGCGATTTATGACACTTCTGAAGTAGTTGAAGGTGGTGAAGACCAGATAGCGGAAGCACTGCGTTGTTATTTGTTACACCAGCGTGTAAAATCGTAACACGCACATCACCACAACAAGGGATCTGGCGGCTTCACCACCACAACGACAGTCATCCATCTTCGGTTATCTTCTTTTCAAACTGAGACGTGTTTCGATGATGTGCCGAACTCGAAATTATGACTGTTTACAGATCACTGGTGATTATACAAACCGAGCTGATTATGCTGTGTCTGCTCTGTCTGTCCGACTACGCCCGTGCAAACCACCCAGCGATGCTATGCTACAACGATCAACGCGTATGGATCCAGCAAAAATGCATAGTCTCATAGCCAGTCTGATGGTATCTTGATCTTGCTTCGCATTCATCAAATCTGGGGTGTATGATGGGAACCGTGCTGGAGGGTGAAGGACGTCTGTTTCTCAACCTGGCCTACGACGCGCCAATACAACAGCAAATATATCGATTTCAGGTGGATTCGAAAGCTCTGATGCTACGCTACATGAACGAGGTTGAATGAAGTCTATTACTGGAAACTACGCGCTGCTGGACGTCGAAATGCTCGATCCCGCCCGAAACAATAGCGGGCTAAGTTCGATTTTGCGTGAGTTTTGTTCGCGCCGCGTCTGCTGATGCTCCCGATTCGGACATTTTTCATCAACCAGGATCATTTTCCAGGCCTACTTAATATTACTCACGCGACTGATGCAAACTGATGCGGGCGGCCCAGCCTGGAATATAAAAAGAGGGCTTTCCCCCCTCTCTCGATCTCTTCTTTCCTTCCTCATCACCCTCAAAGAGCCTCAAAGATCTCAAAGAGACCTGGCCTTCTTCTCAAAAATTATGGAAATGATCCAACATATGATCTTATGGTAAGTTTCTTTTTATCTCACTTTATTTTGAAGACACACACTGACACATTACTAGTCGTGCACTTCATCTCTCCATCTCATATTCCTCCACGACTATCCACACCACTCAGACAAGGTGATCCTTACGTCGAGGCACCTCCCTTCATCTACAACTACTCTGAGTCCAGCTCTATCCCCTAGTGCTAGCGGCAATCTTTCACTATGGTTAGTACTATCCTTGATGTCTTATGCTCCGTCTATACTTGAATCTTTACTGACACATACTACTAGCCATGACATATCAACTTGACCCCATCTACATCTATCCTGGGTCCATCGTCACTATTATCCTATCCTACAATACTGGCGGCGCTCCTCAACTATGGTCAGTACTTACAGTGTCTCTTTACTTTTGCTTCATGTAGGCTAACACATGCTTCTAGCCGTGTCAACCTATACTATATTATGAAATTTGAAATCAAAAAAAAGAAAAAAAGGAAAAAAAACAAGAAAAAAAGAAAAAGAAAAAAAAAGAAAAAAAAAAAGAAAAAAATGAAAAAAAAGAGAAAGAAAAAAATGAAGCAAAAAGACAAAAGAAAAGAGAAAAAAACAGAAAAACGAAATTGAAATGATAAAGAAAAAAGAATATGAAGAAGGAATGAAAGAAGAAGGAATGAAAGAAGAAGAAAGAGAAAGAGAAAAGAGTTATCGTGCTAGCAGCAATCTCCTTTATGGTATGTCTTTCTGCTCACTTGTCTTATACTTGATCAAATACTGACATTTTACTAGCTGCGCATAGCACCTATTCCAAATCACCTTTACAATTGGGAACGATGCCCAGACGAAAATCAAGACAGCTACCTCAATCTACAGCTACTCTGGGCTCGTGATAACTCTTTTCTCGAGTTAGCGGCAGTCTCTCATTATGGTCAGAACTCATGAGCTTTTTTGAACTGCAATTTACTTGATTTACTGACACGTCCTAATAGCCGCGAAACAGCGATCCACCTCCATCTACATCTACACTGGATCCATGATTTCTCTTTCTTCTTAAGCAAGGAGTGACCTCCTCTTATGGTTAGTACTTACACTTGAACGCTTATGTTTCCTTGCGTGATGGTTATTGACACATATTTCTAGCCGCCTGTATCACCGTCCGAATCCCTCTCTCTATTCCGCCATGCGTCCGCCACGAATATCGACACACGAGAGACCACGCCTTACGATACGTCTCCGGTCGCTTCCTCTCCAGCAAGCTATCTCTGTTCTGTATTCTGTGATTCTGTGACTGTGATTCTTTCCTTCTGTGGATACCCAAAGATTCATATCCTCAAGTAGATAGAAGTAGATAGAAAATAGAAATTTAATAGAAAATAGAAGTTTAGATAGAAAATAGGAATTTAAGTTACGAAGAAAGGAATAATACAATCGGAACAAGCCGCGCTCTAACGAGAAGAGGCGGTGCATCTGCCCCCAGAACAGCGCCCCAAACTTGGCTGCGGTCCCTGGCCAGCGCTCTCAAGTTCTTTATTTTATTTACCCTTTGCGTCTTCGCGCTCACGCTTTTTGTGGCGGATATCTCGGGTTCACCACGTGTTGAACGTTTTCTCCCTTAGATCTCAGTCACTCGAGATTCACGCTTTTACCGGGCACGCGGACAATTTACTCGCTGTTTTGTTGTCGATAGTCCGTCATCCAGTCTTGGCCCACCAATCTCATACCACGACGCAGTAGCCTTCCCCTCGCCGGCTCAGCATTGACACCCCCCTATACACCTTCCTTTGCCCACATCACAATGCGCGTCGGACTTCAGAGCAGAGAGAAGAGCTGGACGGCTCTTCTGACGTGCTTGGCCGTCGCCTTGCTGGCTGCCGCCTTCGCTGGCGTCGAAGCCAAAGACCCAAACGGTGTCAAGTCTACCACATTCAACCCCAAGTACAAACCACCAGAGGGCGTTGTAATGACGCCGTTGGGACAGCCATCTCTATTTATCGTACGTCTTCACCTGCTTCTTCATTCAACGACTCTCCATCTAATCAGACAATAGTTCTCCGGGCGATGGCACCGGTTCCGTGAAATTTTCAAGGCGAGTCTTTGGCCCGGCACCTACGTCACGTTCTTATCCTACGGCGAGTACTGCGACCTCGTCCTGCGACCACGAGTTACGACACCGATGAACTTGACCTACACAGTCTCCGTCGACGGAGGAGAGCCTTTCGATGTCTCGAAGTTTGTCACACCGGAGGAGACACACAAAGGACCGGTTTTAATTCGGATTCCTACACCATCCTACGAGGAGACCAAAGCTCACGACGCCGAGGGATTGGTCATTTACATCAACAAAGAGAAGGAGTCGGATCCCCTATCTAGAGACCCGCATGTTGTCCAGGTCGTGTCTACGCGGAGGTCATCGCCACTGTCGATGCAGGGTTTCATGATCCCAATTACGTTGGTGAGACAGAACCGCGAGTGGGCAAACAACTTCCAGCTGATGCCGTACGTCGAGTTCGTCGGTGGACCCGCGTATTTCAAAGAATCCTTCTCGCGTCTCAGCTCTCAATTTGTGGCAGCCGAGGCTCTGGGGATAAGACACAGCCATATCACCACGCCCGACGTGTCGGCAGGTGCTGAGGACGAGCAGCTCACAGGTGAGACTTTCTGCTCCAAGATTAACAGTCGAATTGATGGCTAACCAAGACTACTTTTTTAGAAATGGTATTCACATCCAGAGGCGACGGCAACTCCCTTTCTGAGCAATACAAGCTTCTCAATCCTGTGCAGTTTGATCCTTACTACAAGCCGGGTTTACCGCACTCTGGACTTTATTCCTTCAGCGCGCAGGCAATCATCCAACCAACGACACCGACGGCGATGATTGTCGACGTCGGCCAGACCGACAACATCACGAACGTGGACCCGGAAGCCTTTGCTGATAGCTTATATGAGTTCCTGATATTTGCTCGCAGCCGGGCAAACTTGGACTCAATAATCATCGTGATTCTTCGTGAGGATGGCTATCCCGCTGAAACTGCGAAGGTCGTTAACCATCTTCAGCGGTCGGGTGACTCGTACATCATCACCGCGCCATATCCCGAGCCTGGTGACGCTGAGGCGTGGCAGGAGTTTTTGCAGGAATATGTCATTGATTCAGAAGCCGCGACTTATAAACAATACTCGCCGTACATCAACAGCGGCATTCGATCGACGTTTGTCTCTATGGATAGCATCAAGTCTGTCACTGGCGCCTCGTTCTCTTCCATCTCCTCCAAGATGGCTCTCGACAAAGCTAGCGAATCCGCGCACCAAGTCTTGATTCTGGTTGCTGCTCTGTGCGTGCTCATGGCCCTGGCCATGCTCCGCGATACCATCCGGGTCGTCAGTAAAGCGATCCTCTCCCGACTTGGCCTTGTGGGCCGGTCTGTGCCAAAAGCTTCAAGCCAGAGCCGGTACAAGGGCGTGTCGGCAAAGAACGGAGTGATCTGGGACTGAGCTGATATTTTAACTGTATTTCAACGGGATGAGACAACAATCTTGTATGCGTCCGTATTTGATTATTTTGGTTACCGGAAGCATTTTATTTGAGTTTTGATACTATTTATTTTTGACTATATATCTCGCGTGTGTATGTATAATAGTTTGAGCTATATTATGTAGTGGATAATATATCCTCTGGGTCGTTAATGCAGTAAATGCAATAAATGTGGAGCAGGGCCGTTTTCTATCCTTCTTCCTCCCCCTTCGAATCTTCTTTTCTTCATGCGCTCCCGCATTCCAAAACAGATCTGGACAAAGCCCTGGAAGCAGCCACGGAAATAAGATTAAAACACAGATCTGGATTAGGGCTGTCGTTTTGCCGGGGCAACCAGCCCGTGTTTACATTCACCTCAATGCAGTGCGGCGTAAACAGGTTTCAGCATGATTGAGCCGCGCGGACCCCGATGGTTAAACACATCGGCCCTCACTCTACATTGTCAATATCAATCAGTCCGCTGTTGATAGTCCACGATATCTCACTCCGCTCCAAGCTGGACTGAAACAACACAACGATGCAGACACCTACGCCGGCTGTACGGTGGCCTCCGCGACGGGTTCCGTGTGATCCGACCAGCTCATCGCCAGTATCTGATCGTCTATGGGACTCGACGCCGAGCGATGTTGAGATAAATCTCGTCACCGCAGCTTCTAGACTTGCGGACCTCTCTTTACCCACGAATGCCTCGTCGCCGCAGATGCTCGAGGCCTTGCTGGCCGGTCTGGAAGATGCGGCCATCGCATTCGACGCTCTCGATTTCCGGAAAGATATCCGCGCTGCGGCCGCGGGGAATGAACAACTTGCTGATATTGAGCGGCAAAGTCGTGACTTGGTTCGGCACATCGACTTTCTCCGTATCCGAGCTACTTCCAACGCAAAAGCTGATACATCAATCACCGAAGACGACATTCGACTCGCTCAGCAGATCGTGGCTGCGGTGGACGGCATACTCAAGACCATAGAGCAAGCAAGAGAAGACGTTGATATTGCGCTTGAATGGATCGAGCTCCGGGACGTTGTCATGGCCGACCTGGCGGACGAGATTGCAAACGGTCAGGACGTGGCCATGGAGCTTGAGGGTTATCGGCTCCAAAAACATTCCGAGTGGCCTATTCCTCAGAACGCAGCGGTGAATAGCGTCAAGGGACTGGTGGAGTCTATGAAGCAGAGTCCGGTCCCTGGTCACGGAAGGTTTGTCTGTCTATCGGAAGAGGATAAAAAGCAAAACAGAATGTAAGTCGAAATAAGATACGGCTGAGATGTCAGATCACATACTAACAAAGTCGCTTAGACTTCTCAACCTGTTCAAGAAAATTCAGCCTTTACGAACAAGTCTTGAGTTTCTAGACATGCGCATCGTTGAATTTTCGCAGCGTATTGGAACCAAATTCAGTTCATCGCTGGAAGATCTAACGACGCAGCGGGAGGAGCTCGATGCAAAGTGGAGCAAGCTTTCAGCAGATGCCGAGCTCATCAAGAAGGAGTTTGGCGAAGACAGATGGGTGGCTTTGCTTATCGACTCGGGAAACCAGGCTAGAAAGTTGATGAGTGGTCTCGAGCAGCAAATGAACTCGCTTCTTGATATCAGCTCTGTTGAAGCGGTGGTTGGGTCTCCTGCGCCACTGAGCAGTAGCCAGAGAATCCAGCAGTACGAGCTGAGCGCAAAAGAACATATTCCAGAGACACTTAAGATTCTCAGCCTTTTGGAACGAGCTACTAGAGATAAGGTCACGACTAGTAATGAGGTTGCTCGTGAAATTGCCCACCTAAAGAACTTCTGGGCCGATTTCGAGGAGCACGTCAGCGAGATTGATCAGAAATACGGACTCGACATTTCCAACGTGATTGGCGAACTCACGGTGAGGGACCGCAGCAGTCGAGTTTCTCAGAGATCGTCATCGATTATGTCGTTCCGTGGTAGCCGCAGTCGCAGTCGTTCCTCGTGCTCGGCCACTTCGAGTGTAGATTCGATCGCTGAAGCAAGCTCGCCCGACTACCTCAGATCGTCGTCTCCTTTTGATGAAGACCCGAGTATGCGCACGCCTATGCCTTTGAATGGCAGGCGGAAGCAGAGCCTGTATACTCCGACGCTGAGCAAAACCTCACAGCTGGATTTGCAGCACCCAAAGATCCAGGCTACGCCTCGTTCTGCTATCCCGCTTCCGAAGCGGTCTCTGCAAACTCCAAAAGTCTCAGCATCGGTTTCGCCGTGTAAGATACCGCGTCCTGCGACTCCTTCCGACAGGAAACGCCGCGCATCAAGTATCCCACAGCCCAAATATTCAGCCGTACCCGTACCTGTGATAGCACCCGAAGCGGCCGCTAGCGAAGCTCACCCGGCAAGTCCTCAGAGGACTAGCAACTTTGCGGCACCTACTTTGTCGTCGACTTTGAAGAAGAAAGCGAGCACTCGCGAGTTGCAGCAAAAGACGGGTTCTGTCATGGCTACTCCGCAGCGCAAGCAGAGCATTAGTTCTGCGACTCCGATCGGGATGACTGATACCATACGAAGGGCTAGGAAAAGCTCGCTCATTCCTCAGACACCGCAATCTATTTCTAAAGTGAAGACCGCAGCCGCGCGCCGCCAGTCCACAGCAGCTAGCAAAGACCCGTTTGGGCCGACTTCAACCACGACGCTCAATCATCGCGCTAGCACTCCCAATCTGAATCGCAAGGCATCGGCAGCTAACATTTCTGCACCAATGGAAGCCAAAAAGGTTCCTCCTCTCCCAGCTCTTCCAAAGTCGCCCACGAAAAAGAGTACCGCATCGGCAGCCTACAAGCTCAGCACTGTCGCTGCCATGTCGCCCAATTCCCAGCAGAAGTTCTACATCAAGTACAGCCCTGGCGACGAAGATTTCACCTCTGCTGGATCAGGAGACGTGCCGACTGCGCCGACGATGGCTCCCAAGATGATGGCCCGAACTACGGCCGGATCGGGAGCGCCGACACTATCGCCAAAGAAAAGTATGCCGAATATGTCTGCGCAAAAGCCGCGATGGCGGTGAACTCGAGCCTAGGCATTGGTTTGTTTTTTTGTTTGGTTTTTAGCTGCATTTAGTTTTGTTTACACATTTGGGTGATTTTGAGATTTTGTTGATAGAGGATTTTTTTACTTATTTTTTCTGGGGATTATGTGAGTGGGGTGGTTTATTTTCATTTTTATCTTTTTAATATTAGGATTCTACGCGGCGTGGTATTTTATTTCACTATTTTTTCCTATTTATTGGTTTTCTTGGGGTGATCGTATTACCGCCAATATGATGTTGGACGCTCAATTGGGGTGTGTACGAGTGTTGTATGCTGCATATCCTGTGTTTATGAGAATGAATTCATTCAATAGTTATTTCAAGCGTTTTTTTGAGTAATTGTTACGATGAAAGGCTGGTGAAGAAGATGAAGCGACGACAGACTGACGACTCTGTCAATACATGACAGAAAGCGCAGAGCGTGATGATTTAAATCGTAGATAGGAAATGGTCATCATTAAACAAGAGAGATCTAAAACTATGCAAACTCCAAGAGGATAAAGTCGCAATAGGCATAAACAAAAACACCAACCACAAAAAAATAGAAAAGACATTACATATACAATCATACAGCGTCAAGCAAATCGTTAAACACAGCAGTCAACTTCAAAAGAAGGTGAATTTATGCTGCGGCTTCTGTTTCCGCTCCTGCGAGGAAGATTGGGTGGACGTGTAATCGATATCGACGTCGTCGATCGAGTAGTTGTATCCGTGCTGCATTTCGCTGATTGTCGAAAACGCCGTGATCGGCAACGCGCTGTCCTCGTCTGAATCGCCGAGATGGTTGTCTGCCCGATTGCCGTGCTGAGTACTGTTCCGTCGGGATCCGAAGCGCATGAATTGCGGGATTCCAGATAGGTATTTGTCCTCGTAGCGCGGGGCGGCGTGGAATGTGAGTGAGAAGTGGGGCTGCTTGTGGGAGGAGGAGGAGAGGGAGTATTTGTGGGATTTTTCGTCGTCGTCGTCGTCGTCGGAGAAGTGCGCGGAGATCTCGCGCGTGTCGAGAGGGTGCTCGCCATAGTCGAGGTCGGAAGAAGGGATCAGGCTGAGCGAGAGGATGGTGACGATGAAGAGAAGGGCGGAGTGGAGGAGGTTTGAAAGCATTGAGAGCAGGCGTAGGCTGAATGGGACTGATTGGTCGCCGTCGGCGTAAATCACGCGATAGACGGTCTCGGGGAACATAAATGCCTAGAACAGAATTCTGGTTAGATTATGATCCAGAAGAGGTGGAAATTTGATATAAGGCAGACATACAATCGAAAGGAGTCCGCATGCTAAGTAACCATACGAAGCTAAACGATACCCCGCCTTCTGCGAGCTGACTTTGTACACAGCAGAATGAATGTACGCAGCCATACTACCGCACACGATCCCCAGTGCCAAAAGACCCAAGACGACGCAGGCAGCGATCGACGTCGACTTGCCCATATAGTACAGGATCGAGTCCTCTCGCCAGAAGCAGGTGCTGTTGATACTCGCGTCGTTCATGTAAATGACATAGACCGGCAGCCAGAGCGCGACAGAGAAGCCTCCAAAGGCAAGGAACGTCAGGAGGAACCTCAACACCTTTACAGCCACGCGACGCGAGGAGGCTTCAGAGAGACCGGTGCTGAATCCAGTTTCATTGACTGCGCGCGTGCACTCGAAAATCGACGGAAGAACAAAGACGAGATGAGCGACGGGAGTAGCGACTGTCGACAACCAGAGCAAGATCGGGTAGGTATTGCCTCCGCCTGCGGTGCAGTCGCTCTTGCTAGCTGTGATTGAGAGCACGAGCTGCAGGATCGAACAGAGAGATAATAGCACTCCGAACGCAAAAGCGCGTCTCTCAAATGCGCCGAACGCGCGTAGCCAGTTCGAACATAGAAACGAGGAAAAGGAGGTCGAGCTGTGATTGAATGCTCCGCAGGAGTATTTGACTGCGAACCGTACAAGAATCGACGCTGAAATCGCGATAGAGCAGACAAGACTGACGATAGCAGTAATGGTGAGAGTATTAAGGCTACCTCCCGACATGGTTAAGAGATCAAGGATCTTCAGAGCTGAACGGACGCGCGATGTGAGATCTATATCTCGAGATCCCAGCAGCAAAGTCGGTAAAGACAGCAAAAACACGGCAGGAAAACAGGATACAGGGTCAAACAAGTGCAAGAAACCGGGAACCAAGGAGTGAAAGGCTGGAAGAAAGGGGGTTCGAAGTAGAGGACCGACCTGCCGACGCGAAACGCGACAAATGGAAACTTTATCTGACTTGGCAGAATCTCAGCCGCGTCGCGTCGCTGCGGGGACCGTCAACTCCTCGATTGACGCGAGGTGGTCTGACGGGTTGCGAGCTCGGTATTTGTTCCGAGACTAGTTGTCCAATAATTTGTTGTGAAGCTTCTAGAAATACTGACTACAGAGACCAATTTTGGGCAGGACATTAAGACAGGGCCGCGATACGATAATGACCGCTTGTTCGCAGCCCGATCTGGTTATTCTTCAGTTAGAGCTTTCGTCTATAAATAGTTGATAGATCCCTAGTAAAATCCGTTTAGTCTAGCAAAGAGAATCATGTCCAGTCGTTGTAAAGGCACGTGGACGGTCCGTAGAAATGGAATGGATTTAGCCCTCCAGCGCACGCGACGCGTCGAAGGGCGAGAGCCAGAATGCGTAGCCCAAGCGACTTGCAGCAAAGTTTTCCCATCTACGCTCTACTGCGTCTTCCGAAGAATGCTAAGATTGCTTCTTTGGCTAATTTATCACCGTTTGTTAACGCTAGATAGCCATTCTGCTGCTTTTCATTTTGAGCTTAAGAAGGTCAAGGCCCCACAAAATCGTCAAGCAAGTCCGAAATAGTGTAATGGTTAGCACGGTCCGCTCTCACCGGGCAAATCGGGGTTCAATTCCCCGTTTCGGAGTTTAGAGACTCCAACTTGTCTTATTATTTTTTTTTATTTCTTGCTGCTATACTTTTTTAATTTTTGAATACAGATTCAGGCTATTTTTTTTTGATTATATTAGAGGTGTCGAAGTCGTGTGGTAGATGGGCGGTGGGTGGTTGGCTTGATAGCCTTGCTCTTTGTCTCTCAGCCCAAAATTCAACGCCAACGAAATATGCCCCATGAGTCGTATGCCACCTTTATCTTGTAGTTCTTACAATGTATAAGACTTACTCAGGTGCCTGATCTTAGAATACTATGCTAAAACACTTCACTACTGGTCGTTCTGTCTTGAACCATTCTTCGATAGGAGGCCGAAGTGCGTAGTCTATAAGCCGTTCTCTGGTTACGACATGATTACTGATGATCAAATATACATTGGGCCGGTGGCCAGTACTACTGTACAAAAACTAAACTACACAAAGCCCCCCCTTGAGCTGGATATTCAAAATCCGTTTCTCTGGTCCGGTCGCCAAAACTCTCAATTTCGGACTCAGAGTCAACTATACGTCTCGCCGTGCTCACTTGCTGCCATTCTCCCTTGCTCGCTTGCGTCTTTCATACTCCTCTTTCGTGCAAGGGATCACGCGTGTACGTTCAAACGACTCTCGGGGAGCGACAGTTTCGCACATGTAGACAGGGCGCGGAGGTGCATGCGACGACAGTTCGCGGCAAGACATCAACACCTTGGCGATGTCCTGGCTTCGAAGCGGGTCAGGGCGATGATCGGTTACCGGGACAATGACCTTCACCACCTGATTAGCTGTCTGGCGGATTTCGTCTGGGGTGGCGTGTCTAATGCCACGCGAGCGCAGAAAGTCCTCGATGGGTTTCTTCTTGGGCTTGACGACCTTGGACGGACGGACGGGACTTGTCTTCCGTTTGTCGTCCTGCGACGTCGGGGTCGGAGTCAAGTTGAAGCCGTTATCTTGAGTCATTTTCGGGAGGTTTGCAGAGGAAGAGGGACTGTCAGAGTTGGAAGCAAGAAGGGAACTGGGGGTCCGTCTGACCTTCATATACTTCTCGGTGAACAAGGAGCCATATCGACTTGATTCTTGAACGACTGAGTCCTCGCTCGCTTCGGATGCAGACTCGCTCTTTATGCAATCCTCGGTCTCTGTTGAATATACTGCATCGGTAACTGGCCATTCGATCACTGTATTATTAGTTTCCATCTCCTCTATCTTTACAGTCACGTCATCCTCGTCCTCGTCCTCGTCTTCGTCCTCGAATTCGTCCTCGCCGGAGTCCTCATCGTCAGCGTCGTTGCTGTAATCTTCAGGTATATGCTCGGACTCGTTGTAATCCTCAGAAGGAGACTCTGGAGAAACCGGGGACCGGGGACTGCTGAATTCTGAACTAGACTCAAACCTGTCAGAGTCGGAGTAATGAGGCTTGTAATAGTATCGTCGTCTTCCGCCGACCCTGAGCCGAGAAGCGTGAAAAGCCATGGATATGAAAGATGTTTCTACAGTAAAACACAGAAATTCATGTTGTCGTTCCGTGTCGGTATTTAGACACGAAGTATCGCGCAGAGGTGGGCGGCTGAAGCGCTTTACGATGAGATTTTGATTCGGCCTGGGAGGAATAGAGCAAGGGTATCAGGGTATCGGCAGAAGTGCAGCATAAATGCTACTCAAAAGCAAGAAGTTACAGAAGTGGTATTATTTGTGCTTTTCTGGAATGATTTGCAGCCGTCAAAATATATGCTCCATGCTCGAGTGATGAGAGGTGAAGACAATTGATTACAGAATTGAGCACGACGTCTTGTTGCCGGATGTTGTCCCTCCAACTAGCAGCCAAAAATCGGAGCAATTACAGATAGGGATTCGTCAGAGCGGTAGGAAACAAAAACGAGCAGAAACAACAGAGATGGCAAGAAAAGGTAACGAGGGAAATGCTGGCTGATTTTATTTCAATCTGAAGTAAAGAAGGAGCGAGTGAGAGTGGATGGGGAGGGTTAGGCAGCTGCTTGCTTGGATCAATTTCTTGCCCTAGTTGGTCGTAAGCTCTTAACAACAGCTTATACCCAATTTGAAAAGTAAAACTATTCTATTGACGATTTAATGATGATCAATTCAAGCAGAAAATCCTGTTAAGTACGTATATTCTTTACTGGAGTCATTAGGAAGCTTCAACTGCCACACGTGACCGCTTGCTGTGGAGTTTCCACGCAGAGCACTCGAAGCGATGAATAGATATTCTAAATTAGATGATAGAAACCGGGAATAAAAGAAACCCCACTGCAAATCCGAAAGCAAATCTTCAGCAACAAAAACATAAAAATAAAAATACAAATGGTCAATATCTAATATACACGCTCGCAACCACAAGTAAGAGCTCCTTGTCATATTGCTGAGCTCAGCCATACCATGAGTTAGTCCCATTAGATACGGCAGGTACCGTAGGCGCGCGAGTTGGAATCAGCGGCTCTCCGATTTGATACGCGTCGATCAGATCTTTCCAGGTGTTGAGGTCTAATTCGAATATAAACTGTTTTGATGTCGCAAGCGAGTCCTCAAGCAAGCGGCGTCCTTCCTTTGTATCCGCGTTGATGAGATCCACGTCTTGAACAATCAGGTCGCCGTCCTCGTCCTCGTACAGCTGAATCTTCTGATCTCGCACAAGGAACGCGATATTGAATAAATTCTCAACGGTTTGTGAGTATGATAGAGGGTTGAAGGCCAAACGGATCAGTGAGGTCGGCTCGTCGAGTTGTTTAATGATCCTCATCACCGAAAGAACGGCTTGGTTCGTACCATTATCGTTCTGGACTATATCGTTCTGCGTAAGCTCTTGTGGACGCGTGACGGCAGCGGTGAACTGGCTGCCTTGCGTCGACCGCGTGCCCACGTTCCGTCGCGCCTTAGGTTCGGCGTGCGATGCAAGAAACTCGTGAACAGCAGGCCGGATCGAAAACGAGGCGCTCAGGTCTCCTAGTCTCGCCCAGCCTTGATAGTCGTCGTCTTCGAACCCCGTATCGTCGTCGTCCGCATCGGCACCGTTCTGCAGACGATCACCGTACACGAATAAAGCCATATGGCTCACAAACTCTTCCGGGTCCAGCTCAACCGTCGCGCCCATCTTCAGCTTCTTTGTCCGTTCATAGAAAATCTCGGTGTTGAGGGCGTAAAGACGCGAGTCCTGCGCCGCCTCCTGGGGATTCTGGACCTGTTCGTAGAGCGCGTTTGTTTTCTCAAAATTGCGCTTCAAGAGCTGCGTGCCAACATGAGAAGCAGTCAGAAACGTGTGTCTGTCCTCATGCGTCTCGCGCGTGAGCTCGCGGTATTTCCGACGCAGCTCACGGCGTTGGTCGATAGGTTGGCTGGGGTTGTAGGCCTTTGGCGTCATCCGCCCCGGTTGTGACCGCAGACTGCCGATTGAATTGTCGGGCATCTCAATCTCAGACGATACACTTGAAGTAGACGGACGCGATGACCGTGATGAGGTTGAGGAAGCGGGTGATTGCGAATTCGGACTCATCGCGGGTGAATGTTCATATGGCGTCGAGTATTTGCGGCCGCTGTTCTGAAGGGAGAAACGCGTCGCGGAAGGGGCGCGCCTGCTAATGATGACTAAGGCTGTTTTCACCGCAGCGAACCACAACTGAGCCACAATGCGTAGAAATAAAGCAGTAAACTGATAATATATATATATATAGTCTGAAAACAGTTTTAATGCAGTTTAATACTCTTAAAAGACTACTGCTATCCAACAAGGAGCATCAGTAGTAAAAATGTATTATGTAATGACTTGCTTACAGTTTACAAGGGGAAAGTACCCGCCCTGACGCGACTCCCAATACTGATTGACCACGCGCCGTCGCCGTTCTCCTCTGCTCGACCCCACAACCCACCCGCTCCACAAATTCAATAGTTATCATGGCGCAAGGCCGTGACAAGAGCAAGCTAGCAATTAAATCCGGTGATTTTTATGCCGATTCCTGGTCTACGTCGCAGTCGCGAGACGAGGTTCAAAAGAAGAGAGAGGAGCTGGCGCGTTTGAGAAGAGCAAAAGCGTCGGGTGCACCAGCAGGGAAAACATCACCGCTGAAGAGGCCGCATGATACGACCGAGTCTGGGAAAGGTCAGCCACCTGCGTTGGGGATTGGTGCGTTTACGCATTTCCAAAACACAAACAATAGAGCGACGGCCGGTGTCAGTATCAAGCAGTTACTAGACGAGAGCAGGAAGAGCGGCAGGCCTGCTGCCGCCCCTAGCGGCGTGAATGATGGCGTTGGACCGGTTCTGTCGCGACGGCTTGGAGCGCAGCCTCATGCGACGAAGATCTCTAGCTCAGGAGTTCGAGATCAAGCAGCGAAACCGCGTGTTGTCCGCAGCAATGATGTTAGCGTTGAGTTCACCGCGTTACCAACTTCGACCACCGCTCCTGCAGCTCCGGTTGATTCAAAGCTGCAGTTTTTAAAGTATTTGAAAGCGAGGAAGAATCAAATGGCGGATCAGGAACGACGGGACGGAGAGGCTGCAGGCTTTACAGCTAAGAATACGGACGACACAGACTACAAAGATGCGATTCCAATCAGCGAGAGCAGCAGCGATCTCAAGATACTCGAAGCCAGCGAAGATTTAGAGACACAGACGCAGGCGACGATCAGGAGACTTGATAGCGGGCGAGCTCTGAGCAATTGCCCGCTCTGCGACAGTCCCCTGTCGGAGGCTATTCGGGTCAAGTTTGGAAAGTTTGAGGATCGGGTCAAACGAAGCTATGCGATCTGTCAGGCACACAAGAAAGAGAAAGTGATGGAATTGGCAGCAGGACGTAATTACTCCACCTCGCTGAATGAAAGCTCGCTGGAGAAGCGGGCGCGGAAAGCAGTGGCTGCGATCGATCTACCCGCGATTCTGAACGGAGAGCAACACTCAGTCTATCACGAGCACGCCAAAACAGCAGCGCAGAAGCATGGCCGCAGACTGGATGCGCTGCAGCAGATGGAAGCGGGGCAGGGAGATATGCTTCCTGGATACTATGGCCTGGTAGGCAACGGCGTGATGCTACGGGTGGCGATGACCGCGTGCGAGAAGCAGATTAGAGCGGCTGCTGCGCGGGAGCGGTGGATTTCGAATTTATCGGTGACGGGGTATGTCGCGAGTGTGTTAGTCCCGGAGATTGCAGTGCGGTTGATTATGGAAGACCAAGGATGCGAGAAGGAAGCGGCGGAGAAGATTAGAAAAGAGAGTATTGACTACGGACGCCTGATGTTTGGTGAGACTCTGGATCTGGTTAGTGAGGAGGAAGAGGTTTTTGATCACGGGAAGACAGAGGCGAAGAAGGTGGGAACGAAGAAGGCTTCCAAGGACAAGAAGAAGACTAGCGAGAGGAGATCAAAAGAGGTGAAAGAGCCGAAAGACAAGTCTGAGAAGGGAACGAGGCGGAAACATTTGGACGTTGCCGCAAGGACTTCTTCTCGAGAAAGCAGTAGCGACTGGCTTTCGTCTGATGTTATCGAGCTTCCGAGCTCACCACTTGTTACACCGCCGGCTATAAGAGATCGCGAGGATGTTCGGGATATCGAAGATATAGAGACTACTCCGAGAGCGTCGCAGTCGACCCCGGTTCGGCCGAAACGTCGAACACGGTAATTCCAGGGACAGCCGACTTCAGTTCGGCCGACGCGTCGAAGACGGTAATACGAGGAGCAAGTGAAGTGTCTCTGAATGCATGCATATCTATCCAAGACTGGAATAAATAGTCGACTCGAATACAGGTAGAGCTTCACTTATGCTAGTTCTGCTGCCGAGCTTCGTGGCAGAATACACTTTGATATGCCAACGATGTTCCGCCGCAATGTGCCAGTCCGACCAGGATAGCAGCTCTACAGCAACAGCCGCCCTGAAGACGATCAATTCGAGGCGAACGTCGTGCGGCAGCGCCATTCCGACTGTTGAATGGGATGACAGCCAGGTCACTAATTAAACTCAAAAGAGCGAAGAGATCGACGCCGCGGCCAATCTTCTGCCCTAACCCGCAGATTCTAGAAACTCTCTCGGAAGGGCTGTCTCGGTCGGTTGCAGGCTATGCAGATCCGGAGAGAGCACCCGTGCAGGGCCGGAGGGAAAAGTACGGCCAGACGAGCGATTCGGGCATTCAAAACCCACTTTGAGCGATTTCCAGGAGGAAAAAACAAAGAGGACAAGGCATTGACGATAAAGGACAGAGCGGCAGGCAGCACACGGCGCCGCTGCAGATCCCTGTTGTTAGCGGCGACGATCCGCTCGCTCCCGGTCGATTCTTCTTTGTTGAGAGAGAGCGCCGTCCCGAATTGTTTTGTTATTTCCGCCCAGCGTCCAGGTTTTCTTCTCTGTTGGTTTGATGTCGCTTCGAATCGATCGTCTAGGCTTTTTTGCGACTCTTCGCTAAACATCGCTCTGAATCACATAAGTTACTTCTTCCCTTCTCCACACCTCAATTTATGCACGAGTGGTGTCCTACATGCACTCTTTTTCCGTCTTGCAGGCTCTTTACTAGCTCTGCTATCTATCGCAAATTGCTCTACTCACTACCAGCTGCCGCCATGGAGCGTCCAGGTGCAGCATCCAGACCGGCTCCGCACTGGACGCATGATCTTTCTCCGTATCTCAAACCAAAGTCCGCTTATCACAATCTGCACTCCCCGCCCGAGCTTCTCAACTATTTGGTATTTCATTCACCGTTTATCGCTGGCGTGCTGGGTGAGGACTTGCAAGTTCTTTGCGTCACGAAGCTGCTTTCTCAGTTTTACTCTCTGGTGAGTAAAGACCGCGCACTGCAGGCGGAAGATGCGAATGCCTTCCCCGGCGTCGGCAGCAGTTTTTTCGACCTAAATATTCGCTTTCAAGATCTCGCGTCACCGCTCTTGTCGCATGCCGAGCTCTTATCTGTATACTTGAAATATCTGGAGAACATCCCGGTATCTGAGAAGCGGCAGGTGGATGTAACCGTTCTCACGAGCGACGGACGAGTGGGCGAGGAAATTTTCAAACTCGAGATCTCGCCGATCTGCATCAACGACAAGCGCTACTACTATTTCTCCCTCGAGGCCGAGATATCTACGCTCATGGACGCATACACCAGCATACACCCGCCCCCGCCTCCACCCAGCAAGACCACAGTCCCAACAACAACAAAACCCGACAAGCATGGCCGCGAGTGCGTGACGCTCTATCGCGAGATGGTAGACTCGCTTCCGTACTTTATATTCCTGAGCGACTCTCTCGGCAACCGGCTCTACGGCTCCAAAAAGTGGAGCGAATTCACCGGCTGCGGCGTGCGCGAAGATCCCCCGCTGGAGAACTACATCAACCCCGAGGATTTCCCGCTGTTCAAGGCGTCGCGGAATCAGGCATATAAAGCCGGCAGGGGATTTGCGCAGGAGATAAGGGTGATGGATCGGGAGGGGCGGTACCGGTGGATGAGGTATGAGCTGGCGCCGATGGTGAGCAAGGAGGGGAGGATCGAGAACTGGATCGATACGTGTCATGATATCCAGGATTTGAAAGAGGCGTTTTTGAGCGCACACCAGTTCCGGGAACATCTACGGTGTCTTGTTTTTAGTTGTACGTCTACTACTTGCTCCATCACACTAGACTTTACTGACCTCATCTAGCTGATTCATCGATATGGTCCATCAACAAAGACTACAGACTCACAATGTGCGAAGGCATGGACAAGATCTGTCCCGGCCGCGAGATCCGGATCGGCGACGACATCCGACAGACGTGCGAGGACTTTGCAATCGTCCGCGAGCCACTTTCGCTGATCCTCGAGGCGCGCGCAAAACTGGCGACAAGAGAGGTCAAGCTGGGAAACCGCTGGCTCCGCACGCGGTACGTGCCCGTGTACAAGCGGTCGTCGTCGGAGATGGACGTGTTCATCGGCAACGAGGGAGGGTTTGATACGAGCCAGGTTATCGGCGTCGTCGGCGTGTCGCAGGATATCTCGAATCAGAAGCTCGCGGCGCTGGCGCTGGAGGCGAGGACGAAGGAGTTGAGTATGCTGCAGCGGAAGGAATCTGCCGAGTCGGAAAAGTATAAGACAAAGTCGCAGTTTATGGCTACCATGAGCCACGAAGTCAGAACGTGAGCATCGAGATACAAGCACGTTTTTATTTTGCCCCAGCTAACACAGATCATGTAGTCCAATCGCAGGAGTCGTGGGTCTTTCGGAGCTTCTGCTACAGACAGATCTCACGCAAGAGCAGCGCGAGTACTCGGAAAGCATCCTCCACTCTGCGTCCAATCTGCTCGCTATTGTGCGCGACGTTCTCGACATCACAAAGATTGAAACAGGCGTGTTGGGAATAAAGACGGCGACGTTTGATATCCGGGAGCTTTTGAATGTTCAGCTTCGCGGGTTCGAAAAGGATGCGAGGTAAGTTGCTGTAGGCGATGCGTACTGGAGCGATTTTGACCAACATTGTACAGGTCGAAATGCGTTGAGGTGGTAGAGACGATCGACATCGACCCTCAGATCAAATACCTGATCGGCGACGAAGCCCGCGTGACACAGATCCTCATCAACATCCTCCACAACGCGCTCAAGTTCACGTTACAAGGGCGCATAGACGTGACGGTATCCCAACTGAGCCTAACCGACCCCGTCGCCGCCGCCGCCGACAACACCGGCAAACGAATCGTCCTGCGCTTCAGCGTGACAGACACGGGCATCGGGATCGACAAGGAGAACCTGAGTAACGTGTTTGTGCCATACAAGCAAGTCGACAGCTCCGACTCGCGACAACACGACGGGTCTGGTCTTGGTCTTGCGATTTGCAAGTCGTTGACGGAGCTCATGGGCGGGCAGATTGGGATCGAGAGCGAGATTGGGGTAGGCACGAGGGTGTACTTTGAGCTGCCGTTTATGATTGCGAACGCACCGCCGGCGAGGAGGCAAAGGAAGTCTGAGGCGCAGGAGGTGCAGAGCCGGGAGCAGGAGTTGCTTGATGTGCGATCGCGGTTCGCGACCGAGCGAGAGCTGGGAGGTCGAAGTAGTAGCAGAAGTAGCGAGAATAGCACGCGTTCAGAACCGCAGACCCTGCTGAAAGAACGGAAGCACGTGCAGATCCTGATTGTCGAAGACAATCTGATCAATCAAAAGATCGTCAAGCTGTTGGTGACAAAGATGGGCTTCTCCGCGCACACCGCGCTCAACGGGCGCGAATGCATCGAGTACCTAGAAAGCCACCAGGACGCGCCACCGGATCTGATCCTGATGGACTGCCAGATGCCAATCATAGACGGGTATTCTGCGACCGGGATGCTGCGGCAGCATCCTAATCCGGCGATCAAGACGGTGCCCGTGATTGCAATGACCGCGAGCGTCATTGTCGGGGACAGAGAAAAGTGTCTTGCGGCGGGGATGGACGATTACCTCGCGAAACCGCTGAAGGGACCAGAGCTAGAAGCCATGGTCGTCAAATGGCTTCTCGATCGGCAGGTTTACAACGCCAGAAGGTCACTTTCGCCGCTCGCCGAGACAAGGTCGCATCATCCCCCTGGCGACTCGCGCAGGCCGCGACCGAGTCCGCGGACAAAGTCGGCGTCGCAGTCGTTTGTCAAGGGGTCGTATTCATCTGCGCAGGCGTACGGTCACGGCGACTATCTCTCGTCGCGGACAAACTCGTTCAGTATCAGCCCGCCTGCGTATCTCTCGTCGTCGATAGCGAGCGAGCAGATGCAGCAGACGGACGAGAGCGGGTATACATTTGCCGCCACCGACGGCTTCGGTGCAGACTCACACGAGCATTCTCGATTCACTTCAACATCCACAAACGCTGCCGCGCTCGCAGACTCAATAATGACGACCCTGCAAAACATGGAAACCGCCTCGCTGACGATCTTCGAAGACCCCCCCGACGAACTCCCCCCCCTCTCACCCACCGACGCAGAAGCCAGTTCCGAATTCCTTTCTCCAGAAGACGCGCAGCGGCTAGGCGTCGTCAAAAGTCCGCCGGTTAGAGAAGCAAGTTTCTCATCGACGGACTCGGCGTCGACAACGTGCCTTAGCTCGTCGTCGACGGACGGAGGGGGTGTGTCCTCGGCTGGTACGAGTGTGTCGGATACAACGCCGCCGCTGGCGGGGTAGTTCGTTAAGGAGACTTGACTTTTCTACTTTCACATTCGTTCACACTTCTATAGATCTTCGACTGTACGATAACATCTCATAGTTCAGAAACGCAAAAAACAAGGGAAAAAGGGAAATCAAAAGCTGCTTTTCTTGGGAAAATTACATAGAAACACAAGTTACTTTTATAATCAATAATAGATCACGTATACCACACTTTTGTAGAGGCAGAAAGAAGTTGGTTGAAGAAAGTATTAGAGATTGCATTTTATACGTCGTCATGATAAACACTCGAACTAGTGAAACAAGGCACTTCATTTAAGAATCATACAGAGTAGCAGACAACATGGAAAAATTCTATACGGAGACGGAGGACGTAACTAAGAGGTAAATAAAGAAAAGATTATACGACTATATAGACACATGATAAACAAAAGATGAAAGGAGACGGTTTTACTCTTCTTGCTCTTCCTCCTCGGCTTCCTCCTCGACTTCCTCAGCAGGTTCCTCCTCAACTTCCTCTTCAGCAGCTTCCTCCTCTTCTGGCTGTTCTTCCGCCTCCGGCTCCTCTTCAGCCTCGGTGACTCCGTTCGCTTTGCTCGCGTAGGTCATCTCAAACAGCGCCGCCTCGGGTTTCCGCCCGGTACTCTCAAGAAGGTCCTTGCAGCTCTCGACGTCGCCGACCGCCCACAGCGCAGTGAACGCCAAGTTATGCACGCCCGAGTCGACAGCCTTCTTTGCGACCTCGCGCAAGCCGGCCTCGTTGTTGGTGCTGGTGTAGATGAGCAGCAACGAGCCCAGGTCCGAGACCGCAGAGAAACATTTCTCGGCCAGCACGACGTCCCAGTTGGCGAGCGCGGTGTCGCCGAGCGTCTTCCACTTGTGGTCCGAGCCGTCGCTGACGGCGATGTCCTGCGCGATCGAGAGGTCGCCGAGCGAGAGCGCGAGCTCGAACTTGTGGTCGCTGTCGGTCGAGATCTCGAGCGCGAGCTCCTTGTAGCCCTGGCCCTCGAGGAAGCGCGCGATGCGCGTGCGCTCGCTCTGCGGGATCTGGTCGAGGAGCTGGGCGGCCTGGTCCATGTCGCCGCGGAGGACGACGGTCTGGTACTCGAGGACGGAGAGGGAGACCGCGTAGGAGACGACGGAGGAGTCCTTGTCGGCCAGGTAGACGCGGCCGTCGCGCGGGATGTAGCCGAGGAGGTACATGGGCTGGTCAAAGTGCGAGACGGTGTAGGTCTGCTCGCCGACGAGGTAGTTGAGTCGGTTGGTGGACGTGGTGTAGATGAAGCAGTCGCCGACCCACTTTCCGGTGCGCACGCTCTCGTTGACGTCGGTGACGACCTCGAAGGACTCCTCGACGCCCTCGTCGGGGTCGACGCGGTCTTCTTGAACGGCCGTGAGGTAGGCGTCTTTAGAGAACCGGAGGACGTAGAAAGTGTCGTCGCAAGCCAGGGTGACGAGCTCGCCAGAGTCAGACCAGTGGACTTCGTTGGGAACGACGTCGATGCGGCGGACGAGGAGACCGGTGTCCCAGTCAAAGAAAGCCACCCAGTCGCTACCCTTGACACCGAGCAGGGTGCCGCCAAAGATACCGTCCGAGTTAAAGTCGAACTGGATGTGGCCACTCGAGAGCTCCTTGAAGTTCTTGTAGACCTTGATGGAGGTGGTGCTCTCCTGGACGGCGTACATGTTGCTGTCCTGGGCCCAGACGAACTGCAGGCCCGGGCCGAAGGACTTGTTGCGCCAGGCGAGAGCGGTGAAGATGATGTACTCACCATCGCCGCAGACGGCAACGAATCGGCCGTTGGGGGAGTGCAGGAGCTGGGTGGGGTAAACCTCGACGGAGCCGAGATCCTTCTGCGGGAGCGAGATGGGCTCGCCGTCCTTGACGGCTGCGTCGGCGGGCTTGATGATGGAAGAGCAGACCTCGGCGTGCTTTGTCCAAATAACCTTTCCAGAGTTGTCCATGGAGATGGCAGGCTCCTCGCGGCCCATTTTCATGACGACGGAGCCCTCGTCGAAACCGACGGCGATGGCGTTTGAGCCCTTGCGGTAGGAGACACACCAAGCGCGCTCGAGACCGTAGTTCAAGGTCTGTTCGAGCTTGAAGGTGTTTGCGTTCCAGATCTTGATGGTGGAGTCCTCTGAGCCGGAGATGATGATGGGCAGCTCTGGGTGGAAGACGGCGAAGGAGACGTTTGAGTTGTGGCCTTCGAGGGTGGCGATGCAGGACTTTGTTTGGTAGTCCCAGATTTTGCAGGAGCGGTCGTCGGAGGTGGTGATGATGTAGGGCTTGTCGGCGAGAGGGTAGTAGTCGACAAAGTTGACGCCCTTGGTCTCGTGGGCCTCCATGGTGAAGTTTGGGGTTGGGGAGCCGAGAGACCATATTTTGACGGTGCGATCGAGACAGGCGGAGGCGAAGGTGTTTGTGTCCTTGGGGTTGATGGCCAGGGACATGACGTAGTGGTTGTGGCCTTCGAATACCTGGATGCAGCGCCAGTCCTTATCCCAGTTCCAGAGCTTGATGGTCATGTCATCTGAGGCGGTGAGGAGGAAGGACTGGGTGGGGTGGACGGCGATGGCGCGGATGTAGTCCGGGTGGGCCTCGAACTGTGTGATTTTCTCGGAGGTGTTGTAGTTGTAGACGCGGATCTGGAAGTCATCAGAGCCGACGACGATCCAGTTTTTGCGGGCGATGAAGCGACCGGCGCGGACGGGGACTTCGGTGACGTCGAAGGTCTTGATGACTGTTCCGGTGAGATAGGACCAGATTTGGACGTGGCCTGGAGAAGAGATAACATTAGAATTGAGGATGGTGAGAATGGTTGGGGATGATTGAGGGGAGGGGACAGACCAGAGTAGAGGGTGGTGAGGATCCATGGCTCGGTGGGATGGAAGTCGATGCCCTTGACGCGGTCCGAGCGCGCGAATAGTTGTCTCTGGAGGGGAAGAGAGTTAGTAGGAAGCAATTGAAGAGAAGAAGAGGTCAATTGAGAGAGAGCAGCATGGGATGGTGGTGGGGTTGTTGGTGAATCAGGAGGAGGGTGCTGCAGCAGAAAAAAGGGAGAAGAAGGAGGGACGGGCTCGAACCTTTACGTCTAACCGCATTGCTTATCACGGCAGCAGACAGAGCAGTGTTGATGACGAGAAGAGGTGATTGAAGAAGAGAAGAGGGAAGGAAGGTGATGGGAAGGAGGTGAGAAGAGGTGAGGATGCGTCGAGGAAGGAGGACGTTGGCTGCTGCGTAGAAGTGTTTTGAGAAGCGAGTTGGGGTTTTAAACGCGTCATTGTTATGCACTTATGCAGAATGCTTTTATCTACTTTTACAGCTCTTCTCAGAGACAAAGAAGAGTATTCACAGTATTTCTATACACATCCACATCAATTAAACACACACACACACACACTCCACCCCCCCAACACAAGAAGACCGCACGGCGCCGGGAGAGGCCAGGCTGTTCAGAGGAGGCCGACCGAGGGGCCTGGACAGTGCGTGCGGCGGCGTACGGCTAAGGTGGGGATAGAAATACCGCGTACGGCATACTAAACACCCGTATAAACAACACCACAACAGAAGCCACCGCGCCTCAAATATCGCCGTCAACTCTTCTCTCCTCCAAATCATCATCAGAATCACCACTTTTCACCCCAAATCCCCCGCTCTACGACCTCCTCGGCGCTGCTCTGCAAATGCCGTCGTTTCTGCGTGCTCACTCGACGCGCGCTCAGCCGTCGGTGCCTCCGCAGCTGCCGGTCCCGCCCGCGTTTCTGCCGATCGAGGCCCCGTCGCAGGTCAACAGCAACAGCAACAGCAGCAGCAGCATTCAGCATGTAAATACAAACACAAACACAAACAAACAAACGACGCTCAGCAGGACCTCTTCACGCGTCTCCTCTTCCTCCGCCGTCTCCTCGCTCTCCGCATCGCCCTGTCCGCCGCCTGCGCCCTTCGCATCCGCATCTGCATCGCCTTCCGCATCCGCATCTCCTTCCGCATCCTCACCCTCCAACCACCCCCCTCCCCAACCACAGCCTCCGTCCTCAGCCATCCTCCACTCCGGCGAGGTCATCGCCTCCGCCGGCCTCCTCCGCGGCAAGAAGCGCGACTTCATCGTCCTCACCCGCTCAGAGATCCTCAGGTTCAAGTCCCGCGCCAAAGCTGCCGACGTCTTCCCTGCTCTCTTCCCCGTCCGCCGGAACCCGTCCTCCGCCTCCATCGCCTCTTCCCTTGCCTCGGGCTCCCAGCACACCGCTGACTCCCTCCCCGAGTCCACCATCTGCACTCTCGAGAGAGTACGTTGTCTCCTTTCATCTTCACTTTCACTCCGCTGACATTCATGCAGATCACGGCCCTCTTCGAGCTCGGCCCCCTGCAAATCGAGCTCGCCTACGTCGACGACGCCGCCTTCCCGCGCTCCTTCATCCTCCAGCTCCAGACCCGCGCCGAAGCAGAGACATGGATGCAGAAACTCTACTCCGCAATCCCCAAAATCACCCTCGCCCACTCCCTCCCCCAGTCGACCCAGGAAAGCCTAAAGACCTACCTGCGCACCCGGAACGACTTCTACGAGCCCACTTTCCGCGCCTTTCGCGTCGTCGTCCAGCAGACCGTGCCCGCAAAGCACTCCTCCACAAAAATACCCTCCTCCTCCGACGACCTCACCAAACTCGCAAACCAAAACGCTCACGCCTTCCTCGTCGTCGGCCACTACGCCCTCCATCTCTTTGCCGTCGACTCAAAGCCCCCCAGCACAATCTCAAACGCCCACGGTCTCCCCCCTCAAATCACTCCCCTCTCCTCCCACGGCATCGTCTCTCTCGTCCATCTCGCCATGTCCCCCCGCGACTCGACCCTCTACCTCTCCTTCCGCGCCCCGCTCTCCCCTATCCGATCCCTCGAGCTCGCTTCATGCGCCGCAAAGGACATCATCCAGACCGTGCGCTCCTGCATCGAGCACCTGCGACCGTGCTGGTCCGAGTACCCTCTCACCATGGACGTGCCCGAATACGTCCAGGACGAGCCTCTAGTTCCCATCCCCTACACCCCCTCGACCGAAGACGACCCTAATTACGGCTACAACGGATTCAACATGACCTTAGCTGCCTACTGTGTCGCCTTTGGCATTCCTTCTGCTAGAAGCAATATAGCCTTTGAGATCATCTGGGACGAGGACAATGGACTCATCTTCAAGCTCCTGCCTCCCCGCCACAGCAAGACCACTACAAACTACAACGGAGGCGCAGGCGTCGCGGCGCCAGAGTACAGCATCCTCGAGGTTCTCGCCGTCATGCGGGCCCTGCGCTGGAACGAGGCGTTTGGCGGCATCTCATTCTCCGGCGTCTCGCTCTCGCGACTCGTCGACGTCTACGACCACTACGCCTCCATCGAGCTCGACCAGACCCGGACCGCCACCGGCAGACGCATCTCGAAATTCATGAAGGGCTTACCCATCCTCAAGCTCGAGCTGCAGCTGCTCATGCTCTGCTCTACTGCCCTTCGCATGCTCGATCTCAACGGCTGCCTGCGCCCGACCACCGCGGCAGCCGCCTACGCGGCCGCGAGCATCGCGCCTGGAGCCGAGCACGGCTGCGGAGCTATAGACGCGCTCATGCAGGTCGCCAAGCGCGCGACCTCGAACGTTGACTCGTTTGTGTTTTCAAACATCCAGATCGACCTCTACGACTTTGACTACCTCGTCGACGTATCCTCCACGCGCGCGGCGCATCTGCGCAACGTCGAGATAGCCCACTGCGGGCTTTACGAGCGCGAGATCTCGCTTCTCCTGCAGGCGCTTGAAGTGCACGAAAATACGCTCGAGGGACTTGATATTTCTGAAAACCCGGGCCGCGTGTCGGTATACTCGCTCAACGAGAGCCTTTATAGATTCCAGTACATGCGGAATCTGTACATGCGCAAGCTGCTCATCACCTCTGAGGACCTCCCCCTGCTCTCGTTTGACACGCTCGCCAACATGCGCCTGAAGCGGCTCGTACTTGACGGCACTCGTCTGCGACCGGTCTCGGTCGACCATCTGTGCACGTACCTCGAGTCATCGACCGCGTGCTCGCTCGTCCAGTTCTCGATCCAATCCTGCCTCGTGACCGGCCGCGACGTCGGCGCGATGCTTTCCGCCATCGGCCGCTCGCGCTCGACGCCCCATCCGGATCTGACGGTGTACATCGGCGACAACCCGATCTGCCAGACCGGTTTTGACGTGTTCCTGACGGCGCTAACGAGCCTGGGCGGGAAGTTGAAGCGGATTTCGATGCCGCGGCTCGAGTTCTCGCAGGATAGCATGCTGTGCTCGTTTTTCCTTGTGCTGGCGGACCCGCGGTGTCAGCTCACGCACCTCGACCTGTCGCTCTTGCTGATTCCGGACGCGGACGCGTCGGCAGAGGCGTGCGATTTGCTGGGCGAGGTGTTTGCGCATAACAGCACGCTGCGATCGCTGAACCTGACTGGCGAGACGTCGAAGCTGCAGGTTGCGCGGGTAGGCCACGGGATCGGGCGCGCGCTGGGCCGGTTGGCGGAGAACGACACGCTGCGGGAGTTATTCCTCGAAGGCAACGAGATCTCTGTCGACGGCGCGATGGTGCTTGCGAAAGCGCTGACGACGAACCGCGCGCTGCGACGGATCCATCTGGATGACAACGACGTCAATCTGCAGGGCTTCACGGCGATCGTCAACTCGATCGTCGACTCGGGCAACACCGTGATCAGGTACGTGAGCCGGCCGTGGCGGGACCAGGAGCGGCAGCTCAAGAACCTGCGCGAGCTGTGCGCGCGGCTCGATTCCGAGATCTCGGTGCTGCGGCAGCAGAAACGGCCGCAGTCGTCTGACTCGTCGCCGCGGTCGTCTGCCTCTGCGCACAAGCACTCGCGGTCGAGCAGCACGAACGGAAGCGGCAAGTCTGTGCCGCTGAGCGGCGGGAGTGCTGTCTCGCCGTCGATGGCGGCGGCGTTTAGTAGTCCTGATATCACGCTGAAGCTGGAGGCGAAGGTTAAAGCGACGGAGACGATTCGCGTGCTGGAGCACGAGTGGAAGAAAGTGTATGATCGGCTGGACGGGTACCTCAGCCGGACGCGATCTACAACTTCTTCTTCTTCCTCGTCGTCGTTGTCGTTGGTCTCTGCGTCTGGCGCGTTGGGCGGGAAACGCCAGTCATTCGGTTCGTTACCCGCCGGAACGCGAGCGTCGTTCGGCAGCACGATCGTGCCTGACGACGAGGAAGACGAGGAGGAGGAGAAGGTTAGGAAGGCGTGGGAGAGGCTGAAAGGCGCGGGAAGGCCGGGGCGGAAGGTTAGTGCGGGCGGGAGGGTTGTCAAGTGAGTAGTAGTCGTTGACTAGTCGTCTGTATATGTATATTTGTCGCCGCTCTGCAAGAAGATATTTGTGTGTGTGTTGGGATGTATCACGGGAGTAAATTGGGCGTCTTTTGTCTGTGTTTTTGCTAGTTTAGTACCATAGTTTGTTGATGCAATCATCTGTGTTGGTTGTTTAATATCTTGAATATATAGCGTATAAATGTACATTGTCTACTATATCTGCAATCATCTGTTCGTTTGTTGTATATTTTGAATATATAGTTATTGCGTTGGTTGCCTACTAAATCACAGAAGAATGGGGAAAGTGAGAGGAAGAATGATAATCATCGTCATATTTTAGTTTTGCGAAACACGCCGTGAGAGTATGAAATAAAGCAGACAAGTAAACTCCAATGTAACAACAAAAGGGAAAGAAAAGAGAAAGAAAGAGAGAAAGAGAAAGGGAAGATGATGTGATGTGATGTGAAATCAGATGTACACCTCGAAACCGGACCTGTTGGACACCGTAACCGAGACAAGGTATTGAAGAAGACAAGACAAGAAGAAACAAAGACAAAAAGAACTGATATTCTATAAGGAGGAGGAAGTAATGGAAGAAAGAGGAAGTAGAGGAAGTGGAGGAAGAGGTAGTGAAGGGTGGAAACTAAGGGAACAGCTCAGCTGAAGAAGACAGCGCGCGGATCCCGAGGCAGACCATCAGCACCGATATTATTCCTCTCGAGCACGCGGGCGGTGTACATCGCGCGCGCCTCATCAAAGCCGACATGGCACTCGCGCATGATATTCTGGATCTCCAACTTTGAGTCCTCGGCCAACCCGCCGCGCGAATCCCCCTCGCGCGCGTTGTCAGAGAGATTAAACATCTCCGAACTCAAGCCGGACTCGAGATCGGATTGGAAGGAGGAGTTTGCGCCGCCGGAGGAGGTCGAGAGGCGGGTGGATGCGGTGGAGTGGGATGCGGTGTCGGAGATGGGGAGGAGGTGGCTGCGCGGGAGGGCGCCGGTGGCGGAGTTGCCGGGGAGGTAGCCTGCGCCGGCGAGGCCGAGGATGTTTGTGCGGACGGGGAAGATGGAGTTGTAGAGCGGGAAGGAAGCGCGGACGGTGGGTTCTGGGGGTGGTGTTAGTGGAGAGGGAGGGGGAGAGGGAGAGGGAGAGGGGATAGGGGGAGGTGATGGACGTACCCCATCGGCGGCGGGTGGCGTAGACTGCGGTCGCGACGAAGAGACAGAAGAAGAGGGCCCAGGAGGCGGTTGTCGTGTAGTCTCCGAGCATGTTGGTGTAGTGAATGCAGTGAATGTGGTGGAGTAGTGAATGTGTGTAGAATCAGGGATGATGATGATGATGATGACGAGAAGTTGCGCTATTTACAGCAGAAGTTGATTCGAGAGCAGAACAAACTATTGCAGACTCTTGATTCTTCCTCCTCAAACTGCTCTTCTCTTCTCTTCTTCTCTTCTTCTTCTCTTCTCTCGTTGTTGAGGAAGAAGAAACAGCTCGGAGGCAAAGATGAGGTCGAGGTCTGGTCTGGTCTGTGTTCGAGCTCGGCTGAGTGGATTTAGGGTTTATGGGTGACGTCAGTGTATTTACTGTATTATCATCATGAGTACTAGCAATGATGAATGGAGATGAGGATAAAGATACATGGAAGAGAAGAAGAAGAAGAGGAAGAAAGATGAGTTAAGAGAAAGACATCTCATGAGCAGTGCTCAACAACCGCCGCTCTCGTCTGACGGTATCCCTAAACGTAGCATAAGCCACGACAAACAGCGACCCATAAAACAGCAGACAGCAGACAGCGTAGACAGAGTATCCGCGCCCGAGCGCAAACCCGGTCGACAGCAGCCCCGGGATGAACTGGCGGCCGTAGTAGTGCGAGTGGTCGGGGACAGAGTTGGGCAGGTGGGCGGACGAGTTGGGAACGCCGCTGCCGTGGTCGTCGTAGATGTGGATGTCGGAGGCGTTGTAGATGCGCTCGGAGAGGAGGAGGTAGGTATAGACGGAGGAGGAACAGAGGGCGAAGAAGGTGAGCAGGCCGACGACGGAGAGGGGGTATACAAAGATGCCGGAGGGTGGTTTGCTGTCGTCGTCGTCGTCGTCTTTGGTGAGGGAGCTCGAGTTCCAGGTTAGGATGCTTTGGTTGAGCGTGGAGTCCAGTTCTTTTTCTTCCAGCTCTTTGTCGTCAAGTCCTTTTGGCTCGTCCACATCCTTTGACTCGTTTGAAGTAGAAGACTCAGAGATCTGCGCTTGATCTTCCTGCTCTTTCACCTCCTCCTCCTGAACTAAGAGACTCTCTGCAGATTCAGTACACCCATCCACCACTTCCTCAACCAGCAACTGCTCCTCCTCAGCTAAATCAACAAACTCAACATCACGTTTAAAAGCAAAAGCACAGGGATTAGCAATGTCTGTAGCAGCAGCAGGAGGTGTCTCCTGCTTAGGAAGAAGTTGCAGGGTGATCTGGCTAATTGCGGTAGTTTGTTGTTGTTGTTTCTGATTTGATTTCTGGGCGCGCTTGCGTTTCTGCAGGTAGATTGTTAGTGAGTAGAGAGAATATCAGTAGTAGAATAGTGTAAATATGAGTAATTACGCGCAGAAGGTTGAGTATTTTCATCTTCATGTTTGATGTTGATGGTGTTGTGGAGAGGATTGCGATTCAGGCTGAGTTCACGTGGGGTTGTGAGCACGTGCGCGTCGTGTTTACCTACTCAACGTCGACATCAAGCAGATATAGAAGATACAGACAGATAAGATATATTTGTAAGATCAACTGATTATATTCATAGAAGTATCTACAATTTACCCATCCTGGTTGCGCCATCCAAACGCACGATAGTTCCATTAACAATCCCATTCCTGATCAAACTAAGTGCCATCTCGGCAAACTCCTCCGCCTTCCCAAACCGCTTCGGAAACTCGAGCTGGCTATACAGCTTCTGCCTAGTCTTCTCCGGCATATAAGCCGACATTGCAGTCTCAAACACGGCCGGCGCGAGGGCGTTGACGCGGATCCCCCAGCGGGCGAGGTCGCGGGCAAGAGGCAGGGCGAGGCTTGCGATTGCGCCTTTGGAGGCGGCGTAGGCGGTTTGGCCGAGTTGGCCTTCGAGGCCGGCGACGGAGGAGACGAGGATGATGACCCCGCGCTCGGCGTCGGGTTCGGAGGGGAGGGCGGGCGAGCGGGCGAGGCGGGAGGCGACGAGGGTTGCGAGGGAGTAGGTGCCGGTGAGGTTGATGTCGAGGACTGATTTGAATGCGTCGATGGGGTAGGTTCAGCCGAGCTGTTGAGGGCCTGTATGTCTGTCAGTATATAGTAGCTAAAAGAGAGAGAGGAGGAGGAGGAGTACAGTAGAGACAAAGGCTACGCCGGCGGCACAGACTACACCACCGAGCGGGAAGTTCGAGTCAGAAGCCCAAGCTACGACGTGGTCCACGGCTGATTCGAGATCGTTGTAGTCGGTGACATCAACAGCGTAGAATCTAGCAACTGGTTTTGAATTGAAGTGTGATTTGAGGACATCCTGGCCGAGATCAGAGTTGCGGTCGAAGAGGGCGACGTGGGCGCCTGCGGAGACGAGGGAGAGGGCAGCTGCGAGGCCGAGGCCGGAGATGCTGATTAGTGAGTGGGAGAACAGTGACAATGACAATGACAATAGAATGAAGAGAATAAGTACCCTCCAGAGATGATGAAGGTGCGGTTGTTGATAAACATCAGAGGCAGATAGAGTCAGGACATGGCGAGGTGGTGAAGTGGAGGTGAAGTAGAGGAGGGGACCGCGCATAGCCGAGGTCAAAGCAGTTAAGAGAATTAAATTGAATATTGCTAATAAACACCACCACGTGACTAGAGTATTCACGTGACCACTTAATTACTGATTAATGATGATTAAATTGGAATAATCGATTATTCAGAATAAAACTTGGCTTCGAATCCCGAGTTCCGGGCATAAATTGGCTGTTAACTCAGCTTTACTCAGCTTTATTCAATATTATTCATCTTATATCACTGTTCTGCTTATTTGATATAGCACAATTGCTTTGGTATTCTCTTTTACTCACTATCTCCTGCTCTCCGCTATGTTTACTGCTTCCCGAAGACCTCTGACGTCACTCGTCCGCTGCTTCCGACCGGGGATGCTTAAATACCGCCTCTCCTCCACTTCTTCCTCTTCCTCTTCCTCTTCCTCTATATCTCCTTCTTCTTCTTCTACACCTACTTCTACTCCTTCTACTTCTTCTACTCCTTCGTCAACAACAATGGCCTCCACCTACGCTACAGACCTCTCCCCCCTCCCCGTCCCTACCCCCAAAACCGTCTCGACCCCGATCCTGGACCTCTTCTCCCTCAAAGGAAAGGTCGCCTCCATCACCGGCTCCTCCTCCGGCATCGGCCTCGAGGTCGCCCGTGGCTTTGCCTCCGCCGGTGCGGACATCGCCATCTGGTACCATGGAAACCCCTCCGCCATCGAAAAGGCAAAGAAGATCGAAGCCGACTTTGGCGTCCGTTGCAAGGCCTACAAGTGTGCCATCGACAACTCCAAGGAGGTGTGTCCATTCTATCTTTATCATCTACATTACTCTCTCTAATAGTCGTCTAGGTCGAAGCAACCATCAAGCAGATCTACGAGGACTTTGGCGCCCTCGACATCCAGATCGCCAACGCCGGCATCCCCTGGACCCAGGGCCCCATGATCGACCCCGAGAACGACGACCACTGGCACAAGGTCGTCAACACCGACCTCAACGGCGCCTACTACACCGCAAAGTACACCGGCCAGATCTTCAAGAAGCAGGGCCACGGCTCCCTCGTCTTCACCGCCTCCATGTCCGGCCACATCGTCAACATCCCCCAGATGCAGGCCTGCTACAACGCCGCCAAGGCCGGCGTCCTCCACCTCTCGCGCTCGCTCGCCGTCGAGTGGTCCGGCTTTGCTCGCGTCAACACCGTCTCCCCCGGTTACATGATGACCGAGATCTCCGACTTTATCCCCCACGAGACCAAGGAGAAGTGGTGGAAGCTCATCCCCATGGGCCGCGAGGGCGATCCCCGCGAGCTCGTCGGTGCGTACCTGTATCTTGCCTCTGATGCCAGCACGTATACTTCTGGCGCCGACATCATCGTCGACGGTGCCTACTGCGCTCCTTAGATGTGTAGATCGAGTAGAGAGTAGCGGTGAAGGCAGCTTTGTTATGTACATTACTACCCACCTAGAGACCTACAAAAGCTCTGAGACTTATACAGAACCTCTATACATTACTGAACTGTTATACTTCAATATAATTATACACTACTGAATAAACTGCTATTACTTCATCATCCTAAGCACTAAAGTACTCTACTATCACAGGTTGATCACACGTGACTTCCACCGGGTAACTGAAAACTCGGTGAGAATCAAAACATCGTCGACCACATCAAACCACCAAAGACATTACTTCTCCAACTCCCACTTCACTTGAGCAATTTACAGAGAAAAGAGAAAGAAATGTCAAAGCGACGGCCCGACACTTATCTCACCAGTGAAGGAGAATTCCAGCATCCGGACGAGGAGGACGACGACCGTCATGGACCGCCTGACCCTGCGAAGATTGCTAGTCCGCAGGTGCTCGCGGGTAGAAAGTGTGTATTCTCTATATTTGTTCTGCTATTGTTATTCTATGTCTATTTGTTTGTTATATTGTAATTACTCTAACGCTTTCTTCAGAATAGCAATGCCCCGATCTCGCAAGGCTGCTGCTTCCTCCGCCGGCAGCCCATTCGCTCGACCTCCTCCTCCTCCATCCAACCCTTTCTCCAGCGTCGACTCACCGATCCGTGCATCTGCTCCTGCACCTGCGCCTGCTGCAGCTGACGCCTCCAAACCATTCAGCTTCCTGGCATCGCCTGCAAAGCCCGCGTTCTCGTTCGGAAACAACGACGCGAAACCTGCCACTCCCGCTCCCGCTCCTGCCTTCTCCTTCAACGGATCGGCCGCGACTCCAACCCCTGCTCCTGCAGCTCCCGCAGCTCCCGCAGCTACCCCCGCCGCGAAAGAAAAGAGCGCAAAAGAAAAGCCCGCAGACGGCCCGTTCAAGTCGACCGAATACGTCAAGTTCCTCAAGATCCGCGCGCTCAACGAATCCTTCAAGACCTCGGTCGTCTCCGCGATCGAGAAAGACCCGCTCGCAGATCTGACAAAGACCGTCTCGTCTTACAGCACATACTTTACCCGCATCCTCAAGGAAACCGAAGAGGCGGCAAAGCAGGAGGAAGAGTTTGCAAAGCTTAAAGACGAGGAGCCGGCGAAGGAGGAGGCGAAGGCTCCTGCTAATGGTGGGTTTGCTTGGGGGAATGCTGCGCCGTCGGGTCCGATCTCGTTTGGTGCTCCTTCGACTACGCCTGCTCCTGCTGCTGAGATTAAGGCTGCTGAGAACAAGCCTGCCTTTTCCTTTGGCAGCAGCGCTGCAGAGACTAGCAAGCCTGCTGCTCCTCCTGCGTTTAACTTTGGCGTCCCGAGCAAATCAGAGACTGCAGACAAGGCTGAAGAGAAGAACAAGACTGAAGATAAAAAGGCTGAAGCTCCTAAATTCTCGTTTGGTTCTCCAGCAAAGAGCCCCGCAAAGACCTCTGAACCGCCAAAGTTCTCGTTTGGATCGTCGGCTGCTCCGGCGCCGTTCTCGTTTGGTACTCCTGCCGCTGCCGAGAAGAAGGAGGAAGAGAAGAAGGAAGAGACAGCAGCAGAAGAAAACAACAGCACGCCCATATTCAAATTCGACAGCAGCAAACCAGCATCGACTATCGCGCCATCCCCATTCAAAGCCTCGTTCGGCACTCCTAGCAACAGCAGCAGCAAGGAGAAGACGCCGCCTCCGAAGGATTCAGAGCCGGCTGTGAGCGGGTCTCCGCTCAAGATCTCGAGTCTGGGCGCTGCGTCGGCGTCGAATGGATCGAGCACGTTCTCGTTGGGTTCGGGAAGTGCGTTTGGTGGGAATGCTAGTTCGTCGCCGTTCAAGTTTAACGTTCCGGCTGCGTCTACGCCTGCGCCTGCAGAAGCTGGTGAGAAGAAGGCAGAGGAGGAGAAGAAAGAGGAGGTGTCGACGCCGGCCAAACCCCCCGTCTTTTCGTTCATGCAGTCCAAGCCCGAAGGCACAGGTAGCAGCACACCAGTGTTTTCAGCTACGACGCCTAGCGCGTTTGCAAACAACACCTGGTCGCCAGAGAAAGGCATCAAGTTCGGCACCCCTTCTGCATCAGTTTCATCGTCTTCTGACGGCCCCGAGAAAAGCTCACCGACCAAGCCGGCGCAGTCGAGCACGCCTACCTTTGGTGGTTTTGGCGGGTTCGGCAGCGCGGCGGCAGGAAGCGCGGCGCCGGCGCCGAATCTTGGGTTTTCGTTGTTTTCGTCAAATAATGGTAAGAACACTAATAACGGCAGCAGCAACGGTGAGAAGGCGAGTTCGGGTGCTGCGCCGGCGTTCTCGTTTACGTCTAGTGCACCTGCTGCTCCTGCGTTTTCGTTTGGTGGAGCGCCTGCCGCGCCTGCCAAGGCCGCGGAGGCGAGTGCAGAGGGCGGGGATGAGGATGCAGCGGCTGCGGAGCCGCAGGTTGATTTGTCGCAGGAGAAAGGGGCGGGGGAGGAAGAAGAAGACATTGCGATGAGCGGGCGGACAAAAGTGTTTGAGTACAAGAAAGCCGCGGACATCAAGGCCGAGAACGGCAACAAGGCCGAGGCGAAGGATGGATACGTCGCGATCGGGCTGGGGACGTACAAATTGCTTCAGCACCAGACGACGAAGAAGTCGCGGATCATAGTACGCGCTGAAGGCAGCGGGCGGGTTATTCTGAACGTGCTGCTGCGGAAGGGGGTGGATTACACGACGACGGGGAATAACGTGCGGATTGTGGATTTCCTGCCGGATAATAAGGGGGTGTCGTATCTATTGCGGTTGAAGGAGGCGAGTAGTGCGGAGAAGTTGAAGGATTTGCTGAATGAGAAGAAGGTTGAGGGGACGTAAAACGAGGATGATGGTTGAGTTTATGTAAATGTATGTTTTCTGAGGAGGATGAAAAGTAGCGGTAGATTAGACATTGTTACATTATAACATTACATTATAACAACTACTATTTACATTGATATAAGTATTTGATATTGTTGATGGAAGTAGTAGTTGAAATCTGAGACAGTTAAACTTTCACCTCTCCCAGTCACACATCAGACCCCACCACCTCGCCGCCTGCATTCATCCTCGCTCTTTCTCTTTGCCTGCGATCTACTTGAGTCTTCACCGATACACATCTCTTGACTGCAAGAACAAGGCATGATGCCCGCGGATCGCAATTCGGATAGCAACGCGGCGGCCGAGGCGTTGATGGCGTTGATGACGGGCGAGGCGCCGGCGTCGGAGGTGAAGGAGGACGGAGGTGAGAAGAGTGAGGTTGTGAAGGAGGAGAAGAGTGAGCAATTGTTGGCTACAGCTGAGAAGACACAAGGTGATGCAGCAGCCAGCGAGAAGAAACAAGTCGATGCAGCATCGCAGTCGAAAACAGAGACGAAAGGAATCAAAAGAAGGATAAACGAGCACTCATCATCACCGTCGGCCTCATCCACAATCACCGCGCCCGGGAAACCAGCAAAGACACAAGACGAACCTCCCGCAGAGCCGAAATCGCCGCCGCGGTCGCCGCCGCGGAAATTGAAGCGGCCGTCTGCTGCAGCGAGGAGGCCGCCGCCTTCACAGCAGCGGGAGCAGCACCAGCAGCAGCGGGGGAATACAGGTAGTAGGAACGAGCAGGAAAGACGAGGGGAGCAGACTGGTTTCTCGAGGTCGAGGACGTACGAAGCAGCAGCAGCGCAGGAGATCCAGCGGCGGTCAGTTGACTCCGTCGTCCGGCAGCACTACAACGCGCGTCCGGACATGGGCGTGTCCGCGCGCCAGAGCTCGCCAATCATCAAACTCAAGTCGTTCAACAACTTTATCAAATCCGTGATCATCAAGCGGTTTGCGCGGCGCGACGACGTCGTGCTGGATATGGGATGCGGCAAGGGCGGCGATCTGCTCAAGTGGGATATCGCGGGGATCAGAGGGTATGTCGGGATCGATATCGCGGACGTGAGTGTTCGGCAGGCTGAGGATCGGTTTCGGAAGATGAGGAGGAAGAGGTTTTGGGCGGAGTTTATGGCGGGGGATGCCTTCAGCGTGTGTTTTCTTCCAGATTTATAGGAGATTGTGGAGGAGATATTCTAACAAGTTGATGTAGATGCCGCTGACGGCACATATCCCACGCGACATGTATCAGGCCGTGTTCCCAGTGGACGTGGTAACAATGCAATTCTGCATGCACTATGCGTTCGAAACCGAAGCCAAAGCGCGACAGATGCTCGAGAACGTGTCGCGTTCTCTGCGCCGAGGCGGCAAGTTCATCGGCACGATCCCGTCGTCGGACGCGATCGTCGAGCATATCCAAAAACTTCCGCCGGGGGAGAAGGAGTGGGGGAATTCGGTTTACCGGGTGAGGTTTTTTAATGATCCGCCTAGGGACGGGATGTTTAGGCCGCCGTTCGGGCATCGGTACTCGTTTTTTTTGGAGGACGCGGTGGAGGATGTTCCGGAATATGTTGTTCCGTTTGAGGTGTTTAGAGCGTATGTTTCTTTTTTCGTTGAGTTGTGCTTACTGAGAAGCTGTAGCTGACCTTTCTTTTGTGCATATAGTATGGCGGAAGACTATAAACTTGAACTGGTGTATAGAAAAGGATTCCACGAAGTATTCGAAGACGAGACGAGCGAGCACCCGGAGTTGTTCGATATAGCTAAACGCATGGACGTCGTCAAAAGCGACGGAACGTTTGGAATCGAAGGCGACCAGCGCGAAGCGGCAGGTGTGTATCTTTTTTTGTTTCTATGAGTGAAGGTAGATGAGCTGATGAGGTTTAGGATTTTACCTTGCGTTTGCGTTTGAGAAGTTGGCGGGTTGATGAGTAGATGCTCGGCTAGTTTGATGCATAAGATAAAAAAAGTGAAGATGGAGCGTGTATTGTAACTGTATCACTATTTTGAATATTTACGAATTATAAACATGATAGACACGATATAAAAGTAGATAAAAGTTATTCGATCCACAGAGTCAAACTCGTATGCCCTCGATCAAGATTCGTGATTTCCGGGACTATCTGTCTCGCGCTGAGCGCTGGACGCGTCTTGATGTGGATGTGAGGAGGGGTTCCGGAGTTGATGGTGAGAGTACAGCTGTTGGTGCTCTTAAGTTGACTTGTGAACCGCTCGGACCGAAATAACTGCAGTAGGTATATTGACAGAAACTGTGTTGAAATCATACTGCGTGCAAGAGATGATAGTCGACGCTGAGCTGCAAATTGATCTGGCTGTGGTCCACTCTATGCCAATAATTGACTTTGTCAGAGTCAGGCAGAATGCTGTAAAAGGCTGGGATACTCATAACCGCGGAGTATCAGCCAAAGGAGGTATTTGTCGTCCACCTGATCCACTCTGGCGATTTCGGATCTAAGCGTAAAAGGTGGGCGATGCACTGCAACTGCTACAGCTGCGAGGAGATTGCCATCGTGCTCTTGTTCCTGCTCCCCGGCGGTCGTCCGCGTCCTTTCGAGATGCCCTGGCTGGTGCTGCTACTGCTGCTGCCGTTCACCACCCGCGGAGTTGCGTTCACAATCGACGAGGAGGCGACTGATGCGCTGCTGGCTTGAGACGCAGCTGTTCCCGACGCGGGATCTGTCCGCACTCCGGCACCGCCACGGACACCGACATTCACACCCGCAGCGTTATCCGCATTCCCAGCACCTGCTCCACCCGACGCCGACGCCGACACCGCAGCAACAGCCGCCGCCGCCGCCGCCGCCGCGGCCGCGAGCGTTGTTTTGTTTTTCGAGCCCTTTGGTCTTCCGCTGCCGGGTTTCCGCGGCCGCGGCTCTGTTCCCGGCGGTTTCGCCTTGTTCTTCGAGCCCTTTGGTCTGCCGCTTCCTGGTTTGCGTTGCCGGACTTCCATGGTCGGAGGAGATCTGTGGGGGGTGGTTTGGGGAAGAGAGGAGGGCGGTGAGGTGGGCTGCTGGTCAGGGTTTTTTTGTCATCACAGGTGAGTTGGGGAAAACCCTACAGAAAGAGGTTGAAGAGCGGTGTTCTGTGTCTTTTGTATGTTGTCTGTGTTTATTCTTTATTATCAAAAGTCATTCATATTTCTTACAAGTTATTTCGTATTTTAAAAACAAAAAACAGTCTCAAATCAACCAGCAGCGCAAATAAGCCAAACCGGGTATTCAGAGTGCGACGCGTCGAGAAGCCACAACATTGCGCACTTCTGCAGCCGAGCTCGAGGCTTCCAGACTCAGAACAGCTGCGAGATTGCTGTTCTCCTATCGACGCACGCGCAGAGCTGCTTTAGAGACCTGTTTTTGAGCTGATTGAGTCTGGAGCTGTGGTGATTGAGCGCTGCTGAGTCTTGATCTTCTATTACTTTTGTGTTTGGAAAGAAGTGCAGTGGAATTGTCTGCGGGAGAGAGATTAGCACGCGTGTCTACTTCACCTCATCCATCTCATTCCATCACCACCAATGGCCCGATCCAAAACCGAAAGCAAAAAACTCTCAGCCGACGCGCATCTCGACCGCTGGCTGCGACTCAGTCCCGATCCCGACAAACGCCGCCGATCGTCGTCCCGGTTGCGCGGGAACGAACCGCATGACGAGACGACGACGGAGCCGCAGCGCATTAACAAGCTGGTGTTGAATGAGAAGAATGAGTTTGTTTTGAGGGCGTTTGACGATTTGGTTGTTGCGTCGGTCAAATTGAGGTCGGCGGCGGATGGCGAGAAGGTGCAGGCTCGGCGGGGGACAATGCAGCGGGTGCGCGTGTTGACTTATGATGAGGATAGCAAGAGTTACTCGTTGAAGATGATGGAGAAGGAGATCGTGCGCAGGATCACTCTAAACTCCGGTAATTACTATCTTTCCTGATTGTCTTTGATTGCTTGTGCAATTGTTATTAACGCGCTCGATCTACATAGCTGCAGACGCACTCACGATCAACGGCAACTCGACACCAGACGCACCGCCCGCCCACTCGTCGACCGTAACCACGACAATCCGCAAACCTCGCGCCAAAAAAACCCGGTCTTCAACTACTACAGCTCTCGACAAATCCTCATCGTCTACTCCTCCCACCATTGACTCAAACACCACTGGAACCTCACCTGCTCCCGACGAAGACGACCTCTATCTCTGGTCGCATGCCGGACAACTCTTTGACGAGGCTTCTACTCGTGTAAAGTCAGCACGAGGGATCACTCCATCTACTAGCACGGAGAAAACATCATATGACAGCGACGACGCGTTCGAAGAACCAATAGTCGTACCTGCCCCTCCGTCTCGAAGCCGACGGTCTGCGGCAGCAAGGGCTTCGATCAGCATTCAAAACTCATCAGCGTTCTACGTCAGCAGCAGCAGCGAGGCCGAGGATGAGGATACCGCGCACTCAGGTTCCAAACGGTCGAAAAAGCAAAAGTCATCATCTAAACCCAAGCGAGCGAGAAAGCACGAGGAGGAAGACTCGGATTTCGATGAGATCCAGCTCTCGGCGCTCGCGGATGACGACGACTATTTGCTTGATGAGCTGGTCGATAGTGATGAGGAGAGCGGGATTTTTGGGGAGGAGGACGAGTACGACTCTGATGTTGTAGCCGAAGTTTCCGCAAAGGCCGCAGCACGCAAGAGCAGAGCTTCGCTGTCCGGAAAACCGACGCCCAAAGCGGCAGAGTATACGAACGAGTTCCTCACGCGCAAGGGTCAGTCAGTCGAAGACTCTGAAGACCCTCCGATCAGCAGTATCTACGACATGTTCAAAGACCTCGTCTCGCGATACCCCGAGATCCACAAAATCACAGAGCAGCTCGCCGGTCGTAAACTCCGCGTTGCGACAATGTGCTCGGGCACAGAGTCGCCGCTGCTGGCGCTGCGGATGATTGCGCGGACGGCGAAGCAGAAGATGGGCCTCGATCTCGAGTTTGACCACGCGTTTTCGTGCGAGATTGAGCCGTTCAAGCAGGCTTATATTGAGCGGAATTTTAAACCGCCTGTGTTGTTTAGAGATGTTGTCGAGCTTGGAGAGGACGAAGCGTGAGTCACCTCCTATTACAGTCATGCTTCCGTCACTAAGACTTCAATCATGTAGAATGACCGCCTATGGATCGATGGTCACCGTCCCGGGCGACATCGATATCCTGATCGCCGGAACATCGTGCGTCGACTTCTCCACTCTCAACAATCTGAAAAAGACGCTCGAAGACCAAGGAGAGTCCGGCAGAACCTACCGAGGCATGTGTCGCTACGTCACCAAGCACAATCCCACGATCGTCGTCCTCGAGAACGTATGCGGCGCTCCTTGGACAGATATCGTTGGTCATTTCGAGGAAATGGGCTATGATGCCCAGAGCGTCAAGCTTGATTCGAAAGACTACTACATCCCCCACACCCGTAACCGCGTCTATCTCTGTGCGTTCAAAAAGGGACATAGCGGTCTTGCAAACGAATGGGCCAAGAAAGTACAGAGTCTGAAACGCCCCGCCTCAAGCTCGTTTGAAGCTTTCATGCTTCACAGCGACGACCCGCGCGTTCTGGCCGTCCGAACAAAGATGGCAAAAGAGAATATGGGTCCTACCCGAGGCCGCATTGACTGGGATCGCTGCGAACAACGCCATTCAAAGGCACGGTATAAAGAGCAGCTCGGCTTCAAGCGACCGTTCACGTCGTGGGACGAGAGCGGGTCTTGTCAGTTTGTTGATACGTGGTGGAAGGAGTTTGGAGCGAATCAGGTTAACCGGGTTCGCGATCTTATCGATATCACGTTCTTGAGAGCCGCGCAGGCTGACGTCGATCCTGCATTCAAAGCGTAAGAGTCGTCTTTTTTCCATCCCACCCTTTGATCTATCTATTTATTAACAAAGGTGCAAAGTGAGATTTGGAACCTTTCCCAGAACGTCGATCGAACTATTTCCGCCCGTATAACCGGCATAGCCGCCTGCATTACGCCCTCGACAATCGCCTTCATCACGAACCGCGGAGGACCAATGATCGGTCTTGAGGCACTCTCAATGCAAGGCCTTCCTATAGACGAACTCTACCTCACGCGCGAAACAGAGGACAACCTCTTCGATCTGGCGGGAAACGCAATGACGACAATAGTAGTCGGCACATGCATTCTCACCGCGCTCACGCTGGGCTCTAAACTTCTAGTCAAGGAATACGCGAATCCGCTGTCAAACAAGCGAATTGGCGATGACGACGACGAGAGGATCCCGCGCCCGATTTTCATCGGCCAGGATAGACTCGCGCGGTCGGCCATCGATTTTGCCGATTTCGAGGATCGCACGTTTGCTGAGCTTGTAGAACTTTGCAAAAAGTCCAGACGCATGTGCATCTGCGAAGGACGGCACGCGATATCCTCCAGTCCGATCCAAGTCTGCGAGAAGTGCGGGTTTTCTTCCTGCACTGCTTGTGGAGGCAAACCCGAGCATTTATATAAGATTGTCGACACTTCTGACCGTTTACCGCCAAGAGAGGTCGAGAAAATGATCAAAGACTCGCTTCCGATGCGTATCGTTGTCGATGGTATCGACGCAGACGGTTTGGATAGTCTCATCCCGGAAGGCGTGAAAGTCGATGATGCTCTGTGGACCGCGTATAAAACGAGCACAACCAAGGCTATCAGCTCTGAGCTCCGCTTTACCGACATTCGCCGACAAGACATTTGGATCGTCACTTTTTCCTCTCTTGCTGCAAAGGCCGAGCTCAGTCTCGGCCCGGATCCAGAATGGCTTCTATACGCCATCCCGGACAAGAACGAGCCTGCGAATAGTAAGATTAGGTCGATGCTGGAAAGCCCGATTGCACGAATGAAGCTCAATAACTGGAAAACCCAAGAGGATGATCAGTGGGAGTTGCATTTACCCGTCTTCACGTCATTCACCGTCGTTATCGACGGGAACGAGGTCGATGGCGAGCAGCGTACAGTTCCGGCATGGCAGGACCGTCTCGGTCTGCAGGGGAAGTATGCGGGCATGCAGCAGTATGAGAGTCTTCGAGTTGAAGCTGTGCCTGTTTCCAAGTACATGGAGGATATCTCTGGGGTGTACCATGCTCTCCCAAAATGCGGGACAGCAAAAGATCAGCTCTACAAGAGTGAGAGCGGGATCAGTCTGTTTTTCGATCCCTCGCGGTGCCGGAATCCTACCCTAGATCACGCCGTCTTTGCTCGCGATAATCGCCGGCTTGAATACCAGGAATCGAGGATTACTATTGCCAAGCTGAGTCCTGAGTGGCATCCGTACACCGATAACGATAACGTCAACGTTGAGGCGACCATGAGCGGCCTCTGGATTCCCGTCCCCGGCTCGACCATCGCTCCGCATCGTCCTCCAAAGGCTCCTGTTGTGATGCAGCCAAGCGATAAAGATAGCCTCGCGGTAGATCACGAAAACTGCGAGCACTCGACCACGCTGCTCTACGCTGAGATTCCTCGGGATGACGAGAGTGTGAAAGTCGCCGAGATTGACGAAGAGCTTTGGGAAAAGGCTGCGACGGGAGACTGGTTCGTGGTCGATAATATCCATGCCCGTGGCGTGTTCAAGGACTTGAGATGGATAACCGAGCGTGCGCGCAAGATGCCGATGATGCAAACATGGTCGGTAGTCGAGACCGCGGCCGAAAGCAAGCACTGCGACCGGTGTGCACCGCTCGTACCCACATTCCAGCTCGTCAGCGGACAAAAGGGAATAATAATCCAAGAAGATATCGGCCAGGCAAGCAAGTTTGAGTACGCGCTCAAACGCCGTCCGGAGCCGTTCACGACCGAGATCAAGATCGATGCGGATAACGCGATGATGAGGATCGGGCTCAACTGCGGCGCGCTCCTGCACCGCGGTGTCGCGCGGTTCCCGCCCTCGATGAACCCGACTTCGGCTCTGAAGCTCTCGTGGAGGATTGATACCGAGTTTGAGGCGTTGCAGGTTCTTCCGCAGTGCAAGTTTGTGCTGCAGTCGAATAGAGAGGATACGCCGTGCGCGCAGCCGCCTGTATGGAATCCGCGAAACAAGCTTCGGCCTGAGCAACTTCGGTCGTTGGCGTGGATGAATTATATGGAGACCGAGGCAGCAGGCACGTTCACTGAGGAGGAAATCGTGGAGTGCATTCTTGAGCCGATCGGATGGCGCGCAGAGGGAAAGGTCGAGAGAGAAGTGACTGTGCGCGGCGGCGTTTTGGCGGACGAGGTTGGGTATGGCAAGACTGCGATCTCGATTGGTTTGATTAGTTGCACCCAGGATGCTGCAGCTGCGGATGAGAGGGTGACGAGCCCTGAGAGGCGGGTTGTTGATGGCCAGATTCAGATCAAGGCGACCTTGATTCTGATTCCTGGACATCTAATTCAGCAATGGGTAGCAGAGTTTCAAAAGTTCACGTTTAATGAATTCGACATCATCCAGCTCAGTGGGCTAAACTCACTGAACAAGTACTCGATTGAGGATTTCATGAAGACCGACGTCATCGTTGCCGCGTCGTCAATATTCGATTCAGTCAACTATCACCTGAACCTAGCCTGCCTTGCGGGCGTGCCCTCGATCCCTGTTACCAAGAACGGCAGCCGCGAGTTTGCGTTCCGGTACGAGCGCGCGTTGGAGATTTTAAAGACACAAACTGAGATCTTGGTTAAAGACGGCGCGACTGCGATGCTGGATCACGCGCGCAAGTCGTTTGAAGAGACTTTGAAAGACGAGGTGACGTCGATTGAAAATTCAAAGAGACTGAAAGGAGCTAAGCTTCAGCAACGGAACTCAAAGAGTGGCTCCAAGAAAAAGGATCTGAACAAGGAACGTGCCCAGAGGTTAGTGCAGGATCCATTCTGTCTCAAGTCGCAAGCGACGAAGAGGGATTGGAAAAAGATGAAGGCTCCGTTGTTTGAGATGTTTAGGTTCAACCGGGTTATCATTGATGAGTACACGTATCTCGACGGTGCGGTTCTTGAGATGATTCAGCATATCTCAGCTGAGAAGAGGTGGATTTTGTCTGGAACTCCGCCGTTGTCGGATTTTTCTTCGGTTAAGAGCATTGCTTCGTTTTTGGGCATACATCTTGGTATTGATGACGATAACGAAGGAAACTCTGATACTATGAAGAAGCGCAAGCGAGATCAGACGGGTGAGTTTTATTTTGTCATTCTTGTTATGGTATGGCTTTGCCCACTAACATGACTGTGTATGATTTAGCGGTGGAAAGATTCCACTCGTATCGAGAGATGAGATCTCTGAACTGGCACGCGCACCGGAACCAAATCGCGCAGGCATTTCTCACAAAATACGCGCGGCAAAATACGGCTGATATCGATGAAATTTTAAAGACGGAGAAACTGAAGATGGTCAGTCTGACCATGGCCGAAGGCGCAATCTATCTCGAACTGAAGCATTTCCTCCAACTCCTAGACATGCGGATGAAGAAGCGCCAGAAAGGCGACTCTGATCGCGAGCAGAGGCTTAATCAGTCTCTCGGCGACTCTGCGACTGCTGAAGAAGCGCTGCTGAAGTGCGCGTCTCACTTCGATCTGAAGGTTTATCTTGGGGATGACTATCAGCAGCAGGAAAGCAAGAAAGATATCGGTGAGTGTGAGAGTATTGTGGTTATTCGAAAACGCCAGCTTGATGAGTGCAAGCGGGATTTGTATCGCGAGTGTGTGAAGGCAGAGGAGATGGTTTATGCGCTGATGAAGTTCCACCACCGGAGTCCGGATAAGTATATGACTTGGAAGCAGAGGCTTGGGTCGTTGGGGGACGCAACAGTCGCGATCAAGATCGAGAACATTGTCGAGGAAGCAAAGCGGGCAGCTGCGAAGAAGATGGAGCAGTACAAGCGTGGTTCGGCTGCAAGTGCGGACATTGAGCTTCCGGTGGACGAGCTTGAGTTTGTGCTCGATGAGCGCGTGCACCTGATTCATCGACTAGCCAAAGAGTATCTGCAGCGGAAGCGGGCATTGATGTATTTCGAAAACCTGTTGACCGTGATGGCGTCCGGTGATGTCGAAGTCACATGTCTGGGGTGCGACCGAAAGATCAAGGATCGCAGTCAGATCACTATAATCTCATCATGTGGACACATGGGATGTTCAGACTGCGTCTCGGCGGCGGCTATGAGGGAAGAGTGTTTTATAGGCGAGGGCTGTGCTTCGCTGACAAACAGAAACAATACAGTCATGGCGGACACTATTGGCGCCAAAGATCGCCTGGTGAGTTCAGAAAACCAGATCTTTGGCTCAAAGATGGAGGATCTCGCTGATTTGATCGAGTCTGAGATCCCAGCCGACGACAGGGTGTTGCTGTTTGTACAGTTCGAGGCTTTGATGGAGACTGCAAAGTTGTTGCTGGAGGATCGTGGGATCGACTTTATGGTGATTTCGGGATCGGCGCATAACCGAAGTAAGCAGCTCGAGCAGTTTCAGCAGGTGGAGAGCACGTGCAAAGTTTTGCTTTTGAACGTTGCCGATGAGAGCGCGAGTGGAGCGTAAGTACTCCTTGTACCACCAACATATCCTCGACTACGGAAGCTACTAAAATACTAACTATTGCAAACCAGAAACCTCACGGTCGCCAACCACATTATATTCCTGTCTCCGCTATTGAGCAACACTGTCGACTCCTACCGTGCGCGGGAGACCCAAGCGATTGGACGAGCGGTGCGGTATGGCCAGACTAAAGAGGTGAAGATCTGGAGGTTCTTCACGCGAGACACTATCGATACCGAGTTGTTTGAGAATATGACTGGCAGGAAAGTGCTCGAGGAGATAGTAGAGGGTATGGAGAGTGATCGAGATGTGTATTGCTAGAGCTGGTATGATATTTGAAATGTAGAGAAGAAATATACACAATTGATATATAGTCGCTTCTGTCTCTTTAAGGCAATAGTCAAAACAGGCAATAAAAGCATCACGTGATCTTAAGCGGGAAGCGGGCTAACCGGGTAACAGCAACCACCGCGATAAAATCACGACTCTTGAAACTTCGTAGAGGTTCACGACATCCGAGGGCAAAAGAGAGACGTAATAGGACACGGCACAAGGGATTGTTGACAGTGGACCGATATGGGATGCATAGTTGGTTAATGAAGTTTTTCAATTGTGTGTTTATTACGGTAGTCTTGAGTAAGTGCTTGTTGTATCTTGGTTTGCGCGGAGGAGGTCTTTATTTCAAAGACTGTGGGTTGTTCGTGTTTGGTAGGATGGCGGATTAACAAAGATCAGCATCTATAGAATGAAAAACTTACGAAGGATACCGCAGCAAAGAGCTGCCGTTTGGTATGGTGTGTGCGCAGCTTGGTCCAGGACTCTCTCCGGTCCTCTAGCGTCGACGAAGAGCAGTTCAGATTTCGCTTTGCGTAATGGCGCGGGTGTTCGGCAATTCAGCAATACCAATGGCTTATCAGCAAAGAAGAAACAACCGCCGAAACAAGCAGATATAGAGACCTCCCGTCCGACCCCGTTCTCTGACAAAATTCCAATCAAAGTGAAGCTAGCGTCGCAAGAGCCTGAAGCCAAAGCAGAGAAAGCAACTCCGCCCGCACGCAAATCGAAGCTGTATCGACCACCCCCGGCGGCAGTTGCCACGTCGGCGAAGTCATCTAACGCTTTACGCGCCACTTCGCGGACCGGCAACCGCGGTGCGTCGCTCAGCGAGCCCACGCGGGATCAGATGGTTGATGATTCTCTGATGGATAAGAGTAAGGATAAGAAGACTATCATCAACTACGATTATAGTGTGCGACCGTATTCGTACCTGTACTTTGCGAATGAGAATGATTATGAGGTGTTTAAGAAGTATCCTACGGTTACGAGCTCAAAGCTGGCTGCTTTGTCGGGTATGAAGGAAACCACGACCCGACCACGGAAATTGAGCATGCTCACTCGGGATTTCATCGATGGTATGTATTTGCTAAGTTTTGAAGGAGTTCACCGCTATACCTTCCGGTGTGATATGTATACTAACGACTCTCAGACTCGCTATACAATCCCGCCTACGGCTACTTCGCTCGACAGGCAACTATCTACTCTCCCGATAAACCCTTCGACTACGGTGACATCAAAAACACCGACGACTTTGTCAATCGATGGTCACGGACCTACAAAAAATACGACAACATGCTCACCTCAAACACCAAAATCAGGCCCGGCGAAGCGCGCCCGGCTCAGGACCCGGACAAGTCTCCGGAACTGCCGCAGCTGTGGCATACGCCTACTGAGCTGTTCCAGCCGTTTTATGGACAGGCTATTGCGCGTTATCTGCTGCTTAATTACTTGATTACGCTGTATCCATACAATGACCTTGTGATCTACGAAGTTGGAGGTGGTAACGGAACGCTGATGCTGAACATCCTCGACTATATCCGTGAGACGCACCCAGATGTCTACGAGCGAACGCGGTACAACATCATTGAAATTTCCGAAACCTTGGCGGCAAAACAGGCAGCGCGTGCGTTACAAGACAAGATTGATCGGCAAGGATTCTCGGATCACGTTCGGATTATCAACAAGTCGATTTTCGACTGGGATACCAAAGTCCCCGAGCCGTGCTTCTTCATCGCTCTTGAAGTCTTTGATAATTTCGCTCATGATTCAATCAGATACGACCACGAGACGAACAAGCCGCATCAGGGATATGTCGTCGTGGACGAGACCGGAGATTTCCAAGAGCATTTCTCACCCGAGCTTGATCCCTGGGCCGAGAAATTCCTCACTCTCAGAAAGGAGTTATTCCCCGATCTAGACTTGTCCAAATTAAAGGGCCATCCGCTGTCCAAGAGCAAATTCCGTCGTAAACTGCGGACGTGGTTGCATCCGCTCGCGCATGATCTCACGGTTCCTGAATTCATCCCCACGCGGTATCTGCAGTTTCTCGAGGTGTTGAAGACCAAGTTCCCAGAACATCGCCTTCTAGCTTCCGACTTCACCAGTCTCCCAAACTCAATCCCAGGCTACAACTCCCCCGTCGTGCAAGTCCTGCTCAACAAGAAGATGATCACGGTAGACACCTACATGGTCTTGCAGGGTTACTTTGATATTCTTTTCCCGACGGACTTTGAGCTGGCGGCGGCGTTGTATACGAAGATTGTGGGACGCGTGGCGACTGTCGAGACGCACAGTGCGTTTTTGGAGCAGTGGGCGGTGTTGGAAAAGACGATGACGAAGGATGGGGATAATCCGATGCTGGATTTTTATCAGAATGCAGCGTTTTTGTGTACATAGATAGAATGAATTGTAATATACGACTTGAAATGATCAACTGCGTTTGACTTTCAATCTCGCGGTTAATGTCAAAATATTCTGTTCCATTAGTGTAAACAAAATATAGTATAAGAAAAACTAGAATACAATCACGCAAAGATGAAAAAGAAGCACTGCACCATGGGACTTTAAACCACAAACAAATAAAATATACAAGAGAAAAAACCATACCCACCCGCGTAAATCTACGAGAACTTCCAGCGATTTCCGCAATTTTCGCACGTGCAAAAAGTAGTAAGCGGTTCGTCCGCACTTCTCGTCTGCATCTGATAGTACGACACTTTTTTCTGCTTGCACTTCCCGCACGTGAAGCGGTCCGTGATTGCGCGCTCTTCCTTTGCGCCCTGCGCGTTGAACAGGTTTTTCTGTTCCAGTCTCTTGATTTCGTTTTTCAGTTCCTCCGAGGCCATTTCCTGCGGAGACATGCGGTATAGTCTTTCGGCGCTGATTTCGCCGGACACGACGCGCGCGCGCAGGGAGGGGTTTTTCGAGTCTTTGAGGTTGAGGAAGAGGGAGCGCATTTTGGAGCGGTAGGTGGGTGTTGTGCCTTTTTCGTTTGTGAACACGACTTGTTCGATCTGCTTTGAGCACGCGAGAATCACGTCGGAGTCTGCATAGAATTTAGTATACGTACAACAGATGGGAATAAGAGGAGATACACTTACGGGCATCAGAGTCACTGGCAAGAGCATTGTATGTCACCGTCACACAACTATTCCGCACCTTATCAGGATAAATCTCCGTCGACACCGAATCAGTCTTGACATCTCTAAGCTGTCCATTAGGCAATCTCTGAACCTTTGGCCGCGACGGCACCGCTTCCGGCGCAGCCGTGGCCGCGGCGGTCGAATCTGGCGACGCGGAAGTCGTGGGCGCGCGCGTTGATCCTACAGACGAAGAAGGCTGTGCACTGCCAGCGTGCTTGGGCGCCTTTTGCGCTGTGACTTCGTCTTTCCATTTCTTGATTATTGACTTTACCAGCTCTGAGACTTTTTTGTCGGGATGGGAGCGTAGTTTGTTGACTGCGATACCGAGTTTGGTTTCCTACAAACCATCAGTCAAGTTAGCTCAAGAGTTCAACCCAGCAGCTTCAAGCAATCGCGAGAAGGATACACACCCGCAGCAACTTCTCTGTCGGCTTCACTCCAGCTTTCAATTGTCCCAAGATATCAATAATCGTAGCCGGCGAAGCTGCCTTCTCAAGGCCGCCCATCAGCGCCTTAATCTCTTTCACGTCTATACTCATGCCGCAAGTTGTATGTCTTCTTTTTCACCCCGCAAAATGCTGCTCGGTGATTTATGTCAAGTAAATGGAATAGCTGGGAGCTGACGCTCGATGTCGATTGGTGTACCGAATAGGCGCGGGGAAACGGAGCAAGAGAATTCAATGAGCAACAAATGCGTCAAGCAGCCTTGTACAGTACTTAAACAAGAGCTCTGGCTGATATAAGAACAATCAGAATATATCTCGATGCTGCTCGCTCAATGGACGCGACTGTCGACTTTTATGTGGACGCGGAGAGAAAGTCTGAGAGTTTGCCGGATGATTGGTTTCGCGATGAGCAGCAAAGTTACGTTACGTCATTTATTAGCTAATTTTAGGTGGATGATTTGTATGGATTTTCAACTGCGAACCACTGGCTACAATATTCTTCATTCTTGGAAATAGCAAATTAAACAGTAGATATAGCAAATAAACAGTGGAAATAGCAAACAAACAGTGGAAATAGCAAATAAACAGACTCTGTGAGTATCATATCGAACAACTCACTGGAACTCCCCAACACTCAAGCCAAACGTGCCCGACTCCGGCATATCGTACAGAGTCGTCGTCGATACCGCGTCGATACCGGCAGTCGACACCGTAGTCCCCCACCATTTCACCGACGTGCCTGTGTAGCTGATAGCGCCAAAGATGATGATGGCTGAGAACGCTGTACCGGCTGTGAGACCGGAGGTGAGGACGTAGACGTACTTTGTCCACCAGTTTAGGTATCTGCGACGCACAAAGTACATGAAGTAGAGCGCGAACCAGAAGCCCATGGTGTAGTAGGAGAGGTTGTAGGACTGGCCGTAGACATACACGCCCGAGAGGACGACCACCGGATGGATTGATCTAAACACACGCGGGAAGTAGCGCTGCAAGGGGTAGTACACAAGACCAATCACAACGCCGGCAAGGAAGCAGTACTTGAGTCCAGGGTACATCGCAAACACTCTGTCAGGGCCCACGAGTCCGTAGAACAAACTGGTGTTGTAGATACTGTTTGGATACGCACACACAAACTTATCAGGCTGATCAGAATAGCAGATGCGGTTAAGGCCAAGGACAACATGGATTCCACCAATCGTTACGAGACAGTTGACTGCGGTCGCGATAACTTGTCCTCTAAAGACCGCTCGCGGCGGAAGCTTGGCGTAGTGCGCAAGTTTCAGGTCCGAGACAAAAGATTCCGCCTGCTCGTCAATATTCCAGCCATATAGTCGACCGATGATATTTCCGATTCCCGATCCAGGAACGAAGTAACCACCGAGCAAGACCATGAGATCGTTGAACGCGACCTGGTATCCCGTAACCGAGTAAATAACAGTCGAAGGGATCAGCAGCAAGATCGAAATTCCAAAAACGGCAAACAAGACCCACACAGGTGCGACGACTGGGTAGACTTCAAAGAGGATGATTCCAAAGACTAGCGAGACTAGTAAAATGACGAGGAACCACCAGTCCGGCACCTCTTCGTACTCGCGGATCATGAGCGACAGAGGATCATTGAAATCCTCAAAACTCGACGTTTTGCCTAGCTTATTGACCCGCCAGTTCTTAAGCGACTTGACGAATCCCTTCAGCGAGTTATACAAAAGTCTGTGGTCTGACAGCAAGATCGAGGTGAAACTCAGAGTGACCATGCAGTAGGAAGAACCCTCGCGAAGCAGATTTCCGGCGGTGAAGTACGGCGCAGAGTACGCGCGATAAGCCTTCTCGTCCAGACGGCTGTTCGCGTCTGTGATCCGTGTCATGTTGTACTTCAAGCCGTTGTTTGCGTAAACGGTCGAGGTATTCATCGGCATGTATCCAGTCCACTTGTAGTTCTTCCACACCATACCAATGATCAGAAAAGCACCAAACAAAACACCAGCAAATTGATTCGCGCTGGAGAAAAACGGCTTTGTGAGAGGACCGGAGTAATTGATCACAGTCCAGTCGAAAGTCGGAATGGGGTTGAAGCCCATGCCGGTTTTGGATCCCGTGATGAGCGCCAGGATTTTGTTATCAGGAGCGATCCAGGTCATCCAGTTGAAGGTCGACAAAGCGGTGAACAGAAAATCCGGCAGCCAAAAGTACACAAAACTAGCCGCCAAGACGTACCAGAAGAAGCGGTATCGAGAGATCGTCCAGCCATGAATACTATGCTTCTCTTCTGGTTGGAGAAGAACTCTGTTCAGAGTAAGAGTAGGCAACATCGTCGGCCAGACAGCTTTCTTCTCATAAATGACCTGGAAGAGTACAGCGAGTTAGCGCCTTCTCGTAATTATTTGAAAGCCAAAAGTAAGAACTAACCCAGCGTCTCAAAATACCAGCAACTCCAAAACCAAAGAACTGAGTCGACACATTCGCGACAAACATAAACCCGAAATTCACCCACGTCTGCGCAAAGAACTGCGGCAGCTTATACACAAGCGTATGATTCTCGACGTTTGCAAAGTTTGCGCCGGCGTTGATCATGATTGTCGCAAACATCTGCTCTTTGTAAGACCATGGTCCTGGGTTTAGAGCGAATTTGCGGCCACGGAAGTAGTACGTCTTATCAGGCAGTATGCGCTCGAGGAGCTTACCGCCCGGGTAGACGAGGATCTGGAAGACGGCGGACTTGATGGAAAGAGAGGGTTGGCGAGTGAGAAAGACTTCGTTGATGAAGGACCCGACGACAACCCAAAATAGGCCGAGGAAGTACGCGCGAGGAGTCTCGACGGCTAGAGATTTGTCGTCAGTCGGGTCGGTGACAGCACGTACTTCTGGATAAGGAGAATTGAATCGATTGAGCGTAGCCTCAAGGCGAAGATCCATCTCATAAATCTCCTGACCCTGACCGTACGCCATTGCTCCTTCAAGCAACCGACTGATTTTCTCGCGCGTGTCAATCGGATAGTTGTAGTCGTCACGATGATAATCCGCGGCAGTACGCAGTTCCTCGACACATTCGTCAAGCGAGAGGATATGTAGCTTTGACAACAAGAACTCAAGCTGCGTCGTGCTGGCTCCAATATCCTCAAGCTCCTTGGACTCCATGATTCGGCTGGTGAAGCGCTCGCGCTCCAAGTCGCTGAGCGAGGGCTGCTCGGATGGCGAGGACGTCGAGACGTAGACATCGTTCTTCTCGTTCGTGTACGAGGTGAACTCGGCGGTGATCTCTCGCTCCGAGGAGATGACGGCATCCTTCTTTTCAGTGAAGCTATCCATTGGCGATGGAGTACAGTGACGATCACGACTAAAGTATAGCTAGAGAAGATCAAGTACCAAGACACTCTTGGGGTTCACTGTGGGGCGTGGAGTGCATTGTGGAGGCGAGAGGCACAATATATATATCCTGACACTACCACCAGGCCTAGACAATGAGAGGACCCCAAAGATAAGCCATCCGATAGCGACAGTGTATAGTGCCGGAGAAAAAAGAAATAATATGACGGGTGCCAGATAACAGGGTTTAGATCAGCGGGAACAGGAGGTGCGCACGCGCAACGGCGGGACGGGAGTGCCGCAGGGGTAATACAGGCGATAAGATAGACCAAAAATTCAAGGCGCTGATTAAAAACTGGTCCGAGCAGGTGGGGTTGCGGAGGAGGAGACTGCGGAGCTGACAGGGTCGTGCACGCGCAGACAAGAGTATCAACACACCTATAACGATAATGACTGAACAGAACAGAACATGGTAGTATCAAATCCACCAAAGCATTCCGGCCTACCGCACTTGTCAGATCTGGCTGACACTGGTCCAAGACGCCAGAATAGTCACAGACGCGACGGAGTTAGCGGTGCGGCCTGCGGTGCAAACTGTCTCGAATGCCAGTCAACTGCCGGGAAGTCGTCAGCCAATCGGTGACTGGCATTAAAGTGGTACTCCTTCAAACCAAGATACTGATTGAAAGCACTCAAGAGGTGGACGAGCTGCATTTGTTGATGTTGGTGGTCACTGAGAGGATAAGTGTGGAGAAGCAGCAGTGAGCTCAGATGCACACAGTAAACTCAGTCAGCGATGGGCATCGGCACCGAGTTTTCTCACCCAGTTCAATACTCTTCCCTGTGAATTTTCATGCTGTAAGAAATTACAAGAACAACAAGCAACCTGTATTATAGATTTCCTGCCAACCGCAAACATCGTTAGTATCGTTCGACTGATATTGGTGAGTGGCAGGACTTTTGAAGAAATCAGAGCCTGTGGCAAGTTCCGACTGAGCTCTGAGTTTTAATCTCGTAGTTCACCGCTCCTCCGCATTTTCCTGCCTTTGCACTTCCTCAGGTATTCAAAGGTAGATTTATAGACCAACAGTGCTTAATGGCTGGAATCGGGAAGAAGAAGAACTCTTGAATTTACTGTTATGTTTTGACTATCACAATATATTCAAATATCACATTTTCTTCTGTCATCTGACTGGCAGTCACTAAGCCCCCAAATTATTCCCACGTCTGACATTCTATTTCTGTTTGAATAATGCTATACCACAGTCTACATCTGCATCTCAATCGTCCTTTTTTAATCCAGCTCCATGCCCCGCGCCCAGAGCAACGACAAGAACGATAACAATACCTGCAATAACACAACTAAACGCAAACACCGACAATCCACAGATTCGTCGTTTGGAGTTGGGGAAATTAGTTTTCTTTGTGATAGTTTTCTTTGAAACAAAACAAATGGACCCCAACCCCGTCGCTGGATCTTGAACGAGGAGGCTTTTGTTGACTCTACCGTCGATGGCGGTTTGCTGGGTCGGACTGCACTATAGAGAACTTCGTCGCTTGAAGCTCCTTTCTCCAGATCTGTGTCGAAGCTGGTGCTGGTCATAGGCTTGGCGAGCATGGGAGCTTTAGCGTCCATGTCGGTGTCAAAGCCGGAGTCAGGGATGGGTTTATTTGGCATTGGAGCGTCAGCGGCAAATTCTTTCTCGAGCATAGGCAGGTCCATTGGTGCGAACGGCACGTCGCGCATGGGAAGATTATCGGTCGTGAAGTCGCTGACCAGCTGAGGAGTTTCCGGGGATTCGTGGTGAGTAGGAATACTACCGCTGCTGAGGCTTTGCTTATGCCTCACAGGAAGACTTCGATCGCTCATGTCTTTCTTGAACATGGAAGTGTGGATACCATCACTTTGTCTCTGCTTCTGTCGCATAGGAAGATTTGCATCACTCAGGTCCTTCTTCAGCAAGGGAAAGTTGCTGCTGTCACTGCCGCCTTGCATATGTCTCATGGGGAGACTTTGCTCACCCAAACTTTTCTCAAGCATAGGACGGTCACTTCCATCACTTTGGCAAAGCTTATGTCGCATCGGAAGACTCTGCTCTCCCAGATCCCTCTCGAGCATGGGAAGCATGTCTGGAGAGTGCTGGGTGTCTCTCATTGGGAGGTCGCCGGTGGCGGTATGCTCGCCCATCAGAGGGGAGTCGGTGGTAGTGCTTGCGACGTCGTTGGAGTTGGTTGAGTATAGAGACTGAGAGCTGTTAGCTGACACTGCGCAGCAGCACGCATTATCACAAGCAGAGTAACCTACCATTCTGCACTGTGTATGAACAAGTTTGCCAAAAAAAAAGGAAAAGGAATAATCAGCCCAGAAGAGATATAAATATGCGCGGGTCGAGATCAAGTATCAACCCATCGCGAGCTCTACCGCCTAGGGCCCTCACTTATAAAAGGACAAATAGCTGCGCCAGCTGTGATCTAGTGTCGCAGTAGACTAAAATAGTCTCGTACGAGAGGTATTCAGGAAAACGTAAATACATGTGGTTTTGCGGGTTTGAAGACATACGCAGAGTTGGAGGGGACGTAAGCAGTTGAAGATGAAAGCACAACGTGCTGCGTATGCTGGACACAGCCTCTTCGAGATCACTGTCTCTGCATGTGTCTGGAATACTTGACTCACTTAGATAATATCCATCTACTAAATGAAGTAGACTCGCAATTCAATAAACCTATTGCTTTTCAAATCGAATGCATCTGGACCAGCGAAATCTACTGTCCTATCCAGCTAAATCTTCCGATTGATTCTAGGCCTCGATTTCGACTTTGATCGTTTATATGTTTCTTCTGAATTTTCTATATCTTCTGTATGATTTCCATTACTTAAAAGTTACAATCTGTTCCCTAATAACGCCATATTTACGTTGTCCCTGGTACTCCTCCCTTTATACAAATGATGATGACGATGATGATACATCTACCTCCATACAAATCTTTGGGGGCAGTGACTGTCAAGAGTGATTAGGTCTTATCTCCAAGACTCAAAATCTGACGAGCAGCTGCATCCAAAACCAAGCGCTTTTCTGCCATCTGCGTCAACAACTTAGAGGACGAGAGCCAAAGCAGCGCCAACAACACCGACGGTCAAAGCGGCACTGGCCTTGAGCATGCCAGCACCACCGGTGTAAGTAGCGATAGGAACAGAAGTGGAGGTCGCGTTGGTGGTCGAGTTGGAGTATGTGGCGCTGGAGTTCTTGGCGGATTGTCCGACAAGGACGTACTCGATTGTAAAGGAAATGCAATCTGAAGGAGCGTCGCTGCTGTAGAACATGGCCTGGTAGGCCGAGGTAGAGTAGGAGTAGGGATCGCCCGTGTTCTTGCAAGCGTAGAAGCCAGAGGACGATCCGTTGACGACGAGGATGTTGCCATGGACAATGTCGAAGTTGGTGTACCCATCCAGAACAGAGACGGTGAGGAGTTCATCACCAACCTGGAGCAGAGAGCAAGCGAGTGTTTCATGTTATTGTTTGAGATTGAGATATCTGTGAGGATAGAGAAAGGAAAACAACGGCAGGAGACAGCATTTTTATAATCAGAGGTTCTGTGCTAATTCTAGACTTCATCTTGATCCCGAGCTTCATCGAGAGCACGAGGTGTCTTTCGAGGCGTGGGATTGTTTACAACTAACCCTGAACGGCAATAGGCAGTCTGCTGCGCCCAAAGAGTGCGGCTAAGTCTCACCGCGCCCCAGTCGCGTCATTGATCCAGCCGCGTTCGCGTCCTATTCTTAGTCTCTAGTGTCTATAATGCATCAGCAGCCTCTGCAGCTTATTTTTAGATGATGTTTGAATAATCAAGCTCCGTCTGAGCCTGAAGAGTTGCACTTAGCTAAGCTCTTCGCTTAGTGTCTTGTGTGGCAAGCCTTAACGAATAGTCCAGGGATACCTATAGGGTTTAACTTGTCCCGCCTTCTCCAGACTTTGCAGAGCTTGCGTAGGATGTCGACTCACTACCTACCCAGACGTAATCTTTCCCGCTATAAGCCACGACGTGTATTACCGTACATTGACTGGAAAAGTTGGGTTATCTCGGAAAGAAGGCAAACTGGCTACGACTTTGTAGGGTTTGAGAACGTGGAGAGCAGGATCCAGCGGGGAAACCGCTACGAACTATACTAGCTCGATATATTACTGAGAATTCTGCTTGTAGGCTCTATTTGAACTAAGATTTCATTAAGGTCATCACATTAGTTGAGCGGGTTTAAAGCTCCGTATAGTCTTGAACCATGCTATCAGGATACGCAGTGTGGCGAAGTAGCGTCGTCGCGCGCCGAAGCGTTGTCGTTGGATGACATAATGAGGGGATAAGCGATGGATAAGTGGAAGGTAAGTGGGAGTTGTAGTGGAAGCGCAAGTGATTAGGAAGATAGTAGATGATCTTCATTATCAGGAAGACTGGGTAAGCCAGGCTTCCTTAAATATTACTCTACAAGATGCCTCATTCTATCCTCTCGCCGGAAGAGATTAGTCTCCACGTTAGCAGGACGAGGAGGCTGGCTCTCGAGGAGTAAGAATGTTAGTAAATGAGTGTGGTTTGTTGACAAGAAGAAACCGTGCGGAGGATGAGGGGAAACCTCCCTGCTCATGCCTTAGCGTCCTGCGAAGTACTCTTCATGCGGGAGGGTGTAGGCGTGACCTTGTGAAGTGAGGCAGAGGTAATCTCCCGTGGATGGAATGCTGGTTAGGCGTTCTGAGGTGAGGTAAGATGGCTGGGCTCTTGCAGGGATAGATGTAGTAGACGGACAAGCATCGTGAGGTGAGGCAGGATGACAGGTCTCTGACACGGATGAGGGTTTGGAGGAGGCCGGGCAGTTCTGCCTCGCAACCTCATGACACGCAGGATCTGTGAATCCACAGGATCCATCGTCCAAATCGCTGTAGATATCAGCGACGTAGAAGTACGTGTTTTGGAATGAAGGTTGGCTCTACATATGTACACTGTTAGTCTGATAGCGCAGTGTGATATCAAATGAAGAAAGTACCTCGAGATATATCGTAGCATTTGCTGTGTCGGACGCAGCAGTAAAGGAACCGTAGACCGTTACAACCGTGTCGCTCCATCCATAGTCATAAATATCAGTCTGGTAAAACGAATCTTGGTATATCGTTGCGGGGTCGTCAGAGGACGAGTTCGTCATATTTACCGTAACTCTTATGCCGATAATTTCCCATATAGCTTTTGGTGGGATTGAAGCCTCTAGGATCACACAACGATCATGGCATTGAGTTTTGAATTCTAGATTCTCTAATTCTTGGATCTGTCTGCCTTTCTGTGCGTTTGCAAGACTCGGTCGTCGATAATGACAGATCCGGTGCGGTTTATGTGTTTTGTATTAAGCTGATGAAGCACGAAGAGTTACAGCTGTGACCTGACAGTCCACGTCAGCCCAGCTGCACGATTCTCACCAGCCTTCAACTAGAGCATACGGAGAGGAATTTTTTGGTAGACCAGACCAGCGGACGCTTGAATACCGGAAAGATATGATCTATGATAGGTTTGCAAAAAAGTATTCTAATTAAAGAACTATGTTGGTAGCAGCAATAACAGGGCCAGAAGAGAGATCTGGTGGGCTGCTAAAACTTGAGTTTAAGCACTTCATCTAAACATGAATAAACAAGTATACTCCAAAGTCAGAATAAACTATTGTTATAACTATATGCTCTCTCTGAAGTTGTTGCTCACATAGGTGGCCTGCTGATATGTATGGCGTACGGCGGAGCGTAGACGTATTACGCTCGCACTAAAGTCGTACGTCGTGACAGGATCTCGCTACGAGGAATCGACATTCTCGATACCGGATTATATCAAGCTGTTCAGCTCTTCCGAGCTTTTCGTTTTTTTGATCTGGTTCTGTTACCTTGCTGATAGGTGTATGTTACCGCTGCTGCTTGATTGTTTCCTTCGGATTCCGCTAGCGTTTTGATGCCGCACAATAGGAAGCATCCCATGCAAGTCATAAATATCCAACAGCCGCACATACAGCAGACAGACAAAATATTTCCACGCAGAATTAATGGACAGCATCCCGAACCAACGATATCCAGCACAAGAGCTCCTTGGCTTTCTGCTATTCTCGCTCGGCGGCTTGACTGCGGTCCCGATCGTGATGATGATGATGTTAAAACGTGATCATCGCTGCTTTACTCGGCGTTAGTTTTGGGTTTCTGTATGAAGATGAAATTCGACTGTCAGAGGCGATGTCGTCGCTGCAATTGCTCTGATATCTGCTGAAAGTGCCAGTATGGCCGACTTTCAAGTGAGCAGTGTTACCGGATCTGAATATATTTGCTTAATATACTAATAGTATACTTCCTCTGACAGACTTTCCAAGGGGTTGAAAATCGAATACTTTTTCATTCAGACTCAATTCTGGAATACAGTATCTAGAGTAGTAGATACCGACTGCTGTATTTACTTACAACTATGAACAGACGCCCTACAGTCATTGAGCCTCTGATTCGGGCAAGAACGTCCTTCGTTGTTTCAACCATTTCGACCAACAGCGCACTCGTTCGTTGTCAAGACTGAAAGGTCTCACCAAAAGACTTTAGCCAAAGAAGGTGATGAAAAAGTCAAACGCCGTCTCTGAGAAGGTAGCAATATCTCGCTGACAATTGTGGTGAAATCTGATGGTATCTTGACCGCTAACCCATACATCTGTTGACTCAGTCCGAGGACTATGACCACAGGTTATGAGCTGTTCATTACATAATCTCTTACACGATCCAGATCTAGTCCGGGAGCAGTCCCGAAGAGTCCCGAAGCGGCTGAGATTCAAACTCTAAAAGCTCGCAAGCTTTAAACGTTAAATCCTATTGTTTGAAGCTTATCAGTTGCGGGTGGGGATTATAGCGGAAGATATGAGAGGTGTTTCTGCAATGAATTACTATTGATAAAGAGTGTTTTGTTGTTGTTATGAAAGAACAGATGGCGGGATTATTTCAAGGAGAAATCAGGAATGTGGAGGGAGACAGGGACTGTTGACTTTAAACTTGCTCCAAAGAAGCTGAACAGCGCTCAGCCAATTTCCTTGTCTTCCCGCCTTCGTCTGAGCTTCTCGCCTTCTCCTCCTCTGCTGGTCTTCCTCTTCCTCTTCTTATCTTCCTCGACCTGCCTGGTGCCTTCTTCCTGCTAGTCCTTTCTCATCCTACGCAGTAATGGTATATCCTCCCTCTTCTTCTCCTATCTCCACCACCGCACTAACTCTCCCCGCAGTCCACGCCTCAGACTCAAGGCCCCGAGGCCGAGGAGTACGACTCACTCCCCATGGTCGACCACGCGGCCAACAACAGTCTCCCGATGGCCGACACCATGCGATCGGACGCCGAACCACCGATGGTAGCCAAGCCCGAGCCCGACTCCGACTCTGATCTCGAGAAACAGGCCCCCGCTCCGAGCGGAAAAGCCTTTGGCGCGGCGGCGACGACCACCCTCCCTCCGCCCGCCCCGCCTGCATCGTCCAACAAGAAACGGGTCTGTGGACTGTCGGTGTTTTGGTTCTGCTGCGTTGTTGCTGCGATCATCATCGTTCTCGCCGTCGCCCTCGGCGCTGGTCTCGGTGCCGGACTCAAGAAAGGCAATAACAACAACAAGTCCTCCGACTCCTCATCCGGGTCCTCCTCTTCTTCGTCCCTCCCTGTGTCGTCGACAACAACCATCTCTTCAACTACGTCTGCGATCTCTTCTTCTGCCTCTGCTTCTTCCACTGAAGCCAGCAGCTCGGCGGGCGTTGAATTAAAGGTCTACGTTCAGACAAGCACCGCGACCGTCCCCGTCGTCACTGCAACAGCAACCTCGATTGCCGACGCGTTCTGCATTCCAGACTCAAACATCATCCATCCTGCGCTTCCCAAGGTCAAAGTCACCGATGACGACGATAATGCGTACAATTGGCGCAGATACGTCGAAGATAGATATAACGAGACCAGGTTCTATGGCAGCACGTGGACTGATGGCTCTAGAGGCGGTTGCCAAATGACTGCTTACACCAACGAGCCTCTTGACGACGATAGCGTCAAAATTGGCATCTATTACAGACATGGTGAACTCGAGCTGGGTAAAGAGTACGGAGTCAGAATTACATTTCTCGCCGATATTCTCGAAGGCTACGATTCTTCCGCCGGTTACTTAGCCCTTGATGCTAGGGTCAGGCTCGGCAAGGTCAATTCTACCGATTCCAGCGATGTTCAAATTGTCTGGAAATATACTATTACCCAGCAGGAAATGATCAAGAAAGGTTACAGTACCTGGACAATCACGCTTTTGGACTCCTTCACCGTTCCTGATGAGCTCGATAACGATCTACCCAACAGTCTGGAGTTGTCTATCGAGGTATGTCTATACAGCGTATGTTGCATACTGAACGTCGTACTAATCTCCTTTCACAGATGACGCCCTTTGCGCAAAACTCATACATCTTCGACGCCAGTATCTTCGATGCCAATGATACGTCGTGCGAGAAGGCCGACCCCAACTTCCCCACTGTGCTCAACGTTGTTCTCGACCATTCCAAGAACACGATTCAGTCCAGCACCAACACCACTGACGACGGCACAATAGCCGATGCGTACTGCGTCACGAACGTGTCCTTGCTACCCGATCCAGAGTTCAGCTACGGCTATTGGGAGCCGATCCCTATCATGTACTCAAACTTGGAGAACAATGTCACAACCAAGCTTACCTTTGAGGGAATCAAATGGATCGACGGAAGCACTTTCGGCCTCTATCTCGAGCCGGCTAATTCGACTGTGTCGACTATCTCAGGTCTTGAGACCTACCTGCCGGTTATGTACTCATTCGCTGAGCTGGATTATGACACGTATTTCCGTGTGAGATATTCTTTCAAGGTTGTCCTGGCCGATGATGTCGATTTCACACTGGTGCGTTTACTTCCCTGATCTTCATGCGCCTCCATAGATACTAACTTGTTTTTCTTACTATCTACAGGACTCCACTGCGTTTCAAGTCAACATCAACACGACAACCGGAGGCTCCTCGGATTTCTATGACTACATGGACGTTTTATACGTCGACTCATACACACAGGCCGAGATCTACGAATACGGCTGGAACGATACCGTGGTCACGGTCGTTGGCGAGTTCCAAATTCCCGACTTTGATTTGTACAACGTGACCCTGTATGCCGTCTCGGTACGTCTCTCCTCTATTCTTTTCCCCTCAGCCGATTCCTTCTCATGATTCTAACATATTTGAAACAAACAGGGCCAGTTGTTGAACCAAGAAACCTACGCCTACACATTCGACATCTACTCACAACTCAACAATTCGCACTGCGGGTTCACGGACCCTGACTATCCTTCGACTTCGATAAAGAGCTTCTACACGTATGAAAACAAGTATAACTACTTTGAGGAGTTTTGATTGTATTTATCTTGCTTATTTTTTCCGTTTGATACTTTCTTTTGTTGTAATGTAATGTAGTATTTTTAATATCTCATATTATATCTCCTACTTTTCTGTCAAAGTAACCAGGCGGCAGTAGATCTTACAGCGCGCATCCACTTACCCCCTTGTAACGGCGCGCATTCATCCACATCTTCCTACAAAAGAGTAATTACTCAACCACAACAAGTTAAATCAGCTGAAACTATCTGGACCCAAGGGTGGTACCTCTCATAAGAGAGCTCGAAGATCTCGTGCATGCTAACCCCACGCGTCTATGCTCACACAATTCACTCAATATTCATGGAAAAATGCTCCTCAATAGTTAAACAGACAATTAAGACGCGTTTCAAAATCTTTTGTTGTAATTTGGCGAATCTGAAGGCCCAGTTCTTTCTGACGCGTCCTGCATCATGCTCTTCCGGTGAAACGTAAGCCATATCTCCACGTCTGCCAATCGATCCTCATCTTTCTAGGTTGCGAATACATCAAATAAAATAATCTACTTCTCTCTCGTTCAATTTTAAGCAATCCGCGCGGCAGTATCGTCAAACGTGCTGATTGTTTATACTGTCACGTAAGGTACTTTCACGATCAATTATATGCCTCAGCAGCGCTTCTACAGCTCCGTTTTTTTCCTTTTAAATAGCTTAATAGATAAGAGCTCTCAGCTTTCTTGTTCAGTGGATGCCATGGTTGGCTGGTGTGGGATGTTGTGGAGAAGGAGGAATGGTCGGATTATGTTTATGCTATATGTAGAAGCGCGTCGCTACCAGATGTGCGCCGCTACGAGGGCGTAGGCGTTACTGAGTCGTAAACGAAAGATCTTGTATGAATACATCTGATTTTAGGGACCCTTGGTTGATGGCAAGGGCATCTCTCCGCCTCGCATTGCGCTCGTCGAAATGCAGAGTATACGATTCTCTACAGCATGAAATCATTTTGAATGCTAAACAGAAGTCCTTTTGCAATGTTAAACTAACAGCAATGATCTGTCTTATTCTCATCTATTAACATGTAAACACCACCCTCACACCATAAAGTCGACTATAACTTCACAACACTCTTGAGGAACGGGAATAGATATAACCTAGCGCGACTCAAGGTTTCCGACGACTTCGGACTGTAGTCGCTTCTCGTCTCTGATCGAGGAGAGTGTTCCGATACCTAAAATTCACCAGTTAACACCACCCCGGAACCTTTGAAAAACTGCAAGAAAATGGCAACGTACTTCGCAAATCAGACACGATATCCCTGGTCTTGCCGAAATAAACCTCCTGCAGCTGGTTACGCATCTTTGACTCTGTGTCTTCCACCATCTTTCCGATATTGGCGACATGGCTCATTTCGTCGTCCACAGCTGCGTCTTGCTCCACCTGCGATGCCAGTTAGCAACCGGATGTACCGACGAAAGGAAAAAGAAAGAGAGGGTGGTGTACCTGACGAGTAAGATTTCCACCGAGACTGAAGACACCGAGGGAAGTCTTGCTGGTGTCGACGTTGAGGATGATGGTGCTCGTGAGCTTGTAGTGCGCAGCACGGCTTCCGCGCTCTTCGACCTCGAAGACGTGGATGGAGTCCCATTCGCCCGAGGAGGAGCCGGATGTGGGGGATGCTGTTTCTGTCAGTTGTTTGAACTGGATGAGCAAAGAGAAAAGAGATTTGAAATACCTTTCTTCAAGAGGACTACGCCGGCGAGACCGTCGTCCAACTCCCAAAGATAAACACTAGATAATCCACCCTCGTAGTACCTACACCACAGATCAGCAACAGTCCAACACCGCTCAATCAACAAAACCAACTCACAGATCCCGATAAATATCAAACGCATCATTCGCAACAACCTCCATCTTCCGGATCCGCTCGCTCGGCACAGCTCCGTCCGCCAAAGGCGGATCATACTCGTTACTCCACGGACTCCGGAAACTGTCGCCGTCGCGGTTATAGTCGCATGCCAGGTAATCCCTCCCGGTTGCTTTGCAGACCTTGACCTGCAGCGGCTGGTCGACGGACGAGAGAAGGTCTTCGGTCAGGTCCGGCACGAGCGAGCAGATGCTCGACAGGTTTGTCGCCGTGTTTTTGGGATTCAGACGGCGGAGGATGTCGAGCGAGGCGTCGAAGGGGTCAGCCTGTCCACGATGATTAGCACTGAATCAAACTATTTACAGAACCACAAATTGATTTACCATATTTCAATTCTTTGAATAATTGACAATCTGATGCTTGGATCTGGCTCGATCGTTGATTACCGTCGAACTTCAGGCGAGACGCGGCTCGAGGAGGCAGCCAGCCCAGCCGGGAAGTCACGTGGGATGAAGAAGCGTCAATGCGCCTGATTAGAGATGTTAAAGTAAAGAGATGCGTTTAATTAGACGATTAACTGTAGACACCAAAAAACAAACAAACGGTAGAGGAAAAGACAATTTGTTGGTCAATTGCCTGTGAATAACAAAAAGGATGGAGAAATGAAATGTCTAAACGGAAACATAGAATACTACTGCTACACACTTTCGTACACTCGACGTGATATCATATAAACGAACAAGAACGACAACAAAAACGTCAAACCAAAAAAAACAGAAGTGCAGAAAATACAGGCAAACACCAGGGTTCTGCTTTTTTATGCTCGATGCTTGAGAAAGACATGCTTGAGAAAGACAGAAAAAAGTACACGATTCAATGCGTGGTTTTAGATCCAAGTGCCTCGTCGCAGCTGCAGCAGGTTCTGCACACACTCGTATTCAGAGATGGCAGGGTCGGACTGCGTGGTCATCATCGCGACTGATGAGGCGACGGAGGGTAGAGTAGGGGTCGAGGTCTCGACGGCAGATGAGGTGGTGGTAGATGCGGTGGTGGTGGGGGCGGAAATAGCAGCGAGATTCTCTTTGCCATTAGACTCCTCTTTTATGCTCTTGTCGCCGTCTAGTTCGCCAAAGACGACCTTGGCCTTTCCGTCAACAGACATGGCTAACCGCAAATTTGAAGGCGGGGCAGCAGACTTGGAAGAAGCGACGGCAGATCGCAGCGGCGGCAGCTGCACTTTGTCAGCGGTGGAGGCGGCGAGGGCGTTGGGAATGGCAGGCTCGGTCGGCGTGGATGCAGAAGGTGTGGCGTGGGTGATGGCGGCCATGGACATGACGTTTGTGAATGAGGCGCTGGAAGGAGTGAGCACGCCCTTTGCCTGAGAAATGGGAGGCAGAGAGATCGGCATCGAGCGCGGGACGGCGGGGGAGGAGGAGGAGTCTGCTTGCGGGAAGGGGAGGTACGCTAGATGTGAGGCGGATGCGGATGAGGAGGGCGACTCTGGGCCGGGGGAGGAGGACGAAGGTTGAGAAGAGCGCGACTCGGAGAGCGAGGCGGGCGAGGAAGAGTCGGGGACGCTCGAGAGAGATGACGAGGCGGACGCGGGCGCGGGTCGCTGGTTCCTTGGCTTCTTTTGTTGTTGCAGCGCCCGACGGGAGGACTGTCGCCGATTCTGGAACCAGATCTGCAGCAGTAATTGTTAGAGGTTTGTGGTGTTGAAGAAACAAGCAAAGAGTAGAGGGCTCACCTGGACAGCCTTCTCGGTCATGCCAACACGCTCAGCAATGTCTTGCCGGACATGACGGGGCGGTTTGGCGCAGCGCTCAAACTCGGAGTAGAGGATCTGGAGCTCGTTGGGCGAGGTGCGTCTGCGCTTGCGACGGGCAAGAGGCGCGTTGTCGATTTCGGGCTCGCGATGGGGGTAGGTTGAGGGAGAATGGGAGATGAACGCGTAGGAGGCGATCATTGCTGCGAGGAGGAGATGATAAGGAAGGAGGAGGAGGACAACAAAGCGGGCGAAGTAGTGGAATGTAGACTACTTTTGGGAGGAGAAGAAGAGGAGGAGAAGGACGAGAGCACTTCTCGCGCAGAATACAACTAAACAGACGAGGTAAAGAGAAGAGAAGGACGGCCAAAGACGGGATAACTGAGGAGGAGGAGGAAGAGAAGAAGAGAAAGCAGACAAATTAAAAGCAGAGCCGGCGCAGGGATGCCGAATCAGGCATAGCGGTTGCCTGGAATGTCAGTGTTTTGGATACTAATACACGGGTGCAGTTAATATTAAAGTCACGGCGCGTTGATCCCCAGAACTGCACTGCTGCTAGCTAATTTAGACCTGCAAAGTATGCGTCAGAACGAGTTAAATTGGTAAACAAACATTTACCCGGCTGCTTGCCTGTTTCGGAAATCATCGTCCTTTCTTGTTGCGTTGTTCTTTGTAGCTGATCTGGAGTGTTTGTAAAGAAGAGTATTATGTGCTTCTTCGTATATCATCATCTACAGTCAACTTCTACAACTCTTCCGGCTTCTTCATCGTCATCTGGCACCCGCATCACACTCCATTCCAGCCACTGCATATCATCATACCAATATGTAGACAACATATAAACACATATATTTAGCAATATCGAAACATCAAACTTCAAACCCTTTTTATCTCTCATCTCTCATCTCTCATCTCCATCTCTAAGCCAAGCTCTTGATCTCGCTCACAATCTCATCGTACGCCTCCCGGTACTCGCTCTCCTTCCCGTCCTTCTTGAACCCGCCAGGAACAACCATAATACAACTCGTCGGCCGCTTCGTAGCTCCCGCACCCCCGAGATCCTCCTTGCTCGGCACAAACACGTACGGCACAGAGCTGTCCTCGCACAGAACCGGAATGTGCGAAATCACATCCGCAGGCGAGATATCGCCCGCCAGCACAACCAGGCCCTTGTCTCCCTTTCGCAGCGACTTGACGACTTCCTTGACTCCTCGTCGAATGTGCTTCTGCTTCGCAGCTAATCATAAATCCGTCGTTAGTATCTCTTCCATAACACTTGCAACTCCAACACATCAAAAAAACTCACCCTTCTTGACAGTCTTCATGACCTTCTTATTCAACTTCTTCGGCGCAAGCGGCTGCGCAAACGGCAGCAGCGCTGATAACCGCTGATCATACTTGTCGTCCTCATCTCCAGCACCAACCCCCGACGACTTTCTCTTCTTTGACTTGTTCTCCTCGCTCGCAACCGGCGCAGCTGCAGCAGGCGCAACCTCGTCGACCTCCATCGCACTCTCGCTCGTCAGCGACTTGCGCTTCTCCTTCTTCTCCTTCTTCTCCTTCTTATGACTGTGCTTTTCCTCGGCCATCTTTATTTATCTCGTTTCTTTCTTTTCTGTTCTTTGTCTTGTCGATCTACTGTCGCAAGCACAAATCAGAAAACTACCGTTATAAACCTCTCTGAAAGAAATTTTCAAACCTTTTTATTCTTTTTTTCCTTACAAACTTTATTCCCGTGCGGCTCAACTCCCAACGCCTTCCCAGACTACTAGATCTACTAGATGATGTCTTGAGTATCATATTAATCATTCAATGTATTCTACAGTTCATATAACCAACTCAGATATCTATACTACAACTACTCCTTCTTAAATATCATCTCCGCCACCAACTCCGCGTTCTTCTCCTCCTCCTCCCCTCCCTCCCCACCAGCACTAACGCTCGCGTCCAACGCAAGCTTCGTGTTCGCCAGCTGCAAAATAGCCTCCTCGATCGTGCCCTTGCTCACCAACCTCACAACCTGCACCTCCCGCGTCTGTCCGACCCGGTGCGCGCGGTCCTCCGCCTGCTTGTCGTCGTGCGGGTTGAAACTCATGTCGAAAATCACAACCACGTTCGCGCACGCGAGGTTGATTCCGAACCCACCGGCTTTCGTCGACAGTAAAAAGCAAGTGATGTCTTCTTCCGCGTAAAACTTGTCAATCAGGTCCTGCCGCACTTCCACAGATGTCTGGCCGTCAAGCCGAAGGAACGTCATCTCCAAACTAGACAACACCTCCTCCAGAATATCGAGCGTCTGAGTGAACTGCGAAAAGATCAGGATCCGGTCCCCCTTCGCCTTCATCGGCACAAGCAACTCCTGCAACTTCCGCACTTTGCCAGAATTCATCCACTCATCATCCTGCAGCCGGTACTTGTTTATGCTCTTGAACTTCAGACACAGCCTATGCAGCTCGAAATCAGACATCACCTCCATATCCTCGTAGATATACTCCAGATTCGCGTCGTAATACCGCTCCTCCTTCATAATCTCCTTCGCCATCTTCCGCAACGTCGCGCTATCGTAATATTTCCTAAACAGCAACGGATGCACCGCCGCCTTCCGCAGCCGCATCAGCACGTTACTGCTCGACCGATCCGCCTTCGTCAACACCTGCCCCGCCTCTCGCGCCTCAATCACCCGACGACTGGCCTCCACCTCGGACTCGTAAATCTCCTTCTGCTCCGCCGACAGCTCGCAGTACTCCACCACGTGGTTCTTCCGCGGCAAATGCTTCAGCACCTGGTCTTTCTTCCGCCGCAGCACAAACGGCGTCATCATCGTCTTTGCCCGCGAAATCCGCTGCGCCGAAAGCAGCGCCAGATTATTCGCGTCCGTCGAGTCCGTCGTCGTCTTGGCCTTGTGCTTGAAAATTCCAGCCAATTCCTCCTTGCGCTCCTTGAACAGATTCGGGAGAATAAACGCCAGCAGCGAAATCAGCTCCTGCAAGTTGTTTTGCAAAGGCGTGCCCGTCAACAGCAGCCTGAACTCGCTCTTCAACCGCATCAGCTTCTGGTACCGCTCAGACTCGCTGTTCTTCAACAAATGTCCTTCGTCGTAGATACACGTGCTGAATCTGAAACTCCGCAGGAAGCTGCAATCCAGCGCCGACCCTGTCGCAAGGTTATACGTCGTCACAATCACATCAAACTCCGTCTCCTTATCGCTCAACACCGCTCTCAGTTCACCGCGCTCCTTTTGCGTGCCGTAGTACGGCTCTACAACAAGCGTAGGGCTGAAGCGTTGGAACTCGCGGAGCCAGTTCTCGAGAGTCGATGACGGGACTACCACGAGATGCGGACCGTTCACGCCGATCTCCTTCAGGTGGGAGATGAACGCAATAACCTGGCACGTCTTCCCCAGACCTGCTTGTTGTTAGTAACATAAAATAAACAAGAAATCAGAACAGACATACCCATCTCATCGGCCAGAATACACGACAGCTTCTTATTATAAAGCAGCGATAACCAATTAATTCCAACCTGCTGATAACTCTTCAGCTGCACATCATCCGCAAGAATACTAGGCTGCTCTGAGAAGTATCCACCGCCAGGCTGCACTTTAGGCTTCGCCTCGTCGCCGTCCTCCTCGTCCACTATATCAACAATCTCAAGCTCACCGTTCGAGCCACGCACATCAACACCCCATTTCTTAATCGCCTTCGACACCGTCTCTCCGAGCTGCTCGCACTTGTGAATCAGCGAGTCGACCGCATCGTACCCCGAAAGTGTTTCCAGCGCCGTATCAACAGCCTTATCTCCCACCGTCCGCTTCGGTCGTCTCGATTTCTTCTTTGGCGGCGCATCGGGATCGACCGGCTCGATCAGGTCCACCACGCGAACCTGGTCGAGCGACGAGTACGGCCGCTCTTCCACGATCCGCTCGGCCACGTCTTCCGGACAGCACGCGACGTCGATAATCACTTTCGCGGACCCATTGTTGAATATCGAAAGCAACTTCTCCTCAACCGCAGACGTGTCGTCCACGTCCTGATTACCCTCTGCATCCGAATCGTCGTCAGAGTCCGCCAACGGCTCCTCATCCTCCTCATCGTCCGGAGTCAGCGCGCGTCGCGACGCAGAAGGTTTCTTCACCACTCGCGTCACCTCAAGCTCGTCCTCGTCAAGATCAACGTCAGAAGAAAGCTCAATCATCTTTGCCGCGCCAAACTTCTCCCGAATCGATCTCCGCGGCTTTGTGATATCCCGCTTCGACGTCGCGACAGGTGACAGCTCTATCGCTTTACTAGCACTGCTAGGCGACACAGTCATGATATCGGCCACGCCAAGCTCGTCTTGCTGCGCAAGCCACTCGGCCGCATCGTCAAAGTTATGCTTCAATCGCACGGCCGAGACCAGCGCAGAGCTAGCAAACGACGGAAACACTTCCTGCAGACGGACAATCGTTCGCCGTTCGTCGGCAGTCAGTTGCTCCGGCGTGTCGAGATCAATCGCAACCGGACGCGCAGGCGCTGGGCCTCGCTGCACGCCGTTGGCGGGAGCAGCAGCAGCGACTTTCTTGATCGCCTGGCCTTTCTTCACGCCATTGGAAGAAAGCGATGACGGCGGAGGCTGAGAAAGGCTGCTGGATGTGCTATCGGCTCTGAACTTTGCTGCCAGATTGCGCATCTTTGTTCGCGGTGAGACCTGCTCGTTATGCTGAGCTGCAGCAGACGAATTGTTGCTGGAGTGATTGTTCGCAGGCCCCGACGACGATCTGCTGAAGAGCATGGGAAACGGGCTGCTAACTGCACCATTCGGCTTTGGGCTGTCCGATCGAGAGTTGCTACCATTGACGATACTGCCATAGAACGACTCATTCGCAACCGGACGCGACCGCGGTCGCGCCAACGACGACGAGGCAGCAGCAGCCGACGACGACGACGGTGGCGCCGCGCGCGCAGAAGGACGCATGAGCTTATGCCCATTGCCGTTTAAAGACTGCGTGGTCGCGCCGATGCTGACCGAGGACGCGGACGAAGAGCGCGAGGTCGAGGTCGAGGTCGCGGGCGAGATGGCGGAGGATGACGATGGCGGCTGCGACGCGTCTGTCTTCCGGCGCTTGTTGAAGGGCTCGAGGTGATCCGACATACTGCTGTGCTCTGATCTCCAAAAGGTGTGAAATAACAAACAAGGGCGATATGAGAACAGCCCGGAATACCTTTTGTGAAGGTACGGTTGCTGAAGACAGATGGAGCAGATATAAAGACGCAGATAAAGGGCGAGATAAAAGAGAGCCGCGAAACAGAGAGCGAAAATCCGCCACCAAAATTCAAAGAAAAATAAATTTAAAAATCAAAACCTTAAACGGGAATTTTGGTTCCTGAACACGCGCCGCATCCAAAATCTGGGACGGTTGGAAACCCTACGCGGTGGGATATCAGAGAGCTACAGATGTTTGATCTTTACAATGAATAATGAAACGGTATTATATACTAAAATGTAAGGCACGAGATGCAAAAAAAAAGGTAAACTAGGACACCTACGATTCCAGCGTGGTCTCCCACCGCAGTACTAAGTAGGCCTACAGGGGCTTAACTAGAGTTGATCGGACGGGAAACGGTGCTTTTCCCTGAGTATGGTCCTAGCTGTCCTTAATAGTTTGTTGGTCTATCTTATAGCGTTGTTTGCGGGTGTGTCTCTACTTGTAATATAGCATCTACACTATCATAAGATCATCATACATCGTACATTAACACATATATCATACAGACCGACTCCTTATAAACCACTTCGATGCAATTACTATCGACAAATTGACTTCCCGACCATTTCCAGCGCACTCGATAAATCAGAATCCCGACCGGAATCCATGACAAGCACGTAAAGCGACGACAGAATCTGTTTGCCTTGTGCGAGATAGTTTGATAGTCCCAGCTGTTGTTGCATCTATATTCCAATACGATGTTAGCCCCCAGCTCTCCTCTGTTCAAAACGGGTGCAACTTACCTCTGCCGATGAAATTCCTTCTAATGGCCAGTAACACACAAGCAACGAGGTAGAATACGACGAAAACTGCCGCAGCCGTCTCAAAGCCTCCTGCAAAGTCTCGCGATCTTGCGCCAGCTTCTCAGACGGTGACCTATCGCCCTCTCCTCCCGACGCTCCGCACATGAAAATCAACCCCGCAACATCGCTATAAGAGTCCGGATTGACATCCATCGAAGAAAGCGTCACATTCGCTGCTTTGCCTCGCAAATGTCTCGCGTACCGTTGTCCGTCCCATTCCAGGCCGAGTTTCCGCCGCGTCCAGACTCCTGCGGGTGATCGCCAGTCCGAAATCAGCAGGCTGACGTCCACCACACCGTCAAGAAGACCCACCCTTTCACAGCTCTGCTCAGCATATGGCAAAAACACCTTCTCGAGATCAAGCGGGCGCCAAAGGGTTTCCACTTGTGCGCGCTCTTCTTCAAGCAGATTTATCTGTTCGGCCTCCGACATATATCGTTCCTCTGCAGGCGGTGTACCGGTCGGCGTCAGAGACATTCCGCGTTTCCGCTTCGTCGACTTGTGCTTCTTCGACGGCGGCCGGCCCAGCATCTGAGAGGCCTCGAGATACTGCTGCCGTCGCTTATTCCTCAGATCGGCATTCGTCTTTGCAAGCACGGCTGTCGCTTTAATCTTCTTCAGCGCCTCCTTGAGTAAATTCCTCCGTCGTAGCTCAGAAGCCATCGACTCCTGACACGCCTGCCACGAATTATCATACACCAGCGACGAAAACATCTCCTCCGCCAAAACAGAGATCAGATTCTCTCGCTTGCGTTCCCGCTCTTCGGCAGCCTTTCCAATCACGTCCTTCGCAACTTCGCGAACCACGCCAGAAACAACAGACTTGAGCATCTCATCACGTTCAAGCTCGCCAGCCGCAGCATATGCCCTGCGGAGCATCATCTTATTACGCTCCTCGGCCAGTCGCTTTTCCGCGACTAGTGCAGCCTTGGCCGCCGCTGCGGCCTCATCTCTAGCTTTAGCTGCTGCTGCTTCTGCTGCAACTGCTGCATCATTCTTCTTGTTCGATCGGGACTCGTCTGAATCCTCGGATGGACCCTTTCTTTTCGATGATGTAGTTTTGGGCGGAACGTCAGCCGAGGGAGACGAGGAAGATACTGACTGAACGGGTGCTGCCGCAAAAGGAGAGCTCTTCGAAGGTCCAAACGCTGATGCTTTACCAGCTGTCTGTACCGGTCCGGTTGCTGCACCAAAAGCGATCGGAACCTGGCCAAACGGTGACTGCTGTGGTGACTGCTTAGCTTCATTCTGTGCCGGGAATACCGAAGCGGGAGTCGGTGACTGTGTACTGACGGAAGAAAACGGAGATGGTGCTGTTTGCTGAAACTGCTGCTGTGGCTTCGGCTGTTGTTGTGGTGGTGTGGGTTGCTGTCCGAAGGAGAATGCCGAAGTCGTACCTCCGAAAGCGGGCACTTCCGTCTTCGAAGCGCTTCCAAAAGGCGACCCGCTGCTACTGCTTCCAAAAGGCTGGCTATTGCCAAATCCGAAAGCCGAGTTGGTTTGTGCAGGAAAAGCAGATGGCTGATTCCCCAAAAAATTCGGAGCAGTCTGTGTAGACGGCGAGCTTATTGATCGTGGCTTCCTTGGCGCGGGCGTTGGTTGAAGAGGAGCTGAGCCATTTGAGAAGAGCGACAGCACCGTGTGGTGCTCTGTAGAGTTTTGTGGATACACTTCTAGATTATTGCCGTGTATCAATTGTGAGGCCGATTGATCACCCAGTTTTGAGTGCACTAGTTTTGTGGAGTAAGCTTGATGAAACGGCGGCTTTCCGAGAGCAAAAGCATCTAAAAACATTCCAGGTTAGTTTTGCATCAACATCAATATCTATGATAAAAATCACACTCACCATTCCAACTCATCACATCAACGCACTCAACACCGTCCTCCACCCTCCGCGCAATTTGAAAATGATCGCACAGCTCATGCAGCTCATCAGTATCATTACACCCAAGCATCTCCACCAGATTCGCGGAGACGTATGGCTTTCCTCGTCGATGATATCCTCCTGCCATTGCCCTAAGTGCCCACATTCGAATATCATTAAAGTGAACCTCGGCCAAGCACGCAAACAGAAACGGCACCGCCGGACTCTTGATAAGTTTGAAGAACCGGACAAACAGATTTTGTGCGTTTTCGGTGTTCGTGTAGCCTCGTTCTGAGATGTTGTTCTGCTGCGCCATCGACCGCAGCTCCAGCGCAAGCTGTACCCTGCGATCAAGAAACACCGCCTTGGGAAGATCTTGCACTTGCCGATCGAGATCCGGATCCCGCAGAAGGCTTAGCAATCGATATGCCTGAAACTCCGCTTCGTTCGGCGCCTGTGCTCCGCTTTTCCTCACGTCGGCGTAGAACTCGGATAGTGTTTGCAGAGCTTTATTAAACTGCTCCAGTTCTTGCTGTCGCGCGCCTTCGATTCGGTCACCTGCCAGTGTATGAAGCGCATAGATATGTATACGCGCAATTCTTTCGTTGCAGTCTATTGCCTCGTATCCAGAGTAGTTCTGGTACGTAAAATCCTGGCGAATTGAGCGCGTGCGATCCCACAGAAACGCGTGCGCCTCTGGAAGTTGGGGAACGATATTATCAATCAGATACGTAAGCGTGTTCTGCAGTATTCCCGGAGGCCGTACATCAGACGGTAATGGCGGCGGCTGTCCGGCAGCTGGTCGAGAAAACTCCTTGACGGCCAAATTCTTGTCGATATTCCCATCGGCTCCGCGTTCATATGATTTCACGAGGTTACCCGCCGAGCGACGCACTCGTTCAAAGACGGGGCACATCTCCATACAGGTACCGACAAAATTGATTGCGTCGGTAAGTGACTTTTGTGTATCCGGACGATCGACTAGACCGCGGTTTTCCATCTCGATTCGTTCTTTGTCGCGCAGGCCTTGGAGCTGTCGTTGTGTTGTATATTAGCCGGTTGCTTCACAGAAGCACACACATGTGACCTCAATAGTATTTCAAACGATAATCATACCTTTTCGTAGAGTGACTGCAGATCACCAGTCCATGTCGCTTCGTACTTGCGCATGAGCTCCTGATTCTTCGCATCCCAATCATCATCTCCAGCTCCGCCAGCACCTCCTGACCGATTATTAAATTTCTGCTGATTCCCGCGTCCGAGTCCACCACCGCCATGACCCTTCGCTCCATCATTTAAAGAACCAGCCGCCTGCGAGCCTTGGAAGAAGTTGACGTTGCTGAAGGCCGACCCCGATGACGGCGGTTGATTGTTGTTGCTGCCATTTCCGGAGTTCCTCATCTGCCCGTTCGCAGGCATTCCAAACGCTCCATTCTTTGGCTGTTGACCGTTCCCACCGCCTGAGTGTGGATGTCGATACGTGCCGCTCGGGCGCGCGAACTGGTTCGCCGCCATTTAAAACAACAAACTAGCGCCTCGAGGCGGCAGACAAACCAGCGATGGATGAACGCAAATGCAATGGTCTGAGTCTCTGCCGATCTGCTTTGAGCATATAATGACAAAACTGTCGCAATCAAACTTAAACTGCCCTCTACTGTTGTGTGCTGATTTGCTAGCGATTCGTGGTGGCCTGCACTGGCTTCATTATTGGGATGAATAGCAGATCAGGACCTGGATTCGGCCTGGCACTTTTCCTCGAGAGCGGGAAGCAAAATCCAGATCACGTGATCAGATCTGGAATAGTCTAAACTTACAAAACGGGAAATAGGAGATGTTTATTATAATCAAAAAGAAAACATGAATAGACGAATTCAACATAAGTTACAAAATCGCATTACTTAGCGAGAACCTCGACAAACTCTCTAGCGTCCTCACCCTCGGCCCATAAATATGCGCTCATCCATCCCCCCATCTCCCGATATGTGATAATAGCCTTAAGCACTTTTCGGCGAGTTTCGATATCATACCCTTCCTCTCTCAGTTTGGGAATCACCGCTACCAGTTTGGCAAAATCCTCACGTTTTTTATCCTCTCTTTTACGTCGTCTCTCCGCTTTTTTGATAACCTTTTCCTCTTCTCTCTTACTGATTTTGAGCATCAGATTAACAAAAACTAGCAGCAGCTCTTGAAATGATGCGTCCATCATCCGCTCTCGTGAACTATGAGGACCCAGAGGACTTCCCTCATCAGAGTCCGAGCTCCATTCATGTTCCAAGTTCGAGCCAGTTTCCAAAGAATCCAGATCAATGACGGGGTTGGCTTCTGTAACGTTTGACGACGACGCCGTTGATGAATCCCGGCTCGCGCGCGAAGCGAGAGTAGCTGCTCTCAACATGTTTCTCTCGCAATCTTCGCGAAGCGTATCATGAGAGACACGCCCGGTCGCTGAAGTTTTTCTTCTGAGCGATCGATCTTCTTCATCATGGCAAATGGTTTGTTGTGGAGCTGCTTCTATTGTTTGTTGTTGTGTAAACAATCTCATGAGACGCGTAGCGCGTAGCCGTGCCAGTTGAGTTGTCCCAGCCAAACCTTAATTTTGCTACGGAATGCACCCAGAATAAGAAGCGTCTCCCTAAAGTGGCTCTTTGAATATACATTGATACTGAAGCATTACATTAGCAAGAAATAGTTTTAAAAAACGGTTTACAGACAAATAAAATTATCAGAGCCAGCAGGAAGAGCTACCCTTAGTTGGTCCTCAAGCTCATACGCCGGAGCAAGCTCGCAAATCTTGATTGATTCCTACGCTCGTCGCGCTCTGCCCGTATCCTCGCCCTAGTGGCCGCATATCTTCTGCGATAATCTTCGCTACTAGAAAGCACCTTTCGAGTGCTGGTTTTAGCTTGATGAGCTGTCATGCCGGGATTGCTTGGTGATACGTTGCCGAGCGTGGATTTCGCTGTATGGGATCGCTTGCTGGTGAATGGCACTCTTGATCTATATTGAGTCCGTGTCGGCAGTCGGCCCCACCACTTCCTATGACTCCGAGCAGACTCAAGGTCATAGTCAACTGGAGCGTTGGAAACTGTTGGAAAGAAGGTCAAAGAATCACATTCATCGACACTGTCATTCTCATCACCGTTTCGGATGGGAGTTACATGGCGCAACTGAGGTCTGACTGTCGATGCTGGTGCCAACGCAGTTGTAGACGCCGGATCCGAGGCAAGAGTGATTCTGAGTGCCGAGTCATCGTTGCCATCGCTAGACGCCGTCTGACTCCGGTTCGCCATTTTGGCGGTCATAGTTGACATAGCTGGTACGATGGATGTTTCTTTAGTGCCACTAGACCGGTTCAGTCGTCGTTTGGAGAAGGTGTCTTCGGAAGAGGAACTGGCAAGCGGAGTGAGAGTATCCGGTTCCCGCCCCTCCTCATTTAAACGGTTATCGAGCCAGAACTGTACAAAGTCTTCATCCTCTGTCAGTCCTTCTCCAGCATCCTCGAACTCCTCGCTATCGATTGTCCATGCTGACGCCGGCGTTGCCGTATTTTCCCGTAAGGGATGCAGAAGCGGTTCCTCATCACTTCCAAGTCGGCGGTTCAATTCTGCTGTGACCTCGTACCAGTTATTCAGCACCGAGGTACTCAGATCCGAAGACTGCAAGAGCAATGCCCCGTCAGCCAGTAAACTTCTGTATTCTGTCTGATCCGCTGTCTGCTCCTGCAATCTCATCTGACCATATGTCGAGTTATAATCCTCCCTTACTGGAGCAAAGTTTGTGTTTAGCTGCCGACGAACTGTCAGTGCTTTTGTTCTTGTTGCCGTACGCGGGGTGATGTTTTCCGCGTCCTCGTGGTATGCTATCGGTGGTGTGGGTAGCGTGCTTTTGCTGCTGACTCTGCTGATATTGCTTCTGTGTGTAAGCTCCACCTCAGTCGAGTCTTTGTTAGCAGCATTGTCAAGATCAATCGGCTCGAACTCCGGCAGCGGGGGTAGAAGATCCCATTCCCACGCTTGTTTAGTTTTTGTGCTTGAGTCTTGGTAAACCCTTAGTTAGATTATCTTTGATCTTGATATAGCAATTCACGTATTCTTACCATCTCTGTGGTCTTTGTCTACACCAGCAAGACTAGTTTTCCGATCAAAGATATCATCATCGCAGTCACCGAGCGCAAGCGACGCAAGCGCAAATGATTTGAAGGATCTGACAAGCTCCGAACTCGTACTGCTACATCCAACATCAGTGTGAGGCATTGCACTTAGATCAGCCAACGCATTGGTTTGGTGTCTGTCTGTGACAGCGACTGGAGAGTCATGGGAGATAGTGCCGACGGAGTCTCTCTTGTCCCTAGAATATGCATATATCGTTGCTATTGCTTCATATGCTGCTAAACAACAATTCTAGATTAGTATCACAACTACCTGAGGTTATAGAGAGTAATTTTTATCTAAATTCGGACGGAGATCAGCCAAAAATAAACCATACTAAACTCGGTGTCCGCAACCGCTTCCACTTCGCAATCCATCTTCCCGGCATTATCAGACAGATAGCCAGCAGAACTGTCAATATACCGATGTTGGCCGTAATCAGTCTGTTTGTCCGTAGTCAACTTGAGCGCTAAATCAATGCCCGAGAAGACCGCGTATTCTTTGTTTTGCTGCTTGATAAAGTCAGTCAGTGCCTCGAGACGAGCACTGAGCAGTGCTGCCTCAAACTCGCTGAATTGCGCCATGAAGTCCTCGTCGATTTGAGACTCCGCGTCAATGCTATTGGCAGAGAGGATCCTGCTGATGTCTAGATGAAGTAGTTGCGAAGCTACGAGGAGATCTGGGAGGAGGATCGCACATAGCTTGCTTTGTGTAACACCCGCAGCGGAATACTTAATAAAAATGCCTTGTATTCGACTGCTAAAAACTTGCTTGACCATCATACAAGAACAGAAACAAGAAATGCAGGAGCACATAGAATCATGATAAATAGAAAGAGAAACATGAATTCAATATCAATAACATGCAACAAAGACGAAAACACAAGACCCAGTACGTGAAAGCATTAACAATCTTGATAACCGAGAAGAGAAAAAGGAAAAACAACCACCTTCATAAAATGCCACTCGTAAGATCATCAAAGAAAATCGTGTAAGAGAATGAAATAGAAACCACCCACTCGAAAACATTGCTTAGAAAACGTTAAGCACCCGAAAAGAACTGAAACCTGTCCTCCAACGTCAAAAATGAAAAAGAACTTATAAGGTAAAACTGATGAAATACAGAAGTAAAGTCGTAACCCCGTCGACAAAATGAGCCGGTATATACAAAGCAAGACATGAAAAAGCAGAGCAGAACAAAACATCAAAAAATAAAAAGACGATAACAAACCAACCCTGACAATACGTGATATGCTACCGCTCATCGGCACACGTATCTATCACATCCACGAGCCTTCCTCACAGTTACAGGTCAGCCATAGGCGTAACCGAGTATCCCCAAACCTCCTCAAAAGTCTTCTTGCCCTTGGTTTCAGGCACAAACTTGAACGTGAGCAAGAAGTAGAAAAGCGCGATGCCGGAGAGAATGAAGAACACATATCCTCCGATAGCCTCGTTGAGAATGGGGAACAGGTAGGCAATGAAGAATACAGAGAACCAGTTGCAAACAAAGCCTGTGCTCTGCGCAACTCCGACTGAGCTCGCCTCCGTCAATTCGGGCACAATCAAGAACGGGATAGGACCGAGACCAACTGAGAAGAAAGCCACAAAGACAGTGGCGGCGATTCCGGAGAGAACGGTGACGCTGTACAAGATTCCAAAAGCAAGGCAAAATGCCGAGATGCACATGCCACCAATGGAAGAAAGCAATAGCGGCCGACGTCCGACGCGGTCGACAAATGGAGCAACTCCGAGATTGACGAGACAGTTGAGGAGTGAGATCAGGACATTGACGAGAACGGCACCGTTAGGGAACAGTCCCGAAAGAATAGTAACTCCATAGAAAATCATAGTGTTGATTCCGCAAAGCTGCTGCGCAGTCAGGATTCCAATGACGCAAATCATAGGCCGTCTGTAACTAGGAGAAACGAGGAACTCCTTGTACGAAATCTTGTAGAAATCCCGAGGGCTGTTGGTCTCGACTGAGCGCAGAGTACCTTCCTCGGAGGAGTTGATAACTGAAAGTGAAGTGTCCTTCTTGATCGCATCAACCTGCTCAGTGATCAATTCAGGAGTGATCTGTGCCACCGAGTCAGCATCATCAGCGACCTCGGACAAAGTCGAGTCTGACGAGGATCCGGAAGTGTGGGTGATCACAACCTTGATAGTCTCCATCGTGCTCTGGTCTTTCCAACTCTCAATCAACATATCAATCTCCATCAATTCCTCGCCAACCTCAGGCCCATCAGTCAATCCACGAAGCTTGACGAGTGACACGCGCGCGTCGTGAGCACGATTTCGCAGCGTGAGCCACTTTGGTGACTCCACGCAGAACTGAATCAATATCAAATTGGCGAATCCAATCATACCGCCGATAGACAAAATGATACGCCAGCCAGTGAAAGTCGACAAGAAAATTCCAAAAATCTGAGCGCTGAGAATTCCAATGTTGACAAACTCCTGCGTCATGGCGCCGATCATGCCGGTGATTGTAGGTGGACTAATCTCGTTGAGGTACATAGGCGTCACGATCAAAGACGCACCCGCGCCAAATCCAGCAAACAGTCGGCCCAGCATCAGTAAACCAAAATTTGTCGAGACAGACATGATAGCAGGTCCAATAATGAAGCCGATGCAATTAATCATCGTCAGCCCGCGACGGCCAAACTTGTCGGCTCCGCGGCCTCCTAATGTGGCACCAACGAAACCACCGACACTGAAAATCGAGTTGACAAGACCGATCTTGTTTGCATCCATAGGAATACAGTCGACCAAAGCATTTGTACCAAACATGTACTCATCCCTGTATTTGATTTGGCACGAAATATATGCCTCCGGCGCGTTCAATTCCGACTACATCATCATGAACTATCAGTTAGCCAAGCGCACCCCACATATTTCGTCTGTGAAAATTCCATTCTCAACTCACCAGATGATATCCAAACTGTAGAGCACCTAGACAGATAACCGCGACATGGAACACCAGCCGAGGTGTAATCTTTGCCTTTGCCATAGTATCCGTTGCTCCCTTCTGTTGATTAGATAACCCGATAGAGGGATAAGATAAGCAGCCGATAAATAGTCAAAGAGTGACGCTGCTCAACAGCTCGTCGAGATATAAGGAAAATAAAACAAATAGGAAAGAAACAAAAGGTTCCAATCTGCTTTACTTGACTCCAACTTTGTGAACTGGGGGAGAGACGCCAAAAACGCAGGTGGATGGTTAGGTGGGCTTGGAGGGCATGCCGGTGCACAAACCCCAGCACAGATTGTGAGCACAGACCGTCAGCGATAAGAGCGAGTCAAAGGCAGCAGCCCTATTTAGACTCGTCGCCGTCGGCCCTCTGCTCAACGACGGCCAGCAAGGGCTCGAGCGCCCGCACACCTTTTACTATTAAACGTCTTCTTTAATCTTGTCTGCCGAGCTTTATGTAGAGTGAGATATTGCTAGTTCATTTGTACTTGAAGATCATAAAAAATACATAAAGCAGAGCAGAGAAGAGCAGCGGCTCTTAGTCGCAAATATTGTTTTCTTTCATTGCACCATTGCAGCATTATATACGGCGCAAAACAACGCGATAAGAAAATAAAGCAAAACCAACATAAGCAAAAAAAATAGAAAAATGATTCCCATAAATTTGACCCGAGAGAAATGAGGAGATTGCCTGAGGATTTTAGCGGATACTCGCATGTAGGCGCATCAGCAGGATGATTTGTCGCTTGGCTGCATTGCAAGGAGAGTATCCAATCTGATCGCTTTCAATACGATCAAGCAGCTGGACAGACTGATGTTATCCATGAAGCAGTCGTAGAGGCAACAGGCAGGAGCGTTGAAGAAAGTCAGCAGATGAGTTACATGACCAAAACTTCACTGAGCCAATGACGAATAACAACTTCGCCCTCTTCCATTCCCTTCCAATCCATATGGCGCACAATGACAGCAGCGTGTGCGGCTTTCGTCTTTGTAATATGGACAGGAAACTTCTTCCACGGAACCGTATTCAAGGATTGAATCATCTTCGACTGCAGATCTGTGATCTCCAAAGGAGGAACGTGGTAATAGTTCTTTTCATCAAACGTGCCAGCAAGAGAGTTATCCTCAGACATCAGTTCGTCGACATGCGAGTGAGACATGCTGTACGGTATGAAGTCGCCCAAAACGGTATCGACGACATCTTCGATTTGCTCATCGATATTGAGAAAACGAAACTCGTCCATTCCGTAGCGTCCCTTGCGCTTGGAATGAAACTCTCGCAAACGGCGAGACGAGTAAAAGGTCTGTATAGCTGCAGAAATAAGGTATGCAAGCACATAAATGGGCGAGATAATAAAGAGATTCAAAAGAGTCATAAAAAAAGCAGGCAAAACGCTTACTCCTGCGCGCAAACCCGATGTGCCGGATACCAAGTTCATGTCTGGATCCTGCCCACGCAAAATAGGCGAGATTGGGTTTGTAACGTCGACAAGAGTTGGCTCATAGCCAGGCAAGTAGTTGACAGACACATTATGCAGATCGACAAACGGGTCGGTATGAGAGATGCCAGCGGTGAACCACGACGTGCGGCGGTCGTTGACAATGTTCGCATACAGCGCATGATTGGAGAACAGCAGAAGAGCATGGTAGAAAATCGAAGACTTATCAGCCAGAAGTGACATCAGGGGCCGGTCGAAAGTAGAGAACTTGTCGATCTGGAAGAGCTGGCGGCCAGTTGCGGAAAAGGTTCGCGGAATGCAGGTATTGAAGATGGTCGTTGGCAAACCCTTTCCTGGAGCTCTCACGCCGATATGGGGCGTACAAAAAGTGGTGAAGTTCTGGAGGAAATATACGTTAACAACAGTATGGCAATAATTATTAAAAATTGAGAAAAGGAAAAGAGGGGGCATCTGTCACTACTACACGTGTTTTCACGTGCTCATATATGTAAAAACGGTTTCAGAGTGGGTGAACCATTTCGTTACAAGTATAGTAAGACAAGAAGCGTCGAAAAGGGGAGATTAAAAGAGATAGAAGTGGAGATAATGAACTTACCACTGGTGTTACTTTCTTAAAGATTCCTCGTTGGTACAGAAGGCCGATCGCATAGCGCGCCATGAGGCCGCCAAGAGAATAGCCAGTGATCGATATCTTGTTTATGCGGATTCCCTGGCGCTCGTAGTTATCGAGAGCTTGCTCGATCTAGACAGAAATGTTCAAATGTCAGAATGCTGTAGATCGAGAAAAGCAGAGGAGAAACAAAATCGTCGACTGACCTCGAGTGCGACTTTCTCGCCACACATGTCTATCCCGTCGTAGGTGAGGTAACCCTCATTTGATCGGGTGACCAAGACATACGGCTTGCGGTACTTGCTATTCTTTGCAAGCTTACCGGATTCACAGAGACTCTCAATGCGACGACGGATCTCTTCATCCGACAACTGCTTCTGAGGCTTCACATCGTTTGAAGAATCAGAAGAGGGCGAGCCGGCGGGTTCGGTGGTTGAGGCATCGTTATCAGCGGTTACCTGCGGCGCAATATCGTCGAAGGTGTAGTATTGGTCGATAGCACGACATACATAGTCAAAGTGCGAGACGTTTCCCCAGAGGCTGTACATTAGATAGAAAGAAGTTAGCAGAGAGTACGGGGGATCCCGGGAGAGGGAGAGGATCGGAAAGGAAGGTGAGCACGTGCCCGTGGATAAGAACGAGAAGATGGTCGGACCGATGATCCATTCAGCGCGCAGCAGGATAATAAGAAGAAGGCTGGCAAAAACGTAGAGAAGGGAAGGAGGGAAAGGAAAGAGAGAGAGGAGGGAGGAGAGAGGAAGGAGGAGAGGAGGAGCAGGAAAGGAGGAGAAAGAGAGCAGGAAATGTGGATCGAGAGCATCCGGTTTTTACTTTATCCGCGCGGCCAGCATTGATCTCCGAACAATGGCCTGGCCAGCACCCGCTGCGTACGCTGTCTTACGGTACTATCTACGCATTACGTATGCTCACTTATGCTATCGCTCTTTTACTGTTCCTCCTGTCCCTCTTCCGCCAAAATCGTGGATCTTTGGGCGGAGCAAGTCGGAACTCAGAGAGAGGAGCCATCGGAGAGAGGCGACAGCTCAGGCCAACAGTTGCTGCTGTAGTGGCGTCCTGCAGGCAGGCGACTGACTGCCAGAAAGCCAAGTTAATGCTTCTCCTTAAGGAAGGAGGTGTAGGGTTTAGTTGACTCAGACAGGCAGTTATCAGATTCCACGCTTATCGACGTTATCGACATATTTAACTTCTTAGTAAGTGCTTAGTCGTGTGCTCATAAATTCTCCTCCTAACGTTTTCTCTCCGGCTGCGACCTCAACAATTGACGATATCCACTGCAAACTACGATGTAGTCCCTGTACCGCCTAGCAGATCCTAAATGCTGCTAGTAAAGTCCGTGATCATACTCACAGAATAATCAGGGTCTGTATATCCGCACGAATCATCACCCGCGTCGGTATATATAGACACTGAGTAGATGAATGTGTCTTGGAACGCCGTTGGAGCCTGTAGTGGTAATCGTTAAATCGTTGTTTATCACACAATGGCAATAGGCAGTATACAGTGCCTACCTGAAATAATATAGTGGTGCTATTAGCTGAGCTAGAAAAGTCGTCGCAGATAGTCACAGTCGTGCCATTCCATCCATAATTGTAGATATCTTCTTGAGTCCAGACGTCCTGGTATAATACAGAGTCGGAATCCGTCTGCTTTATCGTCACCATAAAAGCCGTCACATCCTAAGGGTTGTCAATACAAGTTAGACTCAGCTATCCGGGGAGAACGTGTGTAGACATACAGAAGTAGAATCATATCCATCACTCAGGTGGACTTTAAAAGAGTATCTGATGCGATAATCGACAACATCGTCGGCAGTATCAAAGTATCTGACATACTCTATCAGCGTATCTCGAAAACTGTTGTCATTCGCCGCTATATCATCTGGCACTCCGGCAAGATACACTCCTGCGGTGGAGTTGTCGTTCCATTCAATGAAGTAGTAAATAAGCGTGTTGTTGTAATCGTCGCTCGTATAATCCCAAAAAGAAGTTCCCCAATCATGGCTCGTAAGCCCCTCCAAAATATTAAAGTCCGGAATACAAAAGGTATCTGCGATGATAGTCCCGTCACTATCGCCGGATTCGGTGTTTGACTGAATAGTCCTGTTGCCAGGGTCCAAAACCACATCCAAAAGAGTAGGATAATTGGAGTCAGCAGAATAGCATGAAGTGTCGGTACTATTGAAATGCTGGCAGAGTAGAGGTACCCCCACTGCGTGGACGGTGAAATCTAGACAAGAAAACAGAAGGGCATTCGCTGCCGTAAGGCGGTCGTCTTCGAATAATATTCCAGCTCTTCTATGCTCCATCGACCCAGTCAATTAATATCATATCAGCATTAAAGATGATCTAGAGCACGGGAAATTGGCAGGGCGATATGTGCGTGTTGGATATGCAGATCATGACATCAACTGAAGTGCACGCTCATTTAGTACTGCTCAGATCATCAGGCAGCAGTAGCCTTATTCCGCAAGACATTACATCCGTCTGAATTATTTGCGACCTCAATGTAAATCTCGCCATCTAGAGTCTGTTTAGCAGTACTTCCATACCAGCTCTTCTCCAATTGACATACGCTCCATGAAATTATCTTTGCTCGTTGGCGGGGTCTTTGTTAGGGATGCACGAGCCGCAATAGAAGTGAACCGTGATTGCAAACCCTACACTGCTTGTATGCTGATATCATATTTACAGTAAACTGTCTACATTGAAGATAATAGCTGTTGACAAACTGAAATTGTAGTGACAATCTATGAAGTTCTAAAATTGTTCTCGTTTGATGGTTGATAGTGATTAAGCCAGAGGAAATTAACTTGGTGAAAAAACAGGGCTTTTGGCTAACGATATCAGGATACTGCTCCCTATATCTGAAGATCTAATGAACAACTTCACAGCAATTTCAAACCTTGGGAGGCTGTAAGACTTGCCAGTAGAGTGTTGCGGACACTACAAATCATTGACAGAGTTTGATATCCTGCTTGTACTGTAATTGGGGTCCGAATATGAGCAGGAATCATCGTCGATGGAGTAGATAGCCGATGAGAATATGAATGTGTTCTGGTAGGTTACTGGAGCCTATACCAATGGTAATTCTTGAGTCAGTTTTATGTCAAAAGAAAGACACAGTCAATCCTCTGTTCCTCTAATCCCCGGAGCCCCGGGGACTCTGCAGCCAGGTCCAGCTGGTGAGGGTGTATGGACGAGCGGCGTACGACGTACGCGGCTACAGCACTCCGCCAGCTTGCAAGAGTGAAGCCGGGAAAAAGTCCAGAGACTGCCAAACCAGAAAAATTGTCTAAGGAGACTATTGTAGTTAAGGCTGTGCCTGTGCAGACATCGTGATCATAAATGTACAGCATCAGCCCGCTGGAGCGTAGCTCATTTCCGACTAGTTCTCGGATCGCCACTGCACAAGCCATGATCCCACATCTCACTTCTAACTGCAAGGTGGTCCAGATTCTCACAGACTGTACTTCGGTCTCGGATATCTGTGTGCTTCTGGCATTAGGCTCTTAATATCGACAGGTTTGTAGACATTGTGTCAAAGGCAATGGCACTCAAGGTTCGCAGGCGAATGGCAATGCTCATCGACAGTCCCATAATATTTCCCAAGCCTACTGCCCTCTCATTCGTGCTCATCATATGCCACAATGATCCAGCATAACAACGGCGGACAAACGATGAAAACTCGCTAATTATAATTCGGGTAACTAGCACAGAATAGAGTGGTTATGCAGCATAAAGAGGATTCAAAGTCAGCCGCTTGTGTACCCTGAGCCCATTAGACAGTCAGCCTGGGTGTACCGGTGTAACGGCTGTACAACTTGGAAGCAGAGCTTATGATGAATCTAAGTTGGTGGGTGACAAAGTAAAATATGTTACGGAAGAGCTTTGTTCGGTTTGCTTCCTCCTCCTCCTGCTCACAATGAATTAATCTAGGGTTTCCGTCGCGGGTCCCCGCTCGGAAATGGCACCTCGAAAGTGGTGCACGAGCCGCCCAGGAAGCGAGCTTCTGTCATATTGAAGGACTTCTCAGAGGGCAAAATTTCAGTAATTCAAGTAAAAAAATGCGGTTACTGTACAATCAATCAATCAAACATGAACGCAAACGAACAAACAAACTGATAATCAATGAATCGAACAATCAACCCAACAGCAACCTGACTCTAGAACAATATAAACTATGTACTACCCGGTATGTTTGCCAGACCTATTACAACACCTACAACACCCTCTTTGTCCGCGCGCTCACCTTGCGGACTCCTCCCGACGGCCCCTTCGCTCCCTTTTCAATTGAGATAGTTCCTGAAACGCCTCTCACACGCCCAGCAGCATTGCTGGCGTTGCGCGGACTGATAGTTGTGGTAGTAGTCATCATCGTCGTTGTCGTCGTCGTCACTGCCGAGTAGCTAACTGCACGGCGCGCAGGCGACGCGCTCGCCGACCGTGTCTTCCGCACTACCAGACTCTCCTTTGGCCCATCTTCCATCACGAGATCATCATCATCCATCAGTTTCTTACCGATGATCTCCGTCGGTAATATATCCTCGTTCTCGCTGTTGTTACCCACCGCAGCCGACACCGAACGCGATCGCGGTGATTTCCGTGGCTGGCCCGGTGTAGGCGCCGGCAGCGAAGCACTATTCTCGACCTCGCCCAGAATATTTCTGACTGGCGTCCGCGGACTTCCAACTCTGTCCTTGAGAGATGACAGTGGCACGAGAGGTCTGTGGCCTGCCAATAGCGACGAGGGCGATCCGAGTCCCATCGTGTATCTCCATTCTTGGAATTCCTGCTGATGCAGGTACAGCCAATGTTGCTGGGGACCAACAACCATTCCTGGCCTCATGAATCTCATGTATGAAATCACCTCGTTCGCGGTGAAGCCGTACCGGTAAATCAGGTATGCTCCGATCAAACAACCGGTCCGGCCAAGTCCGGCCTTGCAATGCACTGCAATCATCTTATTCTCGTCCACCACTTCCGTGCAGATTCCGATAAAGTTCCGTACAGTGTCCATCTCGGGACATGTTCCGTCCTCAAAGATCATATCGACATGGCTGATCCCGCGGTTTTCAAAAAGTCGCTTATCATACAATGGCGAGTTCAAACGCACGACCACGTCAACCCCGTTCTCGACGAAGAAATCCAGTACGTTGCGCACAGCCAGAGGCTGCTTTTGTGGTGTTTGGTCAGGTGCGATATTATACTGTGGTGAGGCAAAGGCGACAAAGTGAGGTGGAATTGTGTTGAAATCACCCATTTCCACTCTTTCGTACGTTTCATACCTGTCAAGACCGAATTAATATCTAGATCTCAATCTGCGGCTATGCATCTGATGTCCAACTTACTCTTCCAGATTGAATTCTCTCATATCTAATAACCCTTTATCTTTAGCTTTCCAGACTCCATATACGATATCCTGGATCGACAATGTGAAATCCGCCACCGAATATCCAGCATCACGGAATGGCATGAATGGAGGCTCGGCTTGAGCAATAGGAGCTAGCGCAAGATGGGGGGGCCATGACTGTATCAGAACCTATTTGCAAAACTAAGTTAGAAACGGTTGCAAATGCTTTTGCTGGTTGAGCGATGACCACATACCATATAGCAACAGAGGAGACAGGCAGCATTTGCTCTGGAGCGCGGATTGGTGTGAGAATAGAATACAACGGATTTCTCTTTATTTTCTTCCTCCTAAAGTAGTTGGCATCTTTAGTTAGTAACCACGCCACTCGGAAATCGAATAGTACAAAGCCAGAAACTTACTGCTAGAACTTCATGAAGGGCCATCGCGAATCTATAGAGATGGCCAATGTGCAGAGGACCAAAGTCATGATGGAAGGCATTATAAGGCAGTGCATCGTCGACAGTAAAATACGCCGCTGAGTCTGTATCGTGAGGTTCCGAGTCACTTGCAGCAAGATACAGTCGGTCTGTTGTCATACACGTGTTAGTTCCCGTGAATCAGCTGAGAGATCATCCGGTCAAGAAATTAGGACAGATGAACTTGATCCGCGACGACTGGCTTGTTACCTTTCAGAAACTCAATAGTAGGCACTGCCCGCTGGCGACGGGGTGATGATGTTAATGATGGTGGCATGTCTTGATCAACTGGTCATAAACGAGATCAAGAAAGACAGGTACAGGTGCAGAAATCGAAGCTTCCAGCGAATGTTTCAGCAAGTACTAAGGCTCGGGAAAGAAATAGAATGGACTCTCGCCGAAATGTTATTGCCAGAAGCTGCTGCCAAACGAGTCGGTGATGCTCTTGGGTGAGAAGGTGAGCAGTATATCGTGTAGTATTATTTGGACGTGGCGATGGGCCAGGATAAACTCGGAGGCCCCGGCCTCCCGCCCCCTTCGAAATAATCCTTTTGTAAACAAATGCTAACCTGATCTGGCCATTAAACCTTAATTATACAAACACTTGTGGTAACCATAGCAACGGTCAACCCCTGAGTAGATCGCTCCACACTAAAATCAATGACATCTAGTTAAGGGCTTTGTACATTTCCTAAATAGATAGATTACTATTACTGAGATTGCTTTGGTCCCAAGACATCAAAACAAGACTGGTTACAATGTAATCAAGCATTTCAAAATTCCCGCATACATATCTATCAATGCGCTATTGGTCTCCTTCTCTATCTTGGCCCAAAATGCCTGGTGTCGGTGTACTTAAAGCGAGAAAACCTGCTGATATTTAACCAATGCGTCCAGCGTCATTGTTGATCCTAGATAAACAAGATCTTGTTAGCTAGTCCGTCGGCATAAGCATCGACACACCAAGATGGACAGTACAAACCTCCGCAAACAATAAGAACGACAACATCGTCTTTCTCCAATTTGATCTTCTCGGAAATCTCATACTTCTCAAACTCATACCATGGAGCAATCGCAGCACCGCATGCTGGTTCGACGAACAGTCTGTGATTATCTAGAGTCTTCAGGCAAGCAGATACTGCATCTGCATCAGTAATCTCAACCGCCACTGTTGGATAGCTGGTCGCCATTTCCCATGCCTTGTCGGAAACTTCATTCGCGCCAAGACTGCTGGCCACAGTTGAGATCGCACTCAAAGTCACCTTTTTACCAGCTCCTAAAGACTGATACAGTTTGTTTGCTCCAACAGTCTCAACCGCGACAACTGTAGGCTTGTGCTCGCCAGGATATGAAGCTTGTAGGCCGGTAGTAACTCCAGAAAACAGACCGCCGCCACCGACGGAGCACGAAATGGCCTTGATCTTATCACTTGTGTATCCCAATTGTGCTGCCTGATCTATGATCTCAGGCACGATCGTACCATTTCCCTCAACAATAACCGGATTATCGTACGGGTGGCAGTACACCGCCTTGCCTCCTTCTCCCTCATAAGCCTTCATAAGCTCGTGCAGCTTCGCGTCAGCCTCGCGCCAAACCGATCCGTGTAGTACCACCGTAGCGCTGTACTCCTCACGCAGTCGCTGTATCATTCGAGGAGACGCACTTTCAGGAACAGCAACGGTACATGGGTATCCAAAGCGCTTGCACGCTTCCGCGGCCGCTGCACCTGCGTTCCCACCTGATGAAGAGAAGAAGTGAAGATCGCTACCTGGCGGGGAATTGAGTAGAGCATGGCGAACTACACTTCCGACGCCTCTGCCAGATATACCCAGACGTTAGCAAACGCTCAATCGGTATAAAACTTAAGTAGCCACTTCGCACCGAGATTTGAATGAGCCAGATGGTTGCAGAAGTTCTAGCTTTAGCAGAACAGTACTGTAAGAAAAACCAAAGTTAGTATCTCTAAACGGCCTTGCTTTATAAGAGCCCTCCAGAGTGACATCTCTCGTACCATCCCACTATGTTCGACAGAGGAGCAGAGTGTATCAACGGCGTCTCTATGTAAGTCTTCGGCAGTTCAGAGGAGGTTGCCGCTGCAGATGAAGCGGGGACTGGATCAAGGGCCATTATAAAGTGAGCTTGTGCGGTAGTGTAGGAGACCGTATGGTTGCTCCTCTTGTCCACTCCAGCGAACCTATGATATAGGTGCTTCTAACTGCTGAGTATGTGGATCTCGATCATCCAGTGGGAGGACGGTGCGGCTTCTTTATCATTGGGAGTCGTTTACCTCCGCGGACTTTTCCATCAACTAGCTAGTATCAACTTCTAATCCTTTCGTCAAGAGATAACGAGATAACACCAGACTTTGGCTTTGGTTTACGCTGTGTAGTAGTCGATTTGGTGATTAACCGCATTTATCTCTTATCGCGATAGGAAGCTCTGCAGTGCTTAGTAACGGCCTCTACCACTCACAAGCCGGCCCGGATTCTCAAAAGTCACATTGCTCTCCCATTACATCACCTTGTACAATTCATGTGATCTAACTGACGCTATAGTCTACTTTCCAAAAGTTCTGTGTGGCAAAAACCGGTTTCGGTCACGCGTTCCTTGCAATTCGTTGCGCTGCCTTGTTCGCTCGTTGTTCCTCCTCTTCCCCACATTCTGCTCTTCCACGTGTACCACTCATACCCCGGATTTATTACTAGCTGTTCTGTCCGTTTGTTCTGAATACTGACTGTATCTACTTAGCATTTTATCTTCAACAATGGCGTTCTGTTTCCCGTCTCTAGCTGACTCCTCTTCTCCTTACTCCCTCGAATCCAGTGCATCCCGCACATTTCTTCAGTCTCTATGCTTTCCTTTCAGCAGTCAAAATGGCGAAGTCGGAATCTTCGGTGGCATCACGAGAAAGCTTGCCGCTGTTCCGCTTCAGCGGCCGAACTGCCAGTTACGGTTTGAAACGCAGCGTCTTGGGCTAAGTCCTGTTAAAAGTGAACGAAGGTACAGAAGAAAGAGACGTAGCCCGGATCCTCTGCAGCTCGCACTGATACAGTACGAAGGATTGGATTGCTCTGCTCACAATTCTTCTGTCGGTTCTTCCTCCAGTGAAAATACCATAGTGGACGCAGATGACGAAAATGTTGACAAGGAGGCTAAGCAAGCCTTGTCCAGAGGACAGACTTGTATGTTCAGCGCTGCAGGCTAGGAGACTCAAGCCTTAAGTTATCTTGCTCTCGACATTCACTAACATATATGTCTATAGATCGTCGGAGTAAATCATATGGGCGCCGCGCATTTCTTTTGAACGCCACCCCTCTTCAAATGACACCAAAGGAATCCGAAGCGACTTCCTCTGCTGGCCAACTCGAAGACGCGTCTCTCACGCGTCCAGAGAGAAGCGATCGTATGCTTTACGATCCAATATCTGAGCCGACTGCGTCACCGGACCTGTTTTACTGCGCGTGCGATGAACAGAGAAGCACATTCGATAAAATCATCGATGGTGTGGTTGACTGGTGGTACAGGGATTCTTACCGGAGTATCAGCAGTGAAAGCTCTGATAACGATAACGATAGTGGAAGTGATGAGGACGAGAGAAGCAGTCAAAAGGCACAGTTATTGGCAAGCTACAAGTTTCTCGATCGAAGATGCGACTTCTGCAAAGCGGCAGATCAGCTCGGCGTTCTGGAGCAGTAGGCGCGGTTTTACGGATTATGCCTAGAGATATGCAGTTGTGTGGTGCGGGGTATCTACTTTGTCGTTCGCTTCCCAACACGCAGAACCGCATCTCTATATCCGATACGTAAGGGTCTTTCGAAAAGAGTTATTTTCTTTGCTTCTAGCATAATGGTGTCTTCGCGCGTAGTATAGTTATCGCTCAACTTTGCAATCTTTGCACTTTAATTTGACAGCTTGATAGCAGTCTCGCTTGAATAGTCTTTGGCAGCCTCGTAGATTTATTGTGACGCAAAAATACAAAACAAAGAGAATGAAAGATAAACAAGACTAGAATAATTTCTGGGAAGCACCAGTGTGGTTTTCCATCACTTGAATACCTCAGCCCGACTCATCCCTTCCTCAAACCTTGCAGCTATATCCCACGCAGAGGTACACAAAAGAGTCCAAAAAATATAAAGATGCAATAGATGGATAAACTAAAAACCGAGAGAAAATAATAAAAAGTTGCTGAAGTCGAACGAGGCGTTTATTCGGGGAACTTGAAAAGAGCAGCCTGTCTCTCGAGCTGCTCCTTGGTGAAGTGGAGCTCCGGGTACGGGCTGGACTGGATGGCCTCGAGCTTGCGCTGGCCCTCCTCGCGACGCTGGATGTAGGGGAGGTTCATGCTGTAAGAAAGGAAGCAGGTGTTAGAGTATGAATCACACAGTGGGAGGACTGTCGAATGTCTGGAGTTGACTTCGGATTGGGAAAACTTACTGGTTCCTAAAGACAGACAGACAAGCACGTTAGCAACAGGATCGCAAAATGATATACGAAAATACGTTTGAACAAATGTAGCAAACGAAAGAAACATACCAGTAGTAGCTTCCGCCAACAAATCCAAGACCTAAATCAAACACGCAAAAAGTTGAGTTTGTCATTCATTTCCGGCGATCAAGAAATGCTATTCGCATCTAAAAACACATATAAAAACATACTCAGAGCTACAAGAAAAGATGTTAGCATATTCTGTTGATATCAAACTACTTGCTCTCCCTCGGTTTCTCAACCCTTCGCCTCCTTCACCTCCACAAAGACGACGCAACGAGCAACAACTTACCGATAGTGATATCACGGATCACAGCGCGCTTAAGCATTCCAGTGATAGGAGGGATAGCCATTGTTGATTATGATAGTGTTCGGTGAGATATCGATAGAGAGACTGATACACGATGGTGAAGGATTTTGGCGTGGTATGACTTGCGCTTCTGTGAGGCGGCTTCGGAAGCGGAAGGGAGCCAATCGAAGGCCTCGCTTTTGCATGACCCCTAACCCATTGCTGAGGTAATATTGTAATAATACTTCACGTGACATGCATCTTCTGCCTGATTGTGTAGCAGATCATTTCTTGTATTTATGAGTCTCGGACTAAGCGAGGATCATTCTTGAGTATCTTTTCCAATAGCTTGTTCTGCAGACAGCTCTTCGCTGGAAAACTTATCTGAAGACACTCGATGCTCGATGATGACTGACTGTGACCATATGTACTAGCTACACCTAAACTAGCCTGCTTTCAACAAGTAGGGAGAGGGCAATTGTTGTGGACGATATTAAATGTATCATAGCTATATACACAAAGCTCTAAACCAGCAATATACAATTGCCTACGCAGCTATAACGACTTGGTCCAGCGGCGGCCGCACATACTTCTTATAACAGTAGATGCCCACAGCCAGAAACGCCCACACTGCAGCAGACTTTGCGATCCACACCACAAACTCGCCGAGATATTTACTCCATCTCTGCTGTACGCTTGCGGTCTCGTTATCAGTCTCCTCAATCACATTTCCAAACACGTTGTGCCGGGGACTGACCCTTCTCCTTTGACTAGAAGCGGATAACGGTTCGTCGCTCAGTTTCAGTGCTGGAGCAAATATATCCTCCAGACCCGTCGGATCCTCGAGAGGAAAGAATCGCTGGGGCGCAAGGGTTGTTGAAGTACTGTCATTAGTGGAGGATAAGAGCGAATTAGGGAGAGGGCTTCTGTTGCGCAAAAAAGCGCTAACGTCTCGCTGTTGTTTTTGTTGTTCTTGAAGACGCAGGTTTTGGTTCGAAGAGTCTCCGAACGGCATGAATGCGGAACGGGCACCATTCGGGGGTGGAGGTAATGAGCTCCCGGGTGGAAGCTGCGGGATACTGGGTAGACCTGGAGCGGACTCGCTCATCCAGTTATTTGTGGTGGTGACTGAATTTCCCGTGATGGTAGGCCGCCAGTCCATCTCGCCTTCGATATCTTTGCTGAACCCCACGAGTTCGCCGTATTGATTCTGTTTCGAGGCACGCGGAGGAAAGCTGTATTCAGGGATATTCCGCCGTGATGCCGGTTGCACCGTCAACTGTCGCTGACCTATCCGCGAGCTCGGTCTCGATGATTCCGTAGGGTTTGAAGACACAGATGATGAAGGCGACACCGACCGGCTCTCTGACGCTATTTCGACAACTGATTTGACGGGAACAATCTTGACCATTGTGAAACCAAAAGTCGAAATAAGGAGTGTGGTCCATAAGAAGAATACACTGAGGAGCACAAAAGCGCGCTCGCCAACGTTCCAGTCGTGTAGTCGTGGAAGGAGGTATGTCGCGGCCCAGTATTCTAGCAAGAGTAAAAATTGGCAGGCCTGTAGAATCTTTTCTGTTAGCATCATGTTTGCCTCTTGACAGAAAAATAGAAGTATCTCGTACATAGCAGTCCTTGACGCCGACCAGCCGAACTCGTACGGGAGACCTCAGCGCGGAGAAGTACTTGTAATTCCAAAAGAAGTACAAGACTCCTATAGGTATTGTCTTTGAAGCAATCGCAAATAGTCTTATAGCCAGAGTTGTGACCAATTCGTCTGGACTTGTCGAAGTATCGACGGAGTGATCGTTCTCAATGTAGCGGTAGAGAGAGATTATTGTCTGGGTTATCGAGCGGGCGGTTTCGAGAGTGAAGATGTCGTATTCCGCATCATGGACTTTGGCCAGCTCTCGCAGGAGAATCGAAGGGTAGGCAATATCTAAAGTCGATCACAGTTAGTATCAAACACATTCGCACAAAAACGATAGCGGACGACACATACTACTCGCAAATACAATTGAAAAGAACAGGATATGAGTAAATAACAGTGCCCCTCTTGTCATCCAAACCAAGACCTTAATCCTCTTTGCCGTCGTCCATCGAAATTTCAGCACCTTGCCGTCACCCAAGACCTCACCCTCGCCAAAGATCGCGGCGTTTCTGAGATCGACCGAGGACGTCGACACCGATCTCGGTTGCCGCCTTCGTTTTTTCAACATATCGCCGAGCACCAGTGATCGTGCTTTATAGTTATTCTCCTTTATCTGATCGACGACTTTTTGATGGCACGCGTCGCAGTAGGGGGGATATCGAGTTTCGAGTTCGGCTTTGTACGCTGGCGCGCGGCGCGCGTAGTCTTCGTATCGAGGATCTGACTCGGAAGGAAGGAAGTTCGCCATCGCTTCGGCGACTATTCTGTGATTCAGGAGACATTGAGAGCAGAAGGGCTGGTTTGCTGAAAAGGAGTTGTTGCTTGAGGGGGATCGTCTTGTGAATACCACGGACTCGCCTGGGATTTGTTCAGGGACGTAATCCATGATTTCGCCATTCTATAGATGTTCGCGCTCGTTAGTCCAACGTCAAGGTAGCCAGAAGAGATACTTAAAAATTACCTCATCAATAACATTCAACGCCTCGCAGTTTTCGCACTTCCATTCATATCCTCTGATCGCAGGTCGAAAGGTCAAGCCGGCAGAGCAATACTGGTTACAGAAAAAACACAATCGTTTCGCGACACCCTGCCGGATCTTCGAACCGGAACCGAATAGACCAAAGGGCATGACAATATTGTTTGCTAGTATAGCTGGTTAATGTGTGAGATCATGTAGGATTCCTTCATCTGAAGAGGGCGGTTGAGATGGTATGTGGATGTGGTTCTCGAGGAAGATCTTTTTTATTTATTTACGTTTTCTCATGACATGCGGCTCGGTGATGACTGATTGATTTCCCCGGGTTTTCCCAACCTGTTGAAATATACTCATATTTGCATTGTCTCTGGACCATGAACAATAGATGTGTAGATGCAAATATTCGCAAATATATTCCGTTTTGGATATAATTCATTTTTACACCAAGTCACTAGATCCTACTGGCTGCCAACGATCGCGGATAGCTAAACAGAGAGCAGTGCTGTTTTAACTGCGAATTCAGAGCGATCAGCAATCAAACATCATCCGCATCTGATTCAGATTTTACAGCTGTCGGTTGTAGAATTATTGATCAAACCGTATAATAGTAAACTGTTTGTTATTGAGACTAGATCTGCTAACACAGTAGTTCTATATAGAATGACTTATGTAGTGTAGATTATCATACAGCTAAGCTAAACCAATAGTACGTTACAGTCAAATGACATAATTTTACTTGCATATTTTAAATCTTTACTTATCTTCTTTCACGCCTCAACAACAATCACAATCCTCCAAACGCGACACATCAAAGATAATCCGCGTACTTCCCGATTAGGACAACTGAGGTATGTCAGGTTAGGGCATCTGTTCTAAGCGACCCAGAACAAGCCCCGGACCGGAAACTGGGCTATCGATCGCATCGCACGCGCACACGCGTATCACAACAACCGCCCGGTCTGCTTCTCGATTTGCATCTGTCTTTCATCCACCGCGACGTATTCTTGGTATTCAGCTCGAAGCCCCTGTGTTCAGCGTAATATTTTTGGGCTTTTTTTGGATTCGCGTTTTTTCTCCGAGGGGTATTTGGCGATTGTTGTTTCTGGGAATTATTTGATCAGCCGAAAGCCACGGAAACGCGGAACAGAACTGGATCAAGAGACCAACAGCTTCTCAAAACTATCACACAATGGCAGACTACTCAAAGCTCAAGGTCACAGAACTGAAAGAAGAGCTCAAAAAGCGGGGACTGTCGACCGCGGGACTGAAGAAGGCACTGGTGGATCGTCTCGAGGAGGCTGATGCTGCTGCTCCTGCTGAGTCTGGGGATAACACCGGTACTGATGCTGCAGCAGAGCCACAGGCGGAGGGTGAGGCGATGGAGGAGGACATTGTTGCGCCTGTGCAGGAGTCTGAGTCAAAACCAGAGCCGGTGGTCGAGCCTGAACCGCAGCCGGTAGCAGCGCCCACCAAAGCCGAGCCTGCGCAAGAGACGACAGTGGCTGAGGTCAAGCCCGCAGAGCCTGCAAAGGATGAAGTGATGGAAGATCAACCAGCGTCTGACTCAGTGGAGGAAAAGCTCGAGTCAAAAGTTGAGCCACCCGCAGAGCCGATTCCCGAAGCGACCCCCGTTGCTCCCGCTCCGATCGTGGAAACCGCCAGCTCGACCAAGCGATCTGCAGACGCGATGGATCTCACACCCGACGACAAGTCGACCACAGACGCGTCAGCCGAAAAAAGTGCAAAGCGTATCAAAGAAGATCTCGAGATGGAGGATGCGAAAGTTGAGCTGGAATCCACAGACGAACAAAAGCCAAAGGAGGATCCACTGCCTGCCCTCGGCGTCGCCAGAAATCCCAATATACCTACAGAGCGATACCCACCGACGCGCACGCTTCACATCAAAAATTTCTCGCGCCCGCTAAATCTCCCGTCTCTAAAGTCGTATATGTCCGGCGTTGCGCAGGAAGATATCGTCCAGTTCTGGGTCGACAGCATCAGAACCCACTGCTTTGTATCGTTCAGCTCGAGCGCAGCCGCTGCGCGTCTTCGCGAGAAAATGTACGGCGAGCCGTTCCCGACTGATGAAAAGGGACGGAAGCCGCTTGAAGCGGAGTATATCCCAGACGCAAAGATGGAGGAATTTATTGCGACGGAAGAGAGTTCCGAGGGACGAGCGAAGCGTTGGGATGTTTCATTCGGCGAGGGAGCTGCTGGCGGTAGTGTTACTGCTGATTCTGTCGTGTTGGTTGAAGCAAACTCGATGGGGTCGGTGTCCGCCCCGAAATCAACTGCTTTCATGACGAACCCGCTCCGTGGTAGAATCAACAACCCTCTCGGACGCGAAATGGGCCATTTTGATGGTACTATACCTCATCATTGATTTGTGAAATTAATGAGACATGCTAACAAGTGAACTATAGGTCCAAACGAGAAAGACAATAAATACGTTGACAGAGCAAGCAGTGGTAGGGATGAGCCAGTGCTTGCCGAAGGCGAGAGACTCACGAACGCGCGTCCGCGACTGCGGTATTCGGAAGCTCCTCCTGATTTAGTCCGCGTGCGTCTTGGTCGTATCGGTCGACGGTAGCGGGCTGCGAGCGACTGAGAATCAGAGGGCAAGAAAAGTAGTCTTGAAAGGACAAGACACAACGATCGTTACAGGAAATTATTAAGCCCGAATTGGGTTGGGTCTGTAAGTTTAGTGAAAATCGATGTACACTATTGATTGGTTTGCAAAAACTATGCGGTATCAGCGATACTCGAATAGAATTATTGGTTTATTATATATACATCAGAAGCAGCGCCAAAACTGTTTCTAAATCTCAATCTGTACAACGGTCTCGTCAAAGGTGACGGATTTCTTTCGTAGTCGCACCGGTTCCTCCTTCGCCGCCTTCTTTTTCGACTTTGAGTTTTTCTTTTTCTTTTTCGAGTTACTGCTGGTGGAGACGTCGAGATCCGCTATCCGGTCGGCGACCTCGTCTGTGCCGTCTGCGGCAGCATCGACTTTCGTAGCTGCCTCTTCCGCCACGGGCGCGGATGCGACCGGATTCTCCTCTCGCAAGCAGCGCGGGCAAGTGCACCAGAATCCCCATCCTTCAAGTAGCTGATCCCGTCTGGTTTTGAGATCGAGTCTGCGGTCGACGTAGGTGGTCGTCAGTTCCTCGCCCTTTGCCAGGTCGCGTTTCGCGGTGACTTTGACGCCGGTCGTGCGACTGACGATCTTGACGTCGACCGAGGGCTCGCAGCTGTGGTTGAGGTGAGATTGGAGGAGGTATATACTGCCGTCGAGGTTGTTGATGTTGACCATGCCGATACCGGCCAGGAAATCGTCGTACGTAGGCGGGGACGGGAAGTTTTTGAAAAAGTTGTTGACAACTTTGTAACCATCGTGCCATAGTATATCGAAATTGTCCAGCGCAAAAATGTTCTGCTCGATCTGTGGATCGGCCTTTTGTCTGATCTCCTGGCTGATCTTGGCCAAGCCGTCGATGCCGGCCTTGATATCGACGCCCGTGCCGTCGTCAAAGATCGCGGCAGCGACTGCGTACGAGTAGAGATAGACGGCGCTCCACTGCGCTTCAGCAGCGTACTGCTCGATCGCGACCCACTCGGCGGTGTACCGTCCGTGCCGGATGTGCTTGTGCAGCTTGTCAGCCTTGCGGCACCGCGAGGAGCACCACCGGCCGCTGCAGGTAGAGCATGACGCAATCAGCGCTGCGGAGGCGGACGACAGCGGGCGCGCGCAGAAGGAGCATGCTTGTCCGGAGGGGATCATCTGCGCGAGCGAGACAGGCGGGATCAGCACCAGCGCAGGCTCGGTCCAGATCGTGGTGGTGGCCGGGATCGCGGTCTTTGCTTCCAGACCCTTTCCACGGGTCGTAGAGACAAACACATCGACGGTGGGCGGGAGCGAGAGGTTAGGCACCGGTCCTGAGACGGTCTGGTCGACGTAGAGCTTTGGCTTGACGGCTTCCGGTATCGAGTACGACGCAGGCACGGCGTCCGCATGCCCGGCTGACTGCGAGCGGAGAATTGTCTTCAGCCTGGCGAGCGACAGCATCCATTCAGGCTCGAGAGCCTTGATCGAGATGAGCAGTTTCGCGACGCCGAGCTCGGGACTGCCTTTCCGGATCCGGAGCGCAAGCTCAAGCACTTGCTCCTCTGTAGGCGATACTGACATTCTATTGATTTCTATCTTCAGTATTCTCAGTATCCTGATTCAACTTTTTCTGTTTTGCTAAAAAGTTTGGTCTCGGAGAAAGCGTTGGGTTTCGAGATCAGGCACGTGACGCCGGAGCCGAGAAGAAGGCCTGCGTCGAACTCGGTTTGCGGGGCTACAGAAATTTGGATGGTTTGATCCGACGGACATCTAGAACGCCTGCTCTTCCTCTTCCGCTTCCTCACGCACGACAAACAGCCAGAATACCAGCATGCCTCCTCGTCTCAACATCGTCGTGCCTGTCAAGCGTGTGATTGACTACGCTATCAAGCCTCGTGTCAACGCAGCGAAGAATATCGTCGAGACAAACGGTGTCAAGTTCAGTCTCAACCCATTCTGCGAAATTGCCGTGCGTCTTCCTCCAGCCCTGTTCTTGCCCACTCCCGGATTTTTGTACTGACCATGCTGTTTTTTATCGGAAATAGGTCGAAGAAGCTGTGCGTCTGCGCGAGTCGAACAAGGACCTCGTCGAATCCATCACTCTCGTCTCCGCCGGATCGGCAAAAGCGCAAGATGCGCTCCGCTCCGGTCTCGCCATGGGTGCCGACAAAGCGGCCCTGATCGAATGCCCCGGCATCGACGACTCCAAACTTCTCTCACTCGAACCCCTTGCCGTCGCCAAACTGCTTAAAGCCTACGTCGACAAATCCGGCGCGAACCTCGTCATCATGGGAAAACAGGCCATCGACGACGACGCAAACCAGACCGGCCAGATGCTCGCGGGTCTGCTGAACTGGTCGCAGGCCACTAATGCGAGCAAGGTCGATGTCGCAGAAGACGGCACGGTTTCCGTCACCCGCGAGGTCGACGGCGGGTCGGAGACGTTGGCGGCGAAGTTGCCGATGGTTATTACTACAGACCTCAGACTGAACGTGCCGCGGTACACAAAGTTGCAGGATATCATGAAGGCCAAGAAGAAGAAAACAGATAAGCTCTCGCCTGCAGATTTGGGCGTCGATATCACTCCAAGACTTGAGACCGTTTCTCTAGCAGGTAAGCATCCCCACTCTCCAGCCCATCTTCATGCGTGGTTACTGACATACGATCGCTACAGATCCTCCAAAGAGAGTCGGAGGCGCAAAGGTTGACAGCGTCGACTCGCTCATTTCGAAGCTGAAGGAAGTCGGAGCAATCTAATTCCCCGCAGGCGTTTTATAGAACAAAATGTAACAAACTATTGATGAGATAAATACTACTCGTATTTACAAAACACAAAAAAACTCCAGACCCCCTACCATTTCGCTACATGTAATAAATCATTAGATCAAAATTTCAACTTCTTGGCCACATCACCCAACCTCTTTTCTCTCTCTGCAATCTCATCAACCTTCTCCCTCTTCAGATTCTTGCCTACTCCCTCACTCTCGCTCCCGACATGTGGATCGCTATCATTCTTCGCGCTCAACCTCGGCAAGCGCTCAGGCGGAGTCGGCGCCGGCATCTCCTTAAAATACGCCGTCTCCAGGCATTCCTTTGTATCGATCCGTTTCGCGGGATCAAGCGTCGTCATCTTAAGCAAGAAATCCAGCGCGCTCTCGGACGCAGCCGAAAACTGCATCCGCATCTGCTCCCGCGTGGGGGGTGGGTATATCCCCGACTTTGGATCCGACGCCGCAGTGGCTGCGGACGTCTTCTCCGGATCGTAAAAGTAGTCTGGCAGCGAGGAGACGCCGGGCCAGGACTCCTCTGTCGGCGTGCCGAATGCGCGGAAAGTGAGGTCGAGCTGGTCGAGGTCGGTTTGGCCGGGCAAGTACGGCGTGCGAAGCATGAGCTCGGCGAATATTATGCCGACCGCCCAGACGTCGACTTTCCGCGTGTAAATCTTGGACCCGAGCAGGAGCTCTGGCGCACGGTACCATCTAGTTACCACCGTTGGCGTCATGGGATCGTAAGGACCCGGCTGCTGGCGCGCGAGACCGAAATCAGCAATCTTGAGATGCCCGGTAGGCGAGAGCAGCAAGTTATTTGGCTTCAAATCGCGGTGCAGGACAGAGTGCCGATGGCAGTAGTACAGTCCCGCAAAGGTCATGTACATCCACGACTTTATATCCGCGGCCGTGAACATAACCGACCGGTCTTTGATCACCATCTCGAGATCCGCCGAAAGATACTCGAGCACGAGGTTGAGACTGCGCGCGGTCCCGGACGACACAAAGACGTCGATCAGCTCGATCACGTTCTCGTGCCGTAGCTCGCTCAGAAACTTGATCTCGCGGATCGCAGACATGTCGAGGCCGTCTTTGAATTGGCCGACTTTGATTTTTTTGATCGCAATCACGCGGTTCGTCGACAGTTGGCGGCCGAGGTAGACGACGGCATAGGTACCTTCTCCGACCTTGCGATCTACACGAGCAAGTGTCAGCATGACCCCAAGTTAAACAAACAGCAAAGTCTCTGTATATATAGAGAAAACTGCTCTTACCTTTAGAATACCTGTCCTTCTTCCCGACGCGCTTCTTAATCGCAGCACTCGCCGCCGTGCCAGACGTCCCCGTCCGCGATTGTAGGCCACTATCCGGCATATCCTATTCGCGTATATAATACTTCAAGCACTTGTACCCGTTCGTTCCAAGTTCACTAATTCCTCCCTGATCTACCAGCAGCTCTGTATAAAAGTCGCTGATCAGATCAAATCACCACGGGGCTCGCGGTGCTTGGATTCTGCGGAGAATGCGAGAGGTTTCAAGACACGTGATTAACTTCTTTAGGGGAACTTTGTAGGGTTTACGGATGGTTGATGACTTTGTCGACACTTATTATACACATAGGTCAGAGTAGATGACACTGTCTGATCCTCTCGTCCGTTCAAAAAGATAGAAAAAAGGAAGAAGAAAGAAAGAAATAGAATACAAAAGATCAGAAGCAAGATATTGCTGGAAAAATCACCACTCCGTTATAATCAGATACACCGTCGTCCACTCCACTCCGTATTAAAACAAACCACATCTACTTATCCGCCGAAGGCAGCATGAACCCACTCTTCAGCCAATCAAACCCTTCATCCCAATGCTCCCAGAACTGCATATTATCCAACCGCAGCTCGTCATCCCCGCCAGCCAGTCCGTTCGTCTTCTCGCTCTTCACCTTGTACTCGCCAGCGTCGGAGCCGATCATGCCGTCGTCGCCCGTGAGCGCAGCGTTTAGATCATCTTCGCTGACTAGAGCGGCGGTGGGGCCTTGGTTGGGATGTGTGCTGCCGTAGAGGTCGGCGTGTTGGGTGTCGGGTGGTTGAAGGGCGTCAGTGCCAGTCATGCCGGGCATAGGAGGTGCGACGGGAGACTTGCCAAATTGATCTGCCGGAGAATCAAATAAGTCCCTACTTCCACTATATAACTTGTCAGCCTGCAATTCAATAAGCACAGAAATTTCACAAAAGAGACGTACGCGCTCATCGGCGTTTCCCGCCTAGCAGCATTCGCCATCTCGAAAGCCTGCTTCGCCCGCTCCTGCACCTGCTCAATCAATTTCAATCCACTCTGCACGCCCACGTCTGTCTTCATCAGCCGATAGCACTCGAGTGCGATGTTGATAATTTCGAAATTCGTCATGACTTCGTCTCGTCGTGTAGGATCACGCAGGACGTCGAAGAGGAGGATTGCACACGCTGTTTGTAGGAAAATCGAGTTGAATCTCATTTTCTATATTGATAAAATTGTTAGTAAGTGAACGGGTGCCTAGATAGCAGCGCAAGTACTTACAGCAAGCATCGGGTCTGAAGAATACGCCCGAGCAAGTAACAGTAGTAATCCCCGACCAGCCTCAACGGCCCGATGACAAGCTTCAGGTAAAAACTCGCGATCGCTAGATTGCGGCGGAGAGGTAAGTCCCTGCATTGAGTGCAGCCGGTCCTCTTTCCGAAGCAAACTATCAATGAGCAAGAACGGTCTGAACGTCAGAGTTTTGAAAAGATAGAAATGGCTACCCATAGCGAACGCGTCAGCGTGCAGGACCACGCCTGGTTTTCCGAAATCTTCAAACCGCAGCGCAGGCGGTAAACTGTCTCTGAAAGCGACAAGCTCCTCATCGATCAACTTTGCGCTGTCCCAGATCGATAGCACAGATTTGTTTTTCGGTCCGTAGATCAGTGACGTGCATTTTACACTGATTTTCGCTAGATGTGACATGTACTTGAGGAAGTCGACCTCAGGAAGGGCGATATCGAGTTCGGCATCGTTGAATGCCGATGGCCGGCCGATTAGGATCGCGAGTAATCGCTCAAATGAATAAAGAGCCCACAGAGTCGTTCGTCTGTCTTGACTGCTGGTCGAGCCATCACTCGAGTAAGCCGAAAGCGAGGGAAATTCGCGGTGAAGGCCACATGAGTATGCTAAACGGACGGCTTGGCCGGAGAGGGTATATGAGGTATTTATTTTGCCGTTCATCGCCTGTAGGTGACTTAACAGCAGCAGGACTTTGACTCTGTCGGTACTGATGACATCCGAGGTTGCCTGCAAGATGTCCATAGCGCGGTCGTACAGCATTTGGCTCCACTCGATCTCACCTTCCAAGCTGGCACCGGTTGCTAGTACTCCGAGCATTCCAGGTTCGGCGTTTGAGATTGGACTTGTCGATCGATAGGTGAGGTCGACGACGCTATCTATGTAAGCGCGCGGGTATACGGGCATGATGAACGCCAGCGTTCGATAGTAATTGTCGACAAACTTGGTTGCGGATGCGGGATCCAGAAACTTGATGCCGTTTCTTGTCGCTGAGCCTTGTGAGGTTGGATCCGAGTTGCCGCCGAGGAAGAGGTCTCGGAAGCCATAGGCTTTGATGCCTTCGGGCACATCACCCATGCCGCCCATCTCCATAGACCCCGAGTTCATTGCTTGATGGATGTGTTGGATGAAAGAAAAGGAAGCAGCAGGACCGTAGTAGATGAAACTTTCGATTCCGGGATTGACGGCGGTGATGCCACTGTAGACTGAGTTGTGCATTGGGCTGTTGCCTATTGTGTTGTTCGAGTCCGACGCAAGAGGGTCGGCGGAGGCAGAGGAGACGGAGCCGCCGGAATGGTCGACGCCAGTGATTGTTCGGGTGGGCGGGCGCGGAGATGGATCAGTCTTGCGTCGCTTAGCATCGTTTGACAGCGGCGAGGTGCCTCGATTACCAAGTCCAGAGCTGCCGTTGTTTAGATCACCGATCGATATCGAGTTGGAGAGGTTGTGAGCGCCGGTTGCGGAGTCGTTGCTGGTAGACTCGGGAGCGTCGTCTTTGTAGAAGCACTTTGCGCCGCGGAGAAGACACTGTTCGCAGCTCGGACTGGCGCCGTTGCACTTTACTTTTCGTCGGCGACATATGTGGCAAGCGCGTCTGGTCCGCAGACGAGGGTACTCGGGGATGGGAGAGGCTGGTTGCGATGAAGAGAAAGCGTCAGTGTGGATTCGGAGGTGCGCTGACAAAGTAGAGCTCGGAAGAGTAGATGCGGCAAACGCAACGAGCAGGCGACACTTACGATCACGGCGCTCAGCCATGTCTAACCAACGAGCCTGGTCAATGTGCAGATACAATACAAAACAAGAAATATTCGCAAAATAGCAAAACACCAACACTATCGTCAGCCAGCCAGCGAGGAAGAGTCGAGCAGCGAGCGGAAGAACACAAAAGTTTGCGAAATGGCAGAGAAGAGGAAGAAAACCTTATCGAACCTGCCCGCCCCCGCCTTCGCAGACGCGGCCTTTTACTTCTGCTGCCTCTGCCGCCGGAGCCGCACGCCCAAGTCCCAACCACCAAAAAAAATATTCGCTCCCAAAGAAGTAGATTGATCACAGTGCAAGAAATGACGACCGACAAGACCGAGACAGTGGCGGCAGACGTGTCGGCGAAGAGGAAGCGCAGTCAGGCCTTTGAGGAGATCGAGATCGACGTTTCTCAGCCTGAACCGCTCTCGAAGAAGGAGCTCCGCAAGCGCAAGAAACTGGGAATCCCCCTCGACGCTCCTCGCGAAGCAACCGCAGAGACCGGCGACGACGCAAAGAAGTCGGATAAGAGCAAGTCAAAGGAGAAGGAGAAGGAGTCGAAGGAGTCCAAGGCGAAACCAAAGACCGACTTTGGCGTCTGGATCGGCAACCTCAGCTACTCGACTACTAAAGACGATCTCCGTCGTATGCTGATTGAAAAATCAGGAGATGAGATCAAGTCTGATGAGATTGTTCGCATACACATGCCCAAGGGCAGAGATGGCAAACGGAAGGGGTACGTCTTTACTTACTACCTCTCTTTCTATCTACTAGTCCTAGTCTAACAACCCACAGCTGCGCCTACGTCGACTTCACCACAGAAGAATGCATGAACCGCGCCATCGCCCTCTCAGAAACCCCCTTCGACGGCCGCAAAGCCTTGATCAAAGACGCCCGCGTCTTCACCGGCAGCAAAAAAGATCCCAACTCTGCCGCCGCCGCTGCTGCTGCCTCGTCGGCTTCAGCTACTGCACCTGTCGAAGGCAAAAAGCCGTATAAGATTCTGTTCATCGGAAACCTCCCCTTTGAAACCAAAGCCGAGCAGCTAGAGCAGAAATTCACCGTCGATCTCAAGTCCCCGCCCTTAACTTCCTTTGGCGAACCGGTCGAAGACGAAGAGGAAATCGACATCACAATCAAACCCGTCAAAGTCCGCATGGCGACCTTCCAAGACACGGGCGCCTGCAAAGGTTTCGCCTTCATCGACTTCAGATCTTCCTACGAAGCAGGCAAGGTTCTCAAATCCATCGGCTCTCGATTTTCTTTCCTGGGTAGGACCGGAGTAAAAGCTGAGTTTGGCGAAGACCGGTCCCTCAGACATCGTCAGCCTAAACCCGAGCAGCAGCAGGAGGAAGGCGAATCTCTCGGCGCAAACTATATGAATCCCGAGCGAGCAAATCTTCTCAACAAGAAACCCTCCTACTCCGACTCTGCACGAGAACTCAGAAGCGACACCGCACCCCACTCCAAACCCGAGCAGCAGACTTCCAAACCCGAGTCCGACTCAACGCAGCAGTCATTCGCTCAGGAACCCAGACGCGAGCGACCGCCTCCTCGCAAGAGTGCTGGCGCCGGACGACAGCAGCGGATAACGCCTGGAATGGCACTGGCAAATTCTCAGCGAGCAAAGGTGTCGATCGTCCCGTCTACCGGAAAGAAAATCACTTTTGACAATTAATTCTAGCTAGCACTCTTAATGTAATAATAAAAGCTTGTTTTTGGATAGAGATTAGAGAGGTTTATTGAAGGACACTGTACAAGCAAATGAAAGACACAATAACAATACATAAACAACCCAGTCACATCAATAATGGTGAAATCGTACATTTGCTGGTTTCCTTTTTTTTTTCACAGATTTTCTATCTTTAACTCAGCCTTTAAGCAAAACTACAGATCCAAAATGTACAAATCACTACACGCATCAGCATATATACTCCTGTCAATTTTTTGCAATATATTTAGAATATAAATTTATTCCTACCATATCTTTTATTCACCTCAGAGTCAAAGATCTTCTTTTAATCATCCAGCAGACTCAGTAAATCACATCTGCATAGACATCGCCTGCTGCTGCTGTTGCAAGCGCTCCTTGATCAGCGGATATCTATCCAGCAACTTGATCTGCACATTCACGGCCTCCACGTACGACGCCGCCTGCATGATCTCGTTCTCGGTTCGCGAAAGCTCGAGCTGCTTCTCAAAGTAGCCCAGCGCTTCCTCCATCCTGTTCTGCGTCATCATCAGCTGCGCGAGCGTGCCGACCGCAAGATCACTCTGGGGGTCAACTAGATTATAATAATTAGTCTTCATACTCGCAGATCTTAGTCTAAAAATAAGTACTCACGCTCAAGGGCAGTCTTCAACAGCTTCTCAGCATCCTCAACAGTTCCCTGCTTAAAAGTCCACAGAATATACGCCTTGTTGATCAAAGGCAGAACATTGTAGTCCGAGCTCTTGCGCTTCTTTTCCAGCTCGAAAGCACGATCAAACATCTCGACCGCATCGCCCAACTTCTGGTTATCCATCAACAGCTCGCCGTAGTAGTTAAACACATCCGGCGCCTCGGGGAAGTTCTTTGTGCATTTCTTGAAGTTCGTCATCGCCTGGATCACGGCTCCGAGCTTGTATTGTGTCACCGCAAGCTGAACGTGCGCAGACATAAACTCCTTGTCGAGGTCAATCGCCTTCTGGTAGTCCTTCGCCGCGTCGTCGTATTCTCCGAGCAAGAAGTGCACCTGTCCTCGGTGGTAGTAGATATCCGGATCCTCGGGGTTGACAGCGACTGCGGTATCAAAGTCCTGGTTCGACTTTGCCGGGTCGCCGAGCTCAATCAGCAGCATAGCGCGCTTGATCAGCGCAGACACCGACGGCGCAATCTTGATGCTCTCGGTGAGATCAGTAAGCGCGCCTTCGTTGTCAGCCATCAAAAACTTGAACGTTCCGCGCATGTCCAAAGCCCAGGCCAGATCCTCCGCCTCAGCGTCGATAGCTTTATTTACAAGCTCCAAGGCCTCGTAATGGCCCGCGAGCGTCTTCTTCTCAGAGGCCTCGATCGCCTGCTTGAGGTACGCGTTTCCGGATCCCTCGGCAGCGCCGGTAATCGATTCGGGCGTCTCCCGCTTGTGGAACGAGTCAATGTACGCAGTCACAAACGAGATCGACGGAAGGCTCTTCGTCTTGTTTTGCAGCAGACCCTTAGCCCGCTCCTCGCCGCACTGCATCAGCATTCGGTCAATCGACTTGCCGATGGGATCGTTCGGGGTTCCAGACAAGAGCGCCGCTGCAGTGTAGTCGAGAACAGACTCGTGGAAGTTGCCGAGCTTCTCGTAAGCCTGCGCGCGACGGGTCAACGCCTTGAGGTAGAGGCTGTCAAGCTCGAGCGCCTTGGACGCATCCTCGACGGCCTTCTCGTACTGCTCGAGAGCGTTGTAGCACGCAGCTCTGTTGTTGTAGTAGACCGCATCCTTCTTGAGCGAGATAGCCTTGGTGTAGAGATCAATAGCCTGCTCGTAGTTCTTGGCCTTGAACTCTGCGTTTCCGGCAGTTTTGTACTGGAGTGAGTAGTCGTTCAAAGTCTACAAGACTGTTAGTATATGCAGTTTCTTTCTCGGTAATGAAAAGAGATCTACAAACCTCCTCTGAAAGGCCCGAGAGATCAGATGGTATCGCAGGCAAGCTGCTCGAGCTCTCAGTGGCGCCTGTGGACACACCCTTTTCCTTCTCCTCGGTAGCGTTTTTAGCTAATCATATCATAACGTCAGAATGCAGTTCATAATCAGAAAAAAGAGCAGACGAATAAGCTTTTTGTGACAATAAAAGCACTCCTACCTTCAGCCTTCTCTCTCTCCTTCTTTGCTTTCTTCTTATCTTTCTTGCGCTTCTTGTCAGAAACAGCCTTGGTCTCTGCAGACTTTTCACTCTCAGCCGAAGGCGACGGCGACGGCGACGACGCAGGCGGCGCACCAGGCTTGTCGCTGTACATCACGTAGTACGCGCCAGCGCCTCCGACGACAAGGAAAGTGGCAGCCGACAAGCCATACACGAGCGCCTTATTTTCGGAAACGAATTTCGAGACACGGGCCCATACCGACGGGGGCGCGGTCGTGATTGAGACAGGGCTCGGGGTGGGAGCCATTGTGGGTAGTAGTGATTTGTTCTGGGTTGATGACAGCGAGTATTTCAGCCACTGATTTCACAAATAAGTTCTCTCTAAGACTGATATCAATAAGATCGTTAGCCGCCGTTCAATTCCGTCACAAAGGCTGCGAACAAGATGCTACGCTGATGTACTCCGGCCAGGTCGGTATACCCATGACGTACACCCGACATCCCGCAAAAGAGCATGTGCAGCAAACGGAACAAAGAAGCCAAGCCATAATTCTCGCAGAGCCGAAACAGGTATACATACCAAGAGCTATAAACCAACGATCAAAACACCAACAGAAAGCCGAACTGTGCACGATTGGTTTCTCTTTGTCAGAGGGATGGAAAGAGAGTAGAGCGAGGCACGGCAGCGGAGTTTTCTTTGCGAATCTGTGCTCGCTCCAAATTATTTTTTTATTTTTTTTGGAGGTTCGATTACCCGGACTCTGCTCTGCTCTGCTCCAGAGGATGCAGCCGATTCTACTATTCCAGATGTTCTCATTATAAGTAGATGTTATAGCTATTAAAGACAATAACTGGTGAAAAATAATAATGTTGCTATATTGTACAGTTATATGGCCTGGCAAAACACCGGCCGTTACTAGGACTCCAACGATTAATCGACAACCACAGCTAAGCCTTTCCCTTCTTCCCGAGGTGCAAGATAATCGGATTAATAGCCTTCTTCCTCCTCGAGGCAGCCATTGCAACAATGTCAAACATCTTTTCGTTCGCCGAATTGCTCCTGTTCATCGCACCGTACTGCTCATCTGCGTCGCCGAGCAGCGACAGCTGCCCGCTCTGCGTAGCTCCGTCTGATCCTCTGCTCATCGCGCCCAGCTTGCGCAGTGCTTGCTCTACTACTCTGCCCTCCTCTATGATCTTTTCGCGAATATCCTTCGGATTCGTAGTCCGGGCGGGGTATGTGGGTGTCGTCCTGTAGGTGTAATCTGCTGGGAGCGGTGGCATCCACGACGGGATGTACTCCAGCTCTTCTTTCTTCCTTGTCGTCGGCGCAAGCAGCGACAGTTCTTGCTGCCGCTTATTCCATGAATCAATCTCCTGTAATGATGGACTATCGCCCTCGCCGGACTGTAGTGTTCCAGCCGTCTCGTTGGCTTCGTCTGAAGGTAGCTGAGGTTGGAAGATAAACTGTGATCGCATGTATTCGTCCTCTAGATCTGACGTGTGAATCCCCTCTTCCGTCATTAAAAATGCGAGATCGTGCACACTTGGAAGGTTCCGGCGCTGGATCATCGCGATACTGTGTAATCTTGAAAGTAAATGTAGAAAATCTAAGTCGATCAATTAGCTCTAAGAAACTCCTAAAAACCACTGCCATCGAATGCGCTCCCTCATGACAATCAAAGAAGTAAGAAAACATACACTCCTCGCCCAAAATTGCAAACATCTGTAGTGCAGACGGCGTGCACTGATACGCCAACGCCTGTAGCATCATCGCCGTCGGTCGAATCATAAACACGCCTTCGTCGCCGGCCGTCGCATTCTCCAGCAGCTTTGTATAGCTATCAAAGTCCTCAAACTTCCGCTTGCTGTCTCCCTCCCTACTTCCGCTTCGACTGCTGTGGTTCGAGCTGCTGGTCTGTTCACCACCGCCCCCGCTGCTTCCGACGCCTGCTGGCGCCGGCGAGAGGTCCCCCATGTGCGCTCTCTCTGGGGTAATCTTTGTATTCTCACTCAATCATCCAACAACCAAGCCAAGCCAAATACAAACGTTCTCTGCCCTATGTGTCTGCACGTTGATAGTCAAGCAGCACTCCAGCGATTCCAGCCCGTGATTGCAATTCGTAAATCAGCCGGCTTATTGCTGCAGGTTGCTGCGATTGTCTTTCGTGTTTTGGCTGTTCGAAATCATCAAAATTGAGGGGTTGGTACCTGATGACACATTCTATAGTGGATGCGTGACTAATGAGATGTTTACCGATTAAATTAATTACGGGTCGCCTGCGCTGGGCACCGCCCCAACTACTATCATCAGTCGAGTTTCGCATTCGGAGTCTACTACCAGCAAATATCTACTAGCAATATCGTGATATACGTTTAGTGTGATATAGTGTCTTGTTCATTTGTATAAATATCTTGCCGCAATCCCCCCTTCGAAATGAGCAACATGGCTGCGTCAGTTAGCAATCTCGACCAGGATATGGCGGAGCTCCGGAAAGCCAAGTACGATGATAAATCGGCAGCTGAGGTTTGTAATCCTGATGTTTGGTGCTGGTTGCGTGTGGTGGTCTAGTGACTAACTTGAGCTTTGTGGACAGGCAAAGGCTTGGATCTCTGGTATATTAGGTCGCGATTTAGGAGACGGTGATCTGATGGAGACACTGAAGGATGGTACAGTTCTGTGCGAGTAAGTATGCCCTCTGCTGCTGCTATACACGCGTGTTTTAGTGATCTAACTCCTGATTTTAGACTTGTTAATATTGTCGATCCATCTGCCAATCTCAAGTTCAAGCAATCAAGAATGCCATTCGTGCAGATGGAAAACATCTCCATGTTTCTCCGCGCCTCTGCAAACCTAGGTCTTCCACAATACGATCTCTTCCAGACCGTTGATCTCTACGAAGGCAAAGATCCCGCTCAAGTCCTGCAGACCCTGTTCTCGTTCTCACGGCACGCGAACAAGCGAAACCCGAGTATACCGCAGCTGGGACCCAAGCTGGTCGAGAAGCGAGCGAGCCCGGGCAAGTTTGCGAGAGAAGGCGAGGGTATTCCTGCTTGGAACACAAGGCAGTATGGGTACATGGGTGGTGCGAATCAAAGCAGTGAGAAGATTGTTTTTGCAAAGCGGCGAGATGTCGTCTTCAAGCCCGAGTAACTGTTGTCTTTTTAGTCGTGTGATTGCGTTCCTGTACAGTCTGTGTATTAGGGATTTTTTGTCGTTGTTTATTTTAGGCGGTTAAGGAGTTTCTGTTTGGCAGTTTGTAGGTTATATACAGCTATATTAGATATTTCGTGGTTCTATGTACAACAAGGTTATCTCTCACCACTCATGCGCTTTCTCGCACGCCTCTTTGACTCTTAAAAACAGAAAGTGCGTAAGCCTGGTTAGCCCATACACCGGGGTCGCAAACCGATACATGTTATTCTTCTCATACGAACGCGGAACTATAACTCCATTCTGGACCTTCACCATTCCCAAAATATCCTCAACTTCCGGCGTCCGCCCGTACGGCGGCGGACTGCGCTGATCGTAGATCGCCATGAAATCATTGCCGTACATGCTCGCCAGCGACGTGAACGTCGGATCCTCTTCGACATACTTTGCAATCGTGGCGTGCATGATGGGAGGAAATCGTGGGTTGGGCGTGAATGTGGATTCACTGATATTCTTGGTGTCGGTCAGTACGCCCATGCTGAGTGCGGTGGGCATGCCCGACATTGAAACTACATTCTCAGATAAAAGATACTAGCGCGCGGTTAGTTGTGTTTCCAATACTCTGAAGATAATCGGTAGCCAGTCGATACTTACAATCTGATCATTACCCTCAAGTCTAGGCGCCTTACTTTTGAATCTCTTTTGTGTGCAGGCTACTGTCTGTGTCGGCAAAAGATTCAAAAAGAAGCTGCTTTGATGCCGCGACACAGCGCGAGATGTTGATAGTAATGAACTCATGGTGGTGTAGGTCGTGTGGAGATGTTCAAGACAAAGAGGCACAGTCGATTCAGAGTATCTTGAATTTTCGATGAGAAGGCTTCACGCCGCACCATCCCGAATATCGCTAATTCCCAAACCATTCTTACAACCTGTTGCAATATATTGCCAGAGGTGATTTATATTGAAAAGAGAGAGGAAAAAAGGCAAAAACAAGACTCCAGTATCAACTAATCTAAACGATACAGAAACTTTATAGCTTTATAGACATAACTGCAACATTCATAAAATATATCATAACAGACAAAAGAGTACATAGTAAAAGGTTTGACCATAGTCCTTTCTGGACTCACTCATTCTTTTTATCCTTTGGAACGCTTCCCGGGATACTAGTACTCCTTGCCCTCGTCGTACCCAATTTTCGGCCCTTCTCCTTCGGCCCATACAACTTGACAGCCTTCCGCACGAGCTCCTTCTCGTCCACAGCCATCACAGCCACCAGCACGACCGCCAGACTCCCCACGACCAGCAGCTTCGTCCATGACTCCACTGGCCCAATTGAAAACATGCAGATTTGGAGAACGATCGCTGTCACAATCACGTACAGGCCGGGATACGACTCGCGTCGCGCGAGCGGGAAGATCGGACTGTTGACACGGCCTGACGCGGCGCGCTTCTCGTCTAGCTTGTCGTGGCTGACTGCGCTGTTGTCTCTGTAGTACTTTGATATCCAGAACGCACAGGCGGCAATCCTGATTGCGAGGTTCACCATGTTTGCGTAGACTAGCCCCGTGGCGCCACATCCAAGCACGCGGATAAAGAAGTAGCCAGCGACAGCAAACACGACGGAAAGACCGAGCATCAGAAAGCTCTGCTCGCGGACTAGTGTAGGCGAGGAGATTGATTGGACAAAAGCCTCGAGGACTCCGTTGAATGCTAATAGGGGGATGTAGTAGGCATACGCACTAATCACCGACGCAGCCGAATTCGAAGCCGACGACCATTTCGATCCTGCGATAAACGACAATAGGAACGGTCCAACGCTCGGCCCAAAAATGCTAGAGAGAAGTGCAACGTGACAATAAACGCGCAGGATCGAGCTGAGTGTGTCGGAAGACATTCTGAAGTTTGACGCTGATAAAGGTGGAGCCAGCAATTTGGAAAAAAGCGTGCGGACAGCCTCTTCGATTGGCAAAAACACAAGCCGCGCAATCAGCGAACCGTAGTTGGCAGTTAGTGCGTAGACTCCTTGCTCTGAGATTGTGATGTAGAGACTCGAGAGGAATTTGTCACCTTCGGTCAGGTAGTGCTTGAACACGGTTTGCAGCCACATTGTGGATGCGAGATGCATGGTTGACCGATCAAAATAAAACCAAGGGGACTGTGATATTTCTTCTTTCCATATCCGCCGCGGGAAGATAGCGTTCTCTTTTCCTCGCGTAGTCTCCCATCCCAGTAGGACGTAGAGTCCCGACAAGACGACGGCATACGCCAGCTGCCCAAGTGCAAAAGCCAAGACACCCGTATCTTCTCTTGCCGAGACTGTAAGCAAGAAAGTGACAGCGCAACGAGCGGCCACGGCTCCTGATTCGCAGATAGCGCGTAGTTTGTATTGCAGCTTATACTGTACTAGCGCAAACACCGGCTCGGATGCAAGCTCTACCAGCGCAGCGATTCCATATATAACCACAACAGACTTGAAGTACGGCAGATTCGAAACCTCGTAGCTTGCGCCCCGGAAGTAGTACCAAGCACAGCTGATGCCTGCGAGCGGGATCCCCAAAAGAAAGGGCAGGTACCCTGTGTTGACGACGCTCTGGGCGATTCCCGACACCGTCCCCTCAACCACGCCGCCCTCAATTCTAAACGGATCAGGCTTCGGGCTCGTCGTCTGCCGCTGTAAAGCAAGTCTGATGGCTTCCCTGGCGAAGAACAAGATCGACGACGAGAGCAGCTCCAGCTGCGCCGAGACGCCGAGCATGTCTGGCGAGATGAACCGCAGAAGTGCCTGGTTTAGAATAAACGTGATGATCTTTGAAAACAGCTGCAGCATGATCAGGAACGTCGCGCCGACGGCGGAATGCGTCACGAGCTCAGTAGGATTATCAGCGGATTCGGCTTTGGCGGACTGAAGTCCGGCAGGCGGCGGTACCACGATCGTCGAGTGCCGCCTGCTGTGTCGTTTTGCCAGGATTGGCGTGCGCGGTACGTCGTTCATGATTGGTTTTGTAATTGTCGAAACAGCAAGGCCACTGAACTATCTGCTCATTGACGATATCGAGATGTCGTACGCGCTGTGCCCGGGAGAGGGATCCGGCGATTCACCTCCAGAAAAGGGGCCAGGCGAGAGTGAGGGAGCGTGTATGGTGCGAAGAAAAGACAGCAGCCGTTTCTCGAGCAACTTGTAAACAGACCAAACGATTCCTGACTGGCTAAAACAGTCTGATCCGCTCGCTCGCTGCTAAACACGTTCGAAATCTTCTCGAGGAACAAAGAACTCGGCCGTCGAATGTTTGGCCACTTGTGCGGATCAGATGTGGCTGTGCCAGAAATTCAGGGGTGGCCCGAAGTGGCTAAAAACAAGTGTGGCTTGTGTGGCTGAAGGCAGGGGAGCCTCGTCACCAGCCGGAGTCGCCTTGTAAAGAAGATTTCGCGCCCATCTCGTCGCTGCTCCTAATTCAGCTGCTCTTTGCAGCAATAAAAACACCCCGGATCAACACCGATATCCAATGCTGGCCGCGACCGCGTAACGCGTCTTTGACTGGAGCACCGAGCGCAACCACCCGCTACGCACTGATTCAACAAAATGGCACGCTTCGCGCCGCGAGGCGACAATTCGCGTAATCCTTATCTGGATAACGTGCCGTTGGACGACACGAACGACAACATCTTCCTGGCCGAGTCCGACGACGACGACGACGATTTTTTCTTCAACGAGCCTGAGAAAGACGGGTCGCCACGAAGTAAGTCTATTTGTCACCCGTGCTCTCGAGATTTTCTGATCTGACAGCTTTAGAAAATCGGCGCACGACCTGGGATCCTGCCGGCGAGTTCCGGACGTTGCCGGATTCGCAGGAACGCATATACGTTTCCAAGCCACACTGGGCCGAAGCCGACGCGACGGACGACGAACAGAATGGCGAACACAGAGAAACCGCAAAGGCTGATGCCCATGGGTTTTCGCTTTTACTGCTGCTCACAAATGGGCTGGGGATCGATAGTCTAAATAACCTGCTGATGGCCGATTCGTATGCCCGCGAGGGTATGATCCCAAGTTCTTTGATTCACCTGTTTTAACTCACGCTTTTTGAAACTGACTGATGAACTTGATCTGCAGGATACTTTGTAGTGATGCCCGACCTTTTCTTTGGCGATCCAAACGCGCCCATCGTCCAACCCCCTAAATCGTTCGGCCCAACATCCCTCCTCTCACGCGTCAAATCCCTCGCCGTCTCCTCCGCGACCGGCTTCCGCACAGACATGTGGGTCGCACGACACACTGAAGAGCGCACGTGGCCGATGCTCGTGCAGATGATTGACGAGATTGTGGATATCTATCGTCCGCGGGATATCAGCGTGGTGGGTTACTCGTTTGGCGGCAAGTACGCGCTCAAGCTGTTGCAATTGCCGATCGGGTCGCCTGACGCGAAGGAGCGGAGTATGTCGAGCACGTCGAGTTCCAGTCTGGAGCAGACAAAGTCGCCGACTGCTGCGACTCCTCTCAAACAACAGTCCCCAGTGGCCGAGACTCCGAACGAAGAGTCTCATGGGGATGAATCTCCAACGGAAGACGAACAGAGCGCGAAGCTAGTCCCTGAAGAACAAGCGGACGAACAATCGCAAGAACAAGCCGAAGAACAACCAATGACGCCCTCCAAGCCCACCCTCGAGATCGAAATCCCCACAACAGCAACGACATCCCTCACCTCCCCCTCCTCATCCACAGTCGCCTCCCCCACCGCCCAACCTCTTTCCCCTGCCCCGTTTCTTTCCCAGCCCGTCGTAAGCAGCCTGACCAACCCTCCCTGGTGCAGTCTCATCACAACCGGCGTCATCGCACACCCCTCCCTCGCCGAACTGCGCGACTTTGTCTCCATCAAAAAACCAGTCCTCGTCCTCGCCGTGGAGGATGATCCGCTGTTCCCGCCATCTCTGATACAGGCAGCGATCAAAGCTCTCGGCACGCACACCGCGTTCTACGACGTCAAGTTGTTTGACAGGAAGCTGCCACATGGGTTTGCGGTTAAAGGCGACTATCCTGCGGATAACCGGCTTGTTGCGGAGAACCAGGCTCTTGCGCATAGGGATATCGTCAGTTGGCTCAAGAGTTTTGTGGAATAGGTTTATTTTGTATGATACGTTGGTAGATTTACTTTAGCAAAAAAGAATGTAAATGTTATCGTTGATTCCAATATCTCAAACTCATTAATATATATATAGGCAAAAAAGCGATATAAGCAAAGCAAGCGATAGTAACAAAACAAGCGCAAGAACTCTGAACACCGTGAATAGAAAAAAAAAAGAACACAAAAGCAATAAAAATATGAATAAACTAAAAAAAATGCAGCCTATGAAAGATAGGATGCGAGGGAGGAGAGATACAAGAAGCAAGCGAATAAGATGTAGTTTATAATAATAAAAGGAAAAGAAAAGAGATCAAAATAATCGATTATACTTCAATTTCCATCGCGATCCATGCATCCGACAACTGGCCACCGTTGAAGTCCACGGGGCACTTGACCAGTTCAAAGCCAACCCAGTAGAATGTGTTGACGAGATTATGAAGTTTCATAATCGTGCGGTCGATGCAAATAACCACGCGCTCGCATTCGAGCAGCTCCGAGGCGAGATCCATGACAGCAACGAGTCCTGCCTTGAGATCCATGCGCGAGTTGGCCATCTCCTTGTCAAAGTAGATGAGCATCGTGCGGTCCACGACAGCGCCCATCCAGACATTGTTCTCAAAATCAACGAGCTTGAAGAACTCGGTCTGGCTGGGCGGGATGCCGCGATGCCGCGGGTATGCGACCCGCATCAGCGCCTCAACAGCTGGCGAAGCGGTGCCACGCACGCGGTTCACAAGCTTCGTCATCTCCGTCCCCTCACAAATCGCTGTCCCATTAGCAAAGAGTCTCTCACACTGCAGAGCCAGGTCCAACGATGCCTTCCGCATGTCAGCGGAAGGTCTTGTTCCACGGGGGGCCTCAGGGACGCCACTCTGCCACTCCACCCAACGTAGTGCGATAATGGAAAGCCGACGCGCCAGTGGCGACGGCGTAGGTGTAGCAAGAAGCGATGGTGGCTCCCGTGGGGATCACATCGCTACCGTAGTAGTAGTGGTTCTGGGGGTAGGGACGGGGGTCGCTTCGGAGGCCTGGAAAGAGCGGACTCCGGAACGACCACCGGTACTACTACTTAAATTGGAATTACTCAAAATATTCGCCATAGATGTTGATTTGAAGAGATTTGCTGATAGATCAGGAAAAAAATGTTTGAGAGCGGTTGCGAGGAAGAGTAGTCGTGATTAGAGAGCTGAAGGACGTGGAAAAGGCTGCGGTCGAGGAGCAGCGGCGCAAAAGGAAGACTGATTTTTGAGGGTTGGGGTTCAACGGTGGTCTCATGACTCTTTCTTGGCTGTTGTAAGATGGGGTTTGTACTGTGATGCCTTCCGTATTCGGGCATCTGAATACATTTGCACGGACGCGCGAGATCTCTCGATTCTTGGAGCAGAAGAGTCTGTGGTTTTGTATCAGCGGTGATCTGATTGTTATTGGTTTTTAAAGACTGTTTCTGCTTGTTAGTACGCTTTTTGAAGTGCGGAGTCCAGCCGTGGATGCTCTTAACCTCATAGTGCGGTGTTATCACTGACGTCACAGCCAAGTTGCATTTCATCAACGCCGACTCCAGATCTCGATCACAATATCTTCTTCTTGCAACAAAAGCGAATAGCAAACCTCCAAAACAAAAACAGCAGACTGAATTCTGCAAAAGCATTCTGTTCAGAATATACCCCCTGCAGACTACGCGCTCGGATCGGGCGCGTCCCTGAGCACATCACGTTCTCGCTCGTCTTGTTCTTCGTCGCGTTTCTGCTCTGGCAGGCCTTCCTCGCGACCCTTATCGTGCGACCTGTGTTCATCGTCGCCACTCCGGAAGCCGACACCCCCGTCTCTGACAACAGGCCATCATCCGCGTTCTCTGCTCGTTTCCGGCTGACGGTCGCGGCAGCTGCCGCCGTTGCGAGCACCCGTAGAACACGGAAACGCGCGCCCCCCGCATTTGCACCTGACCGACCGATGCCGCTCGACTTTTTGGCCCCCTCGCGATCGTCTGAGGACGCCGCGCTTTTCCCGTCGCACTGTGCTCTCCCGCTAACTATTTTCTCCTGTGCGAAATGCCAGACGCATATTGCCGCCAACTCGGCAGTTGTGTCAAAGGCGTTCACGGGCCGGTTCGGTCGCGCGGTGCTTGTTCGTGACGTGCGGAACGTCGTTCTGGGAGCGCCGTGCGAACGCATGCTGATCTCTGGTCTTCACTCTTTGGCTGATATCTCTTGCTCGGGGTGTAGTGCTTATCTTGGGTGGAAATATATTGCGACGAACGAACAGAGTCAGAAATACAAGGTTGGTTGTTTTATCTTGGAGGCACGGCGAGTCACGAAAGGCAGCGTCGTTGTGGCCGATAACGACGATGTCGCGCAGGACTCGTATTTGCTTCATCCATTGGACAGAGCTAAGAGCATAGCCGCGCTGAAAAGCTCAAGTCTGTCAAATATGGGGTTTAGGCAGTGGCTCGATAAACAGACCGTGAGGCGGTTGGATGAGGAGCAGAGCGAGCAGCAGCCGGCGGCCAGATCGACTGCTATATCGACATGAACTGGATGATTAACGGCTAATGCGGGATGGATATGGTGTTTCTGATTTTACTGGGTTAAGGGTCTATTTGGCTGGCAGAAGTATGTCTGTTCTTTTATTTGCGGTTTCGTGGGTTATGTATTGCCTTGTGGGATCTATTGGTGCTTATATGTTTTTATGTTCTTTCCGCACGATATCCAGCACTCATTAGTGAGATCATGATATACGCTAGAATACTACTGTACGTTTTTACTTGTTTCTCGAGACTATGATCAGTCATAATCGTAGAATACTTGGCTGGAATTCCATCACGTAGATGCCGAGGCTCTCGCTCAGTTGAGAGTTTGCGAACTTTCTTCCCCGCATCAGGTGTAATGCGACATCATCGTCGTTCGACCGTCCTGCTTTTTTCACTTCATAAGAGAGATAGCACCGATACGTTGCGATGCAAAAATACTCAGAGTTCTCGTGCTTTAATGTGTTTTCACCGGCGGAGTTTGTTGCACACGTCGAGATCAACCGGCCGAAAAGTCTCAACTCTTTCACACCGACGTAAGTATACGTGAAGCACAGCCTTGTTCTTTTATGACTTCGCATAGGTATTCTGACAAGTGACAACAGGGCATGGAAACAACTGCGAGACATATTCAACCTGCTCTCTCTTGACCGCGACGTGCGAGTGATTGTTCTTTCCGGTGCCGGAGACCGGGGGTTCACGGCAGGCCTTGATCTCACAGAGGAGACATTCAATCTACTATCAGGAGCACCGCTCGAGGAGGAACGGCTGCGCTTTTATAAACACCAAGTTATAAAGGAATTTCAGGTTAGTGACCGCGCTGTATCCCTATTAGGGAAACGCCTCTGCGGTCAGTACGCGCTAACGCGTTGAGCCTATTCCAGGACTCTATTTCAGCCATCGAGAACTGTCGGAAACGTGAGCTCACCCCAACTGCCTGCTTCTTGTTTCTCTATCAAAATTAGCTAACTCAGACGAAAAAGCCGTGATTGGAGTGGCGCATGGGATCTCGTACGGACTCGCAATAGACATTCTTTCTGCAGCAGATGTCCGAATCTGCGCGTCGAACGTACGCTTTTCAATAAAGGAAGTCGACATCGGGCTTGCGGCTGACATCGGTACCCTCCAGCGGCTTCCGAAGATAGTCTCGAGCCAGTCGTGGGTCAAAGAGCTTGCCTACACCGCTCGAGATTTTGGTGCTGCCGAAGCAGAGCGATACGGGTTTGTGTCTTATGTACTAGAGGATAAGCAGCAAGCGCTGGCAAAGGCGATGCTGATTGCGGGCGTTATCGCGAAGAAATCGCCGGTGGCTGTCCAGGGTTCCAAGACCCTGATCAATTACAGCCGCGGGAGACCGGTTCAGGAGGGACTGGACTACACGGCAGCGTGGAACGCGTTTGCGCTCGGAAATGATATGTTCGAGGCGGCGATGGCGGCCAAGTTGAGAAAACCTGTTTCGTTTGAGAAACTGTAGCATTGACGAGGGATTGAATTGCAGTCGAAGCGCTACGTAACAAGTCGCGCTCAATCTGCTGGTTTTATGATTGAGCGCCGAGTATGATATTGAGGGAAATCTACTACATATTCGATAACTGTGCATGTTAGATGCAGTATAATCCGACTCAAGACGCGATGACAGTGAGAGGTCATTGGCGTATCGCGTACGCGTTCTCGCAAAGAGACCCACTAACGTCAATACACTTGTGGCGGCGCACTGCTATATAAAATTTGATTTTCCGTCCTTCTCCACAATATCCCACACCAATCACCCATGGTATCCACTTCAAAAGAAAGTCGAGGACTCTTATATTGATTGTACTTATTGTGGTTGTGTACTTTTTTTCTTGTAGAAAGGTTTGATGAAGGTGCGCCGGCACAAAGTGTATTGACGTTATAGGAGACAAGTCTCGCAATTCTCCTAGCGCTTATAAGCAAACTTGCTTCTTTCAAAAATACCTGGTTTCGCACTTTTAGCAGTGAAAACAAGTAAAACGGCTTAATCCATGTCTGTGTCGGGGAAAAGTTGGCATTACCCCTATCCGCTGCAATTCCCAATGCCCAGCCAAATGCCCAGCTCCCCATCGCCTATGAGCTATCAAACAAACGATCGTGATACTTTGTAATGGGTAAAATTTTGTTTCCGTGGTGGGACGTCGAATACCAATAAGCGCAGGTCTCAAAATAGCCCATCACTGAAAAGAGTGATTGCCAGGTGTGGCAGTATTTCTATTTCAGAGCTATGAGGAAGCACATCTGTGATTACTAACTCGCTGCAGTGGGTTGCAGACCACCCGCGCGAGGCACAGCCTTCTCTATGTGCACTTTTTCTTCCTCCGTTACCAGCATTTTCATACCGCTCTTCAGTTTTGTAGACAGCCAGAGTCGTTAAAAAGCTCAAAGCTTTTTCGCGACATATTTCAACGGCCCCCACCAGCCGTACGCGGAACGTACACTAATACCTCGCGCGTGTGCAACCTCGCAATATAAATAGCCCTAACCCGCAGCGGTGTGAGGTACCCGATGCTGCCGCACCCTTTTGCGCGTCGTCTATACCTCCAGCACAGTACGTCTAGCGCCCCCCCCCCCAATGTTTTGCTGACATTCCTCCTGTGTTTGCATCCTCTCCTGCTGTCCTTTGATGCTGGCTGCTTGATACGGTGATAAATTCAGAAGAGAAGAAATTCCGGCATAAGGTGAGTCTCGTTTAGTGCAGCCACAACTTTCTTGATTCTGCCGAGTGTGAGTGCTAGTGTACGGTGGGTACGTACTATTCCGTCCAACCGTACCTTACATTTTTTTTTTTTTGTAGAACAGACCTTCTTCGCTGAAGGTTGCTCGATTTTTGCGGCTGCACGGCTATCGCATCAAGTCCAGTTGTTATATCTCTAATCGCTCGGCCGTCGTTTCGGATTCGCTCGCTTCGTCCTCTACCCGCCGTCTCTACCTACCCGCCGTCTCTACATCCCCATCGTCTCTACCTCCCCACCGTCTCCTGTTCTCCGCCCTCCTTTGTCCTTTGATCTCTTGCAGCATGGCTCCCGTCAAACTCAACGCGGCGAAATCGTATCGTATAACTCTGGTCGTCTTCGCACTAGCCTGCATCGGCACCGCAGTCTACTTCGTGAACGAGCTCACGCCTTCCTACCTGCGACGCGATACAGTGGACTGCTATGAGCATGCGCGGGCAAAGGTCGAGGGCCAACTTGCACCCTCTACCGCCCCCAAAGCGAAAAATTTGATCGTGGTATCCTGTCATGCGGTCTGGACTGGCGGTGTCGGCGAGGGACTTGTAGAAAGCGAATGGTAGGCTACATTTCCTGCTTCAGCTCTCTTCCGTCCATATGCTAACAGTGATCTCCAGGCTTCTTCAACCGGTTCAGCAAGGTCAACAAAAGACATTCGTAGAGCACATCGATCGGGGAATTAGCGCGCTGAAAGCAGATCCCCTTGCGGTTCTCATCTTCTCTGGAGGTCAGACCAACTCGGCCGCAGGACCCATTAGCGAAGCACAGAGTTACTATGTACGATTGATCCCTCGTGCTTCGGGCGCATTTATAAATGTCACTTGTTTACTGACGATTTTTTTACTATAGAGTCTGGCGAAGTCTCGTGGTTTGCTGTCTTCCGACACAGATGACTTCTCATTGCGCGTCACCACTGAGGAATTTGCCCGAGACAGTTACGAGAATCTCCTCTTCTCGCTATGCCGGTACGTACGGCCGTCTCTGCATCGCTTTGCAATCATTCTAACTCAGACACAGATTCCATGAGTTCACAGGCCTATACCCCTCATCCGTGACCGTGATCTCGTACGACTTCAAAAAAGAGCGCTTTACGAAATTACACCGCGCAGCCATCCGCTTCCCGGAAGTGGACTTCCATTTCATAGGCATCGATCCGCCAGGAACACCCCCTGTCGAAGGCGAGCAGCAAAATGCATTCAAGCCGTTTACGTCTGACATGTATGGCTGTATAAATCCTACCTTGGTCGCCAAGAGAGTCGAACGGAATCCATTTAGACGGCGGACGCCCTACTTTGAAAGCGTGAGCAACCTCCTATGCACTGCATCTATGACCCATATATTCCCTTTCACTAACTTTTCCATCTTTTCAGTGTCCTGAATTGAACCCTCTGATGAATTTCTGCGATCCAGACGGGAAAGTCTACGAAGGCTCGCTTCCCTGGGACAACAAAGAGGTCTACGAGAGCGACGATGCATACTAGAAAATAGTCTGCATAGTATAAGTAGTTTGATTTTTATCTTTGGGTTTTGTGATATATATCAGCTGGTGCCTTTTTTGTTCTGTTTCGTTTGTCGATAGCTGGATTCAAGTAAATTATAAACTCATTCGTCTCCAAAGTAATTCTGATAATGTAAATTTTTAATCGCGCATATGTACAAGAACGACAAAAGATAAAACGGAGAAAAAAGCGTAAAATAAAAAATATATCTGAGAAATGACTTGCACGAGAATCTAGTCGTGAGGTTTTCGCTGCAGAATGGGGAATAACCGGGCGGCATGGTAGTTGAACGTCGACTTGCCTTTCACTCCCAGTTTCTAATAAACACAAACAATTAGCACCATACCTTCTTTCCCCCACTTCTCAAACATCAGCAAAGAATACTCACGCTGTTATCATAGCACGCCTTCATCTTAACCTCCAACTTGGCGCACTCCGGCGAATTCAGCGCCGTACCGGCCCAGCACGAAAACAGCTCCGACATAAGCAGCGTGCAGGGGTCCGCCTTGTTCATTTGACTGTTGGTCTGGCCTTTCACCTGTTCTCGCGGGTTGCTGACAGAAAGATATTTCAGTCTCTTGCTGGGCGGCAGGCGCTTCGCGCCTCGTGAGGACGACATTGTGTGGTGGGGTGGTGATTTGGTGAGCGGAGAATGAGCTGGTCGGAGGACGTAGGCGTTGCCTGCAAGAAATGTGTCAATATCCAAATCAGTCGGGGTAGAATTTTATCTTAACAGCATATTTTCATACTTGTTGGTTGCCGCTCGCGCCAAATGCAGGGAATAGCTACGAGAATTATTATCCTCGTCGCGACGAAAACTGCTTTTGAGGTCGAGCGACAACCAAAAACTATACGGGTTAGGGCCACTTTACAGGCACTTTATAAAAGACCCGAAAATTTTTTTAATTATAGCTGTCATGGCTCAATTGGTGGGAGTGCGTATATTGCCAAAACTGCCTTTCGCCTGTGCTTATCGCAGGCTGCGCAGAGGTGTCCGGTTCGAATCTTGTGGTTGGCGGTTTTGGATTTATCCATAAACACAGCGTACGGGTAACCTGCGTCTGTGGCCGCTTTGAGAAATTGAGTATTCTTAAGTAGAGCAATCTAGCAGAGACCTCTTTGCCTCGGGATGGCGACACGGGTAGCAGCTTTGTGTACTGAATTGTGGTTGGTGATGCGATTATGTGCAACTGCCGTCGTTCTTTTTTTTTTTTCAACTTATTTTTATTCTAGCAGAATAATAACGTAGCAAACAAGTGATAGATTCAAATAGCTATTGGTGGGTATGGGAAAAATTGATGAAGTCTACAATTTCACCTCAGCTGGCTGTAGTGCTCCCTGTTTTGCCTATATCTTTCGAGCAGTCGTAAACCTCCAACACTATAGTTTCATTGAAAAATTATTATTGGATATATATTTACATGTAGAAAACAACTGGAAAGATTATAACAGCTCTCTAACTCGACACCTTAGGCTGCTCCTGACTCTGGTGTGGACCGCCATCTCCATGATGTTTGCCCTTTCTAAAACCGTCGCCCCGCCCTCTCGGCCTACTACTATTTACACCAGCACCACGTCCTCCCCGTTGCTGCTGCGCCCCTCCACGCCCGCCCTTCTTCTTAGCTCCCGCCGCGCCAGCTGCCGCACTACCCTCGTTCTTCGCCCCAGCTTCCTGTTTCTGCAACTCCGCCTGCACACGCTCGCTCTCCGCCGCCCACCAACTGGCAAACTCCTCTTCCTCCTGCAACTGCTCGATGCTTTTCTTTTGGCGCGAGTTCGCGGCAATGATGTCCTGCTCGATGCGTTGCTGCTCGATCAGCTCGGCAAGAGAGAGTTGCAGTTCCGCAGGGACTGCGTCGGTGGGCTCGAGAGTTTGCGGGTTTAGCTCTGGGAAGAGGGATTTCGAGATGCGGGTTGGCGTCGACGATGAGGATACTTTGCGTGCATAATTTTTGCTGGAAGATGAAGGAGTAGCAGCAGTAAACGTTGATGCGGTCGTCGCAGTAGTTGCAGTCGTCGCAGTAACCGCGACTGTGGCCGCGGTCGTTGTCGCCGTAGCTGTCACCACCGTTGCCGGCGACGAACCCGCAGACGACGACACAGCTACACCGGCTACCCCCGCCACCGCTTTCTTCCCCAACTGACTCGCGTTCGTAGCCGCCGTAGTCGCAAACGACGTCTGCGGGCCCATCGGGAACAGCTGCGGAGACGGGAAACTTCCCACCGAGCCTGACCGCGGCGTGAATTTCGCAGGCGTGGACCACGGCGACGATGATTTTGACGACGAGGGAGGCGAGGAAACGACTTCCTGCGCGCGTTGCTTTTTGCGGTTTTTCTGCGACACAGCGGGTTTGACTACCGGCGAGATGTAGGTCGCTGTCGAGGTCGTCGCAGACGCAGTGACTGGTGACGAGAGCGCGACGGCGGAAGATGAGCCTGGGGTTGCGGGGAAGTTCTCCTGAGACTTGTGTGGCGTGGAAGGTAGCTGTTCTGAACCCAAACCGGTAGCAGAGGTCTTCCGATTTTGCAAAGCCAACGAGATGCCAGACACAGGCTTCGGCTTCCACGACGACGAAGACGCAGGTGATTCCGTGGCCCGGTTGAATTCACTAGGCCGCGCCATCGGGGAGCTATTTGACAGTGACGATGGCTTTGCCAAATGCGAATCCGTGGGAGTTATGCTCGCTGCGAATGATTCTCTTCGATATGATCCAAAACCAGAAGTATCTCTGAACGACGACGGCCGCATGTGTTCGTCAAAGCTGCTAGGAGCAGTGTATGAAGTCGAAGGCGTGTTTCCGCTCTTGGTTTTCCCTTTCACTACTTTCCAATCCGCCGCGGTCGCTGGCGTACTAGGCGTAGAGCTTAACTCGTCGTCCATATCAAAGATAAAATCATTGCTCTGCACTATCGTAGCCGTCATCACCGGACTCTGCGGAACAGCAGAGCCCGACTGCTCTCGAGACCCGCGCCGCTGCGTGCTCTTTTGATTATGCGAGCTACCGTGATCCCGGAATTCGGCAGCAATCCCGCTCTTTGTGAACGAGCTAGAAAATGACTGCGGAAGCGAGCCGCCATAACTCGAGGGCAGCGAGGAGGATTCGAAAGTTTGAACGAGCCGGTCTTTTTCCTTTTGTCGCGCTTCGCCGAGTGCTGGGTTTCGCTCTTCAAGCAGTTGCAGGAGGATCCCTGATTTACTGACTGGGAGCTTTTCTAGCTGTTTTTGCCGTACTGTTTTCTCGAGGTCTTGGAGCAAAGGAGCTTCTAGAGATGACAAAAGACTAGAAGAAGAACAAGAAAAATTAGCACCTTTATCATTAAATATTAAGTTACTATAATAAGAATACTCACCCATTCTCCAGCATGCCTTCCAGGTTCAATGCAATATACTGCAGTAACGAGTCTTTCAGACCTTGCGCAGAATAAAAGTCTGCTTCGGCCAGCAACGGCGCCGCATTTCGAACATTGACTAAACACAGCTCCTGTTAGACAAAATCCTGATGAAAGCTCACGGAAATGCACATCCAACTTACCATAACTTCGCAGAATAGACTGACAAATCTGCGTCAGCTTTGTGATCAAAAGCTCGTTGGCGACAGACAACACCTCGAGCACAAACTCCAGAAACTCAGCCAGCGACTCGGTCTGCACTTCTGCAAACAGAGACTCATCCTCGACACCGTAGATGAAGTCCAAGACGACCTTGAAAACCGCAGACCGGACATGCTTCATGTCGACTGTCTTGTCTACGTCTTCTTCTTCGGAAGATGTAGCGGGGGCGTATGATGAGACCGAGTAATAGTCGCTGCTTGGGGTAGGTGCCGCCGGAACCGCAGACCAGCGGGCGGACATGAGTGTTTCGAAGAACTCTGACCGCGCAGACATGATAACCGAGTAGCATCTAGCCTCACCGTCCTCCAGCTGGACAGTTAGATCGGTCCACTCTTGGAATCGAGGATCGGCCACCGCCTCTCTCAAGTCGATGGCGAGGGATTGCGTCGGTCGCTGTTGAAAGTAAACTGCTGAGGAGAGACTCTTCAGTCTGAGGGTACTTGCGAGTGCAATCAGCTCATCCTTGGCGTTCAAAAAGCGTTTGTCAACCTTCGACTTGCTCCCAAACCCATCCCAGACCGGAAGTATATAATCGGTATAGGCAAAGTAGATGAAGATAAGCAATGCCAGTAGCCCGCATTTCTTAAACACCAGCGATCGCCCGTTCTCGTCTTCTCGATATTCAATATCAGGAATCTCCGCTGCTCCAGATATGATATCTGCAATCAGCTTACTGCGGCTGGCAATAATCACGCGGTGAACCGGTATACCCATAAACTCGTCGTCAGATGAATAGAGCATCAAATCATAGCTTCCTCCGTACGCGGCTAAATCCAGGTCCTCTAGCCTAGGCTCGAGTTGATCCCGCAGATTTTCGTCTCGTAGAAATTCAAGCATGGGTAAAAACGTCTGCGGCAACCGCTGCGTAGCTTCACTGACGGCCGAATCTTCTGAAGATACAGAGACTGAGTCTGACTCGGTCTGGTCGTACACATCGGCAAAAGGTATCATTCTTTCAATGTCATCACGTAGCTCTTCATGATCGATCTCAATCTCTGGAGATTCCAGATCACTTCTGATAGCGGCGTACGAGTCAAACTTATTGCTTCGTACGGCGACAACTCGCGTCAGATGCGGAATCCGCGAAAACTTAAACTCAGAGACCTTTCCATGAGAAGTCTTTGCTTTCGTCCGTCTTACTTTGCGCCAGACGGTACCAGCTTTGGTACACACGATGACGGACCCGTCCTGGCCTACGTCGAGATCGCGCACAGCCAGGTGCTTGCGTCGTAGCCGCCAGACGTTTTGTGGTCTGATAGTTTTCGACAACGAGCTGGGTTTCGCATTCGCTACAGCCTTCCCGTCGAGCTGGAAACTCCAAATGTCACCGCCCGAGCTGAGAGCCAGCACGGTTGTTCCACCAGCGACGATCTTGGTGATGACGTTCTTTGTGAACATACTCCGGGGACGGAATACCGAGAATTGATCTGTGAATCTGTCGAGTGGGAAGAAAACCTTGAAGTAGCCCCCGTTGATGTACACAATCACGTCGTTATTCTCAAGCAAGCAAATCGTTGCATTTTCCGTTGCAGAAGCCATCTTGACCGGCGCCGGAAGAGAGGAGACTTTTCTTGGCGTCATCTCAATGGGCTGACCATCTCCAGCCGGGAATCCCAGTTGCCCGGCATTCTTGCCCCACATGAACAGCTCGCTGTCTGAAAAGGTGACAGAATGTATTCGCGATGCAGCAACTCCTATCATGTGGTCACGCTTAATTCCAGCCACGATCTTGCGCGGAGAACTCTGCACTGGCTCGTCTTGGGGTTTCTTGACGTCCAATGTGTAGCCTAGTTGACCGTACTTGTTGGATCCCCAAGAGTAAACAGCACCATCAGCTGTCACGGCAAGAGTATGATCCTGGCTGACTGCCACGGCGGTGACTTGGACTTGTCCGAACGTCTCGAGAGTCTTGAACGTAAACTGAGTGTTGCCGCCCGAAAATCCTAGTCGGCCGTTATTTCCAAACCCGCAAATCATCAGATTGTTTACCGGATCAGTCGTGAGTACAGCGGTGTGCAGCTTTGACATTTGCACGTCCCGGATACGGATATTAGCAAATCGTTCCATAGCGGGCAATTCAGGAACATTTTGAGTTCTGTCAAGCAGAACCCGCTCTGGATTCGCTCTATCGTCCGAGTCATTAAAGCCAAGAGTGTGGTTTGCATTCGAGCCAAATGTAAAGAGCTCAGAACCACCCGTCACGATATTCAATGGAAGTGGGTTCGTGCCTTCGATAGTAGAGTTGAGTACGTCAAACGGCGAGTTTCCTTCTCTGTCTTTGACGCGAATGCAATCTTTCTGAAACTCCATAAGCAGTTGCGCAATTGCTACATTCCCAGCATACAGCGCGCGATGAAGCGCTGTCCACCCACTCTCACCATCAATGGCCATGACGTCTATGCCATTTATATCGAGGAGCGCGCGCACAAACTCGATCTTGTTTTGCGAGCTAGCAAGATGCAGCACTGTGCGCCCATACTCATCAACGCGGTTCACATCCTTGACAGTCAAACCGCCCGAAGCCGCGTGATTTCCTCGTCGAGGAATAGCAAAGAGCCCGTTCGCTGCTACCGCGCCAGCCAAAGCTTCTTTGAACCCGTCGAGATCATCCTGATAAAAGAATTTGAAAAGCGAGTACGACATGAAAAGCAGTCGCGTATACTCTCGATCCAGTAGGGGAGGTTTTCAAGTGGACCAAAAAGTCCAAGTTCAGTTAACAAACCAAAACGGAACAGGCGCTGCAGACAACTTGCAGTTATTCGGTATAAATGACTAGTACAGCCAGATTTACCGAGATAAATGCAAATGTGAGATTCCTAGTGTCGTCGTGTAAGCAATAAAATTCACAAATTCAAACAAAGTCAGAAAAAACATAGTTCAGCTCACCTTCTGGTGCGATTGTGGGCCAAAAGGAAAAATATTCAAGGTTGCTGACGCGACAGGGGAGATGTACACGGAAACCGATAGATGCAAAGACAGCTACCCGACCCAGTTGACCTGTGGAATGATCAAGTAGACGGTAACAGATGTTGATAGATCAGCTAAACCTAGAATGACGATGTCGACTGAGATTGACGCTTCGGTCGCGATACGAAGAAGTCAAGAAGAAGTTGAAAAACAGACGCGTCGATATCCGGATAATTAATAGGTGACAGTCGTATATCGGATGGAGGGGTTGAAAGTCGGTTTTAGCGCGAGCTGATCTGCCAGAGGATGCTACTGATATTCAATATTGCGCTCTTGTTTGGTACAAGAGTAGACAAACAAACGGCGGATGAATATTTCCTGCGAGTGCGGAGAAAAGATGATTTCCAATTGGCAGCCTGTCGAGCGTCCACCTTCCACATCAAAGGCGGCGTGGAGAATTGTGGCAGCTGAATGGCCGCGCCGCATCATATAGGCCCTAACCCGAATAGTGTTATGTAATGTAGCCCTCATATTATATAATGGCATGTGCTGTTGGCAATTTATTTCTACTTCTATTGAACATAAGAAAGGTATACGACAGGCTATTGCTAAACAACCATTCAGTCCAAAGGCCAGTATCCAGGGAGCAAGAAGTGCATCTTCTGAAGCATCTCCCTCGCCACAGCGTTGGGCGCAGTCGAAACCGCGAATCTCATCGAGCCCTCGAGATCGCGACCAACAGTACCGGCAACGATCTCGCCCTCGAGGTGCTCGAGAATGGCCTCAGTAAACGCATGAGCGTTGGCAGAGTTGGCCTAGATTATAAGAAGATATCGTTAGCTGCGATGTACGCGCCCCCCGAATAGCAAAGAACTGGTTGGTACCTTCAGGTGACTGACGACTGTCTCGACGGTGACAGCTTCCTCGCCTTCTCTCCAGGCGTCGTAGTCGGTTGACATGCAAATCATCTGGTAGCTTTAAAATTGTAGTACGGTTAGCTGGTTGTCCGGCGATTAGCATTGTCCAATGCTTAATGAGTGGCATACCATATCTCGGCTTCCTTAGCCAACTTTGCCTCGGGAATGGCAGACCTATGAAAACAAAAAGTTAGCAACTTTCATTTGCCAGCAAAGCAGGTGCACTTTCAAGCAACTCACATGTTGATAACAGATCCACCAAAGCTGCGGTACATGTTACTTTCAGCACGGGTGCTGAAGGCAGGACCCTCCATGCAGATCAAAGTGAGATCTCCACCAGTTGAAGCCTTGGTGTGCAATTGCGACCCGTTCTTCTCCAGCACGGGCGCGGCTTTAGCAATGACAGCAGCAAGCTTCGCATCAAAGGGATCACCGAATCCGACGTGGCCAACCATGCCGTTCTCAAAGAACGTCGACGGGCGGATACCCTTGGTACGGTCAATGATCTGGGTGGGAAGCACAAAGTCTCTCGGGTGAATGTGCTCCTGCAGACTACCGACTGCTGAGAAGGCGATAATCGCCTTGACTCCGATACTCTTCAGGGCAGCGATGTTGGCACGCGAAGGAACCTCAGAGGGATTGAACTGATGGTGCACACCATGACGGGCAAGGAAGGCAATGGGAAAGCCAGACTTTGTCAGGGAAATGGTGATTGGCGAAGAGGGATGGCCCCAGGGAGTGCTGACGGTGAGTCTGGCAACAGGAGTGAGGGAGTCGAGCTGGTAGAGACCAGTTCCTCCGATGACACCGAGTAGGACGGGCTCTGTCAAGGATCATTAAGCTGTCAGTATGCCGAATAAGCTGCATGAAAACAAAGAGAAAAGGCGGCACATACTGTCAAAAGTAGTAGGCAGATTAGACATTGTGAGTACTGTTTCTTGTACAAATCAATTGAACGATATCTGTTGCAGACTGATTCGAATTATTGTAAAATTATTTTGAGTTTGAGATTGGCTGCGTGGGTGAACGACGGGCTCAAGCAAATCCCGGCCAGTTCCCAATTGCTTCACGCTCCTTCCGTCTTCACGATATCGCAGCATAACCACGAGAAGCAGGCCTTTCCTGACTTGTTATATTCGGGCACCTGCGGACTGTATTTTTTGAGGCGCTTCCATGACTTCTGATTAATACTGCAATCACTGTTGTTCTGTCGTCATACTCTCAATTAGCTGTCTGTTATTCGAATTTCGTGCACCTATCACCAAATTAATCATCTTCGGCACTAAGTATCACAAGTATTCTGTCTTGGTATCATTTCCACCTCTGATCCTTGTTGAAAAAGGCACCGTCACCAGCTCGCTGAGCCAGGTCGCGCATATAAATCAGGCCCACCCTTCGTCGTGGCTCATCTGCTGTCAATTCTCTGTTTCGATTCACGCCTCTAACATCTCCTGACCACTTCGGCCTTGTGAAAATGTCGTCGTCCACTCTTGACTCGGTCAAGTTGACTGAATCTACTACTGCGTCTTCTTCGGAGCCTACTCAGCGATACATGAAGTTCCCACCTATCGAGGAACCCTTGGAGGTCAACATGTCCTCGATCCGGATGAACTACCCTCATGTCTACGTTTCCGAGAGCAAAATATTCACCATCGACGATCTCGAAAGCGTCGTGCGCCGGTTCTGCAAGAAAAATATTCCTGGACTGCCCACCATATACCGAGTCTGCGAGAACGACCTATATGAATTTCTGTCCGCAGAACAGCGGGTCATTACCTGCTCACCTAACGAGTTTGTGATTGGCCGATACTGCCGTACCGCCTCTGATCCTTCTATGCAACGGGTGATGCTTGACTGGGACGATCGATTTCACACTATTGCGCTTTGGTGCCCGCCCCGCACGCAGGTCCTCGCTGCTGAGGTTGGCGAGCATCTGGTCAAATCTTTGATCAACAGTGTGACTCTTAGCAAATATTTTGCATATCACGAGCAGCTTCATGTCCTTGCTGACCCACAGCCTCAGACGACGAGCAAGTACGTCACTTATCGCTACAAGACAAACAGCAGATTCGTTCCAGATTCCTCTATTGGTTTCCGCAATGAAGAGTTCCTACCGCTGTGGAACTGCGTTATTCTTGTTAGCTGCTGGGAGTCTCTCACACACATGGAGGAAAAAGTCTCGCGATATCTTATGGCAGAAAGATGTCAGTCAAACAAGCGAATTGACTGTGTGATGCTGGTCAGCCTTCCATATCCTGGACTCTATAAGTCTAACCAAGACTTCCGTATCGAAATGCATGCGGACGTATATTTCTACACTGCCAACGAAGACAGTACTGGGATTAAACGGAGGGGTCATTCCGTTATAACCAACTCGCCAAAGGCGAGAGTTGGCTTTGACCTGGCTTGGGCGCGTCCTGGTCTGAACAAGTTCATCGAACACCATGATTGGCCCACTAAGGAGAGAATGATTCCGGTTATAGCTGTTGAAGGCGAGAACTTCTATAAGGAGTTTGTGGCTCCTCTCTTTACGCACTACGAGCAAGCCGGAAGACTCATTATTGATCGGAGAAACAAAAAGCTCTGAGAGCAACGCGAGCTGGCGAGCTCTCATGTCGTCTTTGTATCATAATTATGGTGCGGGTATTAGGCGTTTGGTGGACCAGGTTGTTTTGCACAGTTTTTTCACAGAACTATTATGGTCTGTGTGTTTTTGTAGGTCATTCGGTCTTGTGTTATTAGGTGTTCGGTACTATAATTTGGCTTCTTTCTGCAGATGGCTTGTTCTGCCAGTTAATAAATTGATTCTGCTTTAAATACGATCAGTCTGATTCAGAATATAAATGTATTTATATATATTTACATAAATCTATAAATATCAGTGAAGCCTGCCGTTTCGAGCCATGTCGATGGATATTGGTACAAACCCCTCTTCAAAATGTGATCTGCCCCTCAACAGACGAAAGGATTCTCTCGAACAGACTGGACACTAGCAACGGCTGCTGTACTTACGATCCGATTCACGCACAGAGACCGCTGTTAACTTGCTTACTTTAATAAATCTTCTATTTGAAGACTTTGGTTTTTATCTGTTTTATTCTTGATAGTTGTGAATCGTTTTTTCCTTCAGACAAAAATACTCTGCCTTTTGCGATGACTACGGTATGCAATTCGATCGAACATTCATTCAATCAAATAACTTTCTTCCCCCGGTCTGCCTACTTTGATTTCCCAGTGCAGAGTGCCTTATTTATTGCGTTTCGGTGTTTGGTAGCGTGGTAGCTGTTATATGGAAGAACGAGAAATCATTGCTGGCAGTCGGAAGGATGGAGAAGAACATAGTCGTGTGCTAACTGTGTTTCCTACATAGTCTACCAACGGATCTGCTCCTAAGGCCCATATGCTAAATGAAAGGGATCGGATCTTGTGTGTTGCTGATATTCGAGGTAGGTTCCCTATCGAATGTGTATTTGTGTTGCTCCTGTCGATCGCGTTTTTTGATCTTTATTGTTTTGCGGATCATACACCTGTGGGCTACATGTGAAAATTGCTATATGCTGACTGTTCGCTCCAACTTGCAGGCCAAATATCTATCTTGAACCAGCTGGCTGAAGAATATAAGGCTACGTGCATTATTCATACCGGAGACTTTGGTTTCTACGATCGGGATAGTGTTCCGAGAATTACCGACAAGTACGCCAGATTTCCTTACAATGAAAACATGTTAGAGCCGATGTGTCTAATAATTCCTTTGCCTATAGAACCCTGCGTCATGTCGCTCAATACTCTCCACTTCTTGACCCCCGCTCGCTACCCCAGGACCCGCTACCCTTGCGACAGTACCTACTGACTCGACCGATATCTCAGTTGTCTCAGCTCCTCGCCGGTGAGATCAAGCTTTCAGTGCCCGTCTACACCGTCCACGGCGCCTGCGAGGACGTCTCTGTGCTAGAGAAGTTCAGATCGGGCGAATACAAGGCTCCGAATCTCCATATAGTCGACGAACATAACTCGCATTCAATTGAGACCAGCAACGGCGTCAAGTTCCGTCTTCTCGGACTCGGTGGTGCGCTAGTTATGCACAAGCTGTTCGACAATGGCTCAGGTCGCACGACCATAGCCGGCGGAGGTGGTACGACCTGGACCACGCTACTTCAGATCGGTGAGTTGATCGACACAGCTGCGCGCAGCTTCGACGAAACCGAGACTCGAATCCTGGTCACGCACGCGTCACCTGCTCGCGAAGGTATTCTCGCACAGCTTGCACTTTGCCTCAAGGCCGATTTTTCGATCTCCGGTGGACTTCATTTCCGCTACGGCTGCAGCTACAATGAGTTTGCTGTCCATCCCACCTACGATTACTTTCGCAACAAGTTGATCGCTTCACGACAGCAGTTTATGGATGTGTGGGATGTGGTCAAGACCGAGGTGCAGCCGGTGATTGCAGACAGCCCGACGCAACGGCGTTTGATTGATAACGCGCTTTCGGTGATTATGAAAATGCCGTCGAGTACACAGGTTTCTGAAATTGAGAAAGAAAAAGAAGAACTTCAAAACATAGGATTCAGGAATATGTGGCATCTCAACCTGGCCGACGTTGCTTATGGTACCGTTGTGATGGAGGTGAAGGACGGCAGGATTGGAATCGAAACAAAGTCAGAGGGATTCAACTTCAAGTACCGGAGGTTAGAAAACAACGCAAGCAGTTCAGGGCTGAAGGGTGGTCCCAAGCACATTGCTTCGCGCAAACCGTCCGCGCCTCAGACTGCAGCCGCGTCATCGACTACTAATGGCACCGTCGGCGCGTCAGGCTCGAACTCGAGTGCAGCAAATGCGAAGGCAGGTGAGGGCAGGGCTTCGATTTCTGCGCCAACACCATCGGAGACGACCGGTGAGCAGAAGAAGGCTTCCACTGATGCTTCGGCGGCAACTGAACCGAAAGAGGATGGTCTAGGTGCAGTCATCAAGAGCGAGGGTCTTTCTACTTCTAGTGTGCTACAAGCCCGCCGTCCAGGTCTATGGGTTGCTCGCGCGGATGAGAGCGAGGATGCCTTAAAGTCATACTTTGCGGAGGAGGATCGGGCCAATATCACCAGCGTATCCATCAGAACCGGTCAGACCGGAAAGAAGTTTGCGTATGTGTATTTCGACACTGCTGAAAATGCCGAGGCCGCCATGCCGCGCGCTACTCTTGCTAAACTCGGCAACGTGGCTATAATCAACGACAACATGACCGGTGGAAGCGGAAGCGGAAGCGGGCGGGGAGGATCAGGCGCCGGACGGTTTGGAAGCAGTAGATCTGGATCTGTAGCCTGGGGTGGGGCTCCGAAAGATGGAAGTGAAGGAGCTCGGTTGCCATCGAGAGCGCGAATCAGTGGAGGAAGCCGGACAACCGCTCGCGGTGGACGAGGTGGCAGAGGTGGCCGCGGTGGCTCTTCGACAGCTGTGTCGTCGTCTTCAGGCGCCACTACCACCACTGCTTCTGGTGCCGGTGCATCATCAAGCAGCCCTTCAGAGTCATCAGCAAACACTGCGAGCCCATCCTCTGGCGGCGCTGCTTCTAACGGTGGCAGCACATCGACCAGTTCTACAACAGCGGCTGCTCCTGCTTCTACTCCTGCTACTGCTCCCGCTGCTACTCCTGCGCCCGCCCCTGCTCCCGCGGCTAGCACCAACTCTACATCTGGTCCAGAAACCTCATCGTCCCCAAATTAAGAAGAGAGGATGCGGTATCCATCAGATTACAGCTGGAATTACAATAGAATAGTACGGAAGGAAAAAAAGTTCCTTTGTTGACTCTCTTCTCCTTTCTTGTTTGTTATTTTATACTCCTATGGAATTCTTTCGCTTTTTTGTTATTATATTATCTGTCTCTAATTTTTGTGATTGCTTTCTCGCTCCTTGTTGTCCCAATATGCCGCTGCTACTTGTTTCCCAAAGAAAAGAACGGGAAGTGGCAGGTTCAGACACCATTGTATGTGAAAAGGATAACGAAATGGGGCAAGAAGGGAAATAAATAGGACTTTGTATTTTTACAGTTGCTGAAATGCTAATGTGTAATCGATATTACTCTCTTCGTAGTAGAGGCCGTTGTCTGTAGCCAGTAGCCTCGAAATCTGATGCAGTATCGAAATTATCTGAGGCGTGTCGTGAGAATCGAGAGGGTGTAGGGTAAGTCAGAAAACTAGTCGTCAACAATCGACAGGGTTTTGGATGTTGATAATCTCGGAAAGCCACATCCACAACCCAACACTCGGTTAGACGGTCCCCTCTGCAGAGCCTCTTCTAGTCAAATATAGCACTATCGAGGCTCTCAGAAAGGGGAATTGCAATCTCCCTGCTTGCAGATTGAATCTTTGTGGTGATTCTGAGCAAGCTTGGAGCAACATCTGACGTGCTCGATTTGGTTGATAGTATCAAACTTGCCATCATGCACCGTGGCTTGTTGCCCTTGCTTCAAGCAGTTATCAAAATTTGCTGGGGTTGCGAAGCTGTGGGGAGTTTGATGAAGCAACGACTGTCTTCTGTTGATTGATGCTTTGTCTGTCATAACAACAACAGCAATCGGTGGTGATAGTAACATGCAGTATGCAGTATGCATGCTATTCTGGCCATACTGTAATATCATTAGCTGTGTTTCTTTGAGTCATTGTTGTCATGCTGCACGCTGCTTGTGTGATGACTTTGGTGTGCTCAGAGCAAAGTGGTCCACAGAACTCTGTGAAGTTTCAAGGGTAGATCGACCTTATAGATATGAGTTAGTAGCGGTTCGGTACAAAGGAGTTGAACAAGGCTGCCGTGCTTTAAGTGAATGTTTCTCTGTCCTTGAATGCCGGGCGATATACCTGTTGTTGTCTGCCATGGTTAAAAGCCGATGTCTGTTCAGTGGTCTCTAGATACTCTGACAAACGAACCAAATACATATCGCCGTGACTGGCGCGATCTGATTCTAGGGCGCATATGTCTTCGAAGTAATAGATTGGGATGGCTCATGGAGGGAAGAGACACTGCTTTGGTTATTGTTGCACAAGGGTGCAACATCGTAACACGCACATCACCACAACAAGGGAGCTGGCGGCTTCGCGTCAACATCGACAGCCATCCAGCTTCAACCATCCTCTTTTCAAATTGAGACGTGTTCTAATGATGTGCCAAACTTGAAATTTTGTCTTTCTACCGATCTCGGGCGATGATACAGACCCAGCCGACTATCTTGCGTCTGCTCTCTCCGCTCGACTACGCCCATGAAAACCACTCCGCGATGCTATGCTACGACGATCAACACGTATGGATCCCGCAAAATGTATGGACCTATAGTCAGTCTGATGTATCTTGATTCTGTTTCTTTAGTTCCCAAATCTAGGGTGTACGATGGGAATCCCGCTGGAGGGTGAAGGACGTCTGTTTCCCAATCCGCCCTACGACGCGCCGACACAGCAGCAAATATATCGATTTCAGGTGGATTCGAAAGCTCTGATGCTACGCTACATGGAATAAGTTGAAAGGATTATATTACTGGATACTACAGGCTGCTGGACGTCGATATCTCTGATCCTGCCCGAAACAATAGCGGGCTAAGTTCGTTTTTGCGTGAGTTTTGTTCGCGCCGCGTCTGCTGATGCTCCCGATTAGGACATTTTTCATCAACCAGGATCATTTTCCAGGCCGACTTAATATTACTCACGCGACTGATGCGAACTGATGCGGGCGGCCCGGCCTGGAATATAAAAAGAGGGCGTTCCCCCCTCTCTCGCTCTCTTCTTTCCTTCCTCATCATCCTCAAAGAGCCTCAAAGATCTCAAAGAGACCTGGCTCTCTTCTCAAAAATCATGGAAATGGATCAACTCCTGAACTTATGGTCAGTATCTTTTTAACTCACTTTATTTTATAGACAGACACTGACACATATTACTAGTCGTGCACCTCACCTCTCCATCTCATATTCCTCCACGACTATCCACATCCCTCCGACAAGGTGATCCTCAAGTCGAGGCACCTCCCTACATCTGCAACTACTTTGAGTCCAGCTCTATCCCCTAGTGCTAGCGGCAATCTTTCACTATGGTTAGTTCTTTCTTTGATGTCTTATTCTCCGTCTATACCTTTACTGACACATACTGCTAGCCGTGACGATCAACTTGACCCCATCCACATCTACTCTGGGTCCACCATCACTATATTCTATCACGCAATGCTGGCGGCGCTCCTCAACTATGGTCAGTACCTACAGTGTCTCTTCTACTTTTGCCTCATGTATGCTAACACATGCTTCTAGCCGTGTCAATCTATATTATATTATGAATTTGAAATCAAAAAAAAAAGAAAAAAAAGAAAAAAAAGAAAGAAAAGAAAAAGAAAAACAAAAGAACGAAAGAATAAAGAGAAAAAATGAAGAAAAACGAAGAAAAAAAAAGAAAAAAAAGAGAAAGAAAAAAATGAAGCAAAAAGACAAAAGAAAAGAGAAAAAAACAGAAAAACGAAATTGAAATGATAAAGAAAAAAGAATATGAAGAAGGAATGAAAGAAGAAGAAAAGAAGAAAGAGAAAGAGAAAAGAGTTATCGTGCTAGCGGCAATCTCCTTTATGGTATGTCTTTCTGCTCACTTCTCTTATATCTGATCAAATCCTGACATATTTTACTAGCCGCGCATAGCACCTATCCCAAGTCACCATTACAATTGGGAACAATGTCCAGACGAAAATCAAGACAGCTACCTCTACCTACAGCTACTCTGGACATGATAACTCTTTTCTCGAGTTAGCGGCAGTTTCTCATTATGGTCAGTACTCATGAGCTTTTTTGAACTGCAATTTACTTGATTTACTGACACGTTTTAATAGCCGCGAAACAGCGATCCACCTCCACCTCCATCTACATCTACACTGGATCCATGACTTCTCTTTCTTCTTAAGCAAGGAGTGACCTCCTCTGATGGTTAGTACTTACACTTGAACGCTTATGTTTCCTCACGTGATGATTATTGACACATGTTTCTAGCCGCCTGCACTACCTTCCGGATTCCTCTCTATTCCGCCACAAGTCCGCCACGGATATCGACGCACGAGAACACAAACGAGAACACGCGCCCTTACGATACGATACGTCTCCGGTCGAGCACCTTCGGCTTTTGATTCTGTGACTCTGTGACTCTGTTTTGCTCTGTGCTTCTGTGCTTCTGTGGATACCCCATCGATACCTCTTAGATAAAATTAGATAGTAATAGAAAGTAGATTAGAACTTTTATGATAGTTATGTACTCCAATATAAACAGAATGCTTGACCGAAACCAAACAGATACAAGGCAAAACAATGAGCGAAATCAAATAGCAAATGGTAAACTTTTCCCTAAAGGACCAAACTCAAACTCCATTTTTTCGCGCATTCCCATACACCAAACTTTTCCCAATTATTCACTTAAGCATGCAAAACCAAACCAAAATTCGAACGATAAAAAAGGCAGTGAAAGACTAGCGGTAACTGATCTACCTGTACTTGTCCATAAACTGGCTGTGAAAGTTCACCATCCGATCAATGTACTCGTGTCCAGGCGCCAGGAAGGTCGTGCGGAAATGGAACGTTCCGTCCTGCTGACCGAATCCGGATCCGGGAATGACGCAGACGCCGGTCTTTTCGAGGAGCTGGATGCAGTAGAACTCATCTGGCTCCATGTTCTGGCGGGCAGCTTCCTGGATTGCGGCCTTGGGGATTGTGATCTGGGGGAAGAGGTACATCGCGCCCTGGAGAGGACGTAGGTTAGTGACTGTTTTAGATTCAGAGGGTTGAAAAACAAGATATCAGTAAAACATACCTTTGGCTCTTCGCATATGACTCCTTCCATCTGCGAAAACGCCTGGTAGAGATCAAACGCGCGCTTTTTGAGCGAGTTGTAGATGTCGTTATACTCCTTCTTGTACAGCGGAAACGACTCGTCGCCCTCCCTGGGAGGGTTAACCATCAGCTCGGTCAGGACCTGGCCGGTAACGACCGGGCAGAGCGAGATCGAAACAAGCTTGTACATCTGATCGACTACAGCCGGGTCGAATCCAACGAGCTCGACATACCCGCCGCGCTGGCCGCACTCGCCGAGCATGCCTTTTGAAGTCGAGTGCAGCGATGCGAGTTCAACGTTCTCGTAGCGGCCGGGGTAGTCGCGCTGCAGCTCGCGCAGCATGCGCTTGAACGATAAGAACTCGCCTTCGTAGATGTTGGTCTGGTAGACTTCGTCGGCGATGATCATCAGCCGGTTGTCGGCCGCGATCGTGATGATGTCTTTGATTTCGGCCTCGGTCAGGCAGGTGCCGGTAGGGTTGCAGGGGTTAATGACGACGATTGAGCGGAGCGAGAGGCCGCTTGCCTTGGCTTGTCGGACGGTGTTTGCGATATCGTGGGCAGAGTATTCGAGGTAGTACGGTACCGCGGTCGCGTTTTCGAGAGTGAGCGTGGCGGAGTAGAGCGGGTACTGAGGGACCGGGATCATGACTGCCGAATCAGGGCCATCGCAGATCGTGCGCAATAGAGAGGACACGGCCGACGACGCGCCCGACGCGAGAAAAACGTCTTTTGGGTTCGAAGGGAAGCCGTCACGTCGGGCGATGAAGTTGGCGACCGACTGGCGGATGTAGGGCACGCCCTGGCTGTGGGAGTACGCGCCGACCGAGCCGATGTGATCGAGCAAGGTCTGCGCTCTCTTGCGCGCGTCGGCAGGGAAGATCTGCGCGGCGTGCTCGGATTTGAGAAGATCCGGGTACTGAACGAGCGCAAGCACTTGTCTGAAGAAAGTAATTGGCTGCTGGTCCATTGCCTGCGGGTTGCCGATATTCGCGCTGATGATCTCCGTGAAGGGCAACGCCTGGGCTGGCGGCGGCGGACATTGCTCGTGCTCGAGCAGAGTCTTGCGCAGCTCGTCGGCGCGGATCGCGAGACGGCCTCGGACGGCGTACTCTGCGCGGCGCAGATTCCGGTTCATGTTGGCCAAAGTGACTGCCTTCTTGGGCACGGGCGAAGAGACCATTGTTGGAATCGCGGAGTGGATGGGAGGGTGGTGGATCTGGTGGTGAGCAGGTTGCACGGCGGCTGGGACGGCTCTGGCCGCGACGCTGGAAAACGCGCGTCTTAATAGCATTGTGGTGTGAAGGATGGAAGAAGTCCTCGAGGACGATTAAGAGACAACGAGAGAATGATGAATAATAAACAAAAAGAAGAAGAAAAAATGAGGGAAACAGAAAGGATTAAAAGGACGTGAAGGAGGGACGAGAGTTTAATTTATGATGTCATTTTTTCCTGTTTTTTTTTTTTTTCTGTTTTATTGCCAGCCCCGATCGCCATCTATAAAACCAAAAAAATGATTATAGTGAGTAATATATCAATGAACAGTTCCTTTTAACCATCTTCATAAATGTTCTTCTACGGTCGGGTTGCTGTAGAAGTTGTAGCAGAGAATATGCAGGGCCGCGTCTCGGCCCGAATATTCCGTACGGCGCCGCCGCCTCCGCAGCGGCAGCAGCATATTGCTCCTCCTCGGCCCAGCAGAGCCGCGAGGGGATATGTGTGTGTGCAGCACTATCTGGTGATGTTTCTGAATAGGCGTTAACTTATTGAATTCTCTGCTTTTGTATCTAAATGCCTGTCGGTCTTTGCAGCTGGAAATAGGAAAATTGTAAATAAAGATCCAGGTGCACAGTCCTTGTCGGCCTTGTCGATTTGTTAAACCGTTTGCCGAAACTGTGAAGCTTGCGTTATCCCCTGCCGTCCAGATCTAATCCGTATCATACTCAAGGTTATATCGCAAACGCTCAGACTTTTGCTTGTGCGGTATCGCTGACTATTGCTTCTCTTCGGTGCACTGAGCTGGTACCTTGTTCTTGCTCCTGCTACTGCCACCGGAACTTTTTTTTTCCGAGAAAAGATGCACGTGATCCGCCATCACTCCTTGTGAACGACAGGCAGTCCTTCTCCTATTTTCAAATGAAAACCAATCACTTGCAAGTAACTACATGCTTTAGTCGAATGATGTGATATCTAGAATAAATACAAGTGAGCAAATCTTGAGAGCCAAAGTCCCATGCTTTAAGCGGGAGACTCTATGCGATCTCTCTTAACGACTGCTATATCACAGTTTTGTCTGCACTCCTCGTCCTCATCGAAGACCTCGTAACCTGTTTCTTTTTTTCGGCCTTCTTTTCAGCCTTCTTTTCGGCCTTCTTCTCAACCTTCTTCCCCACATTCTCCTCAATCTTCTCCTTCTCCTTCGCAGTGCCATTCGCGCTAGCACTTTCTTTCTCCGATATCTGCATAGTAATAGCAATACACGCACTTAACCACACCGGCATCCACACCATAAAGAAAATTGGCACGAACGACCACACACCCAACGCCCTCCATTTCCACAACATCTCTATCAGAAAACTCTCCAGCTCGCCGATAGATATCGACGTGACAATCCGCGGAAACACAAGCTGCTCCGGCGTCGGTGGCTGCACAACGATTCTAAAGTACGCCAGCAGGCAAACCCATGGGCATGTCACTATAGTTGCCAGGGACGACACCAGCGATTCGATAGAGGATTTAAAGCCTCGCGACTGGTCATGGGGGAGAAACAGGAGGTGTGCGAGCGGAGAGAAAGCGAGGCCGAGAATCAGCGCAAGCGAGAAGTTTAGTGTGCTTAAGGTCGTCAGCACCAGGCCTGCGTAGATCAAGCTGTAAGATCGCAGTTTGTTGACGTATGATTTAGGCTTGACGCCGACCAATTTGCTGACTATTAGTGGCATGAATGCCGAGACCACAACTAGAATTGCGTAGACGGTCAAAACGTTCTATATTGATGAGTATTAAGGTTAGCATATCAACTCAATCAGAACAAAAAGGTGTAGCATACAGTCGAAGGTGCCCAGCTGATCACAGCAAGAAACACAGAGCTAGCCACAATAACCACCAGGAACAGTCCGAATGCGCTCGCAGCCTCGATCATAGACTGTCCAGCGACCGCCTGCGTCGACGTCATCCACAGGTAAATGCCCTTGATAGTATAGCTAGCCCCGAGAAGCATAGCTGCGGGCAAATAAGTTCCAATACTGACAAACTGCCATGGCGAAAGCATGAGGTAAAAGAAAAACGACTGGTGAAAATGCTCGAGCAAGTTGTTGATTGACCGCAGGACCGACTCGGCGAGTTTTGCGAACTCAATCTGCGTGAACGGCATCGATTGCGGATCCATAACGGCTTTCAGCGTAATTGCGTCAACACGCCAGCCGCTGAACGGCTCGTTGCCGTAGCCTTGCTTGTATAGGCCTGAGAAGGCTTGATCGGAGATTCCTTTGAACAGCGTCATCGCACGGTTCTCGTAGTCGTGGTCACTTCCCGTGACGCCGTGGACGACGACGTTGAGACTCATGTGTGCGCAAATCAACACGGCCGTATTTATGAGATCAAGATTCGGCAGCTGGCCGTTGTATCCCGTGTACTTGACCTCAATACGAGAAAAGTGCTCGTGAACCCCTGGAAAATCCAGGACGATGCCGCCCTGGATCGCACCACTGGAAGCAGACATTGATGTATAATGATAGTCATCTACCCACTTACTCAGTCCGTAGCTCGTATCTGACGGAATCACGAGAATGATATCCTTAGACCACACCGACCACCGCGTAAAATAGCGCGCGAGCGAAACCGCGAGCGCCACGCCGCCTTCGTTGAAATCGCCGTCGCCGTTGATCCAGGGCGCGCAGATGATCATTGACTCTGTTGTATCTCCTCTGGGCGCGTGAAGCACGCCGTACACATTCGATCCGGACTTTACATCGTCGTCGTAGTGCGAAAAGGTCCAATTGTGGATGGCTGCTTTGTATCCCATATCATTGATCCACTTTTCGATGACCACCGCGCGTCTAGAAGAAAACAGTCAGTATGCAGTGAGCTAGCGTAACAAAACAAAAGTGAATATAGATACGTACTCTGACTCTGATACATCCTTCAACATTCTCACCTCTTCCCGAAACGCGCGCAAAATATTCTCCTCCGAGTCTTTAAAGTACGTATGCGCCTGTCCTGGCAGCAGCGCGTTCTCAGAGATGTACGTTCGTCGAAACTGTCCGTCCATAGGCAAGACGAACAGCAAGCCGATGCCGGCAAAGATCATGAGCAGCGACACCACCGGAAGAACCGAGATCAACGAGCGCTTGTCTAGTTTTCCCAGCAGCCTTCGCTGAAGGCGGGAGATTAATGACATTTCTGAGGTGTTGTGCTGGGCGTGTTTTGATCTGATATTCGTGTATGAAGGGCTGTGAAGGGATTGATCGCAGATAAGAAAGCGTCCATGGAAAGTCTCGGTGTGGTGTAAACAGCTCGTCTGACTAAATCATCGGCAGACAACAACCGATTGAGCGTATACCAGTGGAAAGAACAGCCAACGCCTCTCAACCTGGAAGTAGCAGCAGCGCCGGGGTTGAGCAGAAGCGGTGTTCAGTGACTTTGTGCTTTGTCTCCCAAACCTTGTTTTCACTGCGCGTCCAAGCGAAAGCCTCCCACACCGCTCGCAACTCATCGCCGCGTGCAGCCTCGAGGAATCCGCAAATATTTCTGCAGCATTGGTTCATACTCAAAGCCTGCTCTTTGCCAAAGCTGACTCTACAGGCTCAGCAGCAGCTTCGTCTCTTTGTTTCCGTGCTGTAGTGGTCGCAGCACCTGGCTACCCACCGCACCTTGAATCCAGCTGTCGTCTCTTCCCCTGTGTGCGCGGTGCGTTCGGCGGCTTTTTCACATATCTTCACAAAGCCATTCGCAGCTCCGTTTGATTGATCACCAAGCGAGGCGCCAAAATGTACGACGACTGGGCGTATCACGTCAGTCCCTCACTATATGCCCCGCAGCCCACACCGCAGAAAATCCGGCGGAGACGTAAATCGATACTGCAAGATGTCGCTTTAGAACACGTTCAGGTATGGATTGTCGAGCCGTGTCTATTGCATTTCTTTTTCTAACGCTTTTGCTTTTCTTTGTCCGCATAGTCCCCCGACGCGCGCGATTCACGACCCGGAAGTCTACGACATGTGGCCGAAGAAGTAGTGCAGTCCCGACGAGCAGCCCCTCAGATTCCAGAGTACACCGTCCCCGCGAGACGAAGCAATTCAATGTCTGGAATCGCGCGACTACGAGAGATGGATTCGAGTCGGCAGGTCGGGATCGAGAGCAGTCTGAAGCCATTGTCGCTCATGTACCCGTTCACGCCCGTCGAGAGAAATAATCTGATATATGGCTCGGATGATGAATTGTCGCTGATGGATGTGTATGATTCACTTGAAAAGGAGATTCAAGATGCCGAGGATGCACAATTTCTGTAAGCCAACTCACCTGCCGTTGCATTCGTTTACCGTCACTGACAAAGGCATTTAGAAAATTCCACGCCACGGCCGAATCACACCGCGAATCCTGCAAGGTATTTGTCGCGCAAGCCAACAGCATGCTCGAGCTCCTCGATACTCTTGCCGCTGGCTTTGACGCTGTGCGGAAGCAGACCTCGACGTTCCAGGACGCCTGCGACGAACTCTCGGTCGAGCACAGCCGGCTTGAGTCTCTAGCGGACGATATCGAGCGGCATTTGAAGCCGTTCAATATGCTCGAGGAGATCACGAAGAGGCTTAATATGCCGGGTACAGACTTTGTGACGCAAGAGGGATTCAAGCAGATGTTGAGCACGCTTGATCAATGTATCGATTACTGCGATGCTCATGTAAGTCTATTCTTTTTCTTTGAATTTTGATGCTACTGACTAACAATCTCTCGATAGCCAAATTTCAACGGCATAGATTTATACGTCATGCGCTTCCGCCAATGTATGACCCGCGCACTGACGCTAATCCGCGTACACTTTATAAACGCGATCCGCGACGTCGCCAGCGACGTGCAGACGCGAATAGCCGCGAAAGCACTCAACGAGACCACGCAATCCGCGCTCTTCTACACAAAGTTCAAGGTCGACGCGCCGGTGCTGCAGGGACTCACGGACGAGATCCGGAAACGGTGCGAAGGGCATGATGAGTATTCTGGGCTGCTGGCGGATTGCTACAAGTATTATACGAATACGCGGAGGAAGCTTATTATTCCGGTGATTAGCAAGCGGGTTATGGATATGAAGGGCTCGATAGCAGAGTTGCTGCAGCTGGTATGGTCCACATAATCTGTCTTTTGGAAGAAAATGATGTTAACTGAATGATTAGACACGGCAAGGGATTGCATACATGAGAACTGTGTGCATGGACGAGTATGAGTTATTTTACGCATTATTCACCGAAGGCGAAGGTGTCGCATAGTACGATTTTCCCTCTCTCTAATTCCAGATTAGTTTCTCGTTTCTGCAGCTTTCTGACTTTTGTTCTACTCTTCTAGTGAGTTCCTTGAATCGCTATGCGAACCTTTGCAAGACGTGCTTCGAAGCCGCATCATTCACGAGAAGCGAGCCGAAGTTCTTTACGAGCTTTGTTCTCTGCTGCAAGGGCTTTCCACCCAGGACGGTGAAGAAGGTATTGTTTTCTCCTTTTAATATTTTTGCTGGCTTTGTAAGAAGGGTGCTAACATATGATGCGTGTAGCTGATGACGGATACTTTGATCGCCCGCAACTGGATTTCGGTAAATTGTTCCAGTCCACGTTACAGGATGCCCAGATGAAACTGGTGTTTAGGATGCAGGCATACGCTTAATCTTGATTCTGTTGTCCAGTTACTGGTGGCCGGACGGAGACAGCAGAGCAAAGCTAGTTGGAATAAGGGCGACGGCATGAGTATCAATCACCACATCTAACGATATCATCTCATTTATTTTATTTTCTTTTCTAATGTTTTTTGTTTATGTGTGCTATGTTTTGCGCAGTGTGTATAGAGCGTGTAAAGTGATTGACTAAAATTGAATTTATTGACCGACTAAAGATACAGAGGGGGAAGCTCTATCCCGTTGTGGAGATACAATTAGAACACAAACACACAATCACACAAAACACAAACACACAATTACACAAAACACAGACACAGACACACAAACACCCCAATAAGCTGCCTCGCTTTTTGCTTTACACACTGAGAGGCACAGACTATTTATCATCTTTAAATATCGATATACCAAACAAAATCTCGCTATAGTCGTCAAATGTGATTAGCCAGAGGCGATCTGGCCAGCAGGAGCAGGGGGCGCGGCCGGAAAGTCGTCTGTAGCGGTAGTGGTGGTCGGCGTGACGGCAGTGGCGGCGTAGCTAGCTGCACCCAGGCTGTCTGTGGTATATGACGACGTGGAGGAAGTATACGACGACGAGCGCGAGAGGGGAGGTTGACTGTCACCCACCGCGGGCTCTGACGTTGCAGAGGGGGTTTTGCGGTGATGCTGGTGGTGACGATGGTGGGATTGTGGCTGGTTGTAAGCGCTCATCAGTGACGAGAGAAAGGCGTCAGGAGGTTGGTGCACGCGACGGCCCTCGATGCCGTCTTTGACAGCGGTGGTGGACACGCCAGACAAGGTCGACGATCGCGACTCTGGTCTCGAAGGCACAGAGGTCGGCGCAGCGTATGTGGCTGTCGGGGTGACCTCCATAGTGGAGTCGTTGTCGTGGCCGTCTTCGTCTGCGGGTGTGTCGGGATACTCTGGCAGGCTGTCTTCCGAGAATGTAGACGAGGTCGGCGTCGTGAAGCCGGTTATCCTCGGGGGTGTGAAGGAGTCGATGCGCATAGTGGCGTCTGAGGGCGCTTGCTCGGGCGGTGCGATGAACTGCGGGGTGGACGATGTTGAGTGCTGCATTGTGCTATATCAGTTTTATCTGTACGTTGTCTTGAGCAGGAGATCAAGAGAATATAAAGAGACGGCGGACGAGGAGGCGAATAGGACCCTTTGACGTAACTGTGCGACTGTGGGGAGGTGTGTGTGGAGGAGATGGACATGACGTCATTATATGTGATCACGTGCCTGGAAAGTGAGCCGCAGAAGTCACGGGAGTAGGGGTTGTGAGCAGAGGGTTTTGGTTTCCTGATTGAGCAGCTGGACCCGGGTGTCGGTGTTTTGCGTGCGGAACTGTAGCGCGCTGCTTGAGATTAAATGCTATGAGAAAGATAAAGTAGAATTGTTCATAGAAGTATTGTAATTGTGTTTGGTTTAGCATTAGATTCGATAATAGCAAAAGATCGCAGTACAGCTGCATAAAGCACAGTACTATTGCATTAATACGGCATAACACGTCTTTGTTTTGTGCATGCGGCGCACTGGGAGAAGGCGAAAAAATAACAGAAAATCAAAAAAATTCCCAACGCTGCGCTTGGAGCAATTTGTTCGGACGGTCCGGGGCACTGCTCGCTCTTCCTCTGATAGTCTGCCAGCTGCGACTTGGCTACTCCAAGACCTCTACCAGCTTAACCGCTAGCTTTATCGAGCTTGCAGGGTGTTTATTTACTCATAGCATACACGTGCATAACAGCAGCTACAGCAGCAGCAGCATCTTCAACATACGAGAATGTGTGGTATCTGCGGAATCTTGCTTGCCGACCAGTGCGCCAACGCGGCCCCGCAAATCCTCGAGGCGCTGCATTTCCTGCAGCATCGTGGACAGGACGCTGCCGGTATCGTGAGCTGCGGACCGCGGGGTCGGTTGTACCAGTGCAAGGGCAACGGCATGATTAGAGACGTGTTCAACGAGAAGCGCTTGCTTGGACTTATCGGGAACATGGGAGTCGGACATTGTAAGTCATCTTTGTCTATTTTGTCTGTTAGTTGTGTATTGCGTTTTGGTCTGCTGGATACTGTTATTCAGTAGCTAGTTTGCTGTATATGATGCGTGTTTTGTGGTGGAAGGCGGCAGGTCTTTGCAGGTGGTTATCGGTGTTAAGACTAACTCGTTTTCAGTGAGATATCCGACAAGTGGAAGCTCTGCCAACTCGGAGGCCCAGCCGTTCTACGTCAATTCGCCTTATGGAATCATCCTGTCTCATGTGAGTTTTTCTTATCGACACCGTACTGCTAAGCAGGAAAGAGCTAACAGATGTAGAACGGCAATCTTATAAACGCGCCGGCGCTCAGGCGATATCTGGACCAGGACGTCCACCGCCACATCAACACCGACTCAGACTCTGAGCTTCTGTTGAACGTGTTTGCGTCCGAGCTCGAGAAGACCAACAAAGTGCGTGTGAACGAGGAAGACATCTTCACCGCGCTGGGCGGCGTGTACCGCGAGTGCCGCGGCGCGTTTGCCTGCATCGGCATGCTCGCCGGCTTCGGTCTCATCGGCTTCCGCGACGCGAACGGCATTCGACCGCTCGTCATCGGCGAGCGCCAGAACGCGAACGGCACCGTCGATCATCTGATGGCGAGCGAGTCCGTCGCGCTCAAGGCGCAAGGGTGTCAGAAGTGGACCGACCTGCTTCCCGGCCAGGCGGTGATCATCCCCAAGGCCACGATGAAGCCGATTATTCGCCAGATTGTGCCGCAGCTGTCGTACACGCCGGATATCTTCGAGTACGTGTACTTTGCGCGGCCAGACTCGGTCATGGACGGCATCTCGGTGTACAGAAGCCATCTGGCGATGGGCGACAAGCTTGCGGCGAACCTGGTCGAGCGGTTCGGCGGGCTCGAGAATTTGAAGAAGCAGGTGGATGTGATTATCCCTGTTCCGGACACGTCTCGCAACGCGGCCTTGCAGCTCGCGTTCGCGCTGGGAATCATTTACCGCGAGGGATTCGTCAAGAACCGGTACGTCGGCCGCACGTTCATCATGCCGGACCAGCAGGCGCGGCGGTCGTCGGTGCGGACGAAGCTGAACGCGATGGACCTCGAGTTTGAGAACCGCAACGTGCTGATTGTGGACGACTCGATTGTGCGCGGCACGACGAGCAAGGAGATTGTGCAGATGGCGCGCGAGGCCGGCGCGAAGAAAGTGTACGTTGCCAGCTGCGCGCCGCCAATCAGGTATAACCACATCTACGGCATCGATCTCGCAGACACAAAAGAGCTGGTGGCGTACTCGCGCACGGAGGCCGAGGTCGCGACCGCGATCGGCGCCGACGACGTGATCTACCAGACGCTGCCGGATCTGATTGCGGCCGTCTCGGGCGAGAACCCGGCGATCAAGCAGTTCGAGGTCGGCGTGTTCACGGGCGAGTACGTGACCGGGGTCGAGAACGGGTATTTGGAGCATTTGGATAAGATCCGGTTCCAGAACGCGCGATTGAAGGAGCTCGAGCGGAGTGCGGATAAGGCGGGATATAACGCGTTGGTGAACGGGGAGGGCAAGGCGGATGTCGATATTGGGCTTTATAACACTGCTGATTATAGGTAGTTGTTGCTTAGATTGCTGATAGTTAAAAGGGGTGAGGAGAGGACATGTGGTAAAAACATAGATTACAACGATAAAGAATATACAATTTGCTTTTAGTGCTTTTGAATATTTCAGATCTATTATCTAGACACTCAATTAGACTCCAAAACCTCTTTAAGAGACTTTGAGACCGAATCCTCAGGCTTGACACCGATAACCTTCGTGGCAAGCTTACCGTCCTTGACCACCCAATACGACCGCACGATGCCACCCGCGGCAGTCTTCTTCGCACCGAGCGGCCCCAGCAGTTGATACTTTGTATCCGCAATCAAATCGTACGGCAGCTTCTGGTTGTCCTTAAACTTCTTCTGCGCGGCGACCGAGTCGGCAGACAGACCAAAGACGGCCACGTCCGCGGCGTCGAATTTCGGGAACTCGTCGCGGAATCCGCAGGCTTGTCTCGTGCAGCCGGGCGTGCTGGCTTTCGGGTAGGCAAAGATCACAATCATTTTCTTCGAGGACGCGAGCTGCGCGAGGTTGACGGGCTCGCCGTCTTGCGTCTCGATCGCGACGTCGGGGAGCGCGTCGCCTAGCTCCAGGACAGCAGAAGTAGCGGTGGTAGTTGTAGCAGGCTTCGGGGAGGACACGGGTTTGCTGCTGCTCTTTTCGATTTTGGCATTGGTGGTTTTCGCAGGGATTTCGGCCGCTGCTGCTGCTGTTGCGGTGGAGGAAGAAGATGAGGCCCGCGACCGGCCGGAGCGACGGAGGGTGGAGGGGTCGACGGGTTCTTTGACTTTTCGAGGAGGCATTGGTATACGACAGGATCTGAGGATGCAAACTGCGCGCGAGTACATGCAGTGACGAGGAGGAAGATGCAGAAGACAGGGGAGCAGAAGGCAGAACAGTCCAGTATCGGATCGTATCAATGTCCTGGCCCCTTTACTCCGCACAATTATTTCTCAATCGTTATCTAACCGCTTATCTAACAATGTGCTCACTAAGCAATGACATAATACAAACGGAAAAGTAAATTCCGACAAAAAGCCAAACTCGGCTAGCAACAATGAGACAGAAAAGCTTAAGTAGATTACATAATTAATTTATAATATAAAATTGATTGATTGCGTGGTTGCTATTTATAAAACAAAAGCAAAGACGAGAACAGAAAGAACAGAACAGGCGTCTTTGATTATTCTTGTTGTTTGTTTACATTTCTTTGCGACGCGTCTCTGCGCTTTCTGCTCCGCTTCTCTGCTTTCTTTGTCCTCTCAGCCTTTCCGCGTTCGGTAACCGACCGACGCGTCTCGCGTTCGGTAACCGCCCGACGCGTCTCTCTCTTCCCGTCCGCGCATTTCTTGGAAAAAAAACTCTGATTTCTCCTTTCTTGGCCTACGACATCCGACGCCATCCTAATCTCCCGTCGCATTCTCTACATGACGACGACGATGAAAGACGTGCTGCTGCTCAGGTCCGCAATGCAGTCTAGAAGACAACTCACGCTAATGCAATGCATGCACGGTGTCGTCGCCACTCGAAGCCGCATTCACCATGAAAAATGTAAAAGTATTAAAAGCCATATAAAAAAGAAAAAGGTAGTTATAGACACAAAAACAAAAGCAATTCACAATTGGTATCAGCAACAATCAGCCTCCACGTCTAAAAACCGCACTGGTTCGGATACGTCCGCGAGTCGAGAGGCTGCGGAACGAGGCCGTTGGCGATCAACGCCTGGAAATCCCACTCGAGCGCGCCCTCGGTCTTCCAGCACCAGAAGATCCAGCCCAGGCCCTGCTCGTACGCGTCCATCTGCGCTTCAATGTACTTGCGCGTGTTCGCCTTGTCGTCGTCCGACCACGTCGTGATGTCTGACTTGCCCGTGCACGAGCCGTAGTATGGGCTGCCGTCGTATTGGCCCTCGTAGCGCGCGCCGCGTCCATATCCGTTCAGCCACTTGGCCTAGATGGAAGAAGAGGTTAGAGAAGCTACACATACAATGCAAGATAAAACACTCTCTACTTACGCAATCTGTCAGAGCAGCACTCCATTCTCCGGTGACAGTCCAGAGAGTGGTGCCCTGAATGTTTGTGCCCTCGCCGCAGGCAGACGAGATGTGGTCGTCGATCGAGCGCGAGAGCTCGCCGGCGGAGAAGACCTGGTAGGCGTGGTGGTCGAGGATGACGTTGTAAAAGTCCGGGTACGTCATAAAGTCGTTCCAGTAGGTCGTGCCCATGAAGCCGTCGTGGATGGCAAGCACAATGTCGGAGCCGGACTCGGTGCGGAGCTGCTCGTAGCTGTAGCCGTAGTAGTCCTTGACCATGTTGATGTCAATCACGCCGTTGCTCGCCAGCGGCTCGTTCACGGGCTGGATAGCAACCACGACGTCGTTCCACTCCGAGGCAGAGTACGTCTTGATCACGTTCGCGACAATCTGCTGCGAGAGCTGGTAGTTTGACACATCAGACGTCCACGTCAGCACGTCGCGCTGACCAGAGTTGTCGAACCCGTTCTGCGAGCCCGGCATGCCGTGGATGTCAATCCAGACCTTGAGTCCGGCCTCGCGCGCCCACTGCAGACCCTGCTCGAGGTACTGCACCTGGCCCTGGACATAGGGGTCCGAGTCCAGGAGCGTGAACGCCCAGTATCCGATAGGAATGCGCACATGGTTCAGACCGGCGGCAGCGATCTGGGTGAAGTCGTCCTGCGTGATCCAGCTGGCCCAGTGCTGCGAGAGCTGCGAGTAGGCCGCGTCCTTACCTAGTGTCTGGCAAAAGTGGTACTCGTCGACGGGGCCGTTCGAGTCGCCAAACTGCTCGAAGAGCGAGAGGTTGATGTAGGGCTCGAGAACAAGCCAGCCGCCGATGTTGACACCGCGGACTTTTTCTCCAAGGCCGTAGCCGAAATTGAGCCAGCGACGGGCGGGGGCGGGGGACGCGACGGCGAGGACGAGACAGGCGACGAGGGGGAGGATACGCGCGAGGATCATAGTGGGGGAAGATGAGGCAGAGGAGGAGGAGGAGTAGGAGTAGAAGAAGAAGAAGAAGAGGAAGAAGCTCTATGTGCTCAAGAAAAAAGGTGCAGCAGAGATATACAGCAGCAACAAGTCACCTACAAGCAAGCAGAGCGAGAATTATAGCAGTTGACGAGAGAACAGGGAAGCAGGGCCGATATCAATTCGGACGCCCGCGCGTCGGTCGCGTTCCAAGAAAGGCACTCAGCCGCACAACACTAGTCCCGAAATGGACAAGGCAGGTCGCGCAGGTACCACACAGCAGCCACGCAGCACACAGACGAAGCCGACGACCGCGGTTCTCAGTCGCGGTTCTGGTGTTCGCGGACGTAAACAAACCACCGGCGACGCACTTCGTCACAGCGACGACGAGGTGCTGCTGGGTGTGCTCGGGCGACGATGCGCTGGTCCGTCAGCGGTTGCACATGCCCTGCGCGGAGAGGCGCACCGGCCAGACTATTGTGCTCACAAAATTAAACTCTTCTGTTCTTTGTGAGGAAAGCCTCGTGAACTAAGAACGCCCCTGGCTTCGACCAGAACCCCTTGCTTGAAGGGCCTGGAAGAGCCTGTGGTGGAGGGAGAGAGAGAGCGTCTGTGTCTGTTGTTCTGTATCTGCTTCTGTCTGTCTGTTTTCGTCCATCTGCTTCCGTCTGTTGTGTCTGCTGCGTCGCATCTGCATCTGCATTTCCATCTCTATTTCCGTCGGCGCGTGCTGCTCGGACTCCGCACTGTCACATTCATTCATTCTCATCTCCGACCTCATCAACTTCTATTTTCTCACTATTTACCTCCTGCCTCCTCCGGCTCGCCTTCATTCCGGTGGATATCCAAAAACCAATATCAGCCCGTCTCTGCATTTTTGTCTTTCATTCCTCCTCTCGCTTCCGCTCTTTCTCTCTCTCTCTCTCTCCCTCCCCTCCAAACCCCTCCGCGCCGCGCATCCACCGCCGCGTGCGCTCGTCACGCCGCTTGCCCGGCCCCCAACTTACCATCGACCAGAAATGCGCAACGCTGAATCGCGGCGCCGGTTCTTCGTTATATCTCTGAAACGCGTTCGTCTCCGTACCTTCCCATCGTCCATGTAATCCCGCGCGCTCGCTACCGTCTTCTATAACACCACCCTTGCTCTTTTTGTTCTGTAAACTCAAACTCCCTTCCCACGTCCGCACCGCCTCGTCCACCGGCATCCACCGCTCCTGCTCCCACCACGCGTCCGAACCCGTCATCTCCTTCAACCGCGAGATTGCCCGCTTGAACGCAAACCTCTCGTCCTCGCCCGTAAACGCCGACGCTCGCGTGTAATCACTCGTCTGACCCTCCCCTGTCTCGCGTCCGTCTGCCACCCCCGGCGCCGCCGCCGTAGCAAACGTCTTCTCCTTCTCCGTCTCGTCGTACGCAGACACATTCGGTCGGTACGGACTTGACAGGTCCAGATCAACCTCAGAGTACATCTCCAACTCGAGCGAGTCCTCCTCCTCCTCCTCCTGCTGCTGCGTCGCGCCACGGCTATTCTTACCAACCTCGACCTCGGCCGCGCTCACGCCGTGGCGCTTCATCTCGGGAAAAAATAGCTCATCGGCCTCAGTCTCTGCTCTCACCACAAGCCGCACCCGGCACTCGTACAGCGCGTCCAGCAGCGTAATCATCCGCCGCGCCTGGTTCTTCTTGTTCAACCGCAGCGCCGGCACGCCGTCCAGAATCACCGTGTGGTACCGCGACGCAATCGAAATGTAATCCGCGCCCGCAAGCGGCGAGTCGCATAGCTCTTCAAACGTAAACTTTGCAACCCCGTCCCTCGCCCACGGAATCCGCACCGTTCGGCCGTACACCTTGATCTCCTCGACATCCTCGTTCGCAGTCTCTGCCCTATTATCTGCAGCCGACGACGTCATCTCCCGCAGCATCTCCTCCCACGCGGCCTCCGGATCCCGGCCAGCGACCCAGTATCGCTGTATCCGTCGCTTGTCTGCTTCCTCTACCGCGGACTCCTCGCATAGAATCCGACGCCAGTCACGTTGGCTGCGCATGTCATATGAGATGCATCGCGCCTGAAGAATGTCGTAAAACGATCCGAATTGCGATTTCTTGAAATCAGCAGAATACAGCTCTACACCACACTCGTAAGCATCCTTCTCTGCTCATACATAAATATGTACACTTACCTTTCGGCAACCGATTCGACGTCGCAACAAGCACCCCTCCCATCTTGAAAAAATACGTAAACAGCGTGCGCACAATCTTCGCCGCCGCAATATCCGGCAACATAAACTCGTCCAGCAGCAGCACCGCGCTCTCCTCCACCAACTCCTGCGCGATCTTCAGCAGCACGTACTCGTTCTGCAGGTTGATCCGCTGCTTCTTGACCGAGCTGTCGGGAAGGAAGCGCAGTCGCTGGTGCCGTTGGGTTTCGCGGTGGATGCGCGAGTAGACTGAGAGCATGAAACTGTGGTAATGCCAGCGTCGTTTCGAGCCGTGCGGCAGAGACGCGGCGAATAAGTCCATCAGCATCGACTTTCCACTCCCTCTGTAACAATACAATCAGCCATCGGTCCAATTAGCAGCAGAGAGTCAAATGCAGGGAAACACATACACGTCACCGTGGATCATCAATCCTTGAGGAGACTCAACCAGTAAAACCTCCTCTTCATCCGAGAGCCTCCTGATCAGCGACAACGTCTCTCGCTCGGGACTATACCACGCCGTCTTCTTCTTCGGCTCCGCCTCTGCCTCTTCCTATTCCCAAACAGTCAGATCCCAATCCTCAAATCAGGTACGAACACAAAGCACATACATCAAGCAGCTCAGAGAGCTTCTCAATTTGCCGCGCAAAGTCCCCGGACGGCATATAGTCTCGCACGCGGTAGTACAACTTCTGGAACTCGATCGCAGCGCGGTGCTGTGCTTCGTCCGGGCGGATGCGGCCGGAGTCGACGTACTGCCGGTACAAGATTAGCGGGTCGGTGATTGTCAGACCTGTGGGTTGAGAGTCGTGGTTGCTGCCGGTGTTTGTAGATCGTGCCGCTGCTTCTGCTGCGCGCGCTGTTGAGGTGCTAAACTCGCATCGTCGCGCGGCAGACGGCTCGCGCCGGCAGAAGATACCATCCCGGTCGCGGCAGCGCATCGTCCCAGATGAAAGCGACAGCGGCGCAGTGTGTATAATCCCAACACTTCCAGCTTTAAAACAGAAATGTCGATGCCGACTGTGGTGACGGGCGAATGCGTGGTTACCCACTTTGATCTGTCTTGCGTTGAACATGGTTATCAACCCGACTTGAAGATCTCGTTCTGAGTGCTATTTCTTGTCAAAATCAAAACAAACACTGTCTATCAGTAATTCCGTATCTTCCAGTTATTCCAACCTCCTCAGCTCTAGTTACTCCTCGGCCAGCAGCACAACGCGCGTCAAGAAGCAGGTAGGATAGCTTTCAAAGCCAGCGCAGCTCTACAAGTCCAGACCTCGCGTCCTCCAACCGTGCGGCTCATTGGGAGATTCCCCGTCCTCGACATCTCAAAAACTCCCCCATCTGCTCCTCCTCCTCGTTCTCGCTTTCCTGTACCAAAGCATGGCAAACATAGCAAAGAAAATGCTCGCGACAAGCTTTACATACAACTCTGTGCGTGTTGAGATTCCGGCCTACCTGTCCTCCACACTCGGTGCGGAGCAGGTGCAGAAGTTCCCGCCTTTTGTGAGGTGGTTTGAGCGGTTGCAGGCGAGCCTCGCGAGCACGGCTGTCAAGGGCGGGTTTGTGAAGAAAGGGGGTGCGGGACAGGAGAGCGGTGGTGTGGGGAAGTATTATCAGTTGAAGAATATTGAGATCCAGAGTGCCGATTTCTTTGCTAAAGGGTGACACCTCTTTGCTTCTTCTATCTGTGCTCCTTCTCATCTAACGAGATCCTCAATCACAGAACGAAACTTGGATTTCTGAAAATCAAAGCTCTGGTCGAGGACGACACCGGTAGCAGCTTACCGGGAATTGTACTGCTCCGAGGACAAAGCGTCGCCATCCTTGTGCTTGTCTATCCATCGCTCGATCCCGCGGCTAATAATCCAGCAGATTACGACGACAGTACGTCCTCCTCTCTCTCTCTCTACATCTCTGGCAGCTGCTCTAACTACTCGACAGGCAAGGCAAAAGTAATCATCACAATCCAACCCCGCATCGCAGGCGCAGACATGGCAATGGCCGAAATCCCCGCGGGCATGTACGACCCCGAAGACAACCGGCTGTCCTTCGCCGCCCAGCGCGAGCTGAAAGAAGAATGCGGGATCGAGGTCGTCGCAGACGACATGCGCCCGCTGCTGTCTGCCGCCGCTGATCGCGCTGGCGGCATATTCCCGAGCGCGGGCGCGCTCGACGAGCAATTGCAGTTCTTTTATTGTCGGAAACTGATGCATGCGCGCGACATCGAGGAGCTCGAAGGACGAGCGGGCGGGGCGGAGGATGAGCGGGAAAAGATTACGCTGAAGGTTGTGCCGCTTAGTGACTTGATCACGGCTACGCTGGACGCAAAGGCAATCATCGCGGCGGCGCTCTACAATAATTTGGCAAAATAGAGGGATTGTATTCATAGCTACTTGTACGATATCGCTAACAAATCACCAAGTTTTTTTGCGACGGTCGTGCTGTTTAGTACAGAGCAGCGTAGTCGGGCTTGTTGTCGAGGATAGCCTCGATCTCGTCGACGTCGGCGTCGGTGAGCTTGCGGTACACCTTCAAAGCGTCCAAGTTCTCGACGACCTGCTCGGCTCTCGACGATCCAGTGAGAATAGTAGACACTAAATACCGAAATTAGCCTATGCGTTCCACGACAACAGATCAAAAAAAGGAGGGGGATCTCACCGTTCTTGTTCTTCAAAAGGAAAGCAAGCATGAGCTGAGCGGTGGTGCAGCCGACACGGTCAGCGATCTTGGTGAGCTCGCGCACCTTGGCGATCTTTGCCTGGCCCTCGGGGGTCTCCCACTGCTTGCGGATACGCTGAACGACAGGGCTGCTCTGGTCGCCGAGTCTGGTACCGGGAGCGAAGCCGTCGTTGTACTTTCCGGTGAGAACACCACCAGCCTGCAAATAGTAATGTCAGCGTCAAAAGTAAACCAGATAAAAGCCAATCTTCATTTAATCGGAGGTAACGCACCAGAGGACTCCAGATGGTAGTTCCGTACTTGTAGAGGTCGTAGAGAGGCTTGTACTCGGCCTCGAAGCGGTTTCGGTGGAAGGCCGAGTACTGGGGCTGCTCGGCGATAGGCGCAATCAAGCCAAACTTGGTCGCGATGTGGTGCGCATGCTCGATCTCGAACGCCGACCACTCCGAGGTTCCCCAGTAAAGGGCCTTGCCGTCGTTGATCATCTGCGTGAAGGCACGCACGACCTCCTCCATTGGCACGCCCTCGCGATCGGGACGGTGCGCGAAGATGACGTCGACGTAGTCGAGCTGGAGACGCTTGAGTGATTGGTCCAAGCCCTGGGCGCAGAAAGTCAGTATCGTCGATTCGGCGTAAAGATAAGAGGCAGGTAGATAAGAAAACACGTCAATTGCTCACCTCCATCAAGTGCTTGCGCGACAATCCGCGGCCGTTGGGGCTCTTCTCGCCGAATCCAAAGTAGAGCTTGGTCGAGATCACGTAGTCGGATCGCTTCCAGCCAAGCGACTTGAGGACGTTGCCGAAGACGGTCTCGCACTCGCCGTTAGAGTAGATCTCGGCCTAAAACACTCAATTAGCAACAAACACGACAAATAACAAAGCAATTGAATGTGCTGACGCACAGTGTCGAAGAAGTTGACGCCACGGCTCCAGGCAATCTCGAAGCACTCCTTGGTGACTTTCTCGCTGTCCTCGCTGACGGTCAGCCAACCACCGTACGAGAGGCAGGACACGCGGAGACCGGTGTTTCCGAGGAAGCGGAACTCCATGTCCTTGGGGTCGTATTCAGTCATGATGATGAGTGTTTCTGAGAGGAATTGGTGAAGAGGAAGAGGAGGATGAGTGCTATCAGGAAGATATCAAGATCAAAGAGGAAGAGCGGGGAGATCCAGTGATTAAATAAATTATCTTTAACGCCGGCCGCTTAGCAACCGCGCTTCCCGCAATTTAGCGCTTGCTGCGGTTAAATAGTTTTAAGGTTTTTGATTAGTAAGTGCTTAGTACTGCTCTACCAACCCCGCTGCTCACTTCAACTCATCCCTGGCTCGTGCGTGCGATTGCTCTCGAGCACACTGAGGTTATTGATATCGCGACATTCTATCAGCCGTACCAGCACCTCCTTCCTCTCTCTCTTCACAATGACAGACGCCGTCGACCCTGCCAGTCTGCGTCTGCTGCGGAACAGCGAGCCCTCGCCGCTATACCCCGCCAGCACGGCCACGACTGCCACGTCCGACTTCGACGATGACCACCGGGCGGCCAATGCTCTCAATAGCCTCGAGAGCGGGCTCGACGACGACCGTGGCGGCGACGCGCACGCAAAGATGATGCAGCACGCAAAGGAGACATACAATTCCATGGACTATTGGGCGTTCTTGCTGCTTGGTTAGTATACTTGTGTCTGCATTCATGTGTGGCTCTCGCTAATACGGCGCGCTCTGCCTTCCTACAGGTCTTGCCATGCTCTGGCCGTGGAACTGCTTCCTCAGCGCGGCCGCGTACTTCCAAGACAGATTCAAAGAAAGCGAGTTTCTAAGGGAAAACTTCCAGAGCTGTGTGTATACTCCTCAATCTGTTGCTCTCCGCATTGCTATCTCTAATCCTTCACAGTCATGATGACAACGAGCACCATCACCGCAACGCTCACAATGCTTTACCTCTCACACCAGCAGCAACACGCGAGCTACACTTTCCGCATATGGCTCGCCCTCATTCTCAACGCGATCAACTTCACAATCCTGGCTATCGCGTCCATCACCGAGGAAGCATGGCACATCGTCGTGTACTTCATCTACCTCCTTATCTCTGTCTTCTTCTCCGCATGCGCCACCTCGCTCTCGCAAAACGGCGCGTTCGCAATCGCAAACCTGTTTACTCCCGTATATACACAGGGAATCATGGTCGGTCAGGCCATTGCAGGTGTGCTGCCTTCCATCGCCCAGATTATCTCGGTCGTATCCGTCGAGTCGTCAAAAGCCGGTGAAGCGGGCAAGGCCTCGTCCGCCAGCTCGTTTGTCTACTTCCTAACCGCCACCGGCGTCACCGTCATCGCCATCTTCTTCTACATCTCATTCTACAGGCGCCAGCGAGCAGTCATCAACCACGGCGCCACCGTCGCCGGCGGCTACTCTGCGCCTCGGTTCTCTGGTGAGTTTGCGGATATCGCAGCCGCCGCCGAGCCCGAGCGCGAGTACATTCCCCTCACTCGGCTTCTGAAAAAGCTCTACTTTGCCGCGTTTGCAGTGTTCTTCACGTTCGGTCTCACGCTCATGTTCCCCGTGTTTGCGTCCACGACGCTCTCGGTGAATTACGTCGAAGGCGAGACGTCGATAAACTCCTGGTTCCGACCAAACGTCTATATCCCGTTCGCGTACCTGATCTGGAACGCGGGTGATTTAGCTGGTAGACTAGTCTGCGGCTACCCGCGTCTCGTCATGCACTCGCAAAAGCAGATGGCCGTCGTCGCGATCGCGCGTCTGCTCTACATCCCGCTCTTCTTCCTCTGCAACATCAACGGCGAAGGAGCAATCATCTCAAGCGACTTTTTCTACATGCTCTTGCAGTTCACGTTTGGTCTTACAAACGGATATATCGGCAGTTGCGCGATGATGAACGCCGAGAGCTACGTTGACGATAACGAGAAAGAGGCCGCGGGTGGATTCATGGGACTTGCGCTCAACCTCGGATTAGCTGCCGGCTCGCTCAGCAGTTTTGTGCTGGTCGCGGAGATTGAGTAGATATGTTTTCTTTTATCATTATATTCGGTTATGTTTTCGGTTCAGAGGTTCTTCTATATTGGCTTTTATCAGCTGTCTGATGTTGGACAACCCTTCTATCTCATATTTTTAAACTGCCTTATCATTAGCAGTAGCATGAACTGTACATAAATCATACCGTACTCTCACTATCTTATCCTCACCCCACCTAATCATACAACCTACACTCTCTTCTATGTGGCATTCTATCCATTCCGGAAAAACTCCAAATACTGAAGCGCATGCTCAGCTTTTCCAAATCGCTTGGGACCCTCGGTCAGTTCTGCGTATATATCGATTGTGTCGCCAAAGAATATCCGACCTTGCGGGAACGCGCTCTGGGCTATGAAACTCGTGATGGCAAGCTTTGAGTCTTCCAGATTGTCGCTTGCGTGGTATTCGACCTAGCAGTTAAATCGTTAGCTGGAAATGTACCGCAGGCCTATGGTCGGTCAGTAGTACCCACCTCAATGATTAGAAACTTGAAAGTTCCGTTCTGCGTGATATTCGCCGTGCGCACTGTATACATATCCCCGACCGCAAATGCATGTCCATCTCCCCGCATCAACTGCCGCGGCAACCACATACTCTGCAGCTTCGCCCCGACGATCGAATATATCCCCTTATCAAACACCGCCAACACCTTCTTATCCGACACCGTGCCTGTCCGTGTAGCAGAATAGCTCACCGGCTCATCAACAAGGTTGAACACGTCCTCGTCATGCGTAGAAAGATGTAGCTGCGAAAGAAACCGCGCCTTGGTTTGCGCCCGCTGCTGCTGTGGCTGATCCAGATGCGCCTGCGACCCGTGCCGTCCTGGCGCGCTGATCTCGGGGTTCTCGCGGAAGAGCTTGTACTCGAACGACCATTTGCCGATTACTTTGGGAAACAGGCGGGCCACTTTGTCGTTCACGCTCGAGATCGTGCTCGCGTTCGTGCCGGGCTCTTGCACTACATATAGGCTGTGATTGAGGTCGTTAGCTATTGACTCGTATAAAATGATCAAGCTGTATAATGAATTAAAGAATAGAAATACCCTGTCACCGGCATCTGCTGTATCTGAATCTGCGTTCACTACTAAATACAAACTAAACCAGAAACCAACCCATCAGTTTCTGATAAATCCAAATAAACGTGCGGCGCTGCGGCGAGCACAGTTTTGTCGATTCCAACCTGCTCGCCATATTCCAACCCCAAAGCCTCTCCGCTCCTTTCAATACCATCACAGCATCAAACAATGTCTACAGAACTTCGTCCAAGATATTTAGTAAACTCGGCTGTCCGACTCGATGCGCCCAGTTTGTACGTCGAGAAGAAGCTGGTGCGTTGTGAACTCTTGAGATCGCCCTATTTATTCCTTTTGTTTGCGGCAATAGCTAACTGATTGCTTGTTCTAGAGGATGAATTCAGACAGAGAAGACGCCGACTTTCAGAGAAAACTGATTGACGAGTCGACGACGCTATATGTCGGAAATTTGTACGCTGCTCCTTTGCTACTTTGCGGCCCTAATCGCGGCTAATTCTCGATTGATCTTAGGTCGTTTTATACCACAGAAGAGCAGATCATGGAGCTGTTTTCAAAGTACGACTGAGCCTCTCCTCTTTTTTCTCTTTAAATTTTTGCTGTCGACTGTAACTTACTCTTGTGCTCATCTACAGGGTCGGCGAAGTCAAAAAGATAATCATGGGCCTCGACCGCTTCAGCAAAACCCCATGCGGTTTCTGCTTCGTCGAGTACTACACCCGCGAGGACGCGCTCGCGTGCATGAAGTACATCAACAAGTCCCGCCTTGACGAGCGCGAGATCCGCACAGACATCGACCCGGGTTTCAAAGAAGGACGGCAGTTTGGAAGAGGGAAATCCGGGGGTCAGATCAGAGATGAGTTTAGAGATAATTATGATCCTGGTCGGGGAGGGTACGGACGGCGGGTGGATTGAGCTCGTGTGTTTGTAGGCTGTAATAATAGGGACTCGATAACTAAAGATTATCATACATCATCAACCCCAAAACCGTGATCTTACTAATGTCATTGCATTCAGCCAGCTCGTAGATCAGGCAGCCTGGTGATCTGACAAGCAAACTCCGATTTGATATGTAAAGAAAACTCCCCCGTAACCCCGGGCTCGTAGAGCGATGCAATAACGGTGTACTCCCCTTTCAGCACTTGCTTGCGCTTTGTGAGCGCGCACTCTACTTCGTACTGGCCTGTGTCGAGAACGGTGTCTCGCGACCGGACTCTGTTTGTCAAGCAGTCAGCGGATGTATAGCAAAAGAATAACAATCTGGAGATGACTTACACAGAGACACGCTTCCCTCCGCCCCAGACTATCTGTGCATATACCGACACGTCAGACGTCGTCTCGATAAACATCTGCACCATCGAGTCCTCAGATACCACCAGCTTGTACTGCGGGTTATACAAATAGCTAGGCGAAGCCGTATTCCCGCCCGCCGTGAGCTCTGTCCACTGCCCGTCGACGTCGACAGAGTATGGCAAGACTTCGGCTGCGGTATCGAGTGCAATCGGATTCAGAGAGTACGCAAAGAGCGAAAACGAGGTCCGCGTGCGCCGCTCGCTCTCGGCTGCCACGACGACTGAGTACCGTGTTTTTGCAGGGATATCCACGCGAAGAAGTGTCTGCGTTGAATCTACCAGGTTTGTCTATACCTCAAACGTTAAAACATAGAGCAGAAAGACGGTTATCTAGGAAGATTACCTGGGCGACCGTGTTTTTCTTCATCCAGACCTTTGTGCCTGGATCATTAAACACCTGCAGAGCGATGTACGTGCTCGGTTGATCTTTTGTGATGTGCCGAGCCAGAAGAAGCCAGACCTGCGACTGCTCCGCACTTGAATTCTCGATCGACATCTGAGGATTCGATACTGGACAACCATGCGTGAGTACAGAGCGGTATATATCAAACAAAGAAAACTTACATAAACTTTTATGGCCCATGCTGTTTGTCAAGTCCCACTCAAAATGCTTCTGCTGTCGGTATTTGAAAAGCACAGGACTCCAGTTCAAATACATGCTGTTGAATCTAGTGCACATTCTCGCAAAGTCCATCCAGAAACAATTGTCAGCCGCCCACTTCTCCTCGCAATCATCGACCGATATTCCCGACGGTTTCACATGATCCTCCGTCGTTCTCCACGGGTTTTTCAAGCAAACGACGCGCTGTCCGGACTCCAAAACACGCATGGAAATCACGGTGTAGTCATGATCGCTTATGAGTCCAAACAGCACAGCTTCCTCGTCGGTAAGTTTTCCAGTTCCTACAGTCACGAGCAGGTCCCGAAATCGCCAGGCGGTGATCAGTCGATCCCACAGAGCGGCGGTATCAATGCTACCGTTATGAAGCAGAATATGCTCTGGGATCCATGTCGTCAGCGCAAAGATATCGCTGGCGGCGTTGGATCCGGGGAAATCGTAGCCGCCCATTGCTTTGAGATATGCCTTTTCGATTAGTGCTGGGCTGTATAGAGACGGATATGCGCGTGATGTGACATGGATATATCTTGACGAGTGCGACGTTGGCAGAAAATCATCAATAATGACCTGATCAGAGGGATTAGTGAATGATAGATCATTTGCAAAAGTAATTCTAGCCTCACCTTGCGGTAGGCGCCGTTGATAAATAGCTTCACGGCGTATTTGCCGGGTTCGATAGGATACAATATATCAGAAACAAGCTATAAATATCTTGTCAGCTTATTCCTGCACCAACACCCAAACATTACAAGAACTCGACCTACATCACGTTCCGATAGACATTCCCAATGTGACGCGGCACATAACGAAGCTACGATAGAGCAATCAGAAAGAACGTCCTAGCCACAGTGTCAGAGAAGTCTGCAAAACCCACTGAGACAATCAAAAGTCTCGCACGCACTTGACACAGATCGGTCGACAACCTGCCGTACTCTGACGGGGAGGATCGAAATAAGATGGCCTCGTCGCCCCAGATTTCAGAGGGCCTCTTCCACCCCGCGAAATATTTTTCCTGATCCGGAGACAATTTCAGAAAACCGGAAGGGTCGCTGTGCTGTGTTAGACTCGTACACTATAAACCGGAACACTTCAAACCGCAGAAACTGTCAACACATACGTAAACTTGGCTGCAGAAGCAGACGTGCCCGACGATTTACCGGCAGACGCCTCCCACGGAGGAAATACAGAGTTTCCAAACTTTGAACTTCGCAAAAGAATAGCCTGCTCCTTTTTCGACAGCCTCAAGTCTGAAAAACAGCGCGTCTCTTTGCATGACTTTGGCCGTTTAAGCGGCGTCGAAGGTCTCGTCACCTGCCGCTGCTGCTGCTCTGGTTTCTCGGACAACGACGACGCGCTCGCCAACGCCAGATCGGTAGACAAGCTCGCTTTGATTTGCTCCGCAAACGTCGCCGCAGCCTTGAACTGCTCTTTGAGCTTCTCTCGGTTTGCCTTTGCGGCAGCCTGTGCCGCGTCGAGGAACAGCGAGCTGGCACTGAGCGCGGCTTCGAGAGCGGGATGACGTTCGCCTCGGTTATAGAGACTGCGGGCGCGAGCTATTGCATCCTGCCAGCACGAAGATGGTCAACAACAAACAACTTCACCTGTAAAACACAGTCTAATCAACAATACCTGAGCGCGAGCTTCCAGCTGAGCGTCCATAGCTCCTGCTCACTGGCGACTCACCCACAATATCTCGATCTCGGTCTCTGATAAACCCAGCGCACGGTGAGCAGTACCGGACCCTCACAATTAGGGTTTACGGAGATCAGCAGTTACCCCTGAACAGCCAGGCCGAGGCAGGTTGGGTCAGACAGCGGCCGTCTGCTCGGGCCGAGAGCTGCGGGGAATCCGGCACCGGAGAGCAGAGAACAAGAAGACAAAAGACCTCCGCCGGCAGCAAAGCGATGTTTGAACAAAGAAGGGACTTCTGCTGCTTCTTGTAGGGAATTCACCTCCATACAGACAACTGACCATCCGTCGCAGGTGCAAGCGCAACTGCAGCTCTCTTCCTCGTGATCTCCGTCCCAGCCGGTCGCCAAACCCAATCGCTGTGCTTTATCTACAACTGCCCGATAAACGCTCATAGTCAGCTTCTGTCTCCTCATCCTCCACCTCTACAGAGCCCTGGACCGTCTGCGTCATGCCAGCACCCTCTAAGGAAGTGCTTCCTCCGTGGGGCTACGCCCTGTCCGGTGCCGCCGGCGCGGTGCTCGCAAACACCATCGTCTACCCTCTCGACATGTACGTGCCCTCGTCGCTGTTTCCGCTCTTCTGACTATGACTGACAGTCTCGTATCCAGTGCAAAGACAAAGCTTCAAGTGCAGAAGAAGAAAATAGCCGCCCCCGACGCGGAAAAGGCAGAAGCGTATGTTGATCTGTGCTAATTGCTCCAGCTGCTGTACTGACGACGATCCTCCTCACCAGATCCGCCACTGACGACGAAGACCACGACTACTATCTCGGCACCGCCGACGCCGTCAAGAAAATATACAAAAAAGGAGGCATCACTGCCTTGTACACCGGTCTTCCTGGATCTCTTCTCGGCGTCGCGTCCACCAATTTCGCATACTTCTAGTGAGTCTTGTGAAGCTCTGTGCTGTCTCTACTCTGTATATGCTAACAACCTGGTAGTTGGTATGGCGTCGTTCGGTCAGCTTACCAGAAGAGATACCCCGTCATCTCGACAGCCATGGAGCTAATCCTAGGCGCGATCGCCGGTGCGCTCGCGCAAATATTCACAATCCCCGTCAGCGTCATCACCACCCGGCAGCAGACCGAGGAATCGCCGGTAGCGTTTATGCAGACCGGAAAAGACGTCATCAAGGAAGACGGACTGACGGGTCTATGGAGAGGACTGAAGGCGTCGTTGGTGCTTGTGGTCAATCCTGCAATCACGTACGGCATGTACCAGCGGTTTAGAGATACCATATTCTCTGACAAAGCCAACCTGACCGCCTATGATTCTTTCTGTAAGCCTCCTACATCTCACATCACTGCATCTCCACCCCAATATCTAACATCACCCTTTTTCTCACAGTCCTCGGCGCCTTGTCAAAGTCAATGGCCACCATCACAACACAGCCAATGATCGTCGCCAAGGTGATGACCCAATCAAAGCCCAAACCTGGCGAGAAGCGATATGACTCCTTCGTCGAAGCGCTCATGTACCTGTCCAAGAACGAAGGCCTTCCTGGTCTGTTTAAGGGAATCGGACCTCAGATTACAAAGGGCGTTCTTGTCCAAGGCCTTTTGTTCATGTTTAGAGATCGTACGTACTATATTATTCACCTTCCTACTTCCATATTTTAACGAGCATATGCTGACAATCCGCTCCTGCAGAGGTTGAATTGCTTATTTTGCTACTCTTCCGGCTAGTCAGAAACTGGCGGAAGAGAACCGTCTTGCTGAAATAGAATTTCTATCTTGACTTATTTTCATGCTCGAACCTTTTGAACTCATATCTGTTTCTTTGTGTTTGTATTTTTTTGACTTTTAGCAAATCTATTATCTTTTTTTCGTAGTATTTACATTCATCTCTCTATATAACTACATCGTCTTCTATAATCTCGGAAGTCTCTTGATTATCTCTTCTCGACCTCCCAGACAGCAACTGTCTTGTCGAATCCACCTTTGGTATTAATAAACGTTAGCGCGGACTCCATTGACATCAATCGAGAAAAGTAATAGTAGAGTAGACATACCGGTAACAACGACCTCCTTGCCATCGACCTTGCCGGCATAGATAGCCTTCACCTTTCCTTGATGGTGCTTCAATTCAGCGACAACCGCGCCGGTCGAGACCTCAACGCCTCTGATCAGTCCGTCGTCTCCGTTGCACCAGATACCCTACACACTCTCTGTTAGCGGCAATCATTAAAAACAAAAGAAAAGTCTCTAAAACTTACAGAGCCTTCGGGTCTCCAGGTAATTCTGCTCGTCGAGTAGGCATCCTGCGGTGCGCGGGTGAACGAATTCTTCAAAATTGCATCATTACCAGACTCGAGCATCATAAACCGCATATGCGGGATACTCGAGGTCGCGACACCCAAGTACTTTTGCTCGGTCGGATCGAGCGCGATATCCATCGCGCAGAACGAGACCCACGAGTTACTCTCCGGGTTCAGGTTATGCCGCGCAAACTCAATCAGGTTCGGCTGCAGCTTGTAGTAATACAAAAACGTGGAGTCGCGACGCGAGATGACCAGCTTCGGGATCTCATCGTCGCCGTCCTGGTACGTGAACGCCGCGGCCTCGGGGTTTGTGGGGAACGATAGCGATCCGATCTTGTTGAACTTTGGCGGCTCGGTCTCGGACCTTTCAATAGTGTAGACATGCACTTTCTTATCGTACCCGACAGTCGCGACGTATTTCTGGTCCTTTGAAATCGCAATCTTGACCAGGTACTTGAAGTGGTCCTTCTGCTCGGCAGTGATTTCGCCCGTAGCCGGTTTCGACACCACAAGTCGTCCGTCCATACCACCTGTCATAATTGTGTTCTCGTCCAACACCTCGAGCGTCAGAATCGGCGACGAGTGTAAATGAGTGTAGACCTTCAGCGGATCAAAGGTATAAAAGTCGAATATTCTCAGCGAGCGGTCGGCCTCCGTCACCAAGATGCATGGTCTGACCGAGGTCCCGGCCGAAGGGTCATCGATCGACGTCGGCATACTCAAATTCGCAACCGACACAAACAGAATGTTGGATAACTGGTCAGGAAGAACAGACTTGAACGTAGGAGAAGGAACAACCCATTGGTTCTGGGTGTCCGCCTTGATATCCAGCTCCTGAATACCCATCGCTAGGTCATACAGACGCTTCTGTTCGATGATACTACAATACTATTAGTATTCATAATACCAATCGGTAGTTACCAATCTGTGCATTCACATACCTCTCCAACGTCATCGAGTGATCAGACGGAATCGGAATCATATCATCCTCAAGGCCCAGCTCTTCCTTAAACGCCTCGAGCGTCTAGCCAAACAGCAAAGTTAGTAGAAAGCCCACGCATTCACCTACTAATAAGACTGTGATACATACGGAGTTGTAGGCGTTATCGCGAAGATATCGCGCCACAATAACATGAATATTATCGCGAGAAGGCATTGTCCTTGTATATAATCTTTGATACTCTAGTTAGACGAGACTGCTGTGGAGTTTCGGACAAAGAAAAGCGCAGGGCCGTGGAAGTAGTAAGTGGACTTACAAGACAGCTCACTCGATAACTTCAGCAAGTAATATAAAACAAGAAGTGAGATATAATCAAAGAACAGAAATAGGTCTTTATATATTACAGTCCTCTGGGAAGTGCGGACGGTCTGATATCAGTCGAATTCGTCTCTGGGAAGAAAGCCTGGTTTCAGCTATCAAAAGGCTGCTGATAACCGAATTGAGTTTGAGTCGTCGCTCCCAACGTTACCAGACCATCTTGTCTGCAACTAGATGAGATCAAAGAATTGCTTCTGCGAGACAACGTAGTGTTATTTTCGAGTTGAATTTGCTTGAGTTTTCTTTAATTTACAGATTGTCAGCATTGGTTGGCTAGAATTCTGTGGGCATATATTTGTATCTTTATTCTCATGAAACAATCAGTCAAACTGATCTCGAATAATTCTCATCATAGTAACTATAATACAGCTGACAGCATAACGCGCTAATCATACAAAAAAATCTCTGCATCGCAAAAACAAAGAAATCCGTCAAGGTTCCATGTCCTTGACTTTACAATTAGTCAAAATCAAGATGATGAGCGCGACGCCTTCGTCCACCTTTCCCTCCATCCTTTGGCGCTATCCGACTTGCAAGATCTGACGGGTTCTTCCTAGGCTCTTCACTAGAATTCATCACGTCACCGAACGACCGGGTAGGCTCATTCCGGGTTGACTCATTCCGAGTAGACTCATTCCGAGTAGACTCATTCCGGGTAGACTCAGTTGTAAGGGGTCCGTCATAATGTCGGTCAAGGGGATTGATAACCTTTCTGAATGCTTTCTCCTCAAGTGTTGGGCTCCTTGGGCGGCGCCCAATTCTTCCAGATAGTCCCTCGCCTCTGGAGGAACCTCTGCTGGATAGACGAGACTCTGGGTTGTTGTACTCTTCATCTCCATCGGCGGGGTCACCGCCTCGGCCCCCAGATCGACCCTCATCCCTGCGGTCAGACGGATCACGACGAGGCGACAGACGTCTTGAGTCGTATTCATAGTTTTCATTATTCTCCCTGCGTCCAACTCTGCGGGCAAACTGCTCGTACTTTTCGTAATTTTCGCCGGGAACGTAGCGATCGATACGACTGGAGGAACCCCAGCTCTTGTTGATTGGCGGATACCTGTCGTCCTCGTCTGAGTAACGTCCTGGAGAAGCACTGCGTCTTCGCGGTCTGCGATAGTAGTCACCACGGCTGTCTCGTCCTGACCGTCTGTCCGACCTGCGCTCTCGTCTACTCCATGAATCCCATTAGCAAAGATACAAGGCTCAAGTCACTACCGTAGATATGCCATACCTTCGCTCTTCTTCCTCACGAGGATCTCCATGGAACAGATAGTATTTACTCTTCAGATGAGCGGCTTTCTGTAAAACAGTTAGACATGATCAAATTTCGGTACTCAGGTGTGAAAAGCAGGTCCATACCTCTTTCTTGTCTGTCAACAAAGCTCCGCGAACTTTCAAAGTGTATTTGCCATTTCCCGGATGAGTCTTGGCTACCCTGAGAGCGCCATCTGCCGGAACCTCGTCGTAGAATTCACCCTCGGATGTGAACGCATCAAGTGCCTTTCCGGCAGCCTCCTCTGATTTGAAAACAAGGACAACTAAGATAACTTTTCGTTAGCTGTGCCATGCAGACGTCGGCAACCGTATCAGCTACTCACTTGACGAGTCGTCGACCCATTCGAACTTTGGCTCCTCGTCGGGAAAATAGGCGGCTGAGTATTCCTTCACATCGTTCGTAGACATATGATCTACTCCGTGCATGTAGACTGCCTCAAACCGCTTCAAAGAGTACGCCTCGGGAAGCTGCTCCTATTCCAATGATTTAGCGCAGAGTTCAACAAACAAAGTATCAGCAGATTAGCACAAACCTCTTCGCCTTTGGAAGGCTCCTTGTCGACTTCCATGTCACCGCCATAGTCGCCCAGATTTTTCTCACCCTCATCATCCCCATCAAGCAGCGGCTGGTCTATGATAATATCAAGATCAGCGTCAAGATTTCGCGCCGGATCAACGGCGACATCGGTTTCGGCCATGGGTTCTAGATGGGCAGGTAATGTAGCTGGGCCTGGAGTCGGGTAGTGCTGCTCTTTGCCGTGTTCTGGGTAACTAGAGTGCGTAACGAGCAATTGGTGTTAACAAGACAATCAATGAACTGAACAGCGCAGGTGAACCGAGTCTATAGCTACAAGCCGGCGGTCTTCGAGCAAATCTCTATCGTTGTGCAATTGCCGGCAGAGTGGTTTGGATGTTGACCTGACCGCTGCAAATTAAAGTTTACTGTAAACAAGGGTAAGGGGCTGGCTCCGTGGGACTTTGCAAAAAATATTTGGGCATCCAGGTTTGATATCTCGTCCAGAGCAGATTTCACTTTGAGAACACAGCATTGAAAAGGAAAGAGAAGAGATGGCTGTACCAGAAGAGATTCAGCCGTTTATTGCGGGCCTTGAAGCCGAGATCGAGAAGCTAGAATCCAGCATCTCACACGTAACAAAAGACGGCTTGGCTAAGTACTCTGCAAACCTGCCGCCATTAGACAGAGCAAAGGCGTGCATGACACTACTCTATGCCCTCAACTCGTCTATATTCTGTATGTTTGAGAATTCTATCTGAACTCTGTGATTTTCAGTACTAACTGCGTGTCTTGTAGCCGCTTTGAAGGTGGGCGAGGAGTTCTCCTCGGATCACCCAGTGATGAGCGATATCCGACGAATTCAGACGTACATGAAGAAAGTGAAAAACACAGAGGAGATTATCGCTGGACGTAAGTACATAGTGTGCTACCCAGATCATACTGCATGCGCTAACATAGTGAATCCACAGGACAACTGCAAGTCGACAAAGAAGCCGCAGGCCGGTTTATCAAGCATGCACTTTCGGGCAACGACGCCTACGACGAAGAAAGAGAGAACAAGAGAGTTGCCAGCGCGTCGAGAAACGTTTTAAGCACTGAGGACAACGCCGCTGCCGTCTCAAAACTACTCGGTGAGATCCGGAGCGTGTTAGGTTCAAAAACGAACACGAATGAACCGGTGCAAGAGAGCGCGATCTCGACAGATCAGGTTGAGTCGGCAGCTCAGGTTGAGAACTCTGGAAAGGAAGAAGCTAAAGAGGAAGTGAAGGAAGATAAAGAGGAAAAGAAAGAAGAAGAAGTTATGATCCCATTGACCGATCCCGAAACCGCTGCTAAGAAGGCCGCAAAGAAGAACAACAAGGCCAATAAAGGCAAGGGGAAAAACGACAACGCGCAGCAGAAGAACGAGCAGGATGCCTCTAATGCTCCAACAAATCCCAAAAAGTTCACTGGAGGAAAGTTCAGGAAGAACAAAGGCACGAACGCCAAAGTCGCGAACGCTAAAGTCACCAAGCCAAAGCCGAAGCCGAAGCCGAAGCAAAAGCAAAAACAAAAGGGAAATAAGAAGGGCCAAAATAAAAATTGAACAGACAGGGATCAAGAGTAGTTATTGAAGTTATCTATGATCAGCAGATACCGGGCGGATGAAAGATATCATGCCAGATTTCTGTTGAATATGGTTATAATTATGGGCATAGGTATTATTGGCGTTTGTGATTTATGTAATGTATTTGAAAGTGTACAATAAACAGAAACAGTATATTTTCCTACTTCTATTTCGTTTCTGGTAGTATTCCATATGCTCAATGCTCACAGCGCGGCAGTTGTAAATTAGGGCACGGGTTTGGCGCGTCTGCTTACCCGGCGATCAACGCGTCTCCATCCGCTCCACCCCATCACCGACCGCGCGCTCCTCATCTTTCTCTGTTTACCAAACACCTCCTACCACGCTTTGCACACCCACTAAGAGCTACTTCATAGCTACCTCTACTGCTCGATATTGATTTTAGCCAACACTTTCGCTATAATCGACTCTAGCGGTCAGCGCGCGCAGCTTTCGAAATGGGCCAACTCACGCGTATTGAAGTTAGTAACTTCAAATCCTACAAATCCAAGCAGACAATCGATTTCGGCCAGTCGTTTTTCACGAGTATCATTGGTCCTAATGGAGCCGGCAAGAGTAACATGATGGATGCCATCTCGTTTGTGTTGGGTATCAAGAGTAGTCATCTGCGTAGTACGCAGCTCAGAGATCTCGTGTACCGCGGACGAGTTATGACAACAAACAACAACTACTCGACGCAGGCTGAGGGCGATCCTGACACTGCATCGGTTATTGCAGTCTATGTCAAAGACGATGGCGAGGAAATGCAGCTGAAAAGATCGTATGTATCCTCTGACGCAACCGACAACGCGACGGACAAAACACTAACAACTACGCCAGGATTACGTCTCAGGGCTCCAGCGAGTACCGTCTCAACGGAACTGTTGTCAGCGCCTCGCAATATGCTAGAGCTCTAGAGGAAGAGAACATTCTCATCAAGGCGCGAAATTTCCTTGTGTTCCAGGGAGATGTGGAAGCCATTGCCGCTCAGTCGCCTAAAGATCTCACGCGTCTGATTGAGCAGATTTCTGGATCGCTGGAACACAAGTCCGAATACGAGAACTTGAAAGACCAGCAGGAAAGAGCAGCTGAGGCATCTACGATTGCTTTCAACAAGAAACGTACCTACAACGTTGAAATCAAGCAGTACGTCGAGCAGAAGAACGAGGTCGAGCTCTTTGAGAAGAAAATGAAGCAGAAGGTGCGCCACATTCCATGCCCGTATTCTATGGTTTTGCCTCTCAGTCTACTAACACCGATTTTAGGACTCATTCGTCATTACTCATATTCTATGGCAGCTTTATCATTACACGCGTTCGATCGAAGCAAGCAACGCTCAGATCGAAGCCTCACAGGAGAAAGCGCGTGAACTGCGCTCTGAACTCGCTAATGAGCAAGCAGCACTCGATGACCTGAAGGCCGAGCATTCTCAAGCGCTTCGCAAACTTCAGAAGCAGGAGCGGTCTATTCGGAAGCTCGAGAAACAGATTGAAGAGAAGGATACCAGTATGGTACCTGTTGACGAGAAGATCAAGGTCATCAACGCCAACGAGCAACGTCACAAGACTCGTCAAAGCGAAGTTGCTGCTGAATATGCTCGCCAAGAAGCTGCTGTGAAGCACTTGCAGACTGAGCTGGAAAAGGTCGAGAAGACCATTGCTGAGTTTGAAGCACAGCAACTCACAGCTTCACAAAGTCTTGGTATTTCCTTGAGTGAGGCGGATATTCAGACGTATGCATCTTTGAAGGAAACGTTTAACCGACAGGCTGCGAAAGAGAAGGCTGCATTAGAGAATCTTTTGCGTCAAAAGAGGACAAATGAGGACAGTGGAACTTCGCTGCGCGTGAAGATTGACGAGTTCAAGACGCAGAAGTCGCGGCTTGAAGACGAGATCTCGGAGATCACTGTCAAAAACACTCAGGTACGGTTTATTCTATATACACACTTCATGCTTTCATCAATCTAACAATGCTCTAGATATCTGCGCGGGTCAACCAAGATATTCAGGACCTGGAGTCGAAGAAGCAACAGCTCAACTCGATCGTCTCTGAGAGAATGGAGCAGACAGCGAAGCAGGAGGAACTAAACAAGAGGCTTCAAATTTGCTTGAATGAACTTATTGAAGTCAACGCCGACCGCCGAGAGTCAGAGCGAGAGATGCGTATGCGCGATAAGATCGAGTCGCTCAAGCGAATTGTCCCCGGCGTCCGAGGCAGAGTTTGCGATCTCTGCAAGCCCAAGCAGCGGAAGTACGAGACTGCGATGAGCACGGTGCTCGGGCGCAATTTTGACGCCATTGTCGTCGACACTCAGAAGACCGCGACAGACTGCATCGCTTACATGCGTGAGCAGAGAGCCGGTGTGTGCACGTTTATTCCTCTTGACTCTGTCGTTGTGAAGCCGATCTCCAATTCGCTCAAGGGCATGCACAAGCAGATGCGACTTGCTATCGACACGATTGATTATGACCCCTCCAATCAGCGCGCGATGGAGTATGTCTGTGGCAGCGCCGTCGTCTGCGATGATATGAACGTGGCGAAGTTCGTTCGATGGGAGAAGGGAATTGACGCTAAAGGTATGTGTACTAATGTGCGATTACTGATTTGACTATTGTGTCATACTGACTTGCTCTTATAGCTGTGACGCTTGACGGGTCTGTCATTCACAAGGGAGGCCTGATGACTGGTGGACGAAACGGAAATGCCACTGCAAAGAAATGGGAGGATCAAGCGGTGAAAGGTGTGTTTTCCTAATTTACTAATCGTTTAGAGACGGGCTAGTTACTAAGTCTGCATAGGTCTTCAAATGCTTAAGGAGAACTTGATGGCTGAGCTTGCGGAGCTCGCAAAGGCTCGACGTAACCCTTCCATCGAGGAGACTTTGTCGGGCGACGTCAGCGGCCTCGAGCAGCGTTTGACTTTTGAGCGTGACGAGCTTGTAAGTACCCTCTATGACATAATGTTTTATTTGAAATATATCTAATGCTGCACGTATAGGCTGTGATCCACCGGACTCTCAAGAGCAAAGAAGACGAGCTCAAGTTCATCAACGATCAACTCAGCGTACTTGTGCCAAAGCTTACCCGCGCAGACCAAGAGATCGCCCAAATCAGCTCTCAGGCAAGTGAGCTCGAGAACGCCGTGCAGGAGATTGAAGGAAGGATCTATGCTTCGTTTTGCGAAAAAATTGGCGTGCAAAGCATTCGTCAGTATGAAGAGTTCCAAGGCGCACTTCTGCAGGAAGCAAAGAGAAAGCGGTTGATTTTCACCACCCAGCGATCTCGGCTTGCGAACCAGCTCAAGTTTGAGCAGGAGCGGCTGGCTGAGACCTCGGGCCGCCTTAACAATATCAATGCCAGTATTGAGAAAGAGGTTAGGCTTGTCAATCAGCTGATTGCGGAAAAGACGGCGATCACTGAGGAGATCGATCTTATCAAGAGCGAACTCCCGAGAATCAAAGAGGCGTATGGGAAGCTTAAGGAGTCTGCCGACGTCAAGGCTGAAGAGGCCTCTAAAGTGCGCAGCGAGGTCCAGAATATCTCGAAGGAGATTGAGAAGATCTCTAAGCGAATCAATGCAGTGGTGAGTACTATAATTTTGAGGAACCATAAGATTTTCTAATTTCTAACGAGTGTATGCGTAAAACAGCAAGAGGAGATGGAGTCCAAGAACTCACAGCGTGCAAATATCCTGAGAAACTGCAAGCTCGAGGGAATTGATATTCCACTATCTGCAGGCTCTCTGAATAGCATCCCTATTGGAGAGAGTGCTTTGACAGATACTCATATGGATATCGATGACTCTGGGACTATGTCGCAGGCCCCGCCGGCGGCGAACGATTACGGTATCGTAGTCAATTTCAGTTCTTTGAGCAAATCGCTGCGCGAGGTATGTCACTGTTTCTCTGAGACTGATCAAGTAATATGCTAACTTTTGTTTTGTATAGGACGGAAGCGACGAAGCCGGAGAGACTCTTTTGGAGAACATCCGGTCTCTGGCTGCTGATATGGAGAAGATGAGTCCGAATGTGAAGGCTCTGGAGCGATTAGAAGAAATTGAAGGTCGTCTCGCAGAGACTGAAGCGGAGTTTGTCAAGGCTCGTAAGGACGCCAAAGAGGCGAAAGATAGATTTAATGCTGTCAAAGAGAAAAGGTATGTTTTGTGCGCAGCGTCAGAATGCGTTCTCTTCTAACGATTTTAACGATTTTTCCAGACTCGACTTGTTTAATAGGGCGTATACCCATATCTCGGAGCAGATCGATAAGATCTACAAGGAGCTCACTAAGAGTAGATCGTTCCCTCTTGGAGGAACAGCATACTTGACTGTAGAGGATCAAGATGTGAGTAGCAAATTGGGTACACTCAAAAGCCTATATGCTAATGATTATAACAGGAGCCTTATCTCGATGGGATCAAATACCATGCGATGCCTCCAATGAAGCGATTCAGAGATATGGACCAGCTTTCAGGTGGAGAAAAGACGATGGCCGCTCTTGCTCTCTTATTTGCGATCCACTCTTACCGACCCTCGCCGTTTTTCGTGCTTGACGAGGTCGATGCTGCGCTTGACAACGCCAACGTGGCGAAGATTGCAAACTACATCCATGACCATGCAGGCCCGGGATTCCAGTTTATTGTCATCAGCTTGAAGAACGCGCTCTTTGAGCGGTCGGATGCGCTCGTTGGTATTTACCGTGCACAAGTCGAAAACAGCTCGAGAGCTTTGACTCTTGATGTAAGTCTAGCACTAGTCTGTTTTTCTTTTGAATTGTGTTACTAACAAGTATTTGATATACAGCTGCGCGATTACCCAGAGTAGACGAGTCTTTGTTCTTTCGCGGTGGTACCTGAGTGCTGGGTCAGAATGTAGCTTTCGCGGTGGCTATTTGTTTGCTTATATGATATTCGGTTGGATGATGCGTTTGCTTGTAATTGCTTTGTTTGTTTCGTTTAATACTGTTTAGTGTTTGTAGTTAGAGCTGCTGTTTTGTTGAAGTCGAATGTAAGTCATCAACTAAGAAAGCTTACTAATACGTACAAGGCCCTCGTTGTTATTTAAATGCCCGGGCAACAGTAAATTAGGGTCTAACCCTACACTTAAAATAAGCAGTCACAAATAGCGAGACCGAAGGCGACGCCGCAGCTACACTTCCCACAGCTGAGTTAGAGGAAGAAGCCAGAGATAGGTTAGAGTCCAGTTTCCCACTCAGAGCAACCAACTATCAACATACAACATGCCGCCAAAAGTGGGTGCACGACGTTCAATAGAGCTGGATATGATGGGAGAATGAGCGTGTGTCTAACTGTTTGCTTTAGGTCGATCCCACTGAGATTAAGATCATCTACCTGAGAGCCACTGGTGGTGAGGTTGGTGCTTCTTCGGCTCTTGCGCCCAAGATTGGTCCTCTTGGTTTGGTATGTTTTCATCGGGTGTTCAGTGGTTGGTAGGAAGCGGACAGAGGACTAACAGGAGTGACATACAGTCTCCCAAGAAGGTCGGTGAAGATATCGCTAAGGCGACCAAGGACTACGTGAGTGCACCCGAAAACTGCAATGCAGACGTAAAGAAAGATAGAATGAAAGGAGACTGACACCTTCAACAGAAAGGAATCCGTGTCACCGTCCAGCTCACCATCCAGAACCGTCAGGCCGTTGCCTCGGTTGTCCCTGCTGCCTCGTCGCTTGTTATCACTGCCCTGAAGGAGCCCCCAAGAGACCGCAAGAAAGACAAGAACGTCAAGCACAGCGGCAACATTCCCCTTGACGAGATCATCGAGATCGCCCGGAAGATGCGTTACAAGAGTTTAGCCAAGGAGTTGTCGGGAACCGTCAAGGAGGTTTTGGGAACTGCTCAGTCCGTTGGATGCCGTGTTGATGGTCAGAACCCGCACGACATCATGTAAGTTTTATTTGTGTTACTTGTGATGAGAAGATATATGGGCAAGGTTGTTAACCTCTTCTCTTTTCAATTTAGTGAGGCCATTGACAGCGGTGATATCGACATTCCTTCCGAGTAAATATCGACACAGTACAAAGATGGCTGCGTTTTATGGATTTCGGTTTGGTAAAAAAAAGTGATGTATGTTAATCGAAGGGAAATAAATACTCTTTCAGTTCTTGTTCGGTTTGCGGTGGCCGTAGGGCGTGTTTTTTCGTTTTTCAATCTTCCAGTCGTATAAAGAAGAGGACATGGACGAGCAGAAGATGCTTGGACGTTCCTGTTGTTTGCCAACACTCTGGTGCACAATGGAATGCGTGAAAGATCGTGTTCACTGGTATTGTGCACCTATTTTGGTGCAAACTAGAAAAGACTTGCTCATTACTCACCGCGTCGTTCTGGCATTTGCGTGAACGGGGTGGTCCTTTCTTGAAGCATATACTCTTTTTGTAGAGCGTAGTGCTGTAGTGCTGTTGTAGTGAGGTGGATGTCGAGTTAATATCAGTATCTTGATGATGCAAAGGCAAGACTAGTTTTTGCTATCTTAATAAACTACAATTTACCACTCTTTACTATCAACTACTTACTGCTTCTTTCTATTCACTACTATTCCATACTACACCTGCCAGAACAAATGCAACAAACTTAAGGATCTCGTACCAGACTACGCAGCTCTTATTTTGGTGCCCAAAACAGGGGCGGCCTGTCCTGAACCTAACCCTCTCAGAATGCGCGTCCAATCAAGTCGCTGCTCGGAACGTGGGCTCGGGGCGTGAACTATTTCTTCCTTTTCCACGCCCAGCATTCAAGCAGCTCCCTGTGAATAACACTCTGCATCCCCTCCCAGTTGATTCATTCAGAATGTGTGCTTTGAGACTGGCTACCAGATCCCTTCTCCGCGCGAGACCCGCCGCTGCCTCGCTCAGAGGAGCCGTCCGCACCTACGCCGACGTTCCTGCCGACAAGATCCGTCTCAGCTTGACCCTTCCCCACCAGGTATGTCTGCGAACTGCTGCTGCGGTGGTTTCGTACGGAGAGAAACGAGTAGTGCTAACGGCGACGAAATCTGCAGATCATCTACGAGGGCGTTGACGTGTAAGTTGACTCATCAATTGCTGTTCAAATTTGACGACGAACCGAAAGACCGTGGGCTCCCTTCAATTGCATCGGCATCGAATATATCGAATCAATCGAACGCGAACGACCGGAAAAGTGCATCTGTTGAGTTTTGTATATGGAATCTGAGGAGTATGGTTAGCGGGTCTGGTCATTGATCAGATGTGCAAAGCCCGTATCAAGAAAAGGGTCTAGAATGTCAACACAGTCGTCGTCGCATGTCAGAAACAACAGCAGCACTTTATCCGTTCAATCCAGTCTATTGAAGAGCACCGGCCGAGGACAATTCGTCAAAACACTCAGCCGACATACTAACCAACTCTTCGTCTGCAGTGTCCAAGTCAACATCCCCGCTGTCACCGGTGATTTGGGTGTTTTGGCCAGCCATGTTCCCACCATCGAGGAGCTCCGACCGGGTGTCATCGATATCGTCGAGGACGGTGGTGCCACCAAGCAGTACTTTGGTACGTTCCATCTGTACTCTACAAATATGGGATTATGCGGGAAATTACTAACAGGCAATCGTTCATAGTCTCTGGAGGTTTCGCTACAGTCCAGCCCGGCTCGGTGTTGAGTATCAACGCCGTCGAGGCTTACCCCGTTGAGGACTTCAGCGCTGAGGTAATTCCATCTTACCACTATTTGCTTTGTACTCTGAACATCGTCTAATCCATTTATTCTACAGGCCATCCGTGCCCAGCTCGCTGAGGCCCAGAAGAACTCGACCTCAGGAAGCGAGATCGACCAGGTCGAGGCGAAGATCGAGTTGGAGGTTTTGGAGGCGTTGTCGGCGGTTGCCAAATAAGTTGCTCATCCATAATGTTTTCACAAATGCTTTCTTGTATTAGAACTGGCAGGAATGGTGTTATACTTCTACACGCGTATAAAGAAAAAATCTTTTGATATAATCAAACGAGTCTTTTGGGGGTATATTCCTTCGAGGGTTATTGCATCTATGCTTAAAATTGAACCACAAAATAGTCTAAAAATGTCGAATTATCGATGGATCTTTGTTATATGTAGATCTAGTGAGATTTTTGTAGAGCTCGAACAATAATCTTTGTAGATGAGCTGTGGATGAGTGAGTAATAGTCGAAATTTTATTTTATTTAAGCCTCGACTCATCTGTCTTTCTGCACATTTTCCCTCCATCTACATCCTCACCCACCGCCCACGGACTAAACATTTACTCTACAAATGTCTGATGCAAACCCTGCCCAGAGTCCTCCAAAATCCCCCGTGTTTGTCAGAGTCGATCCCCAGAAACTGGTGCCAAGCGAAGGCGCGATCCGCGCTGCGAAGCTGAGATCAAACTCGATAGCTGTGCCCGACGACGAGGCTGTGAATGCTGGAGTCAGTGCTGCGGATAAGGCAAACTGGGGACCGACTACGTGGCATTCAAAGCCTATTGTTCAGGATGTCGTGTATGATAACGAGAAGGCGGTAGAGAAGGTATGGCTCTACAATTGATCTTGAGTCATTCAGGAGTATTTACTGATCTCTGATTTCGATTACATTCAGGCTTTGGAAAAGCTTGAGGCGCTTCCACCGCTAGTCAGTCCTTACGAGGTATTCTTACACAGTTCTTTATCTTGCCTGCGTCGCAGTAGCTCATTCATGGCCATATAGATCAACAAGCTACAAGACCTCCTGCGCGATGCCGCATTAGGGAAAGCATTCGTTCTGCAAGGTGGAGACTGCGCCGAGCTATTCGACTATTGCTCTCAGGTACTTTATGCCTTGATACTGAAATCTATGCGGTTCGATTTACTGACGAGTGCATGGATAGGACCGTATTGAGTCAAAGATGAAGATTTTACTTCAAATGTCACTGGTACTCATTTGGGGTTCGTTAGCATATAGCTTGTATTTATTCGCCGAGATCTGTATATAACTGACACCCGCGTTCTTTAGGCGCAAAACTTCCTTTGGTCAGAATAGCTCGAATTGCTGGACAGTTTGCAAAGTTCGTCTTCTTCAAGCGTGGAACTTGTGACTGAGATATCAAACAATGCTAACAATGATCTCCGCTAGGCCCCGCTCGAAGTTGACCGAGGAAGTCGATGGCAAGACTATACCTTCGTTCAGGTACATACAGGCTTCTTACAGCAATATCTATGCATACTGCTGACGATCAGGAATATAGAGGTGACAATATCAACGGCTTTGATCCTGCTGATCGCACCCCAGATCCATCTAGACTGGTTAGGTAATAAGTCCGCGCGCATCACACATCCAAGTACTTGACTGCTAACTGTCTTTAGTGCATACTTCCACTCTGCTGCTACTTTGAACTACATCAGATCCTGTCTCTCGTCCGGGTTTGCGGATCTCCACAGACCTTTTGACTGGTCGCTGTCCCATGTCCAATCCAGCACCATCAAAGAGCGTTACGCATCCCTCGTGAAGTCGATTACCGAAGGTCTCTCGTTTATGAAGACAGTGGGTGTTGAATCTTCGACTCTCAACACGGTTGATCTGTTCACATCGCACGAAGGATTGCTGCTAGAGTTTGAGCAAAGTCTGACAAGAAAACTTCGTGATCCGAGAGATGGAGTTGAGAAATGGTACAACACTTCTGCCCATTTCCTGTGGATAGGAGACAGGACTAGACAGCTTAATGGTGCCCATGTCGAGTACTTTCGAGGAATTATGAACCCGATCGGTATGAAAGTCGGTCCGTCAATGACTGCCAAGGAGCTTGTCGATGCACTTGATATTCTTGATCCAGACAATATCGTCGGTAAGGTTACTCTTATCTCTCGGTATGGAGCGGGTAAGGTCGAGCAAATGCTGCCGGCACACATAGAGGCCGTCAAAAAGACAAAGCACAAAGTCGTTTGGTAGGTTGGATCTGATACTATTCTTGCCTGCAAACAGTAGCTAATGCCGCTCGCTCTATAGGATGTGCGACCCATGCCATGGCAACACGAAAACTTCAGAAATCAGCGGGCTGAAGACTAGAGATTTTGAGGATATCATGTCTGAGGTCGCATCTTCCCTTCAAGTCCATAAAACTGCAGGATCCCAGCTTCATGGAATTCACCTCGAGCTGACTGGTGACGCAGTGACCGAGTGTATTGGTACGTATTCTTATAGGATTGTGTTTCGCTTTTTTATTAGAGATTGTTTGTGCTAATGTCATATCAGGTGGCTCTGAAATGTTGACCCATGAAGATCTGGAGATTCGTTACGATACTGTCTGCGATCCTCGCTTGAGCGAGAGTCAATGTGAGTGCTTCACTTTCTTCTTCTCTCTCTGATTGTTATACATCCTAACGTTTTATGCATGCAGCCCTGGATGTCGCGTTCTTGATTGCGGACTGGTTCCAGCAAGGCAAGATGATGTCCATTGCCGAGCAGACTTCGTGAGGTCGTGTCTGGGAGAATTGTATATATCCACTAAAATGTATATTGAGAAAAGCTTCACTTTGATATTCTAATGTTTAATGAACTCTTTATTTGATTATAAATGGTATTTACATTACATGCCCTTCGCGTAATCTGCCTGCTCGATCGCACTCAACTCCTATGCCGGACCAATCGGAAACGCAGTCAAGATATCCGACAAATCTCCCCACCAAGAAAGGCCAAACTTTCGATACCAGTCGATTGTTACCGCCATCCCTTTCTCAAGCTCAGTCTTTTGCGACCACCCCAATGATTTTAATCGCGTCGCATCGATTGCATACCGTCGATCGTTGAACGGCCGATCGATTGTATACTCAATGTGAGCCTCGAGGTCCTCTTCTTTATATCCAAATGCTTTGATCAATATCCGGCAGAGCTCGATGTTGGATAGCTCGTCTGTGGTGCCAATGTTGTATATCTGACCAATCGTCCCCTTGTGTAGAATAGTGTCAAGTGCGTCAACGGCATCCCCAGCGTATAAATATCGTCTGGTATTCGTTCCATCGCCGTGCACAAAGCACTTGCGGCCACTTTGCAGCAGACATATGAACTTTGGGATGATCTTCTCCGGAAACTGGTGGGGCCCGTACACGTTGTTGCACCTCACGATGATGACTGGGAACCGGTAACTTCTGTAATAAGCGTTTACAAGCATGTCTGCGGCTGCCTTCGAGGCCGAGTACGGGTTCGTCGGAGCCAGGATCGCAGATTCGAGCAGATCGTCGTCAGAGGCACTGACCTCGCCGTAGACCTCGTCTGTCGACACGTGTAGAAAGCGATGGATCCGTCCATACGCTTTGCAGCATTCCAACAAGACATGCGTGCCATATGCATTGACCTGGGTGAACGAGTAGGAGTCTCCGCCGAACGACCGATCAACGTGGCTCAGCGCAGCAAGATGTAGTATAGTGTCGATCTTGTGCTTCTCCAGCACGGCAGACACCTGCGCTGCATCTGTGATGTCGCCTCGGACAAAGGTATAATTGCTTTGGCTTTCTATGCTACCTAGATTATTCATAGAAGCACAGTAGTCGAGCTTGTCGAAGCATACGACGTTGTAATGAGGATACTGTAAAACAAGATGACGAACAACCCACGAGGCACTGCCGAGCTCGTCAGATGCAGTCAACGTAGAATAATGAGCAGAGAGACTTACATGAAACCCGCGCCACCAGTAACAAGGATCTGCGCTATGCTCTCAGATCTAGGAAACTTGGTAGAGCCTATAAACACTGGCGATTCTTTCCAGAGCATACTGGACGCGACGTCACACGCTTCGTTCGAACCACCTCCATTTGCAGTCATTGCCGTTGCTGTACCGAGGATCTATAAGCTTCTGAAATCGAGCAGATAGCTCAAAATGTAAACCTCAGCACGAGACTAGCGTAGTTCAGAAAGGGCAAGTGTGAGGACGAACGGCGTGCTGCATGGCAATGCTCACTTGGTAGTGATGAACGTGTCGAGGCAGCCCATCAAGCGCAGCTATCGCGTATAAGCGCAAGCGACAGAAATACAATACCCCCAACTTTAACCCTTTGCATAAACGCACAATAAGCTACTGCAAACAAAACCACAATTATCTAAACGCGTGACCTTATTTATGCTTATAGTAGTCAAGAGAGTTTAAAACGATTATGAAGGTAACTTGGCCGAGTTGGTCTAAGGCGTTCGACTCAAGAATTTGATTTCTTATCACGATAAATCGTGGTTTCGAATCTCGAAAGGGGCGTGAGTTCGAATCTCACAGTTATCATCATTTTTTTTTAATTCTGTTTTTTACACGCAAGAAGATTGGATGTGATTTTAGTTCTGTATCCACTGGCTAGAGTCGGCGTGCTGTTGGCTTAAGAGGACGATCGTCTTGTAGAGCAGAAAGTGAGGTGTAGAACTTGCATGTGGATGGTAATAGCCTAATTTCTGGATTACAAGTAAAAGAACCTATCTTGAGGCCTTTATTGTTTTTCGATCTAATTTGCTGTATAATATCGCTATACCAGCGAGCAAAGATCCTCGCCGGCAATATAGAACCAATGAATACAGATAATCGCAATTAATCGCCAAACAGCAAGACATATGAAATACCAGCGGATTCGGAGATCTTCGTGGTTCCAATAAATGTGCCCTAAACGTCAAAACATGGAGCGACCTTCACGCGTATTGCGGTGCCCATCCTGAAGCTCCTTGTCCCAGCCAAATATTCAAGGTGCCTTTTCTTCTTGTATCAGTGCACCGGACGCGATTTTTCGGGTTATCGTATATCAGCTCACCGTGCCCAGTCATCGAATTAAGGCTCTTAGAACGTTTACTGTATCCACCACCTGGGGCGCTATCTTTGTTCACTGAATTGGCTGCAAGTGCTATGATAAATTTCGCTGAGCTCAATCGGTAAGTTTGCGCTGGATCCCCACATATTTTTCTTCCAAGGCCCGTCGCTCTGCACGACACACGCTATCTTTTGATCATGTTGGCTTGCTTTGGCGTCTCTTTGAGATTTGGGGGCACCCGCTGCGCAGTCATTGCTGCGTTCTTGAGGCTGCGGGTCTCTCGCGACTGCGGCCTTGTTCGACACCTGCCGAACACCTCGCGGGCGTTGTTTACACTTTCCGAGAATAGGAATATTGCCATATTCAGGTCAATGATTTCTCGAGATTCTTTATAGAGTCTGAAACTTCTCGTTTGCCTTGTAGACGCCTATGATGGTGGGGACATGCCTCAACGCCACCCCGAAAAAAACTGGCGTGTTGTGACTGTGCTGTTCGCGTGCAGACGACCGACCTACTGATATTTCCGTTTTGTGGATTCTAACGTTTAACTCCAGGTAGCTACTTTTTGGAACATTCCTGCGATGAGTAATGAAGAGGCTGCAGTGCAGGCGTTGTCGATCATGCAATCCGGCGTGACTGCGGTCGTCAATGACGACGAGAGCAGTAGTGAGCTTACGGACCTCGACCGGCCCGATGCAGTGAACGCAAGCGATCAAGACGAGGAAATGATCGATAGTGATGGATCGGATGGCAACAATCGGTCTGCTTCCGATGCCGACCAATCAGATTTCGAGGAAGCCGACGAGGCCGACGGTGACGAGGATGATGAGGATGAAGACGATAATGATGTCGACAGCCAGGAAACTGAGGAAGAAGATCTCCGGGGAATCTCAAAGGAGACTGATTCCAAAGAGCGTTCCTCAAAGAATGGCACCGCGTCTGATGGCGAGGACGGCGTGAACGAAGCCGAAGGTGGGTCTAGCGATACCATGTCTCATTCGAAGAACTCCAAATCAGCGCGCCGGAAACCTGAGTATTTTGATCCTGAGCTATACGGTCTACGAAGAAGTGTAAGTTCATCTGATCCTTGTGTTGATGTACGATCAAGCCTGCTAACAATTCTTGCAGAACCGTTCTCATGTGGCACCGGACCGATTTGTTGAGGTACGCTCTATACTGCATCTGAAAATAATCCCAGAAATCATTCTAACGATAATGCTATTAGTTCGATGCCGCCGATGAGAGCGATGAGACCCCTAGAAAGTCGCGGAAAGCTATGAAGCGCGAAACAAAAAGTGAGCAGCGTTCGATGCTATATTATCCCAATTGTCTTGTTAACCCAGAATGATAGCTGCCGCTTCATCGCGTACGCAGTCCGCTTCTTCCGACAGCGACGACTTTGGAGCGTCTTCGCGGTCTCGCAAGAAACGACGGAAGACAAGCAATCATGTTTCGGAAATGAGGTTCTCGACGCGCAACAATAAAGTGATGAACTACAACGAGGATGATTTCGACAATGATCTAGATCTTAGCGAGGAAGAGGTTTATCCGGTTAAGAGTTCTGAGAAGACTTCGTATCAGGAGGAATACTACGTTGGTGGTACGTTTACTCTGTGCGGACAGCTTCATTCTTTATACTAATCGATTGTGCAGATACGAGAGCGATTGATCTTGTACTTGATCACCGACCGATTGCTGAGGGACCAGGTAGGTGAATTCATAATTCACTCCTCTTGTTGACTATGCTGACCGTCTGCAGATAACGGAACCAATGACCCTCGAAAAGATCTCGAGTACTACGTATGTGCCTCTGATTCGGATACTTTAATTATAACAATTTGCTGACTCGACAATACAGATCAAATGGCAAGGAATCTCTCACCTGCACAACACTTGGGAAACCTACGAAGATCTTTCGGTTCTCAAAGGTAACAAGCGTCTGGACAATTACATCCGTCAGAATGTCATTCTGGATTCTCAAATCCGCAGCGACCCCTCAACCTCGCGCGAAGACATTGAAGCCATGGATCTCGAGCGCGAGCGTTTGAGAGAAAACTACGAGGAGTTCAAGACGGTCGAGCGAGTTGTTTCCTCCGAGCGATCGAATGCTGATGGCAAGAAGAAATTGCGCTATCTTGTGAAATGGAAACGGCTGTATTATGACGCCTGTACCTGGGAAGACGCGGAGTACGTTGCCAAGATCGCTCCACGAGCAGTCGAGCAATTCCTTGCGCGGTCAAACTCAAAGCTCTTGCCGTCCAACAGTGTCAACTATGGCGCTCGTCGACCAAGGTTCGAGAAGCTTACTGAGCAACCTTCGTACGTCAAGAATGGAGAACTCCGAGATTTCCAGTTGACTGGACTCAATTGGATGGCCTTCTTATGGTCGCGGAATGAGAATGGCATTCTTGCGGACGAGATGGGTCTCGGAAAGACTGTGCAGACGATCGCCTTCTTGTCATGGCTGGTGTATGCACGTAAACAGCATGGTCCTTTCTTGGTGGTAGTTCCGCTGTCGACAGTACCTGCCTGGCAGGAGACTATCGATCTCTGGGCACCTGATCTCAACTACATTGTCTACCTCGGAAACACAGAGTCGCGACGCGTGATGCGGACGCATGAGTTCTACGTCGACGGCAACAAGAAAAAGCCCAAGTTCAACATTCTTCTCACTACCTACGAATACATTCTCAAAGACCGATCTGAGCTCGGAAGCATAAAATGGCGATTCCTCGCTGTGGACGAGGCGCACAGACTGAAAAACTCTGAATCTGCGCTATACGAGTCCTTGCAGGAGTTTAAGGTTGAAAATAGGCTGCTGATCACTGGTACCCCTTTACAGAACAATATTCGAGAGTTGGCAGCCTTGATCGACTTTTTGATGCCAGGGAAAATTAATATCGATCTGGAGATTGATTTCGAGAGCCCGGGTGCCAACCAGGAGGTATACATTCGTGATCTACATGAACAACTGAAACCGTTCATTCTCCGTCGATTGAAGAAGGATGTGGAGAAATCGCTACCTTCAAAGTCCGAACGTATTCTTCGAGTTGAGCTCTCTGATATGCAGACCGAGTACTACAAGAATATCATCTCCAGGAACTACAGTGCTCTCAATGCCGGAGCTACCGGTAGTTCACAGCTCAGTCTGTTGAATATCATGATGGAATTGAAGAAAGCGAGTAACCACCCGTATCTTTTCCCCAACGCTGAAAACCAATTCCTGAGCTCGCTCGACGGAGACCACAGCAATGAAAGGATTTTCCGCGGCATGATCATGAACAGCGGAAAGATGGTTCTTCTTGATAAGCTGCTCGGTCGTCTACGACGAGATGGTCATCGCGTGCTTATTTTCAGTCAGATGGTTCGAATGCTGGACATTTTGGGCGACTATCTGACGCAGCGGGGGTTGCCGTTTCAGAGACTGGATGGTACTATTCCTGCGCAAACCCGAAGGATAGCGATTGATCACTTCAACGCGCCCGGAAGTCCCGATTTCGTGTTTTTACTGAGTACTCGAGCGGGTGGTTTGGGAATTAACTTGATGACGGCCGATACTGTCATTATCTTTGACTCTGACTGGAATCCGCAGGCCGATCTGCAGGCGATGGCGCGTGCGCACCGAATCGGACAAAAGTCGCATGTGATGGTCTACAGATTTGTGTCGAAGGACACGGTGGAGGAGGAAGTTCTCGAGCGCGCGAGGCGGAAGATGATTTTGGAATACGCGATCATTTCGCTCGGAATCACAGACAAGAGCGGTGCTTCGAAAAAGACCGAGCCGACGAGCAAAGAACTGAGTGCGATTTTGAAGTTTGGCGCGGGTAATATGTTCAAGGCGAATGAGAATCAAAAGAAGCTTGAGAACATGAACCTTGATGATGTTCTCGAGCATGCCGAAGATCACGAAACTCAGCCAGATCTGGGAGAGTCGCATTTGGGTGGTGAGGAGTTCCTGAAACAGTTTGAGGTGACGGATTACAAGGCCGATGTAGATTGGGATGATATCATTCCCGCGGGTGATCTGGCAAAGATCAAGGAGGAGGACCGGAAGAGACAGGAAGAAGAATACTTGCAAGAGCAGATCAACCTGAGCAGTCGACGGAAGGTAACGATGCGGCAGTTATCGAATGACAATGATTCAGAGGATAGCTCGTCGCAGCGCGAGAACCGAAGGAAGGAGAGAGCGATTAAGCGCAAGCACGAGACGGATGGTGCGGGAGATCCCAACAGCTTGACAGAGCGCGATATCCGAGGAATCTACAAGTCGATACTGCGGTACGGAAACCTTCGTGAGCGATGGCACCAGATTGTGGCAGATGGATCGTTCTCAAACAAGGAACCTGAGCGGATCAAGGAGGTATTCGATGAGATGACTGAGCTGAGTAAAGAGGCTATTGCTCGTCAGGAAGCGCGGCGGGTTGAGATGGAGAAGAATTTGCCTCCGAGTGAAGTTGGCAAGAAGAAGGAGCGCAAGGCAGTACTGTTTGAGTATAAAGGTCTTGTTAAAAACCTGAATGCCGAGCTGATTCTGCAGCGACCTCAGGATCTCAAAATTCTCGACGACGCGATCCCGAAGGAAGATCCTCTGACGTTCAAACTCAAGGGACATGTGAAGTCAGTGCACGGATGGAACTGCTCGTGGGAGTTGAAGGACGACGAGATGCTTCTGGTGGGAGTGTTCAAATACGGCTACGGAGCATGGGCGAGCATACGAGATGATCCGACACTTGGGCTGAGCGACAAATTTTTCCTCGAAGAGCACCGGATAGAGAAGAAAGAAGAGCGCGTGAAAGAGGAGAAATCGGGACCGAAGATGCCGGGGCCTGTGCACTTGGGTCGTCGGGTGGAGTACCTTATCTCGTTGCTGAAGGAGCCTGAACCACGTGATGCGGAGAAAGATAGTAGACGTCGGAAGCGGCTGGCAACTAAAACTGGCAAGGTCAATTCCGGCTCTGCCTCTGCGTCACCGGCACCGCCGGCAGGGATCAAGGGCGAGAATGCAAAGGCAACGGAGAGCAGCCACGATCATTCTGCGCCTGCGAACGGATCTTCTGCTCCACCGCGAGCGAAGACGGCCAAGGCTGAGCGTCCGAAGAAGGTATCTGGAAGCTTGCCGCCGCTATCTGCGCATCGTCGCGAGAAGGTGGAGAAGGTGGAGAAGGTCGAGCGGAACGGAGATGAGAGTGACTACCCGAGCATGGACGAGCAGTCGTGCAAGGATATGCTGCATCCGGTGCGGCAGAGTCTGCGGCGACTTCGAAAGGGCGGCGCGGGCATTGATCGTGCTGAGTGGGCTGATATTCTGAAGCGAGAGCTGACGAGTGTCGGCGACCATATCCATCGCAAGGTGTCGTCTGCTCCGCGCGACGAGCAGGATAAGCTCTACAAGCATTTATGGTAAGGATGATCTGAATCTACTGTCAAGGACTACAAGAGTGGTATGCTAATCATGGAGTGTATGTATAGGGTCTTTGCGAGTTACTTCTGGCCGGCGAAGGTGTCGTCGCGAAAGATCGCAGAGATGTATTCCAAGCTGCGGAAGCAGAGACAGGCCGCGGCAAGCGAGCAGAAGAACGGGACTGCAGTGAAGCAGGAGAACCGACCGTAAGATAGAGCGCGAGGCGCGAGTAATATGACTAGCTGCTGTGATTGTATCTGATATGTTTATTGTTCTCTTCGATGTATTTGAATTGATGTTTACACACGGCTACATTCGGAATACGAGTACGAGCGGGAGTGGTGGCCAATTAGAAGGCGCAGATAGGGCGCTGACGGGCGGATGACGTCGGTGGAGATCTGCGGGCTTAAATAGGCACCGGGGCTCATCTCGCTCGAGCCTCACAGCTGGTTTGGGTTTAGTGTCGCTCGCTCTTCTGCTTCTGTTCTGCTCTGCTCGTCCATCGCCAGAACACCGCTCGCCCATGTCCCGGTTCCGCCGATGAGCTCCATCTTCCAGGCAATCACCCGTCCTGCCGACGACTTCCTCGAGGTCGGCTCCTCGCTCTTCAGCAGCAACACAAAGACCGTCCACCCCGGCCGCCGCATAAGGCTCATCGACCGCACCGCAGACGACGACGAGACAGAGCCACTCATCCCGCCGTCCCATGCAGACACCGCCGGCGCTGCCCTCGCTCGAAGGCAGGTGGCTAGGAAGCATGCGCAGCAGGATATAGCTGAGGAGCCGAACGCGCCGCCGATCGTCAGAAACGCAGAGTCGAGAGAGAGCGAAGGGCCAGAAGTGTCGACTGCTGCTGATCGAGGCACCGACGGTCCTTCGTCGTCGTCCGCGGCAGAGGAGGATCCGACGATGGCTTTGACCTCGGACGTCGCGGCAGAGGAGACATCAGACGAAACTGCGCCTTTACTGCGGCGTGAAAACGACGACGACGACGACGGCTACGGACAGCCCGCAGACTCAGTGGCACGGAAAAGATTCAACAAGCGATCGTGCACAGTGCGACTAGAGCACACCGTCCTGCGTATCATTTCCTGTCTCTTCTTTTGCTGTCCGACTTCGTTCGAGGGTATCGATGAAGAAGGCGAATACATGATTGGCGACGAGGGCGATATCATCCCAGTTATTCCTTCGCGTTTTACCAGACATGGATACGAGCAACTGAAAGAAGAGCAGAAGATGGTGAAAGCGAGAAACGGCATTTTTAGCGCAGATCCGAATATAGCATACGATGTGCTTTATGAAAACCAAAGAGGGTGCGTTTGTGTCTCTATTTATCTTTCTTATGATCGCTTTGATCTAGAGCTAACGCTGCTTTACAGTTTATTTATGTTTGGCCAACCCTTTTTCAGTTCACAAGGCCTTCTACAAGTCGATCCTCCAGCATGGGTGGACGCTGATTTCCGCTACTCTCCATTCGATATCCTATCGACTCCTCTTCCGGACCCGTCATGGGAATGGGTATGGCGGACATGGTACATAGACATGACCTACGATGTCGACGACCAAGGCTGGTCTTACTCGTTTACCTTTCCTTCGAGATCGTGGCACGGATCACATGTGTGGTTTCACGGTTTTGTGCGCCGGAGACGGTGGATCAGGAAGAGAAGAAGAGTCAAAGATGATGGTAGCGAGGAAGAGTATCCGACCGCACTGGGAATCAGAGATCACAACAAAGCGAGAAAAGCGTATTCCATCGTTGAGGGCACGACGTTGAATTACTTTTCGGTAGAGTCTTCAGCAGTCAGGGCGAGAGCTGATCACGAGCGACGAAAGCATGTACAGAGAAACCTCACAGCACTGCCTGCTGTCTCTGAAGACGGTGGGAAGGTGGACTCCGCTCAAGGCGACGACAATATCGATCTCGACTATTGGTTCAGCGACGACGAGGAAGATGACGGGGGCTCGACTGAACGAACGTTTACTATCGGCGCGTTGATGCGCAGACTCAAAAAAGTGCGCTTGGACCGAGAGAAAATTGATGCGGTGGAGAGATTTGTGTGTCTGGGAAAGGATGATATTGTTTTACTGGCGCCTTTTATGGATCGGATAGTATCATACCTGATCTTTCAACAGTCGCGGCGTGAGCTACTTCGATCTTTGTTGTTCTATTACAAGCAAATACGGGCACAAACCCGACTGCTGCGAACAGGGAAGAAGGAATCTGAGGATGATTTCGAAACAAACAGTCATGCACTGAGTCATGCTAATCACGCAACCTTACAGCTCGAATCGATGTCGCTGGACGAGCTGAAATTGCGCAGGAAAGCTCTACACCAGGCCATTGTTCTTGCCAGACAGGAAGTGATGAAGCTCGATTTCTACAGCGATCGAAAGATGTCGAACAAAGAATACGCAAAGGCGGATCTTATGGGCGATTCCTATGGCAGTACATACAACACTCCCCAGATGGCGGCGTCCTACAAATCTTCGATGTCGATTCAGGAGAGAATCCTGGAGGAGACGTTGGAGGATGTCGAAGCCGAGGAACTGTTGGAGGAGGATGAAGTCGAGACACCCGAAGAAGCTGGAAAAGAGCCCGAAGAAGCTGTGGAAAATGACGATGACGGCGACACCGGCACTCTCGTGCCTCAGACTTCAAACACCTCCTCTCAAAAAGATAAAGGAAAAACTCCAGAGTACCGAATGCCGATTTTGTCGAGGACTTCAGAGTACGAGGCAAGGACGGACGAGAACAAGGATCCCAAAGACTCCGACCGCGAGAGCACGATCTCCGCTGTGCGTAACAAAGTCCTGAGTTTTGTCTCGGGATCGTGAGGTCTTTCATTTTATTATGTTTTTGGAGGAATTTTTTTGGATTTTGGATATGGATAGATTTGAGAAAAGGGAGTAGCATGCGGGAGTTTCTACTTTATTATTACTACGACATCTTTCATTTGGCTGATTTTGGTTGTATCTACATCGTGTGAAGTGTAAGAGTATTTGGTTGGTGGTCGGGGATTATGGTCTGCTGGGTTTTGTTGTACGGCGTAAGTAGCTGCTTCGAATTATATCCAAACACATTCTCTATTCTATTGTCTGTTCGGCAACATTGATCTGCTCTTTTATCATACTCCAACAACTCAAGTCATAGTAGTTTGATGGGAATTGAAGATGACTTCAATTAAAGTTTGCCTGTCATTTTTCTCTACGCACAATCAGCAGCCTTTGTTAAAACACCACCTCGACTCCACAACCCGCCATGGCTCACCACCAACCACCCCTCCACCAACCCAGCTTCCGCACGAGTCCCACACACGTGGGCTCCTCCAAATCCCGCCCGATGTACGGCAGCCGCGGCCTCGCAGACCGCGCCTACAACGCCGCAAACCCGCAAAACAACCTCATCAACTCGGACCTCGCCCACCGCGTAAAGCGCAACCTCGACCTCCAGCACCTCTGGACTGAGCTCTCGATCCACAGGGTCCCCGTGCTTGCGCCTGACGCGTTTGAGTTCTTGGACGGCGGGGAATTGGTCTTTGTCCTCGGGCGGCCGGCGGATCGGTTGTACGCGACTGACGAGTACGACGAAGACGGGTTGCCGGTTCATGAATGGATTCTCCCTGTCCGCACAGAGTCAACCTGGAGTATACAGCGGACGGTCGCTGTCTTTGAGAGCTTGGAGGCGTATACGCGGGCTCCGGTCAAGAGGGTCTTGATGGGCATGTACACGGATGACTCGACGGTTGTGTACTATTTTGTGCATAAAGGGCTGATAAAGCCTCGGAAGCATGGCTGAATTTTTTATCCAGCTTGTCTGCATTCTGGTTTCATTGCATTGCATTAGGTGGCGTTATTTGATGATTAAAATAGTTTGTTCTTTTGGGATAATGGATATTGAAATTATAAAATAAGAAACTGCAAAACATAAAACATCTACAGTAAACACAACACTCGCAACCATCTACCAATCGTACACCTGCCCTACCGCCGAAGCTGCTTAGCTTTCATCGCCTCGATCCTCGCCTTCAGCTGACTCGTCACTTCCGCCGCCCGTTTCCAACTCTCGACAGTTCCTGCGTTCGATGATCCGCTATCTGCGCCATCCGAGTTCGAACTCATCACCGGGCTGAACGATGTCTGTTTGGGAATGTGGCTTCCGCCAGAGTACATCGACTCTCGCTTGGCAGCCGGGGTTTGGATTCTCTGGAAATCATTTTCTTTCTCTTCTTCAGAGAACGCGGTCGTTGACTGCCGCGCTTGGTACGGTGACATCGAGCTCTCCTTCATATCATGATGATCAGCTGCACCATTCGAGTGCGAGCTAGAAGGCCGTCCGACAAGCTGTGCCTCCGCCCTCGCGCGATCCAGCTCTCGCTGCAACTTCGTCACCTGCGCAACAGCACTATCAGCCTCTCTACGCAGACGAGTAATCTGCGTCTCCTTCGACTGCACGCTCAGCAAATCTCGGGTATGCTCCTCAATCAACTGTGAGTTGCTGGCCTGCGCCTCTTTCAATTCTCTGTCCAGCTTCGCATTGTCGGCTTGTAGAATCTCGACTTGCTGCTTCAGAGCAGCATTCGTAGACGTCCATTCTTCTTTAGCGCGCCGAAGCTCAATCAATTCTAACTTGTCAGCGGCAGAAAGGCCTCCGTGACTGCTAGTTGAGTTTGATGACGACAGCGAAACGCCAGTCAAACCACGCGAACCTCTTGGCGGCGTGCCAGATGTAGCAGCCGGTGCACGACTCACAGTTCGGGGAGAAGCTGTCGCGCTGCTGTCTTCGGTCTTTTTCCGAAGTCCGTTGGACATACCGATCCTCGACGTGCGTGATCCAGGAGCAGCAAGACGCGATCCCGACGACGAAGACGAAGAAGCCGCAGGAGCCGAAGATGTCGAGTGGCTTCCCGAGCTGGGAGGAGTAGCCGTAGGACGCTTAACCCCAGCCACAGAGGGCCGCGGTCTTGCAGTCGCGGATCTACTTGACGCAGAAGAGGTCTTCGCCGCTGGAGCAGGAGGTGGTGGAGCAGCCACTTTCTCAGGCTTGGCAACGACAGTAGCGGTCTCGTAGAATTCCGTAATCATGGTTTTCCGAATATCATCCAGCTCGCTGATGTACGGAGTCATTGCACGCTCGCCAATCATCTTCATGATTGTACCCATTGCTTCAGCTCCTGCTGAGCGGACCGGTTTAGCCGTGTCGGCCAAAAGAACCGTGCATGCATCACAGAGCTGTTTGATTTCTGCGGTCTTGGGAATTATCTTCACTGTTCTCAAACAGCGAACTAAAAACATAGCAGTCTCCTGCTTTACCTGAGGATTCTTGTGCTTTGTAAATGAAAGGATCTCTTCCATAAAGTCGCTCAAAGATGTCTGTACAAAGTTAGATCAAGTTTTAATACTCCAGGAGAAAATAATAAGCTTACCGCCTCAAATAGAGCATCGAGCGCAGCACTGAGAGCTTCAGACACTGACTGCTTCTTCTCCTTCAGTCTCTCGAAAAGTGACGATGAGACAGATGCTCTGTAGCGGCCACAGCTTGTTCGCAGACCCTTTGCAAGAGCCTCGATACTGTTCGCTGCCGTTGTTACCACAGCAACGTTTGCATCCTTCGCGACACATTTGCCGAGCACTCGCATGACTTCGCCAAAGTCAGCATCGGCAATTTTGGCAACTGAGACGACCTTCAAAAGATCATCGACTGCCTCCTTGCGATCTTTCCATTTTGCAGAAGCCATACGTTCGAAAAAGTCGCCTGGGATCTTTCCTGAAACATCTACCGCCTCAATCAAATCCATAGGATCAATTTCTTCTGCTTCGGGGGCCGCAGAGTCACCAGCATCCGGGCCGCTCGATGCAGCGGCCGAAGCAGCGGCTCTTTGCTGAGACAGGAGGAAACGTTCTTGCTGGGGTGTGGTACCCTTGACGGCCTCGAATGCCTCCTCCAGCTCTTTTTGCTGCACAGGCTTAAGATCGGTAAGCAAAATAGTCTTAAGCGGATCCCCCATCCACTTGTAAAGCTCGATCGCTAGAGTAGTCGCTTCTGCGCGAACGTTTTTATCCGAATGGGCGAATAGCTTTGGTAAGGCCTTGAGGATACTCTTCGGTGGAACAGTTTTAGTGCCAAAGGCTTTGATAATCTCACGCAGCGCCATTGTGGTACCCGCAACTAGCTTGGGCAGCTTATTGCTAAGAATTGGGAGAATCTCCTCAACCACTGGATCGGGTGTGTCCAATTCGATAAAGTAGAGCAGAGCATCGACAGTCTTCTGCTTCGTTCCTCCACGCATAGAAACAAGGCCCTTCTCCGCTAGCGGCGCAACAACAGTTCCTCGTAGTCGTTGACACGCATTTGTGCCTCCGTATTGCAGGAACGCGACGAGAGAGCCGATACCTGCTTCTTGCGCCGCGACGTTGGAGTCTGTCACGATCTTCTTGTAGAGCGTCGGGTCGCTGAGAAACGGGCGGAAACACGGGTCGTTCTCGCTCCCGGAGGTGGTGAACTGCTTCGTGATCTCTTCATACGCGGCAAGACGTACTTTCCAGATCTAAGCACTGCGAGTTAGTAGGAAGTTTGAAAGGCTTTAAACAGCTGGAGAGCTTACTTTGTGGACCACACGCTCGGTGATGGGGAGAGTAGAGTAGTCTACCTCTTGATCAGCCATATTCGATATGCTAAATACCTGTGCTTCTGCTGAGAGTGGTGGGCCCAGGTGAGGTCTGTTTATGATCTCAGGGATGAAAACACGAGGAGCGATGGTTTGTTTGTTTACGTGCACCCATTCGGCTCAAACTGTTTGTTTTGCATATCCGCGTTGGGAGCTGTGCACTTGCAACTTTAACTCAAGAATTATATCTGATTTAAGTGCACGTGATTGAACAAGCTTTTACGTAAAACTCTATTTACGCGCGGCGCGGTCTTGAGGTTTATCTCGTTTTCAATGTTTACAATCGCGAAGGGCGCAATAACGATAGTTTGCAGGCTATTCACGATAATTATGCCACTGTATTGCTGCTTCTAATAGTAGTGAACTCCTTCTTGCAGTGACAGTACGCGCAAAGAATAAGCAATCGATGATAGCAGCTCGCGCAGATGGCATCTTCCTTTCTGACAAATCGGCAACGAGATGAGCTGTAAGTGTCTGTATCTCTTGAGGCCTTCATAATAGACCAACCAGGCTTATTCTTGCTTTGTATTCTATATAGACACGCGTCAATACTTCAGTACTTGGCTGCCACAGGGCATCGGCAGGCTCACGATGCTTTGACGAAAGATCTGAGTCTTGATTCCAGTTATGATGAAGACAAGGCAAAGTACGACGGGCTATTAGAAAAGAAATGGACCAGCGTCGTGAGGCTGCAGAAGAAGGTATGTCTCGATTTACTAGTGTTGTGGATAAACAGTCCATGGTGATTCTGACAGCGGTTTCGTATAGATCCTAGAGCTAGAGTCAAAAGTATCCTCTCTCCAAGCCGAGCTGGATAACGTGCCTTCCTCCTCTCTGACAGTGAAGGATCCTACAACTTGGTTGCCGCGAATTCCAAAGTTCACCTTACTAGGCCACAGGCAGGCCGTCACCTCAGTCGCATTTCACCCGGTCTTTACTCTACTGGCATCTGGATCAGAAGATACTACTATAAAGATTTGGGACTGGGAGCAAGGCGTCTTGGAGCAAACGCTCAAGGGCCATACGAAAAGTGTCACTGATCTGGATTTTGGCGGGAGACCAAACGAGATACTGCTAGGTGAGTTTTGAAGATCCAAATTTGTTGATAGGCCAGACCAGAACTAATCTCGAAACTGTCTATAGCAAGCTGCTCGTCGGATCTCACAATCAAGATATGGAGCGAAAGTAACGGCTACAAAAATATAAAAACGCTAAAAGGTCACGATCACACAGTCTCGTGCGTTCGATTCTCGGCCGATGGAGAACGATTAGCTTCCGCATCGAGGGACAAGACAGTTCGCATATGGGCGGTTGATACTGGCTACTGTCTCAGGACGATTACAGGTCATACTGACTGGATCAGATCGATTGACCTATCGCTGGATAGCGAGTCGATCGTGTCTGTCGGTTCAGATCAGAGCGTGATGGTCAACAGCATCCGAGACGGTGACTGCAAAATCAATTTCCAAGCACACGAGCATGTCATAGAGTGCTGCACAATTGCACCTGTATCGAGTTATGCCGCTATTGCTTCACTCACAGACTCTAAAACGCCGATCGCAAGCTCTTCAAGACAGCTGGAGTACTACGCTACAGGGGCGAGAGATAAGCTTATCAAGCTATGGGATTCAAGAGGTAATCTGATCCACACTTTTGAAGGCCACGAGAACTGGGTCCGCGCAATTGTGTTCCATCCGGGTGGCAGATATCTGCTCTCTGCGGGCGACGACAAGAGTATTAGATGCTGGGACCTGACCCAAGGCGGAAAGTGTGTGAGAACTATCGACAACGCTCACGATCACTTTGTCTGCGCGCTGAAATGGGCGCCGTCGGTTATCACAAAAAGAGCTGCTAACGGCACTGGCTCCAGTGCCGGCGCCATCATGGATCCGAGAGGTATTCGTTGCGTTGTTGCCTCTGCTTCGTCGCATTTGGATATCAGACTGTGGATAGCGTGAGGGCGCATATTACTCATTTGGAACGATGTATATGACACTGCACTTCTGTAAAATAAAGCTACGATGTAATGATAAGCAATATTCCTCAGTATCTGTTAGTGAACTTCCTCTTCTCCCAGGGCTGAGAGCGGCCTCTCTGCGCCGCACCAAGTTCACGTGACCGCCGAGGCGGGCTGCCAGGGCTGCTGCGCCCGCATCCATCGCGATCATCTCGAGAGCAGATAGTCCCCCGGTCCACCGACAAGCACCACTTCTTCGTCTCAAGTATCTTCCTACGAGCCATGGCTTCTATAGATTTATCCTCGAACGCGCGCGAGATCCAGTCGACTTACGATGCGATTGTCGCCGGTGATTCGAGCATCTCCTGGGCCGTGTACTCCTACGGCGCGGGCCTGAACAACAACACTCTAAAGCTGCAGGCCACCGGATGTACGTACATTTATTCGGCTGCGGTCAGGCTCGAGCGTTAACTGCTGGAGCACCGCTTTTGTGTCTTGATCAATTGATAAATCTATGCGACGTGATCTAACAATCTGCCGATGTAGCCGGTGATCTATCTGAACTCCAAGAGGAGCTCTCAGAGGGAAAGATCCAGTATGCGTTCGCCCGAGTTCTCGAGCCCAACTCTCAGCTTCCCAAGTTCGTCTTGATTGGAATGGTACCGTTTACTTTTGAATTGCCCTTTTGATTTCAAGACTAATTCTAACCTCCCTGAATCTAGTGCGGAGAAGGTGTTCCGGAACGTGCCAAGGGTTACTTCAATGCGCACTTCAACTCCGTCTCTCGTCTATTCCATGTACGATCCCAACTCTGATTCATTACCGATTTGATGAAGACTAACAATACCACTCAGGGATACCACGTACAAATCACCGCGCGCTCCATAGACGACGCTGATCCGGACGAGATCTTGAGAAAGGTCACCGACGCCTCGGGATCAAAGTACTCGGTCGCCGATCTTGCTTCCAAGTTTGGAAAAGCTCCCCCTGTCCGACCCAAATACGCCAGCTCGCATCCCACCTCCGCTGCCGCTGAGGACGACTGGGGCGATGCGCCTCCTGTTGTCGAAAGCAAAGTTACCAAGGTGCCGTCGGCATACAAGCCACACAAAGTTGACATCGACGCTATCCGCAAGGGCAACAGCTCCGAGAGAGCTTCGGCTGAGCCAGTCAAGAGCTCTTATCAGCCAATTGGCAAGGTCGACATCGCTGCCATCCGGGCGAGCGCTTCGAAGAAGGAGCTCGAGGCCGAGAAGCCTGATATCGTCAAGGGCACCTACCAGCCGATTGGCAAGGTCGATATCGCCGCGATTCGCGCCCAGGCCAAGCAGAACGAGGAGAGCACTTCTAAGCCTAAGCCCTTCCAAAGAGCTCCCGAACCTGAGAAGGACGAGGAGGAGAAGACCAAGCCTGCCAGTCTGGCTGAGCGCTCCGAGGCATTCACTGCATCCGGAAGACTTTCCGAGCTTCCCAAGCCCAAGATTGAGAAATCATCTGTTGCCAGCAGATTTGGTGGCGCTTCAAAGACATTCGGAACCGCTCCCGTTCTTCCCAGCAACCAGTTTTCGAATGCCCCCAAGACTATCGGTGGCTTGAAGAACTTTGGCGCCGAAGGAGGAAAGACTCCTGCTCAGCTCTGGGCCGAGAGAAAGGCAAAGGAGAATGGCGGCTCTGCCCCTGCTGCCTCGTCGTCGACTCCCGCTGCGTCGTTTGTCACTGCTTCCGAGAGACCTGAGGAGACCGAGGAGGAGGAGAAGCCGCATAGAAGCATCTCGGCTCTACGAGACCGCTTTGCTCGTGCATCAGTCGAGGATGAGGAGGAGAAGGAAGAAGAGGAACCTGAACGCCCGAGCTCGCCCATCCGTCTTGCTCGCCCTGTTGCTTCGGCTACTTCGATCATCCGTCCTGCGGGCGGCTTCACTCCCAAGGCGCCCGAGCCCGAGTCTGAGCCCGAGCCCGAGCCGGAGCCGGAGCAGGAAGAGCCTGAGGTCGAGGAGGAGCCTGCTGCTCCGGAGCCCCCTAAGATCGATTTCTCTAGCAGACCTTCGCTCCCCCGTAGAGGGCCGACCCCCGAGCCCGAGGAAGAAGAGGTTCCAGAGCCCGAGCCCGAGCCGGTGCAAGAAGAAGAGGAGGAGGAGGAAGACATGGGAGCCTTTGCAAAGGGTAGAGCCGCTGCTGCTGCCGCTCTGTCATCGGGTGACATCATGGGCGATCCTGCTCCCGCCAAGGCTCCTGAACCCGAACCGTCTGCGTCGTCGTCGTCCGGAAAGGTCGCTGTCGTGTTGTACGAATACATGAAGGAGGAGGACAACGAGATCAACCTCGTTGAGGGTGAATTGATTCACGACATTGAGGAGGTTGACGAAGGCTGGTGGAGCGGCCGTAACAGCGAGGGCGAGCAGGGTCTTTTCCCTGCCAACTACGTCGAGATCCAGTCCGACGATGCCGCGCCCGCTGAGACTGCGACGGAAGAGCCCGCTCCTGCACTGAGTGTTCCGTCGCTAGGCGTCGGTGCTGCGGGTCCTTCGGCAAAGGCGGAGTACGACTACGAGGCTGAGGAAGACAACGAGCTGACGTTCCCTGAGGGAGCTACGATCTCTGATATCCAGTTTCCGGATGAGGACTGGTGGAGCGGAGTCTACGAGGGCAAGAGAGGTCTTTTCCCTTCGACGTATGTTAGTCTGGTGTAAGTGGGCGATTGTCGCGAGATAAAATTGATTTACGTTAGCGATCTGCGTCGGCTGCTATAGTTGATGTAGCGAGAGCACGTTTGAGATATCGCAAAAGTTGAGTTGGAGGAGGGAAGGGGGGAAGTGTAGACAAGTGTGCGTGTGTGTGGTTAGTTTTGTTGTAGTATTTTCGGTCACGATATATCGAGTTTATCTGTTTATATCTCATTTTTTCATCCGTAGGCCTCTATAACTATCATACAACGACTCAGGTCTGTAAAAGCTCTTCATCGATTAAAAACTCTTCATCGATCTCTTCGTCTATGAGGTCGTAGTCGCTATCCTCATCAATATCGTCGTCAGATATGTACAATTTCATACTTTTGCCGCCCGCCAGATTACTCCAGTCATATGCTGTCCTTTCTGTCGCAGAAACTTCCGCTTCCGGTTCATTATCACCACCGTTGCCAAGATCGAGATTAGAAGCTCCAGTGATTGAATATTCACCTCCAAGCCGTCGAAGTTTGCTATCCTTTGCGATCAGCGCGGACCAGAAACACGTCTCGGTCATGAACTGGGACCGGTTCTCAAATGCGCTCAATGCCCCGCCTACTACGTCGCCGTCGGGATGCACTTTCCTCGTTGCCTGTATACTCTGAATCTCAGGAAGCAGAGTCGATTGCCGCTTGTATACAGAGTACTCCAACGGCATGCATATCTGATTACTTGTAGACCCGCCATCCTTGCCGCCCAGTGAACTCCAGTTTCGCTTGCGCCCACCGCCAGCGAGAGGAGAGACAAAATCCTTGATCGAGACTGCGATCCGCGAGATTGGCTGGGGAGGTAGACTGTTCATGACGCCTCGGGCGGCTATTATGGATGCAATCAGGTCTTCTTCCATGTTCGAGTCGCTCCGACTGGCGTATCGGCTGGCTATCCGCGCTGTTCTGTGAAATCCTGAAGAACTTGTTGCGTAGAATAGGTCTGCGTCGGATAGTTGGTGAGAGCACGACTCCAGCATTGAGGGGGTAGGGCAGGAAGGCGGATAGTTTTCAAACACGGTCCCGATGAACTGACTGGTGGTCACAGACTGCGATATTGTTTCAATCAGGGTATTAGGATCCGTCTCGTTGTCTGTCTTGTTGTAGATCACTTTCCCCACCGCGTGAAAAATCTCCATATTGCTATCTCTGATCGACGGCAAAAACTCGCCCCGCGAGACCGCCCACATCTGTAGTGCATTAATCGCCGAGCGAATATCGCCCAGTTCAGCAAGTGTCGAGATGAGTTCTATTACTTTTGCATTTGACCTCGACTTATCACTTTTCTTGCCAGACATCAAACCCTCCTTCACTGCTATTTCCTTAAGGCTGCGAGTCACCAGGCTCATATTCACGGGATTGAACTGGATCTTTGCCAGTCTCAGATTAGACATAATCTCTCGGCCAAGAATATTGTCGGCTGTAAAAGCCGACTGCCGCGCCGAAAGCGAGTCTTCCTTTTGATCGATTTCGGAAATGATGAAAATCAGGGGCGGCGATGATCGGGTGTCTGAATATATATACGCGGATACGGCCTCCACAAACTTAGCACGGAAGTCTTTGTTTGTCAAGACTGCACTAGGGATATCCTCAATAACAACAACTTTCTTTCGCTCTTTGACGGCTGAAGATCGTAGATCAAATACCATCTCCTCTTCTTCATCGTCGACCGCGGCAGTCTGTGCAAACCCAAACTGCTGTATACCAGCCAGAAACTCCGCAAAGCGCGAAGACATGGATTCGTATCCGATCCCAGAGTCATAGTCCAGCGATGGTGGCTCTGTCCACTCGACAATGTCGAAATCAAGCTCCCGCGCGAGAACGGAGATCGCGGCTGTTTTGGAACTGCCTGGGGGTCCGGCCAGCACAAGAACTCGCTGTAGAGAGTAAATCATGTTAGCAATAGAATCACGTAGCTTGCGGTGAACAAGGCAAGGCAGACCTGAGGGAGACGGCCGGAAAGTGCGAGCTCCAACCACGTCTTTACATCTTTGTATTTTCGATTGTGTAGAGCTATTGTAGAGGAATCCCGGGGTGTGTATTTCTCCGTCCATAATATGTCTGTATGTTTTGATTTCATTTCGCTAGTTTGACTAGCCAGTTGTTTGCTATCAAAGCTCTGCGCGATCGAGGAATCTGAACCTGAAGACTGGTGAATGCTTTTAGGCCGGAATATCGGTCGTCGAGATTTCGCTTTCTGCATCAAAGATTTCTTGGTGGTTGCGACTTTGTCTGTTTGGTCAGAATCGGATCCTTGCGAGGAAAAGTCGTCGATCTCTTCAATTGCAGCGTCATTATAGTCGTCCTGCGCAGAAACGCTGCGAGATCGCTTGACTTTGGTGCGTTGGACCTTTTTTGTCGACGGCAGCGGCACAAGCGATTTTGCCTTTTGTGCAAGGCCATGTGTAGACTGCGCATTTGCAAAAGCTGCTGATAGAGATGACTGTTGCTTACTTGGTAAGCTTTTCTTGCTCGCTGTTGTCCGTTGAGTTGTTGATCTTTGGGGTGCTTTGGTCTTCGCCTTGGCGATGTTTGGCGACCTGTAGTTGGTATCTGAGTCGTCTGAGTCTATGGTTAGTACCGGCACTTTATCTGAATTCGTTGCCTTCGTTCCTCTCCGGGACTGCTCGTCGTCTTCTTCGTGAAAGTCGAAATCGGTATTTGAATGATTGATCTGACGCTCATGTCCTTCAAGGCCATTGTCCTGCTTCGTCCGGCGATTCTCAAGATCTGTCGTTCGCAATCGCTTTCTAGGAGGCACCATCACGGTCTATGCCCAAAAATACGAGCTGTCTGGGTCGCGCGGACTGTTTGCACTCACATATCAGTTTGTGTGGTCAACGGTCCGCGAGCGTAAATAAACATAGCCGAGTTGAGCCATCGCGAAAGCCTCACGCGTGGGAAATTCACGTGATTTGAAGGATTAACTGGATTTCCTGTCTGAGCTCGATTTGATCCCGGATTGGAATACAATACTGCGTTGGATAGGATCGACAGTGTAATTTACGCTATAATGCTTGTGAGTCTATGTGAGGAACTGTTTATTGTTTGAAGACGGATGTTGACTTGAGCCCAGTTCAAACCATGGTTAGACGTTCCTCCTCCTCGTCACGAACTCCACGATGATTCTTCATCAGACGAGGACATACATCCAGGCGCGACGGACGAAGACGACGGCCTCTTTGAGCAGCAAGAGACATCTCTGCAGGATACAATTCCTGTGAGTGTAATCGATGTCTTGGTGAATGATGAAATCTCGCGGTTAGTGGTCGTTTCTCCCGCTTTGGAGCCGGTCATGCTCGGACTCGGCCAGTCGCAACAAGTGGGTTCAGCTACGCTGAACTTTGCGACCGCGCTCAAGAAAGTCAATCTTCTGGTTATGGAGATAATGTACAATCCGGCCCTGCGGTTTCACTGGATCAAAATACCCCAGGTGCCGCCAAAGGAGTGCTACACGCTCGCACAGTATCTCCTTACCGAGCTTCATCCAGAAATTTTGGTCATCATGGCCCCTCTCTTTGTCGATCTGGAGCATCCCATACAAGTTCTCGCGAGCTCGAAATCGGGAGTTAGGTTTGAGGAGTCTCTGCACTTGAAACCACCGCATCATATTACCGGAATTAACGCATCGCTGATATCTTACGTGAGCTTACTCTACCGTCAAATACTTTCAACTTCTCGTTCTAACATACATTATACCAGGCCGAGATCTCTCAATCAAAAGCCGTAGCTATATTAGTAGCGGGCGAGGGTGTTCCTGACCATGAATACGTGGAAGAGGAGTATACAATGGAGGCAGCCAACACGCTGTCAAAAGTACTTGATGCGAATGGTGCTCCTTACAAACTCGATTTGGCTGTGATCCGCCATAGAGTCAGATCCAATGGGATGTACGTTTAGTCTTAATAAAAAGTATTAGCAAAATAGTAGTGGTCCAACCTTTCGTATCCTTATTATGATGTAAACTTTTTATTAAAAAAGAACCCACAAGTACACTAACCAACGAAGAATCCCAGCATGTATCAAAAGTACATAGTGATATATTACAAAAATCATAAACGGAACGCAGGAGAGAAAATGACAGTAAAAAGAAAGCAAAACGTCAAAACTGAGTCTTATAGACGTCTAAACAATTACTCCTCCATGACATCAGGAGCAGAGATAGCCTCCTGCATGGCGTCGGCGTTCTTGGTGGGAGCCGCGCCGGTCTCGTAAAAGTTCAGACGCTCCTCGACCTGTCTCTTCAGAACGGCACCGAACTTGGTCGAAGGGGTGTCAGAGAAACTGTCAATTCGGCTGGCGATCGAGCACTTGTTGGCCAAGAATCGTGATATCCGGCCCTTGTTCTTCTGGCCGGCCTTGCCGATGAACGACGAATGGTAGATGAGACCGTACTTGGGGGTGTTACCCTTGGTCTTCAAGGCACGGAAAAGAGCTTTCTCGGCACCGAGAATCTGAACGGTGGAAGCAGGGTACTTTGACAAGCTGGTCAAGCTGCCGGCGTGTGAAATAAGTCTAGCTCCGACAATCTCGCCGATGAGCTCGGACAAGTTGGGAGCAACAGTGCTCATCTTTTCAATCAGATAGGCGTGGAGCTGCTTGCGGTAGTCGGTGAGGTTGACGACCTTCTCGGCGAATGTGACGATGTTGTCCATATCAGTCTCAGAGATATCCTGGCCCATACTGATACGGGCGGCATCGATGATGCTCTGAGCAATACCGGCGTCGTCGTTAACCAGAGCAGCAAGATCATGGAGAGACTCGCTGGTCAAGGAAACCTTGTCCTTGATGAAAAGGATGAGCTTCGAGTAGGTGTAGTTGTCGCTGACGATCTTGTAAAGCTCGGGGAAGTGCCACGAGTACCATTCTCTGCAAGTGTGTGTTAGTTTATGTATATGTATGATCTGTGATAGACACAAGAATCGCTTACCTGACACGCATGGCAAAGGTGTTGATATCCTTGTCAAGCTGATCCAACAGAGCGATGGCCTGGATGATGTGGTTGTCGTTCTTCTGGACACTGAACTGGACCTTGTTGCGGGAGTAGGCATGGCCAAGACCGAGCTGGGCACGCTCGATATCGCCGTCCTGAAGCTGCTTGAGCATCTTGGCTCCGTGAAGACGAATTCCGCGCAAAAGATCCTGGACGATCTCGGAGGTATCGCACTCGATGCCCTTGAAGGTTTCCTTGATGCCACTGGCCAGCTTCAAATCCGAGACTCCGAGAGTAGCCTTTGATTTCTTGGACTTCTTTGTGCTGTTGGGGATGTTGAGCTCCAAGAAGTTTTTGAGGTGCTCGTTGACGACGCCTGGAGGGAGGTTAGAAGGAGAGTTGGTTGGATCTCGAGGTTGGTGAATACGTACCCTCAGCGACATCGTTTGCGTTCTCCAAAGCGTGAGCAGCGCCCCTGTGTAAGAAAAACAAAGCCAGTCAGAACACAACGCATAATCTCAGCGATACGATAAGCAACAACACAACATACTTGAAAGGCGCGAAACTGACGAGAGTAAGCAACTTGCTGAACAAAGCGAGGTCGTTGGCTGCCTCCTGGACCTCCTTCAGCCGGGCACCGACCGAGTCCGAAGGGAAGGAGACCTTGAAAAGAGCATAACCCGTAGGCTCCTCGTAAAGAATGTATTGGACACCAGACATTATCGCGAGCTGTTTGCGGTAAAAAGGCGGGTTGGTGAAGCTTTTGCTGTGCGGGTGGGAGAAAATTTCGCAGGTTTTTTGGTTTTGGAGAGAAAAGTTTTGGATGACACTTTGGGCCCAGAAACCTTAAATGGAACCTTAAACTGACAATTGCATAAGTGCATAAACCTGTGCGAGGGTTGTGCGCGCGCTGGGCAGGGCCGAGATGACGACGGCCGATTGCTTCGAGTGTTCACCTTCAGCCTTCTTCGTGAACTTCTGGGATCCGTCTGTTTGTGCTTGTCTTCGCAGTTCTTTGTTCTTTGTTCTGTAAGTGGTGTTTGGATGCTGTTCTGTGTGCTTGAGTGTCTTCTCAAAGGACCGCTCGAACTCCCGCTCGAGCGTCGTCTCTTTGTCCCCGAGCGCCGTGTGCATGATAAAGAGATATCTCGTACTGACTTTCTCTTTCTTCCACTATCCAAAGACTAGAGATCCCGAATCGCAATGTTTATTCTCAACTGGTGTATGTACTTTTCAGTGCAGTGCTCAATTGCCTGTCTCCTGCCTTGTTCGCCCACCCTGCAGCGATCACTGACCCGTCTTCCATGATAGTCTACGATGTTTTGGCCTCCCTCGGCCTGCTCAACAAGCACGCCAAGTTGCTGTTCCTCGGCTTGGACAACGCCGGAAAGACGACTCTGTTGCATATGCTCAAGGTACAGATTCGCTCGTTCGAAATCCAGCTGTCGACGTTCGCCGGACAAACTACGGACACTGCTCTAACACCCTTCTTAGAACGACCGATTAGCCACCCTACAGCCCACTTTGCATCCCAGTAAGTCTCTCTCGCGTATCTGATCTCTGCTTTATTGATTCGATAGTCTAACACCTCCGCAGCATCCGAAGAGCTCGCCATCGGCAACTGCAAGTTCACCACCTTTGATCTTGGCGGTCACGCGCAGGCCCGTCGTCTATGGAAAGACTACTTCCCCGAGGTCAACGGCATCGTCTTCCTCGTCGACTGCGCCGACGTCGAGCGATTCCCCGAGAGCAAAATAGAACTTGATGCCCTTCTTGCCATCGAGGAACTCAACAAGGTTCCCTTCCTGATCTTGGGCAACAAGATCGACGCCCCCGGCGCCGTCTCAGAAGAAGAGCTTAGAATGTCGCTTGGTCTGTATCAAACCACTGGCAAGGGCAAGGTGCCTTTGGAGAACATCCGACCAATCGAGGTTTTCATGTGGTATGTAGAATTCAAAAGATCTCTTAGCTCGACCTGTTACTAACCTGTTCTTAGCTCTGTCGTTATGAGACAAGGATACGGAGAGGGTATCAGATGGCTCAGTCAGGTATGATCTTTTTTTCTGATTAATTATCTGAATAATCTTCGGCAGATCAAGACTAACAGCATATTCTAGTACGTCTAAATACACAGCTCTTTGAACATGTCAGTTAGATCACACGGCTGCTGTGAGAATATGTGAACTTAACGACCGAAAGTGTAGTAATGATGTTTTTAAGCCTTGTAATCTATTGGTAATAAATACTATAGTGTTGAATATATTTATGTAGATCTATACACACACAGCTCTAGGATGAACAACCAACTTTTCTATATACAAATTTTCTAACCCTTCAGCAGCGGCACCATCTCAATCGCTTTATCCGGTGCTCCCTTATTATATACAAACAGACCCTGCAATTGCGCAGTACTCACCGGCACACCCAACTCTGTCACCCCCTTGATGAACACCTCTGCCTGCTCTTCGGCCCCTTCGTAGAATCTCAAAAACATCCTCCTGATCTGGTGCGGAGTCGCGTTGTCAATCAGCTGGCGTACGTCGACTCGTCCGGGACGGATGAGCGCAGGGTCAAGATGCTCGGGATGATTTGTCGTCATGAATATAAGCCGCTCTTCTGATGATGCGACGCCATCGAGGGCGTTCAAGAGGCCGGAGAAGGTTACTCCCGAGAGTTTGTATCCGGACTCGTCGGTCTGTTCTCGCTTGTTGAACGCGGCATCGACGTCCTCTAGCAGTAAGATACTTCGGTCCGGGATATGGTTCATCAGATGGTTCAGCCGGTCATCGGTCAGGTTCTGTTCGCTGAGATTCAAGAGGCAGATGTTATAGTCCAGCTCACCAGCCAAGGCCTGGATAAAACTACTCTTGCCGCTACCAGGAGGTCCGTAAAGCAGATATCCTCTTCGATAGGGTATACCTCGATCATAGTACCAGTTTCCCGACTTTAAGAAATCCTTGACGTCCTGTAATATCTGCTCAGATACACCATCGTCGAGAATAACGCTATTCAGCGATCTCTTACGACGGGGCTGGCCAAACGGACGCCACTCTGGCCCCCATGAGGTGTATATCACCGTTTTTCCCTCGTTCATGCGTGCAGCCATAGCATTAGCCTCCTGCAGCAGTTCCCGGAAAACCTCTCGGTCGCGGTAGAGAGTCGTAAGTGTAATTGTCTCGAACGGGGTTCCAGAGGTCAGGTCCATCAGTCGGGAAGACCGCTCTCGGTTTACCTGAATGTACGCGCCGTTGTAGTGCAATATATGTTTTCCCGGTCCGGGCACCAGACTGAAATTCGTAGTAACGCTCCCGTTGTCGTGCTGCTTGTACGTCGTCTGCACGCTCAGATGATGCGAAGAGGTATAGAGATTGCGGAGTCTGAGCAGCCGCCCTTTAAGCCCTGTGTGGACCTCCGGCGGCGCATTCTGAATAGCAACAGACTCGCGAGCCATCCAGTCAAGAAACCAGACATACGACTTGTCTTTTGAGGGAATCTCGAGATCGACGAGCATCTGTCGGTACAGAAAGGTCGAGCCCCGAGTCACGACCTGTCTGCCCGCAGCCAGGAGGACTCCGACGCCCATCAACCCAAAGCCCTGTAGAAACAATGTCAGATCTGCACATTAATCCTTGTTATAAAACAGAAGCACATACGGCAGCAAAGTACGGGTTCGAGTCCATAACTCTTTGTATCAGTCCATTGGGCTTCGCAGCAGCGCCCGAGACCGTCGCCTGCACCTCTCCCTGTGGCTCCGGAACAGGCAACTCGACGGGAATCTCAGCGCCGGACATTGTGAGTAGTTGACCAAAATACAAACAGAAGCAGCTTCTTCTTCTTCTTTTCCTCTCTTCCCGGATGCTTAATTGAACCAACTGCCAGTCGCGTTCATCGCGCGTCTGTGCAGCGGTTTGACGCTTATGCGGAATTAGAGTTTAAACCGCCAATCGCTCACCGCCAGCGACGCGACGCGCTCTCCTCCGCTCACTTCCTTCTCGAGACCACCTCCACTCAGCCGTTTCTTGACTCGACCTACGCGAGAGCGCTCATTCTCTGCATTGTTTGTAGAGTACACAACACAGCATGTTTAGGGCCCAGAAAAAGCGCGTCTTGGAGCGCACCACCTTCGGCCACGAGGTCGAACGCGAGCAGGCCTATCCTGATCGGCTCAACATGTACCTCGTCCCTCCTTTGGCTGAGATTACTCTTGACCAGTTTGAGGAGTGGGCGGTGGACAGACTGCGTGGTATGCTTGCATTTTGTTGAATTATACGTCAAGTAGCGGGAGTTGAAACTGACATTCTCAAGTGCTCGGTGAAATCGAAACATGCGTGTTTCGCAACATAAAAGCAAAGCAGATGGAGCAGAGCGTGCGACCGCTGATGGAGAAATATCTGCCTCTGTCGCCAAACTCGACAAGCGGCGGCGGAAACAAGGACATGCAATTAGAAGAAGAGCGCAAGAAGGATCACTACTCCCACTTCATCCTGCGTCTTGCATTCTGTCGAAGGTATGTCCCATATCCGTCGCTCCAGAAATTCACCATCTGACTGACTGTGTTTGAATATAGCGAGGATTTGCGTCGTAGATTCGTCAAAGCCGAGACTCTACTCTTCCGCATTCGCTACCTGTCTGTCGACCCCTCAGAGCGACAAGCCCTTCTGCGCAAGTACGATTTCGGATGGACGCCCGTCTCAGACGAGGAACGCGACGACCTTCTCCCCAACCTCATCTTCGCGTCCGAAAACTCCTCGGCTCCGTTCGAAAAGACAGTCAAGTCCGAGAGCTATTTCAAAGTACCTTTCGAGCGAGTGCCGGAGCTGATCGAGACGCGTAGGGTGTACATGAAAGCTGGTGTCGCGTACGTGCCTTCATCGCTACAGCTATCCCTCATTCTCTCAGAGTTCAGCGCAAAGCTAGAACGCGCACTGGAAATCACCGCGCGTGCGCTTCCCCGTCTAGACGAAGACGACCGTCTTGTTCCCATCCTCAATCATCTGTCAAAGGGCTTCGTGGCGCCTGAATATGTCCCAGAGGGCGGAGACCACGGCGACGGGGTCAAAGCCTGGCAGGTCGATTCGCTGGTCGAGCATATGCCGCTTTGCATGCGAACCATGCACCAGGCTCTGCGACGAGACCAGCATCTACGCTACTACGGACGCCAGCAATACGGCCTGTTTCTGAAAGGAATCGGTCTCTCGGTCGAAGAGGCGTTAACCTTCTGGCGCAAGAGTTTTGCGAAAACGACCGACGACAAGTTCACAAAGGAGTACCGCTACAATATCCGCCACAACTACGGTCTCGAAGGAAATCGCAAAAACTATCGCCCGATGGGATGCCAGCAGATTCTCAGCGACGCTGCTCCAGGTCCGAACGATCACCACGGCTGCCCGTATCGGTATTTCTCTGAGGATAATCTCGTGGCATCATTGGAAGGCATAGGGATCCAAGATCGAAGCGTGCTCAAGCAGGTGAAAGATGACGTCAAGGCTAAGCAGTACCATGTCGCTTGTACCCGCGTGTTTGAGGCATCCCACAGAACCCTGCACGGCGTCAAGAGTTTGATTGGAACGGGAGTGGGAATGGAGAGTATCACGCATCCTAATCTGTACTTTGATCGGAGCCTGCAGATGGCGAAGGAGGCGGAGAAGATCGAGCAGGCCAGTGATGAGCATGCTGCCGCGGCTGCTACGATTGCGGCCTAGAAGTTTGTGTGGGTATTTGGAGTTTGAGATTGGCATTTCAAAGTGTATAGTAGTCTAATAGTTGTGTGTTCTTTACTTTCAAGAATTTGCTATCGAAACGTAGCTCGTAGGCAAACCAAATTATGAAATCATATGTTATTCTATTATACATTCAGTTTATCTGTAACTCAACGGCGAACTAACCCGCCAAGATCAATCCCCTACAGATCTAAAAGCTCCATGCAGCAAACACAATGTTTTCTTATCGCGGCGGACGGGCCCGGTTAGGCGGCTCCCGGCGTGCCTTCTCTTGAAACCTTCGACGGTCGTATTCATGCGAGCTGTCGTAGATCGGTAGCTCCTGCGGCGTAGCAGGGAGGGGATATGTAGAAAAGAAAGGGTGGGACATGGCGCTGACGGCTGTGATTCGTCTGAGAGGGTTGAGGAGGAGCATGTCGGCTAGTAGTTCGACGCCTTCTGGGCCAAGTCTACAGTATCTCATTGTTAGCGTATAACTAAATAGGTACGATGAATAAAAAAACAGACGTACTCGTTGAATTCGTACTCCAGTCTTCGAGGAAATTGCGGGAACCGAAGTCCATTGGCATCAGGTAATTTATCCCAGCCAGGCATCGTTTCCTGCGTCGGCGATCCGCACAATTGAAAGATCTTTTGCAGCTGATCCATGTCCGAGTTACCAGTGATAATAGGCTTATGCCGATACATCTCGCCAAAGATGCACCCCACTCCCCACATATCAATCGCACAGGTATACCGACGCTCGCCCAGCAGTAGCTCCGGTGGACGATACCACCTGGTCACGACGCAGTTTGTGTAATCGCGCCGAGCGGGAGCGGCACCTTCATCGCCTCGCTTTGGTGGCTCTTCTTCAAATTTCCGGGCGAGACCAAAGTCTGCAATCTTGAGTATTCCGTTGTTATCAATCAGGAGATTAGCGGCCTTCATATCGCGATGCAGGATTTGGCTCTAGAACCGAGATCTCACTGTTAGCAAATTACAAGGTGGTATATCAATTGAGAAGCAGCTTCGTCTTACGTCGTGTAGGTATTTTGTTCCCGCTAACAGTTGGAGCATGTAGCATTTAATTTGCGCGACGCTGAATTGCACTGCCGGGTTTTCAAGCAAGCCGGCGAGATCGTGATCCATATATGGGGTTACCATGTAAATCAAGCCTCTCTTCTTTGTGTTTTTGTCCCCTATACAAAATGCTGTAAGCTCTGTACTCAAAAGATAGTCAAAGCCAGGATCACCAAAATACTTACAGACAGCGCGTTCGATGGCCATCTCGAATAGCGGAATGACATTTTCGTGAGACAACTGCTTGAGAATTCTAATCTCGCGTATTGCAGTTATCGGAAACTATAGCGTTGAAATGTCAGAGGAAGCTGCAACGGGGTTTGCGATGAGGAAGCACCTACGCCTTCTCTTTCGTTGTGCATTAAGATCTTCTTCAAAGCAACCAGTCGTCCCGTTCGCTTGTGTCGGGCCTTGTAAACCTCACTGTACCACTTGTTAGTTTCATAGAAAATGTATTATAGAGCGCAAAGGCAAAAAGATGAGAAGAGTAGCATACCCAAAGGTGCCCTCTCCAAGTTTTCCCAGCTCTTCATAATCAACTTTAGCAAACGAGCAACCATAGAAGTTGTGTTTGGGATGAGTAGGCGTCGATACTGGGTTTGGCGTAGCGGACCCGGAACTTGTGGCCGGCGGTTGAGTCTGGTTTGCGGGTGCTCCGTTCAGTCGCTTCGCCTTCAGAGCAGGCTCCTCGGGAGCGGGCTGATCTGCTTTCAGGTTCTCGTCGCTCCTTTTTCGTTTGATCTGGAACACGTTTGGATTTTTCCTAGGCACATTCGCGTTCGCAATTGCCGGTGCTCCAATGTTGCCAGGAGTCGACTGCGGAGTCTCGACGATCTCTCCCTCTTCTTTGTCGTCGGGATCAGCTTGGGATGTTGCCGCGGAGTCGTTATCTGAAGATTGTCGCTCCCAGGGCGGCACGACAGTCGAGCGGGCTATTGGCACCGCCGAGCTGTCGTTGAGCTTCCTTTTGATCTGGAACGAGGCGAACTTTGGAGGGTTGGAGGTCATTGCTGTTCGTTGTCGAGGCGGTGCGGATATGATGTGTAGTTAACGCACAGAGTGTAGACGATAAACCCCGTGCACTATAGAGCTTCTGATGAGAGATGGATCCGCTAATTCAAAAGCGCTATTTCCGATGTATGCATGCTAAAGAGAAAGAAAGGAAAGAACGAGATATATCCCAAGCTGCGTGTGGTTGTGTGGTCGTCGGTCGCGGTCGGACAACGACTCTGATCTTCGTCTGTGTCTGTGTCTCTGTACCGCCAGAAGCCTGTTGACTCTCTCCCGCTCGCAGTAGAAGCCGAGTGCTGTTGAATGCAGTGCTAATGCGCTGGACGTTTATTCAAAAGAAGAGAGCAAGTTGCTGCTGTGATTCCAGAAATCCGAAATGGCCCAAACCTGAGCCAAACAGATGAATTTGCGTCGGGAGCGGAGCCGCATAAAAATCCCAATCGCGCTTTCGATATCTGCAGTACATCTTCCTTCTGCACATATCCGCGAATAAACAGCAGCAGTGTATAGCAGACTTGTATCTATTTGAAATACTGTTGCTCTGATTATTGCAATGTCATTCTACAATCGACTTCGCACAGGTTTCAACCGCGCCTTCTCAGGTGGTAACCTGGAGGTCAACCGAGTAAGCATTCCCGATTCTTGGTTCTGCAAGCACGCTCCATATTAACAAACCGACACTCTGCCAGTTTGGCCTATACCTGCTCTTTCCTATTGGTTTCATGTACTACTTTGGCATAGGTCTCGAGGAAGACATCGAGCGCGCATACCAGGCACACATCGAGCACGAGCAGGAAATGCGAGAGCGGGAAGAGACAAGAGACGAGCGGAGAGCAAAGACACTACAGATGATTGCAGACATGCGGGAACGAACCCGGAAAGAGACTGCGCAGAAGAAACTGATGGAGCAGGTCAAGATGGCGCAGGAGGGGCAGAGCGAGTAGGAGGTTCTCGCAAGGCAGTAGGCGATTGCCACACGGTTATATATATGAGTTTTGAGAATATTTGTACAGCAAGATAACTTCACTTTCTCCCATCTCAGTACTTTTTTTGTATACATTACGTCTGGTTATGCGCAGGTACTTGCCAGGTCTTTCGATCTTGGTCGTTGGTATCGAGAGCACGTTGTGATTTCAGTGCTCATACACATCAGTATATACAACGATACTAACTGGCCTGGAAGACCAAACTTCTCACATTACGGATTCTGTAATTATAACAAGATCATAAACCATATCATCAATGCTATCAACAGACATCTACTCAACCCGCCTTACATCCGTGTCCATCTCCAATCCCTATCGTACATCCTCCCAACTCAATAAACCTCACTGCAAGCACCTCTCTCAATATGGCGCAGGTGAAGACCGCCTATTCCGGAAATCTCTACGGTATACCCGGTCGCGGGAAGGCCGGTCTTGAGACGACTGGTCGCGAGGTTCTGGACGTGATCTTGAACTTCCGGATCGATTCTTCCGGTCGAGTAAAGTCTTCCTCAGATCCTCAACTCGTTTCTCGATATCCTCTTCGGCAACGCTACACACAAATTACCAGTTAGCCTTCTTAATCTCAAGTAAAATCTCAGGTGTACTAATGCTGCAAGACACGGATGACTTGATACTTACTCTTCGTCCTCGAGCATAACCCGAAGTTCCATACACTTCACTTCAATCTCCCGAGCACTCTCATGATCCTTGATATCTTTCGAAATCTCCCTCCTTCGTGCGTCTCTCTTGATATCATCTTCCGTGTCCAGCTCTCCTTTCGCAGCAAGACGTAGCCCGCGGTCCCGGTTGGGATCTCTGGGTTTGAGATTTGATCTGTTTGTTTGGATATATCCGTTCGTACCAGTGCCTCGAGGCGTCGAAAGACCGATATTGTTGTAAGACATTCTGATCAGGACTATAATATGCAAAGGAGCAGGTTATCAAACAGGAAACAGGCTACAAAGCAGTTTGTATAATCTTTGAGTATTTTGCCTCCTTGTGCCTGCTCTCAATTTCACTTGTTTAAATGTAAGCAAAGGGGATTGTGTCAATAGAACGTCATAGCCCTGAACAAATCCCCCACATTCGAGTTCTACTTCTCTGATACACGCACTTTTCTACAGTCATTCTTTTCGTTCATCTGCAGTCGATCTGATAGAATATACCGATTTCTGATAATACACCTGAAATCAATACAGCTGATACACTTTCAACGATATGAGCTGCGCGCATCTAGACGGTCTCACGCTGCGGCCACCCACCGCATCCCAGCAGGTTTACAAAGACGATTGCACTCAATGCTTCGATAACACTGTGAGATCTCGACTGGTCTTATGGAGCTTATAGATGGAAGCTAATAGTAGGGAACTATAGGAATCTCCCCTGGGTCTCGACGTCTGCTTGAGTTGCTTCAACGGAGGCTGCACTTCGGAGTTTCCTGGGCATTCCAAGCTTCATTACTCAATTACTGAGCACCCGATCGTTCTCAATATCAAAAAGACGCGCAAGCAGATCAAGGTAATACAAAAAGCATCTTTGATAGTTATGGATAAGAAAATCTGCAATCAAAATACTGAACAGACGCAATCCTGTCATCTAGCGCGATGAGGCTCCTCCCAAAATCGCTAAACTTGCGATTCCTGCCGAAACCGAAGAGGATCGATTCGACACCGCGACTACCGTCAAATGTCTCGCGTGCAACGTCGAGCTTGACAAGGAAAGTGGGAAGGTCAGTTCTTGTTCTCTGAACGCTTATATCCAGAGAATTATAAAACTTACAAGTGTCACGCTATAGCTCTCGGATGTGGTGAACGGCGTTATGACCAGCCTTTCCTCGAATAAGCAGTCGGAGGTTAAGGCATGGGAGGAAGAAATATCACCTTGCGAGCATACGCTGTTGCTGGCGCAAGATGAGGCTAAAGTTCTTGCGGATCAAGGTATGTGGCCACGCGAGTCATTACTCGCTGTCGTACTGTGATAGATGCTGACCGATTCATGTTTAGAACTTGCGCACTGCTCTCAATGCGAATTGAAAGAGAATTTGTGGTTATGTCTGCAGTGCGGAGCACTTGGTTGTGGACGTCAACAATTTGGTGGAGTCGGTGGTAACGGCCATGGACTTGCTCATTTTGACCAGACGCATCATCCAGTCTCGGTCAAGCTTGGCAGCATCACTCCTGATGGTACCGCAGGTATGTACACGCGAAGTTCCACGACTTATCATACATTAGTTGCTAATAGTATTTCAATTAGACGTTTATTGCTACCTCTGCAACGAAGAAAGGCAAGACCCTAATCTGGCCGAGCATCTATGGCACTGGGGAATCAAGATCTCGGAAAGACAAAAAGTTGAAAAGAGCTTGGTTGAGCTGGTATGACACAGTCTTTATATCTCATTCATATCTCTTTCACACAGGATTAACAATTATATAGCAATTGGAGCAAAACCTCAAATGGGAATTTAGCATGACCTCTGACAACGGCGAAGAGCTGAAGCCACTCTTCGGGCCCGGATTCACAGGACTCAAGAATCTTGGGAACTCCTGCTATTTGGCCTCTGTCGTACAGTGCCTGTTTTCACTCCCGTCGTTTCAGCAAAGATACTACAAATCCGACTGCGAGATGCCGAGATTGGCCCAGCCAGCTGCTGATTTCGAAACCCAGCTGAGGAAGATTGCATATGGGCTCCTTTCCGGCCGCTACTCTGTGCCTTCCACCGAGGACAATTTCCAGGCAGGTATTGCGCCGGCTACGTTCAAGGCCATGGTCGGTAAGAACCACGCGGAGTTCTCGACCATGCGTCAACAAGACGCGTTTGAGTTTTTGCAGTACCTGGTCGAGATGATTGATCGCGCAAACCACAAAGATGTGGCGAACGATCCGGCAAAGACGTTCGATTTCGTTATAGAGCAGAGATTGGAGTGCCTAGGCTGTCACCGTGTGAATTACAAGAGCGAGAAACAAAACAACATATCCGTGCCCGTTCCTATCCGCAGACTCGGCAAAGCCTCACCCGAAGACAAGGATACGTTCGAGAGCGTTTCGTTGACGGAGTGCTTGGATATATACACAGCGCCAGAGACTCTGGAGTATACTTGTCAAGACTGTGGATCAAAAGATGGTGCGATCAAGCGCTCGGCGTTTAAGACGTTTCCGGACGTATTGATTGTCAATGCCAGACGATTTGAGATTATAAACTGGGTGCCAACAAAATTAGGTATGATGATCTGACGCTACGTGGTATACGAGGTAGTACTAACTTTTCGTTTCTTTTCAGATGTTCCGGTTGTTGTGCCGGACGAGCCGTTTGACCTCGATCAGTACATTTCACTGGGCCTACAAGAGGGTGAAGAGCTTCTTGTCGAGTCAGACAGCAAGGCCGAAGCCAAGTTTATTCCCAACGAAGGATGCATGTCAATGTTGGAAGGCATGGGCTTCCCGGCCACACGCTGTGAGAAGGCATTGTACAATACTGGAAACGCGGACCCTGACGCGGCTATGAATTGGCTATTTGCACACATGGAAGATCCCGATATCGACGAGCCTCTCAAGCTTGAGTCTAGCGGCGCAGGCGAGTCGGCCGAGATTTCACCAGAAGGAGTCGCGATGCTTACGGATATGGGCTTCTCTGTGGCACAGGCTAAGAAAGCATTGAAGGAAACAGGCGGTGACATGGAGCGCGCGATCGAGTGGGTCTTCAGCCATCCAGACGACGACGGAAGCGACGACGCCCCAGCCAGCAGCAGCAGCGCCGGTGCGGGAGACGTGACAGCAGGCGACAGCTCGCTTCCGGCGACGTACAAGCTGCACAGCATTATTTGCCACAAGGGAGGTAGCGTTCACGCAGGTCATTACGTTGCTTTCATCAAAAAGAAAGTGGAGGAAGGCGGGGATGGCAAGTGGGTGCTATTCAATGACGAGAAGGTTGTTGAAGGCGGAGACGTGGACGAAATGAAGCGGTTTGCTTACGTTTATTTCTTTGAGAGACAGCGAAGCTAGATGCGGTCTGTGTGTTGGCATTTCATTTCCAGTGTCTGTTAGGGAAAATACAAAAGATAAACTGCTGAACAGAGTAAATCAGAATAGGAACAGTAATCCGGATGGAAATCCGTAAAAGCGCGGTACCAAAGCCGCACGATAAGCGGGAGACTCTGCTCCAGATTCATCATGATGCTCGATTTGAGTCCTTTTATAAACCAGCAGAAGCACTATCGCCTGTCAAGCCTTGTGTGTTTTACTAAATCCACAGAAGAAACTGCAGAGAATCCAATTGATTAGTTTATAATACTTACAAAGTACAACAATGCTGGTTCACGAGTCCTTTGTCGACCTGCCGACCTCGCTCGGCACCACGATGCGTGTTTACACGTTCACGCCTTTCATCCCGGGTTATCCCAAGGCTAAATTCCCCGGTGTGGTGTGCTATTCTGAAATTTACCAGGGTAAAGAAAGATCTTCTATTGTGCAATTGGTGGAATTGTGATGTGAACGTGGGATCTGGCTAACTGAGCGTTGATTGTTATAGTTACGGGTATGCTCGACGCAATGTCGTAGACTGCAGATTTCTGCTGTTGGCTAACTTTACACGATTTTTTATACTCAAAGGCCCGGTTGCTCGTTTGGCGAAACAAATTGCTAGCCAGGGCTTCATCGTCGCTGCGCCTTCAGTATACCACAACTTCGTCGGTTCGTTGACCTCCAATCCTAGTCTCAACAAGTTCACACTGACGCTCTACAGGCCCCGAGCCTCTTGCCTACGACACCGCCGGCACAGACGACGGCAACCGCTACAAAGTCGAGAAGCCGGTCGAGTCCTACGACGAAGACGCAAAGCTGACAATAGACTACCTCACCAGTCTGCCGATCTGCAACGGCCGCGTCGGCGCCACGGGCATGTGTCTCGGCGGCCACCTCGCGTTCCGCGCCGCATTCGACAAGCGCGTCAAGTCCGCTGTCTGCTGGTTCGGGACTGATATTCACTCTGGAACGCTGGGACAGGGCGATGACTCACTTGCGCGCGCGAAGGATATTAAGGGAGAGCTGATTATGATTTTTGGAACTCGTGATCCTCATGTTCCCGTCGAGGGCCGCGCGCTGATCCGCGATACTCTTAACAAAGCTGATGTTTTCTTCAGCTTCTGGGAGGTCGCTGGTGCTCAGGTAAATATCCTGTGAAATCCCTTCTAGAATACCGGCAAATCACAGACTCTAGCCTAACAAATCTGAACGTCTAGCACGCCTTTGTACGCGACGAAAACTCAAGAGAGCGATATGACGCAGCAGTCACCAGGATCGGAATGACGATGCTCATCGAGCTGTTTAACCGCACCCTCAAGCTTGATCTCGGCGAGACCGACGGTCTTGAGGTTGAGGTTGCCGATGTCTGCTAAGTGGCTTTTTGGATGGTTGGTGTACTACTAGTAATGCTGGGACGAGTCGATTTTGGAAATCATGAAACTAAGACAGACGTGTTACGGTAATACAAAATTAACCCCCGCTATCCCAAGAAAACTACAGTTAAAACAAAACGGTGAAACGAAAACACAACGATATAAGAAAAAAAACCGATCAAGCCAAAATAGGCGCATGCTGGTCCGTAGGTGAAAAACTTGCTCCCGGCGACCTAATCGCCTCCGGGCTCTCGCTAAACTTGCCATCCATAATACCCTCCTCCGTCAGTCGTCTGAGCACTTTATTGGGTGCGCCTTCAGATGTTGTTGAGAATCTGCGTTGCAGAAGATTAGACTTGAGGCTTGGGAGAAGGTTTGTTTCTTCCTCGCTGGGCTCATTTTTGAGCAGGAAAGGGTGCTTGAGAGCTTGCTGGGCGGTGATTCGTTTTTCAAAGTCATCGTTGAGGCATTGACGTATAAAATCCTTTGCTAGAAATTATATAAAGAGATGATCAGCAAGACGTTATGTTACTGATTGGGGTAAGCAACACGTACCATTATCAGAGACTTCGGCCCAGTACTCCTCTGGCTCAAAATCATACTCGCCATTGACTATAGCCTGCAATTCTTCGGCGTTTGTGTCTCGATCAAAGGGAGTATAGCCACAGAGCAAGAAGTAGGTGATGACTCCGATCGCCCAGACATCACTATGTAGATCAGTCAGAAATATGAAGGAGATTGTGGTGAGAGGAAACGTGGGATACATACACTGGCTGGCCATGTCCAGTCTTTTTGATCATCTCAGGAGCCTTTCATGATTGTCAGCGCGAAAACCCTCAAACAAACTAAGCAATTTAATAGTAAAGAGATACCATATAACCGGGCGTTCCACATGTAGTGTTCAGGATGTTTAGTTTCTGCTGATCCAGGATCCGGGATAAGCCAAAGTCGGCAATCAGAAGATCGTCGTTATCTTCCGCCGTTCGAAATAGGAGGTTCTCAGGCTTCAGGTCTGATAAGCTATTAGTATCGCTCGGAAAATAGGGCACGTAACGTGATGGCGAAGGCATACCTCTGTGAACGATCCCGTGCGCGTGGAGGTACGCGACCGCAGAGGTTATAGATCTGATCAACGCCGCCGCATCTGATTCGTAGTATGAGCCTTTGCTGCATATACGATCAAACAGTTCTCCACCATAGGCGATATCGGTAATCAGATAAACTATCGAAAGATCAGATCAGACACATTTCAGCAAACGTGGTGGGCAGGTGAAGAAGGAACGAATCTGAAACACATACGGTTGTTCGAGGTCTCGAAGAAATCGACCAATGTCAAGATATTCCGATGACCGGCGGATATCTTCTTTAGCACTTGGACTTCACTGCGTACCTGAGATTCAGAAGTACTTTGTTAGTCGGGATTATGTCTGGCTGAGTGCTGCTGTCGAAAGGGGAGGGGGGATGATACAAATTTTTCGCGACCAGACATAAGTCGTTTGTTGATGATTTTAGCAGCGAATTTCCTGTGCAAAGGTCAATATCCTCTTGAAAATATGAAAAACGATGCCCTCAGAAACAATTCACTTACTGTCCCGTCTCTATATGAACTGCTTCTTTAACGACAGAGTACGATCCCTGACCAAGCACCTTTCCCTATATCAACGCGTCCAGTCAGTATGAATCATCTTCACGCGTGTCAATTCCCAAATCAGACACTAACCACCCTATACCGACAAGGCTGCAACACCCTCTCTGCATTCTCCGCCCGTCGCACGCCTTCGATGTCCATGTCTAACAAGTCTGGTCGCGGTCTGAGGCGGGATGCGGTGCAGAACAGAGATTATGTGATTTCCTGATAGAAGGATCTATGCACCCGGGGCAATCGGCTGCTTTGTGGTTGAGCCGCATATGACGTCAGCTAAGGGTCTGCCTAAGTGCGTTTTAGCCGCTGTAACTAATTGCTTCAGCTGCCGCGATCGAGATCTTGCTAGCTGGCGTGAGACAGCTTCTTGTGATCTAATTATACCTCTACTTCTTTCTACATCTGCTTTGTTAGGCATTTCTCAGGTTATAATTCAGAATACTCTTCAAATGCTCCATATTCAACACAAAAGACTACTCATTGATTTGCGTTTTATAAAGGACCAGAAAAATTTTTAAATATAAAAAGGGCGTCTGGTGTAGTTGGTTATCACATCCGCTTAGCATGCGGGAGGTCCCCGGTTCGATTCCGGTGTCGTCCATATTTTTTTGCAACTTCTTTTTAATTTTTTTTGATTCTCTAGACATCAATATAAACGTCTGCTTTTTTTTAGTCTTCAGAGATAGAGATGATTTGAAGAATTGAATAACTCAGGCACTTGGCGACGTTTAACCACGTTAACCCGGGGAGCTTTAGATAGAGTTTTCGATAAGCAGGGCACGCGCCGAGTGGGTGATTTCCAGGATTAAAATCGTTTATCGCGTTCTCTACACGAATCAATAGCTACTCGCGTCCTACAGCTCTTTTTACGGCCTCGAGATTTGGAGAGTTAGTGGAGTGCTGTACGATATAGATTGTGCTGTTGGACTGTGGGAAGGGGTCTGCGGTAAAACGAGAAACGGCAATCGCTAGACATATGATGTTGTTGAGCAGACGAGGTTACAGATCTATTCACAATGGAATCTCAACTCGGAGCGAGCACGGCAGTCAGTCAAGACTTGGGCCTGGAAAATGATATGGGTGCGTTAAGCGTTGCGTCTTTGTTGACGACGACGAGCGGGGCGACGCGGCAGACGGATATCGTTCAAAAGTTCCCGCTTGAGATTGCCGAGAAGATATTCGAAGGGTTCCCGCTTCAGACGTTGGTTCACCTTCGACTGGTCTGCCAGAGCTGGAATAAGTTTATCATGACAACGCCGAGCTTGTGGAAGTACGTGATGGTAGACAAGTCGATCACCAATCCTGATTTCCTCCTTGAGATTAAAAAGGGTATCGAGTCATCCAATTCTCAGGCCTTTTGCGTTTTAAACCTCGAACCGGAACCTACTGCGTTGGCGTTCAAGTGGCCTACAGATTTCTCACAGCTGGTGTATGCCAGAATCACGGTCGTGCAGTCAATTGGTCTCGTGCCACTTCTTGCGCGAGGCCATTTCCCGAATCTAGAAAACCTCGATTTTCAAGAGTTCAGCGCGCTTTACGTTTCGCACGAGAGCGACAGGCTGGTATACGACATTCCTGTTTTGAAGGATTGCGTCGAGTCGCTGCCTCACATCACCGAGCTCACGATTTGCAAATATAAGGCGAGGAGCGTGGCGATCAATTCGGAGCTGTACAATACTATTTTCGGAGATGGAACTGAATTGTTTCAGTCACCCGTGATCTGCGTGCGACGGCTGAACAGGCTGCTGCGATTACTGCCGAATCTGAGGATGTTCAAGTTAGCGGGCTATACGGTAACGGACCCGATGGGCACGGGCGATGAATATTGCGAGTGGGAGCCATCCGACGCAGATCCATCGCCAACCCCTGATTTCACAGCAAACACAAAGCTCGAGTCGGTGGAGATGTACAATTGCCGTATGCGTATCATGCCAATCATTCCTGCTACGTGCACTCGAGTCGCGCTGGCGGATACCGAGACAGTACCGCAGCAGAGGCGGATCCGCAGAAGAACGGACGGCACGACCGAGGAGTTTTACTATCCGCCGCTGCCGAAACACGACTGCGAGAGACGGATGGCTGTGTTTGAGACCGAGTACAAGAACGTGGAGACGCTGGAGTTTTGTAATATAGATTGGCTGACCTCGAAGCATCTGGTGTCGATACTCACTCGCACGGATGGTAGCCGACTAAATCGTCTACGGTTATCAGCGTGCAGAAATATGACGCTGGGGATAGACACTGTGATTGATCCGCCGGAGATTGGAGCATCTTCCGGCAGCAGTATCTCACTCTCTGACGTGAACTGGATCGTGAAGCTGTGCCCCAATCTGCAGTACCTTGATCTGGGCAACACCTACCTGGGCGGTGTCGCCACTGACCGCGCGCTGATGGATTTCTCGCAGCTGACGCAGCTGAGAGTTCTATGGCTTACGCTGTCGATGCAGATTACGTGGTTTGGCATCGCGGCGATAGTCGGCGAGTGGTCGCGGTACCTTGCGCAGCCGGACGCGAGGAACCTGAGCGAGCTGCTGAAGGACGTCGACAGCCTGCCGAACTGCTCGCTGCAGGTGCTCGACGTGTCCGGCTGCCCGAGCATCACGCTCGCGGACGTGCGCTGCCTGCGCCGCTGCGGGCTGACGGTCTACTACGAGAAGAGCCTGCCGGCTGCGTTCGTGCTGGCGTAGCTGCAGCTCGGTGCAGGGCTGAGCAGGGCCGGGCCGGGCGCTGGCTGTGGGATGATCTGCCAGGTGACGTCACATGTTCCAAGGTGGCGTCGCGTGGCGCATGACTCGTCGCACAGAATAAAAAAAAATAAAAAAAAGTGGCGCTCGGCTCTGCGGCCTCAATAAAAGTTGGCCTCCTCCCCGGTTTCTCCGTAGCTGCTTTTCACCTTAGAACCACCAACGCGCAGAATATATCAGCGAATATCAGAGAATATCAGCGAATACAGACAGTTTACTAGAATGCTGGACCTGAATCAGAAGTACGTCGGCTTGATCTTCTTTCTAATCCTTCTTTATATACTAACAGATCGATCCAGAGTCTACCACATCCGATCCCGGAGCCTCTCCCCCTCCGCAACCAGAGGCAACAAGTATCTCCCCGAAGAGTCCAAATCACGGTCTCTGCGGAGCGGCAAGAAGAACAAATACCTCCTGCCAGTCGATCTGGTCGACGACGCGCTGGTCGAGTCCGAGATCAGGTACGAGTTCGAGCTGCACGACGCCTCGAACTTCAACTACCGCGTCTCTGGCAGCGCTGCTCCGCCTCTAGAGATGGTGAATCCTAGACTACCTGTCGTGCGGTCGTCTTTCGACAGCATCAGGTCGGTCGACTGAGTTAAGAGCTGTTTGCTCGCAATACGAATTTTATGATGGGTGATCACGATTGGATCGGTATTATGGTTTTTTATGTATGATTGTGATTGTTTATATCTCTTTATCTCATCTCCACCACCCTCTCTCTTATTTCTTTGCATCCTCTCTTCTTTTATATTGGGCTGGTTTTCGTTTACAGGTTTATGGGCTGTTAATCGGTGAAGACAGGAAGGATTTCCTGCTTCTTGTTTTATATATATTCTCAGGACCGCTATGTTAGAATCATCTAGTCTACTTCGATCTACACTAATTTCAAATATCTTTACAACTAAATTATCATTAATTAACCAAACACAACAGAAATGAACAGTCGTTTATGAATATGAGCAAAGAAGCACCGAGCATCAGAGAACTAATTATTTCGTTCCAATCAACTCGTGCACAAACGCAGTAGTGTCGTCTGCTCGCATCAGAGCCTCGCCTACCAGGAAACCGCCTACGCCCTCTGACAGATACTTCTCCACATCTGCCCGGGACGTGATCCCGCTCAGAGCGCAAAGGACTGTGCCTTCAGGTACCATCAGCGCGAGATTAGAAGTGGTGTTGAGATCAACATTGAACGAATGCAGGTCCCGGTTGTTGACACCGATGACCTTCGCACCTAGCTGGATCGCACGGGTCATCTCAGCCGCGGAGTTGACCTCGACCAAAGGCTCCATCCCAAGAGACTTGGAGTAGTTGTACAGCCTCTTCAGTAGCTCCTCGTCCATCATCTTCACAATCAGCAAAACCGAATCGGCACCGTTCACCCGAGCTTCCAGGATCTGATACTCGTCAAAGACAAACTCCTTCCGCAGCACCGCAGGTCTATTCGGCACATTCTCGATAGCGAGGCGGGCGTACCGCATGTCGTCGATGCTGCCTTTGAACCAATGTGGCTCTGTCAACACCGAGATCGCAGAGGCGCCAGCAAGAGCGTACAGGCGTGCCTGGGCAGCCGCGTTCGCGTTCACGTCGATATCTCCCTTTGACGGAGACGCACGCTTAATCTCGGCCAGCAAAGCAGTGTTTGTCTGGCGCAACCGTGCGGCAAAGTCGATCTGTGCAGGAGCAACCCCCAGGTCGTATATCTTCTGTAAGTTCTCTCGCGTGAAGGCCGGGGTGCTTCTCTGAGCAGCTACATCGATGCGTCGCTGGGCGTAGATCTTGTCCAAAATACTCTCCTTCCCAGTAGCGCCGTTCGTAGGAGCGGCAGGGGTCTCGGCAGCACGGCCCTTCTTGCTCAACGCGTCCTCGGCCCAGGTTCCGCCGTTCATGTTTAGGAAATTCCGAATCATGAGGTTACCCGACTCAGTCAAGATACTCTCGGGGTGGAACTGGACTCCCTCGACCGTGTACTCCTTGTGACGCACACCCATGATGATTCCGTTCGAAGTCTTTGCGGTCACGATCAAGCTGTCGGGAACTGTCGTGCTGGTGCCGGCAAGCGAATGATATCGCGTCACCGCAACCTGCTGGGGAACGTCGGTGAAGATGCCCTTGCCGTCATGCTCGATCGGTGATGTCTTTCCATGGACAATCTCTCCTGCTGAAGTAACGGTTCCTCCAAACGCCGAGAAAATGCACTGCCTGTTTGCAAAATCTGGGGTTAGCCTTGATGTGGGTCTCCAAACTCGGTACCGGCACCGACACTTACTCGCCCATGCAGACTCCCAGGATAGGAATCTTGCCCGCAAAGTACTTCACTGCCTCTGGACAGACTCCCGCGTCGTTAAGAGGATGTCCCGGTCCGGGAGAAATCACGAGTCTGCTGGGTTCCATCGCGGCGAGTTCCTCGACGGTCTTGACGTCGTTACGGATAACGACCACGTCCGCGCCTTCCTGCGCCAACAGCTGATATACGTTCCTGAAAACCTCAACATTAGTAACAATTGCACAATAAAGCAATATCAAATCTCATTAAAGAGAGATATGGGAGATTTACCAGGTGAATGAGTCATAGTTATCAATCATGACCACCTTGCCTTTGCTCTCTGTTGCGGCCGCCATTGCTTCGATGTAATTCAACTACCAAACAAACCAAAAGATCAGACGAGCAGCACTTGCAATTTATCTCTTCTTCAACCGAGCAGCTCGCAGACAAACACAAACACAGAAGAACCTCCCTTTTTCAGCTCTGCTCTGCGATATTCCCGGAGTCGGTCGGCGCCTTTTTTGAAAAGTTCAGAAAACTCAAAAGCCTCTACTGAGCCCTAACCCACTGCCTCAATTGCGGAACGGGTCCGGGTAACAGTTACCCGGGTTTAAGATTCAGGGGTCAAAAGAAAAAATAAATTTGATAAAACATCGAGGAGATCACTGTCTCTGCAACTCTTCAGTGGTGTTTGAAATGGCAGCAAAGAAGAAATCGGGAAAAAGAGCTCAGGCAGACCGAGGAGAGAATGAGAACGGCGGTTTAGCTGAGTCTGCCGCGGTCCTGATCTCCAAAAAGAAGAAAGCGGCCGAGGTCAGGAACAAGATCTCGAGTTTGATGATGAGCAAAGATGATCTGAGTGTGGAAGAATGCGAAAAGTTCTTGAAGCAAAATCTTCGGCTTCTTGTTATTGATCCTGCTGATGATTTGGTGGCGAGGGTTGAGTTGTTTAATACTGTGAGTTTTCATATGAGTACGATTGTTTTTGGAGGACTGCGTTCTAACGGAGTTGTAATTCTAGGCTACGTGCAAAGCTATGAGTGAAATGAGCTTGGAAAGTATCGCGAAGCTGCTGAGCTCTTCATCTGATAAGAGCGATGTGAGTTGGACTGTTGAATGTTATTGTCTGTCTGGCTAATGGACGCTAATACTCTATGATCTAGACCGAATCAGAGGACGACCACAAGAGCCTACAGATCTTGATTGCCTGCCGCGCAATTTTCACAAACACCCCTCTGCTGACAGACGAGCGATCGACCGCGAATGGAGTCAAAGAGCTGATTGATGTTGTTCTAGAAGTTGTCTTTCTAAACAACGCTCTCCTCAGTGTCACGGCAGGCGAGATCCTGAGTGAAGCCATCGCTTCTCTTCCTAGCCGTCTACTGCCTTCTTCGTCACAGACTCATATCGTCCAACGATTGGAAGACCACGACGGCTTTGACCTCTTTTCTGCATTTGGATCAGGTGTTTTATTAGCAATCATGCTCCGCGAAGACTACAATCCCAAAACACTCCTGCAAGTCAAGTTCAAGAACGACGAGTCCTTGAAGAAAGACTGGATTAAGGAGGGTCCACTCATCGGCAAAGGCGTCTTTCGCAAGGTCCACAAGAAACTTGACAAGTGTAGTCATCTGAGACCCTCGCTCTTGCAAATCGACGGGCGCTCGCCGGGGGAGTGGAACAAAGAGGGCGACGCGGTATGGCACGAGCAACCTTCTTTCGTATATACCTTCACTGCTCGTTTTCTGTCCGCTCGATCTGTCAAGGACCACGCGTTGGTTCCTAAAGATTACTGGTCCTCCATACTTGAGCCATTAACTCTCTCCCAAAAGCTGAACACGATAGTGCACTATATTCTTCCGAACCTCTCAAGCGATCTGTGGAAGCCGCTTCTGTTGATTCTGGGAAAAGCAGACGGCAAGCCACTCAAAAACGCCGGCTCAGGATTTTCGAAATGTCTCGTGAGCGCTTGCAGAGATGATTCAAAGAAAACCGCAAAGATCTTGAAGGACTGTCTCGATGCCGAACTTAATGAGGAGCTGTTTTATTCGCAGAAGGAGAGTCCTTTTGTCGATTTCGTATCGACCATCGCCGATGAAGAGATACTAACAAAAGTAGCGAGCGTGCTGAGCGACGCCGCCAAGTCGAAAAAAGAGAACCGTGCGATTATTTTCAGATTCGCACACGAACTAATCTACGCGACAAGAAACCAGATCTACGCAGACGACAGCTGGCGCAGATCTCTAATCAACACTCTTCTCGCGCTCAGTTCGGCCAAATTCCTACTGTCGACCGAGCCAGATGCGAATCTCGCGCGCAGGCTCGAGAGCAGTTTACGCCAGATGGCGGATATCAAGGCAAAGTCGGCTGTCTGCTTCAGAGACGAGAAGGGTGACTTGGTGCCGTACTCTGCGGTCGTGCTGGGAGGTCTTACTGCGGTGGTCAAGCGCGGCAGTGTGGCTGATCCAAAGATCAGTAGTAAATTGATCATTAAATGCAATGAGCTGCTGGAAAAGGTCAAGCCGCTGGTAAGTCGTCATATTGATTTAAACTAATCACAAGAGCAGAACTAACTAGCATTTGAACACAGAGAGAGACTCTAGGCGAACAATGCGCATTCATTGATCTGCTACTTCCGACATGCGTGCTTCTACACTGTCACCACAGTCTTGAGTCTGACGAACTCGCCGATGCGCTAAAGTTCGCGCGGATGGCGCTCAAGACCGCCGAGCGCACTTTGAAGGAGTCAGATAGCAGCAGCGGCCATCGCCGTAAGAGAGCGCGGACCAAGGAGGAGGATAAGGAGGAAGTGGCCGAGCCAAAGTTTAATAGACTGGGCTATATGTTCACCGAGATGATTATCCAGTTTTCGACCAAGGCTTCCAAGTCGCTGCGGACGGTGTGTGAGAATATGATGGAGGTGTTTTGTACGGTTATTGGGGAGCCGGAGTTGAATATGCTTACGGAAGTGCTGGGGACGAAGGAGAGCTTGGAGGGGTTGAATGAGTTGTTTAATGTGGTTGATGAGGATGGTGAGGTTGATGGAGAGTTTGGGCCGGGGGATGTGGATATGGAGGATGCAGGGGATGACGATAGTGAGGAGGAGGATGACGACGAGAGTAGCAGCGGTATAGAGGAGGATGATGATGATGAGGAGGAGGAGGAGGATGAAGACGAGGAGGAAGATGAGGAGGAAGATGAGGACGAGGATGCACCAGAAGACCTTGTCAAGTTTGAACGGAAGCTTGGACAAGTACTCGGAGTAAAACGCCCGCTCTCAGACGACGAAGAAGACGAAGAAGAGGAAATGGACGACGAGCAAATGCTCGCGCTCGACGATAAGCTCTCGGCCATGTTCAAGAACCGCGTGAGCTCGAATCCCAAGAAACCAAAGCAGACGCGGAAGCAGCAAGAAAAGAGCGGGAAGCTGCGGGTGATTGAGATCAAGAATCGGGTGCTTGGACTGCTGAGAGTGTACGTCAACAAGATCCGGAGCTCGCCGAACGCGAGGAAAGCTGGGAAGTGCCTGCTCTCGCTGCTGTGGCCTATCCTGCAGCTGGTCAGGTCGAGCGATGCGCAGATCGTGCCGGTGGCGGTCAAGTTCTTGAGTATGTTTTCCGATCCGTGGCTGGCGAAATTTGAGTGCGATCCGCAGGAATGCTTCGGGCTTCTGAGATTGATCATGGAAGCCTCGGAGCACACGAACGGTGCGCAGTTTACTGATTGCTGTCGACTGTTGGAGGGCACGTTACGAAGGACAATCATCGCGCAAGCTCTTGCCTCAGCCGACGACGACGAGAACCTCAAACAAGAGAACGAGGAAGAGGACAGCGACAGCGACAGTGAAGACGAGAGCAAGACGCCAAAGTCCGCAGCAGCAAGATGGCTCGACGAGATCTTTTCGGCATACCTGGAGCAGATGCGGCGGTGGGTCGCGAATCCGAATATGCCGATGGACGGCACAGCTTTCAGCGCTGTGATCAGATGGGCGGAAACGGAGCGGAAGGCGCTGAAGACCCGGGCGGCGCAAAAGTAGAGAGATAGAGAATAAAGATGTAGATTTGTTACTGGTTTGGGACAGAGAGAAAATAAAGTTAGAGGCGCGTGCGAAAGCGGAAAGACGCGTTTTGACGCGACGCCGCGACGCGTCTTTTTAAGGTTTTCATTAAACCCCCTTTGTGGGAAGCAAAGTGATCCCTTTCTTCGCTCCTCCCAATCTCTTCTTCCTCCTCCTCCTCCTCCTCTTCTTCTTCCTCTTCCTCATCGCAATTCCTTATTCTCTTCATTCACAATCAGAATAGCTCACCATGTCCTCTCCTCCGGGATCTTCACCGCCCCCTCCTGAGGAGCACACTCCCCGTCCAGCAAACGCTGCCGCCACATCCAGAATCGCCTCCTCGCCGCTCTTCTACTCCTCCTCCTCGCCCGCGCCCTCAAACTCCCTTCCCAGCGACGCCGAGGACATGCAGGTCGACGACGGAGCTTCCTCTATTGCGGATAGCACGCCGCGCGCGAGCGCAGACAGCAGAAACACGGCGCGCAGAAGCAGGCTCGACGAGGTGTCGTCGCCGTTGAGGTACTCCTCGTCGTCGCCTGCCCCGCGCGCGAGGAGAAGCAGCAGTGCGGGCAGAAGCGCCGCTCGGTCTAGCAATCTGCGTTCTGAACTGTGAGTTTGTACTCTTTTTTTTGTTCTACAGCTGTTAGGACTGGAAACTGCAGGACTAGTGCTAACTTTGTAGATCTGACCACCTCTCGACCCCTCGGTCCGCCCGTCGCAACCGCGGAGACATCCACTCCTCCGGCATGTTTTCCACCCCGCTGCACCGCACGCGACCAAACGGTGCCGCGGCAGGAGGCCACCCCTCTTCCGACCCGAGCAACCCGCCGTCATCGTCGTCCTCTAACGCAGCCACCTTCTCAGCCGGCAACGACGGCTCCGACGCCGCGGTTCCGTACCGCGTCGTGTGGGGCACAAACGTCGCGCTGGCAGAGTCGACCGCGCAGTTCACGGGCTTTATCCAGGCGTTTCGGCGCAAGTACAGGCTCGTGCAGGACGGCGTCGTCGTGCAGCCGGGCGAGGGAGAGGAGATTGTGTATCTTGATATGCTGCGGGATATGTACGAAGTCGGCGTCACGACGCTGAATCTCGACGTGCAGGATCTGCGCGCGTATCCGCCGACGCGCACGCTGTACTACAACCTGCTGCGATACCCGCAGGAGCTGATCCCTGTGATGGACCAGGCGATCCGCGACTGCATGATTGAGCTTCTGACGGGGATGAACCTGACGCAGGCGCAGATCGCGGACCACGAGGCAAATATGATTTACAAAGTGCGGCCGTACAACCTGCGCGCGGAGGAAGGCGGCAGCCGGGGTCTGCGCGATTTGAACCCGGGCGACATCGACAAGCTTGTGTCGGTGAAGGGCCTCGTGCTGCGGAGCACGCCGATCATTCCCGACATGAAAGTCGCGTTTTTCCGATGCACGGTGTGTCTGCACCACCACAGCGTCGAGGTCGACCGCGGGATGGTGGCCGAGCCGACGGCGTGTCCGCGCGAGCGGTGCAAGTCGAAGGAGTCGATGCAGCTGATCCACAACCGCTGCGAGTACGCGGATAAGCAGGTTATCAAGCTGCAGGAGACGCCGGACGTGGTTCCGGACGGACAGACGCCGCACTCGGTTGCGCTGTGCGTGTACGATGAGCTCGTGGACGCGTGCAAGGCCGGAGACAGGGTTGAGATTACGGGTATTTTCAGGTCGGTGCCGGTGCGGGTGAACCCGCGCATGCGGACGATCAAGAGTCTGTTCAAGACGTACGTGGACGTGCTGCATATCCAAAAGGTCGACAAGCGCCGGCTCGGACTGGACGTGTCGACGCTGTCGCTCGAGACGGAGTTTGCCGAACACCAAGCTACCGCGTCGTCAACCTCGGCGTCGCAGCCGTCGTCGCAGGCAGAGGTCGAAGAGATCCGCAAGATCACGCAGGCGGACGTGGAAGAGATGACTGCGATGTCGAAGCGCGAGGATATCTACGAGCTGCTGGCGCGGTCGATTGCGCCTTCGATCTACGAGATGGAAGATGTCAAGAAGGGAGTTTTGCTCCAGCTGTTTGGCGGGACCAACAAGACGTTTGAAAAGAGCGGGTCCCCGCGGTTCAGGGGGGATATCAACGTCCTTCTATGCGGTGACCCTTCGACGTCGAAATCGCAGCTGCTGCAGTACGTGCACAAGATCGCGCCTCGAGGAGTGTACACGTCCGGAAAAGGTTCGTCTGCGGTCGGTCTGACGGCGTACGTGACGCGGGACCAGGACACGAAGCAACTTGTGCTCGAGTCTGGCGCGCTCGTGCTGTCGGACGGCGGAATCTGCTGCATCGACGAGTTCGACAAGATGTCTGACGCGACGCGGTCGGTGCTGCACGAGGTGATGGAGCAACAGACGGTGTCGATCGCAAAGGCGGGAATCATCACGACGCTGAACGCGCGCACGTCTGTGCTCGCCTCAGCAAACCCGATCGGGTCGAAATATAACCCGAACCTGCCCGTGCCGCAGAACATTGATCTGCCACCGACGCTGCTGTCGCGGTTCGATCTCGTGTACTTGATTCTCGATAAAGTAGACGAGCAGAGCGACCGCCGGCTCGCGCGCCATCTCGCGGGCCTATATCTCGAGGACGCGCCCGAGACCGGCTCGGCGGAGGAGATCCTGCCGATCGAGTTTCTGACAATGTACATCTCATACGCGCGGCAGCACATCCACCCCGTGATTTCCGAGGACGCGCGCGACGCGCTCGTCAAGGCGTACGTCGACCTGCGGAAGCTGGGCGAGGACGTGCGGGCGGCCGAGCGCCGGATCACGGCGACGACGCGGCAGCTCGAGAGTATGATTCGGTTGGCGGAGGCGCATGCGCGGATGCGGTTCTCGACCGAGGTCACGGTCGACGACGTCGAGGAGGCGGTCAGACTTATCCGCGCCGCGATCAAGGATTACGCTACGGATCCGGTGACGGGCCGGATTGACATGGACTTGATCCAGACCGGCACGTCGGCAGCGCAGCGCAGACTCAGAGGCGATCTCATGCGAGAGGTGTTGAAGGCTGTTGACGGGCTGTCGCGGGGCAACGTCGGCGGGGTGCGGTACTCTGATTTGCTGAGACATATGAACGAGCAGGCGTCGGAGCATATCGAGAACCTTGAGTTTGGCGACGCGGTCAGGAGTTTGGAGGTTGAGGGGCAGATTGCGGTTTCAGGCGAGGGACCGAGACGGATGGTGAGACGGATGGGGACTGTTTAGGCGTATGTGTGAGTTTGTGTGTTTAATGTATTGTATGTTTTAGTAGTGAGTATTTGCAATGAATATTTTTATAAGTGCATAATAAATGTAGTAGAAATACAAAGATATGAAACGCCATAAAACAATCCTAAGAAGACCGACTAGACCTATTCTTCTTCCCAAAAATCCAAGACTTTGCCGAGCTCGAACTCACAGCGGACCCTTTTCTCGATTTACCAGCCGAGGAAGAAGTAGTAGATACACTCGAAGTACTAAGCTTCTTGCCTGAAGAAGAGACCGACAGTCTGTTGGTCGCAGACAGCGAAGGGCTAGCTGGCGGGGACTCAACCGGCGCGTCAGATGAAGACGGGGTATTTCCGTCTTTTCCAGGAGTGACGAGCCGGACGCCCATGTTTGTGAGGACGTAGTATGGAGAGTCAGGTTTGCTGCCGTAAGGAGCCGCGTGGGGCTTTGCGGAGTGGGAATGCTGCTGGGAGTCTGAGGGCGAGCGCGAGGAGTAGGGGATTTCGGATGGCGCGGGAGTAAGGCGGGAGGTGGAGGAGGAGGGTTGGTCGGTGGGTTCTGATTTGGAGGAGATGGGCGAGAGCTGGTCCGAGCGTGTCCGGTTGGTGTGTGAGGAGGAGGAGGATGAGAATGAGGGCGGTGAGGTCGCGGAGAGTGAGGAGGAGAAGAAACGTCGCTGTTTTAGTTTCTGTGGGAACTTCTTTAAGGAGGAGGATGTGGATGAGGATTGAAGGAAGGAGGGGTTGTGGGTCGACGGGGATATCGAGGAGAAGGAGGAAGTGGTGGTGGCTTCAGAAGAGACGGAGAGGTCGTTTATGCGGCGTCCGGAGGAGTAGATGAAGGGCGCGGAAGTGGAGGCCATAGAGTTGGCGGACGGGTATCGGGGAAAGGCGGAGGAGCTGGGCTCGGTGATGATGAACGAAGAGGCAATGGTCGAGTCGGCGACGATTTCGTCGACGTCGCAGCTGGCGATGCTGCTGGAGGAACTGGTGTTGCCGGAGCTGCGACGGCGGGAGGGCGAGAGGACGGAGCCCGGGGAGGCGCTGGCGGAGGAGATGCTGGAGGAGAAGTAGTCGACGGGGATTTGCGGGACGGAGGCGCGGCGGTGGTCGCTGAAGTTGACGGTGCGGAAGTGGATTTCGTTGACGGTGGGGGGGACACGTTTATTTGGGGCAGTGAGGGAGGAGGAGCGCTGGGCGAGGTGGTCTGAGGGCGCGATGATGAAGGGGAGGCGGGGGTCGTGGAGGGAGCGGGAGATGGAGTCAAGTTCGGCGAGGGCGGTGGCGGGGTCGAGGATGGGGGAGGGGGGTGAGTTGATAGTGGAGGAGGATCGGGGAGGAGGAGGAGGAGGAGGAGGAGGAGGAAGAGGAGGAGGGGGGAGTGGAGGGAGATCGAGGGAGGGTTGTGGTGATGTGTATGCCGCGATGATCCTGGACTTGTCAAAAGAAGACAGAGATGGTAGCTGAGAAGAGGAAGTCGGTGGTGGAGAAGACGGAGATGGAGGAGGATGTGGGGAAGGAAGGAGGACGTCGGGGTAGTTTGCGGGCGGCAGAGCAGCAGCAGCAAAGAGGCGAACAAAAGTGCGCAGAAAGAGCTCTGCGTCCGATATCGGCAGCGCGGGAATATCGTAAATCGACGGCAGAACCGACATTGAGAACAAACAACAGCAACAACAACAACAGAATGGAATACAAAAGTAAACAAAAAACAGAGAAAAGTCGAGGACGCAAACGAGGCAGACGCAGAGCCGCAGCCTAAACCCTAATCCGTATTTAAAGTTTATTTGCACGTGCCAGGAAGCGAGGCGATAGAGTTGGCGGGCGATAAGCTGCTTAGTTGTATTATTGTAGTGTGTTTATAAGAGTATTATAAGAGTATTATTGTATATATCTGATACTTCTATTGTATTTACTCCTCCTACCCACAAACCATCACCACATCTCAAAAGAAGCGAGGTCGCTAAAGGTGTCGAGTTAATCTCGCTAACTTTGTCGCCTTCTGAGCCGCAGCCCTTTGTTTACATCGCCATCGCCATCCTTCCTAATATCCGAGTTCTCTTCATTTGCTCGAGTTGGCTTCAGATGCCCTCAACTGCTGCTGCTTCTTTGTATCTTCACGATGCCCTTTATCAGACGTCGCAGGTCACATACTGACCACCCTCCCTCTCCTCCTCCTCCTCCTCCTCCTCCTCCCCCCCGCCCGCGCATCTCCTACTTCCCTCCCCACGTCCTCCGCGCCCGCATCCCCACCCCTCCGCGCCCACCTCCCTCAACCTCAAGCGCTCACTCACACTCACTCATCCCCGCCGACCAATCAACCACCTCCCTCAGCCACGACTTCTCCCTCGCCCGCGCCCGCTTCTTCGGCGCCCGCAAACCGCAGCTCCGTCAGTCCTCCCACTCTTCACCACCCCGCCCTCGCCGCCATCGCCGTCGCAGTCTCCTCGCAGCTCTACCCTTCTCCGCCTCTTCGCTTCATCTGAAATCCTCCCTCGACAAAGTCCTCTCTCAGACCCAGTCCCCGGCTGATCCTCCCTCCTGTCCCGTCCTCCCTACATCCAGCCTGAACTACAACCTCGACCAAGACCTCGACGAAGACCAAGTCGAGGACGACTTTGACACTGAAGAAGCCATCGCCCGCATCACCCAAGTCATCCGCGACTCGGCTGCTGAAATCAGCGTGCGCGAAGCGGCAGCAAACACTCCCTCTCCTGCCGAACACCCCTCCGGTCTTTGGCGGCGTCTGTCGCAGCTCGCTAGTCCTGTCTCTCCTTCTGCTGCTGTTGATACTACTAATACCCCCGCTACTTCTGCCACTGCCGCTGCTGCTACTTCTGACCCCTCTGACACCCACTCTGACTCTGCAAAGCCACTACACATCCACCTCCCGTCTGCCTCGTCAGTCATCGCGGCGGCCAACCAGACCTCGGCCCTGGTCACGATCCCGCTCGCAGAGTCCGCCACAGACTGCTCGCACTCGTCCTCGATCTCGAGAGCAAACAGCAAGAACCTGTATCTCAGTCCTGTCAACGCAAACACGCTCTGCGATGAGGATTTTAGCTGTATCGTGCCTACCGAGCTGAAGTTGAAGAAAGGCGGGAAGAGAAAGAGCACTACAAAGAAGTTTTTCAAGAATGCTGCGCAGTCCTTGAGACTACGGAAGCGCAGGGACAATACCCAGATCTCTCAACCCACTGATAGCAAGAACACCCCTCCCTCTCCTCAGCCTGAGCCCGCGAGCACAATCACCTCCCCCCTCCCCTCCCCTCTCTGCAAACCAATCGAGACACCGCGCACCAGCAAATTCTATCTCTCGCACTTCCTCAGAGCACGGCTCGCAGCCCTCTTCACCGCACAATCCCGGAAGGAGAAGAAGTGGACTGAAGAGCAGTTCCAAGCGCGACTACGTGCGTTTGGCGAGGATACAAAGGTTATCAAGGCCGAGGGAAAGAAGTCAATTGCTGATGATGAGGACAGCAAGCAGAGCGCAAAGAGGATGATTATCGACGTCGCGAAAATGCGTGCTCAGGACTGGGACATGATCTCGCCCGGCACGCAAACCACATGCGTCAACACTCCTTCCACTCCCACAGCCAAACCTGATCCACACATGCAGCAGCAGCAGCAGCAGCAACTACCCTCCCCCGGCACAGTCCGCTTCAACAACATGATCCAAGTCCGCTCGAGCAGCGGCCACTCTGTCTCGGGCGACAAGTATCTCGAGCTCGGCACGGCGGTCGTCGAGAGGCCTGTTTTGAACCCGTTCTCGCCCGCTGCGTCGTCTGTTAGTCCGTTGTGGATGGAGGGGTGAGTTTGAGTGGGGTTGTAGTAGTATTATTGTATATATTAGCACCTGTATTAATAGACATCATAAATAAGACTATTGTTTAAGCAGTGAAGGAGGAGAGGAGTAGGAATGGTTCCAGGACCTGAAACCGGAACCCCATCAACGCGCACAGTTCGCGCACACTTTTTCAAACCGGTTCCGAGTTCAAACCACCTCTCCTCCGAGGAAATAATTCTCTACACATCCTCACCCAAATCAACACCTCGTCTTTCATCTCCCTCCTCCGCAGGAATCTCATTCTTCTTCTTCTTTCTCTACTTAAGACGATAGTAATCGACATCAAAAGCACATGGCACCCACGCAAACCTCCCGGAAAAGGTACAGCGGCCCTGACGACGACTCCCCTGCCACCAAACGCCAGGCACGAGGCACCACCACCACCACCACCACCAGCACCACCTCCACCAGCAACGGCCACGACGACGACTCTTCCCCGGTGCAGCTGCGGTGTCTGATTGCAACTCGCGAGGCGGCGGCGCTGACGACGGGGAAATTGGCGGACGAGGCGGCGGAGATCAGTCGCGGTTGCGGTGTGCAGCTTGCGTATAGTGATGATGTTGCTGGGGCGGCGGAGAGGGTGTTGACTGTTTCTGGGAGGGCGAATGCGGTTGCGAAGGTGCGCTTCTTCTTCTCTTCTTCTTCTTCTTCTTCTTCTTCTATATCATTGATCAATACTGACGACATCTAGGCCTGCTCGGCACTCGCGCTCCAGCTCTCCTCCAAACAATCCCCCGACACCACCACCCTCTCCCTCCGAACAATCATCCCCCACAAACTCCTCCCCTCCATCCTCGACCCCTCCACTCTTACCCCCTCCGGCGCCTCCCTCTCCGCCTCCTCCACCTTCCTCCCTCTCTCAACCGAACGCACCCTCCTCATCTCCGGCTCCGCCCCCGCCCTCGCCGCCGCCCTAACCGACATCTGCTCCTCTCTAGCCGACCAGTCCGACCGCATATCAACCTCCTTCCTAGCCCAGTTCTACTCCCCCTTGCCAATGTACGGCGTCTACGCCCGCCCGGCGCACTGGCGCATGTCGGTCCAGAAAGGCGTCGCGACGCCGTTCAATCCCTACGCTCTCGCGCCAACCGGTTTCTCTGCCGCAGACTACGCCGTCGCGACTGGCGCCTCCCTAACCGCGCAGGCAGCCGCCGTAGCAGCCACCACCGCTGCTGCTTCAGGCTCCGGAGCACAAGACACCGCCGCGGTCGACAGCGCAGCGCGTGCGCAACCCGTCCCGAGCGTGCAACCCGCGCAATCAGTACAAAGCGCGCAGCAACAAGCCCAGCACGCACTTCCAGGCCAACCACTGACGCAGCAAATCTTCATCCCGAACGACATGGTCGGCGCCATCATCGGCAAGGGCGGATCGAAGATCAACGAGATCAGACAGTTGTCCGGGTCGTCGATTAAGATTAACGAGCCGCAGGAGAATAGTAATGAGAGATTGGTGACGATTACGGGGACTACGGAGTGTAACCGTGAGTTTTCTTGTGTTGTTGTATTTAAGTATCTGTGCTAACTATGGGTGTATTGTAGAAATGGCGCTGTATTTACTCTACTCCCGACTCGAGAACGAAAAGCACCGCTGATAACCTTCGAACTTGCAGGTTCTTGCAAGTTCTCGACGCGAACAGACTCCGCTGTATCTGATTTAAATTTCACGATGAGTGGATGTACATTAGCAAGCTGTTATGGAAATTTAATCTCGTGGTGCTGTATCTATATTACAAGTGCTGCGTCGCTACTATATTCACTCCCACTTTCTATCTAATGATCTCTATCTAATAATCTATAAACGGGTATTAATAGTATTATAACAATCGCTGTATACACACAACAACAAGCAAGTTTTATATAAAAATCCAAACCAACGACGCAAACAAACACAAACACAAAGCAAGTAGCAAGCAGGAATAATGTAGAGAAAATGTTGATGATTATGCCAGAGACACGCGCCGGAACCAGGGAAAAGGCAGGAAAGATAAGATAAAATACAAATGACGCAAGTAAGCAAAGGAAGAAGCAAAGGAAGAAGTGCAGAGGCAGCCGGGAACTTTTAAGGCAGAGATGGGTCTATATATAGAGAATGAACGGTATAGCAAGCCAGAATGAGATGAGCAATGAGCATGAGCGATGAGAAGAACGAGAAACAGTGCAAACAAGTACTGAAGAATTAAGCATCATCCTTTGCGATAACTACTTTCTTCCCATCCTTCTTGTCCTTGTTTGCTTCACTAGCCGCCTCCTTTGCCTTCTTCTCCGCCTCCTTGCGCGCCTGCTCGATCTCGCGCGCGACCTGCTTCGCAGCTCTCACCTCGGCCGCCTTAACCGAGTCCAAAAAGTACACAGGGCTATTATAGATCTCCAACGGATCGGTCTCCTTCCCGGCCTCTTGTAACGGCGACTCGCCGCTCGAGCTCGACAGTTCTTTCTGCTTCGCGGCCTCCATCTCAGCCTTTGCGATCGCGGCCGCTTCCGCCATCCGGTCGCTCTCGTCCTTGTTGTTGTTCTCCTTTGCTTTCTCTTGCTGCTCTTTCTCCTTATGCAGCCGCGCCTGGATCATCTCGCTCATGTACCGCATGTCGTCGACACTAGGCTCGTACATATGCCAGACCACGTAATGCGGCAGCCCGATAACTGACAATCCCATGCGCTTGCACATCTTTCCAAACCCTTCAGTCTCGGCATGCTTCTCAAACGAAAACGCAGGGAAATGCGCGCCGGATCGGAAAACGCGCGCTTTGGCGAGAATCGAGACACCGCCGACGCCGTCGATCTCCATCTCGAGATCGGGATCGCCGTAGGGGTCGCGGAGGTAGGCCAGATGCGGGCGCCAGGTTTCGAATTCGGGGTAGCCTTCGACGATGACGGCGTCCTCGCCAAGAGTCTGCGCGAGCTGGAGTGCGGTTTCACTTTCTTGCCACGAGTTGAGATCGTAGGGCTGCTCGCCTCCGAGCCAGTCTGGGAGTGGACGCCAGATGTCTAGTAGTGTTAGTATATTTATTCATCTGTAGTAGAGAAAAGTGAGAAGACATACTAGGAACGATGACGTCTTTGTTGTGGCGCATTAGATCTTCGATGATGGTCGGAGGGGCGATTTCGACATCGACATCACGCCAGTAAACCCAGCTATGCTCGGGACGGAGGGCAGCGGAAAGAAGCCAGTTACGGGCGCGAGCCATGAGTTTGCGACGGGGGCCCTGGGCGTCGAAGCCGTGGCGATCCGAAAAGCCCTGGCCGACGACCTGGCCAAAGTCCTTTTCAAAGATCTCGATGCGGCCAAAGTGCATGTAGGGGTCTTTGTCGTTCTGCATGCGTTCGAGGAGGGTGTTGAGGAGAAGGAGGGTCTCGTCTTTGGAGTCGGAGACGAGGAAGGCCATGTCGATGAGGGAGTGGGGGTAGGTGAGGTTCTTGAGATGGGAGAAGAAGAGAGGGAGATGGGGGGCGGCGTCGCGGAGAGGGATGCACATGAGGACGCGCTCGTTGCGCTCCCAGCCTCTGCCGGTGCCCTGTGAGTTTGCGAGGTCGTAGTGGTGGACGGTTGTGATGAGGGGATCGTCGCGGAAGAGGGAGGAGGTGAGGGAGGAGCCGGCGAAGGTGGAGATGGTCGGGAAGAAGAAGAGGAGGAGGGACGCGAGGGAGCAGGCGAGGATGAGGATGCGCCTGACGGGGAGGCGGCGGAGCATCTGGGATTTGGAGCGGGATTGGAATCTGATGAGTTAGAGAGAGCTGTAGAAGAGAGAAGGGAAGAAGAGGAGGAGGAAGTACCTGTGGGGGGATATGATGAATGGTTGGCTTGGATGCGGGAATGGGTTGCCGTTCATGATGAGGGAGGACATGGGTGGAGACCGGGGGGTCAAAGATGAAGGAGAAGAAGAAGAAGAAGAAGAAGAAGAAGAAGAACAGAAGAAGAACAGAAGAAGAATAATAGTAAAAGAAGAAGAAGAAGAGGAAGAGGAAGAGTCGAGGAGGAAAAGGCGCAAAACAACAACAAACCCGCGATCCAAAAATGGAAACCTCGACGATGCGCAAGCCACAGTCAAGCCACATCTTGTGGCTCAGCTGCCCCGCCACCAGCCAGCTTCGGTCGACTCGTCACATCACCGCCCGCTGCAGGCAGTCGAGGACTGTTCCGGCGGGAAGAGATGGATGAGAGGAGGAGAGGAGGAGGAGGATGTGACTGTTCGTGACGGGCGGGTGTGGATCCGGATGCGTGGAGTGGATATCGTAGTCAGATGCGATATGCTGTTTGTTCTGATATTGATATGATACTGTGCTGTGTTGACTGTTGTTATTGTATCTGTGTTTCTGTTGTGTTTACTGTGTGTTTACTATATCTATTGTGTTTGCTGTATTGTCTTTATTGTGTTTATTGTATTTATTGGTTCTTCCTGTCTTCTTACACTCCTCTCTGTTCTCCTCTTCTTCTCTTCCTCCTCTCATCGTGCTCACTGCTCACTGCTCAGCAGATCTCTGTCCTCTTTTTTATCTGATCTGTTTACTACATTACTGCATTACTGCTGATATACACTGTGCTTCTCATACTCACTCTCTATATCATCATCTACTCTCTATCTCATCCTCCTACTCTCTTGATCTCTCCGTGATATCATGGCAACTCCATACGCTCGTGCTCTCTACTCCCTCTACTTTTCCATGTCTACATAATCCTCTTTAATCCACATACTCTCTATCATCTCATCGTCTCTACTCTACTTCTACTCTACTGCAGTCCACTGTAGTCTACTCTATCTACGTACAACGTACAAGCTGTTCTTAATATAAGTAAGCCGCATATTAAGTAATCATACCCAGAATAACTTCCCCCTCTCCAAATCCCACCCTCCTCCAATCCTGGGTCTCATCTTCCGATCCTCCTCACATCCATCTTCTCCCATCCTCTCCTCCTCTCCTCCTCTTCCTCAACCGAATCCGGCTCACTCACCACCTGAATGCCTCCTTCACTCCGCAAATGCCTCTTCTGACCTCAAACTTCCTCTTATCGCACGTCCGCCGCAAGCGTGGCAGGCGGAAACCCGCAGACTCACCTCCCGCCAGATCTGCTCCTCCTCCGCATCCATCAACAAGCCCTCCTGCATCCAAACCTCCCCCAAACCCCATCTCCTCCACCACTGCTCCCAAGTCCACACCTCCATCCGCCTCTTCTCGAAAGCAGTCAATAGTCCGCTCCGCCAGCACCAGAATCAAGCGCTCCTTCGCCGCCTCTGCCGCTGCTGCCGCCGGCGGCCGCCGCAGACAGTCCTCCCCCAAAACCATCTCCCCCTCCTCCCCATTCCCCTCCGCCCTCGCGACCTTCGACGCCTCCGCCTCCGGCTCCGATCTCCTGCACAAACTCAACCCGATCCCGCGTCTCCGCCACGCCACAATCCGCATGACCGAGTCCCCCGAGGCCGCCCGTGTGCGTGAAAAGGAAGCGGTTATCAACGCCGGCGTCATCTACGGCACTCGAACTTATGACTGGGGTGTCGTGCCTCTTACGCCCTCGACTCCCGGTGCTGCTGCGTCTAAAACTACTACTGCAGCTGCTGAAGCGTCGTCCTCGTCCTCGTTCGCGTCCTCGTCTTCCTCGACCGCGCCGACTGAAGCTGAAACCACACCTTCCGAGACGAAACGCAAGCGAACTATCCAGCGCATCTTTGAGGTTTCGAAAACAATCCTCCGCACAAAACCTTTGCCTTCTCTCCCTGTCGATGCCATTCCACAAACCACCACAGCAACCGACCTGCAGCAGAACTCAGATCTCGCTCGTCAAGGGACAGTCATTGAGATCTCTTCTCAAGACGAGGACAATGAAGTGCAGCGGTCTACCAGTGTTGTTGATTGTCTAGCGACTTTTGCGCAGGAAAAACCCATGCCTGACGACGACGACGTTAACAACAGCAGCATCGAAAATGACGACACAAACAGTATAATAGAAGAAAGCACAGAAAGCATACTCGTCAGCAACGACGACGACGCCGGCGCCCTTCGATCTCTCGACGGCCTCGGCATCCGCCATCTCGACCGCGAAAACTCAAGACGGAGGTTCTCCTTCGACTCGTCCGTCGCCGGCACCGACTCCCTTTTCCGCAACGACTCGGACGCCTCGCGAGCGACCAGGATATCCCTCACCGCGGCTGTCGAAGACGTCGTGGGTTCAGACGTCGACGTACCTCCCTCGGACGAAGACGAGCTTGATATCGAAGTCCCGTTCGCAGCAAACCTCTACTCGTCAGACGAGCTCGCAAACATCACCGCCTTTGAATTCACCGACGACCTCGACCAAGCCGGAGACGACTACTTTGACGACCTCATGCTCGACGAAGTCAACAACATGGCCGACGACGACGACGACGGGTACTCTGACGACGGCTCTGACTTTGGGGCGGCCTCGAGACCCGCGCGAAGACCATCACTTACACCAATCTCTGAGCGGACAGACGAAGACAGCACGCCGACTTCATCGCCCTTTGTCTCGGACGCGTACTACCAGCACTCGCCTTCGCCGGCTCCGTTCCAGAGCTCACCACTCGCACCGCCGCGCACGCACGATGTCGTGGCGTATGTCAGAAAGAGCAGGGGCTGGGTCGTTGAACGACGGCGACGGAAAGGAGGGTGGGGTAGTCACGGAGCTGATGATGGTGCGACTAGCAGCGACGTTGAGGAGGAGTTGGTAGGTACCGAGAGAGTCGAGAAGAGAGCAATCTAGCTACATCTATGATCTGTGATCTATGATCTATATGAGCTCTGAGGATGGTTGGGAAAATGTATTTTTAGTTGTGTACTTTATTCGGATCGGACATTCGCCCATGCGTGGGAATTAGTGGTATTTCATAGGATATCGGTGTTTACTTTGTTTCTTTACGTGCGGCAATCGATGAGCATTACTCATGATGGAAGAGTTGAGTTGAAAGTGATGATACTTTTGCTCATACAGTAATTGGTAAAAAAAAACAGCCATTAGGAAAGAGTGAACAAAACTCCACAGACAAACAAACTAAACCAAATCGACAAAGAAAGAAAACAAACAACCAGCCAAAACAAGTAATAGTATAATCACGATGCTCTCTTTCTTCCCTCCTCCAAGAAATAAAACATAAAAACATAAAACACAATCAATTCTTGTTCTTCCCTCTCTTGCCGTACTTCACCGCGCACTCATTACAATACCACGACCCCTTTGGCGGCGCGTTGAGCCCAACACACGGCAAATGGAACCACTCGCGCTTACAATCCGGCCCGTCGCAGGCTACCATCTCGCCGTACGACACCTGCTGGCAGTAGCAGTACACGGGCTCGCTCTCGGGGTCGTTCGCCGGCGACTGCGGATCGGCCTTGATCGGCACCACCGCTCCGGGACCTCCTCCTGCGACCGCACCTGCCGCCGCGCTGCCGTTGACGGGACCCCGACGGCTCGAGTTCCGCGCAGTCGCACGGCCGCCCCGGCGCGCTTGGCTTGCGGACGACGGCGTTCCAGGACGCGCAGGCGATGCCGACCGGCCGTGGTTCTCGGCAACGAGCTGGGGCGAGGGAAGAGGAAGCGGGGGAACGGGAGTCGACCCCGAGTGCTGGTTGTTACTCCTGGCTTCTGATGATCCCGCGCCGGAAGCTGCCTTGCGTCTCTTCGCGGGCGGCGCCGCTCCCACCACCGACTCTGCAGTTCCGTTATCATGGTTCTGGCTTGTTTTCGACGACGACGATCGCGCGGGTTTCTTTGCCTCTGTCGCTCCGATAGAGCCAGACGCGGAGGCCATCCCGCCAACGGCAGAAGCAGACCCCGCGCCGCCCACGCCAGAGCCAGCCCCGTGCTCGTCCGCAGCCTGCGCGGCCGCCCGCCGGGCAGCAATCGCCTCTCTGCGACTTTCACTTCGCGAGCTCGCCTGTGTCTGTGGTTTCTCGTCGCGGGAGCCGTCGCCGATGAGCGCGGGGTGGTTCGCGGGCCCGTAGATTACTGCGTCGGGGATCTCTCCCCCGTGGGCGATGCGGTCGTAGTCTGCTTCGAGCCGCTCGATGTGCCGCGCGACGGCCTCGGTCGCTGAGCCTGCGACGTGGATCTTTTCTTCAAAACAGGGGAGCAGCTCGGCAATCACCCGTCGCACCTCCGCCAGCAGTGCGTCCCGCGCAGGGTCGGTCACCGGCGTCTCGAGGAACTGCGGGATCAGAGCCGCCAGCAGACTCGTCGAGGACGTGCACTTCGCCTCGACCTCCCGCAGCAGCGTAAAGTGTCTGATGACTTCCAATGGAAAGGCCTCGAGAAAGTCGGAGAGGTCGTTGAGGCCGGGATAGAGCTCGGGGGCTTGCTGTTGTTGCTGGTGACGGTGATGCTGCGACGAGCGCCGGGAATCGCCATCGCGGCGGATTGCTTTCGTCGCGATGCGCGCCGACTTCTGCCGCGAAGCCACAACCTGCGTCGTTGTCGACATGTTCTGTTTCTCCTGATTCTGCTGCTTCTGAGAAGAAGTTGGGGAAGTGGACGAAGGCGGCGGAGGGGAGCAAATCGGTGTTCTCGTCGAGGCCGTTGCTCGCTCTCTGTTTTTTGCCTGCCGCCCTTGAGCCGCACCTCGGTTTAGGGCTTCTGCTTTGGGATTTTTTCTAAATTCTCTGATATTCATCTTCTTCTGCTTTTATATTGAATATCAACAAAAGAGAAAGCGATGCCCTCTCTTCCGCTGCAGTCGCTCTGCGAGCTTTGCTCTGCGCAGAAGCCTTCACTGCGCCGCCCGAAAACCGGCCAGAAAATCTGCCAGCAGTGCTTCTTCCACGTCTTCGAGACCGAGATCCACAACACAATCACCGCCGCCTCGCTCTTCCACCCCGGCGAGCGCGTCGCCATCGGCGCGTCCGGGGGCAAGGACTCGACCGTGCTCGCGCACGTCATGAAGACGCTCAACGAGCGGTACTCGTACGGCGTCGACTTTGTCCTGCTCTCGATCGACGAAGGCATCCGTGGCTACCGCGACGACTCGCTCGAGACCGTCAAACGCAACCAGCAGCAATACTCGCTCCCGCTCAAAATCGTCAGCTACAAAGACCTCTACGACGGCTGGAGCATGGACAACATCGTCGCGCAGATTGGGAGTAAAAACAACTGCACCTACTGCGGCGTGTTCCGCCGGCAGGCTCTTGATCGCGGCGCGCAGATGCTGGGAATCAACCACGTCCTCACCGGCCACAACGCAGACGACATGGCCGAGACCGTGCTCATGAACATCCTCCGCGGCGACACCGCCCGCTTAGACCGCTGCACCGAGATCATCACGCAGAGCGCAGAGTCGCCAATCAAGCGCTCCAAGCCGCTCAAGTTTGCCTACGAGAAGGAAATCGTGCTCTACGCGCACTACAAAAAGCTAGACTACTTCTCAACCGAGTGCACCTACTCCCCCGAGGCCTTCCGCGGCACCGCGCGCACGCTCATCAAAAACCTCGAGACCGTGCGGTCGAGCGCGATAATCGACATCATTCATTCTGGCGAGACGTTTGCGCTGCAGCGCCGCGGCGGGAAAAATCAGGCAAAGAAGCTCGTCGCGGGCGTGTGCGAGCGGTGCGGGTACATCTCCTCGAATAAGCTGTGTAAAGCCTGTGTGCTGCTTGATGGGCTTAATGCTGGGCGGGCGGCTGTGCAGATTTCGCTCGAGAAGCCTGGTGATCAAGATGATGGGGCGGCGTTGGTAAGGAAGCAGTTGGAGCATCTGTCGTTTTAGACATGTATATTGGCGCTATGATTTGTATTCGTTTCGGGGCATTTGTATATAGTGTAAATAGGCGTTCTTTTTTTTTATCATACTATCTACATTCTATAGTCTAAATCTGCGTCTCTCCCAAATTAATCCGCTGCAGCGCATCCGCCGACAACTTCTCCATCTCCTCCACAATCACATCCCCAATCTTCTTCTCCTCCTCCGTCCCCGTCGCCTTCCGCCTGATATACGACTGTCCCCACGCGTCGCACGCAGACCCGTAATTCACCGTCTCGGCCGGATCCGCAGTCTCCTCCGGCACCGCCTCGATCGCGGCAAACACCGGTGCCGCAGCACCTTTGTACGCGTCGATTACGTGCCACGGACTGCCCAGCCAGCGCACGACGTAAAACAAAAACAGCATGCCAAACGTCGTCAGCCAGTTGAGATGGTCGGCGAAGATCGCGGTGTGGCAGATGCCCGGGTGCGTCATGTACACCAGCACGTCCTGCTCGGCCTTCCACTTTTGCGCAATCGCCGCGTGCACGTACTCGAGCTCGCGCTTGCTGTCGACGTAGGCCTGGTCGGTGTGGATCAGCTGCATATCCTTCTCGTCGAACGGGTACGCGATCTCCGCCTCGACCGAGCCGATGAAGATAACCCGCCCGCCTCCCGAGAGCACAGGAAGCAGCCGTTTCGAAAGCACGTAGTTTGCGAGGATGTTTATCTGAAACACCCACCCGATTCCATCAACAGACACCTTTCCAATCCGCTCCTTCTTAAACTTCGGATGCGTCATCGCATCGATCGGGTTCTTCAGCACCTCCTTCGTCGCTCCAACCCAGTCGATGCCCGCAAAATCCCCCCCTCCCGCGTTCAGAAACAGATAGTCGATATGCTTATACCGCTCCAGCAGCTGCCCCGCGACCTCATGCACCGACTCCAGCGACCCCAAATCAAGCAGCACGTAGTCAAACGAAAGCAAGTCCCGCTCGGGACAGTACTTGCGCAGCTTGTTGATCGTCTCCACCGCCTTTCGCATGTGCCGCGTACTCACAACTATCGTCAACGGCACCGTCTGCGGAATCTTGTCCAGCAGCCGGCACGCAATCGCGTAGCCAAGTCCGCCGTTCGCGCCCGTGATCACGGCTACTTTCCTGCCGCTCATTCTCTGCTGCTGCTTTGTCTTTTGTGTGGTCTTGAAGCACGGCTTGCAGGATTGGACTGGACTATCAGGCCTCCCGATTGAATGTAAATAGGATTATAGTCGATACCAGGGTTCGGGTGTTTATCAGCGAATACGACTTCTCCGAATACGAGCCACACATTACTCTTCAGATATCTATTCATCTCACTAATTCTTACACAACGCCATTGATGTTCAAGCAATCCCTCAACAAACTAGTCAAAAGCAGCATATCCTCGCCCGCCTTACTCATCGGCCCGTCCTCTCCCGCACCCTCGCCCGGCTTCCTAAACGCGTCCAACGCGTCCGGCCCGAGAACGCTGTATGACCTCGCGACAACCTGTTCAATCAGATCGTGCACGAGCTTCGTAATCTCCGCATCAGGCTTCTCATCCCGCAGTTCCTGCACGCTCAGTAGAAGTAGCCTGAGCACGGGCCGGTAATTCTCCTGTCGTCCTTCAGTTAACGCCTGGACGAACTCCATCCCACCCGACACGATCAGATCATGCGCGAGCCTGAGAATCCGCTTGAAATCAACCCGGCCTGACTTTGACTTTTGCGTGCTCAACGCCGCCAGCTTCTGGATAATTATAAACGCAAGCTCGCACCGCTCGTTCACTATCGGCTGGAATAATGGCGCAATCACGCCTTCTTCGATGTTGATCGTAAGGCATTTACACGCAATCTCCTCCAGCACCGACGCTAGCTTTCCGTCCTCCTCCGTCCAATCCAGCAATGCGATCGTCAACAGCCACCACGCTCGGAATAAATGCGACTGCGCATCAATCAGCGACAGATTCAGGTTCGCCTGCTCGACCTCGCTCTTGTACCCGCTCCAGATCGGATCAGCTCCCAAAATCATGTCCATCATCTCAACATCATACTTGTACCCCGTCCCATACTTGCGCTCGCCCGCAACCAGCACCGTGCGCTGGAACCGAATCAATCGTGCCTCGGGCCACTTCTTGTCAAAGTTGCGGTGCAGGTTTCCATGCAGCGACGCCCGGTATCCGTATATCCGGAACGCTACATCCGCCAGTCTTGGGAGGTTCCCCACTATATGGGAGATAATCGTCTTGGCTTCGCTTGACCCTTTCCGCGCCTTGTGCAAATGAACCGCACAGAGCTGGACTCCGCGAGCAGCTCGCAATGTTTCATAGCAGTATCGGACAATAGTCTCTGAAGATTCCAGACCGCTCACGCGACCTTCCGTTCCTTGGTCAATCAGCTTTAGGATTTTATTCAGTAGCCCTTTATCCTCTTGACTCTCAAACAGTGCTGTAGAGAGCGTATTCTGAGCAAGCGCAAGACTCTCGAGAATATTCGCCGTAAACTCAACACGTATCTCTTCGGTCTGTTGAGCTTTCTTTTCGAGTGCTTGTAACAACGATTTGACGGGACCCTTCTCCTTCTCCTTCTCTTTCTTTGCTTCACTTTCGCTTTTCGAGTCCAATCCAAGCTCCTTCCCAGTAAGCAGAAGAATCGACAATCCCTGCTGCTTCGTGCTAAACACCAAGCTCACGAAATTCGCAATCTCATTCTGCATCGGGTAATCAATATCACTCTCGATCGCCTTCACCAGCGACGCCGCAAATGCCGCAGCCGGCCCGCTTCCAAAGTACGCGAGCAACGACGGCTTCTCACTCCACTCGCTCGCCACCATCGCATTCAGCAGCTGCATCAGCTTCAGCCTCAACACACTCTCATTGGCAAACAAAACCGACATACTAGCCGCCAATCCAAACAGTTTTCGCTCAAGCTGCGTAGGCGCCCGTTTCAGCAAGCTCCGCGCTCTCGTCAAAACTTCAGCCAGTGATAATGAGCTCTCGATCCAGCCGTATGTCCGGTTAAGCAGGTCCTGGTCGTTTTTGAGAGCTTCCATCGTTCGCGAGGCGGCCTCGATACCGCCAAGAAGTGGTTGCAGACAGCGAGATGGCTTTGAGTCGGTGACCAGAAATCGGTCGAGAATGTGCTGCGTGGCTGGGAATAGCACGCCATTGATCTTCTCTGTTCCTTCACTGAATTCGTCGACGCAGTACACGATCCTTATTATAGACTCAAACACCTCTGAGATTCGCGTAGCTATACCAAGAGTTAGTAATGCTTCAGCCTTGAATTATTTTATGACCTTCTTACCAATTTTGAGACGCTCGTGCAAATCCTCATACTTCCAATACGAAAAACTCTCATAGACGTTCATCAGATGCCGAAACAACTGCAGCAAAATACCAGCCTTGACACTTGGTTTAACAGCATAAGTGAACTTTCCAATCAAAACGTCATTTGTCAGGGCACACACGAGATCGATGAGTGCCAACGTAAACTTGTAGTCACCATTGATAATCTCGACCGACGACAGCACATACGCAGCCATTCCGCCGTTCCCGCTCCGGTCAAGGAGAGTAGAGTTTTCTAAAAACTCCCACACCTTGCTCGGTAGCACTCTGGTCAGCGCGGCGAAAAACTCAAGAGCAGCGACGCTGACGCCAATGTTTTTTCGCTGCATGGCTATGGTGAGTATCCGGCCGATGATCACAAGGACATTGTTGTCTTCCGAGAGATTTTCGCATATGCTTTCAAGCAGCTCAATAGCTTCTTCGGTAGACAGCTGGCGCATTGTATCCGAGATCAAAAGTGTGATCTCCTCAACGACTATATCTGTCGGTGATACTTTTTCTGCGTGCTCTAGAACTCGACCGATATATGCCCATCCGTTGTATCGAAACCTCCACTGCACGGTGAACGTATTGCTCTCGGTCGGGATGATCCGGCCATGATGTCCCTTTGAAACGAAAATTCCACCCTCTCCGTCTTCTCGAGGTGCATATAAACAGAGATCAGATAGCAGGTAAATGTCCTGTGGATCGTCGGCCGAAACATCAAAATCTCGGAACCCTCGCGGCAGCGTCTGCATATATGTATCCATATTTGCTAAAATCTGAAATGCGTACACGCCAGCATCGAACCGCAGCGCACGAATGAACGGGATGAAAACGCTTGGGAACTTGTTGAGCAACAGATAGAAATGCTGTTCCCTAGCAATCACCTCGTTCGCCTCGTCGTTTAACGCGAGCGCCTGACTGTCGCCGCCCGACTCGTCCTGTGTCTCTGACATGGGACTCGACTGCATCGGACTACCCGCACCAAAACTATTCTGGACTGCGACAATGCGCGGGTTGACGGTGCTCGCCGAGTCAGTTGATGCGAACGGGCGCCGCGTTGGCGTCTCCATTAGTTGTTGATTCGAACGACAAGCAAAACAAAAAGTGCAAACTTCTACGTCAGCACCTCTATTCCTGTCCTGACTAATCGAATTATTCCTGGCTCATGCAGATCACCCGCAAAACTGGTGTTGTTGACTAGTTTGCGCGTTCGACGCGGTGAGTCGATGGGACTACAAAAAATCTCGATATACACAAATATAGTACGAATCACTTACTGCTGACATAAATAATAAGCTTTAAAGATTTCAAATCCATCTCGATATCCGGTCTACATCCTTATCCGCTCTTTTGTATATAGTCTACTTCCTTTCTGAAGGATCAAGAATCACTCTACACAATGACAGAGCCTTCACAGCGACCGCTTGTCAAAATATGTGGCACGCGAACTGTCGAATCGGCACAGGTCGCCATACAAGCCGGCGCCGACCTCATCGGTATGATTTGTGTTCCAAACGTCAAGCGGACAGTCTCATCAGACCAAGCGAAAAAGATCTCGCGAGCGGTTCGCGAGTTTAGAGAATCTCGGCCTGAACACAGGCTATTGCCGCCTGACGATGTTGACGCGTGGTTCACTGGCCACGTTGAGAATTTCAGAAATCGGGCGCCGCTTGTCGTTGGCGTATTTCGAAATCAGCCATTGGAGGAAGTGTTGGCTATTCAGAAGGAGTATGAGCTTGATATCGTTCAGCTACACGGCTCGGAGCCTCTTGAGTGGGCGAACTCAATCCCCGTACCGGTCATAAAGAAATTCGGTCCAACTGATGAAGATATTCTAAAGCCTGGCTTGCATTCGCTCGCCCTTCTCGACGGAGGCGGTGGTGAAGGCAAACTTCTAGCATGGGATGAACTGCCTGGTGCTGGTAGTTTCATATTAGCTGGTGGTTTAACACCCGAGAATGTGGCTACAGCTATCAAACTTCCTAATGTCAGTGGCGTGGATGTCTCGAGTGGAGTAGAGACGGATGGGAAGCACGATCATCAAAAGATCCAGCTTTTTATCAAAAACGCTCGCGATTCATAGAGATTTTTGTTAGCTTGATATTCATTGTATTATAGGCGCTTGGGTGAATCAAAATGTGGCTTTTCAATTGTCCAGAATATATACACAAATAGCTCTACATCTCTCAAATCTCATGCCACTTTCCAAACTTGTTGTAATCTTCGTACAATCGCTTAAAGATTGCCCGTCCCGTCGCATCAACAGAGGCGTTTGTGATTGCAAGCTCATGCTCTCCCATGATATCAAACACCGTGTACAACCCGGTCATAAGCGCTTGCTGTACATCTGCATCAAAGCTGAAATGGGTCGCCGCATAGCAGTACTCTGTGATCAGAAACGGAACATGTTTTGACAGCGCACGCCTAGATGTTCCTGAGCTTGACGAAAGCGCGAAATCACTCTCTGCCTGATTTTCCCCACGAGACCGCTTCTTTGGGTTCGACGATGCCTTCGACCTAGAGAGATTTGGATCGCAGATATTTGCCAGGAGTCTCGAGTAGGCCAACGCGCAATCCACAGAACAGGACTGAGAGACGGGTAGCCAAGAAGCTCGTTTCCAGTTCATCGCACCCAGTTTTTGGATGGCTACCTTGCGTGACCGGCATAGTCCATACAAGAGATTCTCTAGGAGTCTAATGACGAGATTATGTCTGCCTCGGAAGTATCGTCCCAACAGCAATATGATACTAGAAGCGGTGGAGCAAATGTGAATGTACACCTCATCCACCGAATATAAATCGGAGAACTTTGGCCCTGACTGAGAGCTTGTGAGGATCAGAAAGGTGAAGAGTTGGGTGAATGTGAATGGTGTGATGAGTGAAGTTTTCTCCTTCATAACCGTCTCAAACAGCTTGAGTATGTCGAGATATGACCTAGCGCTCGTAATCTTCTGTTGATCAAGAACAAGAGTGCAAGCCAATAACGATAACCTTCGAGTCAGAAATGCGTAATGATCTGAACCTTCGACCGTCAACAGAGCTGTCAATGTGTTTATACTCTCTGCATCCGCGGAATTTTCGGTGTGCGTTGATATTTGCAGTAGCTGATTGAAAATCGCCTCAAAGGTCTCTTTACTCCATCCTTTAGCTTTCTCTTTGAACTTCTGTCGGATCAGACTGCTATCAATCGACGAAGTTGACCGTGAAATTTGATTCAGTGATGTGTACAGCGTGGTGAGTCGCTGAGCATCCCGTAGTTTTCCATCGACTGAGTCATGATTCCAGGAACTGACCATGCCAAAGATAGTCTGCAGGATCTGACCCGATATGTTGATCTCGGGCGTGACGTTGGCTCCGGATTCTGTGATTGATGAAAGTATCTTGACATGTCCCGGAATCAGATTCAACACTGCTCCAGAAACACTGAGATCTCTTCTGAATGACAGTAATTCGTTGAGTTCGCCAAGTGCGAGCAGAGCCGACCGTTGGGTGAGTAGATCCAGCTTCTGCTTCGGTTGCGATAGCATATCGCTGATAAAATCAACTCCTTTCAGTAGATTTTCATCCGGAATAGTACTTCCAGATTTCTCGATATACCTGCTAGACAGAGAAAACATCCGCAGCGTACCACGTCCAACTGATCCACCAGACTGAAGAGTATCGAATGCAGATGCATGTACGTCTTTCAGGAATTGAACCGAGGAATCTGTTGAATCTCCCCCAACAGCATACCCAAACACTGCAGTCATGATGTCCGTAGTAATATTATCAAGATCGAAATCAGATAGTTCCTCCGATTTGGAGATGAGACTGGACAGACCGGCAGGGTTCGTTTGCTACAGAAAATATCAGTATTTGGATTGATTAGAACACAAAAACAGCTCTCTCTTACCAGGATCGACTTCATATTAGGTAAAGCCAAAAACTTTTGGATCAGCGTCCTCGATTTCAGCAGCAGTTGAAGATCCGATGAGTATTTATCGATCAGCAGTAAGCAGTCAAGCACCCGTGCTCGGATAGATCTCCGCAAGCTCTCGATGGGATATTGTAATAGCGCATCGATAGCTTTAAAGATAAGATCAGCTTCATCAAGTGATTTTGATTTTGATTTGCGCAACGCTTTGATTATGGCGTCGCGATCCTCAGATTTTCCGATCGCAAGCTGCGATACCAGCAAATCGGCAAGGGAGTTTTTCAACTGAACCTGTTCGTAAAGCAGGGGACTATCCAGTAATCTGCTCCAGGGTTCCGAATTTTTGTCAGACTTTCCGCAATGCCAGAGAGCTTCCGCGAGCAGCAGGATCTGGTCTGGAGTAAACCTGTTTTCAGCCAAAACTAACCAGCGCTCAACAGTGGAATGCAGCATTGCAGTGCTAATATTTTGCTTGCTGATGCTCTGAGATTCTTTGTCCCATGACTCATATTTTGCCTTCGAAGGGCTCAGGAGAGTAAGAATGTAATCTGCAGCCTGTGAGAAATTCTCCAAAAGCTGAAACTCCGAGATTCTCAGTATATTCTGTATCATGAAATAGATCACTCTTCGATCCTTCAGCTTCTTCTCTGGTGAGATTAAAGCATTCAGTAAATGATTTGGGTCCGTCGAAGCGATTACCGACTTTGCGACCTCTCGATTGACAGAGATGATCAAATAACGAAGCCGCCATGCTAGATAATTCTCCTTCAAATCGTCAGAAAGTAGCTTTTCATGCAAAGCTGCCAGCTTTTTGTTGAATGCATCATTTAATGAATCAGCCGTCCTTGAACACGCTAGGACGATTGCAATAAGTGGTAGCAATTCTTCGTGCTCGATCTCGCGATTAGGAATCGCGCTACTGAACTGGTGGATTGTCCAATTCTCTGATAGAATTCGAGCAATATTGCGAACCAGTGACTCTGACTTCCAAGAGCTCTCTTCGAAATCCCCAGCAGATGCCAGTTCTTCTTTCCATAGTGTCATGAAAGCTTGTAAATCACGAATCCTGGCATATGCGGACGCCAGATGGCACAGAAATTCAACTGTTTCGGTGGTGCTCGGTGCGTGGGTGAGGTTGTCGTGAACTAGCTTATCTGTGATCGGTAACACTGCGTCTGCATCGAGATCAACAATTGTCGTTGCTAGAGGCCAATCCTTATATGCTTGAGCTTCGAGGGCCTTGGTGAGCACTTCTGAAGACATGATCATATCTTGGGATTGCGCTTGGGGAATAAGGTAGACAGCACTGGCTGGTGAGAATTGCAAGAAAGCTTCACACAGTTTCGGCATCAATGCTTTTTGTTTCGTCTTTTCGAATTTGGATAGACCCAGGCCCAAAATCTCACTCAGTAGCTCCCCCTCTGGAATATCAGTTAGCGAGTGACTTCTGTATCAACAAGACAGCAATACGTACTTTGTTGAATATCAGGAATGCTCTTCAGCACGTCGAACAGATTCTTGAATAAATTTTCGCTGTCAACAGTGTCAACAGAGTTGGCTGTGCTTTTCTTTCCTTCTTTCTTTCCAGAAACTCCTTCAGCAGCCTGTTTCATAATCGAAGGACTGTACACCAGATCGCGAATAATGTCTCCTAGTCTCGTGTATAGATAAGACTCTCGCCTAGCTTTTTCAAAAGCAATGAATACTGCCACCAGGCCATCAGACGACAGAGCTTGAGATACCTAGAGCGATTTTAGTCAGTTCAGATTCAAATTATGAAGATTATGAGATGAACCATACTTTTTTGTAGTTGAGGACTCCGTATAGTGTGTTGTCGTAAATTGAGAATACCGATCTGGCAATCGCGTCGCTTGCAGTCTCTTCGAAAGCCTGCGTCAGCTTCAGGTAGCTCACGACAATTGACACCATTATCTGATTTGTAGTTCTCATATATATTTGGTCCTTGCTGACGCGCTCTAGAGAAACTAGCACGACAGGCCGGATTGCCAGCTTTGCGTGGGAGTAGTCGAGTTTGTCCTTCTCTGGCTCTTCTGATCCGCTGATCCACTGGAGAACTGACTTCAAAGTGTCGAGATATTTATGTCGGTGATATATCTGTATTCTGGAATCTTTATCTGTTTGGTCCCATAGCTTGGGAAACAGTTGCCAGAACCGCTCACTATTGAAATTAGGTCAGTCTATAGTATTTACTCGGATTATTCTTTGTTGCCTCCATACTTCTTCATGCCGGCTTCGGCTCGATCAAACCACCATTCCAATAAAAACTCTTCTTTTCGAGGGAAAAAAAGGCTCGGGTAGGACCCATCAATAAGACCGTTTGCAAATTTGATCAGAGGCTCGATGTCTGTCGTCTTCTTTCGCAAATAACGTGAAGCCTTTTCAGAAGACGTCGCAGCGTCCTCTGGTATCAAGGTCTCCTTGCTCATCGCTGATCTAGTTGAATATGAGCTTTAACGTCCTCGTATATAGCGCATAGCCTCTATAACTTGCTTGCTAAACTGTTGGGGTTCTGTTCGCTGTATTTCAGTATTATACGCTTGCCCAGATGATCTTAACTCACATTTGGGACTATCGAATTTTTTCTCAGGGGTCAACCCTGAGCTTCGCTTTCAACCTTTTCTTCCCATGTGCAATATTTTACTTATTTTTCTTATAATCTGCAGACTGCATTCGTTCTCCGAGTTCCCAGTTACATGATCAAAAATTACAGAGAAAATTTCTAAAAAATAAAAATTTTGCTTAATCCAACTGAAGAAAAAACAAAAAAAAGTAACCGACCAGGGAGAGGGTCGAACTCTCGATCTTACGATTAACAGTCGTACGCCTTAACCAACTTGGCCACCCAGTCTAGTTGTTGAAATGTTACGAATCGGTCCAGATATAAAGTCACGAGATCAAGATCAAAGTCACGGGATCAAGATCAAAGTCGGGAGGTCGAGATATTCGTAAAGAGTCAAGTTCAGGTCGAGATATTCCAATAATAACTAGGCACAGGGGCACATAGACTATGCGTAGTTATCCGAGATTGAAGGCCGGGATTCAAGAGGTTCCGAGGGGTTCAAGAGATGATCCGAGGTTCAAGATTCAAGGCTAATCCATTACTGATTCCTCCAGAACTAACTAACTAACTAGACAAGAGGAAGACAAGGCCGGCTATTTATGTTCGTCACATTGTGGCAAACAACCAAGAGGCCACGTCACAAGACAGGTCCAAAGAATACAAAAGAAACATCAAGAAGACAAGAGCATATCAAAGATACACGTAGAATAGCATATCCAAGCAAGAAAGGTCACCAGGAAGGTCATAAGACAAAGAACATAGAAAATTCAAGAAAAGCCAAGAATTAAAGATGGCAAAGTCAGCAAACTCAAATGACTTTACCTAAGCCAGTTTCCTAACATGAAATGTTATGAAACGATCCAAGATAAAGCCGAGATTGGTAATTCGGGAAGCTGATTCAAGATACTGGAGTCAAGATATTCAAGAGGAAAACTAATGTATTAAAAGGTACAACAAAAGGTAGACAAGGCCGGCTATTTATGTTCAACAAACTGTGGCAAATGATCATAAGAATATGGTCACAAGACAAGTAGAAAGAATACAAAAGGAAGAATCGGAATACAAGAGAATATCAAAGAAACATATAGAATAGAGTATAAAAGTGGCAAAGATCACAAGATAGACTTAACAACGAAATATCGAATAGATAAAATATAGTTTAAAGCTGCAAACTCAAATGGCCTTGTCTAGGACAGATTCCTAACACTCTCCCCCCTCTAAACCATCAATCGACTCGATTGATTGTTCAGAGTCCACAACTGGAGTTTCAAGAGGCGCGTAGTTGCGCTTGAGTGACTCGCGAAGGTCCGTGGGCACATAAGTTTCCAGGAAGTCTTCAGTGATTGTCGAGGCGTGGCCAGGTTGGCAATCTGACCAGTAGACATCGTAAGTGTGCTCGACTGGGTCGTGTCCTGCGATAGCCGTAATTTCATGAGCACGGGATCGTTGTTCGAGTTCGGTCCGGTGTGGTTCCTTGGGATAGGCAGCACTGCGCTCGAGATAGGGCTTGAACCATTTGACGTTGATGACTCGGTGTTTCTTGGTCATGATCGGCAGGTCGACTTCGAAGGCGTTTGTCGAGACTTCTTTGACGAGTCTGAAAGGTCCCAGATAGACAGGCTGGATCTTGACGTATTCCGTAGAAGGTGGGTAAGCGGAACGGTGAAGTAGAATCATATCACCCACTTTGTACTGGACGTCGGTGCGATGACGATTGGTACGACGTTCCATGTCAAGCTGTGCCTCGGCGATGAAGTCTTTCGTTCTCAGGAGAATGGCGCGTAACTTTTCGTTGAGCTTTTCCGAGGAGTGCGAGTAACGGTCGAACATGCCAGGTTTCGTGAAGGACGGTGCAGTAGGTTGATATCCCAAGTCGGCGATGAATGGTGAAGTCTTGATCGCGGTCTGATATGCATGGTTGTAGGCAAATTCGGCCATCGGAAGGAAGTACGCCCATTGTCCGTGATTGGTGAGACAGTAAGAACGAAGGACTTGAATGACGATTGAATTCACGCGTTCAGTCTGTCCGTCAGTTTCAGGGTGATTTGTCGTGGACATCCTGAGTTCGGTCCCTAAAGCCTTTTGGACAGCTTTCCAGAAATCGGAGACGAAGCGTACATCTCTGTCGGAAATAATCGAGGTCGGTACTCCATGAAGACGCACAATGTGTTCGATGAACAGTTGCGCGGTTTCCCAGGCGGTCACGGTTTTGGTTGTCGGGATAAAATGGGCTCGTTTGGTCAAGCGATCCACGACCACCAGGATGTTGTCAAAACCGTTCGAGGGCGGGATGCCGGAGACAAAGTCGAGGGATACCGATTTTCAACGATCTTCTGGAATGTCGAGGGGTTGCAGTAATCCGCCAGTCGCCGAGCGAGAAGACTTTGCACGTTGACAGGTGTCACAGGTGCGGACGTAGTCTTTGACATTCCGGAACATGTGCGGCCAATAGTAGTTTTCAGCCACCGCGATGTAGGTCCGGTAGTTGCCGAAATGTCCAGCTGTCGGCGGATCGTGAGCCTGGGCGATCAGACGTTTGCGGATGTTGCTGTTGGGAATGCACAAACGCCAGATGGTTGAGTCATTCGCAACCGTCGGAACAAAGAATAACAGGCGGTCCTGCAATCGATAGTGCGTGATGTAGTGTCGAATAGCCGAGGGTGCCGGGTCGCCGGCTCGCAATGCCTGGTAGATCGGTCCGAAGAAGGGGTCCGTTTCGTAGAGCGGTGCGATTTCGTCCGTAAGTTCGTTCGTAGGTTCGACGGCGAGATGAATTGCTGCAATGAACGATCGGCTGAGCGCGTCGGCAACCGAGTTGGTTTTTCCGCTCTGGTGCTGAATCGAGAAGTCGTATTCTGCCAGATAATCGAGCCACCTTGCAATGCGACCCTGCGGTGTTTTGGTTTGGGCCAGGAGGTAGGTCAGCGAGAAGTGATCGGTGCGTAAGAGAAAGTGACGGCCTTGTAGGAGGTAACGGAAGAACTTCAGAGCTTCAATGATGCTGAGAAACTCTTTTTCTTGGACGCTGTAATTGAGTTGTGCGTCCTGGTACTTTTTGGAGAAGTACCCCACAACGCCGAGTCGTTCTTTTCCGTCGAATTGTTCGAGGACTGCACCCATGCCAATGTCGCTGGCATCCGTGGTTAGTACGAAATCCTTATTCAAGTCGGGAAGGATCAGTACTGGTGCATGGGCCAGAAGGTCCTTGAGTCTCTCAAACGCTTTCTGCTGACTCTCTTCCCACGCAGCTTTGCCGGTCATGAACTGACGAATCGGGGTTGCGATATCTGAGAAGTGAGGAACGAACCGTCGATAGAAGTTGGCCAGTCCCAAAAATCGCATGGCGTCAGTCGGAGTCCTGGGTTGGGCAAAGTTGCGCACAGCTTGTATTTTGTCCTGATCCACGGAGAGGCCTTCGCGAGATAGAGTGAATCCGAGAAACGTGACCGATGATTGAAAGAACTCGCATTTCTTAGCCTTGGCGATCAACTGATGCTTGCGAAGTTGCTCGAGAACCATCCGTACGTGTGTTGCATGATCCTTTCTCGTCTTGCTGTAGATCAAGATGTCGTCCAGATAAACCACAACAAAACGATCGAGGAAGGGTTCCAGTATTCGGTTCATGTAGGCCTGGAAGGTGGCAGGGGCGTTCGTCAGACCAAAAGGCATGACGCGGAACTGGTAGTGTCCCCACTTAGTGCTGAAGGCTGTCTTTTCTTCGTCGTCCGGGTGGATGCGAATTTGGTGATACCCAGACATGAGGTCAAGCTTGGAAAAGACAGAGCATGGACCGAGTTGTGCAAGAAGGTCGTCGATCACAGGGAGCGGGAACCGGTTTCTGATAGTCTGGAGGTTCAGGAGTCGATAGTCCACACACATGCGCTTGGTTCCATCCTTCTTTTGCACAAAAAAGGACGGGCCATACAGTTCCGATACTTCGTTATCGATTAGTCGCTGCTGAGTCTGTGGACGTAAAGCCGTGCCCGTCAATCTGCCACTGTCACACTTCCTGTCAATGCAACGTACTTGCTGCACGCAAAATATTGTGAGAGAGGCACATAGGACTGCGACCGTTAGGTACATAATACCATACAGCCTTTTATAATTCATTATAGGCGTTAGAACAACTACCGAAGCGAATTATTAAAGGAAATATGATAATGATGTGGATGAAAGCGCGCTGCTACAAGGGGTGCTCCGTTACAAGGGGTTAGGCGTTAGTAATAAAGTTAAAAAATACAAAGCTGTACGAAAAATAATTTTTTCACAAGGCCATTTGAGTTTGCAGCTTTAAACTATATTTTATCTATTCGATATTTCGTTGTTAAGTCTATCTTGTGATCTTTGCCACTTTTATACTCTATTCTATATGTTTCTTTGATATTCTCTTGTATTCCGATTCTTCCTTTTGTATTCTTTCTACTTGTCTTGTGACCATGTTCTTATGATCATTTGCCACAGTTTGTTGAACATAAATAGCCGGCCTTGTCTACCTTTTGTTGTACCTTTTAATACATTAGTTTTCCTCTTGAATATCTTGACTCCAGTATCTTGAATCAGCTTCCCGAATTACCAATCTCGGCTTTATCTTGGATCGTTTCATAACAAAAAAATGTTACAGATCGGTCTACATAAGCAGAAATTGCAGAGTAAAGAAGTCATTCAGGAAACACATTCAATTCGAGATATTTGAGTAATAACAGGGCACAGGGGCTCATAGACTGTGCGCAGTTATCCACACTAAAAACCCCTTGTACCGGCGCACCCCGCGAGGCAGCGCGCTTCTACATAGATAACCAAACCTTCCTCCTTCTCCACAACATCTCACACCAACCAACCATGGCCTCCACTTTTGAAAAAAAGGTCAAGAACTCTCGCCCTATTAGAATATCTAGAAAGAATGAATAGGTGGTAAGACCGAAAGACCGCTGAGCCGACCCAACGACGCTGTAGAATGTGTAGAAGGACGGGACATACTACGCGCACTTGTAAAACAGATGCAGAAAAGTCCGTTCTATAGTAACAGTTCGATTAGCTTCAACTTATTTAAGTTATTTAAGTTATTGAGATTGCGTGATTATTTTTTTTGTGGAAAGATGTGAATGAACAAGGGGTGCGCCGGTACAAGAGGGTCGACGTTAACTGATAGGGCATTAATTGTTCAAAACAGGCGTATTGTTTTCTGAGCTTGCTACTGAGTGACGGAAGTGATAATCAATTCAAGGTGATCGTCTCTACTGGATATAAGCTACCGTGCAAAGCAACCTAATGCGTCAGACGTATCTGAACGATTGATTGAGCTCAATGAATATCTGTAAACGGAAAAAATCACGAAACGGGCGGCGCGTTAAGTGTGTTTACTTCCGGCCAAAACTAGAAACCCTATTACATAGACACGCGCCCGCCCGAACCGCGATCCGCACATTTCAGCGCGCCCGCCCTTCTTCCCTCTCTTCTCCCTTCTCTTCTTCCTCCCCCGGGACAGGTTTTCGGCTCCTGTCCCACCCCAGCGATTTGATCTATTTTCCAGCAATAGATCGGGATTATCGGCATCCCGCGGCTCTCTCTCGACGGCGAAAAGGTTAGGCGGAGGTTGATGGGGGTAGGCTTTGATCTCTCTCTCTTCTCTCGCATGCAGGGCACCTCGTGAAGTCGCCAGAAAGCAGCCTATACTGCGCAGGCAGCACTCTTAGAGGGTGCCATATACCGAAGTGGTAGTATTCTCAAAGTGTAGACTGCGCTGTTTCATGAGCATCTCCAGAGAAACTGCCTATGCGTGGGTAGCGTTCTCGTACTGAGAGCAGACTACTCCGCACCAGGTAGCACTCTCTGGGGCAGCTATGACTGGAACAGATAGCGCGCCTTTCAGGGTAGCATAATATCCAGGTAGTGTTCTCTAAGAGTAGCATATACCACAGCAGATAGGACTTGCTTTCTGTGGCAAGACCACGGGAAGTTAGGGAGTTGCTTATTCCGGTCCGGTTCGCGGCGGTTGCACACCCCCAAGAGTGAGCGTCGTGCCATTCATGCGAGAGAAGAAAGGGAGAGAGGAGCTTACTCGAACAAGCGGTCTGGTATATGACCTTCCGGAAAAAAAATCCGTTATCAGCACGGTCCCTTCTACGACGAATATCCGGTCTGTTTCCCAGCAACAGACCGAGACGAACAACATTTCTGTTTCCCAGCAACAGACCGACACGAACAACATTTCTGTTTCCCAGCAACAGACCGACACGAACGACATTTCTGTTTTTCAGCAACAGGCCGAGACGAACGACATTTCTGTTTTTCAGCAACAGGCCGAGACGAGCGACATTTCGGCTCTCTCTCGACGACAACAACATTTGGCGGAGGTTGATGAGGGTATGTTTTGATCTGTCTTTCTGTTCTAACAGGCATGGTACCTCGTGAAGTCGTCGGAAAGCAGCCTATACTGCGCAGGTAGCACTCTTAGAGAGTGCCATATACCGAAGTGGTAGTACTCTCAAAGTGTAGACTGCGCTGTTTCATGAGCATTTCCAGAGAAACTACATCGGGTGGGTAGCGTTCTTGTACTGAGAGCAGACTGCACCGCGCCATATAGCACTCTCTGGGGGGGCAATGACTGGAACAGATAGCGCGCCTTTCAGGGTAGCATAATATCCAGGTAGCATTCTCTAAGAGTGGCATATACCACAGCAGGTAGGACTTGCTTTCTGTGGCTGGACCTCGAGAAGTTGGGTAGTCGCATATTCCGGTCCGTTTCCGTGGTTGCACACCCTCAAGAGTGGGCGTCGTGCCATGCATGCGAGAAAAGAAGGGGAGAGAGAAGCCTACTCGACCAAGCGGTCTGGTATATGGCCTGCGCGCAGATACCGGGTGAGTGCGCTCGAAGGCACTGCAGTGCCGTTGTCGGCCCGGTCCCTCTGCGTGGCCGTCTCATGTACGCGCCGAGGATCCTGCCTGGTCAGGGTGGACGCGGTTGGTTAGGGCGGCCAATCTGATGAGCTTCTTCTTTAGCCAGGTTGCTCATTGGATTTAAAACGTCTTCGTTGTCGCGTCTCTTCAACAAATGCACTGGTAAGTTGCGCCGTCGCAGGGGAGCCCCGAGGCAACGGTTGTTGAAGAGAGTCCGCACGACCAAGCGGTTCAAGCGCAACGTTGACAATCCACCAATACGGGGGCAGTTCATGACTGCCTTCTGGGTGAAGTCGGGTTTTAGTGGGTATGGCGATTTCTCGAGAGTCGCAGAGTCCCACATAACTTTTGAGCAGGGCATCATAGTCTTGTTCAAGAGTATGCGTAATGCATTCTTCCCGATCCTGGCACCAGTCGCTTTATGCGCGCTCTTACTCTCTCTGTCATTTTCTGTATCTGCTTCTCTGATGCTGCTCTGTTCTGATTTATGCTGACAAGCTGTTGCGCTGGCTTGTACTGTTATGTTGCTTTGTTGTTCTACTTTGTTTTTGTTATTGTGTTGTGTTGTTTTGTGTCGTTTTGTTATATTTCTTAGCAGAGAGCAGATTGTTTTTGTATTTGATGTATCAAGAGCGCGCGGCGGTACCGTATTGTAAAACCAAGAAAGAAAAAAAAATAAATCTCCTTCGTTTTGTTTGATATCTGATACGTGAACAGTGGTCGTGAGGATCAAGCATACTGACAGTAGAATATATGACGAACATAAATACTCGTGTATAATGAATTATTTGAACAAAATTATTGGTTTACTTTGGTAAATAGTGACTTCTCGAATTCTACGTAATCTCGCAAAGTGTGTGTGATCTGTGAAATACTTTGTCATACCGCGTTGGGTCACGTTACTGCTTCCATGAGAACGCGTAAACAGACGATCGTTTGGACGACGCGCATCCTTCCCTGCCTGCTTCACGTCCACTCCCGCTGCTTGCTACTTACCATTCTTGCTTTACCACTCTGTTTTTGTACGAGAACGTGCTCTGTTATACATCTGGCTTTTTGCATCCAATAGCAAGAGTATTTTTTAATCTCTGACGCGTTTCGTTGTTGGTTTCGAAGTCATCTTCCTACAACGTGGCAGACAATACACATCATGAATATTTCTCCGCCGTCAGGATATTCGTTCTCACAATATCCGTACTTTCCCGCGCCCTACTACACACCCCACCCAGCCAACAATTCACCAATTCACCTCTAACATCCGTACTTCCCCGCGCCCTACTACACATTTCATCCATTCAGCAATCCATCAGTCCACCTCCAACATCCGTACTCTCCCGCGCCGTACTACACATTCCACCCAGTCAGCAATTCATCAGTTCACATTCAACAAGAAGCTGTTCACGTTGTGAATAACCGTGAGTTCATTGCTACTTTCTTCAATTAATGGCTCTGACTAATTTTATGTTTCAGCTTCTGGTGCGACGTTAACCGCTGAAGCGGAGATTTCAGCGGTTAAGCCAAATGTTCCGTTGCTCTACTGCTCCAGCTGCCATATGCATCACACTGAGGACCGTTTCCCACCGTGAGTGGGAAAGAAGCGAAGAAAGACCTGCCGGAAGTTGATTCGGAAGCGAGATCGGCCTCCAGTTTACGACAGCTGGTCGGAGTTTCTCAATTCTGCACGCGACTGGTACAAAAAAGTATAGATCTGGTTTTTCTTTTTAATTCCATTTCTTTTGACGCTGACAGAAAATTCAGGAAGGCTTGGAATCGATAGACATCGAAAAACCCTTTTCGCTCGAAGACCTGCCAGTGGTTTTGACTACCATTCAGCATCAAAAAGAAGGCGAAGCTGAGCAAGAGAAGGCTCGCGTGACGACCAAAGAAGATGAAGAAGCTGAGAAGAAAAGGATTCGCAAGACGACCCGGGATCTGAAAATTCTCTGGAAGGCAGGCGGCTACCGGTTTGTCTGTCGACGATGCGACAGAAATCAGGAAGGTTTCAGCTTAAGGTTTATTTGCTCTCAGGATGAGTCCAATTCACAGTGTAGACGGGTTCAGAGCGGGGTGCAGAAATTTCGGCTCAAAACTAATCGTTTTCCGTGCGATAGCAGACTCACTCTCCAGCTTAATTTGACGAAGAAGACACTTTGCTTGAACTTGAAACACCGGCACCACGAGGCCCACAGGGCGTTACTAGCGAAAGATGAGCGGCTGTCGCGGTATTTCAAGACTCATCTCTAGACTGTACAGCTAGTAATGGAGTTCAGATGTGTTTTGTTATCAGCGCCATGAACAACGAGAGGAGATTCAACTAAGCCGTGTATATCATTAAGCTCAATCATTGAGCTGAATATGTTATTTGCTGAGCAAGATCGTTGCTATCATTCGTCATTTGACTGGAGGTCTGCTTGGTATGCCCGAGACTCTCTGGTGAGTACATTGCATTACTTTGTAATCAATCTCTGGGAGGAATATGTTGAAAAGAATTCTGCGTTGCTGGGGTCAGTGTAGAGGCTGAAGGCAGGTTATAAAGGCGTGAGACACTTCAACGTCCCGAGATTTGGGTAGAGAGTAGTTAGAAAAGTCTAAGAATCCGTCCCGTATTTAAGTCCACGTACCGTACAAGCCAAACCAAAGTAAATCAATTTACCGCAAAGTACGCGTGCTTGTATCCAGATTACTCGATTTGGCAAACAGACTACAAGCTTCAGGTGCTGCGTTTCGGGTTAGGGCACTTTGAATTTGCAGACATAATTCACGTGACCAGCACTATTTGCTCCACTAAGGGTTTAGTAACGTAACCCTACAGCTGCGCGTGACTGCTAAATGCCCGAGCCCTAAGGCAGTCGAGCACCGGCAACGACAGACAGCCGCCGCACACCAGACAGAGCGGGCTACGGTAGCAGCAAGGAAAGGCAAGATCGGGAGGCTTTAACGATTTGAATAGTTGTACATCCACTCTTCTTCTCTCTTATCATCACACACATTAATCATGCCTGGTGTTTCCGTTAGGTATGTTTTTCTTCAGAATCGGCTTTTGTTTTACTCGTGCAATTTGTGTTCTGACCGTGAATCCCTGCTTTAGAGACGTTCCTGCTCAGGACTTCGTCGTTGCCTATGCTTCTTTCCTCCAGCGTCAGGGTATGTTTCTTCCACCACATCGTCCAGTTTATGTCTCAGCGCGTCAGAGTGTTTTCTAACGGGTCTTTGTTGTCGCTTTATAGGAAAGTTGGAGGTCCCTGGTTACGTTGAGTTGGTCAAGACCTCGGCCGGCAATGAGTATGTTTACCCGCAAATTTTTCAAACAGTCCATCCAGTCTCAGCGTTGTGGTTCCGAGCGAAGAGAGAATGAAAGGGATTACAGACTGGAAGGAGGAGACGAAAAAACTGCATGGATTGGATGTATGATTAGTTGAGCAGGGGCTTACGGTTTTTCTTCTATAATCTAGGCTCCCTCCCCAGGACTCCGACAAGTGGTTCTACATGGTATGTTTTCCTCCCAGATACTTCAGAATGATGGTTTAAAGATAGCTGGTTCTAACTTCTGATCTTTCAGCGCGCCGCTTCCATTGCCCGTCACATCTACCTCCGAAAGTCGGTTGGCACTGGCAAGCTTAACAAGCTGTACGGTGGCACCGTCAACCGTGGCTCGCGACCATCCCACCACGTCAACGCTTCCGGCTCCGTCAACAGAAAGGTTCTCCAGTCTCTTGAGAAGATCGGTGTTTTGGAGGAGGGTAAGGCTGGTGGCCGGAAAATCTCTGAGTCCGGCCAGAGAGATTTGGACCGAATTGCTGGTGAGGTCTTCGCCGGCTCTGCGGAAGATGACGAGTAAAAAAACCGTTGTACAAATATAAACATCTATTCTATTGTGTACCTTTTTATGTTCACGAAAAAGTTCGTTCATTGGAAGGCTAATATAAAAATTTGAAAACAATTTCCTGCTGCTGAACATACTTGACTGCAGCTGGATTAAGACAACTCTTGCTACTACTACTGCTTACTTATTCATTCGAAAATCAAAGTGTCACTAATATTTACGCGTCTTTGAGTAAACATACGTGAATTCTTAAATGCTTAAAACATTGTTTGATTAAATATTAAACATAACCCATTTCGCCTCAACATAAACTCTCGAAACGCAGACACTGATTTTCCATGCATAAGTAAAAAAGAACGAATATAAAATATAAACAAAAGTACAAATCAAAATCCCAATTTTGGACTAGGCAGCTCTTAAACTGCTCTTATAATTTTTTTTTCAAGTCTTTTAGTTGTAAAGACGCTTCTCATAAGAATACAAGCCGTGGACGCCACCCTCAAGCTGGGCAGAGGCAGTTCTGAGCTCGAATCTGACCTCGTGCGCGTTGACCTTGTCCTGGAACTCGGCCAAGCTCTTGACACCGATGTCCTGGAGACCGTGCTGGAGACCAGTGACGAGGTAAGGCACGAACTTGGTGATGGAACCGCGGTCGACGACCGATCCCGAGACACCCTGGGCAACGAGAACCTTGTCGCCCTCGGAGAAGTAGCGGGCAGTGGCAGCGTTGTCGTTGGTCGACTGCTTCTCCATGGCGTCGAGGGAACCCATTCCACGGTAAGCCTTCAGGCGCTGGCCATCACGGTAGAAGTACTGGCCAGGAGACTCAGTGGTTCCGGCAAGAAGACCGCCCATCATGACGGCAGAAGCACCGAGGGCAAGAGCCTTGGTGATGTGGCCGACGTTCTGGATACCACCATCGGCAATGGTAGGGACACCGAAACGAGCAGCGAACTCGGAAACGGAGCGGACGGCAGTACCCTGGGGACGGCCGACAGCCATGACCTCCTGGGTGATGCAGATAGAGCCAGAGCCCATACCGATGCGGAGACCATCAGCACCGGCAGCGATCAGGCTGGCAGCCTGCTCACGGGTAACAACGTTACCAGCGATGACCTCGAGTTGGGGAAGCTCCTCCTTGATCCACTTGATCATCTCGATCTGGAAAAGAGAGTTACCCTGGGAGGAGTCAAGAACGACGATATCAAGACCAGCAGCGGCAAGCTTCTTCAGACGCTCCTTGTCGTCAGGGCGGGTACCGACGGCGGCACCGCAGATGAGCTGCTTGGAATCAGGAAGCTTGCTCGCGAGCGGGTAGTGAAGGTTCTTCTTAAGATCGGTGCGCGAAAGAAGAGCAGTAAGGTTGCCGGCGTTGTCGACAATGGGGAGCTTGCCCTTCTTTGACTTGCGGAGGATTTCGTTGGCAGTGACGAGGTCGATGCCCTCAGAGGCGGTGATGAGGTCAGTGGTCATGACCTCGGAGACGAGAAGATCATCTTGCTCAAGGAACTGAATGTCACGCGAAGTGACAATTCCGAGGAGCTTTCCGCCAACCTGTCCGTTCTCTGTAAATATAGAAGTCAGTTACTGCACAGTTCAACAGGATATCTCGCATGAAATATGCGCGCTGTCGAATCAACAAACAACTCCATGACTCGAAAGCAAGCAGAATCAGAATAAAGATTTCCACACGACCATTACAGTCAAACTACGGTAGAACGAAAGTTATAATATAAAAGGTTGATACATCATTTCGAACTTTCTTTCTTCCATGGAGTCATTTGCGATCGGGAAGTCGCGCGATTTCTGTTGAGAATTGATGGATGTGACAAGTTGCTTACCAGTGACGGGGAAACCAGCGAATCCGAGCTTCTCCTTAAGCTCGCGAACCTCGACAATGGTGGTCTTGGGCGAAAGGACGACGGGATCAGAGATGAAACCGTTCTCGTACTTCTTGACCTTGCGAACCATAGCGGCCTGCTCGTCGGCAGTGCAGTTGTGGTGGATGATTCCGACACCGCCAAGAAGCTATCAGCAAAGAGAAGCGTTAGAACAAGGACGTAGAGGAAGGTGGCAAGAAGGTCGGGTAGATCATACAGCCATGTAGATAGCCATATCACTCTCGGTGACGGTGTCCATGGGAGATGAAACAAGAGGAACCTTGAGCGAGATTCTCTTTGTGATCTTGGTGTCGAGGGTGACAGCAGCGGCAGGGAAGTCTGCGAAGAACAGGTTAGTAACCTGTTTAATTCTGCTGGGCTGTGCTTGAGCACGTTGCGCCCAAGAGATCATTGTGCGATTGCTGATCATGACAGTAGATTATAAATGCATACCAATCTTTCCGGGAAGGAGGAGGAAGTCATTGTATGTGAGACCGCCGTTGAGCTTGGAGTTCATGAGGGTGTCGACGTCGAGACCGTCGCGCTCCTTGTAAAGGGAGAGCAGCTCGACGGCCTTGGTAGCGTCCTCGAACTTCTGGGAGGAGGTTGCGGAGACCATTGTGTTTAGATACAAGAGAAGACTTGGATATGCGGTAAGAACAGGAAAGGGCCGGGATAAAGAGGCGTGCTTTACCAGGAGAAAAAGAGAAGAAGAGGAAGGAGCGAAGGAGCAGCGCGTGTGGTTTTAGCCACCAAAATTTTTTTGATTTTTTGCTTTGGGAGTTTTGGCTGCAGCGATTTAGACTTCCGTGAGCCGCACGGCCGACTGCCAGATTCAGTAGTTGCTTGCAGGCTTACTCAGCAAGTTTAATCACGTGGTATTCTACATAGATCACGTGAAGTGACCCTTTGTTTGTTTACTTTTTGTTGACGCCGGCTTAAACTTTGGATCCCCGGCTCATCGCGACGTTTCGCACCTCGCTCATCAGCTTCTTAGGCGTGGTCTACTACTCCGACCTCCACGCTTCCCTCTCAATCACCAACCACTGCCACTTATGGCGGGCCCACTAACCCCAGTCACTTCGACGCTCATCAATGCTAACACTTCGAGTACAGGTCATCGCACTTTGAAAGAGCTGGATGACACTGCCGCACTCAAAAATAGCAGCGTGCCTCATTTTCGGAACCTCGCCCAGAATCTTCGAAACGGCTCTGAAATCAGAATCCCAGGCGTCACAACAGATGCTGAAGATGTTGCTGGTATGAATTTTCCAGTTTCTGAACGCGGTCTTGCTTGGAGTCTATGATGGCCTTGATCTATACACGATTTGATTTTAACACTCGCTGCTCACTCAGGTCTCCAGGGTAGAATTCGATTGCAGCGGACGCAAAGCATCAAGACCGGCTCTCGAAACTGGATGGATAATCAGCGAAAAAATATCCAAGCTTACGAGTATTTATGCCATATCGGCGAGGCTAAAGAGTACTGTTTCATATCCTTTCTTCACTCGTTCGGTCTGATATCCAGTGTCTAATTTTTCTCATATAGATGGCTTGAAGCTTGCATCGGCGAACCTATCCCTCCGGTTGTTCAACTAGAGGAGCGTCTGCGAGATGGTGTCATTCTTGCTCAACTGACCAAAGTCTTCGCGCCAAACCTCGTCAAAAAGATCTTCCGCGCTCCAAAGCTGCAGTGGCTGCACTCCAACAATATTCACATCTTTTTCAAATTTTTGGAGGAAGTTGATATGCCTGATGTATATACTCTTTCTGATGTTTAGTCGAGACCTCGCTTTCGCAATGCTAACCTGTCATCGCAGCTCTTCCGATTCGAATTTACCGACCTCTACGATAAGAAGAACATTCCTAAAGTCATCTACTGTATACACGCACTTGCGTTTATTCTGTCGTCAAGTGGATTGGCACCTGAAATTGGCGATCTTGTTGGCAAGCTTGAGTTCACAGAAGATGAGATCCGCGATACCCAGCGTGGCCTTGACGCGGCAGGAATTAACTTGCCGAATTTCAAAACAATGAGTCGACATTTTGAAGACGGTTCTCAGGCTGCACAAGCACCCCAACCTGAGCCCGAACAAGTCCCTCGTGAAACCGAAGATGAGCGAGTTGATCGCGAGTTGGGCGAAGCCTCTGGTGATATCGTCGCGCTCCAGGCTGTCATCAACGGTGCGATAGCTCGCTCAAGCCTTCGCGCATTGATGGAGGATATGATGGACTCGAGCAGCCAGACTGTCACTATTCAGAGTCACATAAGAGCAAATATGGCTCGAGCGAAACTGGCTGCCAAGTTTGAAACTCTGAACTCAGACGGGAACAGCATAGTCAATCTTCAAAGCCTTATTCGTGGACAGACTGTTCGTTCCATTGTCGATGTGATTCTGAAGGAGCTGAAGCAGAATACCCCTCTTTACGTGCTGATCCAGAGTACCATCAGAGGCAATCGTGTGCGAGCAAGGATTAACTCAATTTCCAATCAGAATGACCGACTGGCGTTTGCAAAGAATGTTCAGTCAATCAGTCGCAAATATCTAGTTCAGCAGCGTCTGACCGCTCAGCAAAAGTCTCTCAACAGTCAGAGTCGCTATGTTACTCGTTTCCAAGCTCGGGCACGAGGTTACCTCGTGCGCAAGCAGGTAGATGACCATGACAATGTGCTCAGCAGACATACGCGATCTGTGATCGATCTTCAAAGTCACGCTCGCAAATACCTTTACAACACTAAGGCTAAGACGACAAACCGGAAGATAGAGTACACAGAATCTGCCGTTACTCTTCTTCAAGCTTGTGTTCGTGGGTGCTTGGCCAGGAGAAAGCTTGATCAGACTATGGTCGAGCTCCATTCCGATCCGAATACTACGCAATTGGAAAAGCTCCAAGCTATCTCCCGTGGAAAGATGCTGCGTCGTGATTTCTATAAGAAAGGTCTGCTACTAGAGTCATGCCATAAAGAGCTCGATGATTTGAAGTCCCGAATTCGTGGGTCGATGATCCGAGCCACTCTGATGGCGGACAACCTCGATCTCGTTCAGTGTGAAGAGCGTCTCCCTCAATTGCAAGCGATCATTCGACGATTCCTACTCAAAAACCGGATAATATCGACTATAGACGATTTGAAGAGTGCCTTGAGTGTTATAGTCCAGCTACAGTCCGAGGCTCGAGGATCATCTGTTCGTGACCGGATAAACGCAGATCACGAGGAGATCTTGCAGAACGAAGAAGGTCTTATCGAACTGCAAAGCCGGGTTCGTGGAATGCTTGGAAGATTTCATTATTATAGGGATCTTCGTGCAATCGATGAATCAGAAGGTGTGTCGGTTGTGCCTTTGCAGTCGTTGATTCGCGCAAGTTTTGTACGCGACTGGAGGCTGCGGATCATAGGACAGATCAGCAAGCACACGGACGATATCATTGAGTTACAGTCGATTATCCGTGGCGCTACTGTGAGGGTGGATATCCGAACTTTTGAGGAGGAACTAGCGGACGAAGAGTTCGACTCCATTCTGAGACTTCAGTGCCTGACCAGAGGTTATCTTGTTCGGAAGCGATTCAACGAGCGAAAAAACCATTTTGAGAAAAACATGAATCAGATTATAAAGATTCAGAGTTTTGTCAGAGCCAAGCAGCAAGCGGATGCCTATAAGGCGCTTACTACGGGAAAGAATCCACCTCTGGCAACTGTGAAGAACTTTGTTCATCTGTTGACTGACAATGATCTTGACTTTGAGGAGGAAGTCGAATATGAAAAGATGCGGAAGCAGGTTGTTGAGGAGGTGCATCAGAACGAACAACTTGAGCAGTTTATTGATCAGCTTGATGTCAAGATCGCGTTATTGGTCAAGAACAAGATTACTCTGGATGAGGTCATCAAGCATCAACGAGGAGCAATGCCCAAGACAGTGATTACCAGTTCCGATCCATTCGACCTTAGATCGCTCAACAAGACCTCGCGCCGGAGATTGGAGCTATACCAGGGAATTTTCTTTGTCCTGCAGACTCAGCCAGTCTACCTCTGTAACTTATTTGTGGCTCTGCAGACGATGCCTAGGGTGACAGAAATGGAGATCAAAACTGTGGAGGGTGTGGTGATGATACTCTATGAATACGCTCAGAGGAAACGGGAAGAGTTCTTCTTTTTGAAACTGCTCTCTAAGTCAATGACAGAGTCAGCTCAATCGTATGAGTCGCCGGCAGAATATGTCAAGAGTCATAATATGTGGGCAAGGCTCTTCACCAACTATGTCAGGCAAGTATTCCTGATTTTAACAATGATTTTAAGATGTATTTACTAACGGTATAATAGGGGTGCTGAGGAGAGACAATTCCTCAATGAGCTTCTGTCTCCTATAGTCGAGTCTGTTGTTAGTGAAGAGGACTTCGACTTAGAAAGCGATCCATTGACGGTAGGCAAACTCTTACTATTTAGAATATTTTGACTAGTCGCTAACGCTATATCCAGATATATCATGCCTCTATCAACAACGAGGAGATGCGGACGGGAATGAAAAGTTCAAGAGAACATAATGTGGTCGTCGACGTTGCAATCAAGGACCCAGAAACTAGGGCAACCTACATTAAGAATCTTCAGTTCCTCCGAGAGTATGCTTTAGAATTTTTGAGTACACTCACAGAAAGTGTTGAGAGCATGCCGTACGGAATTCGTTATTTCTGTCGCACTGTATTCGAACTTCTGCAGAAACACTACACCTTCGAGTCCGAGGACCGGCTTCTTAGCGTTGTTGCGAACGTGTTGTATCACCGGTACATGAATGGGGCTATTGTGGCGCCAGACATGTTTGGAATATACGCTGTTCCTTTGAATCAGTTGCAAAAGAAAAACTTGAGCCAGATTGCTCGCATAATCACTCAGATTGCTTCTGGACGACTATTCAATGAGGACAACGTGTTCCTGCAACCTTTGAACCTCAACTTGACCACGTATATCACTCAGATGAGGGATACTATTCGCCAGATCATTGATATTCCCGACCCCGAGGTTCATTTCGATATGGATGAATATGATGATCTCACGGCGCCCCAGCGCCCGACTCTGCATATGAAGACATCAGATATCCATTCTCTGCATTCGATCATCACAAGTTATATTGAAATGATAGCACCAGAGCTTCAGGATCCCCTACGAGCAGCTGTCAAAGAGCTTGGTCCACTTCCGTCGAATTCGAATGAGATTCTTAATATAGCGCGATTGACGGAGGTGAAGTTGGATCTGAATCCTAGCTTCATCAGTGTGGAGGACCGGGATGCCGAGGTGAACTCTCTATTCATGGCTGCCAAGAGATGCGTTCTTTACATCATTCGCGTGCAGAGCGGTAGCAATCTGCTAGAGGTTCTCATCAAGCCTGTTACGGAAGACGATGAGCGGAAGTACAAGGCGATCCTTGAAGAAGAGAAAGCTTCGAAAGCGGAAGTGACGTATTCCTCTGCCAACGCGCTCGGAGACCTGAGCCTATTGCATTACAGAGATTTGAAAGTGATTGCTTTGGAAAAGATCATCGAGCTGGAAAACCTCGGAAAGATCACTCGGAAGAATCACTTCCAAGATCTTTTGAATGCGATTGCGAACGATATCAGGACGAAGCGGAATCGACGAATTCAGCGGCAGAAAGAGCTTGAGGGTGCGAAGCAGACCTTGAAGCACTTGGCCGATAAGGAGTCCTATCTGCAGACTAAACTGAAGAGTTATAATGATTACATTGAGCACTCAATGTCGACTTTGCAGGCCAAGAAAGGGTATGTGTAGCTGTAGCGCGTGATTACTGAGCTTGGAACGAGACTAACTGAATTTATAGGAAGCGGAGAAACATCATGCCTTTCACCAAGCAGTTCTTTCACATGCGCGAACTGCAGAAATCCGGACGGGTGCCGAAGTTTGGCTCGTTCAAGTACTCGGCGGCAAAACTGCTTGAGAAAGGTGTGCTCATTGATCTTTCGGGATTCTCCGACCGTCAGTATGAGAAGATCGACTTCACGTTCTCGTCTGATCAGATTGGTGTCTTCTTTGTGGAAGCCTCACAGGGATCTATCACTCTGCCTGGTGGAACTGTGGACTTGACTCTTGACGAGCTATTAGAGAAACAGTACGTATAACCAGAAATCGTTCTGGCCTGTCGATAATCGATCTAACATGCGAATATCTAGATTCAACAACCACCAGACCTTGAAGTTGTTTGACGACATGGCTACATTCAATACTAATCTGCTGTTGCATCTAATTTTCAAGAAGTTCTACAGAGACGGCTAGACGTGTTGCTTGAGGCAAGTATATTTTTGAGATATCCGTGTTTGTAGTATTAGTATTTGTATTCTTGGTATATCGTATGATTTTGGCTCAAGTATTTTGCGATTTTGACATTTTGAGATTTTTGGAGGATGTGAGTGTATTGTAATGTGATTAGTTGGCTTTTTGGTAAGCTCTTTGAATCTCTTGTGATAATTCGAGGTGGAACAGTAATATTGAAAGCCAGTAATATACATTTGCCAGTTAATTCAAGACGTAGATGTAAGATCTGTTTGAATATTTCTCTCGAACATGCCCTACTCACTCCGCAACATCATCCTCGAATGTCGGGAATTCAACCTCAAAGTCCGTATCGCTGTCTATATCTTTTATCCGGAACGCGAGAACAGTCCCATCGCTGATCTCGAGAGCCTTCAAAGCTTTTGCCGACGCATCCTCCGACGCCGGCTTCCATCCTTTCGAATAATCTGTCTTATCTACCGGTAATCCGATAATCAAGTCTTCAATCGCCAAGTCCGTCCCGCTTGAGCCTTTGCTTTTTTCCGACTCCTCTGCCGCTGCTGATGTTGTAGATGTCTCGAACGACGGCTTGGGAATCGCGAGATCGTCCTCGTCGTCGTCCTTACTTTCTGTGCTCAGCGTTGTTTTGAACGCGGTGTAAACCTGCTTTTTTAAAGTGCTGAATTTGTCGTTCTCGGAAAGAAGAAGGAGGACGGTCTCTTTGCCGCGCTTGACCTTGATGGTCATGCTGATGTCGGTTCGAGCCTTGTAAATAGAAGCTAGTTAGCGATGATTCGGGAGGTGTCGTTTTTCGAGCTCTAGAGATAGAAGCGCGGACGCTGCTGGTACGTACCATCACGCGTGGACTGGTTCGAGTATGTAGAGGTTTGAATCGAATATACTGGAATAACTTGAAAGGTAGGGAGGGGAGAAGGAGGATGAAATTGGTGTCGGCAAAGGGAAGTAGAGCAGGTTTATCACTAAACCCTTCAGTTTCTGTCATCGCGAATTTACTCCACGCGTTCGACGCGTAGAAGCGGTATTGATCGTCCTGCTGCGGTCTGCGTATAGTTCACTGCCATTACCTCTATTGTTCTTAAAAAGCTTTACTATAAAAACGTGAATTAGATTTGACAACTATTTTCCACTTTCTAGATTTGTCAATTGAATAATCTGCAGGAGACAGGACTCACTGCCTTTTGAGATTTCGTCATAGTTAACTCGGCTGCCTAGTTGGTTTAGGGTAATTGCTACGCGGACCCTCATCGGTTCACAGAATTAGAGATTTGATGATATCTGGCAGTAGAAAGAGCACAGATAATCCCACGCAGTTGCAAAGGTGCAGATCATCTTGAATTTGTTTTCTGAGGAGAAACATATAAACTGCAACCTCATGATTTTGTGAGGAATATAATACTACTACAGCCGAGCGAAGAACCAATGTCAACGCGTATACGGAGCCGTCCGTCGTCGACGAACGTCAACGCAAATCAAACCAGCAATGTCGATTCCTCGGGCGAACCGGAGGTGTGGAGCAAGATCTGCAGCGAGATCAAGTCATTGCTGGAATACGCATCGATGAATGAGAACGCAAAGAGCCAGATTGCGAAGCTGAGTAAAGCGGAGGAGGAATTTGAAGATGACGATGATGATGATGGCAGTGGTGAGGCGGCAAAGGTGGAGGGTATGCGGATTTCAACCTTTTCTCTTTGTTCCCTCATGATTCTTGTGCTTTGGCTGACTGAATTGCTGTTTTTGACTGGTAGATCTGAGGTCGCAGCTGGCGAACCTGGATCAATTACGAGAGTTATATCAAACACAAATCGACTGTGCCCAACATGAAAAGAAGTACGCCCGCAGTTCGCAATACCACTCTTGATCCTCCGATTGGAATATTTACTGACTTTTGGCTTTGCACTTTGAAGACTACTGGATCAAGCACTGGAAGATGTCTCCATCTTATCTGCGCTTCGCCAAGCAACAGAATTTAACAGCACTGATAATAAACGGAAAAAACGAAAAGTGGACGATATCCCCGTGACCGCCGAAAGTCCAAAGAACTTCAAAAAGGCTCGAAGGTATGAGTTTGTCTATCTCGAAAAAGTTCTGTGTAGGGTGAAATTTGTGGCACGATGCTTAATAACGTAGTTCTAGTGGCTCCGCTGTTCCGGGTGATCAATACGTCGTCGGCGCACAGGTTGCGTTTCGGCTCAAGAAAGGGCGCGGTGTCGATGTCGAGTGGATTCAGTGCGAAATCACAAAAGTTATCGGCGAAGGGAGTAAAATCAGGTACGCTCCCTCTTTTATCTATCAATATTAAGTGGGCATGGAGTAGCATGTGCTTACGCTTTCTTCACAGATTCGAAGTACAGGACCCCGAACCCGACGAGAACAATAACCCAGGACAATCCTACAAAGCCGGTCCAAAGGACATCATCGTCATTCCCGAGACATCTGACGGTCTGCCGACCTATCCTCCCGGCACAAGAGTGCTCGCGCGATACCCGGAGACCACGACGTTCTACAAAGCTGAGGTCATGGGTACGAAACGCGATGGTACGTGTAGGTTGAAGTTTGAGGGGGAGGAGGAGGTTGGAAAGGAGACTGAGGTGGAGAGACGGTTGGTGTTGGAGGCGCCAAAGTGATAGATGTATTAATAAATCTGTTATTTGTATATCTGTACCTTCGTCTAAGGCTACAACCTGGCATGGCTCTCAAAAAAAAAATTTCCGAGAGTCAAAAAAAGTAGATAATCAGTTTATGAATATTCGTATAATAGCGCGACCGCTATTGTACTTTGATGGCGAATCATTTTGATCTTGCAAATATTGCAAAGTCAGTGAACATCAAGTGAGGCTCATCGCTGTCGTACAATACCAACCGAAAACGGCAATTATCTACCTTCATCAGATCTCTTGAATCTCTCGTCGCATAATGTGTCCAATAATTTTCCGTATCAATATCTGCACTATATTATATGATGTTTTTTTGGAATGGCAAATTTGTGTACTACGTTTTCGTTTTTCCCTCACAGGCCGGCAAACTCACGTGAAAATACTCTGGTGAATGTATGTAGTATATTCGATGACCTTCGTCAACATAATCTTTTTTCTCCTCAAACAAAAATATACACGCTTATCAGCTGCTTTTGAAGAAACTGTATCTGTATCCATTTCTCTGTCTTTACTTCAGAATCCACTCGAAGGCGGAAACGTATTCTCTTCGTCCTGCACACCCTGCTGCATCATCGTATCAGTTATGACAGACGCAGAAGCCTGCTGCGGCACCGACGACAGAATGTCAGAAGTCATCGCCTGCATAGACTGCTTATCCGGCCCACCCAGCTGCGACATATACGGCACCTCCTGCTGCGGATAACTTGTAATCTGGTTGTGCGTTCCCGGCTGCATCTGCATCATCTGCTGTTGCGTGAGCGCCATTGTGTGCCCGCTTACTTGGGTGACTTGTGTAGCAGGCGCGAGACCCTGGTGGTAGAACTGCTGCTGCTCCATCGGCTGCGAGTTCATAGGCTGGGATCTGAAGTCCGAGCCGGCCATCATGATGTCGTCGGTGTTAGCCGGCGACTGCAGCGAGCGAAGGTCGGTCCCGCTGATAGACGAGCCGTCGTCGGCCGCGGGATTGTAGGGACTGTAGATGTTGGGATTGCCCATCGAATTGCTCGGCGTGTTTTGTCCGCCGCTGCTGTAATATTGCTCTGGACTCACGGTCAGTGCCGGATTGGCGCCTTCTTGGGCTGACAGAGTGGAGGAGCCAAACTGCGCGGCCAGTGTAGCGGGGCTATCGTTACTTGAAAACTCCGGTGGCGGCGCACGCTGGACATGATATATTGAAGGGCTTCGTTTCATAGCTCTCTGGCGCAGATTTGTGAGAATCTCCAAGCAGCGCGTGGAGGCCATGTAATTACCGTATGCAGCAATCACACAGCTCAAGCGGTCGAGATCGTCAACGATCACATCGGCGTCAATCCCTTTTGGCGAGTATCCCATCTTGTGTCCCAGAACCATGGCCGAGATCGAGCCCATCGCATAGCTGACCGAGCACCACCACGGCAGCACGCAGACGACCGCTTCGTACACATACGGCGTGAGCTTGAGTCTCCGGAAATCAGGAAACAGCAGCATTGTCTTATGGCCGGCTTCCATTGCGCGGTACGCACATTGTGTTGTGAATTCGCGCGACTCTCGGGACTCGCCTGGGATATCGGTGCGGCAGAGACATGGTCTATTGATCAGTCGAATGACGTCGTAGTATAGTAGTTGAAGGTGGACTCTCTGAAAACAAGATTAGACAGGAAAAACGAGAAAAGACAGACAAGAATAACTTACCATCTTTAGTAGCATAAGATCCTCAGAGCTGTAGTCAATAGGAGAACTGAGATCTAAATGGAGAATCGCAGGCAAATTCTCCTTCCACTCATCAATCATATTATTCAGATCTTTAATAACATGCAAGACCGAAGACCACGTGTAATTGACAATTTCGGGTGCGTACAGCTTATCCATGACCTGGCCCAAGATGCGCGATATCTCGACCTCGTTTAGAAAGTACCGCGCTTGCAGTTTCTTGGTCATCGACGTGGCCTGCGAGCTCAGCTGGGGAATAAAGTCAAAGTTCTCAGATTCGGCACTTGTGGATGGAAGCGGGGCGGAGGTGGAGAAATCGGTTATGATTGACGGGCGGCCGGTGAGACCGCAGACGGTGCGCTCAAACACATAGAGCGCGTTCCATAGTCTTACACGGACTTCCTTTTGTGCGTCTGTGAGTTTCGCTCTATTGATTCTTAAATGCAGACCGACAGACTGTCCTTGCCGTACAGCGAGGCCTAGTAAACAATAGCAGCGGTTGAGATGATTTGTCGCAAAGAGATAAAAGCTCAGGAGTGCTATGTACTGAATGTGCTGCACATCACCAGGGACAGTGACATCCGGCTTCAGGATCTTCGCCCGACCGTAGAACTGCAGATGATCGAGCTCGATGTATCCAACGTCGGCGCGTCCTATATGAGCGACGGTGGAGGAAATGGCAAAGATGATGTTTAGGAGCGCGAGCCACTGCCCGTTCTGGTCGTCGAGATAACCAGCCCAGAAAAGATCGTACTGGTAGCGAAACAGGGGCTCGAGAATGAATGGGAACGAGGGATGGACTGTCTTGAAATAGTACTCAACCAGTTGATCTGCAGCGTGTCGCGGTGGCATCGAGCTCAGATCTACTGCGTCGACAGCGATATCCAGATCATCGAGATTGTAAGAAGCGTTGAAGTCTGCGAGCGTGGAATCGAAAAAGCCGGATTTTGACAAGTTGTCGTCGTCGCTGTTTGACTCGTCCTCATACACCACATCGTATATCTTCTTGATCCAGTCGACGCTCGAGGACTTGCCGATATACCCTTCTGGATCAGACATGCCAATAGAGTTGATGTCTTCGTTGAGATGATCGATCGAGCCAGTGGATCCCACTTCAGCAGATACTAGATCTTCGCCTGCAAGCTCCGAATCTGATGTATCCTCAATCTCGGCAGTGGCCTTGGTGTCGACAGAGCCCGGAGGTGCCTTTCGCGAGAGATCGAACCTGGACTGCTTGGGAAAAGAGGACTCCGAGGGCTGGGCAGGGTCGAGCGAATGTCCCTAATTTACGAGAGTCAGCAGCGCGGACAGGAATGAGTATGCGGTAAATAGAAGTACTTACAGTCTGTGGTCGCAAAACGTCATCAATGTCCTCGCGACTACTTCGTGGTAAAGTTCGTTGCAGCTTCTTGAGTATGGACTCGTACTTTGTCACCTTCCCGCGTAAATTTTGCAGTTCCCTGTTACGAGCCAAAATACGTTAGACTACCGCAAATGAAACCAAAAACAAAGGACGTTGAAGAGGTCTGCTTACTCTTTTGTGCGGTCGCGCTTGTTATTTGCGTAATAACAGCCGATTCCGAAGGACTGGCAGTGAGAGCATACTGGTCTGGAAGTAGAGGTTAGTGGTGTGATCAGGCTCGACGGGGGGATCATGGAGGGTACTCACTTGTCTCCACTGCACTGTAGATCAAAAACATATTGCGGGGTAAGATACACGAAAACGAGATACACGAAATCGAACAAAGAAAAGCAGACAAAGAAAGACAGGACGCACCTTTGTCTTTCGAATGCGACATGGCTCGCAGGCGTGGGAGATGCGTGGGCCCCGCGACGCCGTCTGCGGTGAAGCGGACTGACTCGAGATGTTCTGGCCCTGGCCCTGCGAGCGCGAAGAGGCACCAGAGCGGGCGCTGGGCGCTCTGGCATGGGTGCTGGTGTCAGCAGAACTGGACGAGCTCGGAGAATAGCTGGACTGGGCCATTGCAGTCGCCGGCCGGATGCTAACAAAGTGCGAGAGAGGATTCGGGGGATTCGAGGGATTCGAGCCGGAGCGGTGATGATGAGGAACCATTGCGGTCTATCACTAATATATTTGGCTGATAGTTTCTTTTTTTGAGATTATCGCTCGCTCGCGGAAGTAGAAAATTTGGTTAGCCTGGCTGTTCGGCCAGGTCGACTTAACTGTCAATTGATCGACAGCCGAGTAACTGTGTAACTACGTCATCGCCTCGGCGCCGCACGTTATTTGTTGTTGCTATCTTACACGCGTAGTACTGTACACACACAAGCCCCACCATAGCTCATCTCAAGTAGCTAAATAACCAGGCTGCTGTGGAGCGCAGCCAAGAAAAAGAAAACAAAGGGCAAACAAAAAGTCCAGACAATAATAAAAAACAAAATGATGTAAGAATGAAATGCAATAGCGCAGTAAAGGCGCGACGGTAGCTAGCAGTGCGGAGTCTACCGCGTGATATTCTTCTGAACCTTTGCCGTCTTCTTCCTGCTCCCTGCTTGCAGCTTGGGCAGCCTCTTCCGCTCTAGCGGCTCGATTCCGCGGAACTTTGACATCAGCGAGCTCGCCGGCGGCATGGGTTCAGCCGATCCCTGGCTTGCGCTGGCCTCCATCGCGTTGGCAGCGGGCGGGAAGGAGAGCACATATTGTTGGAAATTTATGCCGTCTTTGCCCCGCCAGATCTGCGACTCATCTACCGCCTTGAATCGCGACGAGAGCTCAAACTGCGTCTTGAGCGGGCCCACGCTCGACCAGGCGGCTCGTTTTGGGTCTTCGATCTTGGCCGGCGCTGACGCTGACGCTCCCGGGGTAGTATTGCTGCTGTATAAATTCTGTTGGATTTTGAGTAATAGTGATGTGCCGTCTGTAGTTGTAGAGTCGTCTGAGGCTGGGCGGCCGTCTGCCGTTGATAGCACTGGCTGCTGCGTGCTGCCTGTTATTGAAATTTCCTGTGTAGACCCAGTTGCAGTGGAGAGCCCTGATAAACTGACTGTGCTGCGCGTAATGCTTTCTGACTGGTGTATGATATCGTGTGTAGCCGTCCTCATCGTGCTTGCCTCCTCTGTTATCGGTATCCCTTCCCCATCTCTCCCCTTCTCCAACCGCGACCTCTTCGTCCCGGCCCCAACCTCTCTGCTCTCATAACCAGTAAGCACGCTGCCCAGTACCCCGGTCACTATCTCAGCGCCCGCAGGCCCGCTCTGTTGCCGACCCGAAAGACTGCTGCTGACGACCGAGAATGAGTCGCGTGTACTGACTATCGTCGCCGCGGCAGAAGTCGCTCGCGAGACTCTGAATTTTCCGCAGAGATGGTCGTAATCTCTGCGTCCGCCCATCATAGTTGCGTTGAGCGTCACTGAGTGGTTGTTGTTGTTGCTGTTGAGGTTGTAGTTGTTGTGGTAGATATTCGCGTCCTGCGATTAAAGCTGCTTGGGATGTCTATTTCGGCGTTCTCAACCTCAGGCTCATCTCAGAGAGAAACGCAGAGACCAAACAAACAAAGACAGTCTCCGCCAGCAAGACAGAAACCGAAAAACAGAGCAGAATAGAAGCAAAAGCAGCGCCGAGTGAGAAAACCGCCGTTGGCTCTTCAGTCCGCGCACGCACACCGCTCCGGAGGTTTGCGTCTTCTGATTAAAAGAAGCCTCTGAGCTTTTGCCGACGTCCTTTCCCTTTGGGTGCGGAGCAGGTTTAGGTGTTCCCGATCGGGTAAAAATAACTTTTGTTTTTTTTAATTTAATTTTAGTAAATTTGTTGCTTGTTTCGGTAATAAATACGCTGGTTGGAATTGAATACTTGTACTGTTTGTTCTTGTTCTTCGTTATCTGGTTATTGCATTCTGAAGTTTTCTTATTGCCTGAAAAAGGTCTTATTACTTGCACTTGATCATCAGCTGCTCTACAGTTCAATGTCCGATCTTCCAGATCCGAACTGTGCCCTGAATGCAGCCCGCCCTTGTCTCAACTACTGCATCCGTAAACTTTGTGCGCCGCCCTGCTACACCTTCAGTTACACTTTACAAATTTATCAATAATTGTCAGAATATACTGTCATTACTATACTATCCACCCTGAATCTTACACTAGCCAAACGTACTCCCACCAGACTTGCCGCTCCTGCGCAGCTGCGATATCCGCCACTCATTCGGCTCCGCAAACCGATTATACAGCGGCTCAATCTTCTCCTTCTTCTTCCGCTTCGACAGCATCGTCGGGTCCGCGACCTTGAAAAACGTCGGCGCCGCCTCAACCAACCACCGCGGCTCAATCGTCGTCACGCAGTGCATATACTCCTTTGACGTCATCACCAGCGTATGGTAGATCACATACTCGGCGTTCTTACCAAACAGCGCTGACGACGGATGCATGTACACCGGCGTGCTCTCAATCAGCGTCCGGTAGCCCTCCTGCGGATCCCGCCTCGCCGCGTTGCGGAAGAATCCTGAACACAGCGCCCGGCGCACGCGGTCCGTATCCGCGCCACACGACACAATCTTGTGCTTGTACCGCTGCATGATCGTAACTAGCTGCTGCCGCACCTCCTGCGCGCGCTTCATACTCCGCGCCTGGATGAAGTTCTCAAAACACCACGACGTGCTGTAATCGTTCGCTTTCCACGCAGAGTACACCGTCAGCAGCGTCAAATGATCTCCCGTCGGATCGTGGAACTTGGCCTTCTTCTGATCCGCCTGCTGCTGCTTCTCCTTTGGCCGGTAAAACACCGTCTGCACTGACAGCATCGCAACAATGCTCAGAATCTCGTCCGACGCACCATAGTCCACACTCGAAATCAGCACCTTGGCCAACCCGGGCTCCATAGGAAAATCAGCCATCTTCCGTCCTAGCCTCGTAAGCAGCCCTTCATCGTCTAGCGCAGATAGCGCATACAGCTCCTCGAGCGCGGACAACATCGTATTCGTAGGCGGCGGATCCATAAAGTCGAAATGCAACATGTCGTTGATCCCCATCGCCTTTAGCATCAGAATCGTGTGCGACAAGTTCTGTCGCTGAATCTCGGGCACCGTATTCGGCTGCATCTCCGTCTCGTACGCGGCCTCCGTATACAGCCTGTAGCACTTTCCCGGACCCGTTCGCCCTGCTCGTCCTGCTCGCTGTCGCGCTTGCGCCTGTGAAATCGGCAACACAACCAACGAGTCCATTCCCAGCTTGGGATCAAACGCATTGATCTTCACAAACCCGGGATCCACAACATAGTAAATTCCGTCAATCGTGATCGACGTCTCCGCAATGTTCGTCGCAATCACAACCTTGCGACTGCCTTCCGGCGCAGGATCGAAAATTCGACTTTGCACTTCCGACGGCAAGGCAGAGTATACCGGCAGAATAATCAGCTCAGGTACACTAGGCCCCAGCGCCTTCATTCGCTCGTACAGCGTCTCGCACGCGGTATCAATCTCTTCCTGTCCCGTCAAGAACACCAGGATATCGCCCGGCGGCTCCGACAAGTGAATCTGCATCACTGTGATCAGCGCAGCATCCAAATAATCCGGCTCAGGCTCCTTCGTGAACATAATCTCGACCGGGAACGTTCGTCCTGGAATGAAAAGAATCGGGCAGTTGTTGAAATATGAGGAGAACTTTTCCGCATCCAAAGTCGCAGATGTCACAATCAAGCGCATATCTGGCCGTCTCTTCAGTGTTTCTATAATTTGCGTTAGTGAATTGCTTTCAAGTTATAGAACAGACATGTGGAATACACATACGCTTCAGAAGAGCAAACAGAATATCAGTTGCAATCGTACGCTCGTGCGCCTCGTCGAGCATAATAACAGTATACTGCTTCAAATCAGGATCAAGCAATACCTCTCGCTGCAGCATTCCATCAGTCATATACTTGATCTTCGTCTTTGGACTTGTGCAGTCGTCAAATCGAATCGTGTACCCGACCTCGTCTCCCATCCTGCATCCAACTTCATCTGCCACACGTTTCGCGACCGACGTGGCGGCAACACGTCGAGGCTGGGTACAAGCGATCTTTCCCCGCTCTGCGAAGCCTTCTTCTGCAAGATACTGAGTAATCTGTGTGGTCTTTCCTGAGCCCGTATCACCGACGACAATCAGCAGCTGGTTCTCCCGCACGGCAGTAATGAGCTTATCGCGCAGTTTGAAGACCGGAAGTGACTCTCGCTGCTCTTTGATGCTCATGTTTGTGATACGACCAAACGACGTGTTATTATACAACGCCTTCTGCTTCCATTCCGGCATATTCGCCGGCCCGGTCTTCTTCGCACTGGCCTTGACTTCACCCGCCAGAACCCGAGACGAAGGGTCAACCATTGGATCTTCCCACTGCTCTTCCAAGGCCGCAACCTGTACCTTCTTATCAGCCTCTTCCCTCGCAGCTTGCTGCTTCTGCTCTCTTCTATCCTTAGCCAACGTCGTACCCGCCATAGCCGCACGGTACAGTGAACCATCAGGCGCCTTGACTACTCGAATCGGACTCAGTTCCAAGCTCTGCTTAGTCTGACCTGCCAGAAACGGTGGCTCTTCCTCGCGCACCTCAATATCGACGTCTTCCTCAGCTTCCAAATCAGCTTCGTCGGCCATTGCGTTCAAATCGTCGTCAATGTCTGGGTAATCGCCCGCGTTAACTACGCCGGACGCAATCAGCTGCTTGATCTCCCATCGTTCGGGACTCGTAAGCCGCTTCTTCGCCGGCTGCTTGAGAACATTGACCTTCTTGTTCCGCTCTGTATCGTAATCCACACCCATGGTTCGAGCGTTTGCGCCAGTCAGATGCGTCTGCAGCCCGATATCTTCGCCGGTTTGCTGATCGATATCCTTCATGCTCAGCCCAATCCTAGTCCCCTCGATGGTGACAACCTTGACGTAGACCTGTTGTCCGCGTTCAAGAAAATCACTCGGATGATTGATCCGACCGCCGCTTTGTATTTGCGATACGTGCACGAGGCCATCCGTGCGCGTGCGGAGACCGTTCAAAGTCACAAACGCGCCAAAATCAGTGATGTTTGCAACCTTGCCCGTGTATACCTTAAAAAGCTGAGGCGCGTCGTCCAGTTCTGGCGTGCGCTCGCGCCTTCGCTCCGAGCGTGAGGATGTCCCGTGTCGTGAGGAATGTCTGTCACTGTGTCTTTCTTCGTCGTCGTCACGGTGACGGTGGTGTCGGTGTCGGTGACTACTAGATCGACTTTCCTCGCCGTCGTCGGCGTCGTGTCTGCGCCGACGCGAGTGATGCCTGTCTTCGTCGTCCGCTTCAGACGATCGGTGATGGCGCCGCCGCTTGTCGTCCTCCTCATGTCGTGAACTTCTATGGCGTCTGCGACCGCTGTCGTCCTCGTCTGAGGCGCCGTCATCGTCACGCCTGCGTCGTCTGCTCGAACTACTCGCGGCAGTCGAGTGCGGCGTCTTGAATCTCACGTCGTCGTCAGCTGTCTTGGATGTGCTGCTGGCTTTCTTATATTTCGGATGCATAAGCCTGATAAACCGATCGATCGAGCTCGCGAGCTCAGGGCTCAGAGACTCGTTCAACCCGCCTTTGATAATCTTTTGGAAATCATCGACCGAGCTAGATTTCGAGTGAATCTGAATGATCTTTTCCGCAAGATCCTTGTCTCTCCTCCCTATATACGAAACAGTCAGCATGTAAGCTATAGACACTATACAGCACAATCAAAAGCGACCAGCATACCTAAATGATTCTCAAGCTCGCTTGTGATTTTGGAAACGAGGGCGAGAACCTCGAGTTTCTCAAAATCATCAGCCAACCCAGCTGATGCAGAAGCCATTACCGCTCAGTCAAACAAGAGGCGCACAATTAAATGCACTTCTTTTTTATATTTAACTGGTTCGATCTGACTAGCACACTCGGGCTCTGTGATAATGAAAAGCAAAGCTTTTGGATGCCTGTCGCGATGGCGAATGTTGGATTACGCTCACAAAGTTTTGTAAATAATGGGTACCAAACCCATGTGCTTACGCTTAAGAAGATGTAGAAAATATGGAAAAATTGAGAAAGCGAATTGCTTATTTTGATTTTGCGAATTATATACAGACAAGTCGCAAGCAGTAGATTGCTGCTTGACGTCAATAGACATCAGGCAATCAAGAGATGTACAACTGGTACTGAAAGCGAGAGGGGGGGAGTGATGATGGCAAACACCAAAAGAGAAGGATCATAAGATGCCGAAGAAAAGCATAGAACACGATTTTGACGGGACCGAATAAAACATGGCATAAAGAAGATGTGCAAAAATCAGTGATACCCAAAGCGCCAAAAAATTCAATATCAAATCGATAAGGACGATAAACGACGGAAAAGGAAAGAAGCAGATAGCAGAACGTTAAGAAAATTGACAAAAAACAAAAGAGAACTCCGTATTGCAAATGGTTGAAAATGTAAAGAAATGAGGATTTAGTGAAAGACTCTGAATTACAGTCTCTCAGACGACCTGCAGAGCTTTGGCCTCCTGAGCCATGGCGAGCTGGAAAGCCTTGATCTTTCCGCCTTGTTCGCGCAGCCGGTCCATGACATATCCCATTCCCTTCTGCGAGCGATTCAGGTTCTCGCCCATTTTGCGCTGTCCCCAGAGCTCCATTCTCTCTTTCATCGAGTCGAAGCCGAAAGAAGAGAGGAAGGAGACGGTGGTGTTTGCGCGGACGATTTTTGAGCCGTCAGCGCTGACGTCGCCTTTGTAGGTGGCGGACTCGACCACGCGCATTATTTTTGTAAAGTCGATGTTTTTGGCCTCGGAAAGGATGAGCTCGTTGCGAGGGTCGATGATGGAGGTCTCGAGGATCATGCTCTCGGAGATGTTTAGTTTCGAGGAGGAGAGAAGGACTTTGCACCAGTGGGGTAGCTTGCCGCGCTTGACGACTAGGCGCTTTGTGTGGAGACGGCCTTGCTCGTCGACGAAGCGCTCGAGTGTGTCGACAGAAAGAACATGGGTAGCATAGGGACTAGAAAGAGCAGGAAGAAAGAGAGTTAGTATGATATACGATATACAGGGTAGGAGCTGGAGAAAGCGGAGGAAAGAATGAGAGAGTGGTCGTACTTTGGGTAGCGTAGGAAGTAGGCGAGCGAGAAGGTGTTGAAGTCGTGGTTGTGGGTGAAGAAGGACTTGTAGAACTTGACCATTGCTGTTTCGCCAGAAGGACCGGAGCAGAAGAAGAGCAACAGAGGCAGGTGGAGGTCAATTGACGTTGAGTTGGTGAAGATCGGTGATCGGAGGCGGAGAGCGGACGGGCGAAGGATTAAATCCTCGAGGATTGGTGGACCGATGCTCCGCTGCCGAACTCTGTCGGTTACCCGGGGCCGGAAGTCAGCTGCCCCGGCGTCCACGTGACTGTCACGCACTCGACCCCGCCTCTGCTCGCGCGAAGCTCGTCATTGTTTGATGATGAGAGAACTGTTGATTCTACGTTCAAGCTGCTGACTGTTTGCACCGCCGAACAGGGCAGGATATTGTCTGGGCAGGCGAGGACTAAGCCTGTGAAGGTCTATGGAGTGTTCCGAACCAGAGTCTCAGGATCTCCTCGCGAACAGATCGATCGCTGGAATCACATCGAGAGCAGCGATCCGACATAACCTCCAGAGATATCTCAGATCACATCCACAAGGTACATTGTAAGCATCCGTACAGCTCAGGCTGGCAGGGCACAGATAAAAAGATACACAGTAAATTTATACAAGAGATAGAGTACTAAAAAGATTATATGCCCTCTCGCTCTCTACCATTAAACCTCCTCCTGCTCACTACATACACCACTCCTTCTTTCTACTTTGCTCCCCGTTTTCATAATCAACCCCACATCCAGTCCACAAACCCACAGAACCACCCTCCCCAAAACCATAAGCGCACAAACGAGCCAAGGAAACTGGGCCAGATATGATCCAGCACCCCCGCGCAGCCGTAGCCCTCGCTCTCGACGCCCTCGCCGTACTCCAACGTGTTCCGCACCCGGCAGGTGCCCCAGTAATTGTACCATTTGGGCTGCTGGCACACCACCGTTCGATCGAGATGCTTCCACAGTGGACCTGTCGGGCCCTCGATGTATCGCCACTCAAATGGGTGGAAGTGCTGTCTTGGGTCATCTGGCGGAAGCTTGTCGTCTCCCCAGTGTCCGGGGAAATAAAGCCATTCTGCAAGTCAAACGTCGTCAGTCAGAAGTAACTCACATCATAATCATATCAAAATAAAACACATACCGGCATTGACATCAGTCGTATCTCCCTCTCCGCAAACGGTGGTGCCGTCATATGTATACCCCAGATAATTCTTCGCCGGATCCCACAGCGGCCCGCGGTCCGTAAAATCACTCAACATCCGGAACGGCAAATCGTGCGAGTGCTGGCCCGCCGATCCATAGTTTGCATGAGTTCCTCGGCCAGAATAAATCACCGGCCGGTTCGGGTCTCCTTCCTTCTTCTCGAGCGCCTTGAAAGAGAAGCCACTGCCGCCGCCGTGGGCAGACATCCAGAGCGAGTGAGGCTCACCCTTGTAAAAGCGTAAGATGGAATGCTCCCAATCACCAATATGGTTGCCATAAGGTCCACCGCCCATCACGAACGGGCCAAGGTTGAAGGCGTAGAAGTAAAACCAAAAGGAGTCAACCCATCCATCGCCCTTGTCAAACACAATCAAGATCGCAGGAACAGGCACTTCCCCGGTCTCGATGTCGGGAAGATTTCCTCGGCCTGTGATCCAGTCGGGGTCGACATCAAAGTCATCCGTCGACGTCAGAAATACGTTCTCTTCTCTCGGTAGCCGGCCGACGTCGTATAGCGTCATTGGGAAATTGATTCCCTCTGTGATGTTCTTGCCATCCATGACTGGATACATGTGGGAAACACTATCAGAATAGTTTGTTGTCAGCATACATGGATACCAGCAATATCACCAGCAGCAAAATCCGCCACTCACAAATCCCGAACATCACACGGCAGATAAACCTCTTCAGAATATAAATGAACAGTTGGAGCTAAATGTATCATTCAAGTCAGTACTTTGTCCCCAACACCGCTCTATCAATCGGCGCACGCACCATATTTCAAAACATAATCCGGAATCTGTCCAGGCTTTACAGACCAATCGTCGGCCTGGGTGTTTGCACTTCCTGTAACCCACGCTTTAAACACCTCCATCGGACTCGCCTCTGCACCAGAAGAGCTTATCAGGACTAAACTCATCAAGACCAGTGCAAGCGACCGAGCACCTGAAGCCCACCCGAAGCACGTCGAAGTCATAATTCTTGATGATCGCGGGATTGTTGTTATTAGTCTGATATTCGCTTGCAATATCGAATGAATAGGTTGTCGTAGTTTGCTATTTCATAAAAAGTCACAGGTGGAGCGCCACGGGCATGTTGATACTCGAATGTGCTGATTAACGGGCCAAGTTGCTCTTGTGTATATCAATTTACACTCAATCACTATCTGTATTCCGAATCAGGAAACAATCCTGGATAGCTCAGACAAGTGTGCGTTGTTCTGGCCTGACAAAAGAACGAGCTGTGTTAGCAGGCTATCGACAATTCAAGTATGGCTCCGAATTCGCTATCAACAGTCGTCGTCATGACATCTCTGGACAGTAACTGATAGAGCGCTCCGGACGAGCCCGGGCCATTGTTCACCACCAGATATGAAATGAAATCCCAAAACTTACCAATATCTGTCGAGACAATAAATGACTCTTAACCACTTTTTCGCGATAACAAAAACCGCTTTCGAAACCTGACCGCTTGACGTTCGTATTTAGCTCGAGGCAACTGACTCTTCGAGGACTGATTTCGAGAGTTCCGGTCCTTGTGCACTTTAGCTCCGGGGGTCCGCATCCGGTGAGGCGGGCAGGTGCGGTAACCCTTACCCGGATGGACTATTCGGGAAGTAGCGAAATAAACCAGAAGCAGGTGCACCGAGGAGCTCAAGTCGCGTTGTGGTTTTGTCATTGGAAATATGACCATCTTATAGTACCGAATTGATTTATCCTGCTAATACAGACGATAATTGATAGCGGAAAGATGCCTCCTCGATCGTTTAAGGTGTGCAATTTCATCCCATATAGCCTGAGATCACTTGCTAACTGTCTCGGATCGTAATCTTCAGCCTGTCCGTTCGATGGTCAACCCAGCTCCTCGTGTATGCACTTCTCTACTGATAGTTTTTGAATGTTACAGTATGTTTACTTAGTTTAAATTGTTACAGACTGAGGCAGCGAAGCAGGCGTTGAAAGCATTTCACTGCGATCTCTGTCAAAAGGTAGTCACCACCAAACATACTATCCTCAGCACATCAACTGACTGGCCATCAAAATACAGGGATACAGTCGTATGGACGAATATGAAACGCACATAAGCAGTTACGAACACCAGCATAAAAAGGTATGTCTAGGTCGCCCTCTTCGTTCATCCTTTTCGTCCACTAATCCCCAATCGTCCGCAGCGATACAATGAGCTCAAACAAATGCAAAAAGACTCCTCAATGACCGCAGAACAGCGCCGCGAGCGCGAAATGCGCGAATCAGGCATGCGCACCATCTCACTCGACAGCATCCAAGTATCCACGACTACATCTTCATCTACCGCCGTCGCCGCCGGCGGGGCACCATCCACTGCAAAGGCTGGCTTTAAATCGATCGGTGGCGGAGGGTTCAAGAAGTTTGGCTCAAAAGCGAAGACAGCGACGACTCCTACTGCTGCTGCTTCAACATCGACAGTTAAGACCGAAATTCCGCGGAATGACTTTGCAAACGAAGAAAACTCTGACAGCGAAATTGATGCCGACTATGAACACTACGATCCTCGACATCCTACCTCTCCCTGATCCTTCATGATCATTCGATTTATATATTTTGATTGCGCAGTACGATAATCAAAGCGGCGTTCTTGGTGTTTGTTTATAATGACTGTACTATTTGTTTGCAATGTGCATATTTTTGAGATAAAAATACAGTCTATTCATAATAATTCTTGTAACCCGAAATAAAAAACTCCTTGATCTTGATACTAAGCATCACCCGTAAAGTACATACAGCCACTGTTATAAATCCACGTCAAATCCCCGCCATTAAATAATTTGAATCTGTTCTTCGCTATGCATTCAACAGCTTCCCTTGCAAAATCTCAAAAACCATTCGCTGACGCAAAAGTTTCATCTCATTTTGCGTGAACGTCAGCGGCGCGGCCCGCGATAACACCTCGACGGTCTTGCATGTAAAAACTCCGCAGTCGTAGCCGTTTCTTTGCAGGGGAGAGTCGTTGGGGATGTAATCTTCCCATTGGTCAACGTCGTTGAGTGGCACGTTTTGTGTTCGGCTTTCGTTGATGAGGTATTCACGAAGGTACTATCGAAAAGGTCAGAGATATACAACAATTGATTGAACAAAGGAGGTGAAATTACCTTGAAAGCTCCACCTGGACCTCCAGCCATCGAATCATAATACTCAAACCGCTTGTCTTTGATATTTATGACACTTGCGCACCAATGAGCATTATGAATATTAATCGGAATGAAAATGTAATCCACGCTCGCCAAGTCCAGCTGTTTACGCCGACCCCATCGCGCAACTCCTTGGTACCCCTTTGACTGCAGCGTTGAGTAAAAATGAGTCGTGTAGACAAACGAGCGCGGATAGTCGTCGTTCTTCGACGCGTGGTCACGACTGCGCTGCGTGACTAGCTCGAGATAAAAGTCAATCACGTTGTCGTTCAGCCATTGCCGGTCGCCCAAGGTCCTCACGTCTCGGACCGTGATGTCGATTCTGAAAGCGGAGATCAGTGTCTGGCCCAGGTTTCCACTCGAAAGACACTGATGGACTTTAGATAGCTGCGCGCTATTGAGAGGCGTGATAATCTCCTTCTTGGGTCGTCGCAGCTCTTCGATCGCTTTTAAACGCGCCTTGCGGCGTTCTTGAAGAGCTTGAAAACTAGGGAAATCTGTCGCGTTGCCCTCCTTGACCAAGCGCTTCAACAGCTCGTCTACGCTCTTCGAGTCTGAAATTCCGAATGGAATTGGTCTGCGACGCACTTCGGGTGTAGATCGCGCAGGCGACAGGCTTTCGGCCAGGGGTGACGATGGGAGGCCACCGTATAGATTTGGTGCTAGCCTGTTTCTGACGGCGGTGAGGTAGACATCGTTATGGAGTCTGTGCATGCTGGACAGAGACGACGGCTTAGGGGCGCCAGCTGTGCCTGCAGGTGTAATCTTCTTGAACGGACTTTGATACTTGCTGACGCGACTTGATCCGGAGAACGTGTTGAGCCTCAATGCTGAATACTGGCCAGAAGTCGTAGACGGAGTCGCTGCCTTGAAAGGTGTTGAGTGCACCTGATTCTGCGTATTGGCTGGGGTGGCGCGTAGAGCACCAAAGCGCTTCTCGTATTGCTTCCGGCGACGGATAGCTTCCGTCAGTTTCTTCCTCCGCTCCTCGTCGGCCTTCGATTTGGCAGTGACTGGTCGACCTGAAGTTGTTGGGAGGTAGGCACCAAATGGAAGATCAGGCCTATGAGTCGGCTGCTCGCGCTGATCTTCAACAACTGTTGGACCTGCGTCCGGCAGTGTCTCGCCGTCGCTAAGCTGTGGCTGCGCAGGCGCATCAAATTTCAGCTTGCGCGGTTGAAATTCTGTTCTGGGAGGTGTTGGTAGAGAAATATCAAGTTTGCTGGATGATGGAGTGGGGGACTGTGCAGGACGCGCATCGGCAGGAGGATCCTGTAATAGCTGCTCATGATTCGAGGCTTGCCTGTCGCCATCAGACGGACTAAGATGCACCGCTGAAGCCTCTATCTGTTCAGAAACATGTTCTTCCGCTCCTCCTGTTTTGAAGCCCAGCAGATTTATGATCTCAGAACACCAGCTGTTCAGGAACCCCGTCCAAGATCCGCCGGGTGCGTTAATCCTGCCATCGTCTCCTGGGCCTCCGCTTCCACCGCGACTCCAGAGGGAATCGCCCATTCGGATCAAAATTCCCCAAATCGACCAAATATTTGCAACAGAACAAAAGACAGGACGCGTAGAGCTCTTGCTTTGGACTGTAGTGACGATGGTTTTCCTGGCCTCGAGAAGGAGGAGCGGGCCATTTTTCTGATCGCAGTTGTTTTGAGCCGCGCGAAACTGTAAATCGGAGCCACGGCCACTCAGCTCGTGTTTACTCTCCCAGAAGATATCATCAGGACGTGTTAGTGCTGAATTCCGGTCAGCCAGCTGCTCTGCACCCGGAAAATAGCTCATTCGAGTTCTTTTGGAAGTGAAATACAGATATTTATTTGCGCAGAGTATCTGGCACGAGCCGGTTGTCGCAGATTGTGCAAACTACCTAGAACCGCATCGCGTCGCTGCTCTACACGCAATCAACTACACGACTCTACAGACACCAGTCATTCTTGACACCTAACATACAATGCCGCTGACAATAAGTATCCGAGGACCTCCAAATGCAGATTTTGTGCTTGGCTATCCAGGTATCGACGCAAGCTGGGTAAGACGACCTGAACTCCTCGCGATAAAAGCGGCTGATTGCCGATTTCACTTGCTAATCGTCTTTCTTTCATAGCCTCGGATTTGCGGAGTGGTCGAAGTTCGCTCGAAAACAGGAGGTCCGTTCAGGCTCAAGACGCTGGAGCTCCAGCTCTATAGATCCGAGGAAATAACGGTGCATACGGCGAGGGTTATGAAACAGATGAGAAAGGAGACATATGCAGTCGGCCGTCCGGTCCAGCTGCACGACGATTCCTCCAGGAATTCGTACCTCTCGATGAGTTTCCCGTTTATCTACACTCTTCCATTTGCAAGGGAGATGGAGCTGCCGTCCAGCATGCATATTCCCAAGACCGCCTCGACGATTTACAGTCTGCAAGCCGCGGCTCTAGAGGACGATATTAAGGTCACCGACTATGTCCGGACATTCTGTCCCATCACAATCCTTCGTTACGATACTATTTCAGTGTTTTCCGAGTTTCGCCAGCAGCAAACGGTGGTGGCCAAGTCAGACGATTCGCTCGTCGATGTGGCGTTGACGCTCGACAGGATAGCGTTCGGCCCGGGCGACCCTGTGCATATGGTGATTGACATTGTCCCAAACCCAGATCTGCAATACAAGTCGAGCAAAGTGAAGATAAAGAGCATATATATAGACCTGCAAGAGATTATCAATTTTGGTACCGTCAGCGACGGAATCATTCCGAAAATCAAGACAATTCAGGCAGAGAAATTGGATATGGCGAACCACATCTCGCTAGGCAACCAGGCGCACCAACAAGACATCACATTTACCTTCCCGGTACCAAAGAGAACTAATCGGGAAGTATTACAGCGCGATGAGGCGGCGAGTCCCAACACTCTTCTCTCGTCGTTCACGCAGGTCTCGGCGTTGTATTCAGTCAGCTTCATCCTGAAGATCGGGGTGAGATTTTCCGGCTGCAAAGACGTCGAACTCAACCACACACTCACAGTGACACCGTTCGACTCTGCTACTTGCCAGGCACTTCTCTACCCGCTCAATAACGCTATCAAGACGACTGTGGGCGCGACACCCTTGCAACCCACTCCGACGTTTATTAAGGCTAACGATCCGGTGGCTGCGTCGAAGCTCGGAATAACAATGTCCGGTCAGCAGAGGAGTTTATGGATTGAATGAGATGGAATGAATTCTGTTTTTATTGGCGTAATATGTGGTGGTCTATGTATGTTTTATCAGAGTAATGACACAATAGAGTATTATTCGATCGAAGTTAAGGTTGTAGAGCTCACTCCACAGATACTCATCGAGCCGCATCAGCTGAAAAATATCAGTCCCAAATTCCCAATACTGCTGCACGTTGATACAGAGAAAGCCGTCGCTAGAAAACAAAATCACAATGGACGATCTAGACAAAGACTGCGAAGACTCCCCTTTGCCGCAGAATGGACGAGGTGGCGAACACGATGACGACGGGGCATCGGACGACGAGCAACAGGATTGGAGACTGCTAGCGGCCTACAGCGGAGCCAGGTACCTGCTTCCAACAGTCTACAGCATCAATACTGGTGGTTTATTGACACGAGCGTTAATTTTAGTAAAAAGAGCTTACCGAAACGAGGAGAGAAAGAATACGAGCCCGATGGAAGTCACACTGACTCCAGTAATCTTGAACAAAGTCGGACGGCGATGTACACAGCACTAAGTGGTGAGCGCAAACACACAAGGTCAGTTTACTCTCTACTGCTACTTTCATGCTAGCAAGTGTGAACTACGTGCTCTAACATCCCCTTCTATAGCAAAGCTCATATTTCAGGCATATGGTTCCCCAGTCTGGGAAAGGCTAGAGTTATATCGGCGCGAGGTCCTCACTTCAAAGCTATAGGAAAAGCAGACTCAACCGGTACTATTTTCCTTCTTCCGGAGGAAACAATTTATTTGGTAGAGCGAGGGAGCATGACTTTATACAATTCGCGAGGGGATACTTCCATCTCTCTACAGGGATGCTACGGGGTATGTCTCAAAGCCTGCGGCGGACATGAGAGGTACCTTGTCTACGCCTACTTAAAACGACTCGGATTCAATATTCAGAGAGCCAGTACGTTTGACAACGAAGGCGTACCCGAGTTGCCTGTGATTGAGAGGAAATGGAGTTGGGCTTCTTTTTGGTCCTCGATTATGGAGAGGTGCATGAGCTTTTGGAGCGGGGCGTCTTCACTTTTCGCAAAACGAATCGCTCCTTTTGGACCTGTTGTTCATGGTGGAGTTTGGAGATCATATAGTGAGTTTGTTTTCACAAACAATTATTATGAATACTGGAAATTTGGTTTCTAACGAATTGTACAGGCTCCATTTATCGCAAATTACAGATCATTCCCTACGAAAGTCACAAGAATTATACACCACCAGTTGCTAAGACAGAGGTCCCATTTCGGGTCACTTACAACATCTGGAAACCACGGCCGTCGTTCAAAAAGTCTGCACCGGGAGAACCTGACTTTCAAATTGTGGTAGTCAAGTAAGTGGTAACTGCTGTTTCCTCGTTGAAGCGTAGCCCGACTAACCCAATCTCTACTCTTCACTTTTGTAGCGCGGCAAAGGAGAAAATGCCTTCATATAGTCAACTACGAGCACTGTTTACCAACGTTCCTCCCTCAGCGCGCGGCGGGAAAGGTACAGAGAACCAGCGACTGAAAGAAGGATATAGGAATGTACTGATTGCGGTTGTTGATTGTGGGATCATCAGTTTTGTGAGATTGGGAGACACGTCGTTTGGAGACGAGACGATCTACGAGCGTTCCCCGCGAAATATGAGGAAAGGCCAGGCGCGCGCAAGACCTGCAGCGTCCGCAAAAAAGACATAGATAATATATAGCATGTTTGAGAAATAATGTACAATTGACCCCTATAGAATCATAAACCCGATATACATTTATACTATAGTTGAATGTAAGCATTAGTAGTGCACACTGAATCGGATTTTAGCAAAACAGTCAACATACCATCCAAGAAATCCGAGGCTACAAGGAGCTCAAGGGCCATTTCAGGAGGAATTTCAAACTCTGGAATATTTCCCGGATTGTTCTGGTGCTTCAAATTGTAGCAAAGGTATTCGCATACTTTCTCGAGGAGGACGCCACTACAGCCATCAAGGCATCAGTTAGACCACGCTTCAGGTAAACCAAATGGTGCCACGCTCCCATAAACTCACTTGATATCTTTCAAGATAACCCGATTGGACTGCGACTCAAGACCAGCACCCTCAAACATTCTCTGAAGTGTACCAGACACCATGGCTGCCTTGCGCGAAATCGAGAATTTGTATCCGTCTGATGAGACCAGCAGCACAAAGTCCCCTCCCTCTTCGGTCTCGGCTTGAGACATTTTGTCGATATATAGTCCCTACAGCAGATTCTAAACGGCAGCTCAGTCGCAAGCCGTCGAACCGTCGCGTTTTATAATATATCGCAGCAATGACCCACGCACGCGATGCCCGCGAGCTGAGTCGCGTATAATAGCAGTTCCCAAACGAGACAGTTACCCGGCTCCAATGCAGCACCGGGTAACTTTTACTTTGGCTCGCGCACCGACCTGATAGGGAGCTCTTGTGGTCATCGTCAAGCCAGAAGATCAGATAGCAGCTTAAACTGACGCGCACGCCTGCGTTTGAACCTATCAGTTTGGACCTGCTTCCCGGTTTGCCCAGGTGATTTTATCAGACGCTTGTGGACGTTTTGCGCGTGGAATTTTATGCGAGTTTGGTGGCTCAACGCGTATTCAAGCTCTCTCTGATCTGGGAGGGACGTCAGCGCTTTGGGATTTAGCCCAGTCAGTCATTGGAGCAGCGTTTTCCAGTAACTCGTGGGCTGCATTTCAAATCCGTTTAAGCAGCAGCAGGACCGCTGTTTAATATCTGTGGGCATATAACTTGGGTGAATGCAAATACAAAAGAATGGGAAATCAAATATCACAGGTCACTCCGTCGGCACCGACTGTTGGGATTGACTCCTACGTCGACGAACTCGGAGACATTCAATACGACAAGACATGCGGATCGGCGCGGTTTATGAAAACTGTCAAGGGTCGGCATAAAGATGGGCTGGTTATTGTCAAGATATTCATCAAGCCTATCGCGAACCTCTCGCTGCGGGCGTTTCAGAAGCAACTGACGAGTATGTTAAACCTGCCCTACGTTCCTCTACACCTCTGTCTGAGAGACTATGAGGACGGAATTTTTCTGACGTGATATCAAATATAGCTGAGCGGGCTGCTTTGCAGGATGTGTCGCATGCGATAGCTTATGCCAAAATCGTGGAAACAGAACGGGCAGGATATCTAGTACGACAGCACTTTGACAATATTCTCTATGATCGGATAAGGCATGTGTTCTCTTGATTCATCCCGTATATAGTCAGCTTTGCTAATTGTGTTTTTAGTATTCGGCCATTCCTCGAGAACATTGAAAAACGCTGGATTGCGTTCCAGCTTTTATCCGGCCTGAGCAAGTGTCACGCGCGCGGAGTCCACCACGGCGACATCAAGACTGAAAACATAGTCGTGACGTCCTGGAACTGGGTTTACCTGACAGACTTTGCGTGTTTCAAGCCTACATACCTTCCCGAGGACGATCCGGCCGATTTCCTGTTTTTCTTCGACACATCATTGAGAAGAGTCTGCTACGTCGCCCCCGAACGCTTTTATGCCCCAGGGGAGAATAAACGAGGACCTCTCACCGATGCCATGGATGTATTTAGTTTGGGATGCGTCATTGCGGAGCTGTTTCTTGAGGGAACGCCGACTTTCACGCTTTCACAATTGTTTGGATATAGAGAAGGCTCGTTCGTGCCGGATCTATCGAAAATCGATGACTTGGAAATAAGGTCCCTGGTCCGCCACATGATCAGTTTGAACCCGGCCGATCGACTCTCAGCTTCCGGTTACTTGGAAGAATGGAGCGGCCGAGCCTTTCCAACATACTTTTACAATTTCCTCCACGAATACATCCAAAACATTACAGAGCCGAGTGTTCTCGAACTCGGCGAGCGATCGCTTGCACAGCAATATCTCGAGGCCGATCGCCGGATAGAGCATATCTACAACGACTTTGACAAAATTGCTTTCTTCCTGAAATTCGACGCTCCGCAGCTATCAAACGGCGCCGCAAACTCTCACAAGACAACGGAGCCGATCCCAGTCTATCTCGATATTCCCCATTACCACACTTCGACTCCCGTGGCGCCCCGCAACCCCCCTGAAGACGGAGGCGCAGTCATTTTTCTCGCGATCGCGGCCTCAGCAATCAGGAACACGGCCACTGGACGAGCAAGACTGCATGCTTGCGACCTGATATTGGCTTTTGGAGAGCAGCTGCCGGACGAGGCGAAACTAGACCGATGCCTTCCGTTTCTAGTGTCTTTACTAGGCGATGATTTTGTGGATGTGAAGGTGTCCGCGATGCGAGCAATAACGCAGCTGATGGCACTTGTTCAGCGAATCACGCCAGTGAACGAGAACGTATTTCCAGAGTACATTCTTCCTCGACTGCAACCTCTCCTTTCCAGCAAAGATGTATTTGTCCGCGCCAGTTTCGCGTCCTTCATCGCAACCCTAGCACAGACCGCGCTCAGATTTCTGGATCTAGCACAGGATGCCCGAATCGAAGGGATCTCCGGAGCGCTGGTCGACGCCGAGCTCGAGAATGGAATCGCAAATAATGATGGCTACCAGGCATACTTTGATATGCTCAGACGCGAACTCGTAGAGCAGTTTCAAGACCTCGCGATCACCCTTCTCACAGATTCAGATTCTGCAGTAAAGCGTGCTCTACTGCGATCCATATCCCCACTGTGCGCATTCTTTGGTAGCCAGAAAGCTAGCGACATCATTCTGAGTCATCTGATTACGTATCTGAATGACAAGGATGCGCTTCTCAGAGGTGCTTTCTTCGACGCAATCATCGGTCTTGCGACATTCGTGGGGGGCAACAGTCTGGAGGAATACATTATGCCGCTGATGGTGCAAGCTTTGGCCGATACGGAGGAATTTGTTGTCGAGAAAGTTTTGTTCGCATTTACAAGCCTGGCTGAACTAGGTCTCATCAACAGACCCAATCTCTGGGACCTGGTTCGCATTACAGTTCGGTTTTCGGTGCATCCTAATCTATGGATTCGGCAAGGTGTATTTGCGTTTATTTCTGCTTCTGTCCGGTGGCTGTCGCCTGCCGATATCCACTGCATCATAGGCCCGATTATCAAGCCGTTCCTGCAATGCGACGTTCTGGAGTTTTCAGAAATCATGCTGCAGGATTTCTGCAAACCACCGGTAAGTTCTCTTATCTACTCTACTCTTATTTGTCTTAACGCACCTTACGACTAACGAACGCGCTCACTAGCTGCCGCGAATAATCTACAACGCCGCAATTAACTGGGCCGCAGAGACCCGCGACTCCAATTTCTGGAAGTCAGCAAAGGAGCAGCGGATGTCGGATATAATGCCGCTTTTCGAAGGGTCGTATTCAATCACGTCTTCGCTGCATAACCTCTCGATTACGAAAGCTGTCGCTCAGAATGCAGTATTTTCCGAAAAACTACAGAAAACGGAGGAGTAAGATTGACATTGATCTGTGTTTGTTAAACAGGGCGGTTGTGCTAACTGTGTCTATGTACAGGGATAAATTGTGGCTCCAGAAGCTTGCTGTCTTGGGATTGAGCGATGACGATCTGTGGAAGCTAGTGGCTTTGCGAGAACACATCTGGCGGATTGCGAAGGCCAACCCGAATAACTACAAATCAATCAGCACTCGAAACGATAGCAGCAACGCGATTGATTATGGTTCGACGATATCTGTCAACAAGCTTGGCGTGCAGCTGCATACCTATTTCTTTGACGATACGCATGCATCGGTCCGCCGTCATGTTACAAAGTCTCCGATTTCAGAGTCGACGATTAAGCAGTACAAGACAGCTAGTGCTCTTGTTGACGCATTGAAAACGATCGATCAACGGCCTTCGACCTCTCTGCCACTCAAGCGGGCGAATTTCCCGCCCTATTGGCTCAACGGGGTAGAAGGATCGCCTAGGACTATGGCACCAATCTTCCAGCTCGACTCGCCTACCCGGCCCACTGCCGCTAGCGTGTTTATGACAAGCCCGTCTAGGGTGCAGAGTAACGTTACCAGAATCAACACGCTGGAAAGCACGACGAGTACTACCAATGGTCCGTTGAGCGATAACGAGACGGCACCCCCCACGTCGGCGGCTGGCGACAGCGTTCTTGAGCGACAGCTGACTTTGTCGCGAGAACTTCGCAGACGGGCTAGCATTGCGACGTTTAAGAGTAAAGTCGATGATGATCATAACCCGCTCAAGGCCGTGGCAGATGTGGGTACCAGCAATGCGACGGCGTATGGGCACGTTGACGGGTCGGAGAAGGAGGATAAGAGCCCTACTTCGAAGACGAATGCGGTGGCGCCAGCCAAGATAGACAAGACACCGCCGATGGAGATGACGTCGATGATGGCCGCGCAGTACCCTATGACAGAGGAAGATGCACCAGCCGAGACTGTCGTTTATCGTGGACATTCATATACCGGCGACGATCCATATATTCTCAAGCTACTGGATACTGTTTACGTGGAGAAGTTTATGGTCGATATCCCGGAGTTTGGGCCCACGATACCGCTGGCGGCGCGACCGCGGTCGCTTCTGAAGCACGGTGCTGGACCAGTTCCTGTACCCGGCAGCCAATGGCGTCCCGACGGAGTGCTGATAGCGCACTTTGAAGAGCACGCAGGGCCGGTTAATAAGATTGCGATTGCGCCTGATCACAGTTTCTTCCTTACGGCGTCAGATGACGGTACGATTAAGGTATGGGACTCGATGCAGCTCGAACGAAACGTGACGAACCGATCGCGCCAGACGTACAAGCATGCCAACGGCACCAAAGTAAAGACGCTGTGCATGATTGACGGCACGTACTGTTTCGCGAGTGGCTCGACCGACGGCGTTATTAACATCGTGAAGGTGGATTATTCTACACCTGCCGGACGGGGGATCTCAAAATACAACAAATTGAGCACGCTACGATCATACAAGCTTGAAGAAGGCGAGTATGCGATCGAGATGCAGCATATGAAGATCGAGTCGGTATCGACGTTGATCGTTGCGACGAACAAGTCGCGGATCTTGGGAATCAACCTACGGCACGAGAAGCTGACGCTGAGCTTTGCGTTTGTGAACCCTGCCCACCACGGGACCATAACCTGCTTCTGCGTCGACAGAACCCGGTCATGGATCGCGGTGGGTATGTCACGGGGAATAATCGACATTTGGAGTATTCGCTACCAAGTGAGACTCAAAGCTTGGGGATTACAAGCCGCGACGCCGATTCACAAGATAACGATGCATCCTGTGCGTGGGAACGGCAAGTGCATCTGCGTCGTCGGAGGTGCGAGTGTTACCGGGGACGAGGTCACAGTGTGGGATGTCGAACGAACGATTTGCCGAGAAGTATTCAGGACCACGGCCGAAAACGGCCCGGCGTCGACGATGGAACGCAAGTACGAGCCTGTGCTAGTAGACGACGAGCCGACGGAGACGTTGATCAGCAGGTTTGCGAACGACCCCGTACAGCTTCTCGAGCGCAACGAGGCCAGCATCAGCAGAGGCGTGCGTGCGATGTGCATTTTGGCGCCAGAGCTGCTCGTCGAATTTGAGCAGGGCAATCTCATGGCGGACTATGATAACACATCGAACGGAATGCCGGGTCGGGGATCGCTTCGGTATCGAGCAGCTATTATGGGTTCGTTTATGCTCACTGCGGGCGCAGATAAGAATCTGCGGTACTGGAGCTTGGCCAAGCCGGAGACGTCGTTTATAGTGAGTGGACCGCTTGCGGAGCACGCGCGGCCGACGTACATGTCGTATGCTGCCACGGACCAGCATATGCATCATATCATCGTGCATACCGAGGTTCGCGGAGCGGTGAACGCGCTCGACGGTTTACGAACAGTCGAGCAGGCGCCTCCAGCTCCGAACGGGACGGCGAGAGGTACGTCGTCTAACGGGCCGACGCGGCGAAACACAGATCTGCGCCGGACGCCGCCGGAGATGGCGACGCAGCGCAATACGCTGATCACGTCGCGGCAGCAGAGCATGATGAAATTCCACAACGATGCGGTGCTGGATATCGCGGTGCTGTTCAAGCCGTACGGGTTGGTTATCTCGGTCGACCGGGCGGGCGACATCAAGGTGTATTCGTAGAGTTGTCGTGGTTAATATTTTGTGATTTGTAAGGATAGATTTGATTGACTGGGATTTTAATTCTTGCATGTAAAGTACGAGAGAGACTGAATATGGAACCAATATAGTTTTTCTTCTCAGACCATGCCACTACCAATACTATTAACCATATAATTTCCAGAGACTAATGAAACATAAAACAACGATAAACTAGATAACAAAAGAAAAAAAAGATTACAATAAAACTGAGATTAAGCACGAAGAGCACGAAGTCGCTCGCCCAAAGAATCCTCCTCGACCTCGGTAGGCGACGGTCCAACTTTGCCCTTTGCAGGGGTATTGACTTCGAGGGTTTGTTGCATTTCCAACCCAGCTTCGTCGGCGACTTTTTGCATCAGCAGATCGACGTCTTCCTGTGGCGCTGCGACGGCGTTGTTGACTTGGCCTGCTTCTTCGTAGTATGATGTGGTGACGTCGAGGTCTTCGAATTGTTGCTCGAATTTCTCCATGACCATTGACATCTGCAAGAGACAGGAAGAGGTAAATGTTAGTTGGGGGATTAAGAAAATGGCTAAAAGAAGTGGTATCTTGCCTTTTCTAAATTCATACTCTCCATTGCACGATCCATGTTCTTGACAACGTTTGCCATATTTCCGGTGACCTACAACCCCGAATGATAAGTAGCTGGAATATACCAAGCGCGCATATAAAATATCTTGAGGACTCACATTTCTCATGGTGACAGCGGTCTGCACACGACTAGCGACAGCGTCGATACGGGAAGCGAGACGTAATAGGTTCATGCGCTCGCTCTGCTTGCGGATAGCATTCTGGGCGTAGAGCTTCGCGATATCATTGTTTCCCTGTTGGATCGCCTTCAAGCAAATTAAATAAGCAGAATTAGCGACATAGATCAGAAGATTTGAGGGGACAGAGGGTAGTAACGATTAAAGATTACCTTCTTCACCTTTTCTTTCTCTCTTAGCTCATCTTTGGCTGCCTTGTTGGCCTGCTTGTTCAGCGATTTGGCCGTGAACTATATCTCGCGATTAGCAATTTGTCGCCAGCTCGGCATGATTGAATTGACACAAGACTTCAGCTGAGGTCATTTACCTTCAGGTTGAAGAGAGACTCTGTGATCAGATCCGGCGTTAGTACATAATCCGGTATATGAAGATCTTGAAACGACGAGAAGAAAACGTACTCTCTAAACCGGACATTGCTTAAACAATCAGTAACTCCCGAGCACAACAGCCGGAGCAAAATCAGGCGCAGTTGGTGGAGAAGAGATAAATAAAAGAAGCGGTGGTGGCTGTGGAGAACCAAAGGCGGCGTATCAAGGTCGAATAATCGGTATCAGTCGCCGCCGTCGCCGCTCGCACGAGGCCGATGGGACAATTACTAACCACTGACTAAGCATAAAACTATCACGTGCGGGCCCAGAGCCATCGCAGAGATGGACCCCTTGCGCTATTCCGAAAGAAGCAGTCAAGATGCCTAATCCGGTTAGCCCCAATCCCTTGAAACTCGAGTGCCTGGCGAGAGCAGTGCGCGAGGCAGCTCGGGCTCAGAAAGATCATCGACCGCTTCCTCTCCTCCGCGCTGTTCTCTTCCCAAAACACCCCCGAAAGAGCCCAGGCATGGCCCTGCTCATGAACCACCCGCAAGCAGCCAGCTCCATGCCTCACAGCGGCCTTTCGAGTCCCACCGGCTCGGTGTTTGTCGACGACGACGTCAGGTATGCGTCCCCTATGCGCCCGTCTGCTCTGTTTTGGCTCAGGGTACTTTTTCTGCCCGTAGCTGCTAACACTCTCGCAGGCAATGGGACGAGGCCAGAGTCTCCGACTGGCTCCACTCTGTCAACTGCGCAAAGTACGCGCATCTCTTCGCAGGTCTGTTGCTCTTCATCTTCATCTACATACTCTGGCGGTGCGATCCTAACTTGGCTGCGGCGCTCTGCAGAAAACCACATCAACGGCGAGACTCTTCTCGAGGTCGACCAGAACATCGTCCGCGAGCTCGGAGTCACAAAGATCGGCGACCGTGTTCGGATATCGGTGGCGATCAAAGCCCTCCGTGCTCGTGCTCTCTCGAAAAAGAGCAAGACCTCGCTCGCCAGTCTCGACAGTGCCTCAGTATCGCCCTTTCCGGCCCCTGCTGCTTCTTCTGCTGTCCCGCCGATTTCACCCACCCACGTCTCCAATCCTCCACCGACCACGCAGCAGCGCACTGCGACTCTCCCTCTCGCTCATCCTTCTCGACCTCTAGAACAAAATTTCGTTAAGTTTATATTCACAAAGGGCCTCACTAAAGTTGTCGACATCTCCGGCTGCTTTAATGGCGAGGCCATCATTAAAAAGGGTATCCGCAAATTTGGCTCCAAAGACCAGCCTACAGACTGGACAATCTATGTCACAGATGACGTCGGAAACATACGAGAGGTCCAAGACGTCGAACTCGTCTCCATCTGCCACACCACCGTTCGCCCTGAGCGCGAGCGGCTAGTCCTCGTTCGCATCGGTCAAACTCCCAGTTCGGAAGAGTATCAGAAATCTCTGCAGATTGCCCGGGAACAACTCGCCCGCGAGGTCACCCAGCGACCCGGGACATTTATCGACAGCACGACGGCGTCTGAGCAGCAATGGCTACAGCAGCGTCAGCAGCAGCTGATTTCGGCACAGGCAAAACCCAACGTACAGGTGCAGACGTCCTCAATGTCTTCTACGGAAGATGGTGTGAGTCCGAATGGTAGTCCGGTGCGAACAAAGCGTATGCGAAATTTCTTTGGCCAGCGTCCTCCTAGCGAGCTCATCTCCTCAAATCTCGCTGAATACTTCCCTGGCCATGAGAGTCGCGTACTTGAGCAGACTGTGCGCAATTCCATCAGGAGGTCAAAACGCATCTCTAGTATGTCTCGTCGCATGTCTGTGGCGACCACAGCCTCTTACGCCAGCTCGACTACGAACCGTGAAAATAATCGCGAATCTATGCCTCCCGTCCCCACCGTCGGTGATGCCTGGCTCAGCGCGAATAGCGGTACTACTAGCAGTAATCGCAAGTCGCAGGTACAGACCACGGGATCTATCGCGCCGTCTCCGCCTGCTCTTGCGCGGTCTGGCTCAAATCTGCGACGCGTGCAACATCGCAGCTCAGTCAGCGTGAGCTCATCTGTCATTCTCACCGACGAGGATCAGCAGTCTACTGATACCCGTCGTACATCTCCTCCACTGTTTGAAGCAGGGGAGGAGAGCGATGAGTTCCGAGACTTCCAGAGAAACGCCGCCGCTCAAAGTATGCGACAGTCTCCGGCGATGACAGGCCGACCGTTCTCGGTATTTTCGCGAGCCGAAACGATTGCCAGTATAATGTCCGACAACAACTCTTATATCGAGGTAGACAACGTCGACGACATACCGGAAGAAGCTTCAGATGCTGAGTTTGATGGTGCAGAGGATGTCGATGGTGGACCTACACGGTGGATCAGAGGCGCTCTAATCGGTGCTGGCTCGTTTGGTAGCGTGGTCTTGGGCTTGAATGCGCTCACCGGCGAGCTTATGGCAGTGAAACAAGTCGAGCTGACGCAAAACAATAGACAAGGTGACCAAGCCAGAAAGAAGTCTATGATCGACGCTTTGCAGCGCGAGATCCAGCTTCTACGAGATCTGCAGCACGAGAACATTGTGCAGTATCTTGGATCGAACTCAGATGGACAGTTTCTCAATATTTTCCTGGAGTATGTTCCTGGTGGATCAGTCGCGACTCTTCTGAATAACTACGGACCCCTGGAGGAACCCCTGATCAGAATTTTCGTGAAGCAGATCTTGTGTGGCCTGAATTATCTTCATGGTCGAGATATCGTTCACCGCGATATCAAGGGCGCAAACGTGCTGGTCGATAACAAGGGAAAGATCAAGATCTCAGATTTTGGAATCTCGAAGCGTGTTGAAGCAGGCCTTCTAGCAAGCGGAAACAATCAACCCCATCGTCCTTCTCTACAAGGATCTGTTTACTGGATGGCTCCAGAGGTCGTCAAGCAGACATCCTACACTAGAAAGGCCGATATCTGGTCTTTGGGATGCCTTGTGGTCGAGATGTTCACCGGAACGCATCCGTTCCCTGAATTTTCCCAAATGCAAGCGCTCTTCAGAATCGGAACTCAGGCATGCACGCCCGAAATTCCCAAAATCGCAACTCCGATCGCTCGAGAATTCCTAAACTTGACATTTGAGCTCGACCACGAGAAGCGACCGATCGCATCCGAGCTACTCGACCACGCGTTCTTGGAGCCAATCGTCGCGGTCGGGGCGGGCAACTCTGTCTCGAATTTCTCAAGTGCGGAGGCTACGCCTGCGCCACTACCTGAGGGCGTTGCGGCTGCGCTTATGAAGTGAAATGGTGAATCGGTCGACTGAGTCGTCTCATGAAGACATATGTGCAATCAAGTGAATATACGGGACATGAAGAAGGAATGCAGCGGTAAAGATCGCAAATCTCGAAGAAAGAGACAACATTTTGATACCAGATGTGCAGGAGCATTCACTTTCGTCGTTTGACGGTTATTATTTTTGGATGGGAATCGTTTGCTTATATATATACCTTAATAATCGCTTGTGTATCTGGAGTTATTTCTGTATTTCGGTTTTTTGTTTTGTGCTGCGAGGGTTCTTTTATATATATGGAATTTGATCACTTTCGTTAAAAGATTATTGTTGACTGGTGATTATACAGATAAGACTAATCGAATTGTAGTTAAAGCAAGTAATTATTACACAAACGCATACAAAAGTACATAACAACGCACCAACATCTTCGTTGACTCCTTCCCTCGTCCCCTTTCTTGATTCTAACTATTTATAGAGTAAATCGATTAAAGCAAAACGAACTAAATTTTTCACAGTATTGTAACTTTACTCCCATTCGACGGTGGCAGGGGGCTTAGAGGTGATATCATACACCACTCTCGCGACACCAGCAACCTCGTTGACAATCCGTCGGCTGACGGTCTTCAAGAAGTTGGCCTCGAAAATATACCAGTCGGCGGTCATGAAATCGACGGTCTCGATAGCGCGAAGCGCAATGACCTGCTCGTAAGTTCGCTGGTCGCCCATGACGCCGACGGACTTGACCGGCAAGAGGCACGCGAACGCCTGCGAGATCTTGTTGTACAGACCCGCCTTGCGGATCTCCTCGATGAAGATGTAGTCCGCCTTGCGAGCAATTTCGACCTGCGAGGGAGTGACCTCGCCCAGGATGCGGATGGCGATACCGGGGCCGGGGAACGGGTGGCGCCAGACGAGCTCCTCTGGGATTCCCATCAAGGTGCCGAGGGCGCGGACCTCGTCCTTGAAGAGCTCGCGCAGAGGCTCGATGAGCTTGAGCTTCATGTTCTCCAGCAAGCCGCCGACGTTGTGATGGGTCTTGATGGTCTGCGAGGGACCCTTGAAACTGATGCTCTCAATGACGTCAGGGTAGAGAGTTCCCTGGAGAAGGTACTCAATCTTGCCGCCCGAGGCAGCGTCGAGCTTGGCAGACTCTTCCTCGAAAACCTCAATGAAGGTGTTTCCGATGATTTTCCGCTTCTTCTCGGGATCAGTGACACCCTTGAGCTTTCCAAGGAAGACATCAGATGCGTCGACGATCTTGAGGTTGATGCCCAAACCAGCGGTCAGCGTGTCGTAAACCTGCTTAGTCTCGTTGAGACGCATGACACCGTTGTCGACGTAAATGGCATGGAAGCGGTCGCCGATGGCGGTGTTGAGCAACTTAGCCGCGACAGTGGAATCGACACCGCCAGACACGGCACCAATGACTTCACCAGTCGGACCGACGAGCGTGCGAATGCGCTCGATCTCGGTGTCGATGAAGTTCTCCATCGTCCAGTTTTGCTCGCATTTGCAGACATTGATGGCAAAGTTGTGGAACAGCTTCTTGCCCTGCTTGGTGTGGGTGACCTCAGGGTGGAACTGGATACCGTAGATGTGCTTGGATGTGTGCGTGATCGCGGCAAAGGGGGCGTTGTCGGTGGTGGCAATGACCTTGAAGTCGGTGGGGAGAGCGGAGATCTTGTCACCGTGACTCATCCAGACCTAGAGGTGAGATCACCAGTTAGCTCACCATTGTCTCCTCTTCAGCCACAGAATTTCATCATGTAAAACGAACCTGAAAGTCATCGATGCCCTCAAACAAGAAGTGCTCGTCGACGGGCTTGAGCAGAGCATGGCCGTACTCGCGCTTGTCACTTCCTCCAACCGTTCCGCCAAGGGCCCAGGCCAGCTCCTGGAGACCGTAGCAGATTCCCAAGATAGGGACCTAGATCAAAAAGAATACCCTCCAGTTAATTTCTGTAATCATATCATCAAGCACTAATTCTAGACAGAAGACATACTCCGAGGTCGAAGACAGCGGGGTCGGCATGAGGAGCATCCTTAGCGTAGACAGAGTAAGGGCTTCCCGAAAGAATGACACCCTTGGGCTTCCAGGTCAGCTCGCTAATCTTCTGCGTGCACGGCAGCATCTCCGCGTAAACATTCAGCTCACGCAGACGGCGAGTGATCAAGTGGCTGTACTGGGAGCCGAAATCAAGAACGAGGATGGTATCAAAGATACCGGAGACCTAGAGGGAAGTTAGCGCTCAAGATCTCTATATATACAGCGAAACCAGCAGCTACTACATACCTCGGTAACTCCCTTAGCAACAGCGTCAGCAAATCCAGTCATTATGAAAGTACAATCTCGAGTATCTGTTGAACCACGGCCGGACAGTAACAAAGAAGAGCAAGCTCCACCAGATTTGCCCTGCGAGTCGATTTTTTTTTTCTCCCAGTGTGCGGCGCAGGTGGTCAAACCTTAACTGCCGGCGGGTTTGTTTACCGCGGGCCTCGTACCTGGAATCCCTTCCCGTCATCACGTGCAACGTCGATAAAAAGCGATGCTCAATCGCCCCGCGTCAGAGCAAGTGCCGGTCGATATCGAAGCTGCTGTGGATTGTGCAGAGTCAACCGGGAAGCTGGAAACAGGACATTGCACTATCTTGATTGAAAATATCGGCTTGAGTTTTCTTTCTACGAAGTTGCAGTTTCTCTTCCGATCCGAGATCAGAGTGACGAAAGAAGCGCTCAGGTCGATTGATTCCGACGATTGGACGTCCAGCGACGACGCGTTCTCCCGGTGTTGGTTGCGCTCAACGCACTTTTTCAAATTCAAGACATAAAGGGATTGCGGGTTCTTGTGAGGGACCATAATCGCATTTGCTTTCTGTAGCAAGTCTCGACGTCAGATACAGTAGCGAAACCCGCACGAGAAGCATGGCCTCCTCATCAACCTCGACAGTTACAGCTGCCCCAGTGAGCACATCTCCACCAACAACCGCGACCGAGGCAGTACGCGCATCGCAAGCCGGAATCAGTGACTCGCTTTTTGCTTCCGCTGTCACGGCCACGAACTCAAACTTGGCGCGACTGTCGAAAACAGTAGCGGCGACGTCGACCGCGCTCACGAGCGGAGCAAACTATGGCGAGCTCACGGCGTCATCACAGTACCGGTCGCTGATGAGCGAACTCGCTCCCACGCTACGCAAGCCTGCTATTCAGAAGCGACTGTTTTCGTTCAAGGGCACGGCTGCGGCTATGGCTCGTGGTCGAGCTACTACGAGTATCGCTGACGGCTCTGGCGAAGGAATCATGATCACAAAAGAAATGCTGCAAGATCTGCCTGATGGCGGAACTCGGTACTCGCTCATCCAGGGATTTAACGCAACTCTACCAGAGCCTTCAGAAAAAGAGAAGGAGCAGGGAAAGATGGTATATGTTGGGAAGGGCAAGAACAAGAAAATGGAGCCTGAGGAATCGGAGCCCGAGCTTACCGGAATCCAGCGACTAGTCAAGTCACGGCAGGACGCTGTCCGAAAGATGCAGAGGATTGAGATTAGAAAGGTATGTTGAGTCGCTATATTGATGACTGATGTGACGACGGCGTGTACTGATTGCTTTTACTGTCACAGGCTATCGTGGAGCAGAATGTGACTGAGATTGATCGGCGGATTGAGCAGCTCCTTGCGATCAAAAATCGAAATATGGAGAGATTGGCCAAGTATGAGGATCAAGAGCTTGAGATTGAAAACAAAAGTATGTGACTTGACTTTGCTGTTTTGTACGACCGCGCGGAAATTGACTGTATACGTTTAGTCCAAGTGATTGATTACCGGATCGAACTTCTCCAAGAAGAAGAACAAGAAGAACGCAATAAAGAAGCGGGCGAGTCCGAAGAGGTAGTCACGGCCGAGAAAGACGAACCAGAAGTCCTGTCCCATCCCCCAGACACAATGTCAATTCTACTCAGCGATTCTCTTGACCGATACAGCGAGACCTTGTCTCTTCCCAGCGAGCCCGAACGAGCATCGCCTGCGCCAGCACAGTCATCACCGAGTCCTCAATCTCCGGATGAACAGCCGCGGTTCCCCCAAGACCCTCTAGCTTTGTTTGCAAGCGTGATTCAGGATGACAACTACGACAGTGACAGCGATAGCGACGAAGAGCAATTTGCGCGCGACATGACTGAATCGATGCAAGAGGCTTGGGTGTCGTCTTTTATGGAATGGGATCGGTTGACTGGCGAATAGGTGATTTGCTGTTAGCTGATTGGCTCTATAGATCTTTTGGTTTTGTGCTGATATCTTCTTCATGTACGTGTTAATTGCACAGTGATTCTGCTTGTATATTTTTTTCCTTTTATATCTTGAGATGCCATGTGGGCATACGGATTGTACATACGGTTCCACTGAATGCCTCATTTTCTGTATTAAATTCTAAGTTATGAGCACTGCATATCTGTTATACAAATCGTTTCCACGTAGTAGCCATTCATTCGAGCAGGTTAGGTTTACTGCCCGGGAATAGCAAACATCTGCAGCATCTCAGAAACTGTTGATGCAAACTTGTCCTTGGCGATAACCATAAGTTGGCCCTGGGGAGCGATTCCGTAGTCCTGGAACGCACGCTTTGAATCAGCCTCCTGCGCCTCGTTGCTGAACTGGTATACCATCGACTGCTCAGCATTTTTCGTGAAGAGCTCGTCCTCGGCATGGAAATAGAAGATCTCCTTTGAGGTCTGAGCGGCCTTCTTCTTTTTCTTTTTCGGTCTGTCGTCTTCCTCGTCGATCTTTGACTCGATCTCCGTGAATGATTTAGAGACGATGATGTAATAGTCAAAGTCGTACTTCTCACCCTTAAGTATCACCGCTTCGTTAGTATTTTCTTTTTAGTTACATAGAAGCTCCAGCAGACTCACATTGTCAACCGCTTTCTTCATCTCGTCCAGAAGCATGTTGTACATGGGAGGTACAACTTCTGTAGGCATATTGATCAATCGTTCGCTGAACAGGATCGCAGTGTTCGTCTTTGCGTCGTCGGCCAGGAGTTCTTTCAGTTTTAAGTTTGTTCCCTCGTTCTTTTTTGATTTCGAGATGATATAGTCAATTATCTGTCTGAGCGCAGGGTGATCCCGGTGCACGTTCGCGTTCACGACGGTGAGGTACGCAAACGGATCACTTTCGGGCCCGTCGCATTTGATTGTCGATCCGAGACTTGACTGGGACAGAATAAGATCCGCAAGTGCTGAAAGATCAAACATGGTGCTGTCGCTGTCAAACGTCTGTCTGAGAAGGTTCTTGATTGCCTGGAAGTCAATATCCGGCTTAAAGTCGAAGAAATCAAAGTCGACGTTGACGATTTCCTCGTTGTCTGATGAGGACTGGGGGGTGTTGCAGTCAGCAAAGCAGCACAGATTAAGCAGACAAAAATAATACAGAATTCACTCACATCGTCGCCTTCATTGTCGACCTTCTCGACGTCTTTGGCAGTATCTTTCCGCTTGGCCATCTCTGATTTTGTTGCTGCGCGTGAAAATCTATTTTCCGAGGATGGAAATCAAAACAATAAAAAAATTTGGTTGGGAGTTTACGCTGCTGATTTGAAGACGAGGGGTTTGTGGATGTAGAAGAGGACGCGGTGAGTTAGCATGTGTTGACGGAGTATCGTCTAGATCCTCTAGGTTCTTTTAGCTGTATAGTGTTGTGGTTGAGTAGCAGTATGATAGAAGCCAATTACGCATGAAGAGTCTTTATGGGCTGTAGCAGCAGGTAGCAATAATTGGATATAGGCCAGCTATACCTGCAGGATGCAGATTCAGGGCTGCGAATCAAGAAATCACTATAATTGTTTAAACCTGCAATACAGGAAGGTTCTCTGACAGTCGTCTGCTCAATTCCATCACAGCTGCTTCATATTCTACTCGCTTTCTACTGACAGCAGAGGCTAAGTGATTTGTCCTCCTCAAACCCATCGTGAGAAGGCCGTCGGATGCCGTAGCGAGTCCACACTGCCAGACGTCCTCGACCTCCGCAGTCATCCTAACAAACCCACAAAACACCTCCCAAACACTCCCCGACCTGCCCCAGCACCCGCCAGCCAAACCACTTCACCGAACCCGCCCTCAGCCCGCTGTCCGCCGCTGTCCGCCGGAGTGGGGGTGTGTGGGGAGCCGCGCCGACATCCGAAGTGGGATAGTCACGTGCAGCCACGCTGATTCGTCGGCCAGGCACCAGCGGCCAGGAGGGTTCGGGTTTGATAGTTGTGGCCTGCATCCCGCTACACTTATTCTCATCGACCTTCGCCTCATCCTCTCCTCCATCCACCACCCGTCCTCTCTTCTACACATCTCCAATGGCCTCTATCGCCGCTGCCAAGCGCCTCCTGGTGAAGCGCTCCTTCTCTTCTTCTCCCATTGCCCCGGCTGCCAAGTCTGTCAACAGCGGCGCCTCGCGCATGATGCTCAGAAAGAACCCCATCCCCATCGTCGGCCAGCGTGCTGCTATGCGCATGGTCGACCTCGGTGCGCGTTCTGCGTCTACGAGTGGCGGGACCACTCCGGTACGTGACTTTGTTTTGTTTGGGTTCTTGTTCTGTATTTGAGAATTGCGGTCGTCGAGCTGGACTGAACGGACTACGATCTTGGGAGAGGAGTATGCATCCGAAGACCGATTGAGCACATCGAAGAGGTCCCTTCACATTTTTTGCACTGAGTCTCGGGCGCGGAGGCCTCGGCTCGAGGTATTGTTTTGGGAATACCATTGGCAAACGTATACCTTAAGTATGCTCAAAATTGGCCGATCTGCTTTGCTTTTAACGGATTTTTAAAATCCTGTCAAACGATCATCTCCGAAATCCGAAGAATAGCCCAACAACCATTCACTCCACTCTTCTCCACCCAGTCCAGCTCCTCGCTCAATTCTCAATTCGCAGCTCTCTGTTTCTTGTTTGTCTTCCTATTAACATCAACATTTTTCTAGTTGACCGTTCGTGATGCCTTGAACCAGGCTATGGCCGAGGAGATGGAACGCGACGAGACAGTCTTCCTCATGGGTGAGGAAGTCGCTCAGTACAACGGTGCTTACAAGATCTCCCGTGGTCTGCTGGACAAGTTTGGTGACAAGCGGGTGGTTGACACTCCTATCACCGAGGCCGGTTTCACCGGTCTCTGCGTTGGTGCTGCCCTTGCCGGTCTCAAGCCCATCTGTGAGTTTATGACTTTCAACTTTGCGATGCAGGCCATCGACCAGATCATCAACTCCGGAGCCAAGACCTTCTACATGTCCGGTGGTACCCAGCCTTGCAACGTCACCTTCCGTGGACCTAACGGTGCTGCTGCTGGTGTCGCTGCTCAGCACTCACAGGACTACAGCGCATGGTACGGTTCCATCCCTGGTCTTAAGGTTGTTTCTCCCTACTCTGCCGAGGACGCCAAGGGTCTTTTGAAGGCCTCTATCCGGGATCCTAACGTCACCATCTTCCTCGAGAACGAGATCATGTACGGTGAGTCGTTCGATGTCTCCGAGGAGGTCCTCTCGCCCGACTTTGTCATTCCCATCGGAAAGGCCAAGATCGAGCGTGCCGGTACCGACGTCACCTTGGTCTCGCACTCCCGCAACGTCGAGTTCTGTCTCCAGGCTGCTGAGTCACTCGCCAAGGAGAACATCTCGGCCGAGGTCATCAACCTCCGCTCGATCAAGCCCATGGATGTCCCCGCCATTGTCAAGAGTGTAAAGAAGACCAACAGACTTGTCTCGGTCGACTCTGGATATCCCGCCTTCGGTTTCGGATCCGAGATCTGCGCTCAGATCATGGAGACTGAGGCTTTCGACTACCTCGACGCCCCCGTTGAGCGGGTTACTGGCGCTGAGGTTCCTACTCCTTACGCCGCCGAGCTCGAGACCTTCGCTTTCCCCGTTCCTGAGGTTATCATCAAGGGTGAGTTTATTTAATTTCCACGTGCCAATTTTAATTACTTTTGCTAACATTATATTTTTCCTTCATTATAGCTGCCAAGAAGACCTTGTACTTGCCTTACTAAATGGACAGAATTTCGGCCTGCATCGCGTTTCGTTACAACGGACGTGAAATAGTGTCAGATTGACTGTTGCGTTTTTTCGATTAACCAGCGCTAGCTTAATCTTGTCGCTAGTAGCGTTATGAAAGAAAGAAAATTATAGAATCTGGCTGTATGGGCGAGATGCAGAGATATGTAGCATAATATAAGATCCTATTATTTAATTCACTATTTTACAACTCACTCTTGAAAACATTTATTATATTTAAAGGAGTATATTCCTTTTTTAAACCTCTCATTTCGAACAAACCGTAACCCAGTAATCATACATGCAAACCAAACGTAACAAAACACATAATATACAATAATACCACAACTCTCGCCTCATGCCTCAAAGTCCTCTCGCTGGCTGGCGTATGTGACACTCGCCTGGCCGGGAGGCAGTGCGATATCGAGCTCATCATGTGTCTGTTTCCCTTCGATCGCCCTCCGCTTACGTTCTCCGTTAAATCCGCTCTCTTCCTTCTCCTTCGCAATAGCAGCTCGCGCCTCTGCCAACATCTTGCGCTTATTCGCAGCCGCGAGTTTGGCGTTTTGGAGACCGTGTTCTTCGTCGCCGATAGGACGAGGGCGACCCCATGTCACTCGTAATGGGAATCCTTTGAGCACCAGAGTGGACCCGGTGGCAGCAGCAGCTTTTTCTGCTGCTTCTCGTGTATTGTAGTTGACAAACGCACAGCGAGATCTATGAGAACACACCAGAGACTTTAAGGGGCCGAACTGCGTAAAGTAGTTGCGCAACTCGTATTCTGGCAGGCTGTCCTCTACACCGGTCAAGAAGAGAGACATAATCTTAGGATCCTTGGGGTTCGTAAGAGGCTGTCCTGGAGGAAGCTTCGCCACAATTTTTGAGATATCGGCTGCTTTTGACTTTGATACTCCAAGCGGGTGCTTGTTATTCCGCCGACTGGTCTGGTCTGCATATTTCTCGACATTGCTGTACGCATTGTACGGCTGCGCGTTGGCGAGCTGCTGGAGAAGTTTCTTTCCAGCCTCCTCAGCCTGTCCTTGCGCAGCATACAGCTCTGCTTCGTCGCCCTGCTCCTTGAGTCGTGCTTCGATATTCTGCGCGACAAACTGCTTCGATATTATGTTCTGAGGCTCGCTTGTCGTCAAAGCCATACTGCCCGCAGCACCTCCCGCACCCACCATCTTCAAAGCGGCGTCACGAATGGCGATCGGTAATCCAAACGATAAATCAAGCATGCAGCTCTGGCAGCAGTTTTTCTGTCTCGCACATGTATTGCAGATTGTCGACTTCTTGTATCGTCCGCCGGCGTCTTCAGGTCGCCACCTGAAGACCGTGAATGGTCTGGTACAGATCTTGCATTGCTCGCCGTGGCGTTCTCGCGTCATCAAGGTATACGGATTTGGTCCCAGACACCGCTCGCACACGGATGGAATATCGGTATCCTCCCATGTTGACTTGTTGATATCAGATCTATAAGATGAATGTTAGTAACCTTCCAATAAAATTCGCAAAACAGATGAGATACATACTTGACCGCCGACATGATGACCTCTACTTTTCAGATCGCTATAGTTTTTTGCGTTGGCAGTACGTATCAGCTTCAATCAAAGCAGTTGCGCGGTGACCTGTGAGCTGTTGGAAGGAAGTGAAGCAGATGGATGACGAAGAGGAATTTATTGCTTGTGTGGCGTCAAGGATGTGGCGTCGAGGATGTGGCAAAGTAGATTATGTAATATCTGATTAGCAATCGATTATTCGCATGGAGTTATTGAAATGCTTCGAATTCACGTACAGAGCTACAGTATAGTAGTAAAATGCAGTCTACAATTTTCCAAGAAATTCATATTGCCATCTGTGACGTTCTTTTGAAAATGTGGATTCTTAGTGGTGGAGTAGGGCCTCAGACGTTTAATTAGATTACCCCACGATAGCAGACTAGTTCTCCCTCATCCATCCCACAGTCAGCATGCCATTCTCGTTATCTGATATTCCATTCTACAAAGAAAACGACCGGCCAATTGTCTTTATCACCGGCGGAACAAGTGGCATAGGCAAGGTCACGGTTCGAGAACTGGCGCGACACGGCGCGAGAGTTTACGTGACTGTTCGTAACGAGGCCAAGGCTTCTGCGCTTTTGAGCGAGAAGGCTGAGTGGAAGAATACGGAGGAGGGATATGAGGATGTTGTCTGCGATATACGGACTATAGAATGTGACTTGATGGATCTGTCTTCTGTCGTGCGGGCCGCGCATGAGTTTCAAACAAAAGAAGAGAAGTTAGAGTAAGTCATGCGAACTGGTAATGCTTCTGATCTCGAATGTTATGCTAAACTGATTCTACGTTCTAGCATCTTGATAAACAATGCAGGTGTGCTGTATCCAGAATATGCTGAATCGAGTGACGGTTTTGAGACAACCATTCAGGTCAATTACTATGCACCATATCTTCTCACGTATCTCCTCCTTCCCTCGCTGTGTAAGGCTGCAACACCAAGAGTCATCAATGTCTCATCTCTGGCGCATAACCTGGCTTTCGGCTTCTCTTTCGATAACCCGAATAAAAAATCTGGCTGGGAACTGATGAACAAAGGCACGAGATACGCGCAATCAAAGCTGGCTATCCTACTCTTCACAAAGGAAATGGCGAAACGGCATCCGAATATATTGTCTGTCGCGGTGCACCCTGGCGTGATTGTTGACACAGCATTATACGATGAGCTGCAAAGCAGCGATGCGCTATTTGGCATAGTCAAGTTCAGCTCGAAAATGTTTGCTCAGTACGCCTCGAAAATGGGCGCGATCTCGATCGAGGATGGCGCGCTCACCAGCTTATACTGCGCTACAGATTCCGGACTTACGGCGGAGCTCGACAACGGAAACTATTACGTGCCGATTGCCAAGCTCGGGAAATGCAGCAAGCAGGCACTTGATGCTGGGCTTGCTGAGAAATTGTGGGTTTGGACCGAGAAGCTGCTGATTGAAAAGGGATATATCCCGAGTCTTTAGAGTCTTCTTGTTATACAGTATTGTGATAGAATAAGATATCTTGCCATGCTGTGCATACACATTAAATTATAAATAAGCAAATCAAAAGCAATAGTTTCCCAAAAGGACCCAAAAACGCCAATATAAACAGACATATACATAAATAGTCGTCAGTATGCAGCTTCGTCATCACCGCCGTCGTCGCCATAATCGTCTTCGCCGTCGTCAAAGTACTTTTCAGCATTGTAATCGCCCTCCTCGTCTTCTTCAAACTCGTCCTCGTCTTCTTGGTCGTCCATATCGTCTTCTTCGACTTCGTTTTCGTCTTCAGCGACCGCGCCTGTAGAAGCTCCAGCTACCTCGTCGTCGCCGGTGTTCATGATAACTGCTTCCAGGATGTGCTTTTTATGTTCAGCAAGATCAAGCTTGATTGGTTTCTGCTTCCCGCTGGATTTAAGGCCTAGAGCAGAATGAAGCTCTTGTGGAAAAAACTCCGCAACTGTAGAACAATATCAAATTAGTAGCAGATCAGACCGATATGAACATTAGAAATTAGACGTACTGTATGGATGATCAGTGACGGCTTTGCCAGTCTTTCGTTTTTTGAGAAATCTATCAGAGTACCGTTTGATACCTGGCTTCAGTTAGTAATCTGCAAACCAGCTAGATCACAAGAACAAACAAAGGGACTTACCGTCGTTTATTCCTCCTTCGTACTCGACTGTACCGTTCTTCTTCTCCAGGACATAAAAGGCTGAGCCAGACACTTCTTGCTGGAACTGTAGAAGCTGTCGTACGCAACGCCGTTCAAAGTCAGTCAAAGGCGCCTGCACCGGCAGTGCAAATTTCTATGGCAAGTATATGTTAGTAACTGTAAGAGGGTGTCAACAGCAATATTTAGCCAGGTTACGTACTGGATAGCGTTCTGAAGGAGTGAAATCAGGTTTGATATCCAGGCCATAAATAGGGCCAGGACGACCGCCGGGTCCTCCTCTGCCTCCCCGAAAAGACATGGATGTACTGGAACCGGTATATATTAATATCTAGCGACCGAGATGCATAAAATACAGAAAGATAATGAGAAGCTTGAAAGCAACAGGCAGGTGAATATCAGAAACAAAAAAAATAAATTATAGTTCAGCGCTTTCGGTAAATCGTGTAAGCAAAGCGGGTCTCGTGGATGGTCATTGAAAGCCACCAACCGATCCTTCTCCGGCTTCCGCGCCTACTCCACACCTGTTTCCACTGCTTTCCTTGCTCACCATCCAGCTCGCCTGCTCTATCTGCCTTCTTACTGCTTTTCCAAGTCTTTGAATCTCTAGTCTCTGGTAGGTTTCTGTTTTTGAATTTTTGTTTCTGGTGGACTTTTCGGCCGGATCGGGCGTGTGAAGCTGTGTCCTGCGCCTCCATCGCGTCACTATTGTTCTATGCGCTCTTCTCTTTGATCCCGGGCCCACACCATCTAGTATTTCCGTCAAATTTGTTTGACTACAATACGCAGTGGTGGTTTTCTTTGCTATAGAAATGCATGATGTGACTGACTGGTAGTTATTACACGATTTAGGAATCCCCAGACTTGTCTATCAATCAGCGCTACTACAACCATCCAGTCCCCTATTTCTCCAAAGCCGATCCCGTCATTTCCCAGTATGTCTTCTGATCAAGCAACTGAAGCTCCATCTGTTGGGGACGTCTCTGCAACCCTAGAGGCTACCTCGGTCTCTGATCCTTCTGCGGAGGCTCAACCTGTTGAGGCCGCTGGCGTCGATGAGTCTGAATCCAGCCCCACGAACGAGGTTCCCCCTGAGATTACCGAGAAGCGCCGCCTCTACATCGGCAACCTTCCTTCTGGTATCTCGGAAGATGATGTGAAAGGAATATTCGGCGATTACAGCATGTACGTTTATAAATCCTCCTACTTTGCTGAACTGCTTTGCGGAACTGCTGGCCCCATAATGGGAGGGTCGTACATAAGTCGCCCTTTCAGCTGACAGTCTCGATGATCCTGATCTCAACCCCATTACTAACCCTTTATCTTCTAGTTCTGCTGTTACTGTTCGCCCTAGCAAATACGTGGCTCTTAATTCCAGCTACGCCTTCATCGATCTCGTATCTGCTGATGATGCGGAAGCCGCAGTCGCAGCCAAGAACGACTCAGATTACAATGAGCGGAAGCTGTACGTACAGCTTGCCCGACCGCCGCGACCCAGACGGCAGTTCCGCAGAGGTGATATCCGTAGTCGGGCACCTAGATCGACCAGAAGAAATGTAAGTCTATGTCTCTAGGTCAGACAAGAACGACAGTCCTCTAACAAATTGTCATCATACAGGGAAGAGGCAACAGGGGCGCGGCTCAAGAGGCCGGTGGCTCTCCAGTGGATGGGGAAGCACCTGCCGAAGGAGCAGTCGAAGCATCTGGCTCGACTGAATCTCAGAATGATGAGAATGCGTCGCCAGCAAAGAAGACAAGGGCCAAGCCAAAGAGGGCAGCGAAGCCCAGGAGAGCACCCAGAGAAGGCCCACCATCTACTGACACTGTGTATGTCGCGAACTTGAGCTACACCTGCACCAAAGAACATTTAGAGGAGTTCTTCCAGCCGTATCAACCCGAGCAAGTGCGCGTTGCACTTAGATACTTGCCGCCGTTCTTGATAAGAAAGTTGACTGCGAAAGGCACCATGGTTCCTCCGCGATCTCTGGGGCACGCATTTGTCAAGCTCCCTTCGGAGGAGCTGCAAAAGAAAGCCATTGCTGAGCTTGACGGCAAGGAGCTGCAGGGACGATCGATTTCAGTGAGAGTTGCAATCGAACCGGAGAAAAAGACAGATGCCAGCGGCGAAGAGAAGGCTGACGAGGCGGAACCCAGTGCCTCTGCCTCTGCGGAAACGGCAGAGTCTGCTCCGGCACCTGCACCAGAGATCGAGGCCTCGGCTTAGATCTATTAGGCGGTCCTCGTGCGGAGGTGTTCTATTCTATGTACGAAATCAACTTCTTGCCGGACGTTCGAGCTTTTTTATTGCTTTTTTGCTGTTTTATTTCAATCTCCATTCAATAACTGTGCTATTACTATGATTTATTCTATTGTTTGGTGCTTTTTATAAAAACAAAGTGCACATATACGAGCGCGCCGCTTGACTGAGATGGACAAGTCGGTCTAGCTAGTGTGTATTTCTAAGCTTTCACTTTATCCATTCGTTTTATCTTTTCGTCTGATTGCAACATTGTTTTATCTAGTATGGTGTGTGCTTGCTTGTTCGACGTTTCCGCAGGGGCGGGACGCAAAAAAAAGTGTAATGTTTTGCTCTGTAAACTGCAGGGCAATCAGTTGTTCGGAATCGGAAGGAAGGGAAGAATGCGTGATTCGTACAATTTATAATATATGATTACTTTAATTCTAAAAACTGATGTAGATGCATATATATTTATGTACAAGACGCTCTGCGTAATTCGAGCTTTCTATCATTTACAAATACATCGGTTCCAACTACTCGTACTGTTTTGCCCAAATGGACTCCGTTCGATCCTTAGAAGCTCGCTCGTAACGATCAAACGCCATAACAAACGAGCCACGGCCCTGCGTCATTGACCTCAGAAACTTGAGATATCCCACCATCTCGTTCAGAGGCACTTTGGCCTTAATCAGTTTCTTGTCGAGCGTTCGGCGCAGATTGTGCTTGCTGAGATGAAGCGTCGTGTCTGGGGGTGAGTAGACCAGGTTCGGGTCGATGTACTCTGTGTCGTCTTGGGTAGGTCTCGATGCAGATTCATCCTCAAGAGCGTAGACGCGGCCTGATCTGGCGGACGAGATATCAGACATCACGGAGCCGATATCCTCGTCGTCGACAATCACGGTAACGTCCATGACGGGTTCCATCAGATTCCTAGACTCCTCCGGGACGGAGTCCATCACGGCTGATATCGCAAACCGCAAGGCTTGCGCAAGTGGAGCGGCAGAGTCTAGGTCTAAGGGGAGTTCAATGTCAGAGACGGAGACCAGCACGGAATGTACCGGTAGACCGTACTTCTTCCCGTGGAAGAGACCTGAGGAGACACCATTTTGAAGAGCAGTCCTTAGATCCTTGATGTCGATCTTTGAATGTGAGAGCTCATACCCTTCTGGTAACGTCAAGTAATTATTTTCCGGTAGCTGAGTCGACCGCGCAAGCTCGGCCTTGAGGCTGTCATCCGCAAACTCGAGATCGTCAGGAATACCCCGGATCGAGACCGTCGCGGCTGCAGATACGCTGCCGGCCTTGAGGACACGGGAATACTCATATCGAGCCGGCGTACTCTGCACATATCGCGGGTCGACGCTCTCCTTGTACGCGATCTGGATTTTGCCCACATGCGCGTTGACTTTCAGGTCGTTGATCAGTCGGTCTCTGGAGATTTCGAGATGCAACTCACCCATGCCGCTCAGCTGGGTTTGACCGGTTTCGTCGTCGACAGAGAGCTGTAGACTAGGATCCTCGCGAAGCAACGTCGCAAGACCGTCGTCAAGCGGTTTTTGATCGGACGCCGTTCGCGGCTCGATCGAGGCAAAAAATACAGGCGAAGGAATGTCGATCGGAAGCAGCTGCATTGACCGCAGCTGATTCTGCGGGATAGAGGGGCCTTGACCCTTGCTTGAAAATATGATTGTGTCGCCAGTCCGAACCTCTTTGGTACCGGAAATCACACCGATATGGCCTTCTGGGATTGAGTCGATTCTAACAGACGAATCGGCGTACATCCGCGAGAGTTGTAGAGCCCGCTCCTCGGTGCGGTTCGAGGTATTGAAGATTTTGGAATGCGTTATAAGCGTGCCGGAGTATACTCTGACAAAGACGAGGATTTTCCCTGTATGACCGTCGTGAATAACTTTGAACGCCAGCGCGCTTCCTGTTCCTGCCTTGGCTAACGGAACATCGGGTATCTTTGGATCTGTGGATTTCATAATCGGAGACGGACGATCGGCTGGGGACGGCAAGTAATCGATCACAGCATCTAAAAGTGGCTGCACGCCAATATTTCTGAAACTGGCTCCGCTGAGTACGGGAACTAGTTTGTTTGCCAGTGTGCAGCGACGTAAAGCTTTCTTGATATCCGCCGACGCTATCGCCATATGATCGTCATCGGCCTCTAGAAACTTTTCAATCATGTCATCGTCAAGCTCTGCGAGCGTCTCCACCAACGCGACGCGCGCTTTCGTAGCTTCTTCCAAATGCTCGCCAGTCAGCTCCAAAACTTTGAATTCTCGTCCGTCGGTGTTCGGCGCCCATTCAATGGCTTTCATCTCAATAACGTCGATGATTCCGCACGAGCGCGCGACCGTCATTCCGTCGACTATCTCGGCTCTGAACATCGGCATGTTGATAACCGCGGTCTTGGCCTGCAACTTTCCCGCAACTTCGCGCACAGTGCGACCAAATCCCGCGCCCTCGCGGTCCATCTTGTTGACAAATATGATTCGCGGAATGCCCATGCTCTTGGCTTGGTGCCAGACCTTCTCGGTCTGAGCTTCGACACCTTCGACACCGTCAAGAACTGTCACTGCACCGTCGAGAACACGGATTGACCGAATCACTTCAAATGTAAAGTCTGCGTGCCCTGGAGTGTCAATCAGGTTGACTCTGTGGCTGTTCCAGTCGAACGAGATGGCAGCAGAGGTGATTGTAATTCCACGATTGCGTTCAGCAGGTAGATAATCCATGACAGTGTCACCCTCATCCACATCTATGCAACAAAAATGTAAGCCTTCCGCCTTCAAAGGCAGTATTCAGATACTCAAACTAGCAGTACTCACTTCCAATTCTCTTTGTATAGCCGCTGTAAAAGAGCATTCTCTCCGTCGTCGTCGTCTTTCCGGCATCGATATGTGCGATAATTCCAATGTTTCTCACTTTTCGAATATCAGTCTCGGAACTTGGCTGTGACCCCTTTCCTTTCTTCTTATCCGTCGCATATCCTCGAACCAAGTTCAAGCAGAGAGTCGGTTGAGCTGCAATTTGCCGGACCGCTGATTGATATTGCGTGCGGGTGTAGGCATGCCAGACGCCTTTCCCAGCAGCACATAATGGCATAAACCGAGCCATTGCGGTAATTATTCGCTGTGTTTGACCTCCAATGGTATGTAAGAAGACTCAGTAATTAGTTAACAATTGTACACATTGTAAGTTGGAAGCCGTCCGTATCGAAGAGTTTGAGAAACTGATGGAGTCGGATTTTTTTATTCTCCCAAATTCAGAGATGGATTTCGGTGACCCCTGAAACTCTGAATTTCTACAGTTTAAACATCGATTCAATGAACAATTCAACTTGATATCTGCACTAAGAACCTTACAATCGATAGAATTGATCCTGATCTTACACAATTTGAATTCCGGAACTAAATATAAACTATAAATACACTACAGCCGCTCAGAAACGTCGCGGACTGATCCTGACTGCATTACATGACACTATCCAGACTACAGACATATAGAGCATCTAATGCCTCCGCTTCGTTCTTGAGGCCTCTTCCTCCGTCTGTGGCACACCATCTAAATCAAACAAATCCGCGCGCGCGCTCGCCAGTCGCTTCATATTCGTCGAGACATCATCGAACGTCAGGTTCGAGACTGCGTTTCGAGCCTCCAGCTTAGCCTTCTGATCCTTCCATTTAGGATCGAGAAGCTCGATTCGGATGTGCGCATCAAATTCAGCGGTACTGAAATGCTGATGACAGAGCGGACACTCCTGCATCAGAGCCTGGCTGGCTTTGGCGCGAGCGGACCGACGCGTGCTGCCTTGAGGTAGAACCTTGATGTTTTCGCGATTAGGATTGACAGCAGCAGCCTTGGTTTCTTTCTGTTTTTGTAGTCCTTCTTGACGCTCACGGATCCTGCGGTCCTCTTCTGACTCTTCAGTGGGTTGAGCAACGGTGGCGGACACTCCAGGAGGCGCCGGAGGCGCGGGCACTGATATTTCAACCGGTCGAGCCTCTTCGTAGTCCGGAGCCGCCTCTTCGATTGCCAACCGATCGGTCTCGTTGTGTAGTGACATCATCTGTTTCTCCTCCAGGGACGCGCGCTCCAACTCAGCGAGCGACATCGGCGGCGGTAGGTCGACTTCTTCATCCGCCGGGGTGAACTCGATCGTCTCGACCACGACGAAATCGTGCCAGTCTATCTGTGCGTATGCAATCTTCTCGGCCTCGGCGTCGGCTGCTGCCTTCTTTGTTTCCTCTTCCTTGTATTTCTGCCAGTCTGCTCTCATCTGTGCACGATCCAGAACCTTGTACTTGTTTGATATGTTCTCTTGTAGCCGCTCCTTGATCTTGTCTGAGGGGTTGAGCACTCTGGCGTATTGCTCAATCAGCTTTGAAAAATAAGGATATAAAGAGTGATTCGGCCTCAGAAAATCAAACTGGTAGTTCCTGCTTTCCCGTTGCGCCAGGGTAGTAGTGAACGACCGTCCATTCCGAGCAGCAAAGAGCGCAGTCGCCCGAATGATATCCAGATCCTGCGCCGATATCGGAGGCATAGGGAACGAAAACTCAAACTGTGGCGGCTCCGGTGGTCCAGCAGGAGCAGGAGCAGCAACCGCGGCGGTTGTGGATTCAGCTTGTGGAGTCGCGCTGGTCGGTTGGCCGCCTCTGTTTTCGCGGAATTCGTCGAGCCGCCATTCGTAGTATGGGTAGTATGGATCTGCGGGATTCAGAAAGCTGAATTTTGTGTTTGCTTTCTCGCTCTCGCGGATCCGGGCTTCGAACTATGGAGAGAAGATCAATGTCAGTGTGCGTTTTGTCACGTAAAGAGCAGAATCGAGGAAGCTTACAGCGTTTCCATTTCTGTGAACGTATCCTGCTGTCTTTTCAATGATATCTATACAAACACCGGTTAGTTGTCATCGCCACAAACCAATGAAGAGGGAGAACACAGCACATACCTCTGATATCATGTGGAGGGATAATCACTCCTTCAGGTGCAGATATCTGCTGAGGCACAGATGGCTGCGGTGTCGAACTGCTCCGTCCATTAACGCCGACGGTGGTCGCCATTGCTTTATCGGCAAACACAGACACCGAGTATAGTGCTGAGAGATATCTGGCTCTAAGCTGAAGCTGGAATGATGTAAAGTCGATGTTAGAGATCAAATAAAATTCCAAATACCACGGCATAAGTGACATGAATCACGGTGCTGGGAGCCGGTGCAAACGGCACCAAAACAGTGCGTCGTTCTTCGAGGAACCACGACGGCGAAACCGATCTCCACAAAATCACCAGGACTCCCGTTCACACGCACCCCCTCCTACTTTTGGCGATACACGACTTTGCTGGGACGAATCAATCCAGAACAAGTTTGAGAACGATGTCGGACAATACAATCATCAAGCCCGAGAAGGATTTCTCGGATACGCTGCTCGAGGAGATGCCGAAGATCGACGAGCTGGCTAAGGTCGGTTGCCTGTTCACTTGCTGTATCGCAATCGCGAGTATGGTGTATGCCCAGCTGGATCATTGCTAACCCTTCTTTCTTCAGACCGATCTTCAAGCTGCAGTGGAGCGTCTTCTTGCTTTAGAGAAGCAGACCCGTCAGGTATGTTTTGCGTGCTACGTGTTGATGATTTCAAGGGCGCGCCGTATGCTCACTCGTGAACTTTTGATGTACAACAGGCCGCCGATCTCGCATCGACCGAGAAACTTCTCATCAAGCTCGTCAATCTATTCAAGGACGCCGGTGACTGGAAGGCAATGAACGAGCACATTCAGATTCTCTCGAAGAAGCACGGTCAGCTGAAGCAGGCAATTACAGCGATGGTGCAGGAGACCATCAAGTTCCTAGACGACGTGCCTGATCTGGCTACCAAGATCGAGACTATTGAAAACATTCGCGTGGTGACCGAAGGAAAGGTACGTTTGCTGATTCAATCTTGAGAAATGTTGGATTCAGAGAAATTGATGATGAGCTGACAACTTGTGACGAAATAGATCTTTGTCGAAGTCGAGAGAGCGCGGGTCACGCGCACGCTTGCAAAGATCAAAGAAGAGCAAGGCGACATCGCGGCTGCCGCGGATTTGATGTGTGATTTGCAAGTCGAGACATATGGATCGATGGACAACCGAGAGAAGACTGAATTTATTCTAGAGCAAGTGCAGCTATGTGTCCTGCGCGACGACTTTACCCAGGCTCTGATTCTCAGCCGTAAAATCTCGACCAACTATTTTGATAATGACGATGTCGAGGATCTGAAGCTGCGATACTACGAGCTGATGATCAAGATCTCGCTTCATGATGATAAGTACCTAGATGTCTGCAAGCACTACCGCGCGGTGTACGACACCGCGAGTGTCCAAGAGGATGAGACAAAGTGGAAAGAGGTGAGTCTCACTGAATCAAAGACTAGAAAGATCAGATCTAACCATCGTCCAGGCCCTACGCAACGTCGTTTACTTTATCCTCCTCTCGCCCTACGATAACGAGCAGTCCGACCTGATCCACAGAATCGCCAAGGAGCCCCGGTTAGAGCAGATGGTGGTCGAGAGCCAGCTGATCAAGAACTTCACCAAGGTTGAGCTTATGCGGTGGCCTTTGACTGCGGAGGCCTACGGACCTATTCTGCGGGCGACGCCGGTGTTCAACGTTTCTGATCCAAAGGGCGAGACTAGATGGGATGATTTCCGCAAGCGGGTCATTGAGCATGTGAGTTTCTGTGTCGAGTATGTGTTTTTACTGCATGATGCTGACAAGGTGATTTAGAATATTCGGGTGATTGCAAAGTACTATACTAGAATTCATACCTCGCGATTGAGAGATTTGCTAGATTTGTCTGATCAGGTGCGTGGCCCTTATTTCAGATCGAACGAGGCAAATGCTAACATACCTTCAACTTTTTAGGAAACCGAGACGTACTTGGCGAGACTGATCACCCAAGGAACAATCTACGCGCGTATAAACCGTCCGGAAAAGATCGTCACCTTTGACGCGCCGAAGGACGCGAACGACGTACTGAACGAGTGGAGCAGTAACATCAGCGGTCTTTTGGGACTTGTCGAGACGTTGGGCCATTTGATCAACCAGACTGCGAGCGCATAAGTATAATGTATGATTCCCACGCGTCGTCGGTTATACGGGAGTGTATATATATATTTATATTGTGTGATTTAGACATGTGGTTGTATCTCGGTAATAATATCACGTAAGATGAAGCATTTAGATGAAGAGATATAAAAAGACGTGTGCTATTTAGACGTATAATTACACCGATATTCACAGAAACGCAAAACACAACAAAGAACTAACTTTACTATAAATTTTTATCGAGAGCAAAGGCGAGAAAACATGCTTGCTGTTTACTCGATGTCGCCAGCCTCGCTCTCGGAATCATCATCGTCACCCGAAACCTCCTTGTTCTCCAACTCCTTCCGCTCCATAAGCGCCTGGAGCTCAGCGTCGTCGCTCTCGGTGACAGCCTTGGGCGCCATGCGGACGGAGAACTCGCCGCCGGACTCCTTAATGCTCTGTTCTATGACCTGGATGGCCTCCTCGAGCTTGTCGATTCCGAGCTGCTTGTCGAGGCAGTGCGAGGTCAGGACGTACAACGGCGGCGAGACTAGTCTGACCTTGACCGGCACTTCCTCTGTGTTGAGATCCTCGCCCTTCTTAAGCGCGGTCTTGACGGCGTCGATGCCCTCGTAGCCGAAGCAGGTGACCTCGATGTCGGCGCGGACCTTGGTGGGCTGCGGGGTCAGTCTCCGCGCGATGTGCTGCTGGAGATCCTCGAGGACGGTGGGCGAAGGGATGTCGAGGCCCTCGAAGACGGTGGCGGGGTTTGTGATTGCGATCTTGAACGCATCGTAGGCGTGGCCGTATTTCTTGTACAGCGGCCAGCCGATCGAGTTGTAGAGCTCCTCGAGCGGGATGCTGTTTTTCTCGGCAACGTGCCGCAAGATCGAGTGCACGGCCTTGGACTTGTTGAATTTCTCCTCGCATTTGATGACGTCCTCGGCCGACACGCGGCGCTTGGATAAGTCGATGTAGCCCTTCTCCTTGTCGACGCGGAGGACGACGACGACCTCATTGCGACCGACTCGGATGAGCTTCTGGATCGAACGGATTCGACGCCGGGAAAGCTCGGAGAGCAGAATCATGCCCTCGATATTGTCGTACTCCAACAGCTTGACGTATGCACCCATCTCCGCGATCTAAATCAGTACCCCAGAAGACGTTAGCTATCCATCTCATCTCCACCCAATCACCGCTGAAGAACAGACGGCAGAAACAGCAATTCTGCAAGAATTTAGGACCAGCACGTACCTGGCGAACATTGACAACGACCAGGTCATCGACCTCGGGGTACTTGTTCTCGTAGTAGCGGCAATTTGAAAGACTCATGACTGGAGATATTCACTGCTCTTCTTCAATAGAAGTAAGTGTAATAGAAACTGATTCGAATGATAAAGAAAAACCCAAATCAAAAATAAGAAACCAGAAAGCAACAAACACAATATTCCTGTCTGTCTATTATCTTTCTTCCTTTCCTTTCTTTATCCTTTATGTCTTCTCTTCTTGCGCTTCTAATTTTTTTTTGATTTCTTCATTCAACGCAAAAGGCGGTGAAGGATTGAAGGGCGGGTAACTGCGGGGTTAGGGTACAACCTGAAGTGGATCATTGTGCGCTCAGTCGTTCGTTTGTTCGCGGAGAAAGGCTCACTGATGATCTACTGGGCCCTGGCGGATTTGTGGAAATATGAACTGTGGATGGTGGATGCAGAAGTTTGATGTTGTCTGTTTGAGGTGTTTGTCTGTCTGACTGCTTGCTTTGTTTTGTTTTTACCACTGCTTCGCTACATACCTACGAATAATAGATCTGTCTCCTTCTGCTTTCTTTCTCTGATACTGCCCGATGGCCAACCTGTGCTGTTCGTCTTCTCTCGACTGTGGATTACAGAGCTGCTCTTCTGCCTCTATTGGACTGAACAATTCTCTTTATCCGACTGAATCTGTGCTTTCCTGCCTTTTTTCCTGCGCTATGCACAGCCATCTGTTCATCCGTGATCAAAATTCATGGTCTCTATTATGTCCAACGTCCAACGTCCAACGTCGCACGGCATGACCGGCATCTACAGTTTCTTCTGGTGGACAGACTCCCATCCGCATGTCTGCCGCTACAACACTTGGTTTGAACTTTCCATATACCTGAACGTGAGAGAGTGAGAAAACAGTCGTGCGTTCTGATTTCGGTATGGACCGACCAAGACGTTCTTTCTTATCATGGTCATTCTCTACGACTAGTTATGCGTCAACCGTTCAGAGATTTCTCTAATGCTTGCATGAAGACTTCGAACGCTACCGGCCGAAAGAACAGCTTCATCGAAGCGGCACTCTCAAGTTCTCATATTTTCTCCCTCCGGTACCGTCAATGCGTTGTCCGCCTCTCCCGTTCGACGAGGGTACCCAGTGGCAAACAACCAACTAAAAACCCAACTCTGGAGGCGACCAAATAGACGCTAGTCTTGAGGAGCAAAAAAAAAATCATACGTTTTTAACTCGCGGTGCTTGCTGAAAATCTCGAGAGAAGACGGCGCGGAAGCCGACTTTTTTTTCCACTTTTTCCCTTTAGCCTCCTTTCTTTTCTTTTTTCTCGTTTGCAGTCCGAGAGAAGACGGGATCTGATACATACTAGTCATTATATGAAATGAAACGGCGGATACCTATCGACAACGTACTCTGCCCCTCATCGTCTGCGGGGCTCGTTCTCCAGAACAGCTAGCGCGGACTGCTTCCTCAATATGGCGCGAGGCGCATGTGCCGGAAAAGCATGTCAGTTGATTCGCATACGACAGACCAGCCATTCATGTGATTGCGGTATCTGTTTATGCGACCGCGGTGGGCTGGGCTCGATAGACTTCTTTTGATTTACTCTTCTCTTTCGTTTGCTGTAACCTATGCATAATTCAATATTCTGTCATCTGGGTATATAAGTGTTTTATTGATTCATTTCGAGTCAGAAGCTATCAATAGTTTTCCATCTGTGTTCTGTGAACTTCTCCTGCGTCTACCAAGAAAGCAATCCCCTCGTATGCTCGTCGAAACATACCTCAAAAAAACAAAGCCAGCCAGACTAGCCCACCCGTCGGATGAGGCGTGCCCAGCGGCCGGTGGCAAGTACCGTTTTGTCCCGCGCCCTGGCAGGAGCTCTGGCGGGCGATCAGATTCCAGATCCCGCTCCGGTAGATCAGGCATGAGCGAGCGGCTGTGGTAGGCAGGGAGGTACCTCGGCAATCTACGGCTGAGGTAGCCGGTGAAGCGACTGCGAGGTTGAAGCTGTGCTATGCTCTGGACTGATAACAGCAGCAGCAGAAGAAGATACAGCATCGCCATCAGGAAACAGTGATGGTCTATACATCTCTGCAGCGCTCGATTGTCATATTCGCAAAACAACTAGTGACAGAGTCCAGCATCGAAAAGGAAGGTCTGGAGATCATCAGACGATGTCTCGTCTACGAAGCCAAAACCTTCCCTGAACTAGCATGAGCTAGCCTAACTAGCTCAATTGCAAGGACATACGAGAAGGGGAAGGGGAGGGGAAAGGAGTCTGCAGGTGAGGGGTTTTACTCGTTTTGGAAGTTACCTGTCGGCGAAGCGAGATGGTGCGCTGGCTGGGTGTCAGAGAAGGAGGGGGAACGCCCTGTATTGTAAGCAGAGGTAGCGGTAGCGGGCAGGGGTGGGGGTGGGGGAGAGGGAGGAAGGCTGTTTGGAGAATATACGGTATATGACAAGGTATCCACGGTATCCATAGTTCGTAGCCGGGACCACCCACTTTGCAGAGCATAAAATCCGGACGATGAGCGACGAAGGGAAGAAGATAGGACAATCTAATTCGCCCGCGGCTGCGACGGACCACGTAAGTAAATTACATTTATACCATGCAGTGCCAATGCCAGCGATACCAGGATCGTAGTCTTTAATTTCACGTTTTGCAGCTCCTGGAGAGCGATCTGAGATTCCTGCGGCGAACGAGACACGAGACGAGCTGACAGACGGCGAGCTATAAACAAGATGGGCAACAAACAAGGCTTGAGTGGCGCGTTCCTGAATCTATCGGGTCAAGGTTTTGCACATGCCATGCTCTCGCGTCCGGCCGCCTCCTCTTACTTCTCTCAGCGAGGGTTTTGTCGCTGTGTTTCGTTTTAGGTATTCTGAGTCTAAGCTCTTCGGCGCGAGCCGGCAGTAGAGGTATAGCATATTATCAGGCAAATATTATGATTATAAGTGATAGGAGTCCGTTAGGATCTCGAGACGGAGGCGCAGGGAAGATCTAGGTACGGGAGTCATCACGGAGCGAGGCGGGAGGGCGAAGAGAAGCGAAGCAGGGAGGCAAGCAGAGAGACGCGAACAAGGAAACACGCCTGAAACTCCGAAATTCGCCAAGTTTCAGTAGGCTGTTGGGTTAGCGGGAACTTCCTTTTTGCCATGCGTGCCCAACGCGAGAAGAGCGAGGTGGGAGGGTGCGATCGTGAGGGAGTGGGAGGGAGGAGAGGGCCGAGGAGAGATGGGATCGCAAGATTGACGGAGGTACAGTCCCCAAAGTGTCCCCGAAGGATCCGTAGAAGTGTCTTAGGTCCCGTCCTTTCCAATCTCACCATTCTTCCTGCTTCTCGATTTTAAAATGCCACAAGATGGTGCGGGTTGCTTGTAAAGAAGTAGTCCCCAAAACGGAAACCCATGCCAACACAACCCGAACACGATCAAAGATCATCATCATCACCAAGCCCAAGGACGAGAGAGAAAAAGTATAGATGATCTGATGATCTTCCCAGAAAACAAGGATTTGTTATCAGAGTTTCCTTAATACCCGTCACCGACTTCGTCTTTCTTCTCGCGCTTCAGATATCTAGCACACCGCGCGCCCGTCAGACTTTTTACACGAGCACTCACCGCCCTTCGGCTATTTCTAACTCGTTTGCGCAAACCAACCACAGACAGGTGATGGGCTGACTAAACCACATCTTACTCTGAGCAAATAAACAAAGCCTGCCTGAAATAAAACTGGCCGCGCTGCTGCCGATCCCTCGCTCTTCCCAGACTTTTCGTCACTAGGTGACGGGTTCTGCGGTCTAGATGGGCATTGGCTTGCGCGGCCTGGGTTGGTACACCCTACGATCCGCGATATCACTGTTAAACCCTTTATTTATTGGCGCATTATCGGTTTCCAAGAAAATGATATATAATCATATTATTATTAATAATAGGCGCGTGTAGTAAATCATATATGTGTACATCTCTACATAATAGCTCAACCTTTGGGTGCAAATAACACCATCCTTCGCTCTCACGTCATACCCAAAGAGCCGACTCAGCCGGAGCTCATCACTCGGTCCGAATCTCGGTCGATGGTCAGGTAGCGGCTCAAACCGTCAAACTTTCATATCGCATCTTCAGAGAGGAGAATATGATATGGCTTTCGGCGTTGAATCTCGGTGTCTGTCTTCATACGGAAGGGTTTGTTTGCTCACTCGTTTAGTCATTCTATAGGATGACTGTGTACAGGTGCTCTTGTCTTTCGGGGGAGGAATATACGGGGACTTGAGACAGTAGAAACTCGCGAATTATATAATATGTCTAAATAGTATACATATACAAAACAACAGCGGACTCGATTTCGCATCCGCAGCATTTGTCTCATCTCACCAAACAAAGATCGATACTCCAAAAGAGACAGCAAACAAATCACAAGGAGGTATTAGAATTTCATATTAACTACAACAAGATCAGTACATACATCATCCTCAACCTCCCACACACCAACGCACCCTGCAATCATCATCATTGAGCGTCTTCGGCCAAGTACTCCTCCTCTTGCCGCTCGTCGTCGTAGACCTCGTCGATCTCGTCCTCGACACTGGCTTCCTGGTACTGCTGGTACTCGGCGATCAGGTCGTTAAGATTACTCTCGGCCTCTGTGAACTCCATCTCGTCCATACCCTCGCCCGTGTACCAGTGCAAGAAGGCCTTGCGTCTGAACATGGCGGTGAACTGGTTACTTGTGCGCAAGAACAGCTCCTGCACGGCGGTCGAGTTTCCGATGAAGGTCGCCGATGTCTTGAGATGCGCGGGCGGGATGTTGCAGATCGAGGTCTGAATGTTGTTGGGAATCCATTCGACAAAGTAGGGCGAGTTCTTTGTGCGCATAGTGACCACCGAGTCCTCGACTTCTTTGGTCGAGACTTTGCCGCGGAAGATCGTCGACGCGGTCAGGTAGCGGCCGTGCATGGGGTTCGCGGCGGCCATCATGTTGACGGGGTTGAACAGCTGCTGGGTCAGCTCCTGGACGCCCAATTGGTGGAAAGCACGGGTGTCTATATGATGTTGTTAGCAAGAGTCGTTCTACTCGATACATTCTTTAGCTCAAAATAAAATCTGGAACATACTGGCGGCGAAAAGAGGAGCGAATCCGACGATAAAGAAATGTAGACGAGGGAAGGGAACCATGTTGACGGCCAACTTTCGAAGATCACTGTTAAGCTGACCCGGGAATCGAAGACAGGTAGTGACGCCGGACATGACCATCGAAATGAGCTTGTTGAGATCCGAGTAGTCAGGCTGAGCGATTCTGAGGGTCTTGGTCGCGATATCGTAGAGCGCCTCGTTGTCGAGACAAAAGGTCTCGTCTGCGTTCTCGACAAGCTGGTGGAAAGAGAGCACGGCGTTGTAGGGCTCGGTGACGGTATCGGAGACCTTGGGCGAGGGAAGGACAGAGTATGTGCAAAGCATGCGGTCGGGGTACTCTTCGCGGATCTTTGTCAGAAGAAGGGTTCCCAGACCGGAACCAGTTCCACCGCCGAGCGAGTGCGTGACCTGGAATCCCTGGAGCGAGTCTGTGTTTTCGGCCTCGCGGCGGACGACGTCCATGATAGACTCCATGAGCTCAGCGCCCTCGGTGTAGAATCCTTTGGCCCAGTTGTTTCCCGCACCCGAGTCTGCGGAGATGAAGGAATCGGGGCGGAACATGTCGCCCTGGGGACCGGAGCGGATGGCGTCGAGCGTGGAGGGCTCGAGATCGACGGCGACGGAGCGCGGGACAAATTTGCGGTTGGAGGCTTCGGCGAAGAAGACTTCCATGCGATCGAGACGCTGCGATTCGGAGGTATCGACGAGATGGCCGGAGTTGTCCAGGCCGTGCTCGCCGGCGATGGTGGACCAGAAGGCCGAGGAAATTTGGTTACTGATAACGTTAGAAGAGATCAGAAGAAGAAAACAGAAAGCAGATTGTGCGAATAGATTGCAATATGAGAGCATACCCTGGAAGATCAAAAGTTAGTAGACAATACGGGGTGGTTTAATTTTCGGCAGCAGTGATAAGAGACAGGGTTGAGTAAGACGTACCAGCTTGGCCACATTGGATAGAAACAATCTCACGCATGTCTATATGATGATTCTAGAATACGGCAGAGAAGGATGGGTGAGAAAGAAGAAGATGCGGAAGAGGGGGGCGCGCGAGGAGATCAAAACAAGCGATGCGCGATGGTTTTGTTGTTGTTGCTGCTGGGCGACACGCGCGCGAACAAACAAAAGTAAGCGGTGAGGGTTTGGACAACAATGGGTGAGTGGATGAGGGTTTGGTGGTGATTACGTGATGTATTAGATACTCATTCGGCGGCGGGCTGTTTTGGGAAGCCGACAGGTGTCAACCCAGAAGAGCGGAAAAGGAGGAGGAAGAGGAAGGGATTCTAGAAGACACGGCTGGCGGCAAGAATATGCGGAAAAGAGAGGGAGAGAAGAGAGAAGAGATTCAGGAAGGTGAGGGAGAGCCGGAATTTGCCTGAATTGCTGTGGTGTTTGTAGTGCGCAGAAGCGAGTAAGGTCTCGGTTCCCGTCGGCTGGAGCTGCCTGTTCGGTTCGCGACAAGACGAAATTGGGATTGGGCCGAGAGCGTAGGAATTGAGAAGATGAGCAGAGGGCAGTGATCTGCACTAAGAAGTTGGAAGCGAGCGAGTCTAAAGTAGGGAAGGGCCAATCTGCAGTAGTGTAAACCAGATAGGATTAGATTATATTAGTAATATATAGGAATATATTCATATATATGTGTGTATAGATATATATCGGCTTAATACAAATACAATGCACTAATACAACCGCACGAACGACTCTGAACGCCATGAACTGTAAACTGTAAACTGGAACCGGACCGCAACGAGGAAGACAAGAGAGAAGAGACAAGAGGAAGAGACAAGAGAGGGTGATTAAACAAAATTACAAAAAAGAGTCAAAAGAGAGATTAAAGGAGAGAAAGTATTAAGACATAGGTAGAAGTGAAAGCAAGGAGAGAGCAGGAGAGAGCAGGATAGCGAGGTTGTGGGGGCTCAGTTGAGGTCTTCTTCGCGAGAGTAGTATTGTGGATGCCGCGAGGGCAGATGGGTCTGCAGAGAAGGCAGCTCGGGCAGAGAGGAGACTATTGGCGGCATTCGGTCGTCGACTGAGTGTGGTTGAGGCTGCTGCTGCTGTGATTGCTGGCGCTGGGGTTGCTGCTGCTGCTGTCTTTGCTGCTGGTGTAGGGGCTGGGGCTGGGGGATTTGCTTGTGGTCGTCGACGGACATTCGACGCATCTTTGCACGGCGGTTCTGGAACCAGACCTGCAGCTGGCGCGGGGACAGGCCCGGGATCTCTGCCGCGAGACGCTCGCGCATGGCCGCGTCGGGGTGGGGCTGACGCGCGAATTCGGCGAGCAGGAAGCGGGTCTGCGCGTGCGTGAGACGGAAGCGCTTCATCTTTGAGCGCGGCTCGGAGGAGGGGAAGAGCGGGGGCTGGTAGTGCTGGACGACGGCCTGGCCGGGGAGGGAGGAGACTGAGGACAGCTGGGAGGAAGGCCCGGAGGAGGACTGGGCGGAGATAGGAGAGTAGTGGGCGTAGTAGGCGGATTGGGCGGACGCGAGCGAGGGCAGACCGCCGGCGGCGGAGAGGGCGGAGACGGAGGAGGGAAGAGCGTGTGCGTGGGAAAGTGGGTAGAGGCGGTCGCGGTCCTGGTCGTAGGTCGCGTGCGCGGCATGCTGGAGCTGCTGCTGCTGGAGCTGTTGTTGCTGGAGCTGTTGTTGCGGCTGCTGTTGCTGCTGTTGCTGCTGCTGCTGCTGCTGCTGCTGCTGCTGGAGCTGGTGGTACTGCGCGGGCTGGCGCGGGATAGCCGAGTCGGCAAAGACTAGAGGCTGGTCCTGCGGTGGGCGGGCGTAGGAGGGGAAGAAGAGGGTGGACATCTCGAGCGGCAACTGGGGGAGCGCCGGAGCGGAGGAGGGTTTCTGGGAAGGCGACGTGGTGGAGCAGAGCGGTGAGGAAGGCGGAGGTGTGAGATGTGAGATGTGAGAAGTAGGAGTGACAGAGGAGGACGAAGACGAGAAGAAGACGAGGAACCGCAAGGCCGTGATGGACGAGGACGGGTGGTGTCCAGCGACGGGCATCGTTTTATAGGTCGCGGTCGAGCAGAAGCAGATGCTCGGGTGCGATTGCCTGTGCGCACGCAGAGCAACTGCAGACGACCTGGCTGCCCCTGCACAGCTGCAAAGGTGGTGATGCGGTTGTGTCCGCAGGTTGGGAAGCGTGCGACGGTACCTCAATTAGGGTTTAATGTTATTGCAGCTGCGACACGTGCGCCTCTGCCCCTTTTCGGTCTGCGTATTCCGGAGAGGAAGAAGAGAGTGAGGGTCGAGAAGGTGTTGTTAAGAAGAAGAAATATGAAATGCAGTTCTTATTGCAGCTGTTATTGTCATTGTTTGTGCTGTTGTGTGGTTGCTGCAATAGCAATTTCGCTGCTGCTATACTACTCTACTCTAAGTACTCTCGCTCGTGTGTACCGAGCCGGGTACGTGGCCAGGTACAAACTCGTCTGCTTACTAACAGTCCCCTAACCGCCACCGGGGATCGTCCGCCGGCAGCCTGCGCCGAGTTTGTGCTTCGCTGGGCCGCTGTGTTGTTTGTTTACTTGTTTACTGTCTCGACTTGCTCTTCGACCTCGACCACGTCCTCATAGATCTCCTCGACCTCCTCTTCCACAATGTCTCTTGCTTTTGTCGGCCGTGTCTGGTCTTCCTTCCTCCAAACATCTGGACTAGAGCCTACTCTCATCCCCAAAGTGCGCCTTCCCCGCTTCAGTCTCAACCATCTTCCTTCTCCACAACGCGGCTTATAACTGTCCTCCCGCTGACTCCCTTCTCACCACCAGCTCTTGCTCAAAGACGCGAAGCCAGGCCATGTCTCTCTCGAATTGACCGTCGAGCAATCCCACACTGTCTGTCTCTTCTTCTTCTACTCACGCCTTCCCTCATTCGCTAACCCTCCGCAGAACCGCCTCAAGATCCTCCATGGTGGAACAGTCGCGGCTCTCGGTACGCACATACTCCTTCCTCTTCCAACCATGATACGCATTTCTCTAACCCTCCCAGTCGACCTCTCCGGATCCCTAGCCGTCGCCTCCCGCGGCATGTACTCCACCGGCGTAACCACCGATCTCAATGTCACCTACATCTCTTCCGGCGGCAAGGTCGGCGACAAGATCTTCATCGAGTCCTACTGCCACAAGCTTGGCCGCAACCTCGCCTTCACCACCGTCGAGTTCTTCAAGCCCGCCGGCAAGTCGCCTGCCTTCCTCCCTCGCACTCCCGAATCCCTCGAATTATTCGCCCGGGGCACTCATACAAAGTACATTGCTCAGGCCATGAAAGACGTACGCTCACTTACCGACCTGCTTCTTGTCTTCTCAAAGTCTTGTCCAATTCCTCCTCCTCCTCCTCTTATCTTCCCGTTTCCTAATCTTCTTCCCGTCTTTTGCAGCCCCAAAACGCCCTCGACCAGCTCAACAAGCCGCTTTAGGCCTGCACTTGTTCTCGAGCGTACGTCGTCCGCGCCCAATTTAATCCCTCCTCGTCTTCTAGCGACATCCCTTAGACAATCTTCTGCCTCTACATTATCTTATATTCATCTTGTTTATCTCGCCAATAGACATCTTAACTTTAAATATACAATTTTTGGCTTAAAGTTATATACTCGTATATTGCCAAATACATCATCTTGGTACAATCCCCTTCTTGCTCATAGTCACGTGTAAACGTCATGTGCCTCACAAAGACAGACCCGGCCTGAACTCGCGGCGTCTACCGAATCTCGAAATCGTCCATATCACTCTCTCTTCCTCTCTTCCTCCTTCTCTCCCCCTTCCTCCTCCTGATCCTTCTTCTTCATCTTACATCCCTCCCCTCCCATAGTCCTGCTCTTGGACCCCCAAGTCTGCAAGCATGGACAATGCGGCGCTAAACCACATCTTCACCGACCTTCGATCAAAGTAACCAGCTCTCTCTCTCCTCACTAATCCCACCCCATTCTAACCACCCACAGGTCTCCCGACGTCCGAAACAGGGCAGCCGACGAGCTCCGCGATCATCTCTCCACCGTCGTTCGTGAGCTGCCCATCGATCAGTTCACCCGCTACAACAACGACGTCAACCGCCGCATCTTCGAGCTCATTCACTCCACCGACACAAACGACAAGTTTGGCGGAATCGCTGCCATCGACCGCCTCATCGATTTTGACGGAACCGAAGAAAATGCCACAAAAATCTCCCGCTTCGCAAACTACCTGCGCATCGTCATCCCCAGCAACGATGTCGAGGCCATGCGTGTCGCCGCGAAAGCTCTCGGAAAACTAGCCATCCCCGGCGGCACCCTCACTCTCGATTTCGTTGAATTCGAAGTCAAGCGTGCGCTCGAGTGGCTTCAATCTGATCGCCAAGAGTCCAGACGCCAGGCTGCTATGCTCATCATCACCGAACTCGCCGCAAACAGCCCCACAATCCTCTACGCCTACGTCCCGCAGATCCTCGATGTCATCTGGGTCGCCCTGCGCGATCCGAAGGTTACCGTCCGAATCGACGCCGCCGATGCCCTCCGCGCCTGTCTGAAAATCATGTACCAGCGCGACAACCAGATGCGCCAGCAATGGTACGAGCGCATCTACGCTGAAGCCCAACTCGGCTTCACCAAAATCGGCACCGCAGACGCCATCCACGGCAGCTTACTCGTCTACCGAGAACTATTCGAGCAGGCCGGCATGTTCATGCACCGAAACTACTCAAACGTATGCGACACCGTCCTTCGCTACAAGGATCACCGCGACAGTCTTGTCCGACGCACCGTGCTCGCAATGATGCCCACCCTCGCCAGCTACAACCCCACCGCTTTCGCAGACAAATACATGCATCCTTGTATGCTGCATCTGCTCGGCCAGCTCAAAAAGGATCGCGAGCGCAACCAAGTTTTTCAGTCAATCGGTAAAATTGCAGGCGCCGTTCACAGTAGTATGGGCCCTTATCTCGATGCAATCCTCACAAATATCAAAGAAGGCCTCAGTCAGAAAGGTCGGGCAAAGAAAGAGCAGGAAAAAGCAATCTTCGAATGTATCAGTATGCTCGCCGCTGCCGTCGGCCAAGCGCTTACAAAGAACCTCAATCTCGACATTCTTGACCTCATCTTTGCCTGCGGTCTTTCTGAGCACCTGCGCAAGACCCTTGTCGACCTGGCGAAATACATCCGACCTCTCTTGCCGACCATTCAAGAGCGCTTGATCACAATCATCTCATTCTCTCTCTCCGGACGGCCATTCAGAGTTCCTGGCTCGCCAGAGTCAAACCTGCCCATGCTCCCCGACGCGGCTCGTGAATATAGAGAGAACATGCTGTCGAAAGATGGGCCTGCAGGAAGTAGCGACATGAAGGACTCCGATCTCATCGCATTATCCATGCGGATCTTGGGTACTTTTGATTTCACTGGCTACACATTCAACGAGTTTGTGCGGAATTGTGTCATTATGTATCTCGAGGACGAAAATCCCGAGGTTCGCAAAGCTACCGCTCTGGCTTCCTGCTCGCTGTTTTTGAAGGATCCTATCTGCTTCCAGACTAGCGCCCATGCCATCAGAGTCGTCGGCGACGTGTTGGAGAAATTGCTATCTGTTGCCATCTCTGATCCCGGTATGTTTGTTTGTACAAGTTGTTGCCTTCCATTCCACGCTCGAACTAACTTTGTATTTAGTTGCCGATATCCGCTTTGAGGTCTTGAGCTCGTTTGACACTCGCTTTGACTCGCATCTCTCGCAAGCCGACAACGTCCGCCTGCTGTTCACGGCACTAAACGACGAAGTCTTCGCGGTCCGCCAGGTCGCCATCAGCATCATCGGTCGTCTCACGAATATCAATCCTGCCTACGTCATGCCTCCTCTTCGCAAAACTCTTATCCAGCTTTTGACAGAGCTAGAATATTCGACAAGCTCGCGGTCACGAGAGTGTTCAGCCAAACTCCTAGCCATTCTCGTGCGATCGACCAAGGGACTCATCAAACCATATGTGAATCCTATGATCAAGGTTTTGCTGCCAAAGGCTAGCGACTCTAGCACGGCCACTGCAGCAAGTGTTATTTCAGCCCTGGGAGAACTTGCAAGAGTTGGTGGCGAGGACTTGATCCCGTACATTCCTGATCTGATGCCCCTGATCCTCGACGTACTTCAGGACCAAAGCTCGCCACTGAAGCGAGATGCCGCCCTGCGCACACTTGGTCAACTGGCGAATAGCTCTGGATATGTCATAGATCCGCTGATTGATTATCCTCAGCTTCTCGGGGTACTGGTCTCGATTCTTAGATCAGAGCAGTCGTCCATGATTCGCTGTGAAACCGTTCGTCTGATTGGTATCCTTGGAGCTCTGGATCCTTACAAGCACCAAATGGTGGAGCGCGGCGGACTCGGCAAGCGCGCTGGCGAGCAAGATGTGACTTCGTCGGACGTTTCCACAATCATGTTCAACCTCACGCCGCAGACACCTCCCAGTGGAACCGACGAGTACTATGCGTCAGTCGTGATCAAGATTCTGCTGAATATTCTGCGCGACCCATCTCTCGGAACACACCACACAGCCGTCGTCCAGGCGATCATGTACATTTTCAAGACATTGGGTGTGAAATGCGTGCCATTCTTAGGCGAAATCATTCCCGTCTTTCTTCAAGTCATGCGGTCGTGCTCTCATTCTATTCTCGATTTCTACTTCCAGCAGCTTGGAATTATGGTTACGATCGTGCGGCAGCACATCCGAAACTTCCTGCCGGACATTTTTGCGCTCATCAAGGAGTTTTTCAACCAGTCATCCGGTCTGCAAATCACAATCTTGTCGCTAGTTGAGAGCATCTCTAGAGCAATGGAAGGAGATTTCAAAATGTACATGCAGCAGCTCATGCCTCTCATGTTGCCAATCGTTGACACCGACCGGTCAGCAATGCGCACATCGACGCAGAAAGTCCTGCATGCGTTTGTCGTCTTTGGATCAAATGTCGAGGAATACATCCATCTCATCCTTCCCTCCGTCGTCAGACTCTTTGAGAACGCACCGCCAGTGCTCGAGATCGCGGCAATGGAGACTGTGGGACAGATGTGCAAGAATGTGAATATGGCTGATATGGTCAGTCGAATCATGCATCCGACTTTGCGAGTCTTGGGGACGACCGCGAACGAGGAAGTGCGCAAGGCTGCCATCGAGCTCGTGACCTCGCTCATTTACTACCTGCGCGACGACACTGCGGTTTTTATCCCAGTCATCAACAAGGTCGTCGTCGCAAACAAGATCTATCATGCGCAGTACGAGTTGCTGGTCAATCGGATGATCAAAAAAGAGCCGTTTCCGCAAAAGCTGGATACCGATTCCGATCGAAAGTACGCTCTGTCTGGAATTGACGAGGTGTCAGAAGCCAAACCGCCGTCTAAGAAGCTGCCAGTCAATCAGGAGCATCTAAAGGCTGCATGGGAGGCTTCGCAGAAGTCGACGCGCGATGATTGGCAGGAGTGGGTGCGACGACTGAGTGTCGAGCTGTTGAAGGAATCGCCATCGCATGCACTCCGTGCGTGTGCCTCGCTGGCAGGAGTGTACTATCCTCTCGCGAAAGACTTGTTCAATGTCAGTTTTGTCAGTTGCTGGACTGAGCTTTACGAACAAAACCAGGACGAGCTCGTGCGGTCGATCGAGACGGCGCTGATGTCGCCCAAGATCCCGCCCGAGATTCTGCAGACATTGCTTAATCTGGCGGAGTTCATGGAGCACGACGACAAGGCTTTGCCGATGGATATCAGGACCTTGGGTCAGTTTGCGACGCGCTGCCATGCGTATGCAAAGGCATTGCATTACAAGGAGCTTGAGTTTATTCAGGAACCGACGACGCCTACTATCGAGTCCCTGATTAGTATCAACAATCAGTTGCAGCAAAACGATGCTGCGGTCGGTATCTTGAAGCATGCACAGTTACATAACGATTTGCAGTTGAAGGAAACCTGGTACGAGAAGCTGCAACGCTGGGAGGATGCGCTCGAGGCGTACAACCGTCGCGAGAAAGACGAGCCGGACTCCCTCGAGATCACAATGGGACGGATGAGATGTCTGCACGCGCTCGGAGAGTGGGACTTGCTCTCGCAGCTGGCTCATGATAAGTGGCAGAACTCGCCAACCGAGATTCGTCGCTCGATTGCACCGCTTGCGGCCGCTGCCGCCTGGGGTCTTGGTCAGTGGGAGCGCATGGATGCTTATATCAGTGTGATGAAGACCGAGTCGCCCGATCGGTCGTTTTTCAGAGCCATTCTATCGCTTCACAGGAATTTGTTTGACGAGGCGACGATACATATCGGCAAGGCGCGCGATCTGTTAATCACAGAGTTGTCGGCGCTTGTCTCTGAGAGTTATAACCGCGCGTACGGTGTAGTTGTGCGTGTGCAGATGTTGTCGGAGCTGGAGGAGATTATCACGTACAAGATGGCGGCGAACGATCCCGAGCAGCAGAGAGTGCTTCGAAAGACGTGGGCACGACGACTAAAGGGATGTCAACGCAACGTCGATATCTGGCAACGCATGCTCAAAGTCCGCGCGCTGGTCGTCAAACCGAGACAGGATATGGAGATGTGGATCAAATTTGCGAATCTCTGCCGCAAGTCTGGTCGTATGGGTTTGGCGGAGAAGTCGCTCAACTCGCTCGTCGATCATCCTGAACCGTCGGATGCTACGAATCTCTCCGGTACGTCGTACGCTGGACGGGCGCCTCCTCAGGTCGTATACGCCCAGCTCAAGTACATGTGGGCCGCAGGTAATCAGCACGACGCGCTCAACAATCTGTGCGATTTCACTGCAAAGATGTCGCAGAATCTTGGACTCAACACAACTGAGCTCATGATGAAGCCGCTGCCTACCGAGCTTGTGATTTCCGCTTCGAACGTGCAGCTGGGATCGCTATTTGTCAACGGCAACAACGGTCAGCAGCAGCAGCCGACTGCTGGCAGCCAGGCTATGCTGATGAACGGTCATGCGCAGCCTTCTGGTGCAGTAGTTGCCGCAGCTTCACAGGCTCAAGCGAACGGAGCCAGTGCCGCGAACTCTGCAAACGCAAAGAAGCGCATTGAGGAGTACACGAAGCTTTTGGCGCGCTGCTTCCTCAAGCAAGGAGAGTGGCAGATTGCGCTGCAGCCGCAGTGGCATCATGAAAACTCCCACTCGATTCTGCGCTCGTATCTGCTAGCGACTTACTTTGACAAGGGGTGGTACAAAGCCTGGCATAACTGGGCGCTGGCCAACTTCGAGGTGGTGACGGCGAATGACAAGGCTGATACCAAGGACCGAAGTGACTATGTTTCGGATGAGCTGGTTGAGAAATACGTGCTGCCGGCAATCCAGGGATTCTTCAAGTCGATCTACTTGTCGAGCGGCAACTCTCTGCAGGACACACTTCGTCTACTCACGCTTTGGTTTCGCTACGGTGGGCTGCCAGAGCCAGCCAAGGCCATGAACGAAGGATTCACGACTGTCAGCATCGATACTTGGCTTGAGGTAATCCCACAATTGATTGCCCGAATCCATCAGCCCAACATGGTCGTGCGCAAGTCTCTGCACTCGCTGATCTCCGACCTCGGCCGCACACATCCTCAGGCGCTAGTATATCCGTTGACTGTCGCCATCAAGTCCGACAGTGTTACACGACAGAAGGCTGCGATGGCGATCATGGATAAAATGCGCGCGCACAGTGCGACGCTTGTCAAGCAGGCTGAGATTGTGATTCAGGAGCTGATTCGGGTTGCGGTGTTGTGGCATGAGCAGTGGCATGAGGGTCTTGAGGATGCGTCGAGGTTGTTTTTCGGTGACCACAACATTGAGAAGATGTTTGCCACCCTTGAGCCTTTGCACAAGATGCTTGAGAATGTGAGTTTCTCTTTTATTTATATTTTTGGCAGGTGTATAGATAATTGCTAACAACCGTCTTATAATACAGGGTCCGCAAACCTTACGCGAGATTTCGTTCCATCAGGCGTTCGGTCGCGACCTTCGCGAGGCGTATGAATGGGTCTTGAGTTTCAAGCGGACAAACGACATGACTCATCTGAATCAAGCTTGGGACGTGTACTACAATGTTTTCCGAAGGATTACTCGGCAGCTTCCTCAGCTCAACACGCTCGACTTACAGTACGTGTCGCCGAATTTGCTGGAGTGCAATGATTTGGAATTGGCAATGCCGGGAACGTACGAGAGCGGGAAGCCGATTATCCGGATTATGTCGTTCGATCCCACATTCACAGTCATCACCTCGAAGCAGCGGCCGCGAAAGCTGTCGATCCGGGGAAGTGATGGTGTGGACTACCAGTATGTGCTGAAGGGTCATGAGGATATTCGACAGGATAGTTTGGTGATGCAGCTGTTTGGACTGGTTAATACGCTGCTTGCTGCCGACTCGGAGTGTTTCAAGCGACATCTGAGTATTCAGCAGTATCCTGCGATCCCGCTGTCGCCGAAGAGTGGTTTGCTTGGATGGGTCAAGAACAGTGACACGTTCCATGTGTTGATCAGGGAGTATCGCGACAACCGCAAGATTCTGCTGAATATCGAGCACCGTATCATGCTTCAGATGGCACCGGACTACGACCATCTGACGCTGATCCAGAAGGTGGAGGTGTTTATGTACGCTCTCGATAATACGACGGGCCAGGATCTGTACCGGGTGCTGTGGCTCAAGAGTCGCTCGTCTGAGGCCTGGCTTGATCGGCGAACGACGTACACGCGCTCGCTGGCGGTGATGTCTATGGTTGGCTACATTCTCGGTTTGGGCGATCGTCATCCGTCGAACTTGATGATGGACCGCAACACCGGAAAGGTCGTGCATATCGATTTCGGCGACTGCTTCGAGGCCGCGATACTACGCGAGAAGTACCCGGAGAAGGTGCCGTTCCGACTTACACGCATGCTCACGTACGCGATGGAGGTTTCAGGAATCGAGGGTTCGTTCAGGATTACGTGCGAGAACGTGATGCGGGTGTTGCGAGATAATAAGGAGTCGTTGATGGCGATTCTTGAAGCGTTCGCGCACGATCCTCTTATTAACTGGGGATTCAACCTGCCGCAGCCAGAACGGCCTTCACAGGGCGCGGTAATCACGCCGCAAGGATCGCAGCAGCAGCAGCAGCAGCAACAGCATCATCATCAGCAGCAGCAACAACAACAGCAGCAGCAGCAGTATCATGGGTCTGTGGCCGACGGCGAAATAAGCGCGAGCCGAGCAGCCGCGGCGGCTACTATGATGGGTACGAATACGCAGGCAGCACCGATGAACAAGGATCGAAGGAACAGTATGCTTGTTTCACCGTCTTCGGGCTTGGATAGGCGCCGACCGCAGATCGATGAGGAGGAAGTGGTGAACCGTACGTATCCGCAGTGCTTTCACATAATTTTTGCATTTTCATGTTTAATGGGTAATCTGCAAAAAAACAGATACAGAAGACTGACTTGATTATTTTATCTAGTTGAATTGCAAAACAACCTGGACTCTCGCAACCAGAGAGCGACTGTGGTGCTGAAGCGTATCTCCGATAAACTGACGGGTAACGACTTCAAGCATCCGAAGGAACTGGACGTGCCGCACCAGGTCGACAAGTTAATTCAGCAGGCTACTTCGATTGAGAATCTATGCCAGCACTTTATTGGATGGTGCTCATTCTGTAAGTTTTATCCTATTTATTATTCTTTGTCTGATTTCTTGTCAGGCTGGGGGTGGAGTTGGGGTTATAGTTAGTATGTGAGAGTGTTTTGACTAACAGGTATCCGATGTAGGGTAAAACTTGGAACGACTCTCTATATATAAGTCCGAGAGAACGACAGCATTTATCAGGAACAGGTAGAGGAGAGGAGAGCGATGGTCCAGATTTCTGGCTTTTCTTTTTTTTGAGCGGGTTCATGTTCTTCAAAGCTGGAAGCTTTGGAGGACTTGTATGGGAGTATGTAGATTGTTTTTGTGTAGATTCCCTAATTATACATATCTATCTATCAAATTCTCTCAACCACTTCTTCTTCCTCTTCTACATCTACCCATTATTCTTTCTCTCTTTACATGAAAGACAAGAGAGAGCAAGAGTGGCAGAGCTAAAGTCCGAACGAGACGGCAGCGTGCGGGTGGCAGTGATTTAAGGTTTAATTAAGCGAGCAGAAGAGCAACAACTATTCTCCGGACTCGGCACAGATGGTTCCGGGCGAGGGAGATGAGCGGAGGGGGTGTGCGGTTGGAGAACGCTGGATAGTTAGAGAAAACAAGAGAGTATGTATAGAATAGAACTGGGAAGTGTTGGGAGGACCGACAGAAAGGGTGGAGGAAGAGGGATTGTGGCAGATCGGGGGAGACGGTAAAGGGCGGGAAGGCTCATGACACAGAGTTTCCCAGGTTATGAACAAGAGCGCGCACAGCTGGGGCGGACAGCAACGAGAGGAAGCAGCGAACAAGTAGTTTACGTTCACCTTCCAACTGACTGGCCAGCTTCTGCTTAATTTTAAAAGGAAATTGACAAAAACCTGTCGGGGAAAGGAGCACTGACTTTGCGGTATGGGCAAATGGTGGGGGCATTTGCGGAGATGCTTGCTATTTTGTCTTTGACCGCGAGCAACTTTAACGAAGCGTCGTCGTCGTCCACGCAGTGATCCTGGTCACTGTTTTGCTCATCGCCGAAAAAAACACAGAACCGATAAACCGAGCGCGGGAAGTGGCGGGGAAACGCGATTAATAACCCGAGTTTGAGTGGACGAGCACGCAGGCAGCGAGCGAGCAAAGGGACGCGCCCGTTATTGCCGATAGCGCAAACTGTGGAGCAGTGGCCCCCCCGTCGGACTTGGCTTTGCAGGAACCGCTGGGCTTGTTTGTCAGGCAGGCTTCCCTCGCGGTTTTTACTTCTGGCTCGCTTTACTGTTTTAGCCCCTCCCCCGCTCAGCCGGCTGACGGAGGCCCGACAACCCCGATATCTTGTTTGCTCGAACCGTATCTGATCGCGCGGAGAACGTGCCGTGCAGGATGGGGGTCGATTACTGTATAAAGCAGTCCTTGGCTCTCGCCTCCCTGCAGCTCCCTTCCCTCCTTCTTCCTCTCTTTTCTTGCTTTACCTCTTGGGCATAACCGTCTCAGTCAATAGCTGCTTCTCGTTCGACACGCAAAAGCAACCCTATAGCAAGAATGTCAGTTGTTGCTACTACCACTACCACCACAATGCCCACCGCCTCCTCCTTCTCGACCGCCGCCGAGCTCGACGACGCGGTCACCACCCTCCGCCGCACTTTCTATTCCGGAAAGACAAAGTCGCTTGCCTGGCGCAAGTGGCAGCTCAAGCAGGCATGGTGGATGTTGGAGGACAACGAGGAGCGCATCCTCGCCGCGCTCGAGAGCGACCTCGGCCGGTCCGATTTCGAGTCCTACATGTTTGATATCTCGCTCGCGCGCCAGGATATCCTCGAGGCGCTCGAGCACATTGACGAGTGGACCAAGGACGAGTACGTCCCCGGCGCGGGCTTCATCTACGGCACGCTCGGAAAGTCAAAGGTCAAGAAGGAGCCTCTCGGCGTCGCGCTCATCATCGGCGCTTGGAACTTCCCCATCGCGCTCCTGCTTGATCCTGCGTTTGCCGCAATCGCAGCCGGGTGCTGCGTCTTGCTCAAGCCATCTGAGATGGCCTCCGCCACGCAGGATCTGCTCATGGAGCTCGTGCCAAAGTACATGGACCCCGAGGCCGTGCGCATCGTCGCCGGTGGGCCGGAGCAGATGACTAAAGTGCTCGAGTACAAGTTCGACCATATCTTCTTCACCGGCTCGGGCAAGATCGCGCGCTTCATCACCGCCGCGGCGGCAAAGCACCTCACGCCGACCGTGCTCGAGCTCGGCGGCCAGGGTCCCGCGATCGTGACCGGGACGGCCGACGTTGATCTGGCGGCGAAGCGCATCGCGTGGGCAAAGTTCACAAACGCGGGCCAGATCTGCTTGTCTGTCAACCACGTGTTTGTCGATCCGGCGGTGTACGACGAGTTTGTTGCGCGGGCTGGGTTCTGGTTCGACTCTTTCCTGGCGGGCGCGGGAGAGAAGCAAATGACAAAGATCATCAATGACCGGAACCATGCCAGACTTAAGAAGATGCTTGAGGCATCAAAGGGAAAAATCACGTACGCGGGCAAGAAGCCGGAGGGTGCCACCGAGTACACCACCGACAGTTACTCGAGCACAAAGTTCAACCCCACCGTTGTCGCTGATGTGTCGATGGGGGATCCTCTCATGGCCGAGGAGTTGTTTGGACCTATTCTGCCGGTCATCAAGGCTGATTACAAGACTGCCATCACGGAAATCAAAAAGTATGTTGCCTATACTTTGTCTCTTTCTGTACAGATCAAGTTAACATGTGTTTTTTCTAGTCTCGATCACCCGCTTGCCATCTATATCTTTTCAAAGTCGCAGAAGGAAGTCGACGAGGGTAAGATTATTTGGAACCAACTATTATAATCTGTCAAGAATAACGCTAACGACATGCAGTCATCAACACCACCATCTCCGGAGGTGTCACCGTCAACGACACCCTTGTTCACTACATCGTTCCCAACGCACCCTTTGGCGGTGTCGGCGAGTCCGGCTCCGGCTACTACCACGGCGCCTACGGCTTCCGCTGCTTCACGCACCTCCGCACAATCGTGATGCCCCCGACCTGGATCGACAAACTCCTCAGCTTCCGCTACGCTCCCTACACCGAAAGCGATGTCGCGAAGGTGATTGTCAAGAAGGGCAGCAAGGGCGTCGGCTTCAAGCGCGGCGAGACGATGGCCGACCAGGAGCGCCTGAGCCTGCACGAGCTGCTCTGCTCGCCGCTGATCAAGACCGTCGTTCGGAAAACCTTCAGATGCGCGTTCTTCGCTACCGCGCTCGTCGCCGGTCTGGCGGCAGTCGACGGGCTCCGCGGCGGTGGCCGGTCGCGGTTGACGCTCTACCTTGGCTTTGTGTACTCGAACGTGCTCTCCAAGTTTGACGTCAAGCAGGCTCTGTTTTAGATGGTGTGCATGTTGAGTAATGATAGCCCAGGTGGTTGTGTAGATTTTTTTTCATTTCTTTTTTTCATTTTGGTATGATGCATTAGTGAATATATAGATGTTAATTATGAGTAAATTTATCCCTCAAGATATATAAATGCAATTGCAGTGAGCATCTCTGTGATAAAAAGAATGGGGAAAAAGCAAGATTTTCCATTTCAGGAACAATTTTGTAACCTCCCAACCGCGCGTGTACATCATCAATTTCCACCACTTTTCCAAGCGACAATATCATTTTCTCTACAACAACACGACGCTCTGCCTCCCCTCGATTGAATAGTAATAAATATGAGCGACGACGACGACGAAATCCCGACTTTGATCGACGTCCAGACGTCTTCGGTAGAAACCACCGAAGCGCCTGCGCAGATCAATCAGACCATTACTCAGGTATATCAGCACCGTTTCTGGATTTACCATCTCTGTCTGATCTTCTCTAGCTAACGTCAACAAGAATCCGGATGAGCCGGAGTTTAAGGTCCCGCTTACGATTGTCACGGGATATCTAGGAGCCGGTAAATCGTACGTTGTTGCGGGCAATCGCTTGATGTGCTGGAGTTTTTTGATGCTGATCTTGTGAGAATGTTGTAGGACGCTGTTGAATAAGATTATGCGGAAGACAGACAAGAAGATTGCAGTTATTATGAATGGTATGATTACCGTAATAAACTTACCGAGGCGATATACTAACGTTGTGCCTGATATCCAGAATTCGGTGACTGTACGATCTCCAAATTGCGCTGAAATACCCCACCACACCACTAACAATCCTCGTACAATCTAGCGATCGACATTGAGAAATCACTCACAGTCTCCGAAGGCGAAAAGAACTACACAGAATGGCTCGAGGTCGGCAACGGCTGTCTCTGCTGCTCTGTCAAAGACATGGGGATCGCTGCGCTCGAGTCGTTGATGGAGAGGAAAGGGAAGTTTGATTATATCTTACTAGAGACGACAGGGTTGGCTGATCCAGGTACACATTACCCATCTTTTGTTGGTGTTTGCATGCTCGACAACTACTGACTATAATTCACTATTAGGCCCGATAGCAAACATGTTCTGGCTTGACACCGCGCTGGCATCCTCAATCTACCTAGACGGCATAATCGTCGTCGTCGACGCCGTCAACATCATCCACAACCTCGACGACGTCTACCTCGACGACCACCACGACGGCGACGAAACCGAGGACACCCGACAAAAAGACGCGACCCACACAGACAAGCTAGCAGCTACTTCGACAGCCAACATCCAGCTCTCCTACGCCGACGTTGTGATTCTAAACAAATCGGATCTCGTCGACGGAAAGGCTAGGAAGACGATCGAGCAACGGATAAGGGGGATTAATGCGCTGGCGAGGATTATTCCTACCTCGTACGCAGAGTTGGAGTCGGTCGAGGATATTCTTGATATCAAGACGGTGGATGATGACGTTAGCCGCTGGGAGAACGCTGTCGCATCAAATTCAGAGTCGTTTCATGATCACGTATGTACTTCTTACTTGAATCGATATATAGCTTATGCTCACCATTCTTTTCTACCTTTTTAGAGAATAACGACAATCACACTCGACCTGCCCAAACTATCAAAACCAGCATACGACAGATTCGACAGATGGCTGCAGAGCCTGCTCTGGGAAGGCTACGTCGACAGCGACCATCCCGTCGAGATCCACAGACTCAAGGCAAAGGTCTGTCTTGACTCGGGCGAGATGTATGTGATTCAGGGTGTGCGCGATACGTATGATACCATTCCTATTAGCGGCGCGCAGGGTTCGGCGGCTGGAAAGATTGTTTTGATTGGAAAGGGTTTGGATTTGGAGGTTTTACAAAGCAGCCTTAAAAGCGTAGAGTTGAATGAGTGAGAAGTAGATTGTCGGTTTGTACATAGTGAAGCGTAAAAAAATAGAAAGGTTTTAGCTAAATTCCACCATTTACAAGACAACTCTACTCGCTCGGAGATCGAGCACTTAACCATGCATGTATTACACGAATAACCAGCCCACACTTAAGCATAGAAAGAAACCGATTTCGACTTGCGCGCCTGCACCTCCGTGATTGCCTCGACAAAATCCTCATGCCGGATCTTGGACTGGCCGTTTCGGAGCGCAATCATACCGGCCTCGACCGCGACGGCCTTGAGCTGCGCACCGTTGAACTCGTCGGTGCCGCGCGCCAGTTCTTGCCAGTTGATAGCCTCGTCGACAGTCATTTTTCGAGCGTGGATCTGCAGAATTCCGGCACTTAGAAAGAGTTAGCATCTTGCTTCACACATCACAAAGAAACACGAATCACTTACCGAGCCTCCTCATTAGGAAGGGGAAATTCGATCTTTCGGTCTAACCGACCACTTCGCAGCAACGCAGGATCCAGCACATCGACACGGTTCGTAGCCGCCAGCACCTTAACCCGGTCATCGCTGCTGAATCCATCAAGCTGATTGAGTAGTTCCAACATAGTTCGCTGCACTTCTCGATCACCGGACTTGTCAGAGTCGAAACGCTTCGTTCCGACGGCGTCGAGCTCGTCGATGAAGATGATGGCAGGCGCTTTCTCTTTGGCGAGCGCAAAAGCGTCGCGCACTAGTTTGGCACCGTCGCCGATGAACATCTGCACAAGTTGGGGACCGGCGAGTTTGAGGAACGTGGCATTCGTTTGGGCAGCGCAGGCTCGCGCAAGAAGTGTCTTTCCGGTACCAGGAGGGCCGTACATCAACGCACCTGTATAAATCAAGAAGAGTGAGCAATAGTTTCGTTGACTGGAACGATAAAAGATGGTAATTACCCTTTGGCGGCTTTATTCCGAGCTTTTTGAATTTGTCGGCTTGCTTCATGGGCAAAACAACCGCCTCGACCAACTCCTCGATCTGCTTGTCGAGACCACCGATATCGGCATAAGTCTCGGTCGGCTTCTCGTCGACCTCCATAGCCTTGACTCTGCTATCGTACTCAGCAGGCAATGTGTCGAGAACAAGATAAGAGTCTTTGTTGACTCCAATCAGATCACCCGGTTTTAGCTTCTCCGAGTCCACGAGACCGATCAGCGGCAGGAAGATGGTCTGTCGGGTTGAGGTCTTTATGACTGCGGACTTTCCGACCCGCGTCGCGTCAAGATCCACGTTCGCGCCATCCTCTTCGTCCTCATCGTTCGCGTCCATGTCAAGGATCTCGACGACGTTACCCACCAGATAGGGCAGTTGCCTATTGTTCTCAATCTTCTCCTGATTGTCCTTGATTCGCTCTGTCATTGTGGTCTTCTCATGAGACAGCCGTTGGAACTCTGATCGCAAGACCTTGATGTCGTTCTCAATCAGACGTCGACGGTTGTTGATGTCGGCCGTGGACGAATTGAGGATCTCCTCCGCGATGTCATCATCCTGTGACTCGGTCTTTGCCTCGCCACTGGCATCAACCATCTCGGTATCGTTTTGACGCTCGAGCGCCTCAAGATCTTCTAGTGTAGCCATTATCTGTAGAAGTGTATGTGTTTGCAGGAAGTAGGGAGAATGGCAAGAGAATCGGCCGCAACAGCGATGGAGTCCTTGGCTGCTGTGCCCGCGGCGAGCGTGTGGATCTGTGGAAGCTCCTCGCAGAAGCACAAAACCCACTCAAATGTAAGCACCACAAAACCCTCGCAAACCGCTGACGCGCTTCCACCAGCTCGAGCTTCCACGGTCCTCCCCGCCCTCGTCCAGACAGCCTGCCATCACCACCAGAACCCGCAATCATGTCGAGCGATACAGTCACGCTACTCACATTCAAGGCCGGCAAGGTCGAGTTCAACCCGCCGTCGAAGCACCTGAAGCCGCTGCCGCAGAAGGGAAAGATCACGCTGCAAAAGTCCACAGACGAGGAGTCGCCTCTCCTGTCGTTCATTTGGGAGCCGCGAGGTTCTTCAAAGAATGATCCGACCGTCGAACGCGACGAACTGATGATCTTCCCGGGCGAAGCCGAATGGCTCCCCGTTGCGCAGTGCACGACCGGCCGGGTGTACGTTCTCAAGTTCAACAGCTCCAGCCAGCGGTCCTTCTTCTGGATGCAGGAAGCTCCCTCCGGCGACATACTGAACGAGATAAGCGAGAACGATCTCAAGATTGCGACACGGATCAACACTCTCCTCGAAGACATCGATGCCGAAGAAGTCGACATCTTGGAAGAACAGTCTGGAGCGTCCGGCGACGATGTCGAGATGGAGGACTTGCCCACAAACACAGGCGACAGCGCGCAACAGTGAGTAGCACATGATCTTTCAATTACTTTCTGCTTTCTCGGGCGTGCCATTCCACGGTTGTACTATATACGCAATGTTTGCCATATTTTTCATGTAAAGAAGTTGCAGATTGGCAGCTCTGTGGTCGTTTGAATCGATTAGAAGAAGAATCGGTGCTTGTTCCATATTCATGTCTGGCTACTTTACAATTACGTCCGATTTCTTTCGATTGGAGTATTGGGAATCGTCTTTGCATCTCTTCGTGATTTCATCATTTATCATTTTTTTCCCTCGTGTTTGGCTCGTTCGGTATTGCCTTGATGTTCAATATAATCTAATATACATTCTTCTTTTATCTTCTCTTCTAAAGACAAGCGAGCTTGTCGAGCCTTATCAATTCGATAGTCATTCCTCCCTCCAGCAGCAGCACATCCTCGGGCGCGCCAATCCACGACATCACCGACGCAATCACACCAAAGCAAATGGCCCAGTTCGTTGACTCTCTCGACGCCTCCGATCCGCGACTGACGAACCTCTACAACTTCCTGCCCGCCGAAATCCCAAAGACAAAGCCCGAGCTACTGAGGGTTCTGCAATCGCCTCAGTTTTTGCAGGGAATTAACAGCTTGAGTCAGACTTTCAGATCCGCGGAGGGGACGAACGCGGGACAATTGGTGGCTCATGAACTTGGATTGCCATACCGTGGTGAGGGTATCGAAGCATTCCTGCGTGCTATCAGAGCTGCGATTCAAGAAGAGAAAGATAGAGACCACGAGATGCAGGAGTGATCGCATCAGAATCTTGCCATGATCGAGCATCTACAGGAATTTGTTGTACTAAAATAAATTGATATATACTTATACAAATACAAAACAAAATCCCCGATTAAGCATGCAACACAACACCATCACCAACTCATATCATACAAACACTCCAAAATAATAAACCCTCACTTTCTAGTCTTGTTAAACAGATGATCCATAGCAGCGTAATTAATCTTCTTTGAAAGCACCTTCTTCACCAACATCGCCTTTGCACTTTCCGCAGGAGTCTCTGGCAGATTCTCAGAAGTCGAGTCCTTTGGTTTATTGCGCTTGCGCTTTCGCGGCTGTCGCACTATACCGTTCTTTGCATCCTCCGCAATCTTCTGCGCTTTAAGTTCCTGTTCCCGCAGATATTCAGCGTTCAGCGTATGCCACACATGGGACTTCACGTCGACTTCCTCTTCGTTCAAGATGAAGTTTGAGATTTCGTCGTCGTCAACGTCGGAAAGATTTTCGGGATCATCGTCGATGATGCGCGTTGGAGCAGGCGTAGGCTCGACCGGTTCGGGAATGGATATAGCGACTTGCTTCAGGTTACTGTCTTCCAAAGCAGCATCTATATCTCTGCCAACATCCTCGACTTCATCCGCTTCGTCATCGGTGGCTTTCTCCTTTACTCCGTTGTCGTCCTCGTCACTATCAGCATCCAAAGTACGTAACCGCTGCTCGCGCTCGCGCTGCTCCTGAAGTTCGCGTTTGCGATGCTTGGTAAACGAAGGTGGGTCGGCTTCAGTTTCGATATTGGTACCCCGAAACTGCTGAACGGTAAGCGAGCCGGCGGCGGTAAGTCTGAATTCGTCAAGACGTCGCTGGATGGTATCCTCAGCGACCTTGGCAACATGGACGATTTCGGCTCTACTCCTGCGATAATTGTTCATCCGAGCGGCAACCAATAGACATGCGCCTGCTACACCAGCAGGACGACGTCCTTGATGAAGCCAGTCCTTGCCCATTCTTTGCACCAGTCTGACTGCGTCGTTCATGACTTTGCGCGTATCATCTCTGACCAGAACCTTCTTCTCTTTGGGGTGCTCGTCGTCGCTCTCCTCGCCTTCTTTAACAGGAACCAGTTTGTAGAGTTTAAAGTCCAATTTGACCGCAAAGCGCTGGATATAAATCGAAGGGTCAATCAGCGGAATGTTTTTGATTTGCAGTACTTTGACTAGCTTGAGATATGTAGCTCCGATTGCAAACACGCTGACTTGCAGAATATCGGCAAAGTCGATGAGCATGTGTGTGGTCTGCTGCTGTCGACAGGCAACATAGAGACATGCTGCTACGACGTATTGAGACCGGCGACCTTGGACGAAGTTCTGGGTGACTGCGAGCTGGAACCATCTGTTGGCAGCGTCGCCCACGAATTCAGGAAGTGAGAGAAAGTTGGCGAGGTTCATGATACGCCGTCGTCCTATTAGAAGGATAAGAGATTAGCAACTAGAGCATGAAAGTGTGCGCTATGCCGCTGTAATACGTACCATTAGCAAGAGTTTGTTCTCGACTTTCCCAAGACCCGTTCTTTCTGAGGCCTCCGCCCATATTGCGCGCACCACCTACATCGACATGTTAGCAGCAGCTCGTGTAAGGCAAGCGGAAACAAGACAGCGCACTCACTTTGACCCTCGCCAATGTACATTCCCTGCACCATCGCGGCACCGCTCGAGGTCTCGCCGAAGGTGACCTCGGCCACGATCGAGGTGTCGTCGACGACATTACCACAGGATGTGCAGGCTACCTCACCGGTGCCTGTCTCTTCGAGCGTCGTGCCCTTGCAGTGCGGGCATACTCTGACCGGCATTTTTCACGTGTAGACCGAGCTGACAGAAGGCAGTGGACAGAAGTAGCCGGTCAGCTAGTGACAGTAGAGTGTACAAGAGAAGAAAGAACGCGTTTAGACTGCAGTTGATATGTTTCCACTCGCGGGAGAGAGTCTGGTTTGTAGTGAATCTTCGAGTCTGTGCGGATATCGAAGAACAAACTGCTGAGTGTGGCGACTTTTTCGGGCCGAAAATCCAACGAGAGGGCGTCTGGTGTAGTTGGTTATCACATCCGCTTAGCATGCGGGAGGTCCCCGGTTCGATTCCGGTGTCGTCCATTTTTTTACTATTTTTATTTTCTGTTTGATTTTTATTTTTGTTTTACACTGCATTATTTCCTTATCTTATTTTTACAAAAACAACTACTTGAAAAGAGTAGAGAACGCGTGCAGAAGAATAAAAAGAGGACTCTCTGGCTATCTACACAACTGCGATAATCTTCCACAGTTGGGACCACAATCCCACCAAAGCCCATTAGATAAGCAGAAGCCAAAAATAGGGTTCTCATGTCATCATCGCGACCACAGATATTGTTTGCACCTCTCTCAGCTCGCCGCCTCCCATCTTCATTCCTCTTCACGACCACTTCCCAGATCCTAGTTGGACCTCAGCTTCCCTCTGACTTTGATCAATCAACTCACTCTAATGGACGCCGACGTGACTATGACAGACGCAGGCATGGCGACGCTTTCGCCCGTCTCGCACACCCTTTCCCCACCTCCTGGCGAAATAAAGGCATCTCCTGTCACCGACTCACAATCCTACGATGACCTGGACCGATGGATTGAGATGCTTATGGACTGCAAGCAGCTGAGCGAAGCGGACGTTAAGAAACTGTGTGATAAGGTGTGTTTGCAGCGCTGTTGTAAAATATCTCAACATCTTGCAGGGGTTGGCGAGATGAGATGCCCTGATCTGCTGAATACTGACCTATCAATCAACAGGCTCGCGAGATTCTGAGTGAAGAATCTAACGTGCAGAACGTGGTATGTTTCTAATTACTAAACAGATTGATTCTATGTTGGAGTATTTGTTGATTGATTCGTGAATAGAAATGCCCGGTTACTGTCTGTGGTGACATCCACGGCCAGTTCCACGACCTGATGGAGCTGTTCAAAATCGGTGGTCCGAACCCCGATACCAACTACTTATTCATGGGTAAGCTATTTTTTGTTCCTAATCTCCTTCTGGAAAGCAGGACTCTAACATTGGCCTGTACAGGCGATTATGTCGATCGAGGATACTACTCTGTCGAGACCGTGACTCTCCTAGTGGCGATGAAGATCCGCCACCCCAATCGTCTAACTATCCTTCGTGGTAACCATGAATCCCGTCAAATCACCCAAGTGTACGGCTTCTACGATGAATGTCTGCGAAAGTACGGCAGCCCCAATGTTTGGAAATACTTCACCGATCTCTTTGACTATCTCCCCCTCACCGCTTTGATCGAAAACACAATCTTCTGCTTACACGGCGGTCTCTCGCCTTCCATCGACTCGCTAGACAACATCCGCGCTTTGGATCGTATTCAGGAGGTGCCTCACGAGGGCCCGATGTGTGATCTGCTCTGGTCGGATCCCGACGATCGATGCGGATGGGGAATCTCTCCCCGAGGAGCGGGCTATACATTCGGAAAAGATATCTCAGAAGCATTTAACCACAAAAACGGTCTCAACCTGGTTGCCCGTGCTCATCAGCTGGTGATGGAAGGATACAATTGGAGTCAGGATCAGCAAGTCGTTACGATATTCTCAGGTTTGTTAGCCACTTGTTGCGAGAGGGTGTGTACATCTTCTAACTTTTGCATAAAATAGCCCCCAACTACTGTTATAGATGCGGCAATCAGGCCGCGATTATGGAGATTGATGAAGACCTAAAATACACTTTGTAAGTAGTTTTCTATCTCTCATTTGTTTACGAAGAGTCGAACTAACGCATATCAGCTTGCAATTTGACCCCTGCCCGCGTGCCGGTGAGCCTTCAGTCTCGCGCAGGACTCCCGACTACTTTTTGGTAAGCACTCACCAACTCCTTATTTCTTCTGATGCTGTAGTACGTTTTTACTAACTGTTGTGAATAGTAATGAATCACGCCGGATTCCTGCCGGCCATTGGCCGCTCTTCAAGCTCAGACTATACATGAATGACTGGCTATCAATTTGTGGGATTGTTTTATATGTTAGGGACCGATTTCGTAATGAATGGATTAGTTTTCATTAGTTTTTGTTTTTGTTTGTATTTCCCCCTTTTTATACAGCGTTATGCATATACAATTGTACTTTGAAAGAATAAATCAGATATTATGGCTAGTTAGTTTTACGTGCATTATGTAAGAAATCCTGAACACGTGATCGCGCGAAAGGAACGCGCCGCTCAGATACAGTCGATACGCGCTATACAACCTGTTCTGCTTGATATCAGCACGCGCACACTTCGCGATGGTTGAGTGAAAGTGCTCGTACTCTGATCTGTTGGGCATAGTAAAAGGAGCAGAATAGTATCCGTCACCGAGCACGGCAGCCTTGTCTCTTCCTGCGACGACAAAGCAACCCGCCAATGCCAACAACATCCACCGACGACTCGCCATGTCCGCACCCGTCGCCCGGCGCACAAGTCCACAAACTACCCCGGCAATCGCTGTCGAGCTACTTGAAGACGATAGACGCGGCGGATAACAAGATTTCCTCGAGGATCGAGACGATTGACACCATCACGCGAGGCGGGCTTTCGCGCGGGAAAGTTACGGAGATTGCTGGGCCACCTGGGAGTGGGAAGACTAGTTTTGCGTATGTTGCTGGTTTGTTAATGGACTGGTAGATGAACACGTGTGCTGATGCTTTCTTGTATTTTAGGATTCAGTTTGTGGTATCGGCGGTGCTGGAGCACAAGAAAGTGCTCTGGATAGACACCGCGAGCTGCGTCCCTCTTGCTCGAATCCTGGCCGCGTTACCGACAGAGTACACCCAAGATCCTGCATTACTGGACAGATATGTGAAGCATCTGCAACTATCCTCGCTGCCGCACTTGCTGATCTTTGTCATGCGACCACCAGAGTACCTCAAAGACTTTGACCTCGTGATAATCGATGATATAGCAACACCTTTATTAGCAGGCTTTGCGTTCTTCGTCGCAAAACCAGCGAGCAGGACGCCAGTCGAGGCCAACGGGCGAGTCTCTCGAGCAGAAGACCACGGCACCAAACGTGCCCGTGCGGCCGCCGAGCTCGTGAGTTCGATCTCGCGACTTGCTGCGCAGCATAATTCGGCTGTATTACTGCTGAGCAAGATGGTCTCGCGGATCGTCAAGGGCCAGAGAGCGAGACTGGTCAGTGTTTTGGGCGAGGAAGGAGATGGCGGGAGCGCGGCGACAACTGCGGCAAGTATATGGACGAGGATATGTTTGTTCAGAAACGACATCCTGCTCGAAGTCGACGAGGCTTCGTCCACGCAAGGAACGCAATCTACCTCGTCGTCGTCGCTGTCTAGGAAACGGAGATACGTGATCCGAGGCGTGCCACACGCATGCGCAGTCAAATGCGCAAACGTGACCTACCAAAACGCCTCGCTCTCTGTCTTCCGCATCGTCGAAACCGGAATCGCAAACACTGATCAGTGGTTTGAAACATATGCGTCGGTTGAAGCAAGTCAGAAGCGCGTGGCCGAGGTCAGTAGTCTGCTCGGGGCTTCGCCGAAGCGGAAGATTGCGCGCAGGTTTGATGAGGGTACTGGGACTAGTAAGGATATTGCGTCATGCGGATTTCTTTCTGCAAAGGGGAGACCCGCGACAGAAGAGGAGACACAGCAAAGAGACAACGAAGCAAGAAATGATCCACAAGACAGCTTCCATGAGATGGAAAACCTATCAGAGGAAAGCATACCTACAAGCCAAGCAGAGACCTTGCTTGAGGCCGAAACCTCGCTCAATTCATCGATTTTACAGACAGACATTAAATCCCGGGAAGTCCCGGATAGCGAGGACGAGGATGGCGCAGATTGGTCGGAAATAGACGTGGCAGATTTACTCAGTTGATAATAACATTTTCTCTTTACTACTTCCGTTGCATTATTAAAAGATATTGAACCTCAAAGAATACATTAAAGATACCATTAATTTAAAGGAGAACGAATATCCAAACACCAGCAAAAAAGAAAGGAGAGAGAATCCACCCGCAGTCGATAACTTTAACAATTAATCCAATCATATACTGTGCTCTTTACTCTGCAATTATTGCATCCAGCATAGCGATGCATCGTGACTCCAACGCCCTCATTATCCCTCCGTTCATCGCAACCTCGTGTCCACCAGGACCGATAACTTTCCCCGAAACATCCAAGCCAGAAGGCAACCCATTCGAGCGGATGAACTCCGCCTCTGCCTCCTTTGCAGCTCGCTCAATCGAGATTGCTTCGTCCTCGATTTTGTAAAGATCGCATCGGTCGCACTCTGTGCAGGCACTGCCGGGAATAGGTCTGAAATGATCGCAAAAGTGCTGATAGCTCTCCTGGCGAATGTCCTTCCGACAGACATAGCACATCGAATATCCGCAAACGCAGGTCAGCTTGTTGCAACCTTCAGATTTGATGAACGACACGCGACAGACCGGACATGTGCGTTTGACCGCGTCCGCCATTGCTTTTTCAATGTACACTCGCATCCGATCTTCTTCTTGCTCAAAACACTTGTGGAACGGTAAAAACTCTTTGTTGCACTCTGTGCAAGATATCCGCGAGCACGCTGGATTCTTGCACACAAACGCCGATCCGTGACGCTTGCAAAACACTCCATGCACGATTTCCATTATCTTCTTGTCATACCACTCCTCGACGGATCCGAATGCCTTTGCGTAGAATTTCTGGGGTATCGAGAGTAGTGCCACTATACTGATCGCTCTATATAGCGCCCCAATCACAATCATCGGCAGCAGAAGAAGAAGGAATATTAATCCACCAGCCCCGATAAAGCGAGCGAGCGTAGTAGGAGTAAGTGATAATCGCAAATCACTAAAATTGCAACTCGACACAGCCGCCGGCGACTCCTCGGCGTAGTCGCAAAACGGGCAAACGACAAACCCCTTGACAGCCGCATTTTTCGCTAAAAAATCTGTGATTTGCGCATGCTCAAACTCAGAATACAAAGACTCTGAGATCGCAGCACGAAGTACTCGCTGCGGGACTGTGGCGCGACAAGGCGGATCTGCAGCTGCGGAGATACAAGGTACAAACGCTTTACCTCGTAAGACGCCTTGTCCGTACAGTCCCTCCTTGACCGAGTTTGTGAGACAGTCATGGCAAAAGAAATGGCCTTCTGAGCAGCATGAGAGATCTTCCCATGCGTAATCGCCAAAGCAGCACTCGCACTCAATGAGCTGACCGGCTCTCGCGTATTCGTCTTCGTTCGCAGCGCGCGCTGCTCGTTCGTCGTTTTCGCAGAGCTCTGCTCTTCTTGGCTTGTCGAGTTCAATCAGCTCCAGCTCGAGTTCGGCGCATCCAGTCCGTCCGATCCACGACAGAGCCGAGAACGGCGTGACGCTGCGTCGCCGACGGAAGAGGCGCATCAGCGTCCACCTGTGTGTTCGCTCGGTGGCAATTTCGGTCAAGAGGGGAAGCGAGTTTGTAAACGACGAGTTTTTCTGCGCGAGAACGTTTGTGATTGTGGATTGATGTAGGTACTGCTTGAAATGCGAACTCAGCACCCGCGAGACGGCAGCGCGGTATTCGCGGGTGCGGAACCGCTCCCAGTCAGCAACGTAGTTATGCCGCAGCCTCCGCCGCGAGCGAATAAGCGCGGGCGAGGACACGACCAGCTCAACAATAGCAGCCAGCTGCGAGGGCCCTCTGTTGTCTGCCATCAGCTGCCGCAGGAGCTCGACTTCGGTGTCGGGAAACACCTGCGCGAGGTGGTCGAGCACGGTGTTGAGCCGGTCGGTCGTCGCGCGATCTCGGATCAGGCGCGCGGAAGTGCCTGCTTTGGTGTACTCGAGGTACCTGTTTGGCGAGGCCGAGGGTGCGTATCCGCTGTCGTCGGAGTCCGAGTCGTCTGCGAAGGACGGGCTGGTGCTGGAGTGTTCGTATTTGAGCATGTCTCCAAACGGGCCAAGCATCAACGCGTGTTGTCTCCGGTATGTCATGAGCGGGCGTGCGATGCCATTGGCCTCAATGACGGGTTCTGTGAATGAGAAGACGTGCTAGTGAACTGCGAGCAGGTGAATAGTCGACACAATTACGAACAACTTTGGATCTAAAGGATGGGAAGACGGTCTCGGGGTGGCGGCGGTGGGAGTTGACTTATCAGGAAACTCCCAGCAATCTGACAATTGATTAGGGTTTGATCTCCACCATCTGATCAGCAGTCCAGTGACCTTTGTTTATTTACTTTATTGGTAATAACTTATCATACAATTGTTCGTCATCAGTCATTATATCGTAGCCCGTCTCATCTATACTCCGTCTTCTCCTCCCGCAGCACCTTGAATCCCGCGTCCAAAACCTCGAGCCCGACATCAAGCGTCTCCAGTACTTTACACAGCTCCTCCACAACCTGATCTCTCGTAGTAACCTGCGCCTCCGTCAGCACCGTCAACACATTCAGATCCGGCATCGGTGGGAACAGCTCGTTGTTCGGCAAGCTCGGCGCTCCCATGTTCTTCGCCGCGCCCATGACGCCAGGGGCACTCAGCGGGCCTTCCGGCGTAACGCCTACACCGAAGTAGGTACCTGCAGAAACGCCGTTGCTCTTCTGCGACTGCGTCTGAGAGAGCGGCGCAGAGTGGCCCATTAAATGGAACGGAGACGGCGGGGGGATGGGAATCTGCAGATTGGGCTGACGCATGGAAGCGGGTTTGCTGCTTTTCGAGGGCGAAGTCGGATGGTTGGTGTGCTGAGAGAGCGGCGTCCGCTTCGGCGAGGCTGCCCGCGACAGAGAAGCTGTCGACGGAGACACCTGGGGAGGAGGTGCAGGTTTGATGGTAGGTCCAGATACCGGCGGAGAGGCGTGGGGTAACGACGGCGTCTGGGTAGCACTACTACCGCTGGCGATAGGAGCTTGCGGCACAAACGGTGACGCCGACGATGAAGACTGTAGAGAAGGTGTGGTCTGTGGAGAAATCTGGGGTGTTGTTGACGACACCACCGACGGCGGCAATTGTGGCATCTGCGGAACTTGCTGGGGCGGTTGCTGCGCATGCGACACCTTCGGACTAGGCGATCTGATCCGTGTAGGCGATGTCGTGGTCGAGGACGAAGTAGAGTGAGATGGTGGGGGAATGTGTGGCATTGTCGCTGGGAGATTGGGCGGTGGAGGTTGCGTATGTGTTCCATGGATGCTGCGCGCGGTCGAGTTTGATCGAAACATCCGATTGCTCATTTTACTCGACGGTTCGGGAGGATGGGCTGTAGCGGCGGATGCCGAGACGAGGTTCGACATTGCTTCCAGTGTCGGGATTTCGATCTCGACCGGTGAAGATGACGCGCGAACAGGCGATGTTAATGTGTCTCCGGGGAGATGTATCATATTCGAGTCAATGTCCAACATCGAGCTTTGTGGGGGGTCGGTTTCCTGAGTGAACAGCTTGAGTAGCGGATGAGATTCACCAGAGGGCGGGGCAGTTATCGCAGAGTCTGCCTTGTCGGGTGTTGCAGCCGTGCCTATTAATGACGCTGCTGCTATTGATGATACCACTGGCTGCTTCATTGTCGCAGTATCCGAGCTGAAAGCACCTGCACCATTCGGGTATGGTATTTTGGCAGTCGCGTCTCCTTTGACCAACGTATCAGATCGCTGTCGGCCAAATTGAAAGCTCTGCTGTGGATCCGGAGACTCTTTCGTATCTTGTGTATCCTCGACGTCAAAATCCCACTCGCCTCTACCACTGTCGTCATCCTCTCCCGGCCCGTCTTCGGTATCAGATCCGACCTGCGCCCCCATAGGACCCATTCGATTGTCTGGACTATCGTGTTCCAGAGCCAGACTCCGTCTCACATTCCCCTTATCCTGCCAAGTTTGATATTTCGCCAACAGATCCTTCAAGATCGACGTCGGCACGTTCTTGCACGCGCGAATAAATCGTGTCTTCAACAGCTCGTCCGCACTCGGACGCTCTTCGAAGCGCTCGTTCAAGCACAGAGTTAGGAATTCTTTCAACATGGGTGAGTATTGAGATCCTTCCAGTCGGGGAGGCTTTTGACGGGATATCAGATACATGGCAGCCATTCCATCCTGGTCAGCGTAGGGAGGTTGGCCTGTTGTCATTTCGTATATCGTGATTCCCAGCGACCAGATATCGGCCTATGCACAAACTTGTTAATACCCAATTATCATACTCGACGATCCAGCTTGAGCGACTTACCTTGTAGTTGTACGTCGCGCCCTCGGTGATAACCTCGGGAGCCATCCAGTACGGCGTGCCAACGATTGTACTTCGTTTCGGATGATTTGCAGAGATCTGGGCGGCCACGCCAAAGTCACAAAGCTGCACGCTTCCGTCGTTTTTGATGAGAATGTTGGCGGCTTTGATGTCTCGATGAATGATTCCGGCTTTGTGAATGAACGAGAGACCGATGAGGGATTCGCGCACAATTACTTGGGTGTATTTCTCTTCGATCTTCCCAACTGCCAGTTGCTGTAGATTTACACGTCAGTAATTGCCTCAATTCCCAATGAATTGATCGTCGGCGACTCACCAGATTTCTCACACTACCACCCGAGCAATGATCCATGATAATCCACAACCTGGTGCCAACCAGATGAGAGCCGTGGTACCTGACAATATTCTGCGCATCGCCATGTTTCAGCTGGGACAGCATCGCGACCTCGTGCCTGACGTCCTTGACATCGTCCTCCGCCGTGTCGAGATTCAGGACCTTGATGGCAACGACTTTCTTCTCAATTAGATTATAGCCCTTGTAGACCACGCCAAAGTTGCCACGGCCGATGATCTCGTCGCGTCGATAGATTTTCGCGGGGGAGAAAGGCACGCCCGGGGAGACCATGCCATCGCCGTACGGCGCACCGGCTTCGAACGCCTGCATTAAAGTGAGGAAGAAGCAAAGTACGCGAGCTCTTCAGACCGTCAGTGTGAATACGAGGCACGGATCCAAGAATTCCCGGCAGAATCAGTGGGGCTCGAGAGTGTGTCGGGGATGGCGAAGAGGGAGCCCTGAGAAGGGGTTTGGAAGCTGGGAGTCGTTTGCGCAAGATATTTGGGAGGAAATAGAGTTATTTTTTATGTGCTTTTGGGTTATTCTCGCACAAGTCCCTGGCGCGCCAGGGTGCGGCTTTCCAGTTCCTGTCTAAGTTACTGTGGGAAATATTTGTCGGCGCCTGTCTTTGTGGCTTTGTCTTGGCTATTGTGACAGAATCGGGTAGAAATATACTGTTATTCTCATTAGCAATTTATATGCTGCGGTGTGAGGAGTATGGACGTGAAATACACGGAAGGACGCGTGAACGACGCGTTGGTGTATACAGCATCAGAACTGCTCGATAGATTTCGAGATAGTCGCCTACTGGCCTGCCGTTCGCTGGCAGTGGTTTATAGTAATGCAAATCATACACTGATTTGTAGAGTACGAGAACAACAATGTATATAACGTAGAATAACTTCTGCCCGAGGATATTTCCAGAAACAGACGCATCTCTGACTCACAAGCATTGGCGCTGGTCTCGATAAACTCCCATCAAACAGCACCAAATCCAACTTCTCCGTTCCTCGCTCTCCCCCACACTCACCTCTCCGCGTACCCTCCGCCCGCCAAACACGAGACAGCAACGATGACCGACGCACTCGCAGCAGCGGCCAAGCTGAAGGACCAGGGAAACCTCGAGTTCCGGGCGAAGAAATACGACGAGGCCATCTCGCTTTACTCTTCGGCGATTACAACCATCGCGCCAGCAATCGACCCGATTCTATACTCGAACCGCGCAGCGTGTTTTATCGCACTTGAGAAGTATCAGGAAGCGCTCGAAGACTGCAGGATTGCGATAGGGGAAAACCCGAACCATATAAAGTCTCTGGATCGAAGCTATTTCTGCTACACGAAGCTTGGGAAGCCAAGGGAAGCGCTTGTCGAACGGTTAGCAGCAAAGGTCGTCTCCGGCGATGCTGAGCAGGTCTACCGCCGCATCCAAGAGGGTGCATCTACTGCACTTGATCCGATTGTCGGGAAGCTAGCGGACCAGTTTTTAAAAGCGGAGACGAAGAAGCTGGCGGATGACGAGAGCCGGCTGGTGTTTCCGGATGCGTTTGAGATGTTTTGGCATTTTAACTATATGCACAGTCCTCGGCACGAATCTACACAGAGCGACGGCCATGCGACAGTGGGAACGATAGAAGGAGAGTTACTGGAGGTGTATAAAAAGCTGAGAGAGCATACGTATGAAGCATACGTCGACGCCTACCACCTCGTCGACAAACTGATCGAGAAGCATCAAACCGGCGACAACGACAACAAGGAACTAAAAACGGCCTACGAAGTCCGAGGGTCATTCAACTATCTACTGAAGCGCGAACAGCAAGCAATCGCAGACTTTAAGCGAAGCGACAACAGCTCCAGCGTTTTACTCAAACTTGCGACTACGACTTCAAACAGCAGCGAAAAGCTGTCATATATAGAACAAGCCAAAGCTGCGAATAAGGACGATCCTCGCATCGATTTTTTCCAGGGCTTGATGCGCTATGAAGCGGGAGAGTACGAACCTGCAATCTCGTCTTTCAAGAAGGCTAGGGATGTGAGCAAAGCCGCCGCTGATGATGCGACCGAGCTGATTTCCTCTCTTTACCTGACCTACGCATACTGGAAATCCAAAAAACATGCCCTTGCACGGTCTGAGCTTGGAGCCCTGCAGAAGTCAAGGCCGGGACACCCTCGAGTTAGCGCGGTCACGGCGACTATCGAGGGTGATGGAGCGTCGAATGCAGAGAAAATTCGGCTATGGGAAAAAGTCTGGGAGGATGTTGAGACGTTGACGAAGGCGAACGGGTACGTGACGGATACGACGCCGTTGATGAATATTGCCCTGATAATGCTCGAGACGTTTATGGACGAGGTTGGAAGCGGGAAGAGGACGGTCAAGGAGGATAACAGCGATTGGGAGCCGATCCTGCAGGTCTACCGCGACGCATGCGAAGCCGATCCGCATTCTCTTCAGTGCAGGTTTGGATATGCGCAGATGCTTTCGATTGTCTATACCGACGCTCAATTTGAAAATATTGAGGAGAATTATAGAAAGGCACTTGATCTTGCCGCCGGTGGGCCTGCTATCACTAAAGTTTTGAAGGACTTGCTTGCGCATGAGGTGAAGGTAGCGCTTTACGAACGGTATCCGGGATCCCTTCGCCCGCTGATAAACATGGTTATCATTTCGCAGGGAATCAGGACTGAGTTTTAGACTGCATTATAGAATAGACAGCTGTATATATATAATCTATGTATTATTTAATCTCTATAAAACCTATTTACCCATGCGCAAAATACTCAAGATAAAGAAACAAACTCCACGCTACGCTAATGCAATTCGTTTTGACACTCTAGTGTATCGTACACTTTCGTTTCCATCCTCGTCCGTCACAAACTCCTCAACGATCCTATACTCGCCCAACGCCGGCATGATTATACTCCACACGACCCAATAGACTGCGCCGAGAAATAAGCAGCCCATGCCAAACACCGCGATCGTGACGCCAGGGTGGTCTGTCCGGCCTGGGGGACTGACTAGGGGAAGATACATGAGGAAGAAATTCGAGAAAAGGTAGGCGAGTGTGATTGGCAGGTAGGAGCGGAAGGGAGAGCTCCAGTTTTCGGTCTTGCTGTACTGCAGGTAGATCAGGCCACCGGCGACCAACGCGTTGATCCAGGCTGAAGGGTACGTGTTGAGATCGATGATGAACTCGTATGCTTCGCCTGGCGGAGGAACAATCAGGACAAGCACAGTCACGATCCAATGCAGGAACAGTCCCGCGATTGGCGCACCCAGAGGGGAGACTTTTGCGAAAAACTTGGAGTACGGCAAGATCCCCTCTTTGCCAAACTCGCAGTTCACTCTCGCGTGCGCAAACGAGACGACGAGCACGTTTCCGAGATTCGACAGCGCGACAAAAAAGGGTAAAAGTCTAGCGCCCGCAGAGTCGCCAAACACGCGTCTGAAAAAGAGACCGGCGACGATGACGCCCGAGTGCGCGACCTCGGCCTTGGGGATCACCGCAAAGTACGCGACGTTTGCGAGAACGTAGAGCACCATGACGCCGCCGATGGCGAGCGGGGCCGCGACGGCGAGCGTCCGGCGCGGGTTGTCGAGCTCGGAAATCACGTAGTTTGCGTTTTCCCAGCCGCGGTAGGAGTAGACGATGCGCAGGAGCGCGGTGGCGTAGTTGTATGTGCCGCCGCCGAAGCCGGAGTTTTCAAACATGTTTGTGAAGTTGCCCGGGTCTTCGACATGCGGGATCCAGCCCATGAGAGCAAAGATGCCGGTGAAGACGACGAGCAGTAAAACAAGAACTTTGAAGAGACCGAGGCCGTTGAAGAGCGCAGTGCCGGCGGCGGGGTGCAGACCGTGGAGAAGCACGACAGAGGTGATGCAGATGACGGCGACGATTCGCGAAGCATGCTCGGACGGATAGTCGATGCCTGCGGCAAAGAGCATGTAGCGGCCGAATGCGAGCGAGTTGCCGGCTGAGAAGCCGAGCAGAATCATCTGGCCGAGAAAGATGCAGGTGATGAGATACTTTGGTTTCTGATATACGCGCTCGAGATAGTTTTTCTCGCCGCCGTTTTTGGGGATTCCGAGGCCAAACTCAAGAAAGACCGATAGTCCGGTGAGCGAGAGTATACCGCCGGCGACCCATAGCAGAATTGAAGCGCCAACAGAGCCAGAGGCGAGGAGCACGCCTGACGGGGTCGAAAAGATACCGGTGCCTATCATTTTGTTGAGGATGAGGAACACGGCTGAGGTCACGCCCAGCTTGGCCGCGCGGGGATGCTCGGGGATTCCGGCGAGAGCTTCCCCGAGTTCGGCATCGTCTGCGATTATGAGCTGCTGGGCGGCTTGGGTGTCGAGGCCCGAGAGCGATGGGCTCGGGGAGGGGGAGGGGGAGGACTGCGAGGGCGCGATTGACGAGGCCGTAGAGGCCGGCACCAGAGGATGGTCGTGCGCGGCCATGTTGTCAGCCTGTTGTTCAGCCTGTATAGAGGCTGTTGTTAGGCCCTGGAATATGTCAATTGCTATAGCTCCACAGCAGTCCGGAGATATCGTGAACAATCGCTGACTTCAACACGGATAGCAGATAAGAGACGAGGCCCGTGATGCTGAAGACGCGCGTTCGGCGATGGGGCAGACGTGGATGACATAATCAGAGTAGTACGTGGCAGTGAGTGGCTGACGCGCCGCGTGGCGTGGCGGTGCTGATCTGCGCGGCCCCGGCCCCTGAAATGCTTGATTTGGGTCGACTCACAGCCGGCTCTGCTCGCTCTGCTCCATCCCGTTTTGCTCCTCCACGCGCGCATGATGCAGAGCTGGCCTTTTTGTTGCTCTGCAGACTACCAGAAAGCCTCCTCAGACGCGTATATTCCCTGCTCATTCTCATAATCGACATGGCTGGTGGTCGTCCGTATCGCAGGAGGTCGCCCTTGGTCTTCGCCCTCGGCGCCGTCTTCCTGCTCATCTTCCTCCTGCGCTCCGCTTCCCGCGCAACCACAGAAACATCGCCCGCCGTCGCCTCGGCCAGGCACCCGGCGCACGCCGCTCACCGGCAGCAGCCCGACCTCACAGTCAAGACAAACATCCAGGAGTTCGAGAGCGCGACAGCCAAATCGCTCGCGAAGCTGTTCCCATACGATCCCAGACTGCAGACATCCTACCCGCGACACATCTGGCAGACCTGGAAGCACGCGCGGACAGACTCGCACTTTGAGGAGCGGTTCGTGCGCACGACCGACTCGTGGGCCCGGCTCAATCCTGACTACACCTTCGAGGTGCTCGACGACGCTGCCGCGGCGGCCATGATCCGCCAGCTCTATGCGCCCGTGCCGGCGGTCGTCGACGCATACTTTGCAATGCCGGTCCCCGTCCTGCGCGCAGACTTTTTCAGGTATCTGATTCTGCTCGCCCGAGGCGGAATCTACTCTGACATTGACACGCGCGCGCTCAAGAGTACAAAGAAATGGTTCTACTCGGCCGTGGGCCCGGTGGGAACTATAGACGGCAAGCTCGCCATCGACCTCTCAGACGAAGAAAAGGAAGAGCTGCGCACGCAGCTCGAGGCAGACACAGGCCTTGTGGTCGGAATTGAAGCTGACCCTGACCGGCCGGATTGGCATGACTGGTACGCGCGCCGAGTGCAGTTCTGCCAATGGACCATCATGGCCAAGAAAGGCCATCCGGTGCTCGTAAATATCGTGGCCAACATCACGGCAGAGACATTACACCGACGCGCTACAAACACGCTGATACTGCCGAATTCCAAAGAGGCAGGCTCGCAGATCATGGACTGGACCGGACCGGGCATTTGGACAGACACGGTCTTTGACTACTTGGGCGCGGATTGGCACGCGGCCGCGGGCATCAAGGACGCAAGAGTCATGAACGATGTGCTTATTTTGCCAATCACCTCGTTCAGTCCAGGTGTGGGCAACATGGGCTCGCTTGAGATCTCGCATCCAAGAGCGCTGGTGCACCACGCGTTTGAGGGATCGTGGAAGAGCCAGGCCGATCGTCATATCGGAGGCACGAACTGAATCAGTTCAGAGTATCTTTTAGAGTATACATATTTCAAAATCGGTGGCCGTGAAGTTCTTGTTATATATCTTTATTCGTTTTTTTCATTTTACAATTTTGGGATTGCCGGATATAAAATCTTTGTTTCGCTATTGGTTGTTGGTGGGTTTCTCATAGTCGGTCCTCGACCGCGTACATATACATATCTCTGTTCAAAATTGCAGCACCCGGACTTCTATTTTCTGCTTTTTTCCATTGTAGAAGACTTGTGTTGTCCGAGCTCGCTCTTTCATGTTTTACGTTTTGTTTATGTTTAATGTTCTGTTTCAAGAGCCGAAGGAAGTGAAAGTTTCTTGGGTGGTTTGGAAGCCTTTGTGACTGTGACCTCGTGTCAAGAGGAGGAGTGGAGGGGAAAATGTGTGCATTAGTGTATATTTACATGCCAACAACGCGTATCATTATTCAAGCAGCATTTGCATCAAGTGTGATTGTCTTTTCTGTTCTTCAACATATTTGTAGTCTCCCGCTGCTGCAGCTCTGCTCTACTCACATCACGCATTTTTGGGTTTGGAAGTCACGACTTGTTCACACTGCTGTAAACGGCAGCAACAACCCCTTGCTCTCTTTCCCTAACAGCAATGACGAAAAAATGATAGAATTGCAAAGTCACTATAATAGTTATACTGTACATTAAAAACCTCATCTTATATGCATTTGATATGTATCAGATCCGGGTTCTCCTGCCACTCATTCGCACTCACCCACATCTTGAGGAACGTGCTCAACCCCGCCAAAATCGACCCCCCGATCCACGTCGAGTACTTGCGCTCCGGCGGCGCGTAGATCCTGATCTTTATATCCCTCGGCGCAAGCTGCTTCATCTCGCTCAGCAGGCGGTCGCCGAACCCGCGCAGCAGCGTCGTGCCGCCTGATAGCACAATGTTGGAGTACAGCGGCCGGCGCAGATCGACGTCGACCTTGCCGATGCACTCCGAGAGCATCTCGGGGATGCCGGGGTACTCGAGTCCGAGGATCGACGGATCGAATAAGATCTCTGGCGCGCGGAACCGCTCTGCTCCCAGCTTCAAAACGTGCCCGTCCGGCAGCACAAACTCGTCCGCGGGCGAAGCAGTCGCTCCTCCTCCTGCTGCTGCCGAGGCTGATGCGGAAGACAGCGGCAGCGCGGGGCCTCGCCGTTCGTTTTTCCGTGCTTCGCGCTCTTCCCTGCGCAGGTCCAGCGCGACATAACACGTCCGCTCTTTTATACTCTTCACGATCTCCCGCTCGGCGGAGGTGTGCAACACCACGCCGGACTGCTTCCGTAGCTGCAGACCTAGTTCTTCTGTAACATCCCTTCCTCCGACATCGATTCGCCGTATCGCGTTTGTGATTGCAAACCCTTCGTAAACCGGGACAGAGTGCGAGACGCCGTCGCCAGAGTCTAGCACTAAACCCGTCGTCCGACCAGAGGCGTACAGCGCCAGCACCGCCTGCACACTGACAAACAGTGCCGGCACATTAAACGTCTCGAAAAAAACCTCTGCTGCTCGCCGTCGGTTTCCGCGCGGGTTCAGCGGCGCCTCGGTGAGCAGGACCGGGTGCTCTTCTGACGAGACCTTGATCCCCTGCGTGTATACGTAGCTCCATATCCGCTCCATATCCGCCCAGTCTGTAACCACGCCGTGCTCGAGCGGATAGCGCAGCTTAAGCAGGCCGCGATGCTTGGTCGCCTCTGGTCCGACAAAGATATCATCCTCGAGCGCGCCGGCCATGACGCGCGAGTGCTTTGGTCTGCCGACGAGGGTTGGGAAGAACACCTCCGGCTGCTCGGAGCCCGCGAAGCCGGCCTTCAGCTCGCCCGTGCCGTTGTCAATGACCAGTGGCTGGTTGAGCAACTGAGTCGGCAGATCCATTGGCGATCTTCGGGTGTTGGTGTGGGCGGGGTGGTCGCGATGGTGAGCTGTGTTTGTTTTGGAGAGGTGGAGCCCTCAACGCGTCGTTAAACCTTAACCGTGTCCTTCTTTATTGTAGAGCGGTCGACGTTGTAGAGACCTCTGATGATGATGAATTAGCCAACAAGATGCTCATGAACATTTATAGACGATTGTAAGTATTATAGATGACTTATATTATGTACAAACAATTACAAATAACGCGCGACCGGATCAACCTCAACCTCAACTTCAACTTCAGCTATATCTCAGCCATCTACTCCAAGAAAAACTTCCGCGAGCCCTTGCACACCTCCTTATCGCACATCGGACACAGCATCTCGTACTGCTTGCTGGCCGTCACCCCCTTGCTCAAATGATCCTTAACGATATCCGCGAGCGCCTTGATAAACTGTGGATGTCCGTTCAACGACGGAGCACGGGTGATTCCCTCAACACCCGCCTCGCCGATAATCTCGAGATCGAGCTCGTGCAGAGTCTCAATGTGGTCGCTAGTGAAAGCGATTGGGATCAGGATCATATTTGTCTCGCCCTTCTTCACCAGGTTGTTGACCGTATCCTGCGTCTGCGCACCGAGCCAGGGCTGCGGACCGACCTGACTCTGCCACACAAGTCTGTAGGGATTCTTGAACTTGAGCTCCGTCATCACTGCGTAGACTGTCGCTGCAACCTCAGCCGGATACGGATCGCCGCGGTTGACGACCGTCATCGGCAGCGAATGGGCAGAGAATAGGAGCATGACGTCGTCTCTCACGCTCTCGTCGTAGGTCTTCAACTGCTCTCTGATCAAGTCCGCAAACGACGAGACCAGACCGGGATGAGTCGGCCAGCGGTCGATGACGCTCCACGAGATGGTCCGATCAGGGTCCATGCGCTCGCTCACTTTCCAGAGCTCGTTCAGCGACGATCCCGTCGTCGAGCAACTGTACTGCGGATACTGCGTGAACGCGACCGCACGCTTAACCCCGTCGCTCATCATCTTTGCCAGCGTTTCCTCCGTGAGCGGGTTCGCGTACCGGAACGCGACGTAGGGCAGATGCGGCGCGGACTCGGGCGCAATCTGGTCGAGGTGCTTGCACATCTCGGCGGCCTGGTACTCGGACCATTTCCGGATTGGCGAGCCGCCGCCGATTTCGGCGTAGTGGTGCGCAATCATCGGGGTCCGGCGCCAGGCGATGAATTTTGCGATTTTGTCTTGGAAGCGGCCGAGAGGGATGAGATCGCCGTCCTGGAAGAGGCGGAGGAGGAAGTCGTAGACCTCTGTGGTTTTGGATGGACCGCCCATGTTGAGGAGGACGACGCCCTGCAGGTGAGAGGAAGTAGTGAGTATTTGTGCGTGGATTATAAAAGTAGTCGGGTAGAAGAGAAGAGCGTACAGTAGGACCTTTCGAGGTCGTGGACGAGGACGAGGACGTCGCAAGAGATCTACTCAAGAACGGCCGCTGAACAGCGCCATACCGCGCGATTTGTCTGGCGCGAAACATCCTCAATCGATCTTAAGTAGTATAATAAAGAAAAGAAAGAAGAAGAAGAGCGAAGATAAAAGAGGAAGAGGAGGAGGAGTGTAGATCGGATGAGCAGCGGTTGTTATCAAAGCTTCGAGACTCGACTGATATTCTTTAGGGCGCCACCGCTTTGTCTTTGTCTGCTCGCCACGGGATTCTCGCCAGGAAGTCTGAACAATTGGATGACTGCTAAGACTATTGACTTGATATAAATGCCCTTCTCTTTCTGAATAAACACGCAATAAACCACTGCTAAATTATCCTGTTCTCAATCGCCCGAACCCAATCTCGGCCGGCGTATTAGCAATCCGGTCTTTCTCCACCCTCGGTCGTCTGAGCCGCACTTGAACCACCCTAATTGCTTGTTTTGTTGATTAGGGGGCGGAGGACTGACTACCGGACGCGTCGTGGACTCCAGATCAGTTAGTTGTCGTTGATAACGCGTCGGCCACAGCCATACTGAATCAGCGCTGCTGCAGAATACCGCTGCAATGGACTCAGAGACTGCTTTTGAGGGCTCGTTCGAGTTCGACGTAGACCCCTTGGTCGAGCCTGTACGTGAATCTTTTACATCATCATCTTCTCTCCTCGATGCTAACCCCCACAGAACTACACCAACCTCAAAAGCGCCATTCTCTTCTGCGTAGAGGTCTCAAAGTCAATGCTCATGGAGCTTGAGCGAGGCCCCCACGACAGCGAAGAAGACGCCCCGCCGACCCCGCTCCGACGCGCGCTGGCTGCTGCATACAACATCCTCCAGGAACGCATCATCTCCGACCCCAGCGACGCCATCGGCATCATGCTCTTCGGCACAGAGTACAGCGACGACGCGCGGTATCCCGGCATCTCGATGCTCATGGACCTCGACGTGCCTGACATCGCCGGCATGAAGCGCCTGAAAGACGTGCTCGAGTACGACGAGGACTTTCTTGATCTGGCCAAGCCCGCGAGCGAGCCGCCGTCGATCCGCGACGTGCTCTTCTACGCCGGTCATAAGTTTTACTCGAAAAACGAGAAATTCGCGTACAGAAGGATGTTTCTAATGACAAACACCGATCTCCCGCCCGCGCACAGTCCGCAGGATCGGATAGCGGCGCGCACGAGGGCCAGCGATTTGCTCGAGACCGGTATCCAGATCGAGCCATTCTTTCTAAGCTCGCCGCCAAAACTGATATTCGACTCGAGCAAGTTCTACGAAGACATTCTCTTTCTGATGCCATTGAAAAGCAGACTAGGCGGCGACCAAAGCAGTCTTAAGCGGCCGCGCGCAGAGGTCAGCGAGGCGTCGATGCAGCCGCTTCTCACTACCGACCGCTTGATTCTCGAGTCGCAGTTAAAGTCGCGGCAAGCACCTCAGAGAGCTTTGTTTAGTATACCGATGGAGATAGTCGAAGGCAAGCGGCTGGTTATAAACGTGAAGGGGTATGCGCTGTTCAGACGGCAATCGGTGTTGCGGACTGAGTTCGTGTACAAGTGCGATGACGACGTGACGAGGATTGCGAGGAGTAAACGGAAGCCTGTGGGAGAGGATTTCTTTAGCGATGACGAGGATGAGAAAAACAAGAAGAAGAAAGCGGATGACGCGACCGTTACAAAGCCATCGTCTGTCAAGAGGGGTTTTCTATTCGGCGGTGAAATCATCTCGTTTACAGACGAGGAGCTGACGCAGCTGCGTGAATTTGGCGAGATCGGTAGGTCCTCTTGAACCCATCAACTTCGAGCATAAGCATGAGCTAACTAACTCACTACAGGGATCAAAATAATAGGCTTCAAGTCTGCAAACCTGCTACCAATCAACATGACCTCGCGCCCATCCTACTTCCTCTACCCCTCCGAGGAAGACTACGTTGGTTCTATCCGCACGTTTGCGGCGCTCCACAAGATCATGCTCGAGCAAAACCAGATGGCGGTCGCGTGGGCACGGCTCACGGCGAATTCGTCGCCGATGCTGTGTAATATCGTTGCTGCCGACGAGATCGTCGCGACCGTGAATGGCAGACGCGAACAGGTTCAGGCGCCGGGGATGCATGTCATTCGCATGCCGTTTGTTGATGATGTTAGAGATAAGCCTTACAATGCGCGATATTATCCATGTACGATCTCCTTCCTCTCTTGAGTATGATTAATGTATTAACAGCTGCTAACCCTACAAAAACTAGCTTCATCTGTGACGACCGCGATCGCGAGCGAGATCATCAACAAGCTGACCCTGAAATCAGGGTACGACCCGTCGCGCTACAAGAACCCGATATTACAGCGGCACTACCGGATCCTGCAGGCCAAGGCGCTCGAGGAGCCGTTTGGGGAAGAGGAAGAGGCCGAGATGGCGAAGGAGGATAAGACGGTGCCGATGTATAACTCGATTCATAATAAGGTTGGGAGGTTGTCGAAGGAGTGGAAGAGGCTTGTTGAGGAGGAGATGGATAGGCGGGAACTAGAAGATTAGTTTGATATTGTAATAAGAGAATAAAAAAGCAATCAAGAACATATACTCGATGGTGTTGGATGTAGTGTATATTCAAAGACCTAACCCGCCACTCTTCAGCGCAGAGTTCAGATGCCGAGTCAACACGATCTGGCTACGAGCAGAGCAGAACATCAGGACTTTTGACATGATCTTCCGGGGCTACAGATAAGCTACAGTTCAGCAGCAGAAGATCGAGATACACACGCGATGGCCGACGGAGGAGCGCCCCAGCACGGGATTACGCTCGAGCGAGGTAAGCTGGTTCTTTTGAATCGTCGTGCGCGCGTGGATTGTTCTGACAGCGACGAATATTACAGGTCTCGTTCGCGGGAATAACACAGTGCATAGTCTGAATCCAGCTGTAAGTTGAGGATTACGAGAATAAGGGAGGCTGTTTGTATGCCAGGCGGAGATGCTGATTTTGATTCTGATGTAGAGGTTGATTGAGAAAATCATTCGCGAGCGGATCTTTGATTCTCTGTACTGGAAAGAACAATGTTTCGGTCTATCAGGTACAATAACACTCCGTCTTTTACAATTATAACAAACAATTTGGATTAACAGATACTTCTAGCGGCTACGATATGCGACCGCGCGGCCGAGCTGACATATATCGGTGGACAATACGGACAGCAGCGACCGACGCCGTTTCTCTGTCTTGCGTTCAAGATGATTCAATTACAGCCCGAGCGGGAGATTGTTGAGGAGTATCTTGCCGCCGAAGATTTCAAGTATGCTTTTATCTTCATAAATATTATGAAATTGTATAGTAACTAATGCTGTATAGATATCTGCGTGCGCTCGCTGCATTTTTCATCAGACTCACATATCCCGCCGTCGACGTCTACAAACTACTCGAGCCCCTACTCTCCGACTACCGCAAACTACGAATACGAAACATGAACGGCTTCAGACTGACGTACATGGACGAGTTTGTGGACGCGCTGTTGACGGAAGAGCGAGTATGTGATATTGCGCTGCCGCGGCTGCCAAAGCGGATGGTGTTGGAGGATACGGAGGAGTTGGATCCGCGGGAGAGCGCGCTGGGAAGCGAGCTTGAGGATAGCGATGAGGATGAGGAAGGCGGAGAGAAAAGTGAGAGCGAGGAGGAAGGAGAGGAGAAGGAGTAGCTGGTTTGGGATTGTATGTTATATTTCGGTGATATTAATAGATAACTATGTACATTTCGCATCACAACAACTCTTCTCAACAGACCCGGTAACAACTGCAGCTGCAGGAGTCTTTTATATATCTAATTGTGAAGTAATCAAACAAACGCCGCGATGATACAAGAGATTGTAGCCTTCTCCCATTTCTCTAATCATCTGTTTTTTCTGAATTGGTTTCTTCCTTGGAGTCATTGCTCATTCTGATAAAGAAGTTGTCTACTCCGACTTTTCTGACTGCTCGTCTGACTGCTCTTCTGACTGCTCTTCTGACTGCTCGTCTGACTGCTCGTCTAACTGCTCTTCTGACTGTTCTTCCGGCTGTTCTTCAGACTCGTCGAAAGCGGCGTCATCTTCTTGGTAGTTGTTCTCACCGGCCAGCTCTCGTCGCTTGAGCTCCTTCTCTGTGGGCGGGAGGATATTAACCTAGTAAATAACATCAATTTAGCATTTATTTTTCCAATCAGCAATAAAGACATCAAGATATAACTACCTTGCGGAAAATCGAAGCGACGGTATCGGAGGGCAGAGCGCCTACACCGAGCCAGTATCTTGCCCGGTCGAAATCCAGCTGGATCTCTTTGTACTTCTGGGTCGTGCCCGGAAGTTCTTTCGTCGTGGCATCGTACGTGCCAATAACCTCGATAGGCAATTTTCGCACACCACGTCTGCAGCAGGTCAAGACTCGGTCAGTAAAAGGTCGGTAAAAAAAGAATGCGAGCCGGACTCGGACGACGATCGACGTACTTGCTGTCGGACACGGTGATGTTGTACCAGGGCTGGCGGACCTTGCCCATGCGCGCGAGTCTTATACGGACACCCATCGCTGCTGCTTCTGCTTTCTGCTTTCTGCTGCTCTGTGTGCTTTGAACTGGTGAAGCAGACCCCGTCGACGAGGCCCGGGTTCTTTTGTCGCGCCCGGGAAAACTTACGTGATCGGTTTGTGACCCATCTGTGACCCACGTGACTGGCAGTCCGGGCCTTGCGCTGGTAGCCCGCGAAGAGGCGCTCATCCCGCCATTCGCCTCCGCATCCACAGAAGCCTTTTGATCTGCGACTCCGCTGCTTCCGGCTGCCGTTTGTTTTTGTTCTCGTCGCTTCTGCTGGCTGATAGTAATTTTTGTCTATTAATGCTCAGCCTGAGCTAGTGCTTGCTGTCTGCAGAGCCCGCAGCACCGTCCTTGTCTCCTCCTGCATTAAACCACTTCGCCCCCGATCCATCTTCCTCACCCAGCTCACCGCAGCTCACCTCCAGCATGTTCCTCAAGCGCGCCGCGAGCTCGTTCTCGATCTCCTCCCACCACTCGACCACCTCCCTCACCGAGGACTCCACACAGTCGTCCTCGACCAACTCCGGCGTCGAAATCCCCCTCCCGCCAAACTTCTCCCCTCCGACCACTCCGCTGTCGGCCAAATACTCGTCCTTCACCCTCACCCCCCTGCGCCGGAGCACGATCGGCAAAGGCGCCACCGCCGTCGTGCGCACAGTCTACGCAAACTTGGACCACAACAAGATCTACGCCGTCAAGGAATTCCACAAGAACGGCGGTGCGTACGACAACGAGCATGATTACAACGCAAAGCTCGCGGTCGAATACGAGATCGTCAAGAAGCTGCGCCACCCAAACATAGTCCACACCGAAGAGCTCTGTCTCGGCCCGCACTCGCGCTGGTGCCATGTCATGGAGTACTGCGCCGGCGGCGACCTCTTTGCGCTCATCAAGACGCAGACCGAGCCCATGGCCACGCGCGAGCGCAACTGTCTCTTCAAGCAGCTCCTCCGCGGCGTCGCATATCTGCATTCCGTCGGCGTCGCCCACCGCGACATCAAGCCCGAGAACCTGCTGCTCACTCCCGACGGCACGCTCAAGATCTCGGACTTTGGCGTCTCGCACGTCGTGCAGGAGCATCCTCCTGATAGCGAGGTCAAACTCTGTACCGCCGTCTGTGGCTCAGAGCCCTACATCTCTCCTGAAGTGTTCCCGTCTGACGACGACGGCACGGTTCTATACGACGCGCGAACGCTCGACGTGTGGTCTTGCGCCATCACCTTCTTCTGCATCACGTTCGGTGGCCATCCCTTTGGCAAGGCAGATATGACCGACTCGCGCTATAGAGAGTACGTCGACAAACTCCACAAGTTCTACCTCAAATACCCCGACGCAGACTTTTCAATCCCCGACTGGGAAATCTTCCCCCCTCTCAGGATGTTGACCCCGTTCAGCAACGGCTGCCGCAAGCTCATCCTGCGCATGCTCGAGCCGGATCCGAAGAAGCGCATCACCGCCCAACAGGCACTCAACGACCCTTTCGTCAACCGCATCGAGGTCTGCTGCGAAACCGGCGACAGCGACGCCGATGCCTCCTGTAGCTGTGTCGACGCCAGTGATAAGGACTCGCACAAGGCGATCTCGAAGGCAGCGGTCAGACGAACACATTGTCATTTCGCAAACACAAAGAAAAAGCCTTGAGCTCCCTCTTTTCTTTCTTTTCGTATTTGCTTTGATTTTTGCAGTGTTTATTTTTGAATAAAACTGTTTCTGTATATCAACTGCGCAGCAGTTAATTTTACTTTTTTCCTCTTTGTGTGAAATATTTAGTAGCTTCATTGTTCTATAGTATTGACGCAGTTTCCGGCTTTTACATATTTATTGTTTTTGGTTTGGTGGTCTTTTCTATTCTATATTCTTTCTTCTGCCTAAAACCTCTCTACAAAGTGTGCATAAATTGTACATCTCTTTCTCTGCTTTTTTCTTGCGTTTCCTCATGTCCTGCGATATCGTGATTTGTATATTTCTATTTTCTCGATCAAGTTCTTTGTTCTTTTTTGGCTTTCAAAGATTGGCACGTTTACTTTGCTTGTTTTTTTTCATTATGTCATAACTACACAGTTTTTGCTTTGCTTTGTTCTTATACTCTTCTAGTTGCTATCCGATTACGGCTGCAGAGAATACGACTGCAGAGACTCTTTGGACCCGGAGATCGCTTGCCTCGTCGCAGCCCGCGGGCACGGTGTACTGCGCGGACACGACACGAGCCGGGGGAGACTTTTGTATTCTGTTTCTTATAATTCGAAGGTCATCAATCTTGCTACGTAATCAGACGAAAGCTAATCGTGCCGACAATAGCGCATGAGAGTCGAGGGCGGGCTATCTTGTTCGCTTCATCTACACATCACAGATCGTAGAGTTTAATAGTATCATTGAATTGATCCAGCATATCTGATTTGGGAGAAAAAGATACAGGAAGAAAAAGAAAACAACAAAAAAAGAGAGAACCAGCGAGAGATTAAATACAAATATAAAGAGTAGAGGAAGCAGAGCAGAGCAGGTCACGTCGTCTTGTTGGTTTGCGGAGGAAAGGAGACCGGGTCGCACGGTTTTTGGTCTTGTGAGGTGGTAGATTCTCTTTTTCACGGCGGAGGAGAACAGGGAGAAGGTGAAGCGAGGCGATGGCGCAAAACGACAGACGAGAGACACTGCGAACGTCAAAAGAGAAGAAACAAAAGCAAAAACCCTTGAATAAAAAAGAACATAATATATAATAAAAAGACAAATTGAACCCGTCCCATGTGCGCGCTTCAGACACAAGTACTCTTTTTTCGAGAGAGAGAGAATTCTTTGTGAGTAGGATTGACTTGAGGGCGACATAGAAATAATACCGTAAGCAAACAAAGGAACTAAAGGAAACAAAGACAGATAATTGTACGTGAACAGTATTTTAGGCATTCGGAACTCTTTCTTTTTCTTTCACGTACGCGTACGCGTGAAGAGAAGAATGGTCTCACTCTCCACCCGCAGTAATAACACTGCTCGTCGTCGCGTCATCCTGCGAGACCACGCTCGACTCGCGCGCAAAGCGGGCCTCCATCTCGCGCAACTCGTGCTCGCGCATCAGCAGCTCCTGTCTCTTCTCCGTGATCTCGCGCTGGACCTTGAGCTCGATCTCGCGCAGCTTTTCTTCCTCGCGGCGGAGCTGCTCTTCCTTGAGCATGAACGACTGGCTCGCGAGTTCCTCGGCGTTCAGGCTCGCGTCGGAGCCAGACGCGACGCCCTTGGAAAGACGCTCGGTACGGTAGTTCTCGTACAGCGAGAAGTGTGTGATTTCCTTGAGATCGGCAAGGTGGGAGCCCAGCAGCGCGTTGCGGAGCGCGATAAAGTCAGAGTGCTTGGGGTTCTCGACGTCGACGTGGCCCCAGGGGTACTTTCGCGCGAGCACCTCTTTGCCGTCAACCATGTAGGTTCTATCTGAGCCGACGATCGCAAACGGGAGTTTTGATCTTAGCTCGGCGTTCTCGTCGATTGTGAGCTCGTCGTCCTCCTCGACGTCATAAGGGAAGTTGTAGATCGGGATCTTGTAGTACTCGATATCCTCCATTATCAGCTTTTTGCTCTCTGCAAGTTCGGTCGGCGTTAAACTGTCGGCCTTGCCAATCACGGGGATCACGTTCACGCGCGCAGACAGGCGCTTCATGATCTCAATGTCGAGCTCGCGCAGACCGTGCCCGGTCGGCGTGATGAAGTATACCAGCGCGTGCACGCGGTTGTCGCGGAAGCGCGGGTTGCGCTTGATGCGGGACTCTTCGGCGAGAATGTCGTCGTACTGGCGTTCGAGGTATCCGAGAATCTCTGCAAAACTGTGAGGGGTAGATGTTAGAATGGGGAGGATTATGGAGAGGCGGGTTGGTGCTGGGGGAGCTTACCTGGCTTCATTGTCGATGCTGTCTCCGAATCCGGGAGTATCGACGATATTTAGGGAGATCCGGGTTCCGTCTTCCTCGAGCTCTGTCAAGATCATTGCATCGTCAGTCCAGTCCTAACCATTCAAACCACGCGGTTCAGCCGTTCGAACAGCTCCGTTCGCGCTCGACTTCAAGCACAGTAGACAAAACATACCAACACCAACGGAGCGGATGGTGACCCCCTTTTCCTGATGCGCCTCCTTGGGGTCGTAGTTCTCTGCCGCAGCACTGGAGATGACTTTGCGGTTGCAGAGCGAGTTGATGAAGGTTGTGCGGCCGGTGCCAGAGACGCCGGCGACCATGAGGCAGAACTGGATGCCCTTCTTCATGTTTTTCTTTCGGTGGATCTAGGATGAGGAAGCCAAGAGAGATGGTTGGCGAGATGTTAGTCGGGCTGTGCTGACGAGGTGGAGGAGGAATGGCTGTGAAAAGGCACAGGAACGCGCAGCTGCGCAGCACGGCAGCGGCACATGCCAGGAGACGCGAGGCAGAAAGACAAGGAGAAGACGTACAGTTGTGGACGACATTGCGGAGACAAACTACAGAGGCGAAAGAGGAGTCGGAGAAGAAGAAGAGAAATAGGGAGTGGAGGCAGCGGAAAAGGCACGAAGGCGTTGCGGTTGTGGATTTGAAAGGGGCCTGAGACGCGACTGAGCAAAGGGGCTCCTGTTTTGGTGCGCGCGCGTTCGACTACGAGGCCCGTTGCTGACATCTACTACGATACAGTAACATATCTGACTGTAGAATCTATTTAGTTAGCTATAACATCTATCTGCTTGTTTGTATCGTATATCTATATTACGATGACTCATTCACTGACTCCTCTTTGCGCAAAAAACAAAGACTGTTTGAAGTGCACTGCATGTCAAGTAGTCGGTGTCCGCTCCACCTCCACCCCGTCCATATATCTACAATCCACCCATCCCCATTCAACAACAGTAAATTCACCCGAGCAATACTACTCCGCCGACTAAACACTTCTCCTCTTCATGATTCAAAACCAGTCAAGCATCCTCGCAAACACTGTAGCCTTCCGCCCTCAATCAAGAAGCCCTAATCAGCAACCGCGACGTCATCGCTCTCCCCTCAACCGTTCTTGCATAAACTTGCTGTGTCGACCTGGCTATCGTGTACAATTCAGTCATGGCTGCTGGAAGGGTATCGTCTGCTACTTGCTATCTGTACTGTAAAAGACAAGACTAATGTCTGATCAGCTGTTTCTCTCCGCGAAGAACGCGGCCGCGCTCGACGTCGAGCTCATGTCGAGCGGTGGCTTCTCTTTAGATCAATTGGTGCGTCTACACCACTGCGTTCTTCCTGATTCAAGCTCTTGCTAACCCCTGAAGCTGTGCATAGATGGAACTCGCAGGTCTATCGTGTGCGCAAGCTGTCTACAAAGCCTATCCTCCCGAATCAAAGAATAAAGTGCTCGTCATCGCAGGTCCCGGAAATAACGGTACCCTCCAACTGTCGTTTGTCAATTCATTTCCGGCAGTCTAATTGATCCCCGTTGCTCTAGGTGGAGATGGCTTGGTGGCTGCTCGGCACTTGAAGCTGTTTGGATATGAACCCACCGTCTACTACCCGAAGCGACCAAACAAGGATATCTACAACGTAAGCCAAACCTGATCCCCGTCGACAACATTCGCAGCTGTGCAGCTTACATTCAACATCCAGCGCCTATTCATTCAACTACAAAACCTCAAAGTCCCATTCACAGAAGACTTTGAATCCGCCCTCACGTCCACCGACCAAGTCCTCGACGCCATCTTCGGGTTCTCATTCCACCCCCCGATCCGTCCCCCGTTCGACAGCGTGATCTCCGTCCTCGCAAACTGCTCAAAGCCAATCGTATCCGTCGACCTCCCGTCCTCCTGGGACGTCGACGCCGGGCCTCCTGCCGAGGGACAGCTCGGGCATGGCTTTGTCCCGGACGTGCTTATCAGTCTTACGGCGCCGAAACCGGCAGCAAAGTTCTTTGTCGGCGAGGGAAAGAGGCATTTCTTGGGCGGCAGATTTATTTCAAAACAAGTTGCCGAGAAATGGGGGTTTGAACTTCCTCAGTATCCGGGCGTGGACCAGATTGTTGAGCTCCCTGTGGAGCAGGAGTGATTATTACCATGTAGCAGCGTGCTTTATTCAGACTGTTGTCGTTATGAGCCATCAATTGCATGAAAAGTAGACAAAAGAGAGAACCACTTCTACAGAACTCTCCCTGTGGAGCAGGAGAATTTATCACCATGTACCAGCGTGCTTTATTCAGACTGTTGTCGTTATGAGCCATCAAATGCATGAAAAAAAGTAAACAAAATGAAGAGAGAACCACTCTTTACTACAGACTTCTACTCCAACTTCAGAATCCTTGTCGTTGACGTAGAATTCCAATGCAATCCGCTCCGATTACAGCTCCAGATAGACAAAAATCAGAGTAGCATAAAGTACATATATGGTAAATAAACTCAGTATGATGGGAGATTATGTGGGAGATCAGTAGGCGTGCAGAGGCTATTCACCCTCAAGATCGACGGCGTCATATACATCCTCCTCGCCCGTCGCGTCAGCATACAAACTGTCGTACGTATTCTTACGCAAAAACAGAGACATAATAAACGCAACCCCCAAGGCCACGACAGAGATCAGCAAAAAACTGGCCGGGAAATGTAAGACTGTGTTTGAGTAGACGATTGCAAAGATGGCGGGCGCAATAATACTGCATAGCGAGTGCAAGACTGCCATGGCGCCTAGCAGCTCGCCTATTTTCTGCTTTGGCACATGTTTTGTCAGCGTGGACTGGATCGTAGATGACGCTAATGTGCCCACCGAAGCAATGCAGCCGCTGAGCATGAACTGCGTTGACGAGCGCGAGAAAAGATAGAGAGTGTGTGCGAGGACTCCCACAAAGACGCCGCAGCGGATCAGAAAGACATCAGACTGCGAGGCGCCAACGTGGCTCACCCTGCCGCGGTCGAGTATGGGGGCAGTAAGCCTCGACGCGAAGGGTAAGACGATGGAAAGTCCAAACGCGCTCGCGGCGCTCGTGGCGGAGATGAAGTATCCGGCCTCGACGTTGGTCCAGTGGAAAATGAGCTCGGCGTAGAGAAGCTTGATCATCATCGCACCAGCGCCGGCACCAATCAGAATCGTGTCAATGCCCGCAAGCAGTTTGATATTCCGACGGATCTTGGGTGCTACTGATGAAGAAGGCCACAAGATCTGTAGTGACTTGAAGAAATTCAGGCGGTCAAGCAGTCTTAAAAGCCTACGGCGGTCAAGTAGTTTTGAATGATAACGGCGGTCGAGTAGTTCTGAGAGATCACGGGGTATCAAATCCGCGAGACTATCCGACACTCCATAGTCATCAGAAGCCTGCTGTGCACCCAGGCGATGTTCGGGCGACACCGACTCAGGCAAGACATACACAACATAGACAATGAATAGTACTTGCGCCAGAATGACGGTGTAAAAGACAGTCCGAACAGAACCTGTGGACTTCATGAGAAGACCGCCAAGCACAGGCCCGAGCACGGCACCAAGACTAAAGCAGGCCTGGCAAAGACCAAATGCTGAAGCCCGTTCGTCAGCAGGAGTGGAGTCGGCGATATAGGCGTACGCTGCGGCCATGAGTGCGGATGCCGAGCCCGTCATGCCGTCTAGGACTGCAGCGAGGTAGAAATAACGATAGACAAACATATCAAGAGCTTTGGTCATATAGATCAAAACCACGACGGAAGAAAGAGAGCCGAGCGCGCAGATAGCGAGAACATCGCGTCTGCCGATCCGGTCTGACAGCGAGCCCAAGATCGGGCTCATGACGGCGGCCAAGATGCCCTGGATCAGGTTGACAGGCCAAGTGAAATCTGCCACGTCATGATGAACGAAGAGGTCCTGGCATCGGACGTCCGCGTTCGCGTCCGCGTCCACGCGTAAGTCGAGGTCATAAAAAGGGGCTTTTCGGCAGATGAGAATGAGCAGCAGGTTGAGCTTTGGAGCGATGAGTGCTCCGTTGGCAACCGAGAGAAGCAGGACGGCTGGCAGAAGGAAGCGAGCAGAAGGCTCAGTGAGCACATTCAGTCGCGAGGGTCTCCAGGAGAGCCTCTGCAATAATAACGTGAGAAGCCGATTAGAGCGTCCACTCTCGTGATCCGGCCGCCATTGCTCCTGATGACCCCGTTCGGGGTGGTCCATGTAGCGAGTAGATGCGAGGATGACATCCGGCTGCTTGTTGCTCGCCGGTGGACCATCTTTAGAGGACTCACTAGGAGACTCACTAGAGTGAAATAGTGTCAGTAAAACTGTAGTAATAAAGCACAAAACTAAAGATGGTTATCTACCTGGGACGAGACTGCGAAGAGAGGGTGTCTTGGGCGTCGACCGCTTCCTGCACCGCAACGAATTGCGACATGGCAGCAGTTAAATGAGATGGATTACTGAACAATCAAAGCCCACTCCACTGTTAAATAGAGTAGACCGCAGCAGTGCAGGTCCGTTGCCACTACGAAGGCAGGCTAAGATGACGATCAGCCTAGCAGACTGCGCACTTTGAGTCATTTACCGTGGTAGCGTCCCGGTGGTCTGAAAGCCACCCGACACGAACAATCCACTTTCAACGCCATTTGAGCCAGTCAGCCGGCTGACTTCCCTTCAGTCCAATGTCCTGCTAAACCCGCAGTCATGCCTCAGGTTGTTGTTTGTATCGTAGTGTCTTCCTTCAGCATTGCTTCAGCATTGCTTCTTATCTCCTCACCGCTGACGGCGGACTTACAAAGTTGACAGATCGAGGGGGTAGGGTTTCGGCAGCTTATATCCGAGCATCTTTCCATTCAACACTCTATCAACCAGAACCGAACAAGATCCCCCACCGGCGCCATGTGCCGCGCCATGTGCCAGCGCTTCTTTATGGGCAAAATATATCACTGTGTGCTTTAGTGTTGCTAACCGTGCCGACTTGAATACAAACGGTCCGGCCGTCACCGTTGACGTTGCGCTCGTATGTGGAGCTTGAGGTCTGCAATGTGCGCAGGAGTGATTGAACTTATCGCATCAACATGGAGCAGCGTGCTTTATTCAGCTATTGAAACTATGCGTCATTGAAATCATATAAAAGTAAACAAATAAGAGAGAAACCACTGCTATAGAATGCCACTCCAACTCCAGACCTTCGTCAACCGCAGCCATATCGACTGTGACGAAGTCGTGTCGTCGCGCGCCGGAGGATTGTCGTTGGATGACATGGTGAAGGGATAAGCGATGATGAATAGAAGTAGAAGTGGAAATAGAAGTAGAAGTTGTAGTGGAAGCGCAAGTGATTAGGAAGATAGTAGATGAAGGTTGTAGGTAAGGTTGAGTTGATTATCCGGAAGACTGGGTAAGCCAAGCTTCCTTATATGTTACTCTACAAGCTGCCTCATTCTATCCTCTCGTCGCAAGAAGTCAGTCTACTCGCCGGAAGGAGCGAGGGGGCTAGATCTTGTGGAGGAGAGATTCGTGAGGTGCGGCGTGGATAGCCAGCCTGCTGACAAGGGATGGGAGGTGGGGCCGCGTAGCCAGCCTTATCGCCTCATGACATCGACATGTACAATGTAAATGCAAACAGCACCAGTCACAACTCCAGATAAACAAAGATGTATCAAATATAAAACTCAGATACGATATATAGATTCAAGGTGAAGAGAAATCACTATGAAGATCAGCGGGCATGCAGAGGCTGATCGTCCTCAAGCTCGACGGCCCCATCCACCTCCTCCTCGGCCGCCGCGCCGGCATACAGATTGTCATGCGTATTCTTCCGCAACATCAAAGACAAGAAAAACGCAAACCCAAAAATCACTATAGTCATCAGCAAGAACGCGGCCGGAAACCAACCGACCGTGTTCACGTAGACGAACGCGAAGATGGTGGGCGCGATGATGCTGCATAGCGAGTGCAGGAGAGCCATTGCACCCAGCAGCTCGCCTGTTTTCCGCTTTGGAACGTGTTTTGTTAGCGTATAATGGGAGATTATGTGGGAGATCAGTAGGCGTGCGGAGGCTATTCACCCTCAAGTTCGACGGCGTCATATACATCCTCCTCGCCCGTCGCGTCAGCATACGAACCGTCGTACGTACTCTTGCGCAAAAGCAGAGACATAATAAACGCAACCCCCAGAGCCACGACAGACTTCAGCAAGAAATTGGCCGGGAAATGAGAGACTGTGTCGGAGTAGACGATTGCAAAGATGGCGGGCGCAATAATACTGCATAGCGAGTGCAGAACCGCCATGGCGCCTAGCAGCTCGCCTGTTTTCTGCTTTGGCACATGTTTGGTCAGCGTGGACTGGATCATAGATGACGCTATTGTGCCCACCGAAGCAATGCAGCCGCTGAGCATGAACTGCGTTGACGAGCGCGAGAGTAGATAGAGAGTGTGTGCGAGGACTCCCACAAAGACGCCGCAGCGGATGAGGAAAATATCAGACTGCGGGGCAACGACGTGGCTCGTTTCGCCGCGGTCGAGGATGCGGACAGTAAGCCTCGACGCGAAGGGTAAGACGATGGAAAGTACAAACGCGCTCGCGGCGCTCGTGGCTGAGATGAAGTATCCGGCCTCGACGTTGGTCCAGTGGAAAATGAGCTCGGCGTAGAGAAGCTTGATCATCATCGCACCGGCACCGGCGCCAATCAGAATCGTGTCAATGCCCGCAAGCAGTATGATATTCCGACGGATCTTGGGTGCTACTGATGAAGAAGGCCACAAGATCTGTAGTGACTTGAAGAAATTCAAGCGGTCAAGCAGTCTTAAAAGACTACGGCGGTCAAGTAGTTTTGAAAGATAACGGCGGTCAAGTAGATCTGAGAGATCACGGGGTATCAAATCCGCGAGACTATCCGACACTCCATAGTCATCAGAAGCCTGCTGTGCACCCAGGCGATGTTCGAGCGACACCGACTCAGGCAAGACATACACAACATAGACGATGAAGAGTACTTGCGCCAGAATGACGGTGTAAAAGACAGCCAGAATAGAACCTGTGGACTTTATGAGAAGACTGCCAAGCACAGGCCCGAGCACGGCACCAAGACTAAAGCAGGCATGGCAAAGACCAAATGCTGAAGCCCGTTCGTCAGCAGGAGTGGAGTCGGCGATATAGGCGTACGCTGCGGCCATGAGTGCGGATGCCGAGCCCGTCATGCCGTCTAGGACTGCAGCGAGGTAGAAATTATGATAGACCAAAATAAGAGTAGATTTGGTCATATGGATCAAAACCACGACGGAGAAAAGAGAGCCGAGCGCGCAGATAGCGAGAACGGCGCGTCTGCCGATCCGGTCTGACAGCGCGCCCAAGATCGGGCTCATGACGGCGGCCAAGATGCCCTGGATCAGGTTGACAGGCCAAATGAAATCTGCCGTGTAATAATGAATGAAGGGGTCCTGGCATCGGACGTCCGCGTCAGCGACCACGCGAATGTCGGAGTAATATTGAGGGTATTGTCGGTCGCAGATGCGAGTGAGCAGCAGGTTGAGCTTTGGAGCGATGAGTGCTCCGTTGGCAACCGAGAGAAGCAGGACGGCTGGCAGAAGGAAGCGAGCAGAAGGCTCAGTGAGCACAGTCAGTCGTGAGGGTCTCCAGGAGAGCCTTTGCAATAATAACGTGAGAAGCCGATTAAAGCGTCCACTCTCGTGATCCGGCCGCCATTGCTCCTGATGACCCCGTTCGGGGTGGTCCATGTAGCGAGTAGATGCGAGGATGACATCCGGCTGCTTGTTGCTCGCCGGTGGGCCATCATTAGAGGACTCACTAGGAGGCTCACTAGAGTGAAATAATGTCAGTAAAACTGTAGTAATAAAGCACAAAACTAGAGAGAGTTATCTACCTGGGACGAGACTGCGAAGAGAGGGTGTCTTGGGCGTCGACCGCTTCCTGCACCGCAACGAATTGCGACATGGCAGCAGTTAAATGAGATGGATTAATGAACAATCAAAGCCCACTCCACTGTTAAATAGAGCAGACCGCAGCAGTGCAAGTCCGTTTGCCACTACGAAGGCAGGCTAAGATGACGATCAGCCTAGCAGACTGCGCACTTTGAGTCATTTACCGCGGTAGCGTCCCGGTGGTCTGAAAGCCACCCGACCCAAGATCAGCGCCACTTGAGCCAGTCAGCCGGCCGACTTTCCTTCAGACCACGTAGGGGTCAGTCTGAAGTCCTGCTGAGCTCGCGGTGATGCCTCAGATTGTTGTCGATTGTTGTTTGTATCGTAGTGTCTTCCTTCAGCATTGCTTCTTATCTCCTCACCGCTGACGGCGGACTTACAGAGTTGACAGAGTTGACAGAGCGAAGGGGTAGAGTTTCGGCAGCTTATGTCCGAGCATCTTCTTTCCATTCAACACTCTATCAACCAGAACCGAACAAGAGCCCCCACCGGCGCCATGTGCCAGCGCTTCTTCATGGGCAAAATATCTCAACTGTGTGCTTTAGTGTTGCTAAATGTGCCGACCTGACGTTGCGCTTATAGGTGGAGCTATAGGTCTGCAATGTGCGTAAGCGGTCGACAAAGCGAAGGAGTGATTGATCCTATCGCATCAACATGCAGCAGCGTGCATTATTCAGCTATTGAAACTATGCGTCATTGAAATCATATAAAAGTAAACAAATAAGAGCGAAACCACTGCTATAGAATGCCGCTCCAACTCCAGACCTCCGTCAACCGCAGCCATATCGACATGTACACTTTAAATGCAAACTGCTCCAGCCACAACTCCAGATAAACAAAAATATATCATATATAAAACTCAGATAGTAAATTCAATGTGAAGAAGAATCACTCTGAAGATCAGTGGGCATGCAGAGGCTGATCGTCCTCAAGCTCGACGGCACCATCCACCTCCTCCTCGCCCGCCACGCCGGCATACAAATTGTCATGCGTATTCTTCCGCAGCATCAAAGACAAGAAAAACGCAAACCCAAAAATCACTATAGTCATCAGCAAGAACGCGGCCGGGAACCAACCGACCGTGTTCACGTAGACGAACGCGAAGATGGTGGGCGCGATGATGCTGCATAGCGAGTGCAGGAGAGCCATTGCGCCCAGCAGCTCGCCTGTTTTCCGCTTTGGAACGTGTTTTGTCAGCGTGGACTGGATCGTAGGTGAGGCTATCGTGCCTACCGAGCCAATGCAGCCGCTGAGCATGAACTGCGTCGACGAGCGCGAGATGAGATAGAGAGCGTAGGCGAGGACTTCGACAAAGACGCCGCAGCGGATCAGAAAGACATCAGACTGCGAGGCGCCGACGTGGCTCACTCTGCCGTGGTTGAACATGCGAACAGTGTACCTCGACACGAGGGGTAAGACGATAACAAGCACGAACGCGCGCGTGACGCCCATGATGGAGATGAAGTACCCAGCCTCGACGCTGGACCAGTGGAAAATGAGCTCGGCGTAGAGAAGCTTGATCATCATCGCGCCGGCACCGGCACCAATCAGAATAGTGTCAATGCCTGCCAGAAAGGATATGTTTCGGCGGATCTGGGGTGCTACTGACGACGAAGGCCACAGGATTCGTAGTGGCTTGAGAAAATTCAGGCGGTCGAGCAGTTCTGCAAGGTTACGGGGCATTAAACCCGTGTCACTGTTCAACTCTCTACCATCATTAAAAACCTGCTGTGCATCTAAGCGATGTTCGATTGACACCGACTCAGGCAAGACAAACAAAGCGTAGCCGATGAAGAGTAATTGCGCCAGAATGACGGCGTAAAAGACAACCAGGATGGAGTCTGTGGACTTTATGAGGAAACTGCCAAAGGCAGGTCCGAGTGCAAGACCGAGACTGAAACAGGCATGGCAAAGACCAAATGCCGATGCTCGTTTGTCGGCAGGAGTAGAGTCAGTGGTATAGGCAAATGCTGCGGCCATCATAGCGGATGCTGAGCCCGTTATGCCGTCTAGGATTGCCGCGAGCCAGTACCAGCGGTAAACATACTCATATGAAGAGTCAAGCATGAAGATCAGGACCAAGACAGACACTAGAGGGCCGAGCGAGCAAATAGCGAGGACGGCGCATCTTCCGATTCGGTCAGACAGCGCGCCCAACTTGGGGCTCATGACGGCGGCCAAGATGCCCTGGATCAGGTTGACGGTCAGGTTGAAGTTTGACACGCGAGCATGAACGTAAGGGGTCTGGCATTGAGGGTCTACGTCTGCGTGCGGGTTGATGTTATACTCGGGGAAGTCTGCGCGGCAGATGAGAGTGAGCAGCAGGTTAAGCTTTGGAGCCATGAGTGCGCCGTGGGCGACGGTGAGAAGGAGGAAGGCGGGCAAAAGAAAGAAGACAGAGGGAGTCTTGAAGACAGTCCGCGAGGGCCTCCAGAAAGAAAATGAGAGACGATTCGAGGATCGACTCTCGTGGGTCGACCGCCATTGCTCCTGCTCACCCCGTTCGGGGTAGTCCATGTAGCGAGCAGATGTGACAGTGACATTTGGCTGCTTATTGCTCACCGGGGAGCCATGACTAGAGTGAGAATATGTCAGTGAGATGATTGGAAAATAGCAGAAAGAGAGAGCTGTCTACCTTGGGCGAGCCTGCGAAGAGAGGACATCTTGCGCCGCCATGAAGGCGAGGTCCTCGTCGATCACTTCCTGCACCGCAACGAATTCCGACATGGTAGCAGCAAATCAGTGAGAATATATAAGATGCAAGAAACGATAAATAACAAAATCCGACTGGTTGTATATGCAGACGGCAGCGGTGCAGGTGCTGTTGCTCGTACGGGGGGCAGATAAGGACGACGATCAGATTAGCGGACGCGGGCTTTGAGTGATTTACGGTGGGAGTTGACGCCATTTGAGCCAGACCGCCAGACGATCTTCTTCAGCCCACGTGCACCGCCATCGCGATGATCAGTCTGGAGCCTTTCTGTACTTGCAGAAGACAGTAGTCTAGTAGCTGACTGTATTCTATCGTCTTTCTCTTCAGCACTGCTTCTCTTCCTCTCCTCGTAGCCGGTCGACCGCTCGCTGATAGCGGGCTTAAGACGATCAATGCGTTGTGGGGTAGGGTTTCGCTGGCTATGTCCGAGCATCTCCATTGTCTCTTCTCCCATCTCGCCTCGCCCAACTCCACCCTATGAACAAAAACTAGCCAACAACCCCAATTGCGCCATGTGCGGGCGCTACTCTATGGGCATGGTATCTTAGTCGTGTACTTCAGATTTTTTGACTGCGCTGACTCGGGTTCAAGCGGCTCGACCGTCTCCGCATGCACATGCGCGAGGACGGCGTGCAGGCAGACGAGTTTATAGACGAAGCCGAGTCTCTTACAAACTACTTTCCCTCGTGCGTATCCTCTCTTGTTCAGTTTGGATAGTACGGATCTATGTATTGACACTCACTGCTATACACAGGAACGTCATCAACCCGGTCACCAATCGTCCTGTGATCTACCGCTCTGCTGAGGGTGGTGCGTTACATGGCCGTCTGATGCGCTGGGCATTCGTCCCGCATTACGAGAAAGAGATCCCAAAGAATAAGCCGTATGCATATCTGCTCGTCTTACATTTTTGTACTGCCTTCTAATTCACTGAATAGCCCCGTTTTCAATGCTCGAAGCGATAACCTGAGTTCTCCGATGTGGGCGGCCGCGTTCAACAGCTGTGGCCGATGCATCGTTCCCGCCGACGGATATTACGAGTGGATGACCCCCAAATCATCCGCCGGAAACACCTCCAAACCATCCAAGAAAGTCCCCTACTACGTGCGGCCAAAGAACGGTGGCCTGATGTACTTTGCCGGACTGTACTCGACGACCTATCTAAAGCCTGCGAGACAGGCAGGCGAAGAGCATTCTTCTGACGGAACCGCTCCGGAGGAGAATACGCTCAGCGCGACGAAAATGAAGCGGATTCTATACTCGTACGCAATCATCACGACCGAAGCCGTGGATAGCATCAAGTTCTTGCATTCGAGAATGCCGTTAATCCTGTATCCAGGCACCCCCGAGTTTGAAAACTGGCTCAATCCAGCGTTCAAGGATCTCGGTAAACTGCCTAGGGTCAACAAGGACGAAGAGGTTGTGCAGAACCTGACGTGGTCGGTGGCAGAGATTCATCTGTCGGGGAAAATGGTCGGCAAGTCCTTGAAAGACAAAGGGGATATCGGAAAGGCTTTTGCACGAGTTGCTGCTAAACAGCAGTCTATCAAAGAGGAGTTTGAGGCGATCAAGGAGGAGCCTGGTGCTTACGAATCGGACCAGCATCGTAATGACTACGCGGCAGAGCAGGACTACAAGAGTATTCTCAAAGAAGAAAAGGAAGACTGGACCCCCGAGAAGCAAAAGACAGTCTTGCCCGCGTCTCCTCGACCGTCTACTGTCTCGAAACCCTCGAAACGGCACGCAGGTTCCCCACCGGGTTTTCACTCTACGCCGACGAAAAAGAGCCGTGCAAAGTCGGCATCGTCGTCGTTAGACAAAACACCGAAGATTACCAGCTTCTTTACGAAAAAAGCTTGACGTTCTTTAGCTCTGGCCAATTGTTTTATTTTATTTTTCTCGAGTGCCATCGGGCTATTTAGCTCCTCGCAGTTAACTCCTCGCAGTCTGACCCGGTTCTCATGGATTCGCTGTAAATATGTTTTATGATACCATTGCTCCGCTCGCTCGAATAGCTATAGAGTACAGTCAACGGAGACCATCTTCACAAGCATCCAGGGCTGGCTATCTACCGTGACGGCAATCTACCTCCTGTCACCTCCGTAGCAACACTCGTAATGAAATACCAGGATAAGCAGAGGGCGCTCCTTTATCTCTTACCGAAGGGGTCAGGCACGATAACGGAGGCGAAGATCCCGAAACGCCGGTTGTACAAGACCCTCGCTTAGCTGACATCCGCCCGGCGCGGTTAACGCGGGATCCGAAAAGTGACAGAGCGCAACCTCCCCTTTGACTGCCTATCGCGCTCGAGGAGGCTTCTTCAGTTTGAAAATACAAGAACACGAATTTGCTCCTCTGTGCGGGACTAGAGGCACAGTGCTGCACACGTTCTAGCTCTTGTTGTTGTGCGCACTATTAGCCTAGGCTCAAATGTTGGCTGGACTCTGTCAAATCGCGCTCGGCAGCGGCCTGCTGCTTGCGGTCGCGCCGGTGCCAGTGCAGGCGGTCAATCACCTACTTCCCGACCTCGTCCGTTTGAACGAGACAGTGCTCACAAATACTACATCTCCGGTGAACGGCAGCACGTTTGCAAACAGCACAGCGCCGGCGAACTCGACTGCGCCGGCGACGCCGCTGTCGAACTCGACGCAGACGAGCAACTTCATCAGCAATCTCGACGGCTTCTCAAAGCCCAACAATCTCGTCAACTTTTACTTTATCTTTCTCATCCTGCTTGTCGTGGTCGCGTACTTTGGTCTACGATACTACCAGAAGCGAAGACAAAAGCGACGGGCTCGATTGTTCTCCTCGCTCCGTGCTGAGGCGCTGCAGCGCGATATCGAGGCCGACGCGGCTGCTCGGGCTAGTCGCAGGCCACCCTTTTCAGATATGGTCCAGGTCGACGACAGCAGTAATAGCCGGAATCCGTTTCTCAGTCGGCGGCGCGCGCCTTCGCCCCCACCGCCTCCACCGCCGTATACACCTGATATGCCGCGGGCGGTGGACGCAGCTTATCTAGGAGGAGGGATGAGACTGCCAATGTACGAAGACGTGGTCGAAGACGAGACCGAAGACAGCAACCAACACGAAAGCACCGATGCTGACCACGACAGCGACGCCGACAGCAGTCAGCAGTCATATGACGAATGGATGTCTGGCCGCGATAGTTCTAATCAGTACGGCCCGTCCGACGACGAGCCGTCATCCTCACGAGCGTCAACCATGACCAGTATCCTTGATCGTCGATGACGAGGTGCTTATTGAATGATGATATATGCCATTTATTATGTCGATGAGCGTGCGACTGTGCGAGCCAGAGCATGCGATGTATATATTGTTTGTACATACTGTGATTGGGAAGATACAAGGAACCGTCACAGAGCAGGTCAACAATGATCATGATTACATTTACGGAGTTTTATGGCTATCTGTTTTTCATTTCTTTTTCATCAGCAATCTTTTTTGTTTCTGGGTTTTCTTTACGGATGGAGTTTTAGTATCTAATGTCTAGTTATTGTCAGCAGCTGTATTGCTTTTTGGGTTCGGTGGAGGGTTCCTGCTGGACCTGCAGAGAACGTGGGGAAGTTGCAGCGCGGGACGAGAGGGGTAAGGAGAAGAGAGGTACACATGCAGCGCGGGAGTGCGTGATGCGGGTATAGATGATGATGATGATGAGTTAGTAGTAATGAAGTGATTAATCATCAAACAGTGCGAGCGCGTGTGATGCTGAATGCTTCGCCTATCAAAGACTGAAGTACGAGCATGTGAGCCGTTGTTTATCAATGCGGTGTTTTTAATCGTTGATAAACGATGGATGAACTCACGGTGCTCGTAGACGTTCTACATGAGAGCGTAGATGACGACTGATGACGAACGTTGCTGCGGTGATCTGCACTCTTGAAGTGTGAGCACACCGCGGTTTTCGTGTTTCCCGATGTGGATTAATGCCCGCACGCACTCCCGATTGCAATTTGCACGGATTAGAAAGTAAGTCTCAAAGAGTGGATGAGATATTGGTGGCGGCTGTAGCAACAGGCTGTAGCAGTAGGTTGTAGCAACGGCCGTAACAACGTCGCAACACCGGTTTGAACACCATGTCTTGCTCTCAGAACACGCCTCTGCTCACGAACAGCGCAGTGCACTTTTATTCCACAGTTCTTACGATCCAGACCAAACAGCGTGCCGCAGCAGAGATGTGACGTGATGTGACGTCAAGAACAGGCGGATTGTTCACTGCGCCAGACGCAGCAGCGCTGTGGAAGTTGCATCCGGGTTGTGAGCCTCACCAGCCGCATTGAGGCGCAGCACAATGCACCAGCCACTTCTGGATTATTAATCCGGCGGCCAAGCCCTAACGTAACCCTACAAAGAAGCAGTCACGCGGTCACGATGTTAGCGCTTTGTAAGCAGGGTTTGGCTTGCGCGAGGTCGTCGCTGTCCTGTCCGTCGCCACGCCTCTTCCTACTCCGCGTCAGCCTTATCCAACAACCAACACCATTTTTATATTCCCCGTCGATTCTTCGTCAACTAATTGTAAGTGCGCTTTGTTTGGAAGCTCGAGATGGAGAATATGGGATTTGCTGTGAATTACATTGCGTCGCGGAAGGGGGAAAAGACGAGGACGGGATGAGTGCTCCGGTGCAGTGGCAATCCTGTTTTGCATAAATACTCCGTCTCCGCCGCGATCTACTTCGCTCGCAATATTCTCTGGTATAATCTACAGAATCTAACAAACCGATACAGAAAAATGGCTCGCCGTCCCGCTAGATGCTACCGCTACTGCAAGAACAAGGTATGTCGAATTTGAAGAAGAACGAACAATAGAGATAGTCAGTCGCTAACACTCATCTCTCCAGCCGTTCCCCAAGTCCCGGTTCAACCGTGGTGTCCCTGATGCCAAGATCAGAATTTACGATCTCGGCCGCAAGCGCGCCGGTGTCGATGAGTTCCCTCTCTGCGTCCACCTCGTTTCCAACGAGTACGAGCAGCTCTCGTCCGAGGCTCTCGAGGCCGCCCGTATCTGCGCCAACAAGTACTTCACCAAGACCGGTGGACGTGACGGTTTCCATCTCCGTGTCCGTGTCCACCCCTTCCACGTCCTGAGAATCAACAAGATGTTGTCGTGCGCCGGTGCCGATCGTCTTCAGACCGGTATGCGTAACGCTTGGGGTAAGCCCCAGGGTCTTGTTGCCCGTGTCAACATTGGCCAGATCATCATGTCGCTCCGCACCAAGGATGCCAGCAAGCCCATCGCTATCGAGGCTCTCCGTCGTGCCCGTTACAAATTCCCTGGCCAGCAGAAGATCATTATTTCCAAGAAGTGGGGTTTCACCTCGCTCGACCGTGACGACTACGTCACCAAGCGCCAGCGTGGTGAGGTCAAGGTCGACGGTGCCTACGTCAAGTTCTTGAAGAAGAAAGGACCCATCGAGGAGGTCTTCCACCAGTTCCCCGACTACGCCGGTCTTGAGGCTTCGAGCTAAATTACTCGACCGCGTGTATTTGCAGGAGATTGTATAAATTGACTGGGTTTGTTGGTTACCGGAAAGAAAAAATTTAAAACTATGAATGGATATTGGATATATGGGTGCTGTATAATTATTTGTCTTCCCGACTTGGGTTCTGCATACATCGAATATATTCATGTCTTCAATAATTATGAAGTCGTAGATTTGGTAGATGTAGATATTTGAGTGGAGTGTTGATTACTACTAAGCAGACCACAGATCGCTCTCAACTTGGTTCTCTCCTCATCTCTCACCATGCCTCTTTATGACCTCTTTACTCTCCTCCAACAATAAAGACAACCTTCTCTCGAACGTAAGTAAATCTCAGTCACATCACATGAATTACATCTCCTAACCCGTCAACTCCCTCATAGCTCCTTGGAGCCAGATCCGCACCCGCATCCTCCCCGCGCTCACAACCACTCGCCTTCCCCTTCTTCGACCAATTCCACCCCACCTCCACCTCCACCTCCGCCTTCAAACCGCACAATGTCACGGTCCTCTGCGGCGGCCCGTTCTCCGGGAAATCAAGACTGCTATCGCATATATGCGCGCTGACGGTGATACCTGCCGGCGGCCTTGCCGTCGTCCTCGATCTCGACCACCGATTCGTTGACGTTGCGCGCGACACGATCGCGCTGCATTGCGCTGCCACTGCTGCTGCTGCGAAGCAAACTCAGGGCGATGATGCAGACGATCGTTCTTCTTCTTCGGACGAGCAGGTTGTAGCGGCGGGTGTGCTCGTGCTGCGTCCGACCCGCGAGACCGGTGCGTCGGGGCTTCTCACCTGTCTAACGCGTCTCGCGACAGCCGAGCTATTCGAAGACCTCGTCGCCGCCGTCGACTCCTCCTCTCTTTTGTCCGAATCATCTGCCTGGACAGATAAACGACACATATCAGGCCATGTCCTCGCCGGCAGTGTCGCGTTCGATCTACTAGCCTACGGCGACGAGCGCACCGCCTGCGCGCGATCGACGCTCGATTCCCCCGTCCTCGCTGTCTTTGTCGACGGGCTGGCCTCGCTGTACTGGCACCTTTCAGACCCGTCTTCGTCCTCTGCGCAGGTTTCTTCGTCCTCGTTGACGTGGGCGCAGGTCGCGTCCCGTACGATGAGCGCGCTGCAGAGAGTCTCGAGGGTGTATGGCTCTATCCCCGCGCTCGCCTGCGTCACGATTCTCTCGCCGGCGACGACCACACCGCGACAGTCTATCCACGTGGCTGACAAGGCGTGGCCGATGGTGCCTGGCGCGGACGCGTACATCTATCTCCAGCGAATACCCCTCCGTCAATGGCGCTATGATGCTCCGCAATCTCACAACGCTGCCGGCGCCAATGACGATGATGATGCTGATGATGAAACTACGAGTCTTGTGTCTGTCCAAGTCAGCAGCGTGAATGCTTCGACGGTGAAGGAGTTTAAGATGGCATTAAGTCAAGTGCACGGTGTCCGGTTCCGCGAGTAAAGCTACAGCTGTATTAACGATAACCACTCCACTATTCGGGGAGTGAATAAAAATGTATATTATATCAATGTCTGCTACAACCCAAGAAAACACATATGACGAACGCCATGCTTTTAATCGTAAATCTCAAGAGGCGGGATTCTATCAATATTATAAAACCAATTTCCACTACACGTCATAATCTAGTTAGTAAGCTTGTCAAATATCAAAAAAAGAGAGAGCAGAAACACTTACGCTTCGTCTTCTTTGAGCAGCCAGTCCTTGGGGAAAACAACCAGATGCCCCCGCACATTCAACAGATGCCGTTCCGCAGCATCCCGATCGAGGATATGATGCGCATGATCCTTCTGCTGCTGCCGGCGGCTTCTCCGCGACGAGCCACCGCCTACATGAGGCGACCCGCCTCCGTTGCCAAAGTTGCTCGCGTCCGTCACCCGTCTTCGGCGACGGAGCGTGCCTCCGCTCGTGTTGTTGGTCTGTCGGCTTACTTCCTCTTCCGACCCGTTCACGCCGCGGTCCGACACCGGGGTCTCGTCAGCAGCGACTTCAGTGTCCGCCGCACTGTGATCCGCATCATGCAGCGGCAACGCATGCACGGCTGCTCCTGCCGCAGACACAATATGCTCGCCCGTCTTTGCAATCCCAGGAATCGCGGTGGCAATCACCGCTTTCGCAGGGTTATTCACAGCCGTCAGTCCGGCTCCGCCAGCCGCGTTTCCTGTATTGTTCGGGCCCAGGTTCGAAAGTCCTCGCCGCCGGACCACGCCGTCGTCTTTACCAGCCGTGCCGCGCGACGAAGTTGACCCGTTACTGGTATTGTTCTGCGTATTCGTGCCTCCCGGCGACGACGACGATGCGGTCTGCGCGTTTGCGAATTTCTCGCTATGGGCCTGGTAATTCTTGTAATCCTTCCACGTCCGCACCTCGTTATCCGGCTGACATCTAAACACCTCCCGGTAGATATTCGTGTTGTTGACCGCGTGCGCGAGCCAGATGTCGAAATAAAACTGCTCCGCAAGCGGGTCCTCAAACGACACCGGCGTGATCTCTCGCAACGTCTCCGGCGGCTCGGTCTCGAGGATCTCGCGCGCTTCGAGCTGGTTCAGATGAGACTCGGCGGGGGCAAGCGAAAGCGCCATGATTAGCTGCTCGAGCTTCTCGAGCGACTCCGCCGCTACTTCGGGATCAACTCCCTCCTCTTCGAACCCAGATCCAAACTGTCCCGTCTCCTCGTCCTCCAAGTACGGCTGCCGAGCTTTCCCGGCCGAAAGCCGCCCTTGAGAATGCGGCTGCGCGGGGTCTGCTTTCGACCGCAGCGGATCCTCGGTCTTGAACGTGGCCTCGTTGCCCGGCGGCACCGCGATCCCGCGCGTCTTGGCATCGCCTTCGCCGCCGTACTCGAGCCGCTCGCGCACTTTGGCTGCCATCTTGTGTTCTGCCGGCGCGCTCTCAGACATGCGGTCCTGGCCGTACCCCGCGACGTCGGCCAAGTGCTCCGTGCGATTGATCTCAGAGGTCTCTGTCGAGTCTGCCGTGCTGTGGAAGATCTTCTCCGATAGGTCTTGGTTCTCTGGGAACTCTTTCAAAACTCCTTTGTCGTTCTCGTCGTTGGGATCAATCACTGGCACAGATGCTCCCGCGGCTGCCTCATTCTTCTCACTCGCAGAGACCTTGCCAGATTTCGCTTTCTCGTCCGTGGCGTGATCGCGAATATCTTCCTCGTCATCATGCGGCGAAAAGAACGCGTACTTCCGCTCGCGTCTATCCCGAGCCTCGTCATCATCCCTCTCGTCCTCACTGCTGTCGACGTCGTCTTCGCTCTCGCTCTCGCCCTGGTCAGAGTCGTACATCCCCTCGTTCGTCATATCCCCATGCGACGCCGCAAAGCTCTGCGGAATCCTCGTCAGCTTCCGCAGTTTCGCCACGTTCGACCAGATATCGTGGCGCCCGGTATCAAGCGTTACGCTCTTGTCGTCGTCGTCGAGACCGTCATCTGCGTCGCTGGCTGCTGCCGCCGAAAATGCTCGCCGTTCAAGATCTTCGAGCGCGTCGACGTCAATTCCGAGATGCTCGCGCATCAGGCGCACGCGAAGCGTATGTGGGAATCTGCCGACCATGTACTTTGCGCCCGCCATCGTGGACTCGATTTGATCGGTATCACGGATTATCGCTGCTACTTCAGAGTCGCGAGAGCCTCTCATCGAGCGCTCGTTGATGTTTGCTGATCCGATGATGGCGACGCGGTCGTCAACAATCATAATCTAGATCAATGTCAGTATTCTGTTCACTGTCAGTATCAGTTAAAGAGTGTGTTTGCGTACCTTTGCGTGAATGTACAGCTGCTCGGTAACGAGCTTATCCTGCGGCCCGACAGTACCCCACTTGCGCAGCGAGAAAAACTGGATATAGTCCTCCGGATTGACGCCCGCGCGCTCGAGCCGCGAGTAGATACTATGCGGTCCGCGGGAAATCGACCTAAACTGGCACTCCATAATCAATCTCACGGACGTGCCGTCCTGCTGGTCGACCTCGGCCTCGAAGCCAGGCATGAGCGGGATGATGATGATTGCGCGCCAATCTTCGTCGCGCTTGGCGGCGCGCAGGATGCGCTCGACCAGAGCGTCGCCGATCGCGTTCTCAATCACGGTGCCGTCGACGGAGGTCGACGTGATGAAGAACTGGTTCTCGATGTACACGAAATGGTCGGATGCTTCGATCGCCTTCAAATACGCAGTCTGGATCGAGTGCTCGAGTTTGTCGTGCGCAAATCCAAGCGACCAGCTACTCGCAGACCGCAGCAGTTGCGCCTCGCACGTTCCAAGATGGCCCAGCGCCTCGACCTCCGAATCAGTGAAATCCGGAGGCGGGAGGAGCACCGGCGTCGGTCTCGTCGACCGCTTCTGCCGAATGAGGTAATTCCAGCGCTGCACAAAGTGCCGCGCCGCGTCGCGAGCAGGCTGGCCGACCATCTGCATATGCACGTCGTGCCATGGCATGCGCGGGACCTTTGTGCGGTCGTACATGTCGTCGTACGGTTTGTTAAGCTCGTAAAAGTCCTGCACGCGCGCGTTCGAGTAGTCCTTGCCGATCCAGAGCTGCGTGTCCTGGCCAAAGTCAACCTCGGATCCCCGATCGAAGCCGGTCGGCTTATTATCGTTCAACACATGCTGAGGCGTGTCCCATCGACCAAAGCAGAGATCGAGGCCACCGACGAAGAGAATCATGTGGTCGACAATCACGAGCTTTTCGTGATGTGCCCAGAAGAGGATATTCTGCCTAAACTGGTTCGGCGAGCGGGTGACGAAGATGTTGGGATGGAGATCGAGCAGCGACTGTTTTGTGTAGATTGAATCAATCGGGATTGCCGCGCCAACGTTGCGGTAGAGAATCACAAAGATCTTGACTCCTTGCTCCGCCTTTCGCTTGAGAAGTCGGTCGAGTCGCCATTGCTGGTTGCCGTGAGCTGGTCGGCGAAGGTACACTTCCGGACTGAGCCACCAGTCATGGATGTAGATCACATCCTGCGCCATATCAATCGCATGACTTACGTTCCAGAAATAGTCGCGCTAACAATAGAAAGTCAGTAGTCTATCTACTTATTTTGAGTAGAAGAAGGACGTACCCCATCAACAAACCACTGTGCCGAAACATTATGCCTGACAGGTGCAAAACTCTCAAACCGGTGTTTCTGCGCCCAAGGCGTACTCTTATACATATAATCCATACTATCCATCCACTGCTTCATTTGTTTTTCCGAAAACGTGAGCACCTTCATCTTCCGCTCTGCGTTTGCCAGTTTGAGCGTGAACCGCACTTTAGTGGATTTCTTGACCGATTTCGTGAGCGAGCGGTTGTTGGCGTTGTTGCTGTTCACATTGCTCGGACCCGCAACCGCCTCGGCTTCGGCGTCCTCGCGCGTTTGCCAGCCGTTTGAGGTCTTGTGCGTGAACTTGAAATCAGAGTCGACTAAAAACACGTCTATCGGAACGACGTCAAACATGCTGTCGACGACCAGCACGTAAGAGTGACGGATCAGAAACCACTTTGCTCCGTAGCGAGTAAACAGTGCTTTGATATTCTTCGGCCCTAGCTTGGCTGTCCGCCAGCCTCTCGCGGATGAAGTCGAGATGATTGAAAGCTGGCCTTCTTTCCCGTGATACGAGTTCTCGACCGAGAGACGGATACCCATGGCCGACAGTTCAAGAAACCGGCAAAGTCTGTTCGCCTCGCCGCGGAAGATCATGATGCTGATCAGGTTCTTCAGGTAATCCTCCAGACTCTGCCGCTGCGTCTGCGCGAACTTTGCGTTGCGAACATGGCCTTGCTCGCCGCTGAAACTGGTTATGCTATGTCTAGACGAATCCCGTCGTCCGCCTCGGCTGGCTGGCATATCAGCTTCGGCCTCGGCCACATCTTTCAGTCCACGAACGCCGCGCAAGTACGGAATCGCCTCGCGAGGAAAGCGCGGCAGTCCCTCGATAGCGTGTGCGCCGCCCATAGTCGCGCCACCTGTAGTCGACGAGTAGATATTCCGTGTGAAGTTGAACGCGCGGAAATGTGAATGCAGCGCAAAGAAGTCGCGGAAATCACGAAAGATGACCCATTTCATCCGGATCGGGCCAGAGCCGTACTCGAGCTCGATCCTGAAAAGCGTGTGCTGGCGATCCTGCGTGCGGGTGGAGTCGCTGATGCGCACCTTGAGTTGCTCGAGCAGGACCGGCAACCGGCTGCGTCCCTTTGAGTCCTTTTGGAACGCAGAGGCGATAATTACAGCGGCGGGAGCTCCTGCTGATAACTCTGATAGCAGCTCGGCTGATTTCTGGTGGTCGTGCTTTGCTTCCTCTTCTTTCTTTTTCTTTGTAAAGTTGATGAACTGCAGACGCGCGCGAATGTCCTTCCATCGCTGCAAGTTTGCGGGAGAGGGCCCGCCGCTTGCATTGCCGCCCGAGCCACTAGTTCCACCGTGTTCCCGGCGCAGCGTAGTGATTGAAAACATGTTTGCGTTGCTGTTCCCGCTGTCGTAATGCTCGACTGACGACTGCCGTCTGAAAGGCGACTTGCGAGCCGTGATGTTGCGAGGGATGTCGGCAACGGTCGATCGACGCTGGTGAGAGGATATCCATTTCCGAGATGCCTGATCGGCAGTGGCCTCTCGACCCTCTTGCAAATCTCGTTCACCACCGTCCGCTTCGGCTCCTTCGGTGTATTGATCTTGATCAACAGGTGCTTCGCCGTCTTCGGGTCTCGTGCTACGGAGACGATCAAGCCAGCCATCGGCAGCATTGAACAGACGGCCCCAGCCGGTGTTTTCATGATTCCCATCAGGCGTGGCCATAGGACTTCCCGGCGCGCTGACGAACCCTTCAGCGTTGTCGCGGTCTGGCAAGACTATGTTCCGGTCATCGCCCCAGTTCCTTCTATTCGGGCTTTTGAAAGCCTCCGCGGGTGGAAGCGAAGCAAGAGAGGAATTTGAGGTCTGTGTGCTCTCTTGCGTCTTGGTGGCTGATATCAGGTTCGAGTCACCGGTCTCTTTGCGAATGGCTTCTTGGCTGTCGTTGGCATGGGACCCGTTCGCCTGCGTAGTGCGTTGCTGTATAGTGGTGTTTCTAGTCGGAGTATATGGATCAGCGTGGTTGTATTCAGGAACCTCGGTGAGCAATCTATCGAAATCCTTCTCGGCTAATAACCCGACGTCAGACTTGCTCGTGCTGTGTTGTTGATCTGGACCGATAGCCGCATCTTTGCTGCCGTCGGCTTGGTAGTCGCTGTGCTCGAGCGCTGTGTTGTCGGAAGTGTGATTTCGCTCGGTCGCGCGTAGTGTTTGGACAGAGCCAGTTATTGACATTGGTTCTGCGTGAGTAACCATCGCGGGCATGGGAGCTGATTCCGGGGTTTGCTGTGTCGTCGTCACCGCCGTCTATGAGCGGTCGATGACTGAGTCTTTCTGCGGATGGCAAGTGCTGGTTGAGTTGAATACAGCGGAATACTGTTATTTGATTTTGGTTGTTGTTGCGCGTGGCGAGGGTGGAGTGTGGTCTGGAGAATGTAGAGTGTTAGCTCGTTGTATGATGCCAAGATGTGCACGGTTCCGGCGACCACGACGACGACGACGGCAGCGATCGTGTGCCTGGCCAGAGAGACCAGTTCTGTCGCAAAGTCGAATATAGAAGATAGTTGAGATAATAAAACAGATGACGACATACGTAAACCACGAATAACGACGATATGTGCTGGAGAACAATAGCAGCAAAAGTCGAACAGGATCTGTCGGTCGAGAATATCAAGACTGTGGATCTGTCCCCGAGATAACTTTACGCGCCGACGAGTAGTCAGTGAAGAAGAGCCGAACCACTGCTTGTCATTGAGGTGCTGTCTTTCAAAACCGCACGCTCTGTTCTCTGTTTCTATTGTCCCGAAACGAATTCGTGTACAGAAGCGGTGTGGAGGAAGCTGCTGAAGGAGCGAGGACGAGACGGTGAGCTTGTTTATTCCTAATTAAGAGGCACATACTCGAGCCCATCTTGGGTAAGTGTTCTGGGGATGATGGAACCCTTATACGTAGACGTATATTCAGTGCATTTGGCTCCGGTTTAAAGGCCAAGACGAGTGCGGCTCCTATACAATGTGATGACGTACAGCAGCTACGAGGATGGATGATCTGCTGCTACAAATAGACCGCTGTAGTTGTTCAACAATAGTATTTCCCGTAGTATGCCGTAGCTTAGAAACTGAGATATGTAATGACAAACCGTGTGATTGAAAACTCCAAGAATTGGGACACCGGTGCGCCAAACAAGATAACAGAGAACAAACAATCCAAATCCAAATCCAAATCCCTAATTCACAAAGAACAATGAAGTAGCAGCTAACTGCATTCATCCTCACCGCCCACGTCCTCAATCAACAGCACATCCTGCGACCGATACGGCCGGTGCGAGTTCCGCTCATAGTCATACCTCCTCCACCCGCTCGGAATCGGCACCCTATCCTCCTCCTTCACCATGCTCAGCGCCCGCCATATATTCCCAATCACGCAGTGCTCGCCACACGCCGACTCGTTCTCGCGCTGCTGCCGCATCTGCTGGCACCGTGTGCGAAAGACAGTGCAATCGCGCACGCTCGCAATCCATTCTTCCAGCCGCGTGCGTTGCGCGCCGGTCTTGTCAATCTGATCGGTCTGGTCCGCAAACACGCTCGTGAGCTGGCGCGCTTCGACAAAGGATAAAAGTTGCACGCGTATAGACGACGTCCTCGGAAATATCTTTTCGTTCCAGCGCTTGATTGTCATGCGCGCGCGTATGCGCCTCCGCACGTTCGCCAGAGCATCCGACGACGTCTGCGCGAGTTTAAGCGGCGAACTCTGCGTCGTGGTAACAGTCCGCGTCCAGTGGCGTATAAATATGTTTTCCAAACTGCCTTCAAATGTAGGGATGTCCATGTCCGGCAGCGCGCGGTCACGCTCGAGCGTGGAATCGTCGGCGTCGTCGACGTCGGTGAGGATGCAGTCGTCCATGTTTTCGTCGCGCGAGTGCTCGACGCCGCAGAGGGATGGTGTTTGGTCTTCTGTAGATATTCCGGAATCAACTCGTTCGGCTTGTTCGATGGGGATATCTTCTTCCTCTGTATATCTGTCTTTGTATTCTTCCTCGTCCTCATCTTCCTCGTCTTCTTCCTCGTCGTCGTCCTCATCCTCATCGGTGTCGATACAGTCCTCATCCGTCTCCTCCTCATCCTCCTCACCCAACCCCCATCCCCCCACAGACCGATCAACAATACACCGATTGACGTCCTCGACAAAGCTGAGCCACATCTCCTGCGACACGCCCCGGGGTGCCATAAACCGCGGCTGATAGCTCGCGAGCCCGTCGAACCCCAGCTGCGAGGTGAGTTCCGACCGCGCAAGGATCCCGATCCTCACTCGCCGCTGCTCGGGCTCGTCTGTCAGCGTTATCGGGGTGTGTGGTTCTAGTGCTGTAGTGCTCTGGTTGATTGTCATTGCGCCTAGAGCAACACGTCTGTCGCGGTGCAGGGCAGGCAGAAGTTGAAAACAGTAGCCAACGGCTGGGCGATTACAAGCAGGCAGTTCCCTCGATATACAGCATAATGTCTGACCAGCACGCCGGTCGCTTGCTCGGTTTCTTCCTCGGTTTCTGTTCGGCGCCGACGCAGCCTGCGATGGCCAAGCAGAAGTCTGACTCTGCTGACGCGCCGGTCGGGGCCGGCGCACTCATCGGCCCGAGCCCGTACCCTATGCGGGCTGTGTGATTAGTCGTAGATTATGTAATAGAAATATCAATTTCATTGTTTGTGTGGACGCGATATTGCGCGAAGAGTTGTGTATTCTACCTGGTGAAGACTGAGTAGGATATGTACAAAGAAATAGCGCACCTCTTATGACTTTGGCCCACAGAGAAGATAACGCCATACAAACTCTGAACAGGATATGAGATATCACAAACCTCTGTGGCAAAATAGGAAACACAAATGACCGTTGAGGTAAAAGGAAGCTGACCGATACATACTGAAAATCTGGAAATTCCTTATATAACAATGATATCAATAACCAACATTGAACAATGGCGAATCACGAGTGTAATGCGGAGCATATACTACAGAGCAATATTCAATCCCTATTTACTGTTCAATTGTGGAGTTTGTAATGGAGGTTCCTCGAAGTTTTCAAGATCGATGTTGTGCCATACAGCGCCAGCTTCGATCCCTTCCACAATCGGCGCATACACCCTTTCCCATTTAAGCGCGGGCTAGACAAATACTGCTGTTAGACCAATTCAACCAGCCCAGCCCGAACCGAGCTGCTGACCTTTTTGTTACTGCCCACCTTGTATTCAAATCTCCACGAATGAAGCGCGATCTGGCGCGACCTGAATCTCTGGGTTGAGATCTCGTCGAACCCGTACCGGAGATCGTTCACAATCGGCGCACCCAGCACGTGTGAGCAGTGTATCCGGAGCTGGTGTTTGCGTCCGCTGATCGGGTTGAGCGCGAGTAAGACTTCATCGCCAGGCGGGCCGCCTCGGGGCGAGGTATTGAGGATTGTGAATTCGGTGGCCGACTCGCGGCGCTTGTTCTCCTCGTCTACCACTGCGGACTCTATTCTGCCGAATTTTTTGGCGGGGTCCCATTCTGTGATGGTTTCGGGTAGGGCGACCGTGCTGGAAGGGTCTTTTGTGTTTTCGATGAGCGCGGACAGCATGCCGTTCCGCCGTGGTTTGACGACCGCAAGGTACTAAATCAGCAAGGCTATGAGCAATGATGTCAATCCACACATGTAAACATATAAACACGCACCAATTTTCTGAGCGGCCATCCGCAATTGCCGCCTTCCTTGAAGTTTCTGTGAAATTTTTGAACCGCCTGTCACATTAGAGTGAGCAAAAATACAATACAAGAGAACCCACAGAACACCTACATGGTTAGTGAGACCGACGACCATCGCACCAGACACGCCATAGTCTAGTCTATGCACGAGCTTTGGCCAGACATATGGGGGCACTGGTTTCTCAGGGTAGAACTCGGGATGATGTTTCTTGAGAATATCGAGCAGCGGGCGTCGGTCTGTGTGCTGGAGAGGAACTTCGGCGGGTTGCGAGAAGATGAGGGCGGGTTTGTTGAGCACGATGAAATGCGTCGTGCGACGCAGGATAGTTACTCCTTTCATCGTCGGGATTGTGCAGGATGATGTTGATGAGTATCAGCAATGAGTATCCCGATATCAAAGACGAGGCAAGGATATTCATCGTCAAAGTTTTCTAAACCGCTGTTATTGTAAAAGCGCATTGCGTCTTTGTGATCACTGACAGACGTACATGGAGTGACGCGCGAAGCAGCTTCTTCAAACGTTAATTTTGGCTCCGAGGCGGGATTCGCGCTAAGCCGCAACGGGGCAACATTAGAGCCGGCTCAAGCTATCGGACTTGTATGCTTCTTTGGAAGAGCGCTGGACTGCGCAGACGTGCATGGGTCAAAGCAAAGTGTTAGTGGACGGATAAGAGACTGGGCAGGCTTAGCACAGCAGGAGACAAAGAGAGAAGGAAGGAAGAGAAAGAGGAAAGGATCCACGTCGGTGGGCGTCGCGGACTGCATAATCTTTCCCAGCCGGGCCTTTGTTCACCACAGCCTCGTTCCCATCGGGATTATCTCTTTTCTGGCTCCATTGTCGGCCCGAGCCGAGGAACTGGCCTCTGAGACTTTCATTCGGGCGCTTGGCGGAAGTCACATTCGACAGGCAGAACCTTGCGGCATTTTCACTTGTGCTGAGCAAGCAGCTGCACGCCGGTGCAGAACCCTACCGGACTGCAAACTGGGCCAGCAAAACCTCTGCCGGGGCTTCCGAAGCTCGGCCTTGATTGTCTCTGCCTACCCGAGCACCTCCACAATGAGCGCGGTGCTCGCGAGCAGTCACTTCTATGCAGTGCTGCACCTACTCACCTACTCATCACCTCTCGTCTCACTAACCACCGACAGTCTTTTATTTCAAACCCTGCAACAACACCTCCTCGGAACCAGAAATAAGCAGTCGGGATCAAAACTCAAACCCGCTCGGGCCGCTGCGTGTGACCCTGCCTGTCTTGTCCGTTATCATCAGAATTCAATTAACGCCTTATGACGTCCAAAAGTTCCTCGTTCCCTAATTGGGCAGCTTCCGACTTTTCCTCCGCGTGTTTGCCGATGTCCGGTATTGTTCTAGTAGGCCCGACGTCGTGCTCGTGGTTGTAGATGCGTGCGTTCATTCCTTCTTATCATCTGGTACTTACTTATAGACAAAACATGAGACCCAACCAAGTCCAAAAACCTGACCAAACAATAGCAAAATAGCTCATATAAACATAAAAGAAAGATAAAAAGAGAAATCTAAAAAAAGAAAGAAATCTAAAAAATTGCCGTTTTGAAAACCCAAGTCTATGATAAAACCCATATAAACATATAAAATAGACAGAAATATGATTGCCCTTCCGCCATGACCTTCTCCACATGAAAAAGCATGTAGAAGAGCATGTAAAGAAATAAAAAAAAGAAAATAGCAAATCCCTTTCGGTCCTTGCGTTCTGCTAAAATCGTCCCCAATCCAGTCATTCACTCATTCATTCATTCATCGGCGGCTACTCCCACATCGCCAACTCGTTAATCACGCGCCGGATCTCGGCCTCGACAATGTCAATCTGCTGAACGCCGCCCACGACAATGACTCTCAGTCCCGATCCAGGAACGACCATCGGCCGCGGCATATCGCGCGCTTCAAAGTCAACGTGGATCACCAGATCGGGAAGAACGGTGCCGCGGTAGAGGCTTGCGCACCACGCAAAATCCTCGACCGCAGACCGCTTGCTGCTCAGGCTACTGCCCTTCATCGTTCCCGCGCGGACGTTGCTTCCTGTATGGTGGTGGTGCAGCGTCGCAGGCGAGCTCACGCCTGACGAGCCCGTAGACGACGTAGTAAGCGAAGGCGACCGCGGCTGCTCGCCGCCAGCGTTATTCTCGCCCGCGGACGAAGAGTTCGCGTGGTTCTCGTGCGCGTACCATAGCTGCGTCGCGCTCGCGTCCACGTTCGCAACAAGATATCGGTTCAACAGCACCGACTTTCTCGCAAACGCAAACCTCTTCACGTTCGTCATCGCCCGATGCACCGCTCCCGCGCGTAGAACCGCACGTCCTTCGGCGCTGATCGTGATCTTCTCACTATCGCTGCCGCCGCTTGCGCCGTTGCCGTTCCCATTGCCGCTACCGTTGCCGGCGTCGCAGAGCTTCTTGCCGCTGCTTCCGTCGCTGCTCTCGCTCTCGTCGGTCTCGAATGTGTCGATGGAGACAATGCACCCGATGCGCTGCGTGATCTCGCTAGCAAACATCGCGCCCACGGCAGAAACGCCCTCGATCGCAATAACCGCCCCGCGAGGGTGCTGGCGCGGCAGAGGAATCGCGGCGGCCGACAGATAGTCATACTTTGACTCGAGCGGCAACGCAATCCCAGAGTCGTTACTGTGACCTTGGAAGTTCACCAGCAGCTCGACATCGTCGTTCTCGGATCCGCCGGAAACAGGAGCGGGGTTAGTATTCGACGGCGGGAACGTCGACGCGATCGGCGGCAGGTGGATCTGCGTCTGCGATCCCTGCTTTTGATGGCCTTGAGTCTGCGGAGGCTGCTGCAAGAGCGACTGGGGAGGCGGATGCAGATCGGCATCCGAGGTCCGGCACCGGCGCTTGTACAGAAATGCCTCTTCGTTCTCGTCGAATTCGTCGCTTGTTCTCGTGCCGTTGATGATGTTGGATATCGTGTAGCTGCTGCGCGGGTGCACGTGGCCGCCCATGCTGGAGTTGATGTTGCTGTTGCTGCTGTTGTTGTTGTTACTGTTGTTGTTGCTGGTGTTGCAGCTTCCGCCGCTTCCGATGACACTGTTCAGCGGCTCGGGAGAGGTGGATGCCTTGCGCGTGAGCGAAAGCAAAGCCTCGACGCCTTGTCGCGCATCTGAAGGAGTGTGTGAGGCAGCGAGAACATCGCTGCGAGGAAGGGGGAGGATGGGAGGGAGATGTCTCGCCTCGGGATTGGACGAAGTGGGTGGGGGTAAGTGGATGTAGTTTGCTGACGACGATGCTGACGAGGACAGAGAGGTAGGAGAAGTTGTGCGCATCGGCGGGAGGTGATTTGAAGGCTCAGTTGGTGGGGAGTACTGTGCCATCCCCTGCTGCTGCTGCTGCTGTTGCTGCTGCTGTTGTTGTTGCTGCTGCTGTTGCTGTTGCTGTTGCTGTTGCTGAATGTGGATCGGAGGAGGAGGATGGAGTGATGAAGACGAAGGAGTGTTTTCGCGCTTGGGAATGATGGAGTTGCGAGAGACAGAGGTCAGGCCGTGGCATTTCGGGCAGATGCTGACGCCGCCGGGAGCGGTGGTTGAGGATCCCGCGCCGGCTTGCTGACCGGATGATCCCTCGTTGCCGCGTTTGGCATTGCGCCGAGGCTGGTATCTGTAATCTGGGAAGCGTTCTAGATGAGATTTCTTCTCCTCCTGTAGAGATGAGTAAAAGAGAGGTGTTAGAAAGAGAGGTAGGTGGAGATCAGGACGAGGGTGTGGCAGGACGAGCTCAGGGGGGAAAAAATTCAGCGGAACATACATCACCGAGACGTTGCCAGACAGCTTTTTCGTCGGGGGAGAGATGACGCCATTGCTCGCCGATGATTTTGGAGATCTCGGGGTTGGTCTTGCCGGGGTGGTCGGCTACGACGGAGGCATGGTGGTGCTGACGGTAGAGGATGAACGCGTTACGAGGCCTGGGCACGCGGGCGACCTGGGGGCAGAGACAGATGGCGGACTGCTGCGGATGCTGGTGGGAGGAGGGAGAGGTTGATGCGGCGGCGGAGGAGGTTGATGCGGCGGCGGAGGAGGTGGAGGAGGAGGAGGCGGAGGAGGTGGAAGTCGCGGAAGCGGAGGAGGAAGTGAAGGGCGAGGAGGAGGAGGAGATCGAAGGCGGCGGGGAGCCGGAGATGACGGGGTTGAATGCGGAGGTGAGGGCGTGGACGGCGTGGGGAAGATGGTCGTCGTCGGAAGACGCGGCAGAGGGGGAATTGTCGGGGAGGAGTTGCATCTGGAGGAGTTAGAGGAAGGAGGCAGTGGGCGGTAGATGTGGAAGAGGTACCGGTGGCAGATGCTGCTGGGTGGCAGTGAGGGCCATGTGGGGGGGATGCAGATGAGATGAGAGGAGGGCGAGGAGGTGAGAGGAGAGGTGAGGGGAGGAGGAGAGGAGGAGGAGCGAAGAGAAGCAGCAACTAGAGCCAGACCAGAGAGGAAGAGAGGAAGAGAGAAAGCGAGGAAGAGGAAGTCGCGGATGAGTAAACAGAATCTGAGCCAAAGCCCGGCAAAGACGGCCGTCGGCCGCTTCCGCACAGTCGCACAATGGCGTATTATGTGTTATGCAGCCCGCCGGGGAACGAAGCGCCGACCGCCGAGTGTCGCAAACTAAAACTCCGAGCACGTGTTGACTGTGATTTCCGGGACGTGATCCGGGCGACGGCTGTCTGCAGTGCCGAGCGTGCCGGGAGCTGGGCGCACTTTGGCTTGGAGGCTGCTGGGAGGCTGCCGCTCAACCGCGCTTTTTTTGTTGCGTATTCTGACAGAACTGAGCAGAGTATTCTGTCTGCTATTCTCTACTACAACCATCTCTATTACACCCCCCCCCTCGTCAACCCCGACTTCGCGCTGTTCAGGTCTGGGCGTGGCCCCGCGTGCGCCGTCGCTAGTCACAGCTGCGTCGCTTTAGGTTTAGCCCTAACCCGAAGCGCTGCCGCTTTAGCCGTCAAAAGGTTAAACTGTAAGCCCTAAGTTGATTATCTAAGTGGTTGTGGATGTTGGTATTGTCTGAATCGATGAACGTATTGCATTTGTTGTATGTTGATATGTGTCGGGTATTCGTGGCATTGAGCAGAATATTAGAATCAGATAGCGACGTAATTGGTCAGTGCATCGGCAATATACTGAAGAGCTGATAATCGCATGGAACAACTGTGCGCGTTCTTCTCGGCACTGCCTCGGTGTCTTCTTTGCTGCTCCAGGTAAATCCCTCCCGTTCTATTCCTTTCCGCTGCGGAAGGAACCAGCTGTCGTTCACCGCCTTCTGTTTGTGATTGTTGGTCTGCGATGTCGTCATCGGTAGCGCGCATTGAGTCTGCGATGACTATTGCTGCTGATTTATGTGAATATTCTCACTTGCTGTCCCCTCATCCATATGTTTACATCAACTATTACATCGACTATTTACTTCAACTGGATCATAAAATATTTATTAATATTTCTTATTAATTTATCATACATAACCTCCGTCTTCTTGTTGCTGTTCATACTAGTCTTCACCCTCACTAGAACTAATTAATAATCACTAGTTACTCTCATCGCCATCTTCCCCTGCGGCTCATCATTATCAAACAATGAACAAAAATGAAAAAAATCTCAAATCCATCAACCTTCGTCCACCTCATATCCAAATGAACCTCTCTTCTAGATGACACACCTGCACGACCTCTCACCCTCCTCTTCTCTACTCTTCGGACTCGCCCTCGGCTTCCTCGCAACCACCGCATCATCCCACTTCCTCCTCCCTCTAATATCACATCCTCATGATCAACCACCCTCCTCCTCTTCCATCCCAGACATCAAGATCGGCGTCGAGGGTCTTATAGGCAACACCCCCCTCGTCAAAATCAAATCCCTCTCCGCCGCAACAGGATGCACCATCCTCGCCAAAGCTGAACTGCAAAACCCCGGCGGCAGCGCCAAAGACCGCGTCGCGCTCGCAATCGTCGAGCGCGCGGAGCAAGAGGGTCTCATTCGTCCGCACTCCGGAGACGTCGTCTACGAAGGCACCTCCGGCTCGACCGGCATCTCGCTCGCGATGATTTGCAGGGCGAAAGGGTACACCGCGCATATCTGCCTGCCGTCTGACACGTCGACCGAGAAAATCGATTTGCTCGAGCGATTGGGCGCCACGGTCGAAAAAGTCCCGCCCGCAGGCATCGTCGACAAGCGACAGTACGTCAACATGGCGCGCACGCGGGCCGCAGAGCGTAACGCACTGCCCGGCGGCGGCCGCGGTCTTTTCGCCGATCAGTTCGAAAATGAAGCAAACTGGCGCGCGCACTACGAGCACACCGGTCCCGAGATCTACAGCCAGACCGGCGGAGGCAAGCTCGACGTCTTCATCACCGGCGCAGGCACCGGCGGCACCATCTCCGGCGTCTCTCGGTTCCTAAAACCCCGCGTGCCGGGACTGACCGTCGTGCTGGCCGATCCGCCCGGAAGCGGACTGTTCAACAAAGTCAAGTACGGCGTCATGTTCGACGTCAAGGAGCGCGAGGGCACGCGGCGGCGGCATCAGGTCGACACCCTCGTCGAGGGCATCGGGATCAATCGCGTGACGCGCAACTTTGAGATCGGCAGACCGCTCGTCGACGACGCCGTCCGCGTCACGGACGAAGAAGCACTGGCTATGGCGCGCTATCTTGTCGAGCACGACGGTCTGTTTGTCGGAAGCTCGACGGCAGTGAACTGTGTCGCGGCCGCGAGGTACGCAAAGAAGATCGGCCCGGGTCATACGATCGTTACCGTCATCTGCGATTCTGGATCGCGGCATCTGTCAAAGTTCTGGAAAGCGGCAGGCGAGGTTTCGAGAGATCATGAACTCGAGCTAGATGAGATCTTGAACATGTCGAGATCATAATATTACAACAATTCACAATAGAGAAGAAAGAAAATTAACGCCGTAACAAATGCCTAGTCAACAAACCCATCTATCTACAAACACTTATATACATTCAAAGCAAAAGCTGCGATTACAACGATACCCCGCCGTCCCACACACCTTCTCACCCGCATTCCCATCCGCCACCGCAAAAGACGCGCGCCGCGGCGGTTGACTTGACAGATCAGGCTGCGTGCTCTGCTCACTCATGCTCTGCGACACAAAATTCGACTCGCTCTCGCTGTCGGGAATCTCGATCAGACTGTGGCGGTCTTTTGCGTGGACGGCGGCTGGTTTCTTGCGCGAGGAGTGGTGGGTACGCGGGTGGGATGGGGACTGTGCTTGTGGGGTGCGTGGGGTAGCCTTGTGTGACGATGGAGGGGGTAGCTTTTTTGCAGCTTTGCTTTCGGATCGAGGCAAGTCTGGAGGTGACGGGGTGGATCGCTGCGTCTCTGTTTTAGTCTTTGACTCTGTCTTTGAATCTGTCGTCGAGTCCGGAGACGACGGCCGGGAAAATGAAGGCGAGGACGACAGCTCTGGATGATGATCGTGCCAGATCGGATCGTACTCTGGATTCATCTCGTTCGGGATCGCCCACATGTCTTCTGTCTCTTGCGCTTTGTCGCTCGCGGGCTCATGCTTTAGTGGTTCGCTGTTGCTGAGTTGGTGAGGGGCGGGTGCAGTTGCGGACCAGGACTGCACCAATAGATCGAGATGACGAGCTTTTTCGAGTTCGTACTCGTCATCTTCATCGTTATCGTCCTCGTCATCTTCCTCTTCATCGTCTTCCTCTTCCTCTCCATCATCACCCTCAAGACCATCGTCATTGCTACTGCTCAACAGATCGATAGGATCCTCGCCCCTCCTGCCATCTGAAGCCTTTCCTCCAGAACCAGTGGCACTAGCAGACCCAGAATGCAGCGTCGACCACGCCTGCACGAGCAAATCCAGTTTCCGCATCTTCAGCTTCATCTCGCGCGCTCGCGCCGACTCCGGAGCTGTCGAGGATTTGCGAGAACCCTTGTGAACAGGGGATGAACTCAGCATGTCGATCTCGTCAGCTGATGAATCTCCTGTATATCTCTCCTCGTCGAGGCTCTCATCATCATCTTCACCATCATCAATCATATCTCCAAATCCATCGTCCACTTCCTCCTCCTCTTCCTCTCCCTCCTCCTCCTCCTCATCCATCTTCCCTCGAAAATACCCATGCCCAACCCCCCACTCAATCCCCCTCAAATGCCCTCGATCCTCCACAATCTCGCCCGTGAGCACGTCAACCACGTCGGTCTCGTGCGTCAGATCGCGGCCGTACTTGCGAAAAATGTCTTCCCATGCGTACTTCAGCTTATTCGATGCCTCCTTGCGCGCTTTTTCGAGATCAAAGTCCGCGATTCCGACGGGTTCGGTCGTGGATACTGCTGGTGCTGAGGAGCGCGGGTGTTTTGATTTCAGCGGGGGGATTTTTGTGTGGGTATCTTCTCGTTCGTCGGGTTCTGGACTATCTTCGCCCTCGCTGGAATCGTAGCCTTCTTCATACATACGCCCATTATCAAAATGTATAGGCGACGCAGATTTAACATCCGACTTCTTCCCTCGTCGCTCTGCTAGACTATCGTCGACGCTGCCGTCACTCGCAAGATCGTCTCCGTCCAGACTCCGCCGGCGCTTCTTCTTCGGATGATGATAATGCTCATGCATCAGTTCCGTCGTCGTTGTTTTTCGTGTTCAGCAAGCAGTCTAGATTATCGCCTTTTGTTTCTGTGAGTTGAATCCAGCGCGCTGCTGAGGCTTTTGCTTGTTTTTCTTTCACGTCATTCAAGACGCGTCGTTTTTTGTATTTCCTGATCTTTGTGAGATAGAAAATCAAAAAACAAAAACTCCACTGTATCCCGCCCCTGGTACGATCAAAAAAGCAACCGATGGACTTTTTGTATATGTTCAGAGGCGGTGATGTAGTTCTAGAGTCGTTGCTCTCTACGCGAACGCGACGCGACTGGACTACGTTCAGCTGTGACATAGACGAGGGTTTTGTAGCAATACTGTGTAAGCTCACTGGCGGACCTCACGGCAGCTCTCAGCTGGGGCAAGTCGAGGTATACAGAGTTCTGACTGCTTACTACTTTAGAGATGGCTATAAAGATGGGTGCAAAGAGTCCAAATAGGCCCTTTTACTACTCCTGACTATCAATTGCCTTGCTGGGAGAGCAAAGACGAGTTGATGGGTGCACCTAAAATTGGCTTTGGCTCGGGCACCTGCTAAACAGGCAGCCAGGTCAGCCAGTTGGCCAGGCCGCCAGCGGTGGGTCTGATGCGCCGCCGCCACGGGTTTTGCGTTTTTATAGATGGACCTGCCGTGCGCGCAGCCGTGGACGACGCGTCGCTAGCGGAGGAGGGGAGAGTAGGTAGGGCAGGCAGGCAAGGGGGGAGTCTATGGGGTGAAATGAAAAGTGATATCAACTGCTGTTGGAGACGAGGTGCTGTGCTATCAACCTATTTTTGAAGATGGAAATGACAGCAAAGCAGCGCTCGCTTTATGACCTCGCTATAGTGAGCAATATTTGATAAATATAAATAATATCCTGAGTGATCTCGTTTGAGTATTTAGCAAAAAACAAGTACGTTGAGGTCGGGTCGTTTGATTTAATTGAGTTCTGGTGGTTTCTGATTTGCTGTTCGCTTTGGGATCTTGGAGATATTGAGTGGATATTTATGGAACCCCTGCAGAACTGGTAGCAGATTAGCTTATCGCGGTGACGGTCTTTCAGTGAGGAGATCGACTGGATTGCGTACTGTTCACTGTTCACTGTTCACTGTTTAGTGCTCGCTGTACGCAGATCAGGAAGCGGTGTATACCTTCCCCTTTGACGACCAACGACCAACACGAACAAGACGACTCACTTCAGATCTACGAGATAGACTCTGTCATAAACAGCAAAGCAAACCCGACCGCCACCGAGCAGAGATTAAAAGGGGTCTACGACGAGGTCTGCCAGCAATCAAACAAAGCAAGGGGCTGGGCTGCTCTGCTAGCGTCTGCCTCTCTCTCGTTCGTCTCATCCCTCGCTGCCGGCTCCGTACCTGCGCCAATTACCTGTTTCGACGGGGGTGGTCTCTGTATCAGATGCAAAGTGCTTTAGTGTAGCAGTCATAAGCCCAGCCAGGAATAAGACACGCGGTCGCTTGTCCTCGCTCTTCCTGGCCCCTTGCCTCGCTTGCTTTGCTCTCCTCCACACCCAGCCTCCTCCGCTCTCGTCTCTGCTGCCGCAGGTACCTTCTTCGCTTGCCCCGAACGTTGACCCAGAGACCGCAATATATTCCTGCTACCAACTCCATTCTACCTCTTAATAAACTTGAAAATACTTCATTAAGACAATCAACCAATGCTCATGGCCGCAGTTGCTTCTACTCCACACTCTGCGATTACATAACCAGCCGTGGGGCTCACTCGTCCAAGCGAGTCCAGTTCCTCACAAACTGAACCGTAGCGTCGACCGATCTGCAACCCCACCAACCTCCACACCCGCTGCCTCGAGCAGATCGAGCAGACCAGCAAGCGGGCGCACTTACACCAGATGTCCGACGAAATGGCGCTTTTCATGTCGACCCTGGTAATCACAAACCCAGACATCTACATCCCCGTCGCAGACACCTACCGCACCGTCCTCGCGCGCTCGCTGCACGCGACCTGGCCCACCGGCCGCCTCGACATCTTCGTCGCGCGCCCGCCCGAGCGCTTCCGCGACGCGCACTACGTTGTCACGCAGCTGTATCTGCTTGCTACCGAGCTTGCGAAGGCGGAGGGCCGCGAGGGCGTCGAGGTCCGTGTTCTGTTGCAGGGCGTGGGTGGGTTTGATATCGGTAGCGAGAGGAATCGGAGTTGGGAGGTCGTTACTCTGGGAAAAGCCGGTGCGTCGTTGCGTTTGTTAGTATACTGCACATGAGTTTGAACTAATTGCCTCGATATGTGAGTCTAGACTCGGAACTGCTACCGATATTCATTGCCGAGCGGCAATCATCGCCGTACCCTCCTGCGCTTCAAGTTCTCGTGCTTCCGATGCAGGACGAGTCTTTAGATACTCAACCCGGATCCGAAGGCGATGGGGAACAACCGCGTATTGGCGAAGCAGGCATGGTGCGGAGTGAAGAGGAAGACGAAGAAGAAGAGGACGCAGAGGATGAAGGGCGGGACGGATCATATGCTGTCGTTGCGCGTACGTTGATCTGATGTAGTTCTTACTGCTGACTTTCTATAGTTGAACATGCTAATTCTTCTTACTACAGTCGGGGGAACTTTCGACCATCTCCACGACGGACACCGGATTCTACTAACAATGGCGGGCTTTCTTGCGTCGGAAAAACTGATAGTAGGCGTGACGGGCCCGGCGCTGCTGAAAAACAAAAAATACAAGGAAGAAATGGAATCGCTCGAGGACCGGTGCGCGCACGTGCTTGAGTTCCTGGCATACGTCTACCCCGGCATCAAATCGACCACGCACGAGATCAACGACATCTACGGCGACGCGGTGAATATCGAGGCGATTGACGCGCTCGTGGTGAGCGCCGAGACGCGCTCGGGCGGGGTCGCGGTCAATAAGGAGAGACGGAGGCGGGGCATGCATCCGCTCAAGGTGTGGGAGATTGGCGTCGTGAATGGAGATCAGGAGAATGCGTGGGCGGGAAAGTTGAGCAGTACCGATATTCGGAGGCGGATAGCGGAAAGCAGGCAGGCTCAGGCAGCTGCAGAGTCGGAGGGGCGGTAACCAGTAATTATCAAATTATACTCTGAGCTGGTTTACAAAGGTACTTGGGAAAGAATGCGTGGACCCGTGCAAGTTTAATGAGCAGGTTTTATGAGCCAGAATTCCATGAGAACTACGTAGATGGACGATTGCGCTGGTTGTGGAGGTCAAAATGTGAAAGGAACAGAATAACGGTCCATAACCAGAAGCAAGAAAACAAATCAGACAATGGGCGATGTGATACTGTTCATGCCTTCATTACCCATTAGGCGACATGCCCGACACATCCGTCTATCTCTGCATTTGTCTGCAGTTGTCGGGCAGCCCACCGTGAACCACCATGGTGGAGCTGGGGGAAGTAAACCGAATTAGCTTTGATTGGACTGGCTCGATCGAGACGAGCGAGGAGCCGAAAACACAAATCGATAATAAAATAACGGTTTTGTTCTCTGCGTATTCGCAGCCCTGTCCACGGTGCTGGTACGTCTTGGTGGGGACAGCTTTCGAGCTAAACTACGAGCTGACCTGGATCGGCGGGCGGCAGGTGGTACTTTGGGGGGAAGCATGCACAACTTGAGGAAGCGAGGAGTTTTTTCTGGTCTCGGATATGAACAGCAGGTAGTTGTTGTTTTCTACTTCCGTCAGTGTCTGATAACCTGGAGATAATCTGAGACGTTTGAGTCTGCTATCGCTCTGCTACAGAACGTGACTGCGAGCAGCGGTATCTGGGCGAGGAAGGACGAGTAGAGTAACCAGGAAGGTAGAATTACCACAACCACCCCAGCCAGCTCTTTCCGTTTCCCGCTCGAGCAGACAAACACGGCAGCACAAATTCCTCGGACGACAAGTCGAGGGTCGAGAGAGCGGCGGAGGTGATTGCTTGCCTGTCAACAAACAGAGCGGGAGGGTTCTGAACGAGGCCGATACAGCAATGAGATAACGTGCATGGCAGACTACATCTACATACCCCGAAGTGAAGCAGCAGGAATTCTAGAGCAAGAAGCCCAGATTAGAGAGAAATCAGTAAAGAGAGAGGTGAGACTGAATAATTGATGGCATTGCCGGGTGGATATCGAGATATCATGGATTATAGCATATATCAGTTGCTCGACGCGTAGATGTTTGTGTGGGGTCGCGAGGACGCGAGGCTCCGGACGCGAGCAGCACGCGTTGGTCTGCGACTACGATCTAGCATATGCTCTACGTCAGTCGATGTATGAGTACCCTGCAGGCGGTGAGCCGTGCATCGCCAGACCCCAGCGCAGCAACGGCGGCAGCAGCAGGAGCAGCGCAGCGCAGCAGCAGCAGAGCAGCAGAAGCAGCGCGACAAGGACGAATGGCAAACGAAATCCACAGCACGCAGCAGACACCGCACGGGCACGCGTCTGAGGGAGGATCACGTTCCGCACAAGCCTTCCGGCGCATGAGATAACGAGGGCCTGTCGCGGGGTGTCCGAAGAAGGGGAGATGAAAGAAGGCCGAGGAGGCAGACAAGGACAAGGTTGAGCGCGCCCCTGATCAGGAGTGGGTTTGAGTTTGAGGATAAGGTTTGAAAGCCGTTTGCAATGACGTAGGCTGAGATTGAGACGGGAAGAGGTGAGAGAGATGAGAGCAGTTAAGAAGAGAAAAGGAAGAAGAGAAGAAGTAGAAGAATAGAAGAATAAGAAGAACAAGAACAACATAAACCAGAAATATCATCTTCTTCTGAACCATCGCCAACTCAGCTGGACGAATACGGCAATCGGGCCGGGTCAGGGGTGCGAGCAAACGCTAGCGGCACGGGTCCAGCTGAGAGTACCAGCAGGCACACGACCTACGCGGGTCAGACAACCCCCTTTGGAGACATCACCGCCGTTCGCTTTTCCTCCTTCTGCTTCCTGGTGCCGGCTTCTTCTCTGAACCCCTTCCTTCTCCGTCTCTTCCTCACCGCTCCTTCTCCTCCTCCTCCTCTGCAAACCACCGCGCATCCCTCGGTGTTCCCGCATGTCTCTCTTCTAATCGCCCTGCGAAAGCCGCTCCCGCCTTACCTGGTCTGGCGCGCGCGCGTTAGGTGTGTGCTTGTTCTCTCTGCCATCGTCCGTCCCCGTCCGTCCTTCTCTAACCCGCCCGCCTTCCTGATCTCTGCAGCACCTACTCCTCTGCCCGTCCCTCTTATCATGTCCACCACCGTCACCTCCATCACCATGACGACCCCGGCATTTGTCTTCCCCCTGCACCACTCGCTCTCGCCGAAAGAGTCGTCGCCTGCCCTTCCGCGCGCGTTCCCTCCCTCCACCACCACCACCACTAACACCAGCACCGGCCACGCCCGGCACACCTCCGTCGCCTCTCTATCCGCCTCCGCCCCGACTACCGTCTTTCCTCCTCCGACGCAGCGACCGGCTCTGCAACACCCCAACCCCCAGCACCTCGAGCAGAATCGCCTGTCGCTCCCACCTTCCTCCTCCTCCTCCATGCAGGCGTCCAAGCCCCGTAGTCCTGCGCGCAAGCACGCCCACCGGCGCTCGGCGGCCATCTCGCACGACTTCCTCGCCGACCTCCGTCTCGAGCAACAGAAGCAGCAGGTCGACGCCTCAGCCACGCCTCTTCCCCCGTCGCCCACGCCGTCGCGTGCCGAATCGCCATGCCGGTCGCCTTCGCTCTCGCTCGGCTCATCGTCGACTTCGCTCGCGTCGGTCTCGTCGGCGTCGACAACACCCCCCTCGCGGGCGAAAGTCATGTTTTCGCCCGCCATCGAGTTTATTCCCTCGCATTCTTGCACAACTTCGACATCCACCACTGCCACCATCACACCCTCGCAGCAGCAGCCTTCAGCGAACGAGTCACCCGAGTTGCTCGCGGCGAAGCCTTCCGCCGATGCCGAGATTACTCGTGTATCTCCACTCCCGGTTTCGCCTAGCAAACGTGCTTCAGTAGTCTCGACCACGAGCACGGCTTCTGCGCCGGCGGCGACGACGACGTACAAGAAAGGAAAGTCGTGGTCGTTCATCCGATTCCGGCGGAAGACAGACGGACTGAGTCTGTCGCCGCCGCCGACGGAGGAAGAAGACGAAGGGGAGGAAGACGAAGACGAGGAGGATGAAGATGAGGATCTACCGGTGCCGCGGCCGGCTACCCCTCCTCATGTGTCACACGCCCCGCGAGCGACGCATTACTTTACGCGGTCGGGCACGCCTGAGCCGGTGATTGACCTCGACGCGGCGCTGGGGCCGGCAGGCACGCCATCGCTGCTGTCAGGCACCTGGACGACTTCTTCGTTCCACCGAAGGACGGAGTCTGCGCCGGGAATGATCAACGGCACAAAGTCGGTTGATTTCCGAACGTTTTCGCAGTCGATGAGTCTTGCGCTCGACGGACCTCGACGCAGCAGCAGCAGCAGTAGCGGTATGAGTGCAGTCGGACGAGGCATGAAGCGGAAGATGTCTGCGGTTGCTGAGATTGCGGAAGAGCGGGACGAGTCTGCGATTGACTCTGAGGACAATAACAGCTCGTCTGATGAAGCTCAGGAGAACAGCAGCAGCACTGCAGAGAGTCAGTCCGTTGAGACGAAGGTCGAGCGTCGAAGTGTTTGGGAAGACTTTGTGAGTTCGTTTAATGCTGCCAGTCAAAACTACAACAGCAGCAGCGCGAGCTACAACAGCAGCAAGACATATGACAGTCAAAGATTAGGAGCAAAGCTCGAGTCGGTCGAGGGAAATGAGACGACGGTTGATACCCGCGACGATGTACTTATTGTTGATGAATTTGGCGAGGCTATTGTGCTTGGAGAACCCGGTCCCGAGATTCGACATTCGGTGATTGATAGCGGCGCGAACTCGCTGCACAACTCAGGATCTACGTCTACGCTTTCGGAGCAGGATATGCTGTCGGTCTCAGCCCCGGCTACAGAGTCGCCGACAAAACGACAGGAGAGTGAGCGAGGCGGATGGCATTTTCGGAAGAGGTCGCACGATCGGCGGAAAAGTCTAGTTGTCGGGTTGAAGAACGCGATGATGAAGAGCCAGTCGGTCGGCAATCTTCTGCACAACAATAGTACGGTGAACCTGTCAGCCGGAAGCCGCGAAGAGGTGCGCAACAACAGCAGCAACACAGCAGCAGCAGCTACGTCGCCCTCGAAGAGCAACAAACTGCACCGCCGGCGGCCGAGCAAGCAGGACGCGGCGATGTACTGGCAGCAGCAGCAACAGCAACTACAGCGACAGACCAAGTCGATTGGCGGCAGCCAGCAAGGATGGCGAAGCCATGGAGATCTGCCGGTTGCAAACACGGAGCCGATCGTGGGGACACGGCGGCACGCGAAGCACGCGTCGGTTACGACTACGACGAGCAGCACGCTGCGGGCGGGGACGATGAAGAATTTGAGTAATGGAAAGTCGAAGAACGTCGCCGGGCGGATGTGGGACTGGGTTCGGGGGATAATTGCAGTATGAAAGGTTTATTAGTTTTGGAAGAGTTGTAAGAAAGGAGAAAGTGTTTATTGTGACCGTGACCATTGATTGCAGCATGGTGTTTATTTCTATTCATTTTCTATTTTTGGTTCTCAAACAGGTGTACTATGTATGGGTTTATTAATTACTTTGTTCACAAAGTGTACGATTTGTCTTGATTATTTTGCTGTTTTATATTTCGGTGAATCTAAAGCTACTGATTGCATGCGATAACACGGGACGAAGAGATAAGTCGAAAGAAGAAAGAGCGTAGAAGGCCGGTGAACTAAGTTAGATGAGGAAAAGAAAGCCTTCCTGATTGGGAAGAATAACAACAAACGAAGCAAGGGATGGCCGGTTGGGACTCCGCTGGCGTTGGCAGCTGTGATATCATATTTGGCGTCGTTAACTGCCTGGTGACTTTTAATACAGATGAAAGATAGTAAATTACTCGTAGGAATCCCAGACAGCAACTACAATCAGCATAAACACAATAAGAACCAACGAGCAGCAGAACAGCTACATGGACAATATGAACTGAGTGAAGGCCCGGGAACTGGCGGACGCGCGGTGACGGCGTCGACGGTTGAGTTTTCGCTTGACGAGATTCGACTTCGAATAAACCGGTCGCGTTTCAGTTTTCCCAGTTTCTGGTCTTTAATCTCGCTTCTTTTGGTGTTTACAACCTTCTCTGATGATCGCTCTGATAATCAGAGGTGAGACCCACTCCGGTGATGATCCCGAGGACGAGACAAAGACCACGACGGAGGTTGGCCGTATTTTTATTTTTATTTTTATCTTGTTTGTTTATCCGGACCAGACTGGGTTTCCTCTCAAATTGCGCTGCGGATTCTTTGGGTCACGCGCCCTAACCCAAAATACGCCTTCTCTTCTGCTGACCCGGGCCCGCGTCTCGTGCGGCTCTGTCACCTGACTAATGCACGTGACTATAAGTGTATCACGTGATGACTTATAGGAATAGCACATTTTGCACTCTGCTCTTTGGATCTCGCTCACCGTCGTTTACTCGCTCGAAGAACCCACCCTCGTTCACCTGCAATGCCGCTGCTTTGATCGCCTACTCCCGTTGTAATATAGTTCCGTAAGTCTTTCTTTTTTCTGTTCTGCTGGTACTGAATCATTGGATTGCGTGGGGTGCTTTGTGTGTGCTCCGACTCATGTTCTTGGATCTCAAAAGAGATGTGCAATTGTTTGATAGCTGCTTCTTCTTGTTTTGATATCATCATCACTGTACTCTTGTTCTTTTTTTTGTAACCTCACTACTCTCTCTGTTTTTGTTTCTTGTTTGTCGATTGTATCTATCCCTAGATCTATCTGCCGTCCGAATAAAGCCTTCCTCTCATTCTCTTCCATCCACAAACCTGCATTACACCTTTCTAATCAACTTCTATGCTACAGATCCAACTTCAACCTCAGCATCTAAAAGATGCAGGTCTACCGCGACATCACGCAGCCGACCGCCATCACCCACTGCGTCTCCGCAAACCTCATCAGCCCCGATCAGCCCAACCTCGTCGTCGTCAAGGGCTCCTCTCTTCTCCAGATATTCACATTCGTCTCCCACGAATCCCAGTCCTCCTCCACTGTCATTGACGACGATGACGATGCCGCTCCATCCACCCGCGACCATTCGTCCGCTGCCTCGGCATCTGCAAACGGTCAGCAATCCGCAGCCGCCGATGGCGACCAGCAGGATCAGACAGACGACAACTTCCTGGCCGACATTGGCCTAGAACAGAGCCTGACGACATACCACACAAAACTTGTCCTTGTAGCAGAGTACGCGCTCAGCGGATTTGTCACCGGCATCGTGCGCGTTCGCACCGCAGCCGACCCGCGACTCGACTACGTCCTACTCTCCTTTGCGTCCGCAAAGATGTCGCTCCTGTCCTGGGACCACGCGCGCCACACAATCGCAACCGTGTCTCTGCATTATTATGAAAATCAGTCGGGGGTCTTCAGCGCTACGTTCAACACCGACGTCGCCGACTCGGCCGCGCTTCTTCGCGCTGATCCGGGAAACTTCTGCGCCTGCTTCAAGTTTGGTAGCGATATGTTTGCTTTCCTGCCTTTCCGAAAAGAAGACGACGATCTCGAGCTTTTCACCGGCGCCGGCGTGGGGAGCAGTGGCAAAAACGGAGAAATCTCGCGTGTCTTTTACCCGTCTTTTGTTGTACCGGCTTCAATGCTCAGCGACGACATTGAAAATGTTATTGACGCCGTATTTCTGTACGAATACCGTGAACCAACGCTCGCGATTCTCTACCAGCCAAAACGCACATGGACCGGTCTCATCCACGAAACCAAAGACACCACCGCGCTCATCGTCGTCGCGCTCGATCTCCAGCAGCGCGCGTCAACAGCTATCCTCAGCATCTCAAAACTGCCCTACGATCTCGTCTCTGCGACCGCCCTCCCGGCGCCAATCGGCGGCACCCTCCTTCTTGGCGCGAACGAGATCGTGCACGTCGACCCTGCCGGACGCGCTGTCAGCATTGCCGTCAACCCGTTCGCGGCTCAGACCTCCGAATTCGACTTTATCGATCAATCTGATCTCGAGCTTCGCCTTGAGGGTTCAAAGGCCGTGTATCTGCAGGACAATCTCGTTCTGCTCATTCTCGGCACAGGAGATCTCTGTCTGCTTCGATTCATGCTAGAAGGCCGCTCGGTCGAGAGGCTTGAGCTGCACAGGCTTGACTTGGCTGACAAGCTTGTCGGCGGTGCGGCGTCGTGTCTCGAGATATTCTGGCACAAGAAGCGGTTGTTTGTCGGCTGCGCTGCCGCTGACGGTGTATTACTCTCATGGCGCAAGTCTGGCGACACCCGCAGAGGAAGCAGTTCAGCTGCTGCAGAGGCGACTGAGGACGCGTCGTCTGCTCTTGAAGCAGAGGCGTCGAACGACAACAGTAATCTAGTCAAGTCAAAAGAATACGACGACGTTGAAGATGAAGATCTTTACGGCGAATCCTCGTCGTCGGGGGCAGCTAACAGTACCGCCGCCGCCGCTCTGGCTTCTCTCGACGAAGCTGCAGCCACCGACTCTGAGAGCCACAAGAAATTCTCCTTCCTGGTCCACGACCGCCTCGTGAACCACGGCCCCCTTCTCGACGTCGCGATCGGCTCAGTCGAAGTCCGCGGGAACGTAAGCCAGAACGCGGAAGTGAGTTCGAAACTCGAAGTCGTCGGCGCGCGCGGCGGGTTACCCCGCAGCGGAGGCCTCAGCGTGTTCCGGCGCTCGCTGACGCCGCGCGTGTCTGCGCGGTTCGCGTTCCCGGACTGCAAGGCGCTGTTCACGGTTAAGACCAAATCGCGCGATACGCTGACGAGCGGTGTTGACTCGGCGATTGGCGATCAGGTTGACAAGTACATGATCATCTCGCGCGCGGACGAGAGCGTCGTTTATGATATCAGTGAGCGGTTTGAGGAGGTTCGAGGCACAGAGTTCGATCCCCGAGGCGCGACACTTGGAGTCGGCTCGATCCTCGACGGCACGCGTATCGTCCAGCTTTGCGCGACGGAGATTAGAGTCTACGACTCGGATCTGAAGATGGTGCAGATGCTGCCTGTGTACATGCCGCCCGAGGACGAAGACGAGACGTCGGCGGACTGGTCTGCCTCTGGAGCCGACCCGGGACTTGTGGCGTACTCGTTTTCGCAGAATGCGGTGCTGCTGCTGCTTGACAATGGCGCTGCTAATTTGCTGATTGGTGGGGAGCAGAGCTTGGAGTTGAACGAGGAGCACAGATTTGAGCAGGGCATCGTAAGTTGATCCTTCTCTTTAGATTCTTCTGAAAAGATTCTAATCATTGGACGTAGGAGTTTTCCGCTGGATGCTTAGCTTCGGTGCCGAAATCGTTCCTTCCTGGGACTAAAGCTACAAAGTTTGAAGTCTCAAGGAAACGGAAACGGACAACTGATATTATCTACGGGACCAGCACCGCAGCAAACAACTCTGCGCGGGATGATGTGGATGATGATGAGGATAGTACTGTTGATGTTGCAATCATGGTCACTCGTCAGGGTGAACTACAGGTAAATCTGCTTTTTATTGCTTTTGTGAGCATTTATTAACTGAATAACAGATTTATCGCATTTCGGATTTGAAACTAATGTACAGCATCAAGAACTGCGATGTTCTTCCGCAGCTGATCGAACGCCCCCCGGAGTCCTCTGAACACCCATCATCGCGCCGCCCATCTATGGCCGGCAGGCGAAGATCGAGCATGGGAGTTACCGCTAGCGCTGCTAACGATCGCGTCAACAGCGCCAGTGGTAAAGAATATCATATCGTGGAGGTTCTGTACGCGTCACTCGGCGACTCTGTGATGAGACAAAATCATCTCTTCCTGCGCACAGCAGATGGCGACGTTGCGATATACGAGCCATTCGTTCCGCCGTCTGGAAGTGGCGGTTCATCTGCGTTGTCTGTCGGCGTGAGGTTTTTGAAAGTACAGAATATAAAGGTAGCCAGCTCGTCGCAGCCGCCCGCGAGCGAGGACGCTGAACAATCCGGCGATGCGGCAGCCGCTAGACGGAATCAACTACGAGTTTCAGTTCTCTTTCCGCTCGTCAATCAGAGCGGATATGACACGGTGTTCATCGCCGACGGCGTGACGCGCGACAACAATTCAGCGCCGGCCTCTAGCGGTGTCCCAGCAGGTCCTGATATTGTTCCGCCGACCGAGTCGCTCTTTGTCGTGAAGACGGCGAGGAGTCTGCCGAAGGCGATACCGTTTGCCGGAGGGCCTGGCGTGAAGTTTATCAATCCTTTCCACTCAATCACGGTAGATTATGGGTTTATTTACGTGTCGAGGAATGTGAGCTTACCCTGCAAATGACGTTGTTTTTTAGATCATCTGCTGACGAACTTGGGGTGTGATAGGATATGGTTCGAGTGTGCAAGCTCCAGGACGAGTACTCGCTAGACGGGGCATGGCCTGCGAAAAAGATCACGATGGACGAGGAGATACATGCGATTGCGTATCACTCAGACCAGAGGATGTACGTTGCGTCGGTTTCGAAGGAGACGCAGTTCAGCTCAAAAGAGCAAGAAGAGGAGCGGTTGGCTGAACTTGAAGGTATGCTAAGCTGCAATCTGATTCATGGAAACAATTAGGCTAACTCGATCTTATGTAGACGCCGACTTCCCGGCCTCTGTTGACCAAGGGTCGCTGAAACTGATATCGCCTAGATCTTGGATAACCGTCGACAGCTACGATTTCGCGCCCAACGAGACAGCGCTTGTCGTCCGCGCAGTCAATCTCCAGCTCTCGGAATCCTCGCGTGCAAGGCGAAAGTTCATCGCCGTCGGCACCGGCGTGTTCTACGGCGAGGACCAGCCCTCCAAAGGCTTTGTGTATATATTTGAGATCATCGAGGTTGTGCCCGAGCCCGGCAAGCCGGAACATAATCACAAGCTCAAGCTGATTGTGAAGGAGGACGTGCGCGGGGTCGTGAGTACGTTATGCGAGATCAATGGTCATTTGCTTTCGGCGCAGGGCCAGAAGGTCATGGTGCGCGCGCTCAGAGAGGATATGTCGTTTTTGCCGGTGGCGTTTATGGACATGAATATGTATGTGTCGGACGCGAAGAGCATCAAGAACATGATCCTACTGGGCGACATCATGAAGAGTGTTTGGTTCGTGGGCTTTTCCGAGGATCCGTATAAGATGCAGTTATTCGGCAAAGACCTGAGACATGTCGAGGTAGTTGCCTCGGACTTTGTCATCAGCGGCGACCTTTTACACTTTGTGATTGCGGACGCGAATCGTAAGATTCACATACTGCAGTACGATCCTGATGATCCGAGGTCGTTGTCCGGGCAGCGGTTGATCGCAAAGTCAGAGTTCTTCACCGGGCATAATATCGAGGCGTTCACGATCATCCCGCAAGCACAGCTGCCAATCTATCCGACGATTGCTCCGTCTACTACGATACCCCCCGCCTCTGCGGCTACGGCCAAGGGTGAGGCAGCAGATGGCTCGACCGAGAACGGAGAATCTGATCCCGCTTCAAACGATCTCCAGCCCACTCCCGCCCCACCAACTCCGCAGCAACCGCAGCAGCAACAAATGTGCCTAGGCGTAACACAGTCCGGAAACCTCGTCTCCGTCCACCCGGTCTCGGAGATGACCTACCGCCGCTTAGTCGTCGTCCAGCAGCAGATGGCCGAGAAATACGAGCACGTCGCGGGCCTCAACCCGCGCATGTACCGCTCTCTTTCCGCCAACGCCGAGCTCTCGGGCTCGGCCACCCGCGTCGTTCTCGACGGGAACCTGCTGCTGCGGTTTCCGCGGCTGCCGCTGAATCGGCAGATTGAGATCTCTGAGAGGGCGGGTAAAGGCGCGGAGGCGATGATTTGGAATCATCTGTTTGAGCTGGAGAAGTCGTTGAGCTATATGTAGTGCTAGAGAGTTGGGCGCGAAAATTGTTGAAGTGTAATGTATTTTTATGATGGGGGGTGTATATTGTGCAATAGAATGGTTATATTCATTTTTATACGTGTAGCTCGGTTGGTCTAAACCGTTTGATTTAGTTTATTGCTTGTGTGATCACTCTTCCATTGTATAAACAAAAAGAAAACATTAGCTGACAAGTAAATACAGAACGCCAAATGCACTAAACAAAAAACTTTTGAAAGAAAAGAGAAAGAAGGAAAAAAAATAAAAAGTCAAAATAAAGAAACCAGGTTGTCATCTTTCGGTAGGTGGTACCATATCTATTTGTTGTGAATTCTTTTCTGCGTGTTCGTATGCTCGAAACGAGACCGGGTCCATGGCATGTTCATAGGCAAGTGTGTGGCACGGACAAGCATTCTCAGCATGTCAAAGGCGAGAGGGAAATCGAAAAGACAATGTCCAACAGGCGGCGAACCGGATAATCATAAGCACACAAATGGATAAACGAAAACAGCAAAACGAATACATATAGTACAGTGATAAACCGCCCCTCGTCCCAGATAAATCATGAACACGACCACGTGAGCACACTCTAGTTCTTGCTCTTTGCTTTGCTGCGTCTTTTGGCGGGAACCTTGACCAGGACCTCTTCCTTCTGCTCGACCTCGACGTCCTCGTCGACCGACATCTGGGCCTCGTCCTCCTCAGCGTCGACAAAGACTTCCTCGTCCTCCTCGGCAGCGACGGTGCGCGTTCGGGGGATAAGACCGCCCTGCTTGAGCAACTCCTCGTTCTCGGCCACAAGCTTGCGATCCTCCTCGCGCTGCCGGGCCTTGTTGTCGCGCATACGGTTCTTGTAGAACGCGCGCTCGCGCTTGGCTCTGATCTCTGACACGCGCTGCATCGCCGTGAGCGTGACCGACACCAGCTCGCGGTTGTATCGCACGGGCACGTTGCGGCGGGCGGCGAAGGTGAGCGTCGAGTCGACGACCATCTCCTTGCCGGCCGACTTGCGGAACGCCTTTGTCCATTTCAGCTTTCGCGGGTTGCGCTTCATCTTGAAGTTCTTGTGGCATTTTGAACGGCTAGAGTGAGAAGAGGTTTCGTTAGGTTCGCTGTTCGGGCGCCGGGGGGGTTTGCAAAAAGTGGTCGCAGGTTGGCGATGGTAGATTGCGTAAAGCAAGAAAAGGACATACCAGAATCTGAATTCTTTCGCATCGTTACGGACAAACATGATACCATGACCGGGCTATATCCATCCCAAGATCGTTAGCAAAACTTGATCTCTCCTCTCCGTAAAGATAAAAGACAGAAGAACACATACGTATACCGGCGAGGAGCAAAAGCTGCAATTGTAAACTCTCATGGCTGCAACTCTTTTCTAATTCTAAAACAACAGAAAAGAAAAAGACACGAATGAAGTATAGGAACTACCTTTTCTTCAAAATTTGTATCAGGAGGGAAAAAATTTGGGAGGTCAGCGAAGGGAAAAACCTAATAAAAAAAATACTCGTTACGCCCAACATGAACCCGTACCCATATGTCCCAACCGGCTCTTCTGACCACGTGATTTACAAGAATTGCCAGGGTTGGCAGTGAAGTCCGAAAGCGGGAATTTTGAGGGGGAACTCGCAAAACAAGGTTTGAGGTTATCATCTGGCTTTCTGGCGCATCGTCAATCATCGTCATTCTCAGCAGAGCTGTACTCTATACCCGGTTTATTCTTGTGTTGCGTTATTACTCCGCGATATCTTGATTTGCGAGTTGCAGTATACGTTTGGAGCTTACGGGAGACACTGATAAGAGACAAAGGAACGAAGCGGAATTTAGCGTCTGTGTTGCGAAACAAAACGAAAACAGATCCGCTAGAGAAATCTCTCGAGAGCACAGTTTCAAGTTCTCGACCACCACGCTGATTTTTTGCGGTGAAGAAACAGCAAGAAAACAGCGGTTGACCAATTTTTAAGAAGTGCTTGTTGGATATAGCAAGTGAAATAATCAAACATAATGTCTGCGGTGCGAACAGCGTTTGTTTGGATTGCCTTTGGCGTGGTGTGCGGTATTCTCGCACTGATATCCATCCTCTTTGTATGTTTATGTTACTTATTTTCGAGGAGTGCATGATGATGCAGGAGAGGAGTCTATATACTGACCTTTTATGAATCCGATAGACGAGACTTTATACCAAGAGATACGAACGTGATGCGTTTGTTACCATCGTCTCCATCTTCTCAATGTCGGTAGTCTTGGCCACGGCCTGCTTGCTACCTGTCGACATTGCGATCGTGAGCCAGACGACGACCGACGTGGCGCAGCAACTCACGAGATCTGAGACCGCCGTCAAAGTTGTTTACTATCTGCTCTACTCCATGGACGCGTTCCTTATCCTGCTGCTGATTCCGTTTACGTATTTCTGGTTTGAGGAATGGGACGAGGAGTCGACCACTGGCGGTCGCATTCGTGGAGCGCTCAAGTTTTCAATTATCTTTATTGTCATTGCAATCACGCTTTTGATTCTTGGACTCTTTATTCCTTATGGACGCGGAGTTCGTGACAACGAGTACTACTTCATCTACTTCCAGCAGTTGCTGATGGAGAACCGTAAGTAGCCACTAATTTTCTACTTGAATAGCAAGATAACTGACACAACATCTAGGTGGTGAACGCGCCTTGACGTTCATCATCGGAGTCCTTCTCTGCTTGGGCATAATCGTGTACGTCATCTACACTGCCATCGGCTTTGCAGTCCTTCCGATCCTCTGCATGAAGTACCGACCCAGCCTGTCCGTCGCCGAACTCGACGACACCCGAGTCGCCTTACAGCTCAACCGTGAGAAGCAGCGCATGATCGAGGCCCGCTACGAAGGCACGCGAATCCAGTGGAGCACGCGCGACAAGCGTGCGTACGAGGTTCTGCAGCGCGAGGAGAAGACTTTGATTCGCAAAGTGCGCGTCAACGCGGGTAACCCGAAATGGTATAAGCCGCGATGGCTGGTTAGGAGCTTTAGATTTGTTGCGCGGCCGGTTGTGATGATTATCGGTTTCTTCCTGATGATTATCGCGCTTTTAATTGTTGCCTCGATCTTGATTTCCATGTAAGTTGAAGATATATTTTTCAAAGAGATGGAACGGTTTGCTGATTAGTGAATAGGGTGGATCACATCAAGAATACCCCTTGCGGACGCCATTGCGGATTTTTGCTCCCGGCGACTAACATCATCAATCCGATCAATGAGTTCCTTCGAATCGCCTCTAGAGTATGTGCACTACATGATATTGATATCTGGCAGGCAGTTTCTAGAATTTCATACTAACTGGTTCAAATAGGGATTCCCGGCTGACTATATCGTCACTTTGTTCATCATCGTCTGGCTCTTCATCTCAACTGTGATCGGACTCTCGTACTTCAGCATCCGACTGGTCTGGTTCGTGCTGTTCCGTATCCAGCGCGGAAAGACTGATCCCCAGGGCTTGCTTCTCGGCACTGCGATGATCATGGTTGCCGTTCTGGCAATCAACTACTCATTCACGATGGTGATTGCGCCGGACTACGCCAGATACGGCAGCCAGCAGTTTTGCAACTACGTGGTCGACGGTCTCTACGGAATGGCGGGAATGTGCGAAGACCACCCGGAGGAGCTTGTGTCCTGCGCCGAAGCAAGCCGGATGCTCTTCACGACCGAGTTCCCGGCCTTTGACCCGGGATATATTCTCGAGCCCGACGCGACCAGCCTCGTGACTGCGAACTACACCGTCTACTTCAACAGTGTGTGCCGCCAGACCCTAGTGTCGACGTTCATCGATCGGATAAGCGTGAATTTCCCATGGTTCGGTCTGTGGAGTTTCTGGGGCCAATTCGGCTTCGTCGGCATCTTCTTGATCGCCATTGTCGTCGCAATCATCCGCAAGCCGTCATGGGATACCTACGACGCCGACGACGACGACGACCCGTTCGCGCCCGAGGAGGAGCAGGGTCTGCTCAGTCGCACGGCCGCGAAGTGGTCGAACCGCGTCAACACGACCTGGGACGATCTGCGGACGCGGGCGCGGCTCGCGGATCAGGCGGCGCAGGTGTATCGCGCGGTTTCGTAAATATGGGGATGTGAGATGTGTGTGTGTGTGTGGCCGGACCGACGCGGGAAGATGTGCTTGGCTTTTGATCACTCGAGCGATCAGTGATCAGAGTGTGTGTGCTTTTTATACAATCAGTCACTCTTTTTTTCTTGTTGTTATGCTGCTTTGAGTGTTTGGATACAGACATCCTTTGATTCACCTTGCTTCTGTTTTTCTTTCATTTTCACTTGTCTTTTTTTTTGGGCGCACACTTGGTTTTTCTTTTTATTATTTATATGGTTTATCGCTGATGACGGGTCGCTTTTTTCACAAACGAAAGGACGGGAGAAGAGAGGAAGTCACACCTTTGGGTTATATATCACCAGAAAAGGCAGTGAGGATTTTGTTGCAGGATGGGAGTGTCTGTGAATATATACCAAGTGAGGGAGGGAATGTTTTTTTTCTTTATCTATCTAGTCAGGTTTTTAGATTAGTTTCAACTCGATTTTCGATATCTCATTAGTAGGTCCAGTCGGACAGTCGTAGCTCAGAAAAGACCATTCTCTGCCCAAGCAAGCGCCGTCGAAGCACGAGTACATGCATTAGTCATCTGTCTTTCCCTTTGTATGAAAAGGCGAGGCGGAGGGACCGGCGTCGAGTGGTTTGGTAGCGGACGCAGGTGCCAGACAATTTCGTTAGCCGGGAAAGGTGATAGTTCTTGGCTGGTACGGAAGGAAAAAGTACATGCGCGCCTTCTGCATAATCACAGCGGCACGCACACATACAGGTTCGCTCACTGGTTTAGTTGGGCGAATGATGTGCTGGAATGGTGAGGTTTAGTTTATTTAAAAGAAAAAACGACGAGCTGGGGGTACGCTGAAAATATCCCGAGCAATGTCTTGGAGAAGAGTATTGACCTGTGGAAGTGAGCTGGACGGTAGTGCGGAAACAGACCGCAGAGGCAGGGTACCTCTGCTCTCACCCCGGCAACGCGGCCGCTTTCGGAGGTAGGAGTTTAGCCAGACTTTTGATGATTCGGAGGAGCTCTGATCCAGTTGCCAGGTTTAGATATTTGGGACTAAAAGGAAAAACACTGAGCCGTCAATAGCCAGGGACGACGACGTGCGAAGTCATTCTCGAAGCCAAAGAAGATCAGAGTGAGAGAGGGAGTTGGTCTGGTTTTACACTAGGACCGAGTCGACTCGTTCAATATTTCTGACTTGTCTACGGACTTGTAAAACTCGGTATGACTGACGCACACGGCTTGCTAGCTTGCTGCCCGAGGGGCAACTCTGGGAAGCCTAGATTCATAAACCACCAGCGGAAGCAGTAGCAAGAGCAAGCGCAAGCAAGCACCGACCGGACAAAGAATTGGCTTTTGTATCGGGGCCTAGCGCGGCCTCCAACACGGACATCCCGTCCCTGAGACCGGGGCCATCTTCCGATATCGCTCTCGCGAGCAGTACGGACTGCGTCACTTTAGTGGTCAGCCGCGCGTGCACCCCTCGATGTCTGGGGGGACGATAGCCCAGCCTGACGCCCGGGCCGCTCTCGGCTGGCGTTCGACTCTCGATGCCCGCCAGCGATGAATCTCTTGCCTGCCAGTCGGGTTTTAAGTAGATCTCGTATCAGACTGGGGTGTTGTAGCAGAAGTAGCGGAGAGGAGAGAGGGGAGCAGAGAGGTTAGTTTGCAGCTGCGTCGACGGTTCGTACCGCGAGCTACTGCAGGTTCGCCGGAAGCTAGTCTTCTCGGCAGGTTAGCAGTCGCTGGTATTGTGTTTATTACCCATAGTTTATTCCTCGTCCATGGTTGCTTTTTCCTCTTGGGATCCCAAAGATATATAGGACACACGGTTCCCTGTCGGCCTGTCACTGACCTGTCTATACCAAGTCATATCTTGCTTTTCACTCGCTCATCTTTCTTTTCTCACAAACGGTCCAGCTTGGCTTCTCTCTTGCCCGTACACGCTTTCATTGGAGTAGTATGGACCCGTCGAGACTGTTCTATTCGACCACCGCTGACTCGATCGACGCGGCTACACCACGAACTATGCCTACATCGCTGGACGCGAATCTACGCGAGTACTACAGGAGCATTGCCTCCAGTGCGACTCCACTGTCGCTCACGCCCGTCGCCGGCCAGCGGCATTCCTCGATCCAGCCGCCGTACGAGCCGCCGCGGTTATGGAGCTATACATACTCGTGCTCCTGCGGCAGCTTTCACCCCGTCGAGGCGTGCACGTCGCTGGGGATACACCGCAACGGTGGTTTTAGATCGCCGGCGAGTAGGTTGCAGCGGCGGCGGCCGAATCATGCAGAGGACGAGGGTTATGTGTCTGAGAAGGACCGCTGAGATCGGTTGATGTACGAGTGTTTATTATTTGCTTGTTGGGTTTTATGTGTGGAGTTTACGGCCATTTGCTTTTGCTTTCTTTTCTTTGTTTTGTAAGTAGCTACTATGTATCATGAGAATGGTATTACGAATTATCAGCTCATCGACAGACAGAAAACGCACCAGCTGATCTCTTGTCTCATGATCGGACGGGGTAGGCAGTCAGTACAGTTCCGCTTGACTCACGATGACCAATTCTTATCAATAATTGTGCAAGCTTTTCTTCTCGCGTCTCCTCGCTCGCTCGCTCGCTCCGCTCGCTCTCTCCACAATCTTGGAACCCACCTCCTGGCGCCGCGCCGCCCACCCCTCGGAAACCCGATGCCGACGCAGACCAGATAAGGAAGAGTCTGGCTGCTAGTGCTTGCTAGTGTGAGAGTCTAATATTACAGACAAGGTAGAGAGACCGGGAGGCTAAGAGCCGTTTTCTTGTTTTCCCCATACGCAAGCAAGACCAACGCCGCGACCTAATTTATGTTTGCTTTCGCTTGTTTGCTCGGTTAGCATACGAGCTCTTTCTGCTTTTCTGCAGCAGCGCCCAAGCTGTCTGTTGTCTGAAGCAGGAATTCTGAAGCAAAAAGAATAGAAGCGCAAGAGGAGAAGAAACTGCAGCAGCACGTAATTTGGTACTTGACAGCTGCTGCTGCTGCTGTACCTTTGCTTTTTTCGCAGGCAGCGCAGGAGAGAAAAGAGAGCGCGAGTTTAGGCTTCCGCTCCTGGTCGCCTTTTCTGGTAGCGCGAAAACTCTATTTCGCATTGTTACTGTTGTTTACGGTTTTGCCGCGCTTTGGGCTCTGAGCCGCACTTTAATACCTACCAGAAATCACCGACGCCCGTTTTTTCCTTTTTGCCTAGAATTGTTTTCGTTAGATTGTTACTTTGTCTTTGGTTTACGGGCTTCTATTGGTGGTGGTCAGAGTAGATTGGGTTTTCTGCTTTCTAGAGCGATGTCTGATGTGTTGGGATAGACCAGCAGCATGCTGGAGGGACTCGAGAAAATCTCAGTCGCGCTAAAATCTCCGCTGCAAGAAATAGCAGGAAAAAGATCTGTCCTGAGATATGTGGAGGTAGCAGTCAGCCCATTTGCAGCGCGAGGCAATGCAGAGGCTTGGGCAGCTTGAGTGTGCTGTTTTGGGGTGTTTGTGTTTCTGCGCGACTGCCCTCGCTCGATTAGGTCTATGGTTCGGATTACTTATATTATTCATAAAGGTAGCCAAAACAGCTATAACGTAGAGACAGGAAAAAGTAGAAAGAAGAGGAAGAAACAGGAAGAATGTACAAATGCTCTTTCGAGAAACCAAACAAGATTCGCAGAGGTTATGACAACGTCCCCATTGGCCCTTGCTTACTCGACCCCTCTTCAGTCCAGAAACCTATTCGGGCGAACTCAGCATGCATCACCGAAGAATAACAATCCTCTGTATAGGCATATTCAGTCATGACGTTTATTATAATACAAGTAATACACCGCGCAGCATTCATCAATCGCCCGCTCTTCTCGACCTCTTCCGCTTCCTCTCGCCAGCTCCTTCGCCATCACTACTTTGGTCGCCGTCATCCTCCGCGGTCTGTTTCTGCAAATACGACTGCCACGCGGCCGAGTCCGGCCGGACAACTACATACTCTCCGTTCTCGTTCACTCGGACGTGGTCCCGCAGACCGTTGCCGCTGCCGCCGGCGCTGGATTCCATCGCTGAGATCTCGTCCTTGGACACGGTCTTCAGGAAGGATTTGGGGATACCGGTCGTTCGTTTCGCTCTCACGTTTTCGAACGTAGGGTCGTTGTTCGTCGGGCAATTGTAAATCCAGTGGCCTATTGACACATGTCTAGATCAGTAACCGGACGTACGACAGAAGTAAAGCTGTAGACATACCTTTCTGGAAACATCTATGGCAGATATATGTAGGAGGTGGAGGGTGATCAGGGGCAGGTCTCTGTGGCCGATTGCTATTATTTCCACGACCGTACACCGGTGTCGCTCTATAACCAAACAGTTAATACCAACCAAACACCCACACGCAACAAACTAGAAAAAGAGCAAACGTACGCAGCCATTCTATTCTGTGTATTCGCCCAATTCTCCGACTCAGCCGCCAACATCGCGCTGATATCATCATCTCCAGCAGACACAGGCCCAGTACCTTGCGCGATCGGCACAGTCGGCTGCGGTGGCAGCACCCGCTTGTTATACCCGCCGCCGCCGCCGCCGTCTGCTGCCCTTCGGCCGGACAAGGAGTTGCCGCTGACGACTGACATCGGTGGTGCTTTGGCGCTCGCGTAGCGGGCTGCTGTGCCGTGGCCTTGTTTCGAGGGTGCTTTTCGACGGACGATGACTGATGACGACCGAGGTAGGATCTCGGCGTCGTCTTCGTACTCTGTTTTTGACAGCAAGCTGGGTTAGCTAAACAGAAAGCAGACGGACGAAAAACTCCAGCCAAATCACAAACAAAAATCATAGAACTCAGCATACCATCGTTTGTATCAGCATTGTATACCGAAAGATCGAAATCAGTTCCGTCGCCCAGCTTGTTTGCAAGTATGATTTCTCTCTTGAGATCGAAAATTGAGATTCCAGTGCCGTCAAAGTTGATTCGCAAAGGCTCTCTTTGTGACCGGAACTGGTAGTATATCGAAGAAGACATGCTGTGCTATGTGCGGGAGATGTGTAGGTTGAATTCAGAGTGTGTGGTGGTGGGGTTCAGGTTATATGTATAGATCTGCCCGTTCTTCCGAGCTTCAACCGCGTAGAGATTCCTCTTTACAACACTTTTGATTGATTCAGTATTGTAATTGCATTCAAATTCTTGCTACAGTATGAAAAGTCGACTTCAAGAAACGCGGCAAGCAATGCCTCCCAACGGTATCAAGACGTGGCTATCAGATCAGGAGCGACTGCGACGCGCAGAAGAAGGGTAGAGGTGCGATGACTGACTGTCCTCGACGGTTTGCAAAGGGAATCGCGTCGTCTGATAATTCCCAGATTATCTTTCTGCAGATCACGTTATGGTATTGAGAACGACGCGCTCATGAGCTGACAATATCGAGATCTGAATGCTCTTTGTTTGCCATATGTTAATGAGCCCCCAGCCAGAGAGACATCTATAACATTAAACACTTAAGCCACAACTCTCAGCCCACTTTACAATCTAAACATGCGACTGTTATGCCGTCAAGAACCGAGAAAACTTCTTCGGGCACAAAGCTCCCACGAGGCTAATCCAAATCAGGCCTGCCAATTAATGAGATCTAATAAAACCAGCTCCGGGTAATTACCCAATCGGGAAAAGTAAATAGTGGGCCAGGCCTCGAAGTACCCGATTTTTGACTTGCCGAAGAACAAGTAGCTCAACTCTGTTCTTAAAAGTCCTCGGCCGGTCTTCACCTCTTCTTCTTTTTTTTCCTTCCGTACACATTCTTTGCTCCTTCGCTATAACACAAAAAGTAGATCATCGAGTCATTCTTTTCTCGTCTCTTCTTTTTATACATTCTTTTACCGTCGTTCGTTATCCAACCTAGTCTATCGTTCACACGACCACCTCTTTAGGTAAGCTACGGATAGCAGCTCTATGCAAAAATAAGAGCTTAGACTGACGAATTGGTACCTAGGTCTTTTAAAGCTATCGTTATTCTTGCGTTTTCATCAGTAAACATGCAGTTCACCTTCTTCACCGCCGCTCTTTTGGCCTTGGCCTCGATTGTCTCCGCTCAGGACTCGACTGTTACCGTCACCGACACTATTACCAACTATGGCGTCACCACCATGACCACATACTCCACCTACGTTCTTGCTTCGGGAGAGACCGTTCCTGCGTCTACTTCTACTACTTCCACTTCGTCCGAGGAGACCACCGAGGCTTCGTCGACCGAGACCTCGACCGAGACCTCGACTGACATTGAGACTGCTCCTACTACCACCTTGACCTCGACCATCTTGTCGACCGTCACGACCTCGTCCTGCACGACCACCTCTACGACTTCTTCTTCCTCGTCTTCGTCGTCGTATTCTTCTTCCTCTTCGTCTATCTTCTCCACTCCCTCGTCCTCCACGACCTCATCTTCGTCGTCGTCGTCGTCCTCCTCCTCCTCAATCTTCTCCGCTCCCACTTCGTCCGTGGCTCCTACCTCTTCGTCCGTGGTCCCTACCTCGTCCACCTCGACCTCATCCGTGGTCACCCCCTTCCCCATGACCAACTCCTCCACCATCTCGACCTCGACCATCTTCGTCTCGACCGTCACCGCCTTGAACTCCTCCACCCCCGTGACCTTCACCGGCGGCGCTCCCATGGCCCACAGCCACGCCTCGGGTCTCTTGGCCGCCCTCTTTGCCGGCGCTATCTTCATCGTCGCTTAAGTGGTTGAGTTTGATTCTATCATTCATGACTTTATGACCTGTGTTTTTATATGTGTATTTTTGTGTTGTTTGGATACGATATGACCACTACATGATGTGCTCAGTTGATGTTATATGATACTTTCTTCATGATCAGCCGAGTTGTATTTTACTGCACGTTATTCTATATACCCAATATTTGAGAAAAAGAAACCAAATAAATTTGAAGCTGTATTATATTCTAGACTCACTACAAATGCAACGCAAACGCATATATACCGGTGCCAAGCATGCGAGTATGATAGAACCATTGTAGATAGAATAGACGTAACTTATGACCAAATAAAGACATTAAACAGCACGCACGCACGCACAAAACACCGTATGTAGAAGAAAATCGTCAAGGAGGATCAAATGAGATCGTAAGGAATGAGTTCATATAATCGAAAGGAATGCAAACAAATGGTAAGAAATAAATGAGAAGAGAGATACCGGACCGTAGCAACAAACAAACATAAAAAAATGAGTGTGGAGGAGAAAGGAGAGTGAGAACGAAAAAGAAATAAAACAATAAATGTCGTTAGAAATTAGGCAAGTTCATAAGTCTATTTTTCAAGATGTTTGGACTTTTTTTTGCTGTACGTTTCGTACATCAAAACATTGGACGACCGTTGCTATCGCGCTCCAGACCGCCCTTAGCCCACGAAGAATAGCCAGCTTCATCCGTCGTCCGCTCACTTGTGCTACTGCTAACTGATCCAGAGCGCTTAGTGAGCGGGACGACCTCTGGCTGCAGGCGGTCTTCGTCCCAGGGATTGTGCCGCGGCAGCGAGGCATCAGTGGCCGAGTGCTTGAGGCCGCCGCCATTGGAAGGATAGAGCGGATCGTACTCGCTGACGGCGAGGCCGATTGCCTCGAGCCCGCTGGTGGACTTTTGGTCGAAGCTGTAGAGCGATTGGTCGAAGCCGGTCTTTGCGATGTCGGCCTTGAGATCGTCGAGCGGGACTAGGTCGGAGTCGTCGTCGCTCACGCCGCGCTTTTGGTCGCGCTTGTTCTGGGTGCAGAGACCTAGGATGGCCTGGATGACGAGGAGAAGCACGAGCAGGAGCGTGAGCACGGCTTGCACGATAATCAGCACGACGCCGACGATCGTCGTGGTTTCGGCCGCGACACCGAGTTCCTCGACAAAAACCAGGACGCAGATCAGCGACACGGTTCGCACGACAGAGATAAACACGTTGATCACGTTCCCGCTTCGTCGGTTGAACGGCCGGAGAATGAGCAGCGCAAACACAAAGAGCACCTCGAGCACAAGCTGTCCGATAACCTGCACCATGCCGTGTCCGTCTGCGAGCGCGATGAACGCGCTACGTCCGACGGCGACGCCAATGACGGGTATGAAGAACCACCAGTACTTTGTCTTGAACTGGCCATAGAAAAGACCGTAGCGGCGAATCCATGGCTTGTGGTCGTAAAGCTCGTCGAGACCTTCGTCACTCTTCGAGGCTCGTCGCGCAAGCACAAAGATGCGGATCGTGAACCCGAGCAGGATGACGGAGAACAGACCGAGGGTGACACCGGCAAGCACAAGACTCGCCCACGAGTCTCCGAGCTTGAACTGGTATAGGCAAAACAGCACCCATGTGCCGTAAAGAATCATGATGACGCGGATCAGCGTGGTTGCCAAAACGGTCCAGTAGCGGTGCCTGAAGTTTTCGAGTGCCTTTGGCAGGTCTCTGGAGTACGCCACGATCTCGATGATGATTCTGAAGGCCAGGATCGCGACGATAATAGCAGCCATGATCATGGCAAAGAAGAGCAAGACGGTCATGAACGCGTTCGCGTTCGGCAGCATGAGATTCTCTACGAATCTGGCGATACCGGCGACCTTGGCCAGGACGGTCACGGAGCCATCGTCAGACGTGGTTGAGTTTGAGCTGTTGAGATCGATGCCGTCGACAGTGAGTCTTCGAACGAGGCGCAAAGCGGAGGACGTTTCGTCGTCGTCACTGCTGGTTGAGGAGTCGTTGAGCAGGATGAGCGCTCCGGACTTGTAGTTGAGCACAGTCGTCGATTGGGTTGTGTCCCATGAGCTGTATGTGGTGTTGCCACCGGTTTTGCTTCGCATGGAGTCGATCGTGGTCTGCATGCCCTTCCACGAAATCAGAGCAGAGGACCAACCAAAGTTCTGACTGAACGAGCTGTAGACGGCAGGGTAGGTGACAGACATCATGCCGGAGGTGGCCATGAACTGCGTCCAGCTCATGATGTCTGCGAAGCCGACGGCGGAGGCGGTAGAGCCAGCGGCCGAGGCCAGGGATGAGATGCCAGAGACGACGAGGGCGCCAGCGGCAATAGCGGCCGAGGCATAGGTCACAGCTTCGATCTTTGCGGTCTTGCCGTTTGAGATTGAGGACTGGAAGCAGGCGGAAGAGTCGCCGGTGTCGGTGTTGTTGAGCTCGAGCTTTGCCTCGCCGTCCAGGTCTGGGATCGAGAAGGCTATGGAGGGGATTTGGCTGGCGTATTTTGTGGGGATGTTAACTTCGCCGCTGGCAGAGAAGGAGCCTTCGGGAACGGGGCAGAGTTCTTCGATGCCTTCGTCGCAGAAGTCGAAGGAGTAGGAGAAGACGTCGATGCCGTAGGCCGAGATGTAGATAGTTGCTGAGGGGTTAGTATGGGGCAGAAGGAAAGTGCAAAGAAAGAGAATAGGAGCATACCCGAAACATTCTGTGCCTCTGTTGATGAACCAGCGAGATCGAAGGTGACGTTTTGGGTGGTTTTCGAGTAGGAGACGGAGAAGGTGCTGACGGAGATGGTCGCGTTGTTGCCGTCGTTGCAGGTGTAGAAGGAGTCGGTGCCGATTGTGTTGGCTGCGAGGGCGGTGGAGGAGAGGGCGGCGAGGGCGGTTGCTGCGGAGAGGAGGGTGAAACGCATGGTGGTGAGTTGAGGGGGGGTGAAGAGGACAGGGGCAGACGCGACGCGTGGGAGACGCGTAGATGGAGAGGAGAGGGGGTCAAGAGAGGGTGTATGAGAGGACTAGAAGAAGTAGAGGAGGTAGAAGTAGAAGAAGTAGAAAGTAGAAGAAGTAGAAGAGGAGGAGAAAGTCGAAGTAAACAAAAGAAACAGAGCCGAGTCCTGATTCAGGTCTGCAATAAACGAGGCGGAGCAGTCGAAGCGACCCGCTTTGACATCTGCGCAAAGCCTCATTCCTGAGCCCGCACCGCCTCCCCCTTGAGCCGCGCGTGGCTGAAACCCGTAGTCTAATTTTAGCGTGTCCTCCACGCGCTGTTCGCTGACAGAAGTGAGGTGTTGGTGGTGTAGGGTTAATGTAACCCTAAAGCAGTCACACTTTCTTTTGGGAACAGCTGGGAGCACTCTGCTACTACAAGATATACTCCTCCTCCACTCTCTTCTCTTCCTCATCATCATCAATCCGGACCGGAGTGCTTCCTTACATTAATATCAATATTATATTCAAGCGCAGCGATGGTCAGTTCTTGTCTTTCTTCTGCTCTCTGTTCTTCCTCCTGTCCTCATACTGACTCTCTATCTCCTCCCTAAAGGCCCCCAAGACCAAGAAGACCCAAGAGTCCATCAACTCCCGCCTTGCGCTCGTCGTCAAGTCCGGCAAGTACACCCTCGGATTCAAGTCCACCCTCAAGGCCATCCGCTCCGGCAAGGCCAAGCTCGTCATCATTGCTGGCAACACTCCCCCTCTCCGCTCCGCTGAGCTCGAGTACTACGCCATGCTCTCCAAGATCTCGGTCCACCACTTCCAGGGCGGCAACAACGAGCTCGGAACCGCCGTCGGTCGTCTCTTCCGTGTTGGTGTCCTTGCCATCATCGACGCTGGTGACTCTGACATCTTGACCACTGTCGTTTAAGTCTTTGGTCTGATGATCGAAATGTGGTTTATTAAAAGTTTTTTCTATTTCTACAAAAGTTCTTGTATATACTTTAATAATGGGATCAGCGGTTAATGGACAACACATTTCCTTATCTCTCGTTGTAGTAGATGTGTAGTGTAATCTTTCTTTATTTCACAGCAGTAGATATTCTCAAATCATAGTTCTACTCCCGCGAACAAGTGTGGAGTGAGTTCTTGCCGCGCAGTCCGGGAACTGATCATCAACTCATCGTCTCCATCTCCACATCGCGTCTCCCTCCCCACCCACCCGCCATCACCGCTGTCACCAACACAGCACAGGCAGCGGAGCGTCGGACGTCTAATCTCTCTGAGCCACGCGCAACACCATGTCGAGCCCGGCCGCATCCACACCGGCAAAGTCCGGCCAGATAGAGGAAATCCCTCTGCCTCCTCCGCTGCAGCCCGCAGTTCCACAGAATCGCTATGCCGGCTTCGTCGCTGGTATTTTCTCCGGCGTCACGAAGCTGTTTGTCGGGCACCCGTATGTCTTCAAGCTCTATTCTGCTGTTCTTCTGCGACGGTACTGACGGCCTGATTTCACCTCAGATTCGACACGATCAAGACGCGTCTGCAGACTGCGCCGGTGGAGCAATTCAAGGGCCCGCTAGACTGCTTTCTCCAGACCACGCGCAAAGAGGGCTTCAGAGCACTGTACAAAGGCGCAACGCCGCCGCTGCTGGGCTGGATGGCCATGGACTCGGTGTAACTACTCCCAACCTTTTCGACTCGATAGCATATGAGCTTCTCTAACGCAATTCGTGACGTACAGACAATTGGGGTCGCTGCATAACTACAGGATGCTGATGAAGCAGCATGTTTTCACGGACTGGGAAAAGCTGCCGCCGATCGGACACGCAATCTCGGGCATCTTTGCCGGGTGGACTGTCAGTTTCGTTGCTGCGCCTATTGAGCAGGTCAAGGTGAGACTGCAACGAGTGAAAGAATGTGTGTAATTCTTGGATTAACTTGCTATAGGCCCGATTACAAGTCCAGTACAATGCCGCGACAAAGACCTACACCGGCCCCATCCACTGCGCAGTAACTCTCTACAAGCAAGCCGGCATCCGCGGTCTCTACCGCGGCCTTTTCAGCACGATGATCTTCCGCTCATACTTCTTCTTCCTCTGGGGCTCGTACGATATCATGACGCACTGGGCTAAAGAAAACACAAAGCTCAGCACGGCCGCGATCAACTTCTGGGCGGGCGGGCTGAGCGCGCAGATATTCTGGACGCTCGCGTATCCGTCGGATGTCGTCAAGCAGACAATCATGATTGACAGTGTGACGCAGCCAAAGTTCAAGCGCTGGATCGATGCCGCGAAGTACGTCTATCAGACGCGGGGATATCGGGGGTTCTTTAGAGGTTTTGTGCCGAGCTCGATCAGGTACTCTTTTCTTTCTTATTTTTCATTATTCATATCTGAGCGCTAACATTGATCTTTTACAGAGCATTTCCTGCAAACGCCTCGGCGCTGGCTATGTTTGAGCTGGTGATGAGAACCATGGCGTAGTGTACAGTTTTGTATCTAGACATTTTCATATTTTTGGGCAATGAAGGCTTGCATTTGATATCCTTGCTCTTTTGAGCAATCAAAGAGGAACTGTAGATCTGTATGTATTTTAGACATTGCATATTATCCTCTATCCTCTCCTTTACTATCTCATCTCAGATATAATCCTTTCTATGTCATATAATACCTCTTTATCAATCATAAACCAGAACAGCTTCGAAAGTTGGGACTTTGCAAGCCGCATCGACGTTCAAAAAATTCCAAATTGAGTTTCATCCTCGACATCCCGAATCTTTTCAACGCGGAAGACAGACAAGTCTTGTAATTCAGAGACGTCGACAGCAATGGCGATAATACCAAAACCCTCGTTTTTCTTGCCGCGAGGGATTGTGGTCGGTGGACTGTACTCTGGTCGATATTATGCCAGCGGTAGCGGCGGGGTACTGCTACACACCGCGCGAGCGTTCTCGCAGTCCTGCGCGGTCAGATCAGACAAGAAGCCTTCTTCGACATCGAGAAAACCGCCGCATCTGAGAGGCGGCAGCAATGTCGGGAACATGAAGCTTGGGTCTGAGTTTGCAAAGAAGAAAGCCGAGGCACCGGCTGTGAATGCGGAGCAAGGCGTGCCGTTGCATGTGCCGGGGTTGACGGACGAGAAGGGGTTTGGGATTATCAAGACCAAGAAGGATTTAGAGAAGTTGTTGAAGAGCGTTGAAGGGAAGGAGGTGGTGATCAACGACCCGGATAATGTTTTAGGGCTGCCGAAGCATCTGCTGGAGAAAGTTGCTGCGCCGACTGCAGAGGAAACAAAGGAGCCGGCGCGCGCGCCCGGAGCAGCAGGCGGAGGCGGTGATATTATCGTCGATACCACGGTCGAAGAGAAAGACCAGAAGAAGGCGCATATGGGCTACCTACCAGCAGTTGTTTTTATCTCGCTGATGGCGGTCGTGCAGGCGGTCTCGATCTACCAGCCCGAGATCTGGAAGTCCGCGTGCACGGTGAGCCTGCCGTCCGCGCCGACGGGCACGCCAATCACGATCGACTTGCGCGTGCTGCTGACGAGCGCGTTCTCGGCGCCGTCGTTCTCGGACTGGGTGATCAACTCCTACGTCGGTTTTTTCTCGATCCGCGCGCTGTCGATGATCTTTGGGAACCTGACCGGGTTCGGGTTTATTGCCGTCTACCTCACCTACGCGAACCGCGCGCTGCTGTACGAGGCGTCGCGCACGCATCCAAAGTACGTCGAGGAGACCGACGACGAGGGAAATCCGGTCGAGCGCATCCGGCAGGTTACGCAGGCGGTCGAGGGCGTGACGTCGAATACTACGCTTGTGTTTAGTTTGGCGGCGTTCGCGGGGTGCATGATGCCCCACGTTATGCTACCGGTTCTGCCGAGCATCGGGCCGCTCCCGCTGCTTTCGCTTTCGATCATGGGAGTTTTGTAAGCTTTTTATATTTTTTTTTGGTGGTGTGGAGGGGATGGGTTGCTGACTAGATTGTGTGTTTTAGTGCGGATTTGTACAATATCGGAGTCACCCCTCGTCTGCCGGACATTTTACCAGCGTCGGCGACGTATTCGAGTAAACCAACTACAGACCCCAAGCCTGTGGCCACTAGCGCAGGCGGCGACGAGGAGGGCGCCGAGGCCACGGGCAAGAACGAGCAAGAGCAAGATAGGGCCGCCGGCGAAGATGAGACGGCGGCGGCGGGCGGGTTCATGACGAAGGTTAGACAGTCCAACACGGAGCACATCTACGGTCTGATTGGCGGCGCGGTGCTGTGGTTTTGCGCGGCGCGGTGGACGTCGGTTGGGGCGCGTCTGAGGGGCAACCGGAGGCTGCAGCTTGCGATGACGGAGATGTTTAAGCCGGAGAAGTCGCTTTGGGAGTACATCACGCTCAAGTAGTGAACTGAAACGCGGATCGTGATGCTGTTTCGGGAGTGTGTAGATACGTGTAAATAGAATAGAAGGGTTTCCAGAGTTTTTGAGCTGAAAAGAGCAGTACTGTTTCAGGGCCGAGGTTTCGGTTGGGAAGATACGGCACGTACGAAGGCAACGCGAACAGATGGTTCGGAGCAGCAGACATCCGCATCCGCCGGGCGTCGCGAGCCGGTCTAAAGCTGTCTTCTCTGCTGTCTTCTCTGCTGTCTTCTCAGCTGTGTTCGCGGGCGGGCGGTTACGAGAAGGTTTAAAGGCCAGGCGCGAAATGTGGCCGCGATAAAGCAGAGAAGTATACGCGGAGGCAGAGGGCGTAGAGATGCTGAGTAGAGCCTAGTAGAGAAGCGGTAGTGTAATGAGCCGCTTACAGATGCGAGGGGGTCGTATTGTCGTGAGCCCTGTCTGATCCATGTATCCGACGATGACGATGACGATGACGATGAGTAGATGAGAGATGAAAGAGATGAAGGAGGTGCTGTTACATAATACCCGAATATACAGCACCTGAGGATATCCGCGGACAGACGGAGAGGAGCGCGGGCTGAAACGCATCGCAGAGGTCGCGATAGTCGAACGTGCTGCGATTCCGTTCGCGGACCTGGCCGAGAGGAGGACTCTGCTGTGATTCTGCTGTGATTCTGTTTCTGGTCTGTGAAGGAGGAGGAGGAGATGATGAAGATGCTGTTGCAACTGTTGCTGCTGCTACAACACTGCTACTGCTACTGCTGCTACTGCATCTACTACATTTACAACCACTGCTGCTACAACTACACCCCGCACTCAAGCTATCGCGATAAGATCAGCGCGAGACCAGACGAAAACGGACGGAAACGGGGCCCAGCGGCCGAGAAACACATGACACCGCCGTACAAGTGCCTGTGTTCCGCCTGCCTAATCGGGCATCGCTACTCGCACAATCCCTGTCGCGTCGACGTCATTTGTCCCAACTCCTTCGTCCGGCCTTTATCACTATCGTGGCCTTCCTCTCTATATATCCGCACCCTCCCTGCTCTCTTCTCTGACCTCTCCCCCTCCACCTACTCTGTCCCGCCCAAATGTGTCTCATCCGCATGTCGCCCAGCTCCTACGACGACGCATACGTCTACAACCGCGGCTCCTACGCCAGTCGCCACAGCTACCACCACTCCCCTCCCCGGCACGCCGCCGTCGTCGTCGACGGCTTCGGCGAAGGCCACTACCGTCACTCCGCGTCCATGCACCGCCGCTCGCGTCTGCTCCATCCTCAGGAGGACGCAGACATCGCCGCAAACGCGGCCGCCCACGCCGCCGCTAGCGCAGTCAGAGAAGAGGCGTTCTACGACAGCCGTAGCCCTTCGCGCAACAGACACGAGAACGAGGCTTTTGCTGAGGGATACCGTGCCGGACGTGCTCACCACGTCTACTAGCCTGATCTCGTCAGTCGTTGATCAGCGCTGATCAGTCGCTGATCAGACGCTGACCAGTCTGGCTGCTTTCACTTCTCACATTCGGTTCTTATTATTGCTTTTTGGGTTGGTTCTTTTCATTCATGTCTTGATATTCTCGTTTGTCTTGTTTGGCGTGCCGTTATGTTTTTTGTCCTTGTTTGTTTTTGTCTTTGTTTGTTTTTGTCCTTAATTTTATTTTTGTTTCTATCTTTCTTATTACCCGATCTAATGTTTGCTATTTGTATTATATATATATGTATGTATGTACCAGGGATATGTATTTCTATGACATTCAACCTTCTGCTCCAGCAGAACTCAACAAGAAAAAGGAAAGAAAGAAAAAAAAAAAAATAGAAAATGAAATAACAGATATACTACCAACTCCGTTTTTGATGCATTCGCAAGTAAATATGTGTGTGTGCGTGTGTGAGACTATACCCGCTGCTTGGGCAGGAATATCTGGATCTCGTCCTCTCCTCTATCTCCTCCTTCTTTCTCATTCCCACCCGACGCGACGGCCGCCGTCGGCGCTAAACTTTTTCTCGTCGTCCGGGGTGTACTCTCGCTCGCTGGAGCAGCAGCAGAAGCAGCAACAGACGCAGCAGTACTCCCACTAACTGACCTCGCAGACGCACTCGCGCTGCGTTTGTCCGATGAGCTCGCAAGAATCATCCTCGTAAGCTGACCAACCTTATCCTTCAGCGCATCCCGCTGCAACTCCAACTCCCGCTTCTCGCGCTCCCACATCTCGCGCTCGCGAATCGCCCGCTCGTACGCCTCCTTGCGCACATCCGCCAACTCAACCTTGACGATCTCGGTCTCGGCGCGCTCGCGCTCGAGGTCGAGTCGCAGACTTTCGATGAGCGCAGTAGTAGCCACCGAGGTCGCCGCGTTCGTCGCCGACAGCGCGCGCGCAGGCGTGATTGTGATGTTCTTTGCCCGCGCCGCGAACCGCAGCGTGTTCAGAGTCTCGCCCGTGGATTGCTTCGAGGTCGCGTGCGGGTCAATCGTGCAAATCACACTGACGAGCGCTTGGCCGGAGAGCGAGTGCTGCAGCAGCCGCGTGAGCTTGCTATCGCGGTACGGGATGTGTGTCGACGATGAGGATCCGTCGCTGGTAGGAAGCTGACTGCTAGATGCTGACGACAGTCGCGAGATGATGGTTCCCAACGCCAGCAGCGAGCGATTGATGTACGCACCTTCTTTCCTCCGCTCCGCATCCGACGCCGCGCGCTCCGAACCCGCAAGATCGCAAAGACTGAGCACGCTGGTTGCGTTGTTCTCCGCGCGCTCAAAGAAGATCTGCAGGACCGCATGCGACCGCGACGAAACCGCGTTGTACTCTGTTCCCTCGGTCTTGCGCGCGCTGTCGCCCTTCGCAATCAGCTCGAGCAGCTCGGGCGCGCTGTCGACGCGGATACAGCGCAGGCCGCGCACGCGCACGAGGTCGGCTTGCTCCTGCAGCTTGAGCGCGTCAGAGGGAGTCGAGGGATTGAGCAGGTCGCGCACGCGCTCGTTGTAGATCTCTAGGTACGAGACCGAAATCACAGAGCCGTAGCCGGCTTTATCAAAGATATCAGCAATCGCAAGCGGAATCAGGCCCGGCGACGAGGGCACGCCTTGCATCGTGTACGTCTTTCCGGTGCCGGTCATGCCGTACGCAAATATGGTCCCGTGGTAGCCGTCCAGGACCGAAGAGATCACGCGCCGCGAAGCCTGTTCGTAGACGTCGCGCGAGGTCGCGCTGTCGTCGAAGACGTGGTCGAAGGTGAACGAGCCGACGTCAGGCGAGGTGAGCGAGTTTGCCGTCGCCGACCAGAGCGGGCTCTGCTGCTGCTGCTGCTGCTGGGCGTCGACGACAGGCTTCAGTCTGACGGAAACAGAGATCTTGGTCGGTATACTACTCGCAGCAGAGTGTGAGCTGCCGGTGGAAGAGTCGCTCTGCTGACGGACCATCGCGGTCGAGTCGGACTGGCTGACTTTGCGCGAGACGAGCGCGGGCGACGCGGTTGATCTGCGCGGCAGCGGCGAGGCAGCGGCCGGCGGGGCCATCATCATCGCGATGCCTCGTCTGGGCGAGGATTTGCTGCTGGCCAGAGCCGGTTGGTGCATCTGCATGGTGTATTGTAGAGGAAGAGAGGACCAGAGACGAGCAGGGGTGCTGGCAGAGAGTAAATAGCCAAGAAGCCAGCGAACCCCAGGCAACTCGTAAACAAACCAAAAGGAGGCTGAGTCACTGCTTACATCATTGCCAATGTCAGCAGCAGCGGTGCTCGTACTCCTGTGGCGATTGCGCCATCTGAGCCACGCAGCCACGCTGCACCGCCCGTTTTTCTGTTTACTTCCCCTTCACCAACCACCCCCAGGCGCCCTTCCCGAATCCCCCGTCCCGGCCGCCGTATTCCGTCCGCGAGAGCAGCAGCAATGAGCATGATCCAGGCAATGACGCAGCCGGGTGCGCCGGTGACGCCGACAGTCGCGAGCCCGGCGTCGAAGCACACCTGTCCGCACTGCGCGCAGTCCTTCACCCGACACCACAATCTCAAGTCGCATCTGCTCACCCATTCCCACGAGAAGCCCTTCACCTGCTCGACCTGCAACTCCAAGTTCAGGCGGCTGCACGATCTCAAGCGCCACTCGAAGCTGCATACCGGCGAAAAGCCCTACGTCTGCAACAAGTGCGGCCGCAAGTTCGCCCGCGGCGACGCCCTCGCCCGTCATGGCAAGGGCGCAAACGGCTGCGCTGGCCGCGCTGATGGCGATAACTCGGACGAAGACGACGACGACGACGACGACCGCCAGCAGCAGGTTCACCAGCAGGTCCAGCAGCAGCAGCAGGCCCAGCAGCAGGCTCAGCAGGCCCAGCAACAGGCCCAGCAGCAGCAGGCGCACGACTATCTGGCCCACAAGCGCACCTCCCTGCCCGCCATCCGCACGCCGGACCAGCAGCCTCAGCAGCCTCAGAAGCAGCCTCTCTACCAGCAGTCCTTCTCCGCAGAGTCCCCGCGCATCCTCTCGCCTCTGCCCCACGCCTACCAGCAGCCTCCGCCTCCTCCGCCGTCGGCGCCGCATCACCAGCCGCCTCCCGTGCACCAGCAGCAGCCACAACAGCAGCAAGCCGGCCCGCCCTCGCAGTCGCCTGCATCGGCCGCGCTCTACTCCAACTTTGGCACCCTCATACCCCAGGGCGGACCCGGCGGCCCTGGCTCGACGCAGAACGCAAACGCCTTCCTCCAGAACCAGCCCTATCTGCAGGCCCAGGCTGCCGTCTCCGCCGCCGCCGGCCATCACCACTCGACGATCGAGGAGAGTCTGTGGGGATACGTCAGAGGCCTCGAGGATCGACTGCGAGACTCTGAAGAGCGCCTCCAGCGCGCCGAGAACCGTATCGGTTTCCTCGAGCGCGAGCTGATGGCAAACAAGCGATGATCAAAGTGAAAAATATGTCCTTGTGTTTTTGTCTGCTTCTCTTTGTAGTCTTCTGCTTATGCGCTGCTCTTTTCGTCGACCGGTTCAGTCCTTGATTATCGTATATAGTATGCTTGAGGTGCTCTGATGGTGGAAGGTGGGTGTAGGGTGTTTTTATTTTGTCGTACTTTCAGATTGCTATTCTTTTTGGGCTCATCTGTCTGTGTATTCTAGTTGTTTTGTGATTTTATTGTTCTTTCGTTCGTTTATGATACTCTTTGTCTTTACTATGACTGTCTTTACTATGATAGTGGCTAAACTGCTCAGTACATCTCAGTTGAACTACGACAGCGTGTAATAGCTGTGTAAATTAGTACTGTTCCTTCATCCTCTCTATCTACGCAAACTGCTGATATCCACCATCCATTATTCTCTATTCTTCTCCTTCTTCTCCTTTCTCCTCCGATATCGAAGGCTGAGAGCCAGACCGCGCCTCCCCCTGCCCTGCCGCATCCTGGCGGGTGGACATCCGGTTAGGGTTCTCAGTGGCTAAACCAGCCCGCGACTCATCCACATCCTTACTCTTCCTGTAGATCTTAGATCGTTATTGTTTATTGTAGTAGTAAGGCTAGCTAAACAGACCGAGGTCGTCGTCATCGTCATCGTCGTCATCGGCCAGGACGGCGTTGCTACTGCCGTCGCCCATCATGCTCATCATCGAGTCGCCAAACGACATGCCGTCGGCGGTCCCCGTAAGATCATCCATCTTGATGTCGTTGTCGAGATCAACCACGTCGCCGCTCGAAAACGGCTCGAATTTATGCTCGCTCTCTTCAGTGTTTGTCTTTACAGCTCCGTTGTTGTTATTCTGCGCTGAGGTACCAGCAGCAGCAGCAGCAGCCACGAGCTCCTCAGGCAGCTCGACGGTTTCGGCCATGCTCTCGACGTCAAAGTCGTCATCGTACGAGCCGCGGACAATACCGTTCGGATTCTTTACTCGGCTCTTGGTGGCGTAGTCGAATAAGGGCGCGGCGTCGTGCATGTCTTTTGTGAATTTGTCGATTGCGGCGGAGATGCCGCGCGCGTTGGACGCGAAGGCGCGGTAGATGTCCTCGGCTGGGGGGATGTTAGCTTTTGATCTTGTTCACTAAGAAACAGAAAACGGAGTTATAAAATAGAGATGTAGAGGATGCTCACGTTTGGTTCCGGGATCTGACTTTGATAGTGCGCGAAGAAGATTGGGCGTAGCGACCCGCAGTTGTAATAGCTACATCACCACACGTCAGTCTTCTGATCCTCTATAAGAGCATCGTAACAAATATCAATAAAGCAGCATTACCTCCTCATACAGCTCATCAAGCTTCTTCAGTCCTTCGTTCAGCTCGTCCGCTGACTTTAGCGTACCGGTCCCTTGTTGGTCCCCGTTCGATCCCGGCGGGAAACTATCAGCCTGCTGCTTAACCGCCGAGGCCACAAACGCAAGCGGCAGGTCGTCGTCCAGGTCGATTGCAATATTACTCGAGACGTCGATCAATCCGCCTCCGTTCATACTGTTGTTGCTGTTCGTGCTGCTGCTGAAGTTGTTGTTGTTGCTGCTGCTGCTGTTTGCGCTGAAGGTGTTACCGGGTGTATTGCTCCCCGACGCTAATTGTGAGGAAAACATTGAATTCTGCTGCTGCTGCGACTGGTCTTTGGCTGCACTGAGGTTTGGTGTGAAAGATGGCTGCTGGTGCTGCTGTTGGTGCTGCGACAGCATGGGAGACCGTCACACTTGGATCGGGATCAGTGAGGTCGCCGTCGTCGTTCCTGTTCAAACGCACAACAATCTACTAAATACCAGATTCTGCTCAAGAGTCTCTGCCGGCTGTGTCATATAAGAAGCATATTGTATTCCAGATACAGATTGAAGATACTCATATGCTTTGCTCTTTGTGGCGCTGACACTTCCGAGGCGTTTGTACTGATCAGAGGCAACGCCGGGCATCTCCATCAGCAAGCCTTCGCAACGCCATCCACCTCAGAGATCTTCAACAAACCCCATTTGCCCCAGCCAAGTCTAATAACCAACCACAAGCCATGGGTGCTTTACTATCTGTCCCGATGCTGGCCCTGCCGGCGCTGTCGAGCGCGGGAATGTATGTCGCCTCGTGCTTCGGAGCGGCGGCGTGCTCGACGCTGTGCAATACGTGCAAGTCGTGCTCGAATAGTATCTCGACGCGGATTGCGTATGCGCTTTTGTTTATTGTGAATTCTATTGTATGTTGCTAGTTGTTTCTGAGAGGTGTTTGCGGAGTGTGGTGCTGACTGGAATATAGCTTTCGTGGGTGATGTTATCGAGCTGGGCGATTGACAAGATCAAGTCGCTGACGCACGATATGGTCGACGTGCGGTGCTTTGGAACACAGTGCACTGGCTTTGTGTCGGTGAGTGTTGGACTTAAGTGTTTAGTGATTGCGTGGCCGACGCTGACATTTCGAATCATAGGTGCATAGGATCAACTTTGCGCTCATGGTCTTCCACGCCATCCTGGCCGTCTTCCTTGTCGGTGTCCACTCCGTGCGCAACAAGCGCTCAGATATCCAGAACGGTTACTGGGGACCCAAGATCATCGCCTGGATGTTTTTGCTTGTGGTTTCGTTCTTGATTCCCGACGCTTTCTTTGTGTTTTGGGGAAACCACATTGCAATCATCGGCGCCTTCATCTTCATCCTCTACGGTCTGATCCTGCTTGTTGATTTCGCTCACTCGTGGGCCGAGATTTGTCTCAACAAGATCGAGACCTACGACTCTCGCGCATGGCGCTTCATTCTCGTCGGATCCACGCTTGGAATGTATATCGCCTCGATCGTGCTCACAATCATCATGTACGTTTTCTTCGCCAAGAGCGGCTGCGGCATGAACCAGGCCGCCATCACAATCAACCTGATCTTGCTCTTCATCGTCTCTGCTATCTCCGTCAACACCACCGTGCAGGAGTACAACCCGCAGGCCGGTCTCGCGCAGTCCGCGATCGTGTCGGTGTACTGCACGTACTTGACCATGACGGCCGTCGCCGGCGAGCCTGACGACAAACAATGCAACCCGCTCATTCGCTCGCGCGGAACCCGCACCGCGTCCGTCATCATCGGCGCGATCTTCACCATCCTCGCGATCGCATACACCACGATCCGCGCCGCCACACGCACCTCGGGCACGGTCGAGGACAGCTACGGGTACACGCCCGTCAACCAGACTGTCACGCAGCAGCCCGGACGCAACTCGATGCGCATCGAGGCGATTCGCGCGGCGGTGGACGCCGGCTCGCTGCCGCAGTCGGCGCTGTACGAGCTCGACGAGGATTCGGACGACGAGGGCGACGGCAGCGACACCGAGTACAACTACAGCGTGTTCCACTTTATCTTTATGCTGGCGACGCAGTGGACGGCTACGTTGCTGACGATGCAGGTCGACAAGGACGACGAGATGAGCTTTGTGCCTGTCGGCCGAACGTACTTTTACACATGGGTCAAGATTGTGAGCGCGTGGATATGCTTCGCGCTCTACACCTGGACGCTGGTGGCGCCGATCGTGGCTCCGGACCGGTTCGGCAATTACTGAAACGGAAATGTGAATAGTCAGAGATAGATTTTATTTATTTTTACCTCATGTCAAACGGTGTTGTTTGTGAGTTGGTTGCTGGGTTGCGTTGGTTTTTGTATGCATAATTGGTACTATTTGATGTTTTGCAGTTGAGCTGGGTTGATGTATTTGATAGCATCAGAAGTCGTGTGTAATGTGTGTAATTAATCTGTATTTACAATTTCTTTTGAATTTCCTGGAATGAAGGAGGATCTTGATCAAGGTCTTCGAGGACGAGATTGATAGTCCTGTCATCGAGCGTTGCGAGCTGCGCTATTGTCCATTTCTCTGAAAGAAGAGAGACCCTGTAGATATCAGCTAATGCCCAGTAAGAGAAGAGAAAGAAAAACATACCATCGCATGCGCTTTCTCATCTCTGCCTTTTCATGGCCAGGAATCCGTTGCCTAACCGCCGCCCTCAACACCCCAAGTCTCTCGATCGCGCACCCGAACGGCTCGTCTCCGATCTCAGACTCGATTCGTTTGCGGACGATGCTGGCCATCTTTGGCCCGTTGCCGTTGGTCGAGACCATGACCTGCAACGGGCCGTCGCGGTACATGCTTCCAAAGTAGAAATCGCACTCACGCGGCACGTCGGCGACGTTGACGGGGATGTGCAGCGCGTGGCAGGCGGTGTAGATCTCGGTTGAGACCGAGGGGGAGTCGATTGCGACGAGGACCATGGCCGGTCGCGAAGGGCCTTCGGATGGGAGGTCGGTTGAGATTGAGAAGGGGCGCGGGATGTGGGTGATTTGGGAGCGAGAGAGGCGATGACGGAGTTCGGGCGAGAGACCGTCTTGTGGGCAGACGACGGTGATGCGCGCGTCGGCGGCAAGGAGGTGGGAGACGCGGGAGGTTGCGACTGAGCCGCCTCCGACGATTGTAACTGGTTTGTCTGTAGAGGAGGAGAGGTTAGTAGAGGGTGGTGGAGTAGGCGCGATGATGATGATGATGATGCTTACCTTTCAGCTGCCAGGCGACGATCAGTGATCCGCCTCCTTTGATGTCGGGGAACTCCTCTTCTGCTGAATAGTTCAGTCAATCTACAACCTCTTATATTCACCTTCCAACCACTCAAATCATACCTGCTCCAGTTGCTGCCATTGCTGATGCGGATAAAGACCTCATCGCCGCAATATTTTTATTTCAATTCTCCCAAATCCCATCTCGAAGCCGCACCAGCTCTTCCTCTTCCTCTCTTCCTCTTCTCACACTCCCGCCGACTGGCCCAATGGCCCTTTTGTCGTTCGGCTCCAATTCATGCTGTCAGCTCTCGCACGTGTCTGCTGAGGATTTATACCTGCCTACGCGGGTCCCCGTGCGCGAACTCCCGCTGTCAAAAACGACGGAGATCAGGTCGAACGGGAACCATACCTTACTCTTCGATCGCTCTACAAACCAGCTTTTCGCTGCCGGCGACAACGCAGCCGGACAGTGCTGTGTTGGTCCAGAGTTTGGAGCCTCATGTCTGTCTGTGTTTAAAGAAGTGCAGCCTTCGGTGTTTGATCCGCAGGAAAACTGGATACCCGAGTACGTGGCTGCGGGCTGGGAATTCTCAGTCATCGTCGCAACCCACCGCGAGACGTGCGAGCAAGCGATCTTCGTCGCCGGCGCAGGCAGCAAAGGCGAGCTTGCGCTCGGGTCTGACATGCGTTCAGCTCCTGTGCCTGTCCGCGTAGATGCAGCAGAGCTCCTCGACGGAGGACGAAGGAGGATCGTCCAGATCAGCGCCGGGCTCGCGCACGTCGTCGTCTTGCTTGACGATTTCTCGGTCTGGGGGTGGGGAAGTTGTCGCAAGGGACAGCTGGGCAGCGCGAATAGTGCGCTCAAGTGCGCGTATGTTCCCGTGCGCGTCGTCGATGGCGAGCGCTTGTCGGATTGGTTTCGGCCTGTGAAAGTCGTCTGCGGCCGCGAGTTCACGGGGCTAATTGATGCTGAGGGACGGGTCGTGGTGCTGATGGACAATTTGTCTAAGAACAGCGATCGTCATGGAATTGTGCGCGATGTGCCGCCGGCGAAGCAGGTAGGCTCGGACTGGAAGGACTTTCAATGCGGATGGAGTACGCTGCACGTGCTGCTCGGGACAGGCCAGATTCTGTCGTGGGGAAACAACTCGCACATGCAGCATGCACCGGCGGATGCGCCAGAAGCCGAGCTGATGGCCTGTGGAAGCGAGCACACGCTGGTTTACAGTCGGCGAGAAGGGGTGTTTGCATGGGGATGGGGAGAGCATGGGAACTGTGGGGACTCGGTCGATCGCGCGAGCGGGGACGTGAATGTCGGACGCGCGGCGAAGGTCTACGAGGGAGACGTTGGATTTTTGGGGGCTGGATGTGCCACGTCGTGGATAGGTGTTGGTGTATGATAGCAGGAGCTGTGGGTGTCGAGGAGGTCTTAGATGCGTACCCAGGATAGTCTGCGCTGTGCAGGGTCGCTGCGTCTGTGTTGTTCTGGATACTAACACCCGAAAGCAGCGATCTGATATCTTCGAGCCCATCACTCCTACACAAGCAGAATAAAACAAACAATTGAAACAAGAACAAACAAACAAGCAAAATCCACCTTCTGCCTCCTTCAAATTCACCCGCGCTCAGCAGCTGAAAGACAAATCCGCGCAGACACCGCGGAACCAGAAACCACCGCATTGTGCGCGCGAGGCTCGCGCTCACCCAAAACACTCCTCCGCCGCCGCTCCCCACCGCCGCTTCCTCACTTTCCTCCTCCGCTGCTCCACCACCAACCCGCCTGCTCCCGCGATGTCCGTCGACCCGGAGAAGAGGCAGAGTCTGCGTAAGTTGTCTGCTTTCACTGCTGTGCCCATTGCACTGCTTCCCCTCGCTGAACCACCTCAACTGACCTTTCCTTGCTCCTCCCAGCTTCTTATCCCGCAGCCGCGCCACACAAACACCACCAACAACAACTCCAGCAGACCCCACAAGCACATCCCTCCGCGGCGAAACCACTCGCCTCAACCCCCGCAGACTCGAAAGACGGCTTCTTCGGCCGCTTCTTCGCCGTCTTCTGCTGCGGCGGCGGCGACTCGTCGAGCCACAACACCGCATACGAAGATACCGGCAGCGTGCACGTCCGCCGAGGCGGCGGCAGCGGCGCCGGCACGTCCAGCCAGATTGGAGCCTCCGTCTCCAGCGGCGTAGGCAGCCAAAAATCCTCCGCAGCAACAGCAGCTGCCGCCGGCCTCCGCCGGTCGTCGACCAACGTGCGCGACTCGGCCTCGGCGAGGCTACGCGACTCGGATAAGGACTCGGACGAGAAACCGCGGGAGGACGAGGACGAGGACGAGCTGACTGGCGAGCTGCCGGCGGTGAAGTCGCACGACATCATCATTGACGAGAAAGGCCGCGGGCGGCAGCACCAGCATGTGGCGGATAATCATAATATGAGCAGATCGGGCAGCCACAGCAGTCCCCACCGGCGCAGCAGTGTCGCGAGAACGCCGTCGACGACGTCGATGACGATTGACGACGAGCTGCTGGCGGCCGCCCGGGACGCGTCGCTGTCTGATCGCAAGTCTATAGACAACCTGAATAGCACTCCGTCGGCGACCGAAGCGTCGCCGCCTTATAACGCAGACGGGAAGAGCGACCACGGGACCGCGCACGCAGGCGCTAGCAGCAGAGGAAGCTCGACACCGACCGCCGGGTCAGCAGCAGCGAGCTACTCCTCGCGCGACGAATCACCTACTCCCCTATCCCGCACACACACCGCGCTGTCGCGCGAGGAAGAAAGCATACTCGCGCGCGGCCGCGTCGAGGTCTACCACCCGCTGCAGCACGACCAAGTGACCGAGTACGGGCCCGCGACGCCTACCGATCCGGACGCGATCCCGCCGACGACGCTGCTGGCGCCGGTACAGGACGAGTTCAAGGATCGCAAGTGTCTTGTTCTCGATCTGGATGAGACGCTCGTGCATAGTAGTTTCAAGTACCTGCCCCAGGCAGACTTTGTCATTCCGGTCGAGATTGAGGGACAGTTCCACAACGTGTACGTTATCAAACGGCCTGGCGTTGATGATTTTCTGAAACGGGTCGGGCAGATGTATGAGATTGTTGTGTTTACTGCTTCCGTGAGCAAGTACGGCGACCCACTTCTAGACCAGCTCGACATCCATCACGTCGTGCACCACCGGCTGTTTCGAGAGAGCTGCTACAACCACCAAGGCAACTACGTCAAAGACCTCTCGCAGCTCGGCCGGCCGCTCGAAAACATAATCATTCTCGACAACTCGCCTGCCTCCTACATCTTCCACCCGCAGCACGCGCTCCCGATCTCGAGCTGGTTTTCAGACACGCACGACAACGAGCTTCTCGACATCATCCCTTTCCTCGAAGATCTCGCCAGTCTCGATCTGCATGACGTGAGCTTGGTGCTCGACGTCGGGATTCCAAAGTACACGACCATGAAGTCGCCTCAGGAGGCAATGGCATACACTCCTATTTAAGAAAAGAAGAAGAGAGCGGGTTTTTGTTTTTGTTCATATGAGGTTTTTTATACTGTTTGTGTGGTTTGTTCGCATCCCGGATTGTACTTTAGTTTGGCTCTGCATGCGTACGGAGCATATAGCTCGTGTTTGCTTCTATTCTATCTACGTTTGCAAATAGTCTCCGTTTCTCTATTGCATTTCAGTATATATTGTTTCCATCTATCTATTTATCTATATATATATAGAGAGAGAGTGTGTGTGTGTGATTATGGCGAAATGTTTCCCAGCACGGTTCGAGTAGATTTTATTATTTCCTCTTTGTTTGATACAGTTGCAGAGTCTTTTGATTGTCGGTTTCCATTTTCTGAGTTTGGCCATTCTTGAGTTAGTTTGAAGTATTTATTTTTCATATATCGCGTTGTTTCTGATGACTAGTAGTATTTGTTTATCTTCCATTCCTTTTCTTTCGTTGTTTTTACATCATGTACTAATACAGAAGACTCAAATTCATACTTTAAACATTTGTACGTGGAAAAGAATGAAGATTCGTCTGAACAGCAGGCATAAAACACCAATGATAATCATGACCCAAAAAGCAATAAACAAAAACTCGACAAATAAGCAAAATAAACCGTTCTTCTTCACAGGCAAGAGACAACAGAAATCAACCAACAATCAAATTCACAATCTCCTCCCCACGAAGCCGGACTCGTCCGTCGCGAAGCACTTCAAATAGATCTTGGTCGTAAAACCCTCGCGACATTATATTCCGCACCTTGACGTTGCCGAGAACTTTTATGCCCCCGATCGTGAGGATTTTCATGCGCGGCGCGGAGGAGGAGGAGGAGGAGGATGACGAGGACGACGCTGCAGATGACGAAAATAGAGATAGATTATCAGCATTATCGGCTGAGCCAGAATTTCCGGTGCCAGGAGAACTCCCTTCTTTTTTAACAGTCTGTTGTTGTCGTTGTTGTTGTGGTGAGGAGGAGGAAAACGGGTAGGAAGATGGGACGTAGGGTTTCTCGCGATACCGATCTAGTCTTCTAAACCGGACACGATGCCCGTCAAACGAGTTTGTCTCGAGATCCTGTCCGCGTTGCTCGATAAATGATTGCTTATCAGACGGGAAAAACATTTCGAGAATGCTCGACTTTTGCAGCGGCAACGAGCGCGCAGCCGGGTCCGTCGGCGGCAGATCGACGATCGCGCGCCGCCGGCGCCGCGTGGGTACCGTCGTGCCGTTGCCGTTGCCGCTGGTCGCATCGCGCATGTTTGAGCTAAATACAGGCGACTGCGACGCGAAGGTATGGTGCTCGACGTACGGCGGCAGGTTGCGGAACGAGTCCTCGGTCAGCGGCGAGGTGAAGTTGTAGAGGCCGTCGAGGTGGTAGAACTCGCCCCAGGAAGTTATCCGCGAGTAGAACGAGTCGTGGCTGCCTACGCTCCGACAGGTTGAGCTCGCGACCAGGTTCCGCGCGTGCTGGCCGTAGAACCGCATACGCCCAAAATACGACTTGCCGTCGTCCGCACTGTCGTCCCCGTCCTTACCGGCGGCGGCGAAGAACCCGTCTTCGTCAAAGACCGAGTTTTTGTCCGGCAGAAATACTTCCTCGTTTGCAAACTCGAGCACGCGGTCTAACGTGGCTTCAATCACCGCCTCCGGGTTCTGCCGCGGAATCAACCGCGCAGCAGGCCTCGTGCTTGCTGCCGCGGCCGTCGCGCGGCCGGTGCTGTTTAGCAGATTCGCGTCGATGCGCAGCGGATGCGCCTCGGTCGAAAACACAAAGTTGGAACCGTCATGGTTGAGCGGGTTGTCGACGTCGAAGAGCAGGTAGAGGTATTTCAGCGTCTCGCTGAGAAAAAAGCTCTCCATGCGATCGTCAAGCTCGCCTGTTTGCACGTTGTGGATCGAGGCGTACCCGCACGCGACGCGCGCCCGCGTTTGTAAATCGCTCAGGATCTGCGCGCCAACGTGCAGGTAGAAAGGGTCCTTGGTCGCCCGGTACAGCATGTAGTTTGACTCTACAAACTCCGGCCGCAGACCGTACCATCCGAGCTCGACGCTGCCCTTGCGGTTGACGTAGTTCCATCGTTCAGGAGTGCCTGCGTACGTCATCCAGATCTTGTAGTACACCAAATGACTCTTGACCGCCGCGTTCACGTCCCCCGCGAGTACTTGCAGGCCCGGGAAAAACGCAGCGAGCGCGTCGACCCAGCCGGTGAGAACCTGGCCGGTGACCATGTGTATGTTTTTGTAGAGCCAGTCGTCGAGCATGTTTTCTTTGATCGCCGCGTATGAGAGCGCAAAGACGTCGAGGAACTGCTCATCGCCGAGCAAGATGTACGACTTGAGCGCGTACTCGTAGAAGGAGTCGATGCTGGCGCCGACGCCAGACATGGCCGACAGCCAGAGTCCGGACACGGAATCGATCGCGGTGCCGACGATATCGAGCGCGGTGCGGCGTTCCCAGATTGCGAAGAACGCGCGGCGGGCGACGGCTTCGTACTTGTCGTCCCCGGTGAGACGCGAGAGGGTTGCGAATTCGAGCACGAGGCTGCCGGCGCCGGCGGTGCAGGTCTCTGTGATGTTTTCCTGGTCGATACCGCGGCGGAGGTTTGCGCGCGGGAGAGGGATGCCGGTCGGGGTGTCGAACGCGGGCATGAGGCGGTCGGCGAGGTCGACGGCGAGGGTTAGGAGCGAGCCGTTGTAGTCTTTTATTTGGTGGCCGAGGTCCGGGGAGGTGGCGTAGATGTGTGCGGAGAGGAGACCGCCGATGACGCGGATCGTGGTCTCGAATATCTGGACGCGTGAGGGGAGATCGAATTGTACGAAGCGTTCAACTTTTTTGACTGCGGCTTCGAAGCCTTCTTGGTCGTCCATCATCTTTTGATCTGTTAGCGGCGTTGCTGCATTGTTTGAGAGTGAAGGCACTTACCACTAAAGTATCCATACTATCAATCAAAGTGAGAGAAAAGTCGCCGAGGACATCATTGAGTCCGATGTTGTTTGGGTTCTTGCGATCGCTTCCTCGGCCACTGCATGAAATCGGCGCAACCTCTGTAGTTCGTCGTCAGCATGGATCAATGAGAGCAGAAAGAGAGAGGGAGCAGACCATCTTCAGGAAAGCCGTAGTTGAGGTAGTGAGACCAGCTGTGGTAGAAGGCCTCCTTTGTTTCTTGTCTGGACGGCGGTACGTTAGCAATTGATATTAATAGTGGGGGAATAAGCAGCACGCACTTTAATCGATCAAGATGGGCTTTGGGGAAGGCAAAGGTGCTAGGCGTGCCGGCGAGGAGTAGCAGGGCGCCAGCTACGGCCGCAAACTTCCGCCGCCCAACCATTGAGATGTAGTGTGTATAGCTTTGAGGTGAGCAGACTATATCAGGAGGGCGTCCTCGAATTGTGAGATACTGCTGTCGTCGTCGTCGTCGTCGTAGATGGGGTAGGTAATGAACAGGTCATGCGACAACGTATGTGGGCTGAACAGAAGCGCTGCTAGTCAAACAGCTGGCGCAGATCTGTGCTGTCAACAACAGCACCAGGGATCTGTGTAGTGAGGAAGGTGGAGGCGATGGAGATCAAACACGAGACCGGCTTGATCTTGATATCGCGGAGTAGATGCAGACTCAATAAGCGTAGATAGCGAGCGCAGCGTCGCCCTCGTCCCCAACAACCACAACACTCAAACAGATCTGCAAAAGAGATACAGTCAAACGCAAGAGCAGCAGACCGCAGCACTCGCAACCCCAGAAAATCCAGCGACGAAGCAGAACAGAAGCGCAGAAAGCAGGCAGCAGCAGCATGTGAGGTTGCTTACTGCGCGCGGCGAGATCGCGAGAAAGGGGCTCGTGTCGATATTGTGCGCGGGTGTTTTGCTGTGACTTTCGCCCTGCGCACCGCCGTCCGAGTCGTTGTTCGCCATCGTTTTATATAATCGCGAGGTCGAGAGCGCAAGACAGATAACTGAGACTTGGACGGTTGCTGAGAAATTGTCAAACTATCAAGGTGATCTGGAATTGACTGCGTTCGAAAGCGCTCAGAGACCGTAGCACGCGGGATCATTCATCATGGCTTCAGCAAGCCCACAACCACCACCCCCACAAGCCCAGCAACCCACACCATCCTCATCCTCATCGTCAACAGCAACACCAGATCCATCACTACAACCAAGAGGAGGCCCGACACCATCAAAAGCAGCACAGCAGCAGCAGGCCGCGCAGCAGCAATTCAGCGCCGCCGCCGCCTCGCAGACACGACCGGCGCGGCCGAGCACGTTCACGCCCCAAGGCGGACCGGTGGGATACCAGCAGCCGGCAGCAGCACATGCGGGCGGTCCGACGCTGTTGAACGAAAACACACCGCCGTCGGCGCGCCCGACGGCGGCGTCGGCGGCGGCGGGGCTGCATAGCATGTATCCGGATCCGCACGCGATATATCTGAATCTGTCGTGTTTGGATTTCCTGCTGATGGAGCTGATTCCGATGTCGGAGCGGGTGGTCGAGGTTATTGGCGAGGGTAAGACAGCAGGGGCGATCAATTCGTTGTCGTCGCCGGGGAAGGCGGTTGTTCCGGAGAAGGACGGGCGGATAGGCGAGGAAGAGAGGAAGGGGGCGGTGTTTAAGCATGTTGAGGGGCTCGGGTATCGAGTTGGCCAGGGTTTAGCAGAGAGGTGAGAGTTGTGTTTTGAGATTAGAGAGACTGGCTTGCTGACTTTAGCATCTTCTAGATTCTCACAGGATCGCCCACGGTTTACAGACGTGCTGGATGTGATGAAGTTTGTGTGCAAGGATCTTTGGCAGCTAGTGTTCCGCAAGCAGATTGACAATCTAAAGACGAACCACCGGGGCGTGTATGTGCTGACAGACTCGAGTTTCCGGCTGCTGATGCGGATGAGCACGGACGTGGGCGGGCTGGATACAATCACGCGCGCGCAGCCGTATCTGTGGTTCCCGTGTGGGGTTATCAGAGGCGCGTTGGCGAACTTGGGGGTGCAGGCTACGGTTGTGGCGGAGATCACGGGGATGCCGGTTGCGGTGTTTCATGTGCAGACTATGCGGCAGGATAATTAGCTGGGGATAATGCAGATATGGTTGAGTATATATTTATAGACGCCAGGGTAGAGATCATAGCCTGATGTAGTACCGTAGAGTTACAGGAGGCAAACAGACAAGACACAAATAGTTACAAACAGACAAAAGGACGAAAAAATCACGAGCCAAGTTTAGTAGGCTGGCCAGAGAGCAGGGTGTAGACAGGAGCGTTAAGCTTCTCTCTTCCCTTGAGGAAATCGAGCTCGAGCAAGAAGACGTACTCGAGGATCTCACCGCCGAGCTTGGCGACAAGCTCACCGGCAGCACTGGCACTTCCACCGGTGGCGATGATGTCGTCGACGATGATGACGCGCTGACCGGCCTTGATGGCGTCTGCCTGGATGGCGAAGACGTCCTTGCCGTACTCCTTCTGGAACTCAGCCTCGACGACGGGGCCGGGGAGTTTCCCGGCCTTGCGGACGGGGACGAAGGCCGCGCCGAGCTGGAGCGCAAGGGTGGGGCCGAAGAGAAAACCTCTGGCGTCGAGGCCGACGATGACGTCTGGTTTGCGGTCGCCGGTGAAGTTCTGCTCGATCTGGAGACGCATGGCGGTGATGAGGGCCTGGAAGGTGGTGGGGTTCTGGAAGATGGGGAGGATGTCTTCGAAGAGGATGCCTTTTGAGGGGAAGTCCTCGTACTGGCGGAGGGTTGATTTGAGGAGCGTTTTGCAGTCTTCGACGGAGGCCATTGTGAATATGAAGTGATCAAGGGTGGTAGATAGTAGAAGAGGGCAATATCAGAGATCGAAGAGACAAAAGTGAAAAACAAAAGAAAAAAGAAGGTTTCCGATGAGCCGCACTGTGCGCCGCAGCGATGAGCTTCGGAGCGGACGCAGCTCGAACGCAGACGCAGAGCAGACCGCGGGTGTGGATGCGCTGCAGCTGTCTGCAGATGTGTGAAGAGAGGAAGATCGAGAAAGAAGAGGGTATTTTGTTGTTCTATTCATCGTTTGTTGTATAAACAGCATCTCAAAGATCTCTGAGTCTCAGTCCAGGATCACAGCGGCATTTTTGGGTGAACCCTGAACCGTGCCACCGCCAGACAGGCCTCGTCATCGCTTTCTTTGCCTTGTTTGCCTCTGTTTGCTATAACAGTCTGTCTACTTTCTTCTTCTCCTCCTCCTCCTCTCCTCTTCATTGTCCTGCTCCGCCTGTCTCTGAGGTTGAGCAACTGTGCACACACAGCATGCGCACACTCATCCTCCTCCTCCTCCTCCTCCTCCTCCTCCTCCACCAAGCGGCTGCTCAGCAGCGCAAGCTCTCCATGCACTTCGTCTCCAAACCACACACCGTCCAGCAGCAACACACAGAAGAATCCCACGACGACAGCCTCGTCGCCCCCGTCTTCGTCCCCTTCGAGTCCACCTACTACTCCCACGCCCGCCGCGGCCTCTCCTCCCCTCCCGGATACCACCCCTCCACCTTCTACGCAAACGACTTCCACACCCTCGCCGACGACCGCCCCTACCTCCGCCCCGCAACCGACCGCTTCTCATTTGGCTACCTCGTCTCTGTCAGCATCGGCTCCCCCGCCCAGCACGTCACCCTCATGCTCACCACCAGATCGGAAAAAACATGGGTCCACTCAGACATCAACCACGACTGCCGCAAAACTTCAACAGACTTCTGCCGCCCGACCGGCACCTACAACCGCGGCTCCTCCTCCTCCTCGCGGTCCGCAAACACCCGCTCGAAAGTCGGTCTCTCGGACTCCTCCTACGTCCGCGTCATCGTCGTCGCTGACTCCATCTCTGTCGGCAACGTCTCGCTCGACAACTTTGTCTTTGGCATGGCTGAGGAAGGCGACTGCCCCTACGGCCGCTTCGGCCTCCTCAAACCTACCGGCGTCGCCTCCGCCCGTGCAAGCGCGTTCGTCAACACCCTCCTCGACCGCGGCAGGGTCAAAATCTCCTCGTTCTCGATGTACGTCGACAACCACAACCTCTCCACCGGCGGCCTTCTCTTCGGCGCCATCGACAAGTCAAAGTTCATGGGCCCGCTCAAGACCACCGGCGCGCTCCGCACTCCGCAGGCCCTTGATCGGTTCCAGGTCGTGATCGGGGGGATCAAAGTCTACAACCCGCTCCGGCCAATCTACGCCCCGGGTTCGCCATCCACAGCGCTGGCTACCCGTCTCGCCGTCAGACTCGAGCCCGAGACGGCTTGGTCAAATCTGCCCTACCGCGTCGGCGCTCGCATCGCCGAGGCAGTCACGGGTGGACCGTTGAACTACCGCTACGAGGCGCGCTCGGCGATGTTTTACGTGCCCTGTGAGGCGAATTATGAGGATACCATTGTTGAAGTTGAGTTTTGGGACGACGTGAAGATCCCGGTTATGGCATCCCAGCTCGTGTCCCAGGTCGGTATCTACGACGACGGCAGACCGATGTGTGCCATGGCTTACACAGCGCCTAGGCCGATCAGAGGTGGGTTATCTTGTTGTCTGCTGTTGTTTTCTTTCTTTTGACTGACGTAGGTGTAGGACGGCAATTGGAAGGCGAAAACCAAGAGTTCACACTAGGAGATTCCTTCCTTCGAAGTGCATACCTATTCTACGGTAACCACCTCTCCCCTTCTCTCGATATACTCTCGATATACTCTCGATATACTAACAACCTCAGACCAAACCAACGTCCGCGTCTCAGTCGCCCGCCTCGCCTCATCAAACACCACCTCCTCCGCCCCCGACGACGCCCAAATCCAAATAATAGACGAACACGGTCTAGATTCAAACTCCGACATCACAGGCCTGCCCGAGACTCCCTACCTCCCACCTAAGCGCTCGTCGCCCTCCCCCGTCGAGACACCTCTTGCTGTCGCTGCTGCTGCTACTGCGGTCGGCAGATTGCAGCGCATGCCGAGCGCGGACTTGTTCTATCCCGACGAGGGGAGGAATCGGGCTGTCGTGTTTATCGCGTGCGGATTGATTGCGATGGGCATCGCGCTGATGTACGTCGCGCGGTATCCGCGCATACGAAGGTATTTAAAGTAGATTTTAGAACAGATTTGTGTTTCTTGCGGTACATGAGGATATAGATATGATATGAATAATTAATGGCATTTTTAATCATCACCATATATTGTCACAGAGTAGTGTGTATGACACGACAAGCAACTCACAATGCACAAACAAACTCTCGATTTATAATACAGATTCTAATAGCTAACTAAACTACAAACAAACAAAAACTTCACTCCTCAAATAACAAACACCGACAGAAATAAACAAAAACTAGTACGATAAAGCGTCATATTGTCGCAATTCTAGAAACATATGATATGCATCACTTAGATGAAAATGACCCGACCACTTAAATAGCATAAATAGCATAGATAGCAAAACAGACAGATGAAAATGACCCGAAAAAATATACACAACACAACGCTAAATCACAAAATTAACATGCATGCAAAGACAGCCGCCGCGGCGACGAGCGCACCAGTGCTACCGGAAAGTCTACTGCTCGCGGCCGCAGACGAGGACGAGGACGAGGACGAGGACGAGTCCGACGATGAGGACGAGGACGAGACGCCCGTGCCCGCGAGCGAGGACGAGGTCGAGAGGCCGGTGGAGTTAATTGCGACGATACTGGACTCGGTGGTGTCGAAGACCGCCTGGGCGATGCTGATCTGCTTATTGGTGAGGTCGTAGACGATGTAGCCTGCGCGCAAGAAGGCGTCGCCGAGGATGTAGGTCGTGGTCGAGATGCCCTCCGAGGTCGAGTCGTCGTCGGTGTAGGACTGGATGCCGACCGCGCAGAGCGTCGAGCCCTCGGAGCTGTACTCGAGCGGCACGACGAGTTCGCTGAGCGGGACCGAGAGTGTGGCGCCGCCGTCGTTGAACGTCAGCACGACGGCGTCGCTCGAGTCTTGGTACGTGCAGTCGATCGTGTAGAGCCCGTAGTCGTCGTCGTACGTGCCGGAGCCGATGGCCGACACAATAGACTCGATCACGGTCTTGGGCAGGACCGCGTAGGTCGTGCCGGAGTCGAGCACGACCGAGATCGAGTCCTCCGAGAGCGTCGAGTTCACGCCCGCGGAGGTGTTGTACGCGATATCGGTGATCGTCACCAGGAACGACGTATACGTCGACCCGTGCGAGGCCGTGATGTCAATCGTCTGCAGCTCGCCGGAGAACTTTGCCGTGTCGATGCCGCCAAACAGCAGATTTCCTTCGTCGGACTCGAGACTGTTGAGCCAGAGCGAGTAGGCGTTGCTCTGGATAACACCATCCGAAGCGAGGCGCGCCGGCAGGTTCTCGTACGTCTCGGCCGCGGCCTCGTTGGTGGTGAAGCCGATGCCGAGCACGCCGAGGTCGGAGGATGTGTTTGAGGCGACGGCAAAGGTAAAGTCAGAGACGGAGGAGCTGCCGACGGTGATGGTGTCGGTCAGGTAGACGCCGCTGGCGGAGGACGAGTCGGCGTAGGTGATTGAGAATGTGTCGTCGTCCGAGTCCGAGAGGGCCGAGGCAGTCGACGAGTCGCTCTCGGAGTAGGTGCCGTAGGTAGTGCAGTAGTTGGACACGGTCGAGCAGTCCGAGCTGGAGGAGGACTGGACCCACAGGTCCGAGGAGCCGGTGTCGACGAGCACGGTTATGTTTTGAGCCGGCGTTCCGAGCGAGACGGTGGTGAGGTATGTGCCCTGGTCGACCGAGTTGTCGAGCGAGATTTGGACGGTGTCGTCGCGGGCGCGCAGAGCACGGCGGCGGAGGAGCTGTTTGCGCAGACGCTCGGCGGGGGAACCGCGGGAGCGCAGGGGCATGTGGAGGACGGGAAGGGCGGAGGAGGAGGAGGAGGAGGAGGAGACGGGGAGGGCGGAGGCGGCCGCGGAGGCAGCAAGGAGGAGGAGGGCGAGCTTCATGGTGGGTGATGATGCTGATGATGAGGAGGAGAAGAAGAAGAAGAAGAAGAACAGAAACAACAACAACAACAAGATAAAGAAAGAAAGAGAAGAAGGAAGAAGAGAAGAAGAAGCAGATATAAGCAAAAGAAGGCGAAGCAAAGGAGAAACTGAAAAATGGCTCGGCCGCCGCTTGGCGAAGAACGCGTCAGCGATGCCACCCCCTCCACCAGCCACGTGCGGCGTAGATGATGTCATCATTTACAAATACACAGCATGTTGATATTACAGAAGGATTTATAGAAAGAATAGGTATTTGTTGTTGAAGAAGTATTTGCTCTGTTGATTATCATCACCGCTACTTCTTGCCCGACAGCCTAGTTTCAGAACGCGTCAGTTGTGCCTGAGAGCAAAGCGCCAAAAAGGGCGGTTTTGCCACAAACCAGCCTCCTCCCGGAACCTTTTCTCTTTCTACTAAAACAGAAACGGCAGCTAAAAGAGGCATTTGTTTGGAGCAGAATGCAGGAAGCAACTCACATGCTGAAGATGTAGATATTTGTGTCCACGAACCGGTTCGCGCAGTTGGCCTGTGTTTACTCGTTAGCTTCTTCTCTTCACTCTTCAGCTAAAGAAGCTGTCTGGTCTAGGCCGTTATGCCTTCGCGGCAGCAGCAGCATTCATACCAAGCCTAGACAAACACCAGTCAGCCCTCCACTCCATTCTCAACAGACAGAATCATTAGACAAAGAACACATCACTCACACGTAGATTCCGCAGCAGTCAACGAATCCGACGTCGGTGCGCTCTTCACGCACTTGCTGAAGCACATCTCTGTAAACTCTTGCACAGCTGTAAACCCCCGTCAGCTTCTTCTTCCTCCTTTTCGCAACTGCAGCTCCTTGGCTTCTTCAGCTTCATCTTCTTCGTCGTAAAAAGCACTCACATGAGTTCATCTTCGCCCGCGCCTGCTCCGCGTTCACAAACTTCACAATCTCCTGCTGGTCAGCAGCGTTGAGGCCCTCGACCGACAATGGCAGCTCGTCAGACATGATCTTGCTCTCTTATTTCTTCAAACTGTTTATTGACTTTCGGCGTCAACTATTGATCAGATCCGTGATATCTGATGTATTGATAAAACAGATTGAGTGTGCTGTTGGCGTTTTATTCCACAGAGCGGATGCTCAACTCTCGTTGATGGAATATCCAGTTTTTCCATCTGCGCACGTCTTCAGAATCACTGTCAAACTCTAAAACACGTCTCGAACATCACTTGAGTTCCTTCAATAAGTTGAAGCAGTAAATATTGGTATTTTACACATTTACATGAAACAATTGAACAAATCTCTTTTATTTAGTTTGTTTTTGTTAATCATCTTCTGTTTTCTCCTTTAATGCACGACTTCTTGGCAGGAATGGACTCCTCTTCGCCCATGCACTAAACAATTAGCGCATACAATGCAGGGTCCCAGCCACCGCGTGCATCTACGTACAGTCTTCACAGCTCATATACTTGCACAATCTATTTATATGCAATCTTCTCTAATCGGTTATGCCTGCGTGATGCGCAGCATGACAAACGAGTGCTTCTTCACCGTGAACGACTTCAACTCGCTCAACTTAACCGTCTTCTCCTCGATCCCAACAACATCCTTCTTCTCATACGTGTTCACCGCAGCAATGTCGTCGTTGTACACGCTGTACGTGACCACGTCCTCCTTGTACTCTCCCTCCAGCTCAAACGCAGTCACCACGTCCTCCTCCAGCGAGCGATTGACGACCGCAATACTCACGATCCCGTCCTTCTTCGCAGCAGACACGTCGAGCAGCATGATCGCCGGCTCGGTCGTCTTGATCCACTTCATGTAGTCGCCAAAGAACGCGCCGGTCTCGCCCTTGTACGTCGGGCCCTCGACATGCAAGTTCAGGCTCTGGCCGCGCATGTACTTTGTAAACAGCAGGAACGGGTAGTAAATCGTCTGCAGCAGCATATCCGTCGGCGTAGTCATCACCGGCGCAATCACATTCACACACTGCGCAATGTTCGCCATCCCCACCGTCGGAGCCTGGCGGACAAACAAGTTACCCCACGAAGCAACCGCGATCGCGTCCGAGAGAGTGTACTTCTCCTCCGCGCCGAGATGGCCGGGCGCGCGCATCGGATCCCAGACGTTCCACTCGTCGAAGCAGATCTTGACGTGCTTGTCGTATGCCTTCTGCGTGATTGTCGCCAGATCCAACAAGCGCGAGGTGATCTGGATCGCGCGCTCGGCCGCAGCCACGCAGGTCACGTTCTTGTAGTATTCCTCGTGCGAAGTGTACAGATGGATCGAGTAGTAATCAATCTGCGTGATGAGCGCCTGCGTCACCGTGAAATCCAAGTGTCGAGTCCGTCCTTGCCGCACGCAACAAGCTTGATGTCGGGATCAAGCAGCTTGAGCGCCTTCGCCCACTGGAACGCCTTCTTGCTGTAGTCCTCCGCCGTCATCTGGCCGACCTGCCACGGTCCCCAGACCTCGTTGCCCAGACTCCAGTACTTGACATTGTACGGCTTCTCGTGGCCGTTCTTGCGGCGCAGGTTGGCGTAGTATGTGTTTTTGTCCGAGTTGCAGTACTCGACCCACGCGAGCGCCTCGTCCAGCGTGCCGGTGCCCATGTTGAGACAGAGGTAGGGCTCCGTGCCCATGTACTCGCACCACTCCATGAACTCATCCGTGCCAAACTGGTTGGACTCCTCACCGAGCCACGCCAGCTCAGGACGTCGGGGCCGGTTCTCCTTCGGTCCGACCGCATCCAGCCAGTGATACGAGCTCACAAAGTTGCCGCCGGGGTAGCGCACGACCGGCATATCGAGATCCTTGAGCGCCTTGCCCACGTCGAGCCGGTATCCCTTCTCGTTCGTCAGACCGGGCACGGTGCAGTCAAAGTCGACGATGCCGCCGTAGATGCAGCGGCCCATGTGCTCGAGAAAGCCGGAGTAGACCTTGTCGTCGATGGTGCCGATCACGCGGGTGGGATCGAGCTTGATGAGACCGTTTGCCGACTCGGCGAATGTTTGCGCGGTTTCCATGGTGTAGGTGCGAGAGAGAGAGGAGGTTGGTGATTGATGATTGATATCGAGCAGACAGACAGACTCGCAATATTTATACAGATCAGCCAGCGCAGTCAATCACCGTCATGAACCTGTCCGAGACCGAAGCAGCCTCCGGACGAGCAATCGCAATCTGATCGAGCGCAGGGGCTCCCTCCGCACTCCGAGTCCGGGGTACCTTCCGAATAGGTAATTTCCTCGAAATAGCCTGTCCCGCCAACTTGTCCTGTGCCTGCGCCCGCCCGCTTGCCGAACCCTGTTGCCGCACTGTACCTTTCTTGTTTGCATGTACCTTTTTTGTTTGCATGTACCTTTTTTGTTCGCGCTCGTGTGCTTCCGGGCAGAGTTGATGAGCAGGTAGGAATTATGCTAAATCGTTGATTGCCGACGATTACATAGGCAGGACGGGACATATAGGCAGAATAGAAAGAAAGATCATTCTTGAAAGTAGGATTACTAGAGTACAGCTAAAACAGATCATATTACTAAACTACTAAACAACGCAAACACAACTACTCCTTCCCAACTCCCCCAGCCTTCTCCAACTCGTCCATAGGATCACGACTCGGCGCCCCCGATCCCCGCACCGCCTTATCAAAGACCTCCGTCGACTCCTCCAGCGTCGCACCCTTCGTTTCCGGAAAGAAGAAAAAGACGACTGCAAACTCGCCGGCAATAATGCAGCAGTAAACGATGTAGTACTTCCAGCTGATGGCGTCCATCGCGATCGGATTCACGTAGGCTTGGTACACGCCCACCGAAGCTGTCGTGAACTGGCCGAGAGACATGCCGTGCGAACGGATGTAGTATGGCAATACTTCGGTCAGGTAGAGATAAGGCAGGCCCATCAGTCCGATATTGTACGCCAAATCGTACAGGAAGATCATCGCTAGCACACCTTGACCTAGACTCTTTTGCTCGAAATTGCGCTGCTGGTTGATGGCCGAGAGAATCGTCCAGATCACAAAGATGACGAGCATAGACCCTAGACAGCTCAGAAACATAAACCGTCGCCCAAAACGAGGTACAAGACCAATCAAGATCGTAGCACATCCCAAGTTGTAAATGCAAAGGCCGCCGTTAATAACAAGCTGCTCCGACGAGGTAGTGATGCCGATCGAGTTGAGAATCAAAGACAGGTAGTACGACACCAGTCCGTTTCCAGACATCTGCTGCATGAACGGCACCATCATCGCAATAAACGCCCGTCGCCGATTCTCCTTTGCAAACAGCACCTTGAAGCTCACGTCCTTGTGCTGCTTCTCCATCTCGAGCGCCGCGATGATCTCACTCAGCTCAAAGTCGACCAGCGCGCTGTTCTCGTTCCCGTTTGCGTGGTAGTACGTCAGGATCGCGCGAGCTTCGTCGATCCGGTCGTTGAAAATCAGGAACCGGGGAGACTCTGGAAGCCAGTAGACCATCGCGAGCTGACAGAGCGGGAAGAAAGCTTGCAGGAGCGAAGGAATGCGCCACGACCAGGTGTTGCTCTCGCCCATCCAGTACGTGCCGTAGGTGATCCACGCTGCTAAAATCGCACCGCCGTACCATAGAACGTTGTACGCAGTCGTCATGACCGCTCTGTGCGTGGGAAACGAGAGCTCAGACAACAGCGACGGCGAAGGCACGATCGCGATAACTGCCCCCGCGCCGATAATAATCCGCGCCGCGAGAAACATGCCGTAGTTTTGCGCCGCGGCCTGGATCGCAGAGGCGATAATCATCGTCGTCGCGCCCGTAGTGATGCCGGCCTTGCGGCCCCATTTGTCGGCAATGTAGCCTGCGGGAACGACGCCGACAAACATGCCGTACGTGGGACCGCAGGAGATGTGGCCGAGGGTGTAGCCGGTCGGGTGGTTGAAGAAGTCTTGCCACTGCGACTGCGCCTGCAGGCCGTTGATCATGGAGCCGTCGTATCCAATTCCAGTGGACGAGAACATGGGGACAAGGAGAAGGAAATTCAGAAGCAGTAATCGACTATCGCGATACCATGGGGGAGCATCCTTAGGAAGCACATCCTCGAGCGTCACGTCCCGGTGCTCGATTCCCGCCGCCTCGTTCTTCAAATCAGCAAAATCAGTCATTATCAGCCCAGCACAGTAGCAAAATCAGTACAAGGGGCCGTTCAACACCGCGGTGATGAGCCCGCAGATATATATAGTTTGGGAAGCACCTCCGCGCTGTGCAGCATCCAGATCAGCCGACGCGCGCGGGGCACAATGCGTTTTGTTTATCCGACACAGCAGCGCCCGACAGGCAGCGCTACCCCACCTTGCGGCCATAGCGGCTTCGTGGCGGCGGTCTGGATCGGCGGGGTGCGCGTGGAGCGGGTTTGATCGTCTCTGCGGCGGTGGGGAGGGATGGTGGTGTGCAGGTTTCTATTAAACATAAAATTACGCGCAGCCCTAGGCCGTAGAGGGAAGTATCCCCGGACGGCAGTCTGGCCACCTGATGTCTGCTGTTCTGCTGTTCTCTATTGTAGCGTCAAATATGTGGTTTAATTTGTTGTTCAGAGTATCTTTAAAAGAGAAAATACTAGTATAGAAAGTGTTTGCTAGTACAAAAGCTATGGTGAAGCAATACAGCACCGGGGCGCACTCGGAGCGCACTCCACAAGCTAGAAACACAACCCAGGAACAAAGCGTCACAGTTCGTTTGTGGGGCAAAACAAGGAAAGGCCGGGGCCCCGGTTTTGCGGGGACAAAGCTCGTCATCGGGTCAGCGCTAGTGTTGCTGGTATGTGAGAGTACCCCCGAATCCCCTGCTCTTTTCGCGGTTGATCATAATGATCTTCTATAATGATATGGTGAAGGGTATCTGTATACTGACAGAATGGATATTGCTTGATAGTAATCTCCAGGAATGGCTACTCTCAAACGCGGAGGCTGCATTTTTAGCTCATACTTCCAGCACACTCCCTCATGACCGATACTCCTCCGACTTAACTCCCGCGTGACTTATCGACCGCACCGGCAATATTTCACATCAAATAGCCTGACGTTTGTATCCTGGGCAGTCTGATGCCTAAAAACAAAATAGCCTGAAAACATAAAACATTAAACAAGCTGGTGCAGCCGAGTACTAACTCTGGTGGACGGCAGCAGGACTTGTTACTGGATTTTGCACGCTGCCCACTCATCTTTGCCATGCGTTGGATAACTGCAGTATACCCTTTCTGCTGTATCCTCTTTGATGCGGGCTCTAAAGAAAGAGAAAGTTATTGCACCGCGGACAGTTTGTAGGGACGCAGGGATGATGACTTATTGATCCAGGGAAAGCAGGCTTATTCCACAAGTCCAGCTGAGCATAAACGCCCGCCATCATACCAGTGAGTGCAAATAACCCGTCAGTAAAGAGCTCCCAACTAGTAGCTCCAAAGTTAGTACTTGTGCTACTTGCCGTGGACACTGATAGAGGCATTGCCAAAACAGTAAACAGCAGACTTCAATATCGGAGCAGTAGCTGCTTCAAGATAGCGGGGTAATCCGCTGTCACGGCGTGCGCTTCCGACTCATCGCGCGTGCTCCGACGTCAACATCAACTAGCTCATACGCGCCAAGCCCACCCTCAACGCTTTCTTATTCTCCACGCCGGACCTCGGTATCCGCGGTTCCGACATCCGATGTCCGGATCTGGCAGCCTTTGATGGTATGAATATGCGAATCCAGTATATACACCGGAAGCAAATTCAGGCCGGCCGTTTGAATGCCTTTTAGGCGCAGATACAGCTATGCCTTCAGCCGTAATAACATGCCCCTCTGCCGAATGATTCAACCCGGTAGCCGAAATTGAGGAGGATTGACTATAGCCCCGCTACCGGTTTGAGACCATGTTCAGATTTTGCAGGCATGATGGTTTTCCAGACTAGTTTTATGTTCCGCCGGCCGTAATAGCATGCCCTTCTGCCGAATGATTCGACCACGGTAGCCGAAATTGAGGAGTATTGACTATTGCCCCGCTACCGGTTTGAGACCACGTTCAGATTTTGCAGGCATGATAGTTCTTCAGACTAGTTTTTTGTTCCGCCGGAACTGTCAACGTTACCTCGTTTAGCCTGATTCGCGGGGATATGATCAGGTTATAAACCTGCCTCATCCTCAAAGATTTGCGCCATCTCGTCGACAGAGTAAAAGAAAAATCAAGATATCTGTCCCAAGATTATTGCAACACACAGTCTGCCGCAGTTATTCGATAATTTGCGTGGCCAAGTAAGCCTTTGAATAGAAGTCGACGTCGTCGTTTTAGCAGGGTTCAGAGTCCGCAGCGACCGATTATCATAAACCGCGCTCACATTGATATTCAGCGTATGATTGTAGATAAAATCGGTATTTTTGCCGATGGTGCAAGATTCCAGTCGGGTTTATCGTAGGCATAATAACACATTGGCAGCAAGGTGCTTGGCATTTCACCTCTTCGACATCACAGCGAAGACAGGTCTGACAATTCTGACTATCATCATCCTCAACTAAATGTGCGTGTCTTCATTAAAATATCATTGATATCAAATCTAGCCACACTGACAGGACATAAGAGCAGTAACGCTCGTGCCTTGGTTATCTGCTGGCTCATGTCTTCATCATCCTTTCACAGTCTTTGCAGTACGCGATATCACGAGCCATCTATCAGATTTTTGTGTCTATGAACCATAGTGTAGCAAGTTAATCTCAAAATTGTAAACGGTAGAAGATGGCTGCGAACGATAGAACAGTATGACTTTTGAGTATTTAGAGGTGGTGTGGAGTAGCGACGGTAGCCTATTTTGCGCCCTTAATACTTCTCCACAACTTTGTAAGCGGACCGCCTAAGCTGTTTAAGGTAACCATATTAGAACCAACAGCAAAATATCCCAACAATCCCATTAAAGCTTGAACTTCACGCAATTGAATATCAATCATCATTTTCTCTATTCTATCGCAATTCCTCTTTTTACACACAGCTACGTCCACGACATACACAACCTACAAGTTCAATGTAAATAGCTAAATTGATACAATGCAATCTGAACATATCCTCTCCTCCCGTTCACTCCCTTCTAACCCTCCCCCATCTAACCAAGCAACTCTTTTCTCCTTCTCTCTCTCTCTCTCGCATAAAAGTAACAGCAAATATACTAACATAGAACCAGCAAAACTCCGCAACAAGCTATATAAAATCGTCATGTCAAATATCCCCCAGCACATGTCGTCTAACCATCCCTCTAGTGATTTTGATCTCGTAAAGGTCTATCTTCCAACATTGATCTTGCAGTTCGCGTACCGTCTGATGCCGCGAAGGAAGACGTTGTACGTTACCGAGTTGTTGTATCTCGCATAGCTGTTGAGACGCACGTTAGTATTTGATTGTAACACAGCATTAACTGATAGATAACATAAGCGGACGGAACTCACTAGATCTCTGAAAGACGCACTTGCCATGGCGGGAATCCGTCCAAGACAAGCTTCGGGCCAAAGATAACCACCAGATCCGGTTCAGGAATCACGCGCTCTAGATTAGAGAACACAATTAGCTCACTCAATCTCTAAATGACCCAATTCACAATTACAAAAGACAACGTACCAACTACAGTCCTGTCGACAAGATCGACGGTGATCTCCTCTGGATCCATATCCCCTCTCGCCGCCGACTCAGCGTACTCCCGCGTAAGCTCGACAAGGAACCCGCGACCGTCGTCCTTCGCGACAAACGAAATGTCAAGGTCGACCTTATCGGGCTCCTCTGCCGGAAAGTACGTCTTCGTGCGCGGCGTGTAGAGACGCACGGTGGGCAACCGCGAGTCGCCATAGTAAGTAACAAGCGTGCGCTCGATGACCGCCAGCGCGGTCTCGTGGAGATCCAGCAGCTGGCCGGTCCGTTCGTAGACCGAGAGATGCTTGACGCCCGCGCCGATAGACCAGGAGGCAACGTCGGCGACTTGCTCTAGCAGACCGTCGATCCCGCCGCCTTCCTCTGACTCTCGGTAGGTCAGCACGACGGCGACCGTGCGAGGCGTCTTTGCGAGGCCCTGCACGTCCTGGGCAATCAGCTGCGGCGTGCGGTGGTGATGGTAGAGGAATGCCATGAAGTTGTTTTTGAGCGTGTAATACTGGCGCACGGCCAGCGTCGCGACCGCGACGAGAATGTGCAGGAAGATGAGGATTGTGTGGTAGAAGTGGAAGACCGCGAGCTGGACGAGCGACGTGTGCATGAGCGACTGCCTAGCACCCAGCGGCACGAGCAGCGAGACGAGCATGTCACTAACCCGCCCGGCAAGCGACATCTTCCGAGCACGCTTCTGCTGCTGCTTCTGCGTCTTCTGCTGCTGCTTTTGCATTGTGATCTCGCGTTGGATCTGCGGCGACCTGGGCTTGATAGCGAGCGACGTCGATGATGACGACGGTGAGGAGGAGGCGGAGGACGAGGGCGGAGGCGAGGCAGAGGGCGAGAACGCGGGCGACAGCGGCGGCGAGAGCGGGAACGAAGGTGAAGGCGGCGGCATCGTGGATCGCGGTGGGTTCTGCGGTTTGTTGGCGAAGAGAGATACACAAACCCTACACAAACCCTACACAAACCCTACACAAACCCTACACAAACCCTACACAAACCCTACACAAACCCTACACAAACCCTACACAAACCCTACACAAACCCTACACAAACCCTACACCCTGCTCTTTCTACCAGCTTAACCCTTACACTTACCCAAAGCGCTTGCTTCCAACGCCAAAAGCGCTTAAAAAAACACAAACGTGTACAAGTGAAAAGTACAAGTTTCAAGCCCAAGTACAAGTTAAAAGCACTAGTTAGAAGCACTAGTCTAAAGTACAAGTTAAAAGCACTAGTCTAAAGTACAAGTTAAAAGCACAGAAAACAAGTTAAAAGTACACGAAACGAGTTAAAAGTACAAGTTTGAGACACAAAACAAAAACACAAGCTAAGAGCACAAGTTCAGAGCACAAGCTAAAAGCACAAGTTAAAAGCACAAAACACAAGTTAAAAGTACAAGTTTGAAGCACAGAATAATTAAAGCACCATTTAAGAGCACAAAGTACAGGCACCAGTTAAAAGCACAAGTTAAAAGTACAAAAAACAGGTTAAAAGTACAAGTTTGGAGTACAAGTTTGAAGTACAAGATAAAGGCACAAGTTAAACGCATAAAAAACAGATTAAAAGTACAGGCCTGAGGCACAAGTTAAAAGCGCAAGATAAAAGCATAAGTTAAGAGTACAAAGTACAAGCACAAGTTATAAGCACAAGTTGAAAGCGCACTAAAAACAATTTAAAAGTACAAGCACAAGTTAAAAGCACAAAAAACAAGTTAAAAGTACAAGTTTGGAGTACAAGATAGAGACACAAGTTAAAAGCA